GCACCACCGATCGCCCCTGTTATTCTTATTATTATGATTTCTTCCTCCTGACTATTTCGTGCTGGCGGGAGAGATCGGGGTCTCACGGGGCGAGCGAGGGCCTGGCCGGAGGAATAATCCATCATATCGACGCACCGGTATACTCCCAATTTAAAATAGAGTACTCCGTATCTTGATTGCGTCTTGGACGCCCGCCATGACGACGACCCCCCGGCCTGCCTGCCTATATCGTACAACGATGGATGCCATCAGACTCGAAGCGTTGGAGATATAAGAGCAGCCCGCAGAACTAGTTTTAGCTGGAACCAGCCGGCAATAAGCACGGCGGCGCTGCGACGAGGCTATTCGCTGACGGGCAGGGGTTTCAAGGGCAATTGTTCCCCGTTTGTAGTAGTTAGCTGGTTGATGGCATCCGCTGCCACTACTACTGGCAGACAGGCAGGCATTATTGCAGTCGCGGGTTTCATGGTCGCATTCCCAGAAACGCCATCCTGGGAGGAGCCGGGAGGGCGCCCGACTCCGGCGGCGTGGGGCGCGACGACCAAAGCAGAATCAGAGATCATAGTCTGTTGTTGTAACTACTCCGTAGTCATGAGCAACAAAAAAAAAAAAAAAGCGACGTATCGCAATGACTGTTGAGCGGGCGGGCGATCACAAAAGCAAAGAGAGCGAGAAAAGCAAAAAACCCTTTTTGCGCCGGTCGATTGCCATATTCTTAGAACGGCCGATACCGCGGCGGGACTTGGCGGGATGCGGGTTTAATTTGCACTTCTCATTTCCTTGATGTCTGTTGTGAGGATAGGCCGTGGGCCCGGAGTGTTGGGGAGCAGCAGCGAGCACAGCCAGGCGGTGAGGCAGAGGCCGGCGCCCGGGGGGAGGCTCCAGGCTCTCCAGGCTCTCCAGGCACTGTAGCATTGGAGGCTGCGCACCCATGCTCGATCGCAGCAGCAGAAGAAACGACGCTGCTTTACATATCTTGTTCTTTGTTGTTGTGCTGTGGCTGGGCTGGCTCCGCTCCCCCTCAGGCTGGCTGGCTAGCGGGGGCTCTCGCCGCGCTGCCCGCCACCGCCCTCGGCCCGGCTGTAGTAGAGTAGTAGAGTAGTAGTAGTAGCAGCAGCAGTAGTAGTAGTAGTCGTCGTAGTTCATCTACTCAAGCATCACTCACTGACCATCTAACTATCGCTCGCTGATCGCCTGGCTCCGCCCGTCACAACCGGCAAGCCGCCCGGCATCCCAGCCTGCTTCCGAACTTCGACGTCTATCATCATCATCATCATCATCATCATCCATCCCGTATGTAAGGCACGGACAAGGTCCCCCTCTTTCACTGCGCCGCTGCCCATCCCTGCATCTGTCAGAACCAAAGACCTGTCAATTAATTTTCCCAGCCGGCCGGGCTGGGCACTCTCCGCGGACAACTGGCTCCGGGTTTACTACTTACCTAGTACATAACTCTCTTTCTGTTCTGGTGAATTATCCCGCACAAGCTTTGGCGCGATGGCTTCGCCCGTTCCCTCGTGTCGAAGGGACTAATCGTGGCAACTCCCCCTCCTGTTTGGTGTAAATAAATAGATATCACTGACAGGAGCGGGGAGAGGGGAAATGGCAATAATAATAATAACACATCCTCCTCAAACTACTAAGCCGGCGGCCGAGGAGGGATCAAGGGTTCTGTCGCTCGGAATCTCGTGGCCAATAATGTGCATCGCGCGCCGGCATCTGCTGCTGGCTTGCAAAACGAACCGGGACGGGCCTCAGGCCTGAGTATTATTATTATTATTATTATTATTATTATTATTATTATTATTATTATTACCGGCTTTTGTGCGCATGGCTGCTTGCAGCAGCAACAGAGCTGCTGCTGCTGATGCTGCTCGTCATCTCGCCTAACCAACCTGCGCCTGGCCGCCCAGCGCGCGCGCGCGCTCCATTGCGCGTTCCTGGCCCCAGCCACGCAACCTCCCAGGGCAACATCACAATAATGAATGCAAAACACGCTGCGCGAGCCCGGCCCAGGCAAGAGAGGGAGAGAGAGGGGGAGCTGTCTCGTGGGTTGTGGGATGGCCGAGGGTAAATTATTCCGAACTGGACGGGCGGGCTTTGCAGCTGGGAGCGCCGGGGGCGCGCCTTTTTTTGACGTCTGAGACGGCCGCCTTAGTGTCTGCTGCACGAATCCCTGTCCCTGGGAGGGAGGATGTCTTTTTTAAATTCTTTCATCAACCGCATCAAACCTAAATGCCTCCCCAGGGAAGAGAAGAGAGAGAGAGAGAGGGAGGGAGATAGAGGGAGAAGGAGGATATCATGGGAAATGATCATAATGGCGATGACAATAATAATGATAATGATAGCCATAATAATATCAAAAGAACACCGCCCTGTTTCCTGGCTCCCAGCCAGCCAGCCAGCCAGACAACCCGGGGCTGGGAGGCCAGGCCCGTCGTGTGGCCGCGCGCAAAGTAGATCGTTCGTCTCAAGCTCACTACTGACGAGGGCCCGGCCCTCGAGATTGCTATTATTGCTATTCTAACACTTGAGCAATTTTTTATTCATACTTTTTTTTCTTGCAAACCTGCCCGCGGCGCGCCTTGCACACACGACTGCCCATGATTATTATTATTATTATTCCCCCGGCGGGCAAGACATCCTCAAACACGAGTGTGACGGGAGCCGGTGGTGCGTAACTACACCCTACCTACCTACTGCGTACAGCCTCACTACTTGCGATCTGAAAACAGACTGCAGACAGCCAAGCCAAGAGAGGCGTTCGCCATCAAAAGCGCGAGGGGAAAGAAACGAGTCACGAACTGCCGCCCCCTCCCCTTCCCTCGCTCCGTTTGAATGAATCATGGCCCGGCCGCCGGCCGCCGGGCCCAGAAACGCGAGGGTAGAGACGGTTCGAAATTTGTTCGGCATCAATGCACCGAGAGAGTTTCTCCCCTAGGGTGTTTGTTTTGCATTGCATTTTTTTTTATTTTTTATTTTTTGGCATCTTCTTGCGCTTTTTTAAGCTTCCGTGCCAGTTCGTTCAACCGCAACTCTACTTTACTCGAGCTTTTGCCGGTTCGGTCATGCTGCTGCGCGCGCGCATACGAGAAGAAGAGAAAACGAAAAGAGTTGCCAGAGCCCCAGAAAAAACAAAAATATAGAGAAAAAAACAAAAATGGTGACCGGCCGGCTAGGCTCTGCCAGGTGATATATATGAGGGGCGCCAGCAGACCGGAGAGCCCCCGAGTTTACTCCAATAGCAACCCACTGGGCGGGTGTTAGTCGCTGGCGAGGCCCCGTCTCTGGCGTCAAATAATAGTAGTAGACGTAGAAGCGGCAGTGCAGTCGACACTTTCCTGGAGTACGCTGGTGCTCCTGTTTGATCGTCCGTGTCAGATTGCGGGCGAACATTGCCGCTCCACCTTGCGCGACTGTCAGGGCTAGAACCACCACCACTGCTAGCTACTACTACTACTTGCTTGGGCCCGCGCGAGGAGCTGAGAGCCGGACGGGTTCGGTCCTTATTGCTCCTTCTCGCAAGCTGGCGTCCTGCTCGGCTTTGGGTTTCGGGTAAATCCTGCAAGCCGGGACACAGCAGTGAGAAACGAGGGGAGAGATAGGGTGCGACCGGCAAGGGGGGGATCGACTTTCTAGACGGACAGCAGAACAGGCCTTGGTGGTGGTGGTGGTAGCAATAATGGGAGCAGCGGTGGTGGTTGGTGGTGGTAGTGGTGGTGAAATGCCGCACGCCATGGCTGGCAAGCTTTGGCAGCGCCGAGCCCTGGCAGGCCGGCCAGCAGCTGCGCCTGGAAAAGCTTCCGAGCAACGCCAGCCAAGGAAATGCGGGGTCGAAGTGACAGATAAGAGACGCTTCGCCTGGGAGGGGGGGAAGCCAGTGAAGGGTGAAACGCGCCGGCTGCGCTTTCGCCCAGCCTGCGCACCGCACTAGCCCGCCCAGGAGCCTGCAGACGTCAAAAGAATGGGCCGCCCGCGCCGTGGTAGCGCGCTCCGCACGCCCTCTGCTTGCTGGGAAGCAGAAAATCAAAAAGCTAAAAAAAAACAAAAAGACGGCGCGCGCAGGGGTGCCTGCGACCCAGCAGCGGGCGCTGCCACCCGGCGTGCTATAATGGCCGTGGCAGGCGGCAGAGCACCGGCCGCGGAGCATCCTTTGGCTCCTTCGCACCCCTGGCTTGCATTGCGTAGTACATAGCTGCCAGCGTCGGGGTCTGCCTGACAAGCAGAAAACAGATAATAAAAAAAAAAGAAAAGAGTTCGTCCGTGGTTCGGGCTAGAGAACAAGAAGCTCACGCTGCCGGAACGAGAGACCCCTCTCCCCAGTCCGCCATCGCCATAATAGTGTGCTTCGCGACACGACACGGCGATGCGAAGGCAGAACCAAGGTTGCGCCCCAAAACTGTTTTGAACGCTGTTCGGTCGGCGGCAGCGATCGCAGCGCCCGGTAGTAGTGAGCACACTGGCAGCCACGCCGAGAGACGCTCTGCCCATGTGAGCGAAACTTGTTGGGTGCTGTATACTTATTAGTTCGTTCATCGGCAGCGTCGTCAAACCTGGATTATGACAATCATTTCGGAAGGTTTCACATCTCTCAATCTAGAGAGGCCGCTGACAGCGATTGGAAACGACTCGAGTAGGATCAAGGGTACATGGGCCCCAAAAAAGACCGGATGCTGCACTAGTGGAGCAGTGTAGAACCTCGACTCTGAACCCCTGAACCGCGTGCTAGCCTTGCAAGGGACCAACGGCGGCGACATCCAGGCTTGTCTGTCAACTTTGACATCGGAACTCAGGATCGACTGTTCCTAAACCGGCTAGCCGTTTGAGATGTGAATACGAACACCAGAGCGTAGATATTAGAGTGGGGGGAGCTGCCGGCTTTGCCATAAGTACGCCCGTCTTATCGTTGGGAAACTTCTTCCACCTACCTTCCACCGCTGCACCACCACCTCCTCCTCCTGCACCCTAAAGCTGTCGGCCCCTCACGCTCTCTTTCCAACATGATGGCTGTTGAGCAGCGCGTGCCCCCGGAGGCCGAGATCTTCGCCGGCCTGAACAACATCATCGCCCGAAGCACCTCGCCCAAGGTTGGTGGTCCAATTCGTCTGCAGCTTCCATTGATAGGGCTAATCGTGTTCAGCAGAAGAGCTATGAGAACCTGAAGAAGCAAGACGCCTCTGCAGCAAAGGCCCAGCAGGTGTCTGCAAAGCCCAAGTATCAGCTGTGGCCCAGTCTCAAGAAGTCGGTCTCCAGCAGCACGGGGCGGACCACTCCGGAGTCTGACAAGGAAAAGAAAGTGAAAACGCTGGGACGTTCTCACAAAATCAGCGTCCCAGATCTGGGACAGCTCTCGACCATACAAGAGAAAAATCTTGATTCCCGTAAGTTCCCCCGCCCAGCTTGGGCATGCATGGGAGCACCCGGCTGACGAGGCGATAGCCACCATCCCTGGCCAGTACCCTATCCATGAGAGGTCAAACAGTGCCCCCAGTGCGTGCGCCGGAAGCACGACCCGGGCTCAAGCACCTGCATCCTTTGGTGACCTGTCCAATTCGGCGGAGAAGAATTCTTCCCCATCCCGGAAGAATGAAGCCAACAAAACCACCACCACCCGGGCGTTTGCTGGTCAACCCCCACAGAGCGATAGGCACCAACCTTTGAGACGGACCAATTCCGCTGAACCCCCGGAAGTTCCACCTAAATCTCCCCGTTTGGTTGTGAGGATCCCCAATTCCCAAGCTGCCTCGCCGGGAGGTGATCTCTCCAACGACAAGTCCATGGAAGAAGGATTTTGGAAAAGCTCTCCCAACCTGCCATCCCAGCTGTCTGGTTCGTCGGCCTCTACTACTCCTGTCAGTGCAGGAAGCACCTGCACACCTCCCACATCCGCCTCCAGCAGCTCAGGGCAGCAATTCCCCAAGAGACCACGGATAGATGAGGCCAACCATTCTTTCCTCTTCCAGCTAGGATCCGAGATGTCGGCCTTGGGAATCAACAGTCACCGCAGAGGAATCTCTCATGACTCCGTTCTCAAGGTGGGACATCGTTCGCCATCGAAGAAACATGTAGCCCTCCGGGTGTGCACGAATGACCATGAGATGGCGAAGAAGCTCCCAGGAGTGCCCATTGCGACTTTTCCACTGGGCCTCTCAGTGGAAAAGGCACCCAAGGTGCTCTCTCGCAACGAAATCGAGTCCCTGCAAAAACAGGCCCAGAGTCAAGCCCAGAAGTTCGAGGTGCTCAACCGCTGTGATGTGAAATCGCTCTCAAGGGTATGTCTTCTAAACATATTTGCCAGGCTCCCAAGAAGCTAACCCGGATTTTTTTCATAGGAACTGCGTGCTCTACAGAAGCGTTGCGACTACCTCAGAGAGACGTACAACTCTCTTCGAGCTGGCCGACACAGCCTGCATCAGCGGATGATCTCATACCTCAAGTCTCCCCGGGTGTCGAAGTTCTCGCGTGAAGGGATCCTCAAGCAGGAGGAGGCGTTATTCGAGCTCGACAGATCGATCGACGAGTGGTACTCCAAACTGGAGCACGCAGAGCAGCGCCGCGCCCTGTTGCGCCAGAAGCTTCTCGAGCACCTAGCTGCGACCCTAGTGCTTCGAGAACCACAGCCAGATCTCTGGGCCCTTGGTGGTGGTGGTGGTGGCGAGATGCACCCTGAGTTTCTGCGCAGGCCCCACAACCACACCCGGGCAACGCGACAGGATGTGGAGTCCATCAAGATATACGCGGATGCCGAGATACAAGCGCTGTTTGCGAATATCGAGAAAGATATGGAGAGGATGGCTAAGTTTAACAGCCCCCCTCCCCCGCAGCTACCTGCCGTCGCCTTCTCACCGGAAGCCCGGTGACGGGTAACCGAAATCAAAAAAGTGTTTCTGGAATCGTTGTAAACTTCAAATCAAGTATCCTAGATATGTGTGTTCCCCTTCGATGATGATGACAATATGGCAAATCATGAGGCTGTGTTTGATGAAGATACCGTTCTGCTCCCTTTGCGACACATTTTTGTCTTGTCTTGGGTTTGTTTTTCGGGCACTGGGCATTTGTACTATTTTCTTCCTGGGATGGGAGTCGTCGCTGGTTTCCTTTGTTTTTTCACTTCTGCACCGGTGCTTTTTGCGCTGGAGAAATACCCTGTTGGCAACAAGAGTTCTTGTATATTATCACAGTGGTTATTAGTATCTAGTAGAGGGGTTTTAATGAAGGGGATTATTCATTTCTTAGCTCGGAGTCTCCGGCCAGTCCACGAGGCATTTCATTATCGGCACACATCCTTTTTTTTTCCAAAGCTGTCGACCAGTATGAAGGGCACTCAAGAAGATTTCCTCTAGGCACGGCCGTTCGTGTTGCGTTGCAATCCTGCAAGTCTCAGGAGCGTGTCGGCCCAAAAGGGGGACGATTTAGAGTTTTCCCCGGATCGGCGAAACATCGCCGCCGACGAAGCTTTGGGAATATTTTCGAGATCATTCACGCAGTTTTCTGGAGCGGTTGCTTTCAAATTCCATACTGCGTTTGACATATTTTTCAGGAAACCTTTCCATTGCGAATATCAAGCCGAGTTCATTCCGATACAGCCTCCTTACTATCTTTTAATATGTTTCGAAGAGCTCTTCTACGCCAATCCCAGGCTTTCAAGCCTACCTTCTCCGCCCGATCCATCTCAACATCCCCTCTATACCGGAGGCAGAGTCCTACATATACCCACACGCAGACCTTCAGGCCGCTGCATTCGACATTATCCCGGAGATACAATTCCACAGATTCGCAAGACAAGAAGCCCGAACAAGACGCCGCAGCAACCTCCTCAGAGGGAACTGCCGAGTCCGAAATTTCGGACGCCGAAGCTGCTCTACAAAAGGAAATTGAAAAACAGGAGAAGGAGATTGTTGACTTAAAGGTATGCGCAGGCGATTTCTACTTTTGCCTTCCGCTGTACCTGGCGTCATGGAGGCTAATACGGTTTCCGGCAAATAGGATAGATACCTGCGATCCGTCGCCGACTTCCGCAACCTCCAGGAGCGCACACGTCGCGACGTCGATGCCGCGCGCTCCTTTGCAATCCAGCGCTTTGGCGCCGACCTAATCGAGTCGATTGACAACTTTGAGCGGGCCCTCGAGGCTGTTCCTTCCGATAAGCTCAGCAATGGAGAAAACAAGGAGCTCACCGACCTCTATGACGGCCTGAAGATGACCGAGACCGTGATAATGAATACTCTGAAGAAACATGGCCTGGAGAGGTTCGACCCGTCTGAGCTGGTCGAGAACAAACCTCAGAAATTCAACCCGAAACTTCACGAAGCCACTTTCATGGCGCCGGCACCCGGAAAGGAAGATGGCGATATTCTGCACGTCCAGACCAAAGGTTTTATGCTTAATGGTCGAGTCTTACGGGTGAGTTACATGGGCGCAGGTTAGTTCTTCAGGGAAGGGCCATTGACTGACTTTTTTTAGGCCGCCAAAGTTGGTGTTGTTAAGAATGCCTAGTCCGGCAGCCGAACACGTGCACTTCTTCCAAAAAGTCATGTTTCACTAGCACTATACTATTTTCATGAATTGGAATTGAAACATTCTTCAATTCTTCTCTCCTATCCGTACCCTATCTTCCTTTGACAAGATGTCCGCTTCTTTGTCGCTGTTTGTACACTATTATTATCTGTACATTTTTAAAACAGGCTTTCATAAAACAGCGTGGCTACGGCGTTATGATCTGGAAGGTTGGAATTCCATGGGTCGTCCATATATGTCTTGTTTTATTGTTTAATTTTTCTATCTCCCCTCTGTTGAAAGGAACTTTGGATCTGTGTCTGATGACAGCCTCATTAATGCCTGGCTGAACATGAATACTAGAAGAAATGAACCAGCATACATAAATGTCTTATTCTACATATTACCTGCACCTTTGACTACACCTGCCCTTACCATGTGAAGTCCTATGAGCCAGGGGAACGTACTGGTTTGTGTGGAGAAAGTGTGGTATAAAGCCTCTAATACATCATAGGGAACAGCAAAAAATATTTTAATAGTATACATAAAATGTGTCGAGCACAACTCTAGGCAGAAAGTATAGAATTGATTCTTCTTCATATTTCTCATCTCAACTCAACGCCGATTTTATCTACCAGCTTTTCCCTTACCTTTTCATGAAGCTCATTCGTCTCTTCATTGGTAAGGGTCCTCTCCAAGCTTCGATAGTTGATCCGGTAACAGAAACTCTTACGACCTGTTTTCGGATGAGTAAACTCATCAACCAGCCGAACATCCTCGACTAAATCCCCAGCGACATCTCGGACGATTTCCATAATGTCATTTTCATGAAATGGCACAGCTCCTCCAGCCGCACTTCCGGTGGCTGTAGACCTTAACCAAAAAGCAACATCCTTGTAACAAGCTGGGTGCTTGGAAAATGGAACGAACCGAACAACTTTACCGGCATTGAATTGGGACAAGAATCGGGTATCTTGAGACCAGAATAGGCGAATGTCCGGAATGTTAAACAAGAGCATTGCGATCCGTTCTAAACCAAGACCGAACGCCCATCCAATATGGCCCGGCACGTCTGAGGACGTAAGAAGTTCGTGTTTGACGACGCCTGATCCAAGGACTTCAAGCCATTCGCCCTGCCAATACACCTCTAATTCGTAGCTGGGACTGGTAAAGGGAAACGAGGCTTCGACCCAACGCATCTTTAATGGTTCAGGATTTGAGACATCAGCGGTTGCTTCTTTTGCAGCGGAGAATATCTTGATGACGAGAAGCTCAAGCGAACGTTTGAGGTGAGCAACAACGGCCTCAACCTCTTCGAGCGCGTGGGCTTTTTCTTGCAAGGGATTCCTTTCAGGATGGACGGCTGGATTGGGGTCTTCAACAGGAACGTCATGACGAGGTAAGCGTTTCAAGTCACGCAGAATAGCAGCTGCTGTGACGGGTCGTTTCCACAGCCTTGCGCATTCCATCTGATGAAAGACAGGGTAATGACTCTTATCAATTGCGTCGCGACGATAAACATCAGCAACAATGGTGTATCCCTTTTCCTCCGGCTTAATACTCCCATTCTTGTGCATCTGCTTGAAGTATGCGCGCTGGTGGGCACTCGTGTGCGTTCTCAAAACGGTGTCCCTGTTGATATAATATGTGTCGGTTCGACTGCGCCCAGGGTGATCGGCTGGGAAGCCCAATTCATCAAAATTCTGCGCAACAGAAACAATAGGATCTTTCTCTGCATAATTTCCGTATTCCGGGCCGCTGAACTGTGCCTCAATCAACTTGCGCGTGATCGACAACGGGTGGTTCTCGTCGAGGTAGATTCGACGCCCGACATGGGAGAGTATGGTTTGCGACGTGTTGGTCCATTCGTCTCTCGGATAGGAGTTCGCGCCTACTACAACCGCCGAAAATGCCGCGGGCGATGGTGCGGCCGGCCGTGGGAAGGCATCTTTCAGGCTGTCGGACGTGTTCGCCGAAGGTTGCGGAGCGGCCGTAGAGCTATTTCTGCCGAGCGCAGCTGGCCAGCGACGCGCCAGAGAGTGGCCGAAGCAAGCGCTGATTGTAACGGAGCGCTGCTGGTAGCCCACTCGGAGCGCTCTGCCCGTCGCAAGCAGCCTCATCGCTCAAAGTGAAGCTCTTGCTGTGCTTCGACGTCGACGGGCAACCAAAGCGGCCGCAAAGCCATTCGCCGGACGTAATTTATCGTCAGCTGCGGTGGCCAGTGCCAAACCCAGTACAGCCACTTCTAACCAATGGTCTCCAGAGCTGGTGTAATTTATGGTTTTTCGGCCGTACCGCCATACCGTCTGGAATCTCGGGATTTCTGCCTTGTCAAGCGGCCGTCGAAATCCTTCGCTGGAATGTCCTCGCGCCAGATGCCAGTCGCTGGCATGATGACTATTCCCGCAGATCAAGATGGGAGGCAGTGACAAGGCTACGGCCGTACAGGCGGGTGTTTCTCACTCGACGAGCCCGAAAATCCATTATCCCTTCTGGTTTGGAGGCTCAGCGTCATGTTTTGCCGCGGGTGTCACACATCCCCTGGATCTAGGTGCGTACACTTCGATTGTTGGTTGAGTTTTAAAGTACAGGGCTCTTGCTAATGTTGTTTCGAATTAGTCAAGGTATTATCGATCCATTTTGGCTTTTGCGGCCTTGTCCAAAAATACTAACTGGTGCTGCGGAGTACATAGGTCCGACTCCAGACTCGAGGACCGGGGGACCCGGCAGGAATGTTCGGGACCATAGTTTCTATTTGCAAGAAGAATGGGATTTCCGGTCTTTACAGCGGTGTATGTATACTCCACAGATACTGGAAACAATTGCTCCTCATGCTAATAATTGGCTGGTTTGTCTATACCTAGCTTTCGGCTTCGCTTCTTCGGCAAATAACCTACTCAACCACACGATTCGGTATATATGAGGAGCTGAAATGTCGAATTAACGAGTCAGCGTCATCACCTCCATCTCTGCCCACACTCATTGGAATGGCTTCGGTGTCAGGTTTTGTCGGCGGAGTAGTCGGCAACCCTGCTGATGTTCTGAATGTCCGGATGCAGCGTGATGCTGCCCTGCCTCCTGAGAAACGGCGAAATTACCGGCATGCTTTCCATGGGCTATCACAGATGATACGCACAGAAGGCCCATCTAGTTTATTTCGTGGAGTGTGGCCCAATTCCTTAAGGGCGGTCTGTATGACCGCTGCTCAATTGGCGACCTACGATGAGTTCAAGCAGATATGTATTGGCCACCTAGGCATGGCTGACAATATTTTGACACATCTGACGGCGTCGGTAATGGCTGGCTTTGTTGCGACTACACTCTGCAGCCCAATTGACGTAATAAAGACTCGAATAATGGGCGCGAGTGCTGCAGAAACCAAGGGACACTCCATTGTCGGGCTCCTAAAGGAGATTTTTCACAAAGAAGGCTTATCATGGATGTTCCGTGGGTGGACCCCAAGCTTTATGCGTCTCGGTCCGCATACCGTCGCAACATTCTTGTTCCTGGAACAGCATAAGCAATTATATCGAGCTTTTAAATACCCTGATGGTGACTCGCGTGCGGCTGTTTAAACGGCACAATTATTATGAGATTGGTGGCAATCTCTGATCTACCACATATCTTCTTAAACCCATCCTTATGTTGAGCTATAGGTATTGAGCTTTCACCCACAGTTTTGTATATACCCAAACTAAGAGACACTGGATTATGCCCCTCTTTTTGACTGAATTGGATATCGGACTTTGCATATTAACAATATGTTTGGATAGAAATTTTGCTATTTGATAGATTAATACTAGACCTATGATACTGTCTTTTGCCGCAGGTGACCAAATACTGGAGCGAGTGTTTCCTCTGTAAAAAACATGAGTCAAGAAGATTATTTCTGTGCCGTACCACGTAACCTGCTCCTATTGTTATAAGTCGACAAGACTTGATAATATACAATTCTAGGGTTCATCAATCATTATTGGAGTTTTCCGCACTTGACCGTGTCGAGACCGATGCTCTGGGCAATTTATGTAACTCTATTACACTTCTCAGCTTCTCCACGAGTCACTTGGTACTCTCAATATAGTTTCGAGCGAATGCGCTAGTGTGATAGTTATATTGCCTACTAAAAGAGATTGGGTGGCTTGACTAGGAAAATAATGAAGATTGATGGAGCCAATAACGTAGGAGCGTTGGCAGCTCTGGAATTTTCCATTTGTTGAGGACTATTGGCACACTGTTATATACACTTATTTCAAAAATTCAATCGTCTTCAAAGATGATAACCTGGCCTAGTCGAGAGTTTGATAGTCGGTCCCCAAAATTGACGAAAAGATGGGGAAATATTTATCGGTCAAGACGAGCAGGGAAATTGCCGGCATCTGCAAAGCAAAATTGTCAGATGGCTGTACAAAACCATCATTCAATGGGGAAGGATGGGATCTCTCTGTAGAGTACATACCGCGTTGATCGTCCCATCGATCAGTCCAGGACTTGGGGCAAAGCGACCGATAGGCAAGGAAAAACTGCAATTGAACTCAGTAAGTTATTTGTCCAGGATAATTCGACGGTACACGTAGCCAATTGAGAATGAGTCGGCGTACCTGTCTGCACGGCTTGAAGTCTTCGCCCTTGGCTAATATACACTTGTGGTAATCAACATAATTTTGCCAGCAGTGCTTGGTCCTAGGACTGATGTCAGGCAAAGATTTCAGGCAATTTCAGGTTTGGAAACGCACTGGTTCTGGTTGGGGAAACGGGCGTCAAAACCTGATGAAGTGTTGTTAATTTGGTGACAATGAAAGAGCAGGTCGTCGAAGAGAGAAGCTTTTCACAAGAATTCTTATCGCATCATCCTAGAAATACATACCGGCTATAACATGTTAATAAATGCTTTATTCTGCTCAAATGCGGATCTTCTAAGCAAGTGGGACGGTTACCATACCTGTTACGAATTTGAAGGGCTTGGTCTCGACAGGCTCATCGGGATCGGCATCTGGAATTTCGTACATCTTGCTGACGACACAAAAAAAAGAATGGCTCTCTCAAAATGGCGTTCCTGTGGTTGTCGACGTGCGGCCTTGGAGTCGATGTCGTGATGTTGGTGGAATGCTTTGTGAGGTGAACGTCCCGTGAGCCGACGACGAGCCAAGGATCCAACCAATCGCGACAGGCTATTTCCACATCAGAACATTCGAACCTCAAAAGACCGCCGCTTCAGACACCACACTGTCCGACGAACCGCTCGGCTACTCACCTGCAACGCTTGTTTTGGAAAAGGCGATATTTTCTGGTGCGAAGATGTATGCCACACGGGCTTTGGGTATGAGGGCGTCTCGCCCGCTTTTTCGACCGCTCCCTGTACGTTCTATGTTCCCAATCTCTTCGTTTGATGATAATTCGCATATTCGGGAGTGCTTACACATTCTAGAAGGAAGATCAAAGTGGTAAGGGCGTTTTGCCAGTTTCGCTCTATCCTAGAAGAGTGCCATAGCCTAACCTTTGTAACTAGCTCACACGATCTCCCAACGCCTCCGGACCTTGAAAAAGATTCCTCCAGAGTTGCTTCCACTCGGTAAGCCGTCTGGGTTCAAGCGCTTGTAGAATTCGATTTCAAAGCTAACATTCCATCTACATCTAGGCGCCGTTCTTTGGTAAGAAAATATTTGACTATCAAAATATATCTCGCACTGCTCGCTAATATTTATTGCGGTATAGCGTTGCAGTCGGCGCAGCTATCTACTCCTGCGGGAAGAAATTCATGACGGATAAAACCCTTCGTCTAACAAGATCCAAGCCGGAGGACCATGCCTAAGTGGAAGGGAATTGGTCGGAAAGTTGATATTTAGTCGCGGCTTGCAATGTCGAGAATGTGCCGCTAGTAACCTTTACTTTTGTATTGCTTAGGTGGGAAGTGATGTGCCGGTGTTATTTGTTGTAAATATATCGTTCCTGGCAATGGCATTGAGAAATGCTGAGATAAGAAAATAAAATCGAAATCAACCCAAATCTGAAAAGCCGGTATACAATAGTGACCCTAGCCTTACGCTTGTTTGGGGCCAGCCACGTCCAAACTTTCCAGACCCTGCATAGCATCTGGGCGACTGTTTGCAATCGATCTAGTCTCTTCGGCAGCCTGTCTGTCCTCTTCGCTAACAGCATGTTTTGCGAGATAACCTTCCTGAACAGAGCATCTGAATTAGAATAAAAGTGGGTTAAAAGCTTGCGTGTATTCACGTACCTGCTCCCAAATAGCAGTTTTGCTTCCAAGTCCTTCATTGCTATCCTTCTGTGGTTTTGCTGCAACGACCTTGATTACCCGACCGTAGAGCTCGCTCTGGTCCATATTATCAATCGCTTCTTTTGCATCCTGGGCTACTTCAAACTCGACATATCCAAACCCTCGATGTAGATCAGTTGAAGACGGGAGATCGGGTTTGGGTAAGGTGATATCAACTACTTCACCAAACGGTATAAATGCCTCAGCAAGGGTCTGCGCAGTCACTGCTTGGTCTAAGCCTCCCACATAAACGGTACTCTGCAGCCTTGAGGCGTCTGACATGACTTATTCTGCACAGGAGACACTTTGTAACTATCTCTGCCCTTCCACCTAGATACTGAAACAGCCGTAGCCTATTGTTAGTATCTGTAGGGAGTTCTCCGACTTCAATTGAAGGCGAATACTTCCAAAGAAGGTCGCCAAGACCATCTTCGATACATATTGGTGATTAGTTAGCTAACTAACTAACTAGTTACATCATCATCATCATGTGACATGAGAAATTATCTGTATTTTTGTGAGACACTCTAAAACAGCAAGCAGTTGAAAGTCTCCCAATTCAAACACCTTTGGTCCGGGATACTTGCTTGTTTTAGGCGATTTGAGCCTTTGATACCGAACCTCTCTACCGCATGACCCAGCCCGTGTAAGCAGCCTTCATACCTTCACCTGCCTCTCTACAGGCTCCCCTACTATAATACTCTGGACCCGGGATGATTGAGATTCAGTCATAAGCATTCGAAAATGGAGTTGAAGGATCAAATTCCCTGTCTTTTGCTTCCTTTTTTTTTATTAATGTATCACAGTGCCCTCCAAGTCGGAGACTGTTCGCCCGAAAGGATGGCACCAGCAGACTGTTCAGAGACTATGTAGCAGTATCTTATTACACCGATATTGTTATTTAAGGTATTTCAGAAACAACTACCTCAGAGGGCTAGATCCCATAGCTAGGGTTCTTCTTGTTGTTGTGTGTTATGTTATAATTTTTTTAAAAAGGATAGAATGCATTAACATTACTTAATGATAGAGTAATAGAGTCATATACGGAGTTCGGAGTACTCCGTACTCCATACTTTCTAGATTTAAATATGTCATAGTTATTGCCTAACCTATGAAGGACTCATTAAGCAGGGCTTCTATTAGGTAGTTATGCCATCAAGGCTAGTAAGTCAACTTAACATGAATTTAGATCAATCACAGTACCTAGCTACATAATATACTCCGCAGGTACTTCTAAAAGACACGGTGTGCCAGTGTGGGCAATTGACCGGAACTCAATGCACACCAATTCATGATTAGTTATTTAGTTACATAGTTAATCAAATGCTTATAGTTTAATTCTACTCCGTATAGTTAGCTGTATCAAAAATCCTGTGCAGTTAGAGAATGAAAGCTGCTGTGAGTCTGAAGTATAGCGACTTACATTTCCCACCTCTCCTTGTGACACGTACCTCCTTGTAAGACAGCACTGTTAAACACTGGCGAATGATGCCTACATACCAGTATCCCTAATGTTGAAACAGCTCAGATGCAGGCCTCACTCAGTCGCTCTCGCATCAGAAACCCGATGTGACACCACGAAACCCAGAAACTAAAGGATGGCATGGACACTGCATTCTCATATGGGCAGTAGGCTCAGCTTCTGATTATAATCTCTATATCAACATTTATTATGATACCCGAAGAGGATCGAAACGATTATCGGCTCCGGGCCAGCCCCATGTTAGCAGGTCCAGTGGCAGCATTTCCACTTAGGAGGTAGGCTCAGGGTTGATTCCGATCTCGATATCACGTTTATCCCGATATCCAAGGAGAATGGAGACAGTTATAGGCTATCGACGTGCGTGAGCATGTCGATGAAAAACTATATAAAGGGTGCCGTCTGTTTCCTCAATCTCAATCCATCATCAGCATTCAGCAACATCAGCAACATCAGCAACACCGTCAGGGACACTATTCAATTCAATATATCCTCTACCACAATTTAGTTACCCTCTCAATCAACATGGTTTTCGTCTCTACTCTTCTCATCGCCTCGTGCATTACCCATGTCATTGGCAGCGCGTTACCAAACCTGCCCGCCACCGACCTTGTGATGCGCCAAAACAAACCCGCTGGAATGATTATCATCCTCTCTGATGATGAAGACTTGAAGAAGATTCACGAGGCCATGCAAAACCTCAAACGACAGAATGCGCCGTCGAAGCTCCCTTACATCCAATCCGTGGTTAAACTTCTGAAAGAGAGATCTATCCTCGATGGCAGGGCCCCCCCCAGTTGGAGAGGTCTTTTCTGATCAAGTGTCCCCCCATTGCCAGCTTTCCTATCCAACTTGCACCCCTGCGGCAACCTACCTACACACCATCCTCAAGACTATCGCTGACGTCCAAGTTTCTGAGAATGTCAATGTCGATGAAATAGTCTCAAATCCAAACGATAGTGAGGTTCCCATCTCCGTCAAGACAGGAACAGCAAAAGGGCACTGGTCTGAAAAGGGTTGGAAGATTGGTCTGGGCTTTGACCTTGGAAAACCCCCCTTTACCGCCAAGTTTTCAGGTGAATATTCAGTGGCCGAGAAGACTACGGTCCTCGAGACAGTTGATTTTACCTGGCAGGGTAAATGCCCCCCGAAAACAGAATGCCAAGTCAGGATGACGGGTAAATGCACTCGAGAGCCATATGCCTATTGCTTGACTGGAGACCTAGCACGAGTAGAGAGAAGCCTTTGCACCGACCCAGGCTTCAAAGAGTGGGGTTGCAACCTAATTAAGCAACGCGTCGCGGACAGATGCCACAAAGTCAGGGATTTTGTTGATTGCACCGTCTCTTTCCCACTCATGAAAAGCGATGGCAAGCTCCGGACTATCCGATATCTAGAGCAAATTCCGCTCTCAGGCTGAAGAATGATACAAATTGACGGAGATAAGCGGGTGTTTGGATATTACTGCAGGATACTGTATGGAATTTACTACATCTCCCGTTATCCCATGAAAGTTTTGTAAAAGTTTTGTCTGTACTAAATTGCGATAAATCCCCAATCCATGGATATTATAGATACAACCAAATATATTGCTGCTGCCTTTTTTTACAAACCTGGCTCATCCCGTGTCATGTGCTGAACAGAATTTTGATTGAACTGAAGGGTTGGAGAAATGAAACCATTTAATATTGTTCAAGCAACACATTTGTTTTGTAATGACATATGTATCTCTCTTATCAAAATAGCCTAAGCTCGTCTGGGAGACAAAGGAGGCACTAGTTAACTAACTATGCATTTCTTCCATCTTCAAAACCAAAGTAGTGTGAACCAATCATAGAGGTGGGCAAAAACCAACTAAAGAAGGATGCTCTCTGCACAGAGTGCTTCGACTCGGTTTGTAGAGATTGAAAAAGGACGGGACCTCAAGTTAACTTACTATCACGTGACAGTTGGGAAGGCCACCTTGGATCTGAAGAACACAACCCAGCCCCTGGCAAGTGTTTTGGAATACACCGCAATTGAAGGTCCCTGCCAGCTCGGCTGCATATATTTGTCGCGGCCATCTTAACCTACCTATCATCCTTCATTCTATTACGTTTTCTTCTGTTGAGTTGGGCGAGCCTCGTTTGAATCCCATTCAGCACTCGATTCGCCTACTTCAAACCCCATATCATCATGGTGCGCCTCAGGGAAATACCCCGAACAGCCACCTTTACCTGGTCTCCCGGTTCTGCGGCCCCATTTATTGCCACTGGCACCCGCGCAGGCGCAGTTGATGCGGATTTTTCTAATGAAACGTTCCTAGAGTTGTGGAATCTTGATTTAGACAATGATAACATTGGAGCTGAACTAGAGCCGGTCGCAAAGATTAGTACTGATTCTGGGTAAGATTTACTATTTTGCTCCACATCAAAATGGCGTTCAATTGCTGATCATAGTAGCTTCCATGATATTGCGTGGGCGGAGTCAGACAGTCATAGCAGAGGGGTCATCGCAGGCGCACTGGAAAATGGGTCCTTAGATCTTTGGAATGCAGATAGTCTTCTGAGTGGCGCAAGGTTGGTTGATACGATTCTGTATACATTTCTCTACTAACTTCAATAGCGATGCACTCATTTCTCGGGCGTCTAAACATAGCGGACCTATTAAAACACTGCAGTTTAATCCGAAACATGCAAATTTATTAGCCACGGGAGGAGGCAAGGGAGAGGTTGGCAAATATTGAAGCTCCTTTATAAAATACCAGCCCCTAACTGGAGATAGTTATTCATATCTGACCTCAATAACCTCAACCAACCATTTCGCCTGGGTAACACTGCTGCACGAGTCGACGATATAGAATGCCTTGATTGGAATAAGAAAGTACCTCATATATTAGTAACCGGCAGCAGTGCAGGCTTTGTGACTGTATGGGATGTGAAAACAAAGAAGGAAAGCCTTACTCTAAACAATTTTGGCCGGAAAGCAGTCAGTGCAGTTGCATGGGATCCTGAGAAGGTGACGTCCACATCACTGTCTTAAGGGAATAAAGAGCTGACTTGAATAAAGCCTACAAAATTGATTACCTCCATACCCCTTGAGACTGACCCTTTGATTTTGGTCTGGGATCTACGTAATTCCAATGCTCCTGAACGAGTAAGTACTTGATGAGCTTGTGAATTTATTGTTTACTGATTCGGTTTTAGGTATTGCATGGCCATGAGTCTGGTGTTTTATCGCTGTCTTGGTGCACTCAAGACCCTGATTTACTATTATCTTGTGGTAAGGATAATCGGACAATATGTTGGAATCCTCAGACAGGTAATGCATATGGAGAATTCCCTGTTGTTACCAACTGGACGTTTCAAACACGCTGGAACCCTCACAACCCAAATATGTTTGCTACAGCTTCCTTTGATGGGAAGATTGCTGTTCAAACAATACAAAACACTCGGCATGATCAACAGCAAGCAGGAAATAGCCAAGAACAAACTGTCAACGATGAGGACTTTTTCTCAAAGGCGCAAACACAGCCACAAATCTCTACTTTCTCACTCCAGAAAGCTCCCAAATGGCTCGAGAGACCTGTCACAGCATCTTTTGGATTTGGGGGAAGGGTTGTTTCTGTGGGCTTGACGCCCGGAGGCCGATCTTCGAAGATTAGAATAAGCCATTTTGATATTGACTCTAGCGTCGGCAGTGCCACAGAAAGTTTCGAAAACGCATTGAAAACTGGGGACCTTGGCGGTATTTGCCAGTCCAGAATTACTGCATCACAGAGCGAAGACGAAAAGACCGATTGGAAAGTTATTGAGACTTTAATTTCCAAAACCCCAAGGAAAGAGCTGGTTAGTTATCTGGGATTTTCAAGTGAGGTCGATGAAGCAGCCGACAGTTTATCAAAACTTGGCTTAGAGGGCAAGGCTACGAGCAACGACGATCTACTCTCTCCCAAAAGCCAGGATCCCCGAAAGCACAAGCGAATAACTTCAATTTTCGACGGCAATGTAGAGGGCGAAACGTTTCTCACCGAGATTGCTTCCTCCAAGGGTGCTAAGACCAACAGTCCATTCCAGATTTATACAGGCTCGGAATCAGAGGCAGACCGGTCTATCACAAGAGCTTTACTGCTTGGCCAGTTCGAAAAAGCCTTGGATGTTTGCCTGCAAGAGGACCGTATGTCCGACGCTTTCATGATTGCAGTCTCTGGTGGCCAAAAATGCATTGAAAAGGCACAAGAGGCTTACTTCCTGAAGCGATCCGAAGGTCCCAGCTATGTCCGGGTCCTTGCGTCGGTAGTCGGGAAGAATTTGTGGGACATTGTTCATAATGCAGATCTTGCGAACTGGAAAGAAGCTATCGCCTCTATTTGCACTTTTGCGGATGACAAGGAGTTTCCCGATCTGTGCGATGCTTTGGGTGATCGTCTTGAAGAGACCTATAGACTACAAGGCTCGAAACAAGCTCGAAAGGACGCTTCATTTTGTTATTTAGTGAGCTCGAAATTAGAAAAAGTGGTTGCTATCTGGATTGAGGAGCTGAAGGAAAATGAAGCGGATAAAGTACAAAGCGCTACGGACGACACGGGGTTCTCAATTCATGTCCATGCCCTCCAAGCCTTCATCGAAAAGGTCACCATTTTCCGTCATGTTGTTAAATTTGAAGACTCCGAGCAGCAGAATACCTCCGACTGGAAACTAAACTCCCTCTACGATAAATACCTCGAATACGCTGATGTCATTGCATCTCATGGTCACTTGGAGGCTGCCGAAAGGTACCTGGACCTTCTACCTGCTGCTTATCCAGAAGCAGAAGTGGCCAGGAGCCGTATCCGCTTTGCTACGAAGAAAGCTGCTCCCAAGCCGGCAGCCGGACGTGCCCCCCCAGCCCCCCGCCAGTCGTCTCTGGCGGCGCCTCCTGCTCCTTTCCAACCCCCCCAGCCGCCAATGCAGCATGTCCCGGCTCCCCCGGCTCCCCCGGCCCCAGCCGCCAGCCCTTACGCACCCCCAACCATGCCCAAGCCAGTGACCGCCAACTATGCACCCGCGGCGACACCCAAACCTTCTTCTCCCAGTCCCTATGCGCCTGCGACCGCACCTAAACCCGCCAATGCCAATATATATGCTCCCGTCGCGCCCACCACGAGCTACGTTTCTGCGGGAGGCACAACTTATACTCCCACCGCTGGCTACCAGCCACCACAACCGCCGCAATTCCCGCAGTCAAGACAGGCGAGTGTTATGCCTCCTCCTCAGCCTTTTGCTCCGCCACCGGGAGGCCCCGTTGGTCTCGCGCCGCCTCCAAGGGCGACAACTGGATCTCCTTCAGCGCCACCTCCGTTTACCCGTGCTACAAACATTCCAGCTTGGAATGACCTTCCAGAAGGGTTCGTAAGAACTCCTACCCCCCGCCGTAGCACACCCGTGACCACAAACCCGGTCAGTGTGCCCTTCTCAAACCAGATGCCTGCCGGGGGTCCGTCGCAGTCTCCCACACCGCCACCGATGCTACAACCGCCTCCACGCGGCCCAGTACCACCCCCACAACAGCCCCCCGCAGTCCAGCAAACTTCCAGGCCATCAACCGCCCAGTCCCAGAAGAAAGCTCCCGCTGCTCCCAAACACCGTAAGTTTGAAACACATGCCACTTTCTGATACCTCGATATTCTGACTGTTGTTGATAGCACCTGGTGACCGCTCTCATATTCCTTCAAACGCGCAGCCAATCTACGAAATGCTCTCTGCTGATATGCAGCGGGTTAAAGCGCGTGCTCCGGGATCTTTCAAGGCCCAAGTTAATGATACAGAACGGCGTTTAAATATCCTCTTCGATCATCTTAATAACGAGGATCTACTGAAACCCGACACAGTTGAAAGTATGGTTGGGCTAGCACATGCTATTCAAGTAAGGGATTACGAAACCGCACAGGCAATTCACTTGGACATTCTGACCAACAAGACGGACGAGTGTGGAAATTGGATGGTGAGTTTTTTTTTTTGCTATTCGTCTTATTATGCTTTCCGATTCCTATGGAATGACTCTGACTCCATCAAATGTAGGTTGGCGTAAAACGGTTGATTGGTATGAGCAGGGCCACCCCCTAAGTATGGAGGCCTTAACAGAAGGTACCAGCATCCTCATCGCTGGTTAACAATAATATTTTTCTGTCTTCGAATACATGAAGACTTTATTCTCGCATATTAGGATGGGCCTTTTCCCTCGGTGGAATTGAACTACCGTAGACGAAGTATATGTAATGCAGATTTTTCCCCAGCTGTCGACAGTCTATTTCTCCTCTCGAGGAGCTAGATTGAGCCATGAACATATAGGCTGATTAAATTAAAAATAGATATGTTTTAACGCTCGCATCTAACAACATTAAATCATATACACACATTAAGAAGCTGCAGAACCCTTAGCCAAGGCACGAACAGTTCCTCGGCTCCCTGCCGGAAAGTTCCTTGCACTCAGCAATACACCTTTGGCACTTCTAACCTCTGCTCGAAATGCAGAAATAGCATCGGCCTCTCCGTTTGACATGCCGGACTTGCCATCCCTAGAGTCATCACCATACGCACCATATAATGATGAACTTAAATAAGCTGGCGAACTATACGTCAAGCTATCAAGGTAGGTTTGCAAGTCGGAGAGTCGATCTTTTGTATTCGTGTACGAAGAATCAGTTTGTGTTTCTGAATAGAGAACGTCGTGTAGTTGAGACGATAGGGACTTTATTCGAGAAACATGGTTATCCAGTGCCTTTTCAGCATCTGAGCGGGCATCCACCGGTTCAGACGTTGACGGCTGGGCAGTAGGAAGTTTTTCTAATTCGGGGCCGGTTTGAGTTGCAATGTCTCGGTGAAAGAGCTCCGTTGGGTCAGAGGTGATGGAATCTGTTTCTTCATCCTCCTCTGAAGGCTCTGTCCTTCTGATTGTGATGGCTGATGGTGGGATTGTAGAAACGTTCTTTTCTAGTTTGTCATTTAACGTGGAGAGGTTTCGCTTTGTTGTCTCTGCGAGTTCCTGTCGGGCTTCTGTAAGAGATGCGATCATTGGTTTAATGAGAAATTCGCTCGCGCCGTACATGGTGGATGCGAGAGTAGCGGCGCCATAGAGGGTGTATAGAACGGTGCGTAGGTTAACGAGTGGTGGTGGCTTGGGGGCTTGAGCGAGAAATTCGGGATACGTAATTATAGGAGGAACGTCTCGAACAGGTGCAGAGGCTTGCTGTGATACTGCAGGAAAGGGGGCCGGTTTCTCGGGCAGCGGCACCTCTTCTAATCTCGAAACGTTGGCAATGGGCTCTTGTTGCTTGACCTCCGGTACAGACTCGCCCAGGAGCTTTTGAATAATCTCTTTTTTTAGGCCTTTGGATTCCAAGAATGCAATCTTCTTGTCGGTAGGTGCGTCGCGTATAGATTCATCTTGCAAAAATCGGGAAGCTTGGTCAAGTAAAGTCGCTTCGTCCGGCGGCGAGGCGGGTTTCGGTGCTGTAGTCTCACCCTCCTGGGAGCTGGATTCAGTCTTTGCAGCAAGCTGCCAGCTAGGAATAGAAGGCCTCTTTGTGTCCGCCATGCTGCGTGTTCATGGAGAGTTTGCAAATGGCAGTCAATCAGCACCACAAGTCGCATCGTTTGGGCATCTTCAGATGCTGAGCCTCGGCTCAATGCTTATGTCAGCACCCGTATCATAGTTACGGAATTCGGCTGTAATGCTGTATTAGGTATGTTTGAATACAGACATGCCGCTCTCCGTAGCGTGGTACGGAGTACCAGGTACTCCGTAGTTGCCCCATTCTTAGGCTTCATTCTCTACATAACTACGGAGTACGGAGTACTTCGGCCCTGTCCTTGATCCATCCATCTGCCTCGTTGCGCCAACATCGCGACTGCAGACGTGGCTGATTCAAACGCAGTTGGCCCGAAGCTGCACTTGTTGGAGTGTTGGAACCACGGTCTTGAGCGACATCTCCGCTGCCGCTGACGGCCCACCTGGTCGAAATAGAGTTCTGAATTGCCTTCCGTCTTCTGGTAGCTTCAAGTCGCAGCTCTGCAGCAAGTCGTCTGCTTGAATTTCGTTGGTCGCCCGCACCCTGGCCATAGCACCCTGTGGCGAGGTGGCCCCCGAATCCGATCTTCACGGCCAACAGGCTTGAAGTCATGGCAGAGAGGCCTGTCAAGCGTCTTCGCCAGGAGGTCGGCGAGGATGAGCTTTCGTACAACCACATCTCGGAGACAAACGATACTGGCGAGAGCAGCGACGATTGGCAGCCGCAAACCCCGAGCAATAGTCGGTAAGTTTGTTTTTTCACTCGAGCTCCGGCGCCGTTCTTGTCTTGAAGATTTCTTTTGCCCAATTGCAGTCCCAGCAGTATACAACCTTTGCCTGCAACTGCGCAATCCTAGTTGTTGGTGTGTTGAGGGTGGAAACGCCGCCCGGCAACATGCAAGGATCCGAACAAACCTCTGCTTGATGCCGCTCGGAGGCAAGAGGTAGCATCGGTAGCATGCAATTGCGGTCTTTGTACCAATAAAACACACGGCAGCAGCAATCACCAGATGCTACACATTGGCAAATGCTTCCAGCCTTGCCATCATTTCTATGCAGTGATACGAGAGCATGTTTGTAATTTTAACTGCGCTCCCCATGGCTTGATACCCGCGTCCTTTTGATTGTATACTATCCCACCCTCCATCTCTGCCAATCCTTCTTCTGTTTGAGAGTCGACCCTGATCTTGCTGCCTATCCAAACATGGGCTCTGGTCGCACTCTTCGCTCGCGAGCTGCCCTTACTAACTCTTCAAGTATTGTATCTTCCACGGGAGGGATGCTAAGGCCCCAGAGAGCCAGTGGCGGTTTATCATCTTCTACCGTTACAGTCTCACGCTCGCCTTCAAGCCCTCCCGAAGAAACCAAAAGGTCCATCCGCCTAACCGTGAAAATGCCCTCAAGCAAGCTTCGCGAAGTGACCAGCGCAGACGCACGACCGCACAACATATTCACTGAGCCAGTAGTGATTACCGGCCCAAGAAGTAGCCGGTCCAAGAAAAAGATTGTTGAAGTGGATAGCGACGAGGATGAGGACATTGAATCCCTTTTGGAAGAAGACGAAGAAGACGAGGATGATGAAGATGACGACGAAAACGACGACGCAGAAGCAAGTGAAGATCCTGATGCAGATGCTGAAGGCGACGAAGATCTGGATGCTGAGGGCGAGCCTGACCCTGACGTTGACGCAGAAGGAGACATCGACATGGATGACGCGCCACCCGTTTCGCGCCACCCCCGGCCGAGGCCAGCTGTTACTGTAACGCCAGCAGCTGCCGCCAGAGTCAGAAACGTTGAATCCCGAAATGTTAATATAGAAGAGGATGATGAGGACGAGGAGGAGTTATCTGAGCTGGACTCAGAAGTGGGCGCCGAAAAGGGGGATGACACTATCCTTCCAGAGGCTGGCGATGAAGATGAGGAAGAGGTTGATGAAGAAGACGAAGAAAATGAAGCTGCGACTCCAATGGAAGCAAGCCGGGCAAGCTCTCCTAGTTACTCAAGTAGAAAGACGAAAAGGCAAAGAGAACGCTTGGAACTTGGGGATTTTCTACAGCTACCCATGGGTAAGCCCTTCTCCAGAGAATCAAGATATCAATAGAAGGTTAACACATTTCTTCCTTCCTAGAACCCCAAGTGAAGAAACATCTAACAGCTGAAGAGCACGCCATGCGACGTGCAGAAATGGCAAGACGAAGGAAAAACCTTAGCGAGAAACGTAATGAGGAAGAAAAGGTATGCTTTGAAAACCACATAAGCAAAGAGAAATGTTTACTTTTACTGATAGTTTGCTAGATGGATACGATTAACAAACTACTTAAAAAACAAGCTCCGAAACGTCGAGGCAAAATCAGTGCTGCAGAGACAGCAGGAGATGCTTCCCCACGGGCGCAGGAGGTTGAGGAGTTGATCAAACCAGAACCTACTATGGTACGCTACGTTATGAATTGTGATGGTTGTAGGTTGGGCGTGCCGGAGGAGTGGTTTGGGGCTCCCGCCGGCCAGCTTTTTGAATACCCTACTACAAGTTGAAGCCGCCATAGGCAATTGCAGCTCGTGGTCGAATTATGAAACATTGAACACCTTATTACCGTTAACCTTGTTTAACCAATGTCTTGAATATTGCAATTGCTATATTGATTTGGGGGTTGGCATTGCTAAGCTGAGCCGACAGGCTTGGAGTTACATATGCATTGACAGCAAGGTTGTGCAATGCATGTTGCTTTTAAGGATATAGCCTCACATTTATAGTTCTCGCAATGCGTCACAAAAAGCTAGGACTCGCACAATGAATTAAACCGAACTTTCATTGGATTGAGAAGCTACGGCAATTGGGTGGCCCCTAAGTAAATACTGCATGGAAGCAAAGACATAATGGAGACCCTCACCTTCTACTCCATACTTCAGTCACCAAGAAATAATCAATAATTTCATTTTCTCCACAATGTTAATTGGTTTCATTAGATTAAGAGGTACTCATTGATTTAGTCAACAGATCACTAGCCCTTGTATCTAACCTTCTGTATTTCGTAAGATAGTCACCTCCTGGGACTCAACTTCGGCCAGGATATTGGCTCCTTTCCTAAGGCTCCATAACCACTTTGGTTTGGAGGCCGGAAGTACAAATCAGATCCGTGCAATTATTCTTCGCTCGTTGATTTATTTAGCCTAGGACCGATTGCGACGGGATATTAGATGCCTAGTCAACACATCGCTTGGATTGTTGCAGCATATTTATTCGGAAGATGTCGTGCCCGAGGAGCCATCGCCTGGCGCTGTTTGGTCAATAGCACTATTGCTTTTGGGCACTTGTGTATTTGCGTCTGAATGTGGTGGGGCGTTTTCATTGCTGTGTCAAGTAGCCGGCGTCAGGTTCCCGAACGGTTTGGCATAAAGTCTGGGTGAACGAACTGGGTTTTCAAAAACGCCTTTTGCGCTTCACGTTCCGCATAAGCTGGCTGAAAAACCACGTAACCTGCATTTGTAAGGATGAGCTACCAATGACCTCAAAATACAGCTAATACTTCTAGCATACCGTTCAAAACTCCAAATCCGACGGCCAGGGCCAGAGGAACGAGTCCACGACCGTGGGCCATGATGATAAAAGTACTCTCCAGATAAGCGATGGCCGAGGGCAACTATCGACGCCTCTATGTGGTTATTGTGAATCTCAGATGCAAGGGTCTTGAATGTGTATTACTAAGCAAATTTACCTATAACCGATTACATAAGCTAGTGACCAGTGGCTAGTAATCACTTGGTTAGTGGTTCGTTACCCAATTAAAACGCTTGGATCGTGACATTGAGGCGCGTCCGTATCGACGCGTCTGGCTATCAGCAGCCAATTCCCTCTCTGCCAGTTGCTACAAGCTTCTTTATTTTTTTTTCCCGGTTCTTTGAATATAGGTGACTGGATAGAGGTATGGGCTGCAAATGGAACAATGGCGAGAGCGTGGTTTTGTACCCGACTCTGATGAGGAGGAAGAGTTTGAGCTTCTCGAGTCAAAGCAACCGACCCAGACAATAGAAGGGCCCGTTACAACATGTGCTTCCGTTCCTCCAGACGACGGGAAGCACGCAGATGATGACGATGATGGACTGCGAGGAGCTCCCGAGGAACCTCAAATAGACCGTCTTGTGGCTGTTCTCATTCAGCCTCACCGTCAACCTAGACAATGTGGTCCACAAGAGATTGGTGACTTGGAGGATGACCCGTTGCAGGCAAATGTTAGCCTATGCTCCCGATCAAACAAGGCTACAAATACTCCGAGTATTCCTCAACCCCACGCTGGCGTTCTTTCTTTGGAGGATCCAAGTTCTTCACCAGACGAGCTACAATTCGAGGAGCACATATCCCCCCACGTCCCTGCCACACCGACACGAAAGAGCCCCACAACACCGACCGGCCTTCATCTTGATAGCCCCGATTCATCTCCCTTGACCTCCCCGCCCTCTACGATTTGTTCGCCTTTCTCACCTAGAATCGGTGACCCTCCCCGAAGCCAAAACGCCCAAACTCCCGATTTGCCAAATGCGAACGCGGAAAACATTATTTTTGAAGACATATCAGGTAACGACATTGTACCTGACTTCGCGCAGCATGGAAGGGCCTTAAGGCAACGAAACGCTATTCAACTCCACCCCTATCTCCTGGAAAATGCGCAGTATCAGCGCCTTTTAAAAGCACGAGGTCTGCAGCCTGTTCGGGTTCACACCAATGATCATGCCCCCCAAAAGGAATCAGACGGAAGCCAGATTCAGAGCTATCAAGATGAAAATGTTCCCCCCTCAAGCAGTCCTAACGTGTCCTTCGAGTGCCCTCCCTCTTCTCCTGGAATGACAGGCCAGATTCAATCGAGAGCCTCTCTCTCACCGCCCCCTGTGAATCCCTCTTGCCTCATCGTCAACAGGCATAGTGGAAGAAAGTACACGTCAAAAGTAATCAGGACCTTTGACACCCATAGGAACCTCCTTCGCAATAAACGCCGCAAGATACTGGACGAATCTACGGAAGGCAGCTCGAATTTGACCGGTACTCCCGATAATAAAGCCAACACTGCTGCAAACCCGAATATCAGATCTATTAATGAATCGGATAGCGCAAATATTTTTGATATACCTCTTTCCCCACCACCATCTGGCAGCCTATCCTCCGCTCATTCTAACAATGAGCAGCAAAATACCGCTCAGTCTCGTCTCCCTCGTGATATAACACCTATTGCCATTGTCACTCCTGTTACTGATCCACGTCCAAGGGCAAAAACAATTCAGGAACTGTTAGCTGAGTTTCTCTCCGAACCCGAATCTGATGATTCTAGTGAAATACATGAGCTTCCAGTTAATATCGGTTCATCACCAGAAGCCCCTGAAAGTAGATACTCTCCGGAATTGAGGAGAATGAAAAGGAAGATAAAAGGTGTACTGCCAGCATCGTGGCTGAGACTCGATCTTCAAGATCATGAGAAACGAGCCAAGGAGACCTCAAAAAAAACAGCGGCCTCTTCCCACCGTGAAAAGGAGAATGCCAAAGGTGTAGCTCGAAAAATAGAGAGGGGCAGAACAAGCAGAAGCGATGACAATCCGAACGCATTTTTGATATCTGACGAATCCAGTTCAGACGTTGAACTCGTCCACGCTTTCCGGTCTTCCCACGAAACGGCCACCAAAAAGCCAAATGCTATAGAGCTACTAATGATGGGCCAAGACCAAGATGATGACATTCCGGAAGATAATCGTATTGATTACATGTTCCCACCAAAACCACGGCGTCGTGGAGGTATTGGTGGCCGTGCAGCTGTAGGTCCGAGGAAGCGTAGGAAAGAGAATGATAACGCCGCAATTAGGACTATGCGGCGTTCCAGTCAAGCAACTATTCGGTCACCCAACATCACAAATACTAGACCGCGGACTCAACACAGACCGCCGCAGGTAGCGAGGCTGAGCATACTGGATTTGCCGGCCTTTGAAAAGGGAGGCCCAATAATGCCGCCACAGTTTCTTCGTGTTGCAGCTCGACGTGCCCGGAAACGACGAGATAATGCTCGACAAAGTCCAAATCGCAAATATTTCCGTCTCGATAATAAAAATGACACTGTGGATGTTAATGAAACACTGCGCCAATGGAGAGCTGGCACAATACCTCAAAACACCCCCAACCGTGCGCCCCAGAGCACCAGCCGCCAGGCAATCGCAAATTCGAAAATCACAGGCTATTCTACTCCTATAGAGTCGTGTGATAATAGCAGAGAAAAAGCCCTTGTAGGCGAACCAGCCGAAACCGATGTGGACCTGACGTCCAATCACAGCAACATCACTTCATTAAATTCTAAAAGACCATCAAAGCCCCGATTTAATCAGAGCCGCTTGGCACGACACGGTTTTGTGGTCTCGTCTTTCAAGAGACATGTTCCAAGATCCGCTGAAGTCAATGATAGTCGAGAGACGCCTTCTAAAAAGCAAGCCCCTGGATTATTTCAAAAGACGTTATCTGCACTAAACGCAGACTATAGACGCGTACGCAAGGGCAATCGATTTCCCTTGGAAAGGATCATCTCACTAAAACAAAATGCGGAACACAAGAGTATTGGCCCCATTGTACCACCCGGTATCTCCGGGACCGTCTCCCAAAGACTGCCTACGTCAAATAATCCAGTCAAAAAAGTAAGGAAACCAAAAAAGAGAATACCTCGACATATTGATGCCGATGCTGTTGAGTATCGACAACCACCTCAACATGACTTTGAGCCAGTTCAAGCTCTATCCGTATGGTCCGAAGAAACCAATGAACTTCATTCTCTGAAGGGCCTCAGAACAGCCCAATCGTATACTATTGATTTCGACACCTTCCCCCTACAGATTGGAACTTATTTCCACGAGTCTACGTTCGTTGGGAGTGGCAAATTTTCTCGTTCTTTAAATATTCATATCCGAGACCTTGACGTAGATTGCGGTCATTCTCTGATAGTTTATGATAACCACACCTATCGATGGGGCCCTTGGAATGATACAATTTACTCCGAACTTGAACTCTTACTTGAAAAGGTTTTCCTCGGCCCTACAGGATTTGATACGTCCTCAACTTCGGCTTGTTCCCAAGCCACACATATTTTAGAGTCGATAGTTCTGTTTATCAATCAGAATCTCTCTTTTAGCGACCCTGTTGATAGAAAATTATTTGTCGACAGATGCCTTTCTCTTTTAGTTGAGGGATCCCGTCTAGATATATTTGCGACGCAATGTGCCGATGACATTCTATACCGCCTTCGGGTCGGCATGTATAGTTTAGTACTCGCCAATCAAGTACACCAAGTTGCGTCCCATCAATTGATTGCCCAAATGAAGCTTTCAGAAGTCTACAGGGTGATACAAGATATCTCATCCCAGATTTTTCAAATTGTTTTGAGTGTTCCAGGAATATCTTGCGTCCGTCGTTTTCTCGAGGATAATAAACGGCTCGAAAACCGAGAAACCGGGATTCGTGGGCAGTATCCCTTCATGGAAGCCTACTTGGTAGCCATGCACATCACTCGTGGCCAAAATCTACCAGGGAAAACACTGACTGATAACAGCTTGACAAAGGCTTTTCTGGCATCATTCACTATCAATGAAAGTGCTGTGGATATTCGCAATTTTGAGCAAGCTTGGCACAGTTTATTTTCTATTCTGCCTCTCCAAGAACTCAATGATCTTGGCATATATTGTGTCGGGCTTAGATTTAAAGACTATCATGATAACTGGTCTGTTGTCACACGATTGATATCGAGGATATTAGGTGTTTTCAACGAAAGCCATGCTATCCAGAGCCCCCACTTCACTAGGTATATCAAGGCGTTATTCCACAGATGTTTCCACTTAATTAAAGGATGGGGCTGGCGATCTTGCAAACCGATTCTCGAGATACTTTTTGACCTTTTCGCAGGAAATCAATTCCACAACCTACATCATGAAACCGTGTACGGATCTCCGAAGTTTCTTGATGATCTTGACAGGCCTGTAGTTTTTGAAGTCAATGAATCCAGAGATACCTGTTTTCAAATCTTCCTGAAAATTGCCGGTTTTGGGCTGCGCTCCATGGCTACAATTCAGGAGAAAAAGCAACTTCGAAACATCGCTTGGAGACTATTACCTAACCACGGGCGCGTTTACCCTAAAGAACAGCCCTTACGCCAGGAAGACTTGAATGCGCTCCGAAACCACCACGACCTCCTTTGTACTCTATACTGGGCGGTTCCAGATGACTGCCGGCCGCGACTAGAAACTATCCGGCATTTAGTGCACCCTATGACTTCTCATAAAGAAGCGTGCAGTATCAACTTGCAGTCCTGGTCAAGATTAGTTCGGTTTAAACTGTCGACTAATGAGTGCGACTCGGGTCTTGTGGAATTTGCGAGTTGGCACACTGATTATACTGTGGAAATGTTAAAGCAACATGCACTCGCCCGAACCGAACTAGAGAATGCAAATATTCCAGCGTCCGTCTTCGATCAAAGGTCAATTGAGAATGCGATTGGTAAGAACCAAAGACAAATAGAGTCTCTTATCAATGGTGCTTTAGGTGGTGTGATAGGAGCGTTGGAGGCAGCAAGAACTTTATCTCAAGGCAAGATATTGATAGAACAACTGCCACTGGAAAAGCTCTTTTCTTTGTTTGATCCATCTGTCAAGCGATTGAATAGTGTTGTCTGTCAGATCCTAGATTTATTGAGCGCATACGGCGCCATTGAAACTCGGCAAGCTGAGAAATCGCGAACAGTGGTGGACACGAGCGAGGATAGTCAAGACTATGGTGATTGGACTGGGTTTGACGAAATATGCAGCCAACAGGCGAAAGCCGTAGACCCTGCAATTTCTTATGTCAATACCGATATCCGGCCTACACTTTCACGTTTCATATCACGTATTTTTGGAGAAGAGCTGATACCCGATGACTCTTTACTTGTGAAAACGATACATACATGGATAGATGTCGCTCGTTTGCTTGTCAGGTACCAGATTACCCAATGGAGCAGCTACCTCAGCCCCTACAATGGCGACTCATGGGCATCCCTAAGAATCACCGACCAAACGAGACGGTTCATGCCATATTTCCTCGCTACCCTTATACAAAGTGGACCTGGTGCTTTTACGGAATGCAGAAATCAAATCCTCAATTATTGGATAGAGTCTCTGGCGGAAAGGGGTTCAATGTTAAAATTCCAGCACATACTTTCAACAGCCATCCTTAACGAAGACGTCGAGGATCCTCTGTTGAAAAATTTACCATTTTCAGCAGGCAGAGTTGATGGAAAATACCAAATATCACTAGAAGAGTTCTGTCAAAGAAGAGTATTACTCATATCCTGTCTTCTCTCGAACATGAGGGAGCACCTGACCGAGCTCGAAGAGGGAAATGATGTAGATATGAATATGAGCGGTCAATACTGCGAGATGATTCAAACCCTAATGGCAACAATGCGTCGAAACTACGAAGAGCTCGGAAGCCCCAACGGTCCTCTTCATGGCGCTTATGTTGATTTTGTTCACAAGGTAGTGGAGTTCTTGCAAGAACACTCTCAGGGAATTTGCCAGATAGACGAGTTTTTTCTGGACCCAAGCACATTCCCATTGCCCGCCTCTGACCCCACATATGTGGTTGCTAAAATGAGAAGCTATGGTGTGCGATTGTCCGTTGCCAAGATTGCGAAGCAGCTTGTGATGTTTGTTCAGAATGTGTCGGAAAGAGCTGCGGTAGATGGCCACCAAATGTATCTTGTTGACCAACTGTTTAAAGCGATGGATCACAAGTACAGCGATAAAGACTATCGCCAACCATGTCTGCGCTCGTTTTTCCTGCAATGTGTACTCCCTGTCTATGTGGAGTCAGCGTTTAGCAGCCCTGTCGGTTGGATCCTTGTACGGCCATTACTACAGGCAACTACTCGAGTCTTTATGGATATATTGTTGGACGTAAACACAGCCAACGATCAATACGTCTCCCTTATTGAAGGATCCCTGATGACGTACTTCAACTCTGTTAGCCATGCATTCCGGCTATTAACTGATCACCCAGGTTTGCTTGAAGAACCACCGGTTTTACTTGCCCTCATCTCCCTCCTGGAAACGATTATTGCGTCTCTCGCTGCCATCGACTTCTTCTACCGAATATCCGAACGTGCGGCTCCATTATTACATTATGTGGAATATTTCAAACAATTCCTGTTCTTTGCAGTCACCTCACTTCTCGATCCATCTGCCGCTAGGGAGCCTTGTTTTGTTGATGTCGCTCCAGCCACAATAACTGATACACCCACATTTTTTCACGGCGTTCGAGAGTTCGCTACCAAACAGCTACAGATATGGTTGAAAAATGACTGGTCTCTGCATAACGGACAATATTTTGTGCGCAGAGGAACCCAAAATAAGCGGGTCGATGTCGATCCATCGTGTTTGACCGGAGATTTAGCCAAAACGCAGTTTATGGCGACCGTCGAGGTTTTCTTTGGTGCTATAGATAGACTGTGGACATTTTCATCCACAGCACTATGAATAACGTGGGTACAATTACCCACCACACAAAAGTATTAAGGCATGGGAGCGGGAATATTAAGATAGATACTCTTTACACATAGAAAAGGCACCATAGAAATACTATACAGATTTACCGTGTTTCACTGGTGGTAGAACTGAATTGAAAGCTATTCTTCATCCATGGATCCACCATAAATACTCAAATAAACATTCCGCCGAAAGTCAAACACTTGATTGTTTTGTTGAAATCCCCTCCAGTTCTTTCTCAAGATATTTTTTTCCCTTTTCTAGGGTCAGACTTTACCGCACACTGTTTTTCTACAAGTAGAAATTGTCACCTCTCGATGTGTTCACCGCCGGCCTGCCGCACAAGTTTCTGTTCTGTCTCTTGCCAGCAAGTATTTCGACCTGGCAAACCGGCCTGAAGAGTTCTATCAACACGCCGAGAGACTAAGTGTGTAGTATTGAAGATTGGACAACACTGGCGCACCGCCTACCAAGATCATCCAACCACTCTTTTGGCTTAATAAAGAGGGTAGCGGCTCAAAATACTCAAAGTTCCTCTCCACTGGGATAACGATTGGCCGCTTGAACACTCTTCGAATACAGAGTAAGAATGGCCTGCTGAGACCATATCAACGACTGTACTCCGTACCATTAATATCGTTCTTGTTCCCTTGTTCGAGACCAGAAACGTATTTATAACGTAGTTGCTTGAGAGGCCTAGGACAGGTGGGTTTGTCTGCAAAGGCCAGCCTTGACTAGCTAGATAAATGCAGAGCATAGAGGTCTTACTAATATAACTAGATGTTAGGCCATATACACCTTTTGCTTGGAGTTAAGACGACCGTGGATTGGATTTTGTCTGGGAGCATCTATGGCTGCTCCCAAAGAATGGCCGGCGTTAGCTAGGGGGAGAAAGGGAAATAGAACTCAGGAAGTCGTAAGGGCGGTGACGGGCCTTATAGCCCTTTCACACCAGCTCCTGCCGAGTTGTGGAATGCCAGTTGCATGGGAAGAAGTTAGAGCATAGCAGTGTTATCCAGCGTGCCTTTCATGGCTGGCGGCCCGAAACAAGTCATATTCCCCAGTATAGATTAGTGTATACATATGGATAGTACGGATGTATGTATGTACATGGATATCAAACTCCAGGTACAGCCAAAAAGAAAAAGAACCTTCCAGGTGGTGTTGGTGAGCCGGATTCTCCGGTTCACGGAGTCAAGAGATTACAAAGGAGAACGCAAACTCGTATTCCCTAAATTTCAAAAGCAAAATGGATGATATTGGCCAAAAGGGATGGAGTACAGGTCACTGCAGCCGGCAAACGTAGAGTCTTAGGCTGGTGGGCCTGCAGAAGGGGCACCGCTTTGGCTGGATCCCCGTATATGGAATCGATGTCCAGGATGCATGGTCGCAAAGCCAAGTACTTTTTTTACAGCACCAGTGACATTTGAACCGATTGATCTCCTTCTGCTGCCAGAATCATCTCCGCCAACGGTCGTTGCCACGGCCTTGCTGTTTGATTCTCGGTGCAGTCGGGACCGTCTTTTCCTGACCACGGGCACGTTTTGCGCAAGGGTGGGTTTGGGGGGCCATTGGCCTTCCTTTTTCCAGCCTTGAACAAGTGCGCGTGTCATATGCGAGAGATTGACAGGCACCGCGGGCGTGTTGCCCTCGACGACAAGCTTGTTGTATATGGCAGGGTAGTTCGCCGGCGTGGTGTAGGCACGAAATGGGTTACAGTCAGGCAATATAGGCGGAACGACAGGAACAAGAGGCTCCGGGGAGTCCGCCAGAGGCTCTGTCTGGGGAACGACTATGGTGCTTCTGCTGATAGCATCACCGGGAGGCGCACTGGATTCGCCCGTAGAAGCGGTCGTAGCACTGGGTGCTGAATCGGCGGAGATAACGCGAGAAATGGACTCCAGAGTCTCGAGGTCGCTGGCACCGTTGATGCTGCCTCCGGCGCTTTCATCGCTGCTCGCCCACGGCTTTGAGGCTGTCTGGGCCTCTCGCTGGGCCGATGGCTTTGAAATGACCCTAGCCCCCGTCCAGGCATCGCGTCGATGGGCCCATATTCGAAGCCCGCGGTTCCACTGCATCTCATCCTCAATCAACTTTCGCCGCTTCCTCCGTCGCTCCAGGACGGCTTGTTCGACCGCATCCGGAGAATCGAATCGATACGGATCGCTGGCATCTTGGCCGGCATCTTTCTCCACTTCTTGCTCCGAACCCGAGGTGTCCTCTTCTCGCAACCTCCATTCCAGTACTTCTCGATCTTTGGGTAGGGGCGGCGGGGGTGGTTCTTCGTCTGATGAGCTTGACAAGGGAGACGGAAGAGCTGGGGACCGAGGGGCCGTCTCGTAAGTCCAGTCGTTCCGCACGACCTGAAGCAGGTAGCGCTTCGCCTCCCTAGACGCCTTTTCGCGCGAGTCCTTCGAAGCATCGGCCCCTGCAGCCTCCGGGACGCGCGGCGTTCTCTGCAGCGACGCAAAGAGCGCGGGATGGCGAGGGTGGGACGAGGACTCGGGGCTATGGCGGGGCCGGTCCATTTCCACTAAGACAGGGATTTCGGGCAGCTGAAGAAGAGGGCGTGAACGAGCGTGGGCGGCCCCGAGAACCGGTAGGATTTAAGGGCAGGACTGCAGCCGCATCGAGGAGGAATTGATGCGAGGAAGCAGAGCAAAAAGCACGCAGTGCAACCACAGCGGGCGGGAACCAAAAAAAAAAAAGTAAACTTTGCCAGCCCAGACTTCCGCTGCCTGCGTTTGCCCACTCTGCCGTTCCGCTGGGGCGCCGAGCTGGCCAGAGGGCGATATATAGGGTCGCTGGACGCTATAACGAGGCGCGAGCAGAAGCTCTCCGGCAACCAGCGAGCGGTGATATCACGATGCTCGTGACGTCGGCCGTCGCCGGCCTAGTTAAGTAACTAACTAGCTTTGTTGCTGAGCCTGAGCCCTGCAGTGGCTGTGAATCGGAACCGACAGGCGAGCTCGGTCGAGAGCTGGTCTGGCCACTCGGAACTGCTGGCAGCCTAGAAATACATATCTATCATCTCAGGTATACAATTACATACATTCTATCAGCAGCTTGCACGGCCCACCGAAACCCATGCGCCTCTACCACTGCGATTTTTCCCGTATATAGAAAGACAAACGCCCCGAACCACTTCATTAGTGCCGTACCCGACCCGTGTCTAGAGTGTTCTCCGGCACGCCGGGCGGATGGAACCCCCAGCCGGCCGTCTTCTTTCGCCGCCCTTTCCGATCCCCGTACTTCTCGTCGAACTTCCTGATAGCTGTGAGCGACGACATGTCTTCGCTAATGGACGCGCTAATCTCCTCCATCGCGCGGTCGAAGTGGTGAGGCCGTAATGTACGGCGTTCGGGGTATTGGTACGGCTCCTCGCCCTTGTGGTTGCCTGCAGCATCGTATTCCTCTCGGACGCACGCTAGAGCGGCAGCAACGGACATGTTTTTGAGATCTGAGCCCGAATAGAAGGGAGTTCGGTGGGCAATATCGGCCAGGTCCACAGCATCATCGAGTGCCTCGCCTTTGAGGTGTATCTTGAGGATCGCGTGGCGGTCTTGTTCAGTCGGCAGGTCGACCAGAAGGCGGCGCGGGAGACGCCGTAGAACCGCATCGTCAAGATCAAACGGCCTGTTTGTTGCCACCATTATGAAGGCCGATGTTTCACTCATGCCATCCCATTCTCGCAAGAACTGATTGATGAGCTCGCGATGCGAAGTGCGATTGCTTGCACCCGTTCTTGAGCAGAAGATTGCGTCAGCCTCGTCAATGAAAACGACACAAGGGCTAAGCTTCTTAGCAAGCGTGAAGATTGCCTTGACGTTCTTCTCGCCCTCACCAACAAACATATCGTAGACTTCAGATCCACTGACTTCAAGAACGGTAGCACCACTTTCGCGCGCGACCGCCTTTGCCAGAAGCGTTTTACCCGTTCCCGGCGGGCCATAAAGCAGCAGGCCAGGTATCTTATCAGTGGAAAGAACGCCGTATGTAAAGGCATCTGGACGAACAAGTGAGAGAGACGTCAATGTCTTCAGAGCCTCGACGGTCTCTTTAGGCACATGAACGTCTGCAAAGGTAGTACGTATGCTCTCCGCATCCACAACCCCGTTTAGTAGCTTTTCCTCGTGCGAGTTGCATTTTAAACGAGACTTGTCCAGTCGGGGTTTACTTTGCGCCTGTTTCCCAAGCTTGACAGCGGTATGTTTCTCCCCCATCCACTCGCACTTGACTCGATCGCTTTTCTCGAAAACTTCAATGGCTTGCTGGACATGCCGGAGCTCTAAGTTTTCGGCTCTCTCTACAGAGCCAAGCGTTAGGGTTGCAATCCGATGAACGAGGTCAAATGGCCAATACCCAGCATCCAGACCACACGATCTGATCATCGAGCTCTCCAGAGGCCATTTTTGATGACTGAGGAAACTATGTTCGAGAGTCATAGGCTCCCTTAGCCGCGTTTTGAGCATATTTTGCATATGTCTGATGTTAATGCCTAATATCCGCTCTCTCGAGTCTTCCGCAAATTTTTTCTCTGCATTTTTAGAATCCATAGACGGAGTCACAAAAATTGTCGTTGAGAACCGATCATAGTCTCTTGGTATCAACTTTGGAAACGTTTTTCCCGAGGACCTGTCGATTTCTGAAGACGAGACTGTTCCAATCACAATAATCCTTTGTCCCTTTCGTCTTCTAACTTGGATAGCTTTATGAAGGGAGGTTAGAAAAACGGAACCACCCGCTGTATTTAAAAGGTCGTTGTAATCCTGGATCTGGATTATTAAATCCTTACTAGAGTTTGATTTCTGGTGCTCTTCTCCTGATTGTTCGAGGATGTTCCCCGTAACAGATGTATCTGGTGTTTCTTTGGGTATTGATAGAAGCTTGCTCACAACCCGTAGAGACTCAGAATCCGCCTCGTCTTCCACAGATCTGCCCCCACGTCCTTGTGGGGCAACCATCTTAGCCACCCCGATTGTTGCCTTTCCACCAAACAGACCTTCCAAGATTGACGACCCCAAGGCTCCAGGATCAGAAAGTTTCGAGACAGGTAACGTAAAACTACGTTTCTGTTCTTGTGATTCACTCTCTTCTTCGCCCTCATCCAATTCTTCCGCCTCTTCCTCTGCACCTTGGGACGAAGCTTTTCTCGTAGGGCGATATACTTCATAACCCAACGAAGACATTAGACCTTCGGGTGATCCTTCATCCTTCTCTTGCTGAGCATGGAGTTCGGCAATATCTTGTGCATCTAGAGTAATCATGTGAGCCCCGAAACTGGCGGCAGCTTTTTTCACCACGGCATCAAGAAAAAGTATTCCACCATCTCCAGGATACTGGAGAACTAAATGCACCTTCCTCGCGGACGGGTCATCCGCATAATGAGGGGCAGGGAGAGTCATTCCCGCTTGAATCGCAGTGCGGATCTCATTCCAGACCTCCTCGCTTATCATATAGCGATATTCCGGTGTCGAGCCATTAGGCGGCTTTCCGTCGCCCGCACCACCTCCTTCACCCCCCTGTGTAACTTCTTGAATATCATCCGCGCCTTGTTTCGACTGGCCGATACCTACAATATGAGGTAGTGCTTGAAGTGCTTCCAAGGACGAGTTCGAAAGAATGATATTACGCTTTTGAAACCATGATGGTATAACGGCCGGAGCAGATCTTTCCGGAGATATCTTGTTTCTCATAGATCGTCGCAATGCAGAACCATAAGGGCGGCTATCCCGTCTTGAATCCGCCTTTGTACTTCCAGACCGAACCTGTGGCTCTGTCAGCCCAGCCGGAGCGGCATGCTGGGTGTCTGTGGTTGTATTGGGTTCTGGGGCGCTTCTCGAAACGTTATCCTCGGTGGCCGAACTAGGGAGGCCATGGGGCTCTCCATGAGATATTCTCAGTGATTGCGAGGTCTGAAACTCACGGATGAGCCTGGAACAAGGGTGGCAGAAGCTAGCTCTCAATCGGCGTTGATGGATCTGGCGCAATGAGAGCCGCACGCTTTGCATGGTGCAGCCAGGGCAGAAAAAAAGTTCTACCACTGGAGTAGAGATATATTGCTTGGTAAACACCGGGAAGACACATGTGCATTTGCTTTTGAATAGAACTCCGCCTTTTGATGGTTAGAATACTGTTTTCGCCTTCATACGGATGAAATATATTGCTTAGATAATCGAGTATGGGGCCTCTTCGGATATTAGTTAATACGGCGAATTTTACCGCAAACAGTACGGAGTACTTCAAAAGAGAAAAATACACAAAATGAGTTGGATTAAGAAAGTTTCAATTTATTTCCTATTCTAAATGCTTAAAATTATATCTGTAGTTTGAGCAGGTAGATATCCACCAAGCCCCAAGTCGAAATCTTGGGGCATGGGTTACAAGGTCTCGCGTAAATAATTTGATGAGCGAAGATATCCCAATCGCTATCCCTCCACTTTTAGAAGATATACTTCTTGGATAGGGGTCCGCATCGCAAGGAAAATTTTGTTTGCCTGAATTTTCTATGTATCATCAGCACTGTACGTAGATATCGACGAGGATAAATCAACGAGAGAATATGAAAAATCAGACATCCAAGGTAGGACATTCCGCTCAACGACACGTCGACTTATTAGGTTCATGCGACGGCTAGCGTGGAAACTGCGAATAAGGAAAAGGTTTCATCATAGAATAACAGGCACAAGTTAATAAGAAAAGGAATAACCTACGTTTACCTATTGTTACCCACAGGAGAGTGACATCTTGCCCACACTTACTGCACGGATTGAGTTAGCAAAGTGTTTAAAGCTGGCAGCCAGAGTTCGTCTCGTTTCAACATAGCTAATATTTTCAGACAAAATTATTTGGCAAAATAACGGATCAACCGGGAAAGGAAGATCCGGGTGTCTCCCCAAGGACGATTCGGTAGCAAAGAAGTAAAAAAGGAGTTGTCATCTCAAAAGCAATACGAACCAGGATGAAAGAAAAAAAAGGTACATACTCTGCATCAATATGCAGCACCTGCTGGAAAGACCTCCGGAAATACCGCAATCACAAGCGCATATTTCTCAGCTGCGAGGTGACCATACAGGTTACTGTTGGGCGGCGATTGTCAGGATGAACAGAGAAATCATTGGGAAGAATGGGTTTGCGCAGAAATAAATATGCAAGTGCAGAAAGCACTAAGCCGAAATGAGACAGGCGGCTTTGCCCCTTGGCTCTCGACTGTCGCTGTCCAGAATAAGCTAATTAAGCGAGGCCAAATCAACAGCCGCCAACATGCTGACTAATATTCACGTGAAATTATATCCAAATGCGGTCTAGCGCGAAGTCTTCACGACGTCCGGTCAAACGCCGTTTTTGCGGCCGTCAGATGGCTCGATATGCACGGTTGCCATCGCTCTGCTGTTGGATCTCCTCCCACTCCAACTCCATTCCATCGAGAAATCAGTCGCTGACTATTGTCTATTTGTGCATGGTCGTGTCAAACCAGGAATTTTCTTCGAGAGGTAATTTGGAACCCGTTCCATTCCCCCGCCCCTCATAACCTCCCGACACGCCCCGACCTCCTCAACACGACATAGCTCTGGGATTTCCCGCTAACTACAGCTGCGAAGGTTTCCTCGGCCTCTAGGGCTGAAGTGACGCCGCGTTCTCATCTCATGCTCGAGACTTCGACCGCCTCGGACAGCGATATCGGCCGCGCCGGAACTCTCGTTGGCGCTGGGAGTTTTCTGAGCCTGTGGCCTTTTCCACTCCTCAGTTTTTGGAAAATTACCCCAACGGGTCGATTTATTTGATTGCAAACTCCTGATACTGAAGGAGCAAGCTGATAGAGATGATGATGGCGCAGCCATTTCCCGCCCATCAGGTCGGCATGGCACACCATCCCGCTTTAGCAGCAGGGCACCCCATGGCCCCGGGTCAGCACCCTAATGCGGCGCATCTTACAGCACCTCCTCCGGGTGCCGGTATGGTTCAGCAACTGCACCCTGGCGTTTCGGTAACAGGAGCCCCTCCTGGTAGCCAGGCCACTCCAATGGCCGCCGCAATGCCACAAGTTATTGGAACGTCTGGCCCTGGTGGCCCTGGCCCGAGTGCACATGCACTATCTCATTTGGGTCCTACTCACTCCCACCAAATGTTTCAGCACCCTCAGCTAGCGCAAAACTGTATGTTACTTCTACTCGATCGTTATTCCTTCTACAAAGACTGGATTCCTTCAAACTTGGAATTCCAAAGTATTTCATTTCCGCTGATTGTTTTGCCTACCTATAGATGCGAATAATCCTCAGCTTTTACAGCAACATCAGCTACAGCAGCAGCAATTTCTTCGCCAGCGACAGCAAATCATTGTTCAACAACAGCAAGCACAGCAGCAGCAGCAGACACAACAACAACAACAACATGGAGGTATTCCTGCTTCATTGCCTAATGGGACGCCAGCTGTCAGTGCTGCCCACCTTGCTGCTGTCCAGGCTGGAAATCCCAATATGCGACCAGTAAATATACCCCCTCATATTCAACAGCAACTCCAAAACCAAGGCCAGCATCCACAATCACAAGCATTGCAGCAACAGCAGCAGCAACAGCAGCAACAACAGCAGCAGCAGCAGCAACAACAAGCCCAACAACAAGCACAGCAGCAGGCACAGCAACAGCAGCAACAGCAACAGCAACAGCAGCAACAACAACAACACCTCTTTGCTATGCACATGGCAGCTCAGCAAGCGCAGCAAAATCAACAACAACAACCGCAACAGCAAAGGCCCGGGGCTCAAACCCAGCCAATACCTGATGGTCAAGGGACTACTCCTCACCCACAATCTACGCCCACAACCCAAGCTAGCAGTATTGCGGCAACACAACCGCAACAGACCCAACCCCAACTCCCAGCTACATCTCAACCACCCCAACAAACCGCTCAGGCACAACCTCAGCAAGGCCAGCCCCAGCAGACCCCGTCAACAACCCAGCCACCGCAACAACCACAGATGACTGCTCAAGAGGCACAGTTAAGGGCTCAGCAACAGGGTGCCAGTTCAGTGATGATGCCATCGCGAATGCCGAAACGGTCATTTATGTTTCGTCTCCTTTCATTTGCGGAACAGCTTAGTGCCTATTCAGTGAGTTTTTTCCTTTTTTCTTTTTACTATCCCTTGGAAAATTAATGTATTGATCATATTCTACCTCAGAATCGGAACCCCGCCCAGGGATTTGCATTTTGGCAGTCTTTCGTTGAACAATTTTACTCTCCAGTCGGAGTGCTTCGTCAAGGTGTTTGGAACGCACAGCGTGGGTCAAAACAATTCGAAATATCAACGCCGGCGCTTGCTCGTTACTACTGGACGCAATTTAATAGTGGCATCCGGCAAATTCAAATGATTGTTGAAGCTGCGGTGGAGAAGGACCTTCCAACGGGGGGACAAGTTCTGGAGAGCCCAAGAACCTTTTTCTTGTATTGGTTCGATAATGGCTGCCAAGTAAAGTTCCAGGTGCTGCAAATCTTGTGAATCTTTATCTAACTTCCACATCTTTGTAGCTCGTTTCTCGCGGCGCCATAAAGGCGTATTTCAATCCAAACGGACAGATTGATGTCCTCGACATCGGAACCAATGGGCACACAGAATATATTCCTCGAAACCTCTTACAAAATCCCGAGTCCCCTGACCAAAAGCAAAGCCCCAAAGTTAACAAAGCATTTACTAAACGAATGCAGCAAAAACAATCTATAACTCCAAATGTATCCCTGCCAGACTCAGTAGTGACTGATGATGGCGTCCCTGTTGCGGTAATGCGCTTCTTAGAGGTACAATACATCTAACACTGCTGTCGTAGACTACCAACTAACCTGATTTAAATTCCAGGTTGCCGAAATAATTTCTCAAATGCAGCACCTCTTTCAATTTTCGCTACAAAATCCACATCTTTCTCCTCCCGAAGCCCTCCGACAGTTGGTCGCGAGTTATCCTCACCAACAAAATGCGGTCCAAATGAATTATAGCCAGAGCCATCAGCAACAAGGCCATATTCAACGTACTCCTAGCCTGAATGGGCCCAACCAATTCGCCTCACCAGCCATGGCCCATTTGGGCATACCTGGAGTGCAAGGATCGCCTCATTTTGGAGGACCGGCTCATACCCCAAGCCCTGCACAAAACCCCATGGTTGGCCCGGTTGCCATGGCTGCGCAACAAAGTCAGCAAGGCACGAACACTAGTGTAAGTCAGGGAACAAGCGCGAATACCAGCCCGAATGTCAGCAATAAACGACGCCGGGCAAGCACTATCAAAATGGAGGCCGACGAAAACAGTGCCACAGAAATCAATGGCACTGGGCCCAGTAACGCAGCCAAGGTGAAAGCCAGCCCGAGAGTTGGAGGTAAACGACAAAAGGGCGTGAGCCAATGACATCACGGCTTGCATTTCCATCGCAAGTGACTCCTTACCGAACAACCACGCAAAGTCAGCAGCAAACTTGTCGATAATCATCGTTTTGTTATCACGGGCTATCATACATCAAGGCGTTCTTCCGTTTCACCCAAGACTCATCATTACGGCACATTACGGTTTTACTTTGGTGCGGCGCTTGTCTTTCTATGATTTCCTGTCGGAATGCGTTTCAGGCGTTTCCTACGAGTGTTCTCTCTATTCCCAATGTGCCAGGAGTTCCGCTTCTCGTCTTTGTTTTTTTCTTCTTTTGCGCAGGCTCAGATATGATGCTATTTTTTGAATGGCTCCTCTTTGAATTTGGAGTAGATCGGCTATAATGGGCGTCGCATGCGGTTCGCACGAAGGCTTATTGCTGAGTTTTTTCGCGCCTCTGAAAGATACTATTGCACCACACGCCGCTCTACTTGCGGATATGGAATGACTATATTTGACCACGTTTTAACTCGCCGTATTTCCTATGATGATTATTTCCTTGCTCCATTGTTCTGCGGGATCGCGCTGTTTCTCAGTATATCCGCTCATCCATAATTTCTCGCCGTGGCTTTTGTGGGATACACCTCTAATGTTTGCTGTACTTATTTGTCAGTACACTTGCTGTTCCGTTTTCTCTTTCTTTTGCCTCGGGGTTGCCTGTTCTCGTGCTTTTAATTGAAGATCCGCTGTGGTGTGTATGGCTTTCTACAGCAATGGAACCAATAGGGAATTCTACCCGCTTTGTCTTCGTGGGCGTTGTAAGATAAGATATCCGCTTTCGGTATGCTTTCAGAGAAGATCGGGCGGCTTGTGTTTGTACAGTAGATTTCGACCCGAATCAATAATGTCTTGGGATCCCCTACGACCACTTGACTTTGCCACTTTAGTGTTTGCCGTGAAGGTTGGGGGATCCTTCGGCGGGGCGAGGCGCTGTCCAAACTCAATCTCTACGCAACTTCACGTCTTCCGTCTCCGCTGTGAATCCCTTTGCTATCTCGTCTGAGCGCCGGAGAAGACGGTAGCAATAATAATGGCTGCCTCGCACGTCCCCCCTCATACACATACGCACTCTCATTCCCACGCCCACGACGCCGGCTCTCATGGCCACACGCACGACATCCTGGATGGCCCGGGGTCATTCCTGAACCGCGAAATGCCAGTGGTCGACGGCCGCGACTGGAACGACAGGGCGTTCACAATTGGGATCGGAGGGTACGTATGGATACATGGCGTCGAAGGCTTGGCCTAAGAACCATGCCCTTATTACAATGGCCACGCTGTACTGCGTGTTTACATGGTGACGGACGGGATTTGTTTATTTAATCCGAGTTTAAGGACACGAGAGAGGAATGCATAGGCTGACAGCTAGTGAATTTTATTTTCGGGGTCAGGCCAGTTGGATCGGGCAAAACGGCTCTTATGCTGCAGCTCTGCTTGGCCCTGCGAGATATTTACAACGTTGCTGCTGTGACGAATGATATTTTCACCAGGTACCCCATTCGATCCCCTGCCAATCAAATTTCTGACTCTTGGCTTGATCTCGGCAACTAAATATTATTTGCGTAGAGAGGACGCTGAGTTCCTCACTCGCAATAAAGCTCTCTCCCCTGAGCGTATCCGTGCCATCGAAACCGGGGGGTGCCCGCATGCTGCTGTTCGCGAAGACATCAGTGCTAATCTTCTTGCTCTCCAGCAACTCCAGCGCAAGTTCCAAACCGACCTGCTCCTCATCGAGTCAGGCGGTGATAATCTAGCAGCAAATTACTCTCGCGAGCTGGCAGATTATATAATCTATGTTATTGATGTTGCTGGTGGGGATAAGATCCCGCGTAAGGGTGGCCCCGGAATCACCGGAAGTGACTTGCTAGTCGTGAATAAGACAGATTTGGCAGAGGCTGTTGGGGCAGATCTAGCCGTAATGGAAAGAGATGCGGCGAAGATGAGGGAAGGAGGACCAACCATTTTTGCGGAGGTGAAGAATGGCAGAGGTGTTGAGCATATTGTGAATTTGATTGTCAGTGCGTGGAAGACAACCGAGGCGTATGAAATTAGCCTTGCAAGATGGAAGAACGGGGCGCCGAAGACTTCAGGACCTGTGTAGATGCGATTTGGGCCGAGTTACTGTTTTTCAGCGGATACGAAGTAGTTATGTGATACGATATTCGGCGTGCTTGTAACAATGGGAAACATTTAAGAGAGGATCACGACCGAATCGACGACCGAATCGCCTCGCAGCTATATGCCATGCAGTCAATAACACCAAGCCTTCATTCAATAATATACATACATACTCCGTGTTCTGTGAGATTTTGTGGATATCTTGTAATGCAACTGAGTACTGGCTCCTGCAATGATTCCTGACCAAGGGCAAATGCATGCACATACTATTTCTTCACGAATCTCGCTAGGACAGGGCCTAATTCTTCCTTCTCTCGCTGCATTATCTCTTGTACTCTTGAGTTTTGCTCTTTTCGTAAAGTTTCAGCTTTGAGTCTCTTCTCATCAATAACATTCTTTGATCCCCGCTTTCGAAGGTACCTTCGTAAGGCACTATTTCGCCCACGGCCGCGGTTTTTCAATTTTTCGATGGGGTCTTCATTCTTATTGTCAAGATCCTTTTCTTCTCGCTTCATCCTATCACTAACCAGATCTAGGCTTCCTACGAAGTCAGGGTTAAGAGAGATCATTTCTGGTTGTAGTTTCGTAAGAAGCGCTTTCACTTCTGCTTCTTGTCTTTGTTTCGCGTTCTCGTACGGATTTGCTTCTGAGGCATCGAAGTTGGCCTCACCAGCCCCAGGAACAATCAGGCTGGCGAAACCTTTATTGTGGGCAACACCCAAGATATCTTCATACGGACACCAACGTACGTTTTCGATACGCTGTCCATCGCCACCCCAGGACATATAGGGACTCTGAACCTTTTCTTCCGTTGCTGCAGCGGCTTCGAATAACCCCTTCCAGATGCTGACCTTTGTTCCCCAGCCGACAGCCGTTAAGCCTCGGTCACTAATGGAAACTGTTGAACCAGGTTGAAACACCGAGTAGTTGTGTACTTCTTTGAACATACGTATATCCCAAATTGCCATCCTCATATCTTGACCAGTAGAAACCATATACCGACCCTGGCGGTCAACCGCGAGCGATCGTACGGGACCTCGGTGGACGAGCGCTTTGACAAGGGCTGTTGAGCTGTTCGGTGACCAGAGAGTTACAGTGCCATTTTGGTGGCCAACATGGAGAATTGCATTATGGGGGTTCTGACAAAGGGATGTAGGTGACCCTAGTCGGGTGGGAAGCTCGGCAACGAGCTGTCCTGTCGAAGTATCGGTATATTTGAGGTAGCCGGAAGTCGCCTGACGAGTATTAGCAAACCAGCACAGGGAACAATGAAATTAATCGTGACTTACAACACTGGCCAGGAGAAAATGGTATGGCAAAAACTCCAAATTTGTTGCCTCAACATGCTTATCCAGGCAGTGTATTTCCACGCCATTGTGGTCATAGATATAGACATATCTCTTCTGCGCCACAGCAAAGAACATCTCATTATGCATCCATTTTGCATCTCTCACTGTCTCTTTTAGTTGTAGTTCACAACCTAGCTTCCCATCTCGCCAGTCCATTGTCGCAACATGGCCCTTGCGGCCTGCAAGCAAAAGCATCTTGCCATTCCTAGTATAGTCCGCACGATACGGCCCAAGATCTTCTAATTTCAGTTCAAATCCTTTTTTTGCTGTCTCTAGTCCCACACTATCCTTGATCTCATCTTGTCTAACTTTATATGTCCTCTCAAGCTCTCCTTCCGGCTCTAGGAAACCGCTTTCGTGCTCTAATAATATCTCCGCATCCTTCGCTTTCAAGGCGGCATATTTATACTTGTTCTCAAGGGTCCTCAGCTGGCCTCGAAGTTTCTTATCTCGTATACTCTTGACATTAATTTTCTTTCCTCGTCCATATTGCTTTTGAGCTTCTGCAAGTCGGAGTTTGGCATCGGAGTTGGAATGAGATGAGCGACGTTGCGTAGGCGTTGGTCTGGAAATTTCAACTTCCATGGCTAGCGCACTTTCATAGCAAAGCCACAGAAATGTCGGGGCGCGAGTAGCAAGGGTGTAGCAGTAGGTTGTAGAAATGTCTTTCTGGCGGTGATCTTGAAATTTACTGCCAAGCCTAAGCAACCTTAGCTTATCGCACACTGATAAACCGATAAGCTTTTTCACGATAGTCGATTTCCCAAATCTCTTGCACGGGCAGTGAGTGCAGTATACAAACCATCAGATTTTCTAGAAGAGGAATTCCCTAATAATTCAAACTGGCCTCTCTTCCTTTCAGGTTTAAAGGGCCAGGTGCACCAACCATGGCTCCTGTCGCCGTTCCAACCCAACACCATCATCGGAGCACAACAAAACATGCGCACAAGAGCTTCAAGTCAAAGCACTCGACAAAAGGAGCTCTGAAGGATCTGCACAAAGGTGTGGTCTGCTTGCTGTTTTGGCTAGATTTAAACTGATTTTTTGTCAGGCAAGGTTGAACTTCGAGGAAAGGGTATCCGAAAACCCGCTCACCAGCAAATGATGTCTAAACTCGAAAGGAGGAATCAGGCTCGGCAAAAGCAACGAATGAAGCGGCAGGTCAAAGCAGACGCTACCAGTGTATTCTCCGGCCAGAATGGTGCGCCACGTCACATAGCTGTTGTTCCCATTTCAGCAAGCATCAATATAGAAGAGGCAGTGTCGATGCTAGCACAAAGTGTGGATATACCAGAGCAAAACGTGCACGGTGGTTTATGTCGTGTTCGTATTGATAGATTTAAGCAAAGTGTACTTTTCATCCCAGGGACTGGAGATTTGATTGGTATTCTAGACATCTGTCGATTGGCGGACTTTGTGCTTTTCGTCTTACCAACGGATGAAAATCTTGATGACAAGAGTCAACTACTATTTCGAGCAGTGGAAAGCCAAGGTATCTCCAACGTCATAGTTGCTGTCCAGGTATGGGTCCCTAGAAGCTTTCCCCTCTACGCTTCTGTTAACGCATGTCTAGGGACTTGATAAAGTGAATCCGCCAAAACGGCGACCCCAGGTTCTATCTTCTATTAAAACTCTTGTCAACCGGTTCTTTCCCACAGTGGAAAAGCTCCATTCTTTAGACTCGAGACAGGAATGCTCGAATGTTGTCCGAAGCATATGTACTGCAACACCTAAAGGTATAAATTGGCGGGAAGATCGAAGTTGGATGCTCATTGAAAGTATTCAATGGCCAGAAACAAACGACGAATCTGGCCAAGTCTCAATAACAGGAATTGTTCGGGGAAAAGGCTTAAAGGCAGACCGCTTGGTGCACATTCCTGGATGGGGAGACTACCAGATATCCTCAATTCTTCCGGCATCTTTGCAAAATAAGGATAATTCTATGAATATAGATAGCGATGGGACGGTGACCCCCTTGGATGAACCATCGGCTGATGCGGACGATTTAGCTGTAGTAGCCCCAGAAGACGTGTTTATGGACGAAGAGATGATGCCTACGACGGACATGGAGAGAAAAGGAGTACTTCTTGACGATCACCATTATTTCTCCGATGACGACTATGAAGAGGAGACATCAAGAAAGCCGAGGCGTCTTCCCAAGGGTACCTCCTCCTACCAAGCTGCTTGGTATTTAGATGATGTGTCAGACTCGGGATCTGATATTGTCGACAATATGTACGAGGATGATCAGGAAATGGAATTAGACGAGGATGCTGGTCCTGAAGATGGTGTTTTTCTCAATCATGGTAGCGGAGACGGTATGACGGAGGCCGGCCCTTCAGAGTACCCTCAATCGGAAATGTTTCTTGATCCCTCGCCTGATGAGGAAGTTAAACAAATAGAAGAATATCGGGCCAGCCGTAAGCGAGACGAAAGTGATGATCTTGAATTTCCGGATGAAATTGAACTTCACCCTAATACGCTAGCAAGAGAACGCCTAGCGAGGTATCGCGGTTTAAAGAGTCTAAAGACTAGCATTTGGGAGAAAGAAGAGGATCGACCACATGAGCCTGAAAACTGGCGGCGCCTGCTGCAAGTTGCCGACTATAAAGGGTCTAGAAATCAATGTATTCGCGAAGCCCTTGCGGGAGGAGTAACACCAGGCACACGAGTGAATGTTATTCTTTGCGATGTGCCGTTACGTCTTAGACAGAAAGTTCCTTCGCCGCTCTCCTTGTTTTCACTTTTACGCCATGAACATAAACATTCTGTTGTTAACATTAACATGATTCTCAACTCGACTGTTGAAGAACCTCTCAAGTCTAAAGAAGAACTGATTATTCAGTATGGCCCACGCCGGATGATCATCAACCCATTGTTCTCTGCGCCTGGAACTACTCCAAACAATGTCCACAAATTTGACAGGTTTCTTCATCCTGGCCGAAATACTGTTGCCACATACATTGGCCCAATTTCTTGGGGTTCCATACCCGTACTGGTCTTTAGGCGTACCTCCATCCCGGATCCAGAGGTACTTGAAGGAAATGAAACGCATGCCATGATTAACTCCTTGCAATTAATCGGCACTGGAACTACGATGACTCCAGATCATGGTCGTGTCGTTGCAAAGCGAATTATCCTGACTGGCCATCCATTCAAAATCCACCGAAAGGTTGTTACGGTTCGATATATGTTCTTCAACGCCGAGGATGTGAATTGGTTTAAAGCCTTGCAGTTATGGACCAAGCGAGGGCGCAGTGGTTATATTAAAGAGAGTTTGGGAACTCATGGATACTTCAAAGCCACCTTTGATGCAAAAATAAACCCGCAAGATGCTATAGGTATCAGTTTGTACAAACGCGTATTTCCTCGACAAGCAAAAGAATGGACTGATGAAGCATGAGCATCAAACAGCTTGATTTTTCTTTACTATACACCGCTCTCAAGTGCATGGTCATTACTTAAGCAATACCTTTGTTATGCACGGAAATGAATTGATCACTGGCGTTTGGCATGAAAATGTTAGTCTTCTACAAAATGCATATTGGATACAGGACCTCAATACTGAAAGATTACAACATATTACTACATTTCTACGGTAACTCATAGTACACTTGAAACATACCAGTTATTTGAACTTGGTAGTTTTGGTTTTCATATTATGACGACAAATTTAGCCAATTCCTATACGGTAGGTAAGGGATAATGAAGGAACAGGAAAAGAGAAGTCTAGGGAGTAAAAAATTATAACAAATCATGTTCATCCCTTGCTGTATTTGTTTACATGCCAAACTGTAGAAACCAGCCCGCTCACATGTTTGACTCTTGCTTCTCAGCAGAAATGTGACTGGTGCTGCGTCGGAAAGCTGATATCTTTTGAAGCTACTCGGTTGATGCTAATTATAGCAATATTATATCTTAAAAAAAGTGGAAAATTAGTTGGAAAACAACCTTGTCGAGGTGTATATTTTGATTGTCTGGTGTCTTGAGTTGCAGTGACAATGTAAGCACCCTTCCATTTGTTTGAAAGAAATAATGTCACCCCCCTTACCCCCTTTACATTCAATCACACCATGTAGCTAACCATCCCTCTCTAACTATGTTAGACCAGGAAATGTGCGTTACCTTAAATCTATGCTACCTCTGGATCACCACTTGTAGTTTTATATAACCTAAGAACCTACAATAGTGAATATCTAGACTTCCTTTTTGGTATCAAACGCCTCTCATTTCAAACGGAGAAAAGGCGTGCTTTCAAATATCTGTGCAGAAATTGCTCTTGGTTATAAGAATTTTGGAATTTTTAGGAGCTCTATACGTCATAATCTTATTGTGGGTTTGGCTGAGCTGACCTGCAATTAGTTTCGTGTCTCTGCTCTTCTGCACAATCAACCAATATCTTATCTTTTTTTGTAAGGGCACAAAATCTATGTAATTGCAACTGTAACATATTTTCATCCAAATAGCCGAAGCCAATTTTATGGAGAATTACCCCGATTACCAGGGGATAATGCGTATGACCACTGACAATCTCACTTGCATCAAAGTTTTCCACCCCAGGAATTCCTGTAATCGGTTGAATTCCGACAACATTCATGTGTAGGCTCTGGGCTCGATAGCACAGCCGGAGCATATGGTCCTTTTTAGAATATACGTTAACCAAACGCCCGCTGACAACCGTCCTTATTAGTCGCCACTGCGCGAGGTTCGAAGAAACTGGAGAGCCCAACAAAATTGCAGATTCAATAAGACCGAACGCCCGCCTCTTGGCCAGGCTGAGGAGGCAAGTATATATGACACGAGCACCCATAGAGTATCCGATGAGGGTGACAGGGCGTTCGCCCTGAGCCTTATTTATCAGGACATCAGCAAGGATTTCACCTGCTTTTCCTGCTCGGGTCTTCGCTACACCAAATGGATTGTCGATCAAACGGGATAGCTTTGCCACAATAACAGGTATCACCAAGGGGCCCGCAATTGGGGCCAAAAGTGTCTTTCTGAGTAGTTGCTTAGCCGCAATTGTGAATGCTAGTCTTTTTACAACGCCCTCCAAAGAATTGCCTAGCCTCAATAGGGCATCAACTTCCCATCGCAATGCAAAAGCATCTGAATCATCGCCAAGGACCAGCCATGGGTAGACAATATCTTGTGCTTCTGTGAACCATCCACTGATTCCGACTGTGACTCGCAAACGATAATCAGGGGTCATGGGCGAAGCCTTGTTAGGAACTATTCGAAGGCCTCTTATGGGTATAAACGCAAAATCTTTAATTTGCCTTGTATATTTTGCTGACACTCTGCTAGTCATTGTTGCACCAAAAGCGCCAAAGATGCCACCAATGACAAGGCTATTTCCAGCAAGAGCACCAGCGTATCCTGCAAAAATCGTTCCTCCGAGGCCTAACGCGCCCAGGAGCGCTCCAATACCCCCGGCAACCATCGGCGCTGCCAAACCACCGGTCACCCCAACTAGGGTAGCTCCCGCCGCAGAAGCAAGGGCTATTTTCCAACGTCGTCGGGCCTTGGATTGTTCAGCTCGAGTCTTTGCTTCTTCTATTGCGGAAATTTCTTGTGCGATTTGAACAAGGCCTCGAGCAACTTTCGTTTCGTTTTCGACTACATCATTGATGGAAACCCCCAAATCAGCCGACACTTTGAGTAATAGAGCACGAGAATGAGCATTATAAGTGTTGAGACTTAGCAGCAAATGAAGAAGAGAATTGCTAAGAAGTAATTTGGTACGCTCTGGTAAATGGCTTAAGAGTTTCGATGGGGTTTGGCATTTCATTGTGGATGCCGATTCAACCACGGATGGAATATCAGTTCCAACTGGAGGTTTTTGTTGCTGAGGTGAATTGATGATCTCGTGGTCTTTCAGGCCATCCACTATGCGCCGTAGAACCGATTGTTTCCAAGCTTGGAAATAGTCCAGTGCATCTAATTCTATCTTGATCTGTAGAACAGATAGACCTTCCCTAGATGTCTGTGGCTGCTGGTGAGCTGTAACCCCATTGATACTGGTGCCCAGAAGTGGTTTGGTCAGATACTCAGAAGGATGGCATATTGTTTCCTGCATCGAATCCATTGTAGATTTAATGAGATTAAGGAATTCTGTTCGTTGACCTGGACTAAGAATATCATGTAGATCATCTTCCATGCCACGCTCCTGACCCATCGTGGATACTGAGTCGTCCTGCTCTGATTGTTAGTGGCTATCCTTAGCACCCTGGCAGTCTGATTTGTTAGCAGGAAATATTAGATATAAGCAAACAGCCTCGAGCGAAATGGGGAATGATGAGAGACACGGTTCAAATCGTTGTTGCATCCTTCCTAATTCCTAAATAGGTAATATCCACGTGATGGGTATTTTGCAAAAGGCTCCTTCCTGCTCTTACCCTCAATATCACGGTCGAGACGAACGTCTTTCTCGATTCTTTAGGAGGTCAACCCTGGTGCTGGAAGATACTTAAACATGTCATATGGTCAAAATGTGGTGAAAACGCGACTTTAGAGGCGTAACATGTTCAGACAACAGGTGGTGATGTTACAGACTGGCTGTAACGAAGTCAACACGGGCTAACTATTTGACTATACAATGAACGCCCTTGGAAAGCTTTTTTCTGCTCAGGGTGCTGGAGCATAAAAGCCCACTCATTATTATTCTTCCGGCAGACTGATAGATGTTAAAAGACTATTTTGATTCTTAAAAATTCACCAATCGGAAATAACAGGTCGAACTCGCTGGACTTCTTGTGTCCTTGAATTTCGGGAAAATAGTCTGGGTGCAAAGGAGAACCAACAAGAATCAACTTTGAGGCAAATGGGGTGGCTGGCCTAGGCCGTGATCGACCCGGCCAATGACAAATAGGACGCAGGTGTGTCAGTACCCTGTGGACTCCGTGGAAACAAGACTGTGCCTTGCTTGCAACGTGCAGAACCCAGCCGTGACGTGGTCCAACAAACTGGGATTTGGGAAGGTGCAGTACCGGGAAAACACCTTTTATCAGCCACATGGAATGCTTGGTTCGTGCTCAAAAAGCCTATCATTCTGCTCATCAAGGGTTTGGTGCCAGAGCTTATTATTATTATTCAAAGCAACTCCATTCTCGCCCCTAAAATAAGCATTAGATTTGCTTCTGAATCTGGTGAAGATGAGAAAACTTTATGGCGTAAGGATTCTGGATTTCGGTGATTGAGTTTTAAGCCAAAATTGTGTTGCTGCGGAGAATGCGATGTGAAGTGTTGTGTATCGGATTTGCCAGGTTGTGGCCTGATCCTCCCGTTCAGCCACTGCAAGTGTGGAAGTGCCATCAAGCACACCCGGATGGCTGGAATTTACGCAAGGATCTGTTGGCTGTTGGAAGTTGGTGATCTCGGGTCCCATCAGAGTGGTTGACCACAGCGCACTACTACTCTTTTCCTATGTTATTCCTCGGCAACGGGACCGCAACGCCAACGGCGGAATACTCGATTTACCCACAAGGTTCGACCATACTACTGCACCCACACTGAAAGCCAAGGAGCCAGTATGCTACCCATTTTTTCAGCGCAGGCTTGGGTCGTCAGCTCCAATCAGCGGTAAACCCGCCGGCCCCAAGCCTCCAGGGAATATGTTAACGTTATTTGAAAGTTACCAAAAACCAAAAAATCAGCCTGCAAAAACCGTGCGCCCCCACATTCATGACGGCTCGGAAGTCTATACGTCAACTCAAGAAGCGATCGAAGCCATGGGATTGATAACAAACATTCTTTGGCGCCCTCGGTCATGGATCTCCCACGATTCAACAGTTTCTCCGCCTTTTTCTTTCAAGTTTCACGTCGACCCTATCACTTTGGATAGTCAATGTTCAACCGTAGTGTGTACTCCGTACTAGACGGAGCACATATTGAATCCCCGATGCAGCAGGATTCAGGTGAAACTTATTCATTGACTGAGAGCGTATTTGATTATGAGTATGTGTTTCTATGTGTTTTGCTGACGATCATCGCTAACACGAGTGATACTTTATTATTAGGTATGAGAATGGTAGACGCTATCATGCTTACCATGCCGGCGAATACCCACTGCCGAATGATGAAAAAGAACAGGACCGTTTAGACATGCAACATCACCTCTACACCCTTTTATACGACGGCGATATATACCGTGCCCCAATCTCGAAGGATATTAAGCACGCTCTGGATATTGGTTGTGGCACAGGAATCGTACGTTGATATCGGTTTGCCTCTCTGGAGCTCGTTTACTAACCAAGTAATTGAAACAGTGGGCAATCGAATTTGCCGATAAGTTCCCAAGCACTCTTGTCACAGCAACCGATCTTTCTGCCATACAACCCAGTTTCGTTCCGGAAAATCTACAGTTTGAAGTTGATGACGCTGAAGACGATTGGCAGTTTAGTCACACTTTCGATTACATACACATTGGAACTCTGGCTGGCAGTATAAGCGACTGGCCCCGGCTGCTGAAACAAGCATACGACAATCTATCGCCAGGTGGATGGGTTGAGGTCATTGATTTTGAAGCGTGGGCCTCAACGGATGATGACAGTCTCCCACGGGATTCGGCCTACGCTCAATTCCAGACTCTTCTAGCTGAAGCTGCTAAAGCTTTTGGCAAGGAACTCAACTTGGCATCTCGGTTCCGCGAGATGGTGGAAGATGCTGGCTTTGTTAATGTTGTCAGTGAGCCTCGGAAAGCCCCTCTTTCTCCCTGGATGTCGGACCCGAAACAGAAAATCCTCGGGGAATACATGCGAATAGTTATGTCAGATTCACTTGAGCCGTATTGCCTGGCATTGTTCACACGGGTACTCAATTGGAATAACAACATGATACAGGCGCAGCTGGCTGGTGTACGGCAGGACTTAAAAAATATGGATTACCATATCCACACGACTTGGTAAGCTACATTGTGCCTTGTATACCACTCAAGCGCTAATAAGTGCAAAAGCCACTGTGTCTACGGCCAAAAGCCGTTCTCGTGACGGACGCACATGCTTGACGATGGAACCCAAGCAGTCACCGCATTTATCACTGTTTTGTCACTCGCTATACATATTTCGACTTCCCGACTTTCATTTGGTCTCCTTCGGTCTTACACTTATTCTGGAGTTTTGCGATAGGGTTTGATACCGGAGACCGGCGGCCCTTGGACGCAAATTTTACCAAACGAGTTTGCATGTTACATGCTTGACAACTGTAACTTTCACGGGGGTACTCACACAAAGAATATATTATTTCTCATATATTCAGGCGTCACCAAATAGCCTAAAATGGTGTTACGAACGAAGTTGTTTTCCGGTGGAAAGGACAACTAAATAATTTGAATTAAAATACATGGAGTTGTCCTTTTGAAATGTTTATATATCCAAATATCATTTTTATTCCATTTCCTTTTTGTATGGTAGTACTGGCATATAGACAGGAAGAGCCGTACACAACAGAGGAACAAGCGAACATACCAAACTATTCAGTGTTTTTCTCACTTGATTGAACAATGAAATACCTTCCCATCATCTTCTTCCCAGACTTCAGTAATATGTCCTTACTCTTCCACGATTCACCGCCCAGAGCCTCTACTTTATCTGCCCTTCGTCGCCGAATTCTCCTATTCGGCCCAACAAACTCCTCCTGCGCTAACGCTCCCCTGAGTTTCGCTACGCCAATTGTATTTTCCCTCTCTGCCTCGGCTCTCTCGTCACGTAGACTACGGAGTGGAGTGATGTTGGTGGTATCGACTTGTTGGATTTGTTTAACGAAATGAATCTGCGAGCAGAGGGTGTTGAGCATAGATGCTTCCTCTGACGGGGATGAAGGCTGTGGGAGGGCGCAGAGTCGCAGCAGATGGTGCAGTTGGGTACGGGATATTGGGTGATCAAGGGCGTCGGTAGATTTCTCGGGGAGGAGGGACGTGATAGACCAGGTTGGGTGCGAGAGGATGGCCGATATATTGGGTTCGTTCTTCGGGGGCGATGGAGAGGAAGAATGGCAGGCGGAAGTCGAAGCTGCTGAACGTGTGCAGAGGAACGGAGAGGTAGGTCGTCGTATGTGGTCTCTGCAGTGCTGCTGGAATAGCCGTGCTTGACAGTAACGAGTTGCGAGTTTTGTCGTCATGGGGTAGGTTGGGGAACTCCCTCTATTGAAACGTAAGGGATGGAAGCGTAGTGGGATTTCAGAGCAGCTCAGCTGGCGGAGAGTGTTCCATACCTTGTAGCTCCGTAGTGATGTGCGGGCTCAGTAGTTACGGAGTAGCTCCATGCGCGTTCTGACTTCGCTCTGGTTGTGTTTTGAATTTGGCCCACCTCAAGGTTTCCCCGCCAAGTAGCTTCAAGAGCACGATTCATCGCCCCCCTACCTGCACAGTTTCCTCCCGCCTTCTCTCATAGACCTGTCTGTTCTAATTCTCGTGGGTGTCATTGACACAGACTTTAGCCATGGCAGCGCAAGATCCCCGAGTCCTCCTGCAAAAGGTATGTATATGACATCAGTCGCCCTCGCCCCAGACCGGCCGCTAAGGACCAGAATAGGCCGACAAGACCATACAGAGCGCATCAGGAGGCTTCAGCTTCTTTGGTGGAAAGACGGAAAAATATGAGAATGCCGCTGATTTATACACACAAGCCGCAAATGCGTTTCGAGTACAAAAGTTGAGTGAGTCGTCTCTCACGAGACCCCTCTGCTTTGTTCTCTACTATAGTCATCGACGATTGACACAGAAGTATTTATGCGATGAACAGACAAGGAAGCCGGTATGGCCTTCGAAAAGGCCGCCGCCGTCTACACCACTAACCTCAATGAACCCGACGATGCCGCCAACGCGTTGACCGAAGCATTCAAGGTGTACAGAAAGACAGATCCCGAGGACGCAGCTCGCGTTCTGCAGGGTGCTATCAGCCATTACATATCGAAGGGGAATTTTCGACGAGCGGCAACACACCAACAAAATCTAGCTGAAGTCTACGAGGTTGAAATCGGAGATGAAACAAGGGCGATGGAGGCATACGAGAAAGCTGCGGAGTGGTTCGAAGGTGACAACGCTGAAGCGTAAGCTACCCCCTCAAGAACATTTACTACAGATGAATTGTGAAGATATTTGTGAGTTTACTAATGGTTTTCTGTGCTAGGCTTGCAAACAAGCATTTCTTGAAGGTGGCAGACCTTGCCGCTCTAAAAGGCGATTACTATAAGGCTATTGAGAATTTTGAAAAGGTAGCCAAATCCTCTATTAGCAATCATCTTATGAAGTGGTCTGTGAAGGATTACTTCCTCAAAGCAGGGATGTGCCACCTTGCTTCAAAAGTATGTGCATTTTCTTGAGCTTCTATATTCTTCGCTTGACAATATTCTAATGAACCCAGGATCTGGTTGCAACCAATCGCGCACTACAGTCTTACGTTGACCTCGATAACACTTTCCTTTCCACTCGGGAGCATCAATTGCTCGTCGACCTGACACAAGCTGTGGAGCAAGGGGATCAAGATGCCTTTGCTGACAAACTATTCCAATACGACCAATTGAGCAAGTTAGACAAATGGAAAACGGCAATATTCTTGCGCATTAAGAATAATATTGAAGAGACTGGCGAGGACTTCTCGTGAGCTTAGCTTGAGTCGTTATTTGGAGTTGATAAGTGTGCGCACAACTCACCTTGATACTTTACCTAGTAGATGAATGAATGGTGAAGTTAGTTTTGTTACATGCGTTCCTCACTGAAAGGTAAATGAATATATACATACGTATGTATGACCTTGGTGCATGTGGGTATCTTTGATTTTTGCCATCTGGTTGAGTTAAGGAAGGCTTAGCCCCTTGAGGGAAGGGGTATGTATAGGTATATCATAGAAAATACCAGACTCTGATATATTTATTTATTCCATTTAATTGGCAGTATTTTATTCAAGCCATATCTGTATAAGCTTTTCCAATCTTAAAAAAACCCAGATTCCAAATCGTTTTCCAATAAAGTTAGAGCACCTCCACATCTAAAAATATGCCCTCACTACCGTTGCATATACGATCAGTACTTCTGACCTTAATTACCCCCTCAAAATCACTAACGTGTTCTGCAAATTTCGAGAGGTATTTCTGTGCCATTGGCAAAGCAATGTGCTTCGCCACCTCTTTTTGGATATCGCGAGCACCCTTATAATCATAATATAACAAATCGAAAAAACTGTAGTAAATATCGGGGTCAGCACGAAGATCGAAGCCGCCTGCTCTTTTTTTACCATAAGAGTCTCGAAGCATGCAATCCTTTTCTAATTCTTGAACCGCTTCAATTGTAAATCGATGAGCTAATACGGCAACTTCGTCTTTGGTGAAGGGAATGAAGGGAACGACAAGTTCGATACGACTTGTGATAGATGGCTGGTGAATTCATGATATGTCAGCTGTAGTAACATACAGTTTGCATAGTGTACATACCCCGTAAAGTATTGAAAGATAGTCCCTCAAACTGGGCTCAATTTTGTTTCTTAGCAGCTCAAAAAGCTTTGGATCTCTGGGGGTTTCGTAATTATTAGGGTTGGGATTATCAGTGGAAGTCCAAGGTGCCGAATCCACAGTCTGTGGCACAGAAAGAATATAGGCAGTCTTCCGCCGCGACATCTTCTTTCCTGCCTTATACTGATACGTATCTGCATTTGTTAGTGTATGTACGGAGTACATACATACTATTATTATATTTTTTTTGTTGGGTAGACTTACCATTATCGACAGTATTAAGTAGAGATTTCAGCCATGAGTGATCGACCTTGTCACAATCAATAAAGACGATATCTAAACCATGTTTGACAGATGCTGAAACCTTCGGTTCATCGATATTATCCATAGAAGATAGCATATTATCGTGCCCAGAAAACTGGGATATTTCTCGAAACTCCCCAAGGGATCGAGCAAGCGTTCTTTTTCCATAGCCAGGTGCTCCAACAAATGCTAGTACCAATGGGGAGTTACCTTGAAGTACATGGTGACCAATGAGATATTCAGTGATACGGGTGAGTGCGTAGCGTTGGCCAACGACAGAAGTAGAAATTTCCCGAGTAACAAGGGTATTTATAGCGGCAGTTCCATCACACAGGGAAGCTTCAGAAAAGTAATATTGCATGGAAACTGTGAGGCTATCCCGTAGTACTGTCCGCTGCCGCTCACTACACCAAGTTGTCTGTGAGCCCCTGCCCTTACCTTCTTGAACCTGTGTATTACCGCCAGCCCACAAATCTGGTGGAATAACATGCGGGTTTGCGCCAAGAGCAAGAATGGCTCTGACAATATCTGTCGCATAAATTCCAGAATTGAGAATAATGGGCATCAATAGCGGCACACCAGCTTCACTCGTTGCATCAGGGTTGGCGCCATGTTCAACAAGCAATTTGATAACGTTGGGTCTGTTGGTATGTACAGCTGCTAGCAAAGCGGAAAATGAGAGCTGATTACAAGCAAAAATTTCCTTGAGCTCCTGGCGGGGAATGGTGGCCAACATATTTTTAAGAGAGCCGTAATCCTGATGTTGACGAATAGCGAGAATGATCGACTCCACTAGAACGCGAACATCAGGCGAAGGACTCAGGGCCGAATCGTCACCCTCGATAAGCCCCGATATCTCATGGTTTCTTTTCTGACGCTATTAGACAGAATCAACTCTTCCAATTGCATACCTGAAGCGCTATTGGGGATGCATCGGTACCTTTTGCATTGGAGTAGAAAAGGAAGAACTTAACGAAATCAAGTCGTCACTTTCAGAAGTTCCAACTTCAGGCTGTTTCAAGGGCAACTCAACTTCAACGTATCTGTGTCAGTACAAGTATGTACAAACAATAGAGAGGAAGGAAAGTCCTACTACTCTTGCTCTTAGGCTTGGACTTGGGTTTATAGGGAGAGGAAGCAACATGTCCTGTATGCTCGTGTAAGTAACGACAATCCTGCGCTGTAAACCTGCACTTGGTAGTCTTCCAGTAGAAGCATGTAAACGGCTTCTTCTGCACCTGGTTGCTTGAAAGCATCTTGATTTTTGCGTTCACCAATCCAGTAGGGTCCTCAAAATCGCGCGTAAGAGGAGCAAATTGAAGCTTAGATTTTAAGGATATATATTCCATAAAGAGGCCCGCTAAACGGAATCTTCACTTAACAGTAACAGCAAAGGTGAAAGCACTTCACCAGAGATGCGGTATTCAAGGCATAGATAAATGGGAATTATGGTATAATTCACAAAATATTAGCTTGACTAGTGTGTCAGCAGACACACATGCTGTAAGCTACATCAACGGGAAAACGCCGCAGTTTATTCGCTTCGACCATGAACTGGATGGGCCATCCGGCGGTGGGTTCCGGCGAGGCCAAGGCAATGGAGGCATGAGAGCCACATGAATAGAGAGGCAGTGGTTTCCGACATACTCTAAGTTAATAAAAGCAGTACGGAGTACTCCGCGAGCCTAGGTAGTAAGGAGGTCGAATTAGTGATGGTTACAGATGTGAATGAGAGAGTAAGTAAGTAGGTACGAGCTAGGGTGAAGGCGAGAAAAGGTTTAAAAAAAAGTAAATTTGCGCACGACCGGATTCGAACCGGCGATTTCCGCATTTCTGAAGTAGTTACGAGTGCGACGCCTTACCGCTTGGCCACGCGCGCTTTTACAGAAATTTTGGCCTAATGGAAATATTAGATCCAAAATCAATACGGATCATTTTCACGCGCCTCAGCGCAATTAGTACTACATCCATTGCAGGATCAAGCAACTGAAGAGAACCGAGACTCTATGGTTCCTCATTGTATGAACAATCGATACACGAGCCATTTGAATAATCGTCCACTCAAGCAGTATTAACTAATAAATGGCAAACAGAGATACATACATATAGTTCATGACAGCATTTAAAACCTCAAACATCTTCAAGCAACATAGTAACGCCCAAAATGATACCCAAATATAGCTTATAGATCATAACATCCATCTTCATGTCTTTGAAAAGCCTTCAAAGGCCTTTAAATCGTGCCCATCCCGCCGCCCGATAATCGTTTGTTATTTTCTTTCCACCCTCTATTCCTGTACTGCTGTCATTGCTGGGACTCAGGCTACCGACACGACCCTCCTCAGCCATCTTGCCGCTCACCTCCCTTCTACGGCCGACGCCCAGGCCAGCAATATAATTGCCGTACCCTGCAGGCCCTAAACCAAGGTCGATGCCTGTGTTGCTTACAACACGGCCTTTATGATCGCTATCTCTGTGATCTGGTTTGTTGTTGTCCTCCCCACTGTCATGGTCGCTCTCATCGGCGTTGTTGACGGATTCATAAATGCCAGTCTTACGCCTCCACCGTGTTTTGACCTTTTTCTCAGTGCTGTTTGGTGTTGTGAAATCGGAGCTCTTGCCTCGGAAGCTTCCTGAACGCTGTGCGGGAGAGACCTTGACGCTCTCAAGATCGCCATATGATCTGAACTTCAAGCCTTTAACAGGGGTTGTTTGGCCATTGTCCGAAGGTGGATTTGGTATATCTGCTAGTGCGATACGTCGTAAACTACTTTTTGAATTTGTCGACCTTACTGACTCTTGCTCTGTTGGTCTGGGCGTTGGTGGATTCATCTCCAAGGGGTTGAAGGTTATATGGCGAGTTGGCTCGTCTCTTTCATCTTTAGCATAGCCTATTAACTGATGGTTCCCTAGGTCGAGTTCGATGCTGTTATACAAATTTTCGGCATAATTGTCTTCATATATATTTTCGGGAGTGTCATAATTGTTGGCAAGCGCTGCATACTCCTCGTAGTGCCGTATCACTGTACCACCTCTTGCAATACTATCATGGGGCTCAGTGTATTCCAATTTCTCGGACTCAACATCTGGTATCATTGGGGTGCCTTCGCGATTAGCAACAGACAATAATCCACCGGCAGAATCGACTGGGTACATATCGGGTGACGGGGGTGAAGACGGGTAGGCCTGCCAGTTCTCATCGGACAAGGACGAAACGCCACTGGGATCTCGTGCCTTAGGTTCCGCAATGTCAAACTGTAATGGTGCATTCATCCTCGCGGACTGAGGCCTGGATGGGGTGGCAGCGTGCTTCATGGCAGACAACTGCGAGAAATCCGGATTGGGTTTGTTTCCATGGCTCGAGCGCAATTGCCGATTTGGCAAATGCGTTCGCGAATGCATTCGCGAGTGGGCAGAATAATATGAAGACCTAGGGCTCTCTGCACCTCGGAACTCGGGGCCCGAAAGAGTGCTTTCAGAGTCAGTCCTGGTGTGCATAAAAGGGACTGTGCGGCTGGCTATCAGGGGCTCTTTGGCAAGAGAATGACGATTATCTTCGATGGAATTGGTTGTGCTCTGACTCAAGTGTTTCTCTGCGATCTCGGATCTCGGGCGCTTTGGTCCTCGCGATGTCAGATTATCTTCCAGCGGGTTCATATCTGGCGGCAGTTTTGATATCTTTCGAAACATAATCGCAAGGTAAAGATCTATTCCCAGCGAAATCAAATGAAGACCTCCAACGGTTGAACACGCAAGAAATAACGTCTGTACGATCTTCTCTCTTGCTTCTGCAGTTCCAAAAAGTGTTTGCCAGCCGTAAGATTTCTGTTCATACTCGATATTGGAAACGATTCCAATGAACACGTATAATGGAATAAGGCCAGCGTCCAGGACCGCCGCAAAAAGCATGTAGCTTGCCGATGAAGCGGGGGTCCGGGCATTCGAGGATCGGAAGAGGTGATAAATGCCATAGAGTGTATGCACAATTGACACACAGGGCTATTGAATAATAAGCGTACAAATATCACAGGGTACCAATAGTTCTAACTTACGGGCACTCTAATCATCCATGCGAGTGTCAGCGTTGTTCCTTTGATGCAAATCACACAAAATAATAAACCCAGAGCCCCAATAAGGGTGAGAATTCTCAGTACCAGCTGTGTAATTCTGGCACGCTTCACTCTTTGCTTTGTCTTTGGGCTCATAGTTTTGATATTTCTTCCGGTCGCAATCAGCCCGAACTACAAGCATCTGCGGTCAGCTCCTCCATTCAAAGCGCCTTTCATCGAGTACGTACCGAATCTGGATGTTGATTAAAATTGACCAGCGGGCCATCTTTTTTGGACTGTGGCGGGCTCGGTGCCCACGACTCCTGGGTTACAGCCTTGGGGTTGAATGTCCTGTTGGGTGAGGGCGGTCCGCGATGCGACGGAGGGTCATAGAGGAATGGAGGCTCACTCCGCCCCATTGTCACGACTCCGGTTCTCTCTTACAGCATAAAAAAGTAAGGATAATCGATGCACGAGACGGAGGCGACGGGGATGAGGGTCGTTCGGGCTTTTAGCTAGACTTGCTTTCGAGCCACGAAGCGCCTTGCGTAAATACTGAGAGGTGGGCGATTGTTGACGGGGCAACCGGGTGTAGGGCTTATCGCGACCATTGACTCAGAAATTCAGAATCGATTGCTGCGGGAATGGCTTCGCAATAATTCGGAATCTTCGCAAAAGTCATGCTGTATCGGACGCCAGGCATATGCGTTCGATGCTCTATCCGGGCTCAGAGAGCGCTCTTTGGCCTTGAGCCGCATACGATATCTATCGAAACACCCCGGTGGCATAGTCGGAGGACGTACAGCAGCCATGTCACCCAGTCGTCGCGCCCATTCCGGGTCGCGGTCATTGGTTCAGGACCAGCAGGGTTTTATGCTACGTACAAGTTAATGACAAAGATAGAAAATGCTTTTGTCGATATGTACGAACAGTTGCCTGTGCCATTTGGTCTGGTGCGATATGGTGTTGCGCCGGACCATCCAGAGGTCAAGGTAATGAAGCCATCATATCTTCCGTGCTTTTCCCACTTTCTATATAGCCTAATCAAGCTTGATAGAACTGTCAAGAAAAATTTACCGAAGTGGCCGGTTCTTCACGGTTCAATTTCATTGGGAATATTGACCTAGGTACAACTCTTCCCCTCAAAGCCCTAAAGCCTCACTACGACGCTATACTATTTTCTTATGGGGCTTCAAAGGATAAACTACTGGGTCTGCCAGGCGAAAACTTTTGCGGCATATATTCCGCTAGGGCCTTTGTTGGTTGGTACAATGGGTTACCGGAATACAGAGAACTGCACCCAGAGTTGGATAGAGGCGAAGAAGCTGTTGTAATCGGACAAGGAAATGTTGCTATGGACGTTGCAAGGGTATTATTAACCGATGTAGATGTACTACGGAAGACGGATATGGCGGAACATGCGTTAGAGGGATTGTCGAGAAGCAAGATCAAACGAGTGCGGGTGGTTGGGAGAAGAGGCCCAATGCAGGTATTTGTTCTTGTCCTAGATCGAACATACTCTTTCATTGACACTATGTAGGGTGCCTACACAATCAAAGAATTACGTGAACTCATACAGTTGCCTTCTGTGTCCTTCGAACCGATCCCTGAGATTCTCTTCCCCCCGCCCCCGACCATTAAGAGTTTACCCCGAGCGCAGAAGAGAATAACGCAACTATTAGCAAAAGGCTCGCCTACAAATTCTTCATCCACGAATAAATCATGGTCTCTTGACTTCTTGCTCTCTCCGTACTCCTTTCATGCCTCAGATACCCAGCCCGACCATCTTTCCTATATTAAATTTACTCGTAACCAACTAGATCCCTCGGATCCTTTTTCTCCAACAGCTCGTGCGATGCCTCGCCTCGGTGATGATGGCAAGGCAATGCAGGCCGATATTCCAGCCAGTGTCTGTTTTCGGAGTATCGGATACAAATCTCTACCACTTCAAGGCTTTGATGACCTAAATATTCCTTTTGATGTCTCTCGTGGAATTATCCCCAACGATGGACAGGGTAGAGTCATCAATTCTTCCAGTGACCCTTCCTTATCTCCAAAGGATATACCTACCCATCTACCAGGGTTGTACTGCGCTGGGTGGGTAAAGCGTGGTCCTACAGGTGTAATTGCCTCTACGATGACAGACGCGTTTGATACTGCTGAAGCCATAGTGGCGGATTGGACACATCATCTAGGAGCCTCCAGCGGCGCGCCAACGTTTTTGAATTCGGGGGAAGGTGGAGCTACGGGCCTCGGCTGGGATGGCGTGCGTGGCGAAGCGGAGAAGTTAGGACTTCGGCCAACGAGCTGGCAAGACTGGGAGGCGATTGATCGGGTCGAGATGGAGAGAGGGCAGGCGAAAGGGAAGATCCGAGAAAAATTTGGCTGTGTCAAGGAGATGCTGGATGTGCTTTGAGAATCCTATAACACCTTTGTCAATCGTTCCAATCAATTTTATGTATATACCTACTATATTTACTTAAAATGGATGACTTGTATTATACAGCTCTTATTTTGTCGGATCTGTAGACGTGAACGTGTTGATCTAGACCCACGCCATTGTTGATATTAGAAGTATTTACGCCACTTACAACTTCATAAAAAGAGCCTATCTGCTCTTTAGAGCGTTTTCCAAACATTTAGATGCAGTTTATAATATATAGGTATCAATTTTTTGGGTAGGGTGTGGTAGTCACCACCGCACCGCTATCGTGCTTGTCATTGAATCAAAAGATTCAGGATGGGACACCTTCATACTCCCAGCCTCCAATGACCCTCGTTCTCCTCGAATTGCTACGGTTGGCATTGCATTTGACAAAAAGGGTCAGGGCAGTGATAATTAATATAATGATAGCAGCGATGCTGGGGACTAGAATGTTGCGCCTTCGGGCGGCGTTCACATCAACTTCATACGGGCATTGGGCTTTTGGGCCGCCTGTCACCCAACATCTCGGTACATCAAAAGAATTTAGATCAATCCAAATACTATACTTGTTAGGCTCTTCGGAAGATGGATCAATGAGGCTTTTTGGCTGTTGGACAAGGCGTCTATAGAGATATGTGTTTTCCAATGCCGTACGGGGTACAGAAAAGCTCGAGTTTTCAGGGCAGGTGTACCCCGCAGTAAGATAAGGCTCGGGTTTCTTCGACAGTGTCCATTCGAATGGAGAATCGCCTATACGGCAGGCAGAGAACAGCTTATCTGTGCACCCACTGGCTCTCCAGCGACCGGAAAGGGAAAGATCCATCACAGAGCAGCGATAAGCGTCAACAGTTGCACCATCCATTGAATAGAGTGGCTCTCCTTCGGTCCATGACCAGGTTGATGAGAGAGACACGTTTCGATAGGGTTCAATGTCTTCATCCGCCGTCACATTGAAGATTGTATAGTTGACTAGCGGGGATATACCGCAGTCAACTATTTTGCTAGCAAAGAGCGATAACTGGGATAAGGATTCAGTGTAAGGAATATCTGCCAATCCCCATGGTGTGATGGTCGCGATATCAGTAATGTTGTCATTATATAAACAATTGATCCTGGAGTTTTCGGCGTCGTTCGCCTTAAACTGTAAAGAAGTTGAGATAGAGTTGCTTGGGAATATGGTATGGTTGCTGTCATCAAATTTGTACGCTTTCATTTGCGGATCAACTGTCCCCCACCCTAAAAGTAGTCGCTGGGCCTTGGATAGTTCAAGAAAGCCTTCGTTGGGCCACCCATCTTGTGTCTCTAGGAAAGAGCCGGGTTTACCCTGGGTACTAAAGTACCCAGTAAGGGGTCTCATTGAGGGAAGAACGGTGTACCACGACCTATTTAGATTTCCTCTCTCAGATGAGAGCTCAGGGGGTGTATATAAGTATGTTGCCAGTATGGTATCGAGGGTAGGTTTTAATGAGTCTTGAAAAGTTGGAAGTTGATCCGCTTTTGGCGCGGGTGCTGGTGCCTCGGGGTTCTCAAACGATGAAGCAGCATGCGCATTTAAGATAATATGTACCATTTGAGCATTCAATGTATCCTGTGTCTTGTCGAAATAATCGGAGACAACGCGAGTTACGGTTGCAATATCAACTTTTGTGGAGCATGAGAAGGGGCCGAGCTGGTAAAGCTCTGTCCCAAGAGGGCTTTTTGTGATAGGGGCCTTGGCTCGACGAGTAAGGAATTCTTCACTCGTTTCCCTTCCATGGTGTATCTCATCTGCAGCGAAGCCCGTGGCCCGTGGCTTGCGATCCCGTACAGAGGTCGAACTTGTCGAAGAAGATGCCAAGATTGACGAAGGAGAAGAAGTAATATCGATCGGTATTGTCACTGGACACAAGCTCCACTGCTTCCTTGAGACAGCCCAATATAGATCAACGTGTAGCCGTCGATATCCTACAGACAGGAGATTCGAGACGCATCGCGTTGCAGCATTTTCATCATACACTTTTTTGCCAAAACATGCTGCCGAAAGCGAAACAGCGGGTTGGGTCACGAAATTGATCGGAACACGCAACGAAACATCTCGCTGGGACTGCTGCAGGTTAGCATTAACAGGCCTCAAGTGAGGATGTCACAGACGCACCAATTGCACGGTCGACCAAGGGGGCTGTAGTCGAGATCCGTTGCTAGGCACGAAGCTGCCCATGGAGACAGCGTCGGTTTCACTTCGTGCAGGGGAGATGCTTCGGGGCACAAACCATTGCACCGTTGCCGCGCCAGCAGAATCGAACTCGGAGATAAACCCAATTGAAACCGCATCTCCGCTGGAGCTGCTGGATCGCAAGGTTGGCGTGCGCGTTCGACGATCAAGCAGGAATGTTCAGCCGCTATCGCCACGCGCCGCAGAGCAACCGGCACATCCACGCCTTTCCGCTTTGAGAACAAGAACATCGATCTGGCCACATTGGGGATCATCGAGAAACCAAGACAACGCCAGCAAGCGAACGGTTACTTTATTGAACAGCCGGACGATATCTAGAAACCGTCTGCCCTGTTGCACGGATTTAACCTCAAGCTGTCGACATGGCTGGCCCGCAGCCAACGCCAGAGCAGATGGCGGCCATGCAACAACAAATGGCCGCCGAAGCTGCTAAGCACGGCATGACGCCGCAAGAATTTGCAGACATGCAACGGCAGCAACTTGAGCAAGAAGCCGCGAAACACGGCTTGACATTGGAGGAATACATCAACGAACTACGGGCAGAGGCGTTCCGCCAGCACCAGATGCAGCAACAGCAAATGCAACAGGAGATGGGAGCTAAAGAACAAGAACACAGTCATGAAGGTGGTGGGTGCTGTGATCATGATCATGGACATCAACACGAGAGACGAGTGCCCGTCAATGCTGGCGTGGAGCCTGATCCCAAAGCATTAGCTGTCGCGAATTTCCTCAGATCGCAAAACCTCAAGACAAGAACCTGTATTCTCGATGGCCAAAGAAGAGACATGTTCAAAGGTACACGACTACTCCAGCTTAAACCCCTAGAAAATTTGTGCAGTTACTGATTTCAACACCTAGTAAAACGAGCTCTTCGCGCCCTTGAATCTCCGGCATATGCAAAAGCGGCTTCAAAATCGAAATCTCTCCTTCCCCCCGTCACCGACCGCGCTTCCGCAGAAAACACATTTAAACTCCTGCCCATGTCCCTTCTCGCCCTTCGAGTAACCAAAATTGAAGAGCCGAATCGTCCCAAGCAGAAACGAGTAAAAGGCCAGTGGAACGTCCGCATAGAGCAACACCAAGAAACCGATCCCATGCTACACTACGCCTGGTTATATGAGGGCCCGCAATGGAAGCAAAAGGCTATGGCGGCCGGTGTCCTTGTCCTTATCATGGCGGTGGTTATGTTCCCATTGTGGCCTATTATGTTGAGGCAAGGCGTGTGGTATCTGAGTATTGGAATGATGGGCTTACTAGGCCTGTTCTTTGCCATGTCGATTTTCCGTTTGATCCTGTTTTGCGTTACATTCTTTGCGGTTCCTCCCGGTCTTTGGTTGTATCCCAATCTATTCGAAGATGTTGGATTCTTCGATAGTTTTAGGCCAGTATGGGGATGGCAAGAGGTATGTGCTTACTATTTGATTGTTTTGTGTTTCATGCTAGAAAATTCTTTGCTGACTTGTATTTCTAGACTAAAAAGAAGAAGAGATCTAAGAAAACCAATGGAGCCGCCGCGCCGTCTGCAAAACCCTCAAAATCCGCTGACACCCCCGCCGCACCAACAGAAGATTCGACACCCTCTGCTGCAACCTCTGGAGCTCAGCCTGTGGCCAGCTCTGAAGGAGCCATGAAACGAAACTTGTCTGCAAGTGTCGAAGATGCGGATGATGAGTAGAAAAAGCCACCGCCGTTTGCATCTAGTCGCCTGGTTTATGCAACCACATTCTACAAATATCTTTGAACAATCGATCGTTCTTTTCATGGAATGGTTGTCTAAATTCTTGAAAGGGGTTTCATATTTGGTGTTCTTTACTCCCGGTTTGTATGATAATTTCTTCCTTGTTTGTGAGGTATAGAGGTTCATGACCTGAATGCGATATTTCATGTATTGGAAACTGCTTTCCAGCAAAAAACGCGGCGATATGCATCCAATAAAACCTCTATTCCCATTAAAATATTAATTCCTAGCTGTTTCAACATCATTCCCATTTCCTTGGAAAATCATTTTGAAATAAATCAGTTGGTCGTCAGCTCAATAGAGAGATACACAAGAAAGATATCAACGAAAATATAACTGTGAAGTTATCAAAATTGGACCCTATCTCATTTTTGATGAGTAGGGTAGTTGACGGTTATGTTGTACCCGATTTTTATACAAATAATGTGAATAGAGTTTATATATATCAGCGAGCAAAAAGAATAATTCCCAAGAAATATACATGAGAAAGGAGTTTTTGAAAAGAGAATAAGATTGGAAAGGAAATAATTCGTACAGAAGCGTGGAGGAAAAACTTGCTTCCACATTAACACATGAGAAGAACGTAGTATCTCGAAAAGAGGGGGTATCCTGCGGCATCGTGGCCAAAGAAAGCAAATAGGGGGAAAAAAGACCAAAAAATCATTGTGCATATTCATTCTTCATATTGATCGTACAGTCTATGTAGTCTCATGTATTTCTTAGTAGGCGTGCAGGACGCCTGGCTTCTCAGCAACATGCATGTCACCCAGGCCACCCGCGTGCATCGACGCAGACGCCCTGTACGTCGCAGAATGCGCGACCAAGGAAAAATTTCGCGTCGTGCGTGCACCAGTCTGATGTGCAACCATGGACGGTGGCCTTCCCGCGGCGGGCGGGGGAGCTGCTTTCCACGACGCAGACACTCGCTGCGCTGCCACCGACGGGATGTCGGGAAGAGGGCAGTCCGGCGGCGGCGCGGGCGGAGGACCAAACGCCATCTGTGGCATGCTGCGCCGGGACGAAAGATTGTTCTTGCGGGTGTCTTCGGGGGGAGAGCGATGGATTTTGACAGCTGAGGGTTGTATGAACAGGGAGTTTCTCGACTTGAGCGGGTGTCCAGGGGTGGTGGTGGAAAGCGGGGGAAATATGTGTAGTGTTTTGGCTTGCAGGCTCAAGGGCCGCTGGGGCGGGGGTGTGCTTTCGTCGAGCGGGCGTCGAGGCCGCAGCATAGTACCTCTGGCCGGCATGAGACAAGGGGGATGCGGGGTATCATGGGTTTGTCGCGGCGGATCCAAGCTGGCCAGGGGCGTTTCAGGGGCGAGTTCAGCGATGGGGGAGTGTTTAGCAATGTTGTTCTCGGACGCCCGGTGTCTGCATGTCCTGCTCTGCGATGATTTCGAGCTAAGGAAAGGATAGCGCACTGAGGAGCTGGTAGGCATGTCGGTGGACCGATTTCCATTATCTTTCGTGCTCGGCGGCGCGGTACAGCCATGAGCAGTTCCTACACGTTTCACCGGCTTGTGTTCGATGGGTGGGAGGCTCTCTGGACTCGAATCAATTAATGTTTCTGAGCTATAATGCGACGGCAACCTGACGGGTATAGTAGGCGGCATATCGACAGCGGGAATACTGGCACAAGACTGCGACGCTCTAAGATTCGATGCCGACGAAAACCTCTTACTGAACACTGGGACGCTAAAATTGGGAGCAGGCAGTAGCGGCGGCTTTGCCCTTTGCTGGTTCGCATTGCTCTGCTGCGGGTTTGTTGTGTTAAGAGAAACGCTATCTCTCGGCTCGCGAACTATCGATATTGGGCGGTGTCCAGCATCCATATGAATGTTATACGCACCGCTACTGTTGAACGCATCGGGAGACTCGAAAAAGGGGTTTTTGGGCAAACTAGGTTTGACTTCGGCTGAGGAGGATGGGGGCGAAGAGCAATGGGAGCTAGTGGCTGTTCTAGCACCAGCTGAGACGTAGGATAGCCGGGAGCCGTTTAGGTGCCCGTCATAGTCACTGCCTGTTGTTGCAGACGACAAAGACGGGGTGTCGAAAGGCTGGGTGCCACGACGACTATTTGCTCGAAGCACAGCGATATCGTCGTGTAGGGTTTGCGCCGCTTGCGACCTATTCGACGACACAGACAGCGAAGATCGGGTGCGAATACGTCTGTCGTGGTCGGATTTTCGCATGGACGTCATGCTCTGATATCGATGAAGGCTCTGCGGTGTTTCTTCTTCCACAGGTGTCTCTGGAACGTATTCTTTGCCGCCAAGGCCTTCAATCTCCCGGCGCACAACCTGTAACCAAGAGCCCAGGTCGTCGGCATTGTCTAGCACGAGCAGGAAGGACTTGGCTATCTTCGGTGAGTCGGTGAGGCGGAGACGAGAGAATAAGTTTTTTTTATTGTCGACAGGAGTGGTTCCGTTCCCGTCGTACGATTGTGATATTTGTAACACCCAGTGTTTCCCGGGAATTGCGTCGCTCGCAAATGCGACTGAGTACTCTCCAAGCTCCAGGATCATCTCCGGCAGACGGTCGAAGTTCCCATCACCGCTATATTGCAGCAGGTAGCCGCTGGTCGCGAGCATATAGATCTTTCGAGTCCATCCCATTTTGTAAATGAGGTCATTTGGTTGCCAATCGTTACCGTCGGTATCTAGACCCTGCTCCCTCTTGCCCTGCTTCACCAGCTGCTGGGCTCGCAGGATGCTGTCAGTGGGGGCATCAGGTGCAAAGAGTATGGCGTGCTTAATGGCTTGAGGGTAGGCCTTGAACAAGGGGGGGGGCTCCCACGACGACACCGCCCGACCTCGTCTTTCTCTTGTCGACTTGGACAGTCGTAAAGATGAATCCGAGGACGAAGCGACGGCTGGAGGTTGTATAGGCGCAGGGTCTCCCTGGGGTTTCATCGAGTTCTGCCTTGATATAGTCTGGGAGACAGGGCTTTCGCCAATTGAAGCAGGTATCACCACAGGCTTCGACTCGAGGATCAGAGGCGCTGCGGAATCGGGCTTCATTGTATTTCGACGCATGGAGATAGTCTTGTTCATGAAGGTCCGGAGTGACGATCTGGAGGCATGTGGCTTGGGGGCTCGAAGAGGCACTCTCTCGTCAGACGTTGCGCCCGCGACATCTTGCGGGAGCGGCGGTTTTGGGCGCATATGCGGCCTCTTCTGAAGGGCGGTGGTTTGGATCGGGGGTGGCTTTGGGCGCATGCGGAATCCGGTGGCCGAGGGGCGCTGAGGTGCATCCATGGCAGTGGGCAGTGGTTTTCTATGCGCGCATCCCGTCGTTGAAGCGGTTTTCTGGCTTTTGCGGGGCTTGCAGTGGTAGCAGTTGGTAAGATTGTTGTCAGACAGAGATGGTCACAAACGCATCTTCACATTAAGTTGCACAACCGAGCAAGAGCCAAATCAATTTTCACAGGAGCAAAGCGACGCCGGCAGCAATTCAATGGAAGACGACGGATGAACCTTGCGAATCCTTAGAACCGCGTTGTGGGTGAATATCGGTCGGGCGGCAGCGTGGATCATCGACGTAAGCAGGGCGAACGAGAATCAATTAAACCGGAGATCTGCTGGGGCGCAGGCGCATCTCCGGTACCAGCCGCAGGACAAGAATCTAGGCCGCGCAGAAGGACGGGGGCCAGGATCAGGGCTGTAGACGATGTGCACACGAGCCCGAGACTGCGCGACGAGCAGAGGGACAGCAGCAGAGAGCGCGGGGCAGTGAGCAGAACGCGATACACAGAGCTGAACTGAGCAGGCTGTCCAGAGCAGCAGGCCCGTCATATTAATATCGCCGGGGCCGGCGGGTTTCAGGATCGCACGCCTCGCCCGTCAAACCCGGCGTGTTTCTAGCTTTGTTCGCGATCACAACAAACGCGGGCGATCGCCTCCATCCCGGCGTCAGGGAGTGCGCCGGGGGCCCCCCACCTGCGCTGCACTCAGAGCTGCTCCTGCATCGCGCGCCGAGTCATACCCGCCGTACCGGTGGTGGTGCTGCTGCTGCCCCGGCCCTTGTCGCGTCGGTTGCAGAGGGTGTGCTGCCGCGCCTTGGACCTTCTCGCTCTTATTTCTGTCTCTGCGGCCTCCGCCCCTCCTGCTCCGCGCTCCCGGCGCTGGTGTCTCGGCTCTGCAGCCCAACGAGAGCCCAGCTGTCGCCAGGCCTAGTGAAAACCTAATCGCGAGCTAACAGGCATTGCGACGGAACGAACTAGCGAAATATGAACCCACCGTTGATCCGGAGCTGAGACCAGGGCGCCGCTGCGGCGCACGCAGGAGGAGACGCGGCGGGCCATAGTGTGGTTGGCGTGGATAAGAATAGGAAGCTCGCTGGCGGCGCATTTGCTGATGCCGGCCTGTCTCGCGTCGACGATCGCGTGCGAGCTGTGAACGGGCTTGCAGCCTGCACGCAAGGCCCTGCTGCAACGCATTGACGGCAGACCAGGGGCTGGGCGCACAATCCTACTGTCTGCTGGGCATGAACTGCGGTGCTCTGGTGTAAGCCTGGCAATAATAATAATAATAATAATGCCCCCGTCTCCGGCGCACAGACAACAAGGCCAGAGGGCCAGGAGCCAACTAGTTAGTTAAGTTACGGGGCACAGTGTGCCGCCCCGTCCGCTAATCACCAGAGAATAGGATTTAATACCAACTTGCACCCTTTTTGTGGGAGCGCGCCGAAGATCTTATAGCTCTGAGTCTGGTAAGCTTCGCAGCTCTATCGGCTGAAACCCCGTCGGATTCAGATCAAGGCAGGTGAGGCAAAAAACAACCGTTTGCCATGGCGACAGAGGACCGTCACCAGGCAAGCCTCCTGCCACAATCCCCCGCGGCGTTTCGGCCTGCCTCGAGCAAAGTTGTTACGGTGGCCTTGCCAAGCGAACGCCATTCCCTGACAGCTCGGCGGCGTACTCCGTATAGATCATCTGTTTATATATTCAGGAGTGTCACTATTAGTGTTTCCCCACGCAAAGCCGGTGGGCACCATGAATGCTGCTGTTATGTTGTGTGGCGGTGGGCTTGTTCTGGCCCTCTGCACTGGCAGGACTGGCCCATTGTCTAGTGGCTGCGATGGAGCATTGCTCTGTTAGTATGGTGCGTTGTGGATAATCACTAGCCGTCACTAGGGGAGATATATTATTGCATGTTTCCGATGTCTCTCTGACAGGTTTGATCGAAATTGGATGTATGTACTCCCTATGTACGGAGTAACTCTTGATGAATATTGGCTTCGTTCGATGCCGTTGCAGCCCAACAATTTATCCCGAGTAATCCGCCATCTCTGCTCCGTAGTGTCAAACAAAGCTTAGACCGTGGCGTGCAGCTGTCTGTCTTGGTGACTTTGCTCCCAAATTGTGGGCTGCATAAGGAGTACATATACGTGGACTCGGCGGCCGCTTGGAGACGTATACCCGGCCACGTCCACGTTCCGGCGCCCACGGAGCTGTCGACGACCCCGGCAAAAAGGGGGTGCTGTGATTGCAGGAGCATCAGGATACGGGAGTGTTCATGGATGACGCCCATTCCGCACCCTGTAAACAAATACGGAGAAAAACATTGCGTCACCACGTAACCCCACCGTGAATTCTTCGTAAAACAGGCGCAGACCACGCCAGTGAGCAACGAGAGGAATCTCCGTATGCGTGTCAACACCCACGCGAGCGAACCCACGGCGTGCGGTTTCGAGACAATCCCGGCGCGTGGCCGTAACACCAGGGGACCGGAATAATAGCGGCCCGAGTTGGCCTTGCACGTGAGAGGATATTTTTTATCTTCTTCAAGCACGACTCTAAACAGCGGCTCCATTGATTATTTTGCGATTCGAGTCCTCAGAATGTTTGGCGCCGCTGCCAGACCGTCTGGGCATTTCCCGTCTCTGACACAGACAACCCGCATGGTGCATGCGGATTTTGTCGCTGGACCTGGTAGTCACCGCTCTGCCGCGATATCAATATTTAGCAAGAATCCTGGATATCGGCACTGCCATATTGAATCATTTATCAATGCAGCCGTCTCAAGAATACGAACAGCAGAATTGCGACCTGCATCCTGCCTCGTATCTCGCCGGAAAATCGGTGCCTCACCATACAGCTACATGAATCAATTTGCTGGCAGAACGTATGGTTCGGCAGCTCCTAAGACAGCACGGCCTAAATCACACCTTGAAGCACCACAGCAAGGAGCACCAGCTGAAGTATCACAGCATAAATCACAGCGTACAGGTATACGACGTAAAGCACCGCAAAATAAAGCACCACGACATAAGCCACGACATCAAGACGCACCAGTCAGAGAACCGCGATATAAAGGACAGCTTAAGGCGCCACAGCGTAAAGCACGACAGAAGGTATCACATCAAAAGATACCAGGGGACGAGCCGCGACATAAAGCACAACATAAAGCGCCGCGGAGTCAACCACGAGTCGAACCCACTCCTAAACCGGCGAAACAAGAACAGTGGCGGATCCAGAAACAAGCTTTGAAGAAGAAGTTTGAGGACGGTTGGGCCCCGCTAAAACGGCTGTCCCCCGATGCTATGGACGGAGTACGTGAGCTGCACCGGGCCAACCCCGAACGGTTTTCCACTCCTGTTCTCGCGGAGCATTTCAAGATTTCCCCCGAGGCCATTCGCCGCATCTTGAAAAGCAAATGGCGCCCAACGGAAAAGGAGTCGGAGAAAAGAAATCTGAGGTGGGAAAGACGGAAAATACAAATATGGAATCACATGGCGGAGCTCGGGTTGCGGCCGCATAAGAAGTTTGCTTCACCGTCCGACTCCGAACAGCCCAAGCCAGCTCGGAAAAATAGGGACTCAACTCCCAGCCCCAGCAGCGCGCAGATTTAATTCACGTGTAATACTTATTTTTGGTGCATATTATTGGAGTCAATAGCATTTTTCTTCCTTGGATTGAATGGCACAATATCTTCTTTTTAGCGCGCGCTTAGTTGATAGCTGGTTATATAATCGTACTTTTAGACGGTGTTCTATAAACGCTAGACGCCGACGCTAATCTTATTTCAGATTAGCGGCACGTTTGTGAACTGGCTAGCCGTCAATCCTCTCGGTGCGTTCGTAACCCAAAGATCGGCTGGCCAGAGTCCAATGGTTTATCTGATTCTCTTCCAGATCTTCTGCGATGCCTGGGCAGCATTTTGCAACAGAAGCGCGCCACACTTAATAGCATGACGCTTATCAAATGCCTTCGAGCAACCTTCCATCACATTTCCGTTTTCCCGCAGTTCTGAACATCCCGCATATCTTGCCGCCAAAGCAATGACCCAGAATACCGCTAATAGATCAATTCGTCATGCCGTCGGATATCCAAGTCTTCGTACAATGGAAAGACCAAACAATATTTGCCGGCGAAAATGTTGAGTGTACCATTACGTTTAAACATATTGCCCCACACGATGCAGCGACGGACGGCAAGGGGTCACAAAAGCATTATAGAGGTGGATCTCGACCGATTAATGTCATCGAAACCGGTACCCGTTACTCTCCTGCAAGATCTTTGAACCCTTTTTCATTTAATAATGGCAATCGGCGGACATCTGGCCAGCGGGCTCGTAGTGCCACTGAACGTGGCCATCGTCCCTCCATATCTTTGAATTCACCACATGCCCTAAGCCATAGCTTCCCTCCGAGCAATCCTAGCCCCGGCAGCAAGGATTCACCTACAGCACACGGCCACAAGCGATCTGTTTCAATCATATCCGTTGAACAGCCAGATTTGAATGCGGAGCGTAAATCGTTTTCGAATCCTTTCAGTCCCAGGCAGGGAAAGGGACACACTCGCTCCGCCAGTGTCCAAGTGCCTACGAGAGCAACCAATGGGACGCAGTCCGGTACTTATTCCCCAGACTCTATAATCCAAGTTTGCCTAACAGAACCCTGGTAGCTCCCCGCTCCCCTCTTCCTCGAATATCGTCCGTCGACTCTCCTTCCAGTATATCCCTCCCATTCCGACCCGAAGCGGATGCCTCCAGGCCCTCCGGCCGTTCTTCAACCCCGCTCTTGAACCAGGCCCGTAGGTCACCCCACAAGCGTGGCTCCCCAATACCGATAGATTTCAAATTTCCCCAAGCCCCGTTATCACCAGACCAAGGTAGTACACCAGGTACTTCAAGTAGTCTACGAATTGATACAGAAACTTCGCCGTCCGGGCTCTCGGTTACGTCGTCAGCTTCGAATACTACTCCTACAAAGGGCCAGGGGCTTCCTGGCTATTTAACACCGGCAACCAAGATACTATCCAACTCTATAGTCGATGGCAGCACCAGGAGTAGCGGTGAGTTCTACTCGCTGAGCAACAATTCTACCGAAACTCTAGAGTCCGAGTATCTATTTTCGCCCAAAAACCTAGGGCGGCTTCCCACTCGGCATAGGAGGCATCATTCCAATATGGACTCATTCTCAGGGCGCCAAAATCAGTTATCACAAAGCTTACTTATGGGCTATGCACAGATCAGCGCTTCTTTCACCATCGACAGCTCCTTAGTCAATCAATCGATTTTTGAGGAAGTGAAACGGAAAGGCGTTGTTGGTAATCAAGGCCGCGGAGGCGCACCTTCAAAAACGGAAAAATCAAGACAGAGCTTTTGGGGTAATTTTGGCCTTAGTAGTATTGGAGATTCAATCAATGGGTTACTATCCGGTGAAGAACTGAGTGGGCTCCGCGATATGAGAGGCGTGTCATCTTCGCAATCAATTCCCTTACTTTCCACGCCACAGTCATTATTGTTTGTCGACTTACGCCTCAATCCTGGCGAGGAAAAGTCTTTTTCCTTTTCATTTACACTACCGAAAGGCTTGCCAGCCAGCCATAAAGGCAAAGCAATCAAGATTTCGTACAGCCTGATTATTGCAACACAACGGGCGGCCAATCCAAAGGATATCCAGCGGGTCCATCGCATAAGTATTCCATTCCGTGTTCTTAGCGGTGTTGATTGTAAGTTTATCTCCTCCCGGCACATCTGTAAGCCCTCGCTAATTCTCTTCAGCTCAAGGAGTTGTGTTAGGACATGACCTTATGCGCCCTTACGTCTTGTTAAGAGACGAGGCTCGTGTACAGAAAGTAGAAGTAAACTGTCGACTAAGTCCCAAGGAAAAAAGCATGAGTGCAAAATCGTGGACTTCTGCACCCGAATTCTTGTCCTTTGTCGACGAAATTCTCGGCCAAAAAGGCCGCCAAGGGTCTCTGGCTTCCATAGCCAGCCCTACTGAACAGCCACGAGAACTGGCTTCTGGTACATTGTCTTGCAAAGACATTATTGACCTAGCCATTTTACGGAGCAACCAATCTAGAGCATCTGATCAAAGTCCAAACCGCTTTGAAATTTCACACAATGGTCGGCGCATTGCCGTAATTGTTTTGAACCGACCAGCTCACCGCCTTGGTGAAACTGTTGTGGCTACAATTGATTTCTCCAATGCCTTACTGCCCTGTTACTACTTGCGCGGCTCCCTGGAGACATATGAGAATGTAGCCCCGACAATAGCTCTACGTTCTAGCACGAGTATTATCAGGGCTACCAGAAAAGTTCACGCTACTTGTTTTGAAAACACATTATTTTCTACAAAAGTTGCATTTATGCCGTCGATTCCTATCTCTGCCACTCCGACACTCATCACATCTGGAATAAACCTTGAGTGGCAATTGCGTTTTGAATTTGTGACTTGCGGATTACAATATGAGGATGAGACGGGTGTGTCTGGCGTTAATCTGCTCGAGACAGTGGAGCGGGATGATCGAGGAACGGTTCTCGCAGCTTTAGAAAACATTCTCTGCCAGTCCTTCGAAGTGGCTATTCCATTAACCGTATACGGTGGAGTTGCACAAGAGCTAGAGACTGAGGAACTACAGGGATATTCAATTTAGGGTCATGAAGATATGCTGATTTTGGAATGAGCTGCATACAATTTTGGGGGGATGGCTATAGTGGGCTATATAGGCGTTGACTGTCAACCTTTCTTTCTTGTTTGGGTCTGCATGCTGGCTTGCAGGAAGAACCATCTAATAGTGATATGTATTTCTTTGATGTAGGTACGGGAGTACCCTGTACATGGATGTGGGCCGGAGCGAATAAGAGCCTGCCAGTTCATCTTCGTTCAACTTCTCTCCATCAAGATGTCGCACATCGCGCACCGTAAAGTAGTTGCCACGTCATAATATTCTTCTTTACAGATGGCATTTAAAGAAGTGTCTGCATATAGTCTTTTCAAAAGTTGGCGATTGAAGATACGTGGTTACAAACGAAGTACATATTTAGTTGCGGTGCCAGACATGTCGCCGCGGCAACCACATGATCCATCAGCCTCCGTAACTTCTGGATGGCAACGAACCTGCTGCCCGCGGCCGCTGCTTTTATTTTCTTTGGCTTGCGACCGATCCCCGGCCAGATACTAGTGGTTTTCTCTTAATTCGACCCTAAGCGCCGTGGAGATTGCCCGGCCTAGCCTATTCGCGGAGTCCTTTGTTGGATCAACAGTCGCGTTCTCGATACGCCCGCCCAATCACCCGCCCGGTTTGCGTCTGCGAGTCCACTGCGGATCCAAGATGACTTCCTTTATCCCTACGGTGTCAGTGTCTCCCTGCACCTCTATCGTCGTATCGAATCCCCCGTTCAGCCTAGAAGAACATACTTGACGTCGTAGAGAGTGCCTTGCTGACAAAATGCTGGTTACAGTAACGCGCGATCAAGGGGGGCGTTTAAACCCCGCGCAGCGAACAAAGGGACTACAAATTATCAGTTGAAGCAATTTGCGGAAGCGACGCTGGGTAGTCGAAGTTTACGAAAAGCCGTCAAGTTACCCGAAGGCGAGGACTTGAACGAATGGCTGGCGGTGAATCGTATGATATCTACCTAAGTTGAGATATTCGGTAGCGGGTGGGCCTGACAAAACATATATTTACAGTGGTCGATTTCTACAACCAAATCAATCTGCTATATGGGGCTATCACCGAGTTTTGCTCTCCCCAGACCTGCCCTGAGATGAAGGCCACGGATGAGTGCGTTTCACCCAGTGAAATATCGAAAAAGGATATCTGCTGACACGCCGGGTAGATTTGAATATCTGTGGCAGGACTCGGAGAATTACAAACGCCCAACCAAAATGTCAGCTCCACAATATGTAGAGCATCTGATGTCTTGGGTGCAGAGCAACATCGACAACGAACAAATGTTTCCAAGTCGAATTGGTAAGAGCCGTTGATCGTGGTGCAATGCTGTGATGGCATTATCTAACACACTGTTCTCGTCGTCCTAGGCGTTCCGTTTCCAAAGACCTTTCCAAGTCTCTTGCGCCAGCTTTTCAAACGCCTGTATCGAGTGTATGCCCACATATACTGTCATCATTATCCAGTTATTGTGCATCTTGGACTAGAACCGCACTTAAATACAAGTTTCAAGCATTATGTGCTGTTTGTCGACGAACACAGTCTGGCTAACGGAAAAGATTTCTGGGGTCCACTGGGAGACCTGGTGGATAGTATGCTGCGCAGCGATTAAGTCGGATATTCTGGCTTTCTTCGATTATAATAAGGCAAGGGTAAATTAATGGCGGGATGCATGGGCGTGGACAATTCTGGGCGTTCAGCGGCACTCCGTGGAATTATGTGGTTGCTCTGGTGGACGGGGGTTGGCGTTTCCATAGACAGTGGACTTCAATGTATGATCAAAGGTATGAATAATGATATCCGTATTGCAGACACCTGTGCTCTGTATGAGCCGTTTATTCCATCATGGTCGAAAAGCAACCCTGAGAGCGCTGTTCCACTCGATCCGATACGAGTGCTTGTGTTTTCTTGTTTGGCGCAACCCGCCACGTGACCGGCAACGACAGTTCTCCCGAAAGTCCTCATTTCAACGTGCGATTTGATACTAGCGACCCAATTGCACATTGAAACGCCATTGGCATCGTGCTTAACGACGACCACTACTTCAGACCGGTCGGCTCATTCCCTTTGCCATGTTGTCCACCCGATTTGTCCAGGCGAGCCTCCGTGGTTCTGCCCAACACTTCTCCCGCAGAGCCGCCCTGAATGGTGTACGGACCTATGCCACACCCGCGCAAGACACAAAGCCTCCAGTTGCGCTTTTCGGTATCGACGGCACGTATGCTAATGCTTTGGTATGTATTTTTCCTCCACCTGCTGGTGCTGAACGGGACTTGGCAGCGTTCAAGCGGCTTTGAAATTACCATTGTCTGACAGATCTCGGATTGAAATCAAAATGGATAGTACACTGCCTCCGCCAAAACCTCTAGCCTCGAACAGACCTCGAAAGCTCTCACAAGCCTCGGAGACGTTTTCAAGAAAGATGTCAAGCTTACTACTATCCTCAATGCCCCCACCCTGTCTGCCAGCGATAAAGCCCAGATCGTTGCTGAATTGCAGAAAATTGCCGGCGGTGCAGGCAAAGGTGATGTGATGAAGAACTTCTTGAATACATTGGCGGAAAACAACCGCTTGGGAGTGTTGGAGGGTGTGTGTCAGAAATTTGCTACACTCATGAGCGCCTACCGGGGAGAAATCGAGTTGATTATCACCAGCGCCCAGGTACGGAACATTCAACGTCGTATTCCATTCATTGGTGCTGGGCTAATTTTTGTGCTATAGAAACTTGACCAAAAGACCCTTCAGCGTCTTGAGACCGCTGTTGCTAAGTCTGAGTATAGCCAGGGAAAGAAACTCAAGGTTGTTAGTAAGGTATGTGTTATATATGGCTGAGTTGCATGCATCGATTTTCTCCTTTTATATATATTCCCAATGGCTTACCAGATTTTAGATCAACCCTGATGTTGTGGGTGGTCTTGTTGTCGAGATCGGCGACCGCACTATCGATCTGAGCGTGTCTTCGAAGATTGCCAAACTCAACAAGGCTCTTACCGATGCTCTGTAAATATCTATATATTGTTTTGTATTCCACCAAAGAGAAAGAATAGAGAACAAGTGAATTTTGTGACATATTACAAGTTCAAAGTGTTTTGTTCCACGATCTTTAATGATGATTATCATTTAATGCCCTAATATCGGCACCAGTCCTAACTCCAGATCTGGTACAGTCGCATCTATGTTACACTTTCCAGTTATCGATCGATGGTCAATATTAAAAATTAAATGTAAATACAACATAAGGAAAATCAAAAGAATGAATAATGTTCAGCTGCCCGAAGTAGTAAAAGTCCGAACTACCCACCATGCAACGCATTTAGTGGCAGAAATCCGAGAATGTATCACGGAATGATGGTATTCCAACTGTATGAGTATACAACTTGGTAACCAGGGACCCAACCAAAAGAGGCCATGCGAAAAGCGATAAAAAAAAAAGAAAGAATGACTTCAGACAAAACTGCATCGCAGATCAACAGCCAATGGCAGCAAGGTCTATAGAAAAAGACTGTAAAGTGCTCAGTTTCTCCAGCACAGAAAAGCATATTTATATATATGATGATCGTATATAACTCCCATTCCGGCCGAATAAAGCCGGATTATGCATATCTTTCATCCCATGTCCTGGGACTTTATCTATGAGTTTGTGTTTTTGTTGAATTGGCTTGCTTCCGATCAACATCTCGAATTGTTCGACGGTCTACATCGTCAACATCTTCGTCAGTGTGTCGGTCTTCGGTGTACGTCGTTGATGGGGCAGTGGATGCATCAGTAAGTCCGCCCTCTGAAGAACAACCATCCGAAACGGGCGAGGAAACTGAATCGTCCTGGTCGAAAGCGAGGTTATTTGTATGAGGGCTCCTTCCATGGTTATCATTACGGGTGTTGGCTCTAGATCGAGTAGCGAGGGATTGCTGCATCTTCAACCGTTCCTCCGCTTCGCGAATTCTGGCATGGAGAGCTTCTAGCTCCCAATTTTGAATGGTGATAGTTTGCTTCCTAGAGTGGGGAACGTTTGAGTTGTTAGTATGACGCACAGTGTACAAAGGGAAGACTGGGAGAGGTCGTACTTTTGATGAATTTTATGTGAGAGCGTATCAACTTCTGAGTTTAAGTTGAATACATTGTCGAGGGTCTCTGCGAGGGCTTGTGCCATAGTACTATCAACTGTTAACGACGACATTCTGCATTTACTCTCAAATCTAGAGATAGACAAGCTAGGATACGAACGATTGAGGTCGCCCTTTGGGCTTCCATCCCTCCTCTATATCAGACATTCTGAAAATGTGATCGGCGACGTTGGCTGTTTCGAAAGTCCCGCAGGGCAGGCGGGTGTCAGATCTGGTAGCCCGGGGTAGGGTTCTAAGGTTGAAAGTGAACAGGCCAAAGGGTCAATTATTTGTACAAGGTTGGATAAAAACGAGATTATTATTAGTGCAGAAACCAGACCAGCTGGTGGAGGGAGACAAGGACGGGGCAGTATCCTGGCGTTGTTTCGAGTGGCCTGTTAGCGTTTGATATATTAAGGGGAGGGCTTTATGTAGCCAGACAGGCAGGGCGCTGGCGCGTTCCTGAGCAAAGGATTGATCACACACGTCGGTTTGCAGCGCAGGCTTTTTAACCTGCCGGGTGGAGGTGCGTTACGCTTCGCCCCTGATAATCATTCTCGTGCCGACCTTGCGGGTTCCTTTTCTGGGCGGCTGGCGGGTCACGGGGCTCCCTAGCTAACTATCCGATGACTCAGCAACCCCTAACCCCACGTGATGGCTTGGCACCGCTCCCAGTCTTTCTCGCGAAGCCGGCGAGAAGAAGCAAACCAGTTTCACCACCATCTTCATCCTGCCCATCGCAAAGCGTCAATTGCTAGTGTTCGACGTGCAGTTTCAGCCGACACAGCATCCCTAATTTGATCTAGGAGCAAACTCTTGTGACGCGACACTCATTTCCCGTGACCCACCGCCCGCCTCGCTCCCCAAAGACCCGTCACTCGGCAATGGGGGATGCCTTCATTGTCATTGTACACCCCATTCGAATCCCTCTTATTCTTACAGTCTCTTGCGGGCCTTGAAAAACGTCCGGAGAGCTTCCTGTCTATTTCGGATGCTCTGAAAAACCACCCATACATCCGGCAGGATCCAAATTTTGACCTTAGCCGGTTGACTCCACAGGCACTGGAGGAGCTATATGCTAGTTTAATAAAAGGGAAAGAAGGAGATTTACTGGGTATAAAGAGCTTAGAATACCAGCAAGTTCCTAGCGCACAGCAAGATGGACCGGGCACATCCCCAAACAAGAAACGAAAGGTCACGCCGTCGGGAGATGGAGCTCCAAATCCGACTGTGATATCGGGCCTTGTTTCGCGACTATATGCGCGTTTCAAGGAATTGGTTACAAAAGAAATCCAAGATGAAGAGCAAAGATACAAAGATATTACGAATGAAATCAGAAGAATACATCAGGAACAAACAGCGCCCGTACCGATCCCTACTGCAACGGGTGTGCCACTCGCACCGCGACCGACATCTGCGCATACATCAGCCGAAACGCAACGTAATACTCCGCTTTCACAGGGATCTAGCAACGAGCCAAGAATTGCCCAAGATGCGAATCGACCACAACAGCCAAATGCAGAAAAATATGTGCCAGTTCCTATTGCCGCGGTTGACCCTGCCCGTCAACATATTGCTGCTACGCCCGCTGCTACTCAATACCGATTCGAAAATAAGACCCCGCAATCCATGCAGCCCTATCGAATTACTCAGCCAATGAGCCAGTCAACTCCTGTCGCCCCTGTTAATATCCAGCCAGCGCCAAATATAGCCGCACACAATCTTCAGGCGCCTTCTTTCCCCACTAGTTCATCAGGAAGCCACATTGCTCCCGCATTTCAGAATATTCCCAAAGCGCCAACCCAGCCGGTGGCACCTCAAGGTGTTTCTGCCGGAGGTGTACGGACGTCCCCTCCGAAACCTGCTATGCAAGGGAGAATGATTCAGCCATGGTCAATTCACTCTCTTCCACAACAGCCACAGGCCCCAAAATTACCGTCTTACCTTAACACAGTGCAGCAAACATCATCAACTCCAGGAAGATCACATCAGGTCTTGCAACAACCATCTAATGGCGACAAGATTCCAAGCCCATTACTTCAAACTCCCCAGACTGCCACACTTCTGAAAGGCCAGACTAGGGGTAGTGTTCGTAATACACCAAAACTAGCAGTCGAAATCAGAAACCCATTGAATATAACCCCCGGCCCATTGAGGTCAGATGCCGGAAAGCCCACTCTGGAACGTCGGTCGACGATGCCACCACTGTACACCGCACGATCCCGCACGCCATGGAAAAAGTTAGGTATGCTAGAAATTCCGAAACATCCTGGGTCTCCTGTTCGCCCACGGCCGGAGGATATAAGCCCTATCAGCGATACAGAACTATCGCCGATGGAAGGAACAATGAGCTCGTCCGGTACAGCTCAAGGCACAGGAATGCTCAAGCCAGATATGGACTTTCTGGCCACTAGCACTCGAAGTCGGAAGCTTACTCCTGCTTTGCGAAAAGGCCGGAGCCACAGTCCCCTTTCACCCACTGCTATCCAATCTAGGCGACGTGGAAGGTCGAATGCCTCGCTCGTCGATGAGATGGAGGGTGGCACTGTCAAGAAGGAATTGCCCACAACACCTATAGGCACAGAAGACGTGGATACGGATAGGCGAAGTGCTAGCAGACTAACGCGTTCCACCATCAATTTACCTGATGAGAAGACTAGGAAGCGAAAACGGACGCCTGCTGGAGCAGAAGCCACAGCGACAGAAGAACCCCAAGTCTCTGCACAGCATGTCATCTACACACGAAATTTCCCACGAACCTCCGCGCCTATTATGCATGATATAGCTGCTCATAAACATGCATCTATTTTTGCTAAACCCCTGACAGAGCGGGATGCGCCGGGGTATAAAGACCTGATTTATCGACCACAGGACATCAAGTCAATCAAATCTTCAATCCATCAGGGAAGTAGAGCTGTGGCAGCCGTACTAGAGGCACTGAATGCCTCGGAAGGCGACGTACCTGGAACGCCGAAAAGTAACGGATTAATATTGAAAAGAACAGCGGAGTTGATACCACCCAAAGCGATAGTCAATTCATCCCAGCTAGAAAAAGAGCTAATCCGCATGTTCGCGAATGCCGTCATGTTCAATCCAACGCCAGAGGATACAATTGGACGTAGGTTTCCAATGCGCAGCGATTTTGCTTCTCGAGACGAAAGTGAAGCGTCTGAGCCAGAGGAAGGGGGCATTCTAAACGACACCATGGAAATATATGAAGATGTTGAAAGGGCTATCTCGACGTGGCGCGCGGCAGAGAGAGCTGTTGATGATATTGGAAGCAAGACTGCTACATCCACTCTGAGGGCAACGACTGTTGAGGGTGGCGTCGAGGGTGTGGATGATGTCAAGTAATGATATGTTTTTGAAAATACCATTCGACTGGTGTTACAATGGCTTTTGAATGCTCGTCTTCATACTGTAGATGTTATTGGTTTTGTCCTTCCCAACCCATCCTTAGCATAGAAGTCCATTGGGTATATTCCATCATTTGCCGTTGTCCAATCCTCACGAACACCTAGAGTAATAAGGGCTTCGTAGGGTGTAAGTAGTGGGCGAGGGAATGCATAGCCCCAATCTATACTTAATCTTGGACATGCGATTTGCACCCAGCACTCAATGTCAGGCATAGTAGCCAATTTTCCCGGGAATATCTCGCTAAGCAAGATATTTACAAACGGAATGGCCCTATCATTCAGGTGCTTCTCTATCAATGTCATTGTATTTGGATTTCCCTGTCTACCCAAGGAACCTAAGATAATACCCCATTTCTTAGCGGATCGTGCCAACTGTATTGCGTCTTTCCGGAGAGTTTGCATTTCCTCATGATCATATTTTTCGCGACTCAATATCCTCGAATACGGATCATATCTATATGCCGGGATTGATGGGTTGTGTATCATCGCAGATTCGAGATGGAATCTGCCATCGCCGAGGTACAAAAGAATATCAATTTCGCTCTTCGGTAGCTGTGGGGAAGTGCACCCTAAAATTTCGCCTTTGCTCAATGGCATGATTTGTGGTACGACAATTCGAAAGCCGGCTTTCTCAAGGACGGCCCTCAGACCGTGCAGAGTTGCGTTGAATTGGATGGTTCCCACCACAGCTATCGTCTTTCCGGCAGCAAAGTTTCGCTCCAAGGTGGCGATTAGGTGTTCCGTGTCGATGCTTATGTCCACAAAAATGTATAGAGTTTTGATCGTGGTCACATCGACTGGAATCAAGCAACTGTGGGCATAGTGGACAAGCAGATCGCACCCTAGCGCTCGAGCGGTATAGTCATCGATACAACATGCCCCGTATGTCACATCTCCCATAATCAAAGTCTCTATTCCAGGACAAAATTGGGCTAAAATATCTGAGATTGTGGTTGCAAAGAGAAGCAGGCCCTCTGGAAACTGAAGAGCAACACGCTTTGCACCGGAAGTTCGGATACGGTGGATCGTCTTGGGGATCTCAAAGGAATAGTTCCGCGGTAGTAGAGAAATAGCAGCTTTGATGTCCTCGTTATCTAGAATGTCTGAGGGGATCTGGTTGACTGCACGTGGGGCACGGCGGGGTTGGGCTGGGAGCAAACAGTGCTTATTAGTAGCAAGATTTGACAAGTAGAAATAGGACCTATAGTTACTTGTCTGAATTTGATGTGTCGATTTTTCCGAGACGGGCCCATCTTGCAGTGCTTGGGCGCCCACGGTTTTTCTACCGACAAATCTTTTCTTGGGCAATCTAGGGCGGCCTTCATTGTTGGCGGCAGGGGGATCCTGAATTTGTGAATTGTCCGTCATTGCCTACCGAAGATATCAACAAAAACAACCATTTGATATTTTATCTCCAAACATAGAAGGCTTCGTCCAGGTCAAAGCTGCCGTTTGATAGACATGCGAGAGTACTCATATGAATGCCCATTATCATGCGTTGAGCTGGCTAGCGGAACAACCTATCGCCGCTCCGAGGCTAATGGCAGCCGCAGCCCGCCGTAGCTTCGCCAAGACAGCCGCGCCGGCCCGCCGAATCAGCGCGTCGGCGCGGCTAGGCTCGGCCAACGGCGGCGGCGCCCCGATGAGCGACGACATTGCGAGCCCGGCGATGACTACCTCAGCGCACCGCGTTGATTGCAGTGCGCGCAGGTACCAAATCTGGAAAAGCATGGCGGGCGGGTGTTGGACTGACAACTGGTATCAAAATGTAACGGCCCTGGAGTCCCAATGCGGCGCGCAATGACACAGCTTTGTATGTAACTAAATGATCGTGATGTCCTCGTAGGCCGTGGCGGCCTTGGCTCTCGGACCGGCAATTCCTCCCATCAGCGTAACCTTCGCCGGCCTTTTTTGCCTCGAACACGGCGAGATTCGGCCTGCAGAGCTACGGCGTTGTTTCGGATAGCCAGAGAATGGCCTTTCTTCTGTCACATACCTCCTGGAGAAGCTGAAAAGTTCATTATTTTGTTCATATAACTCCTTCCCACTGACCCTGGACGGCCTTGTTCGCTTCCGCCCTTGCGACGCTGCTCACACCCGCCATGCTGTCGTCCAGAGCCGTCCTTCGCCTTTCGCGGCGCGTCTCACGTACAGTTGCTACACGATCACTGTCTACGGAAAACAGGCTATCGCCAGATTTTGTGAGGATCGTGGAAGTCGGCCCTCGCGATGGCCTACAGAATGAAAAGAAGGCTATCCCAGTTGAAACAAAGATCGAACTGATTGAGCGGCTTTCAAAAACTGGTGTGAAGACCCTCGAAGCCGGTTCATTTGTGCCGGCGAAATGGGTCCCCCAGGTGCGTTGGAAGCATTCTCGATCTTCTTTAAAACATGCGCGCCGCAACTTTGAACCAAGACTGACCGACACTAGATGGCGAGTACATCTGACATCATGAAACATTTCCTAAAATCTCCACCCAAATCATCGCACCCAATCGCCTTCAACTACCTCGTGCCCAACATCAAAGGTCTCGAAAGTCTCGTCGCCACGGCCGAGTCGGAGGGCCTTTCTTTAACTGCAGAATCGGCGTCTTCTCCCCAACACACCACCGAAATTTCTCTTTTCGCAGCAGCTACTGAAGCGTTTTCGAAAGCCAACACAAATTGCACCATTGCAGAGTCCCTCACGCGTATTGAACCCATCGTTGATTTGGCTAAGAAAAAGAATCTCCGTGTGCGTGGTTACGTTTCTGTCGCGCTTGGGTGCCCCTACGAAGGCCCAGATGTTGACCCGCATAAAGTTGCCGAAATAACCGCTACTTTGCTAGAAATGGGTGCCGATGAGGTGTCTGTTGCAGATACAACGGGAATGGGTACCGCTCCACGGACGCAACGGTTACTAAAAGTGCTCACATCGGCTGGTATTGCACACAATGATTTAGCTTTACACTTTCATGATACCTACGGCCAAGCCCTTGTCAACACTATTGTAGGCTTGGAGCACGGGATTCGTGTATTTGATAGCAGTGTAGGAGGGCTCGGAGGCTGTCCTTATTCCAAAGGTGCCACAGGAAATGTATCAACAGAAGATCTTGTGCATACGTTACACAGTCTTGGGATGCAAACCGGCATAGACCTTGAGGAAATGTCCCGAATCGGAGACTGGATCAGCAAGGAACTTGGCCGGGCTAACGATAGCAGAGTCGGAAAGGCAACACTGAGCAAACTTCAAGCATAACTGTGATTTTCAGCCTTAACTGCCTTGTAGGGGCGCTCCAGTATGTTCAATGCATGTATATACAATATTTATAGTACAAAAAATAGTAAAATAAATAGACTTCGCCAGATTTCCACTCTAACAATGTTGTCTTCGATAAGCCACCTAAAAAGTACGTCATGCAGAAACACTCGCAGCTTTTAGGCTTTATGTGGATCCCAACAAGGGGACCTTTTTTTCATTAGAGGAAATATATATCATCGTAATGAGGTTCCAATGTCGATGTACGGTGCTCCAGGGGTATCATCCAACTCTTATTTTGGTCTCGTTTATATCATGAGAAACAGCCGTAGCATGATCCCTAAATAATATTCTCTCACAAAGATAAGCCCGCCCTAGTCAGTCGTAATATTAGAAATCTGTCACCCTTCCGCTATAGCTCCAATCGCCTTCGGCGCCCCATCTCAGTGGCTCGTTTTTCGGACCCCCTACTTCCCCTGTTTTTGGATTAACATCGCCCTCAAACTCTGGCTTTACGCCGTGCCGAATATCAGGATGCAGCTCTTCCCCCTCGCTGATTCGCGCTTCAGACGACGATGCAGAGGATTCTCCCGGCTGGTTCGCTTTTGGTGCAGAACGAGGTGTACTGAAAGCACCAGTGGACTGCCGTTGGAGCTGTTCAAAGAGTTCTTGGTCTTCCTTTGGTAGGCGGGGAGGAGAAGGTCGGGTTTGGAATGGGTCGGACTTAAGTGGCTGTAAAGTGAGCGAGAAAGTGCGGGTTGGTACGCGGAACAGGCGTGGGAAAGAACGCCTTAATGAAAGAATTCGAGGAAACTGGTTTGCCATTTCGGCGCTGTTCAGTCCTTCAACTAAGAACGGCTTGAATAAAGGTTGGTGGTTGGTATACGGAGTACTCCGTAGAGCGGACGTGAACTGGGTGACGTGCTTAGTCATCAGAGCGTTTGTTAACTTCCGCGGAAGCTCACCGGGCAGGCTTATCGATAATCCCGGCCAATCAGCCGTGCTCGGCGAATTTAGTTGAGCTCTCGCAGGTAAGAGTCAGACATCAACAGGCACAGTTCTGTGGTACAATTCACTCGTCTGAAAGAGAATATAGCTTGCTCGTGTATCCTCGAGCTTGCAATGGCTTTTCGACTCGCCGTTCAGCGGGCAACGTGTGTTGCGCCACGGTCCAAATCTGTAGCAATACCGGGGTCCCTTTCGCGACACTTTACCGCCGGTGTCGGCGCTTCAAGCCTACAGCAGAATGAAACGCAGACAAATGTATGATTTTCTGCAGCAATTAGAAATTGTTTTGTTAATTTGTGTTCTAGAAGAAATTATCTCTTCCAAATCCTGAACCTGCGTCGAATTCGGCCACAGCCGCCTTCGTCAATGAGCGCGCCCCGTACATGGTGCCGACGTACGTACGGCCTCTGCCAGTTATGTCCAAGGGCGAAGGATGTTACCTGTGGGATATGGAAAACCGAAGATACTTGGATTTGACTGCAGGTATTGCCGTAACGTCTCTAGGGCACTCCGATCCAGATGTCACAAAAGTCATTGCTGAGCAGGTAAATATGCATTACTATCTTCTGCTCCATCTCATTTCCTTTTGCTGATATCACACCTCCATAGGCTAGTATTTTACTTCATGCTTCAAATCTTTACCATAACAATTGGACGGGAAATTTGAGTAAACTACTCGTGACTCAGACCCTAGAATCCGGCGCCATGCGTGGTGCTACACAAGCATTTATTTCCAACTCCGGAACAGAAGCTAATGAAGCGGCAATAAAATTCGCCCGCAAAGTTGGCCACAGTCTTGATCCATCTGGCGCAAAGCACGAATTTGTTTCATTCCACAATTCCTTCCATGGGAGAACATTTGGTGCTCTCTCGGCTACGCCAAACCCAAAATACCAAGCTCCATTTGCGCCAATGGTTCCTGGTTTTAAATATGGAAGATATAATGACACCCAGCAATTATCTAGCCTTATCACCGAAAAGACGTGTGGAGTTATTGTTGAGCCAATTCAAGGAGAAGGTGGTGTCAATACAGCAACACCCGAATTTCTCGTTGCTCTCCGGGCCCGTTGTGACGAAGTAGGAGCTGTCCTGATATTTGATGAAATTCAATGCGGCCTTTCCCGCACAGGTTCTCTCTGGGCTCACGCCCACCCATCCCTTGTGCCTACGAGCGGTAACGCTGCCCATCCTGACATCCTCACGACAGCAAAAGCCCTCGGAAACGGTTTTCCCATAGGAGCCACGATTATATCTGATGTTGTCGGTAAACATATTAAGACTGGCGACCATGGAACTACATTCGGTGGAAATCCGCTCGCATGCCGCGTCGCCCATCATGTGTTGACTCGTCTGGCTTCGCGTGAGCTACAAGATACAGTAGCCAAACGTTCGAAGACGTTTGTAGCCGGTCTCGAATCCCTCCGCGAAAGATTCCCTGGTGTGATCGCTGAGATTCGAGGCCGGGGGCTGATTATCGGTGTGCAACTATCTGATCAGTACTCTTCCCGTGTAGGCGATGTTGTCACTGCTGCTAGACAACGAGGGGTGTTGATTATTACTGCGGGCGAAGGTTGTTTACGATTCGTGCCACCGTTGGTCATCAGTGAGGAGCAGATTCGGGAGGGGCTGCGGATAGTAGGAAATGCCATGGAGGATGCCTTCAAGGCATAGGTAAGCATTTGGCCTATCGCGGGTATACTCTTCTTTTTATTCATTCAAGCACCCTGTTAATTTTCTGCCTGGTTTCATAGATATCATTTCCTTTGTTTTTGGTAATGAACGTAGAATAGCGAGGGAGGCAAAAGCTATAAAATAGACCGTTCGTCTGGATAAATATGTGCTCAACTATATATGGAATGCTACGAATATATTCACAAAAAGCGTCATCCTCTATACACATTTAGTTCCTATGTGAGTTCACTATGGTGTTCGAGCTTCTTCCCCAATCCCCATCAAACCACCTGCCAAACCCTTCATGCGTCGATGAAGCAGATCTTCTTCACTTGGTAAACTCGTCAAGCTCGTCTCTCTACTTATCTGCATGGCACGTTTCTCCTGGTCCAATGATAAGGTTGGGTGACCCACTTTTCTGATTTTCATTTTGCGGACTGGTTTTACGCTTCTTAGGCCCTTTGAGCCAGGAGCCTCGGCGTCATCTAGTGCCTCTGTGGCCGGGGAGGAGTCATGTTTATTTGACATTGACGAGGAATGGGCGGAAGACGATGAACCGGAACGTGTGCCGGTCATTCGAATGCTCATTTCAAGAGGGCCATCCTCGTCAACAGACGATTCGCCTGTTAAGCTTCGATAGTGATGGTGCTTCCCACTCTCCATATTGCTGGTCTCCGTTTGATATTCCGTGGAAACGCCAGATCCACGACGTACAGCTTCCGAAGCCGCGCGTGTTCTGCCAGGTAATGAGCTTGTTGAACCATTCTTCTCTTTCTCGATACTCTCCACAGTGGTACGGGCTTGAATATCCTGAATCCAACCTGTGCATCGGTATAATTGTTTCCAACCTTCTGGGAAGAGGGTAACGAAGTTAAGGAAACCATGTGAGATCCCTGGTATTAGAGTAACTTCAACATGATCCTTTTCATCAAACTCCATTTTAGACTTCTCTAATCCAAGCTCTTGCCGCTCTCTAAACCGGTGAAGCTTAGCTTGTCGGATTCTTCCAGCGAATATTACAGTGTCGTCAACAAGGGGATCTCGTTCTCCAGTAAGGAAGTATGTTTTCGGAAATTTAGCCAGAAGAGCTTCAGGAGCAAGTAGGGGCGAAAGGAGAAAATCTGTGCTGAAATCCGGGCGATTATATGGCCCAATGTATAGGATAATCATGGCTCGCATCATTTCTGGTGTCAGGATGCGGTCATTGAAGTAAGAAATCATTGAAGAGACAGCAAGGCGAGTCCGGATTTGATGAGGCTGCTTATCCGCCATTGCTGCAATCTGGGATGCAATATTCCCTGGGATAGGTTTATTAATTGTTGGCTCGGCTTTTTCAACAGCCGAAAAGGATGGGTGTTCAACATCATCTGTGCCGTGCTGTTTGTCGAAATAGTCGCGTAGTACAGAATGATTCTCTAAGGCATCATCTGAAGGATGTGGTGTTGTGGTAAGCTTGTAATAATCCTCACTCTTGCGTCTCAGGATATTCTGGTTCGTCTTCCTCATTCCTCTATCCCGAATGAGAGACATTTGCTCATCTGTCATCCAGTTCCCAATATTCATGTCCAGGGACGGGTAGATTAAAATTAGCCCAGCTGGAACAGGGAGGCTACCTTCGCCTCTCCATTTTCTGGACTCTGTACTTCCGGCCTGGAGTATCATCAATGTCAGTCCAGCAGCCAGGTTTCCGCCAGCACTATCACCAGTAAGTATAATTCGAGGGCATGTTTTCCCGCTCAACCCAATACATCGACCTTTTGTCATGACGATAGTATGATAAACGTCATAGCATTCATTCAGGGCATACGGATATGGGTGCTCCGGTGCCTTCTTATAGTCTAAGCTTAGAACGGGGATTCCAGTCTTTCCAGCCCACGTAAGCAGTTTATCATCGCTTGTTCTAGGGTCCATCGCAACGAATCCCCCACCTGGTATATCCAAAACTATTGTATCTTGATTTCTCAAGCTACTTAGAGGACCATTGAAAAATAGCCACCCTGAAGTTGGTTCTTTGTATGATGACTCTCTCGGTCTGGGAATTCGAATTGCAATAGGATCGTATTTGCAGAGGCGTGGCCTCAGTAATTTTGAGAAAAACGATAGATATGGTGTTGTGGCTTTGTTCCATGAAACACGTAGATGGTCAACTGTCAAAACAGCTCGAACCTTCCGTACCTTTTCATCCGCATGTTCCGCAGCGATGAGGTAGTATATTGTGAAAATGAAGGAAGCAAGATCGCGCAGCCATTTGCGTTTAATATTCATCGCTGTCCAGAACCCTGCATCGAGAGCCGTTGTCACCCAAGTGGCGCGGAAATATGATCTCGAGTATAGATTCGCCAGAGGCTCAGGGCATTCTAGCCCAACTAGTTTAGCAAAATTGCGGGAGAGATAGAGTGTTAACATTGTCATGACGGTGGCCTGCCACGGCGTCATTCGTTTGTTTAGCCGAGATGACAAGAATCGAGCCCCAGGTGGGCCATGCTTATTCCCTCTATATAGCCTCTTAGTTAGTAACAATTGCAAGCCAGAAAACAATTCTAGTACTTACCTCACAAGATATAGTATCCAGAAGCCAACAACAGCAAAAACTTGAATTTTGCGCATCTGGGTAGATGGCCTACCCAGAACATGGTCTTCAACCAGGCAATCAGTAAGGGGAAGCGCGAAAAACAATCTCAAGAACAACAATTTTTAGATTCTCGTACCTATCATCTCTTAAACCGACGCCCACTGGCGATTCAAGGGCAGGAAAATTGATTTGTATTCAGTGCCAGAAGATGCAAGGACCAACCGAAGACCAATCGCCCCTGTGATTTCAGGGTATTTTCATGGAAATCTTAGCAATCGTGTCTCGTTAAACCATTGAAAGTATATATGTACAAGGCTATATTGCAACTGCCATATATTTGTATCCAAAGGAATAGTACGGCACACCGGGCTGAGGGACTTATATTCCACGGAAGACAAAAGAGAGAGAATTCGCCGCTACCGTAGGAATGGATACGCTGTGGACCATGGGACTGACTTGGAGAATGGAAACTCGCAGTTATGGTTATCACTTGTTCCTTTTTCTGTGTATACAAGAGCCAACAGCAGTGAGTCCAGAGCCAAGGTCAGTGACGTGATAAAGAGATGTTGCGGAGTAGAGCTACATGAAGTCTGTCGCCGCCGCCGTCTAGCCTCGCTGTCGCTTCTCTCAAGTTACGACGAAAACAGAACGGGCATGTGACAATGACAGAGCCTCTAGTCAGCATGTGAAAGTCTCGGATCAAACTCGCCGGTGCTCCGACCCCACGTGGATTGCCACGCTCAGCCCCACAAAGTCAAACCTTATTGACGGGTGAATTTTGTCCGCATCGAGATCGCGTGGACACATTCTGTGTCGTGTACTTCGTAGACGCTGGCAGCGCCGCAAAATGGGCACTGCCGAACAGCGAAAATATATCATCTCCTCCAGCCCATCCTATGATTGAAATGGAGAGACATAAGTGACGGTACTTGGTTCTAGCTCATACTGAACCAAACAGTCAAATCGAGTGCTTTGTGAATTGTTCAGCTAGTCCAACGAGGTAGAAGCTACTTTGGCAAAACCAGAGTAATTGTTGGGTGCCCGGCTTAAACCTATTATCAATGTCGTAGGAAGTGCAGCAAGGAAATTGGGCACGCGTCTTTGGAAAGCGCGGTTTGCTATATCTTTCTGCAGTAGTTCCTACCATGACGAACTTGCCAATTGCACAGCCATACTTCAAACAGCATTCCAAGAAACCCGGCTATACATATACCACCGGAATCGCTTACCGTCGTGGCGCCCAAAGAGAATTCGCGATCTTCTTCAGGGACTTGATCCGTGATTTCAGCAAAAGTGTTCACGTAAACGAGACCGCCAAGTAGACCCTCCCAAAACACGATTATGAATATGGCATAAACATTGGGAATGAAGTTGAATAGCGCTTGAAGCGTGAGAATGGCAAGATTGGCAAGCTGTAGAAAGGACGGAAAATATAGGTCATGAACGCGAAAGAAAGGAGTCGAGGAGCGGGAGATGAAGACTCCAACCTGGTAAATCGCGTTATAGGTTGGGTAAAACGAACGAAAATGTTCGAATGGGCTTGATTCTAAGGGAAATAACAAGGTTGGAGCAACTCCCTGGTTAATTGTGTATTCGGCAATGTAGACGAGAAGAAGCGGTAACATGCTGGGTGATAGTCAGAACGGCACAAAAAAAAGGAGGGATGGGAGGCTGTGCTTATGGAAGCTTACAAGGGGAAAAATAGGGCTTTTGCGCGTTTCAAGTTGGCTTTGAAATGTTTCCACGATAGACTTTGGGGTTCGGCAGATATAGTCTCGTTTCGGTTACTTGAAAGGAGGCCTTCATTTTCAGCCCTTTGATTCCTAGAGCTATCTCCGAATACCTCACTGCTTTCGCTGTTGGAAACAGGTTGATAGTATCCCCCGCCTTTCTCGAATCTTCTCAAGGGTCCTAGAGGCAAGATCACAAAGAAGCTCAATACCATCACCGCAGGTAAGCATGCAGAGGCTAGCAACGTCGCTCGCACGGTGAATCCAAATGATGTTGTGGCCAAGGCGTATGCTCCAGCGCCCACCAAGCCGGCGGCCCCAGTTCCACTGCTCCAAGCAGCTAAGCTGAAATGCCCATAAAAATGGGTGAGGCCAAGAAAGCTCAGCTCTCCACCGCCTGAAGATAGACTGGCAAGGATTACGCCGCACATTTTGGTGAAAATGGGGTTTTCTGCCATGTTGCTTGGATCATGTGCAGGCGACAGAGCAATAAGCAGCATGCCACCAGCAGAGAGCGCAACGAAGATTAAGATTCGAATAGGATATGGTACGAGGTGAATGAAGTATGGAGCGCATAATTTGGTCACGAAGGACGGAATGACATCGGCAAGCAGCACGACGCCTTTTGGAACGCTGGGCCCGACGAGGTCGAGCGCGGCCGAGAGGATGATAACGTAGAGTACATTGTTGATTAGCCCTAGAATTAAAAGGTATTAGCTTGCATTTCTGGTATAGGCATCGGGCAGGAGAATGACTCCCATAGGTTATTGAGTAAATAAACGGTGGTTATCACGTACCGAACAACCAAAAGGCAGCACACGTTCTCGAATCAGCACCATGAAATACGGCTTGGATACGCCCTCGAAACTGGGTAAACGTAAAGCTAGGAGCACATGGTAGTGGAATCATTTCTGAAAGCTCTGGTGTATGTTATTTAGCAAGGTCATGAAGTAAAGTTGGCCTTGATGTCGGTCCTAGGCTAAATCAGTGAATATGTTAATCTAAAAACAGGTGGAAATAGGTCCATCACAGAGGTCAAAGCTCTCATATTATGCGCCTGGCAATAGTGAAGAGCTCTCCTTCCATTCACTTGCTGCAGGTGATGGCACGGCTTTCTCCACACTTCACGGGAAAATCAAGGTTTGTGCTAGTGCGAGTCGGAATATCATTCATCCACCACTGTAGCTGCAGGCATAAAAACCTCCAATCTCTCCTCCTCCTTCTCTTTTCTCTTCATATTCCTTGAACTACTGCATCCTGGCTTCTCTATTTTCTATGACTCACATGTAACCAACAAACAAGAACATCAAAATATTCTGCAATCGCAGAATAGATATATACAAACTCTACAAAATATCTATGAAGAATATTATGATCTCAATGTGAGGTCAAATATAAAACAGTGGCATATGTTCTAATGCTTAATGGAGCTTAAGATATGGGGTGATTAAGACCCTAAGTCACTCCTTAAACCGCCTTTATCGACGCCGCTGGAGAATTTGAAATAACATATTCTTCGCCCTTAACAATATTCTAATATTTGCGCCCCTACGGCCCCGCCTACAAAAGGGGAAAATTCAAAAATTTGAGGGCTTTTTTCTGCCATATTTGGCTTGAATGGCCTTCCACCGGTAATAGACGAATTGCCTTAACGATGCCGCCCAAAAAGAGCTATTGACATTGAGAGAGTCGACATGGTGAACTCGAGCGGCATTTTCAATTCGGGATCGCGAACACAACAACCAATAAATACTGTGGACGGCAGGTAAAACCATTGTAAATAGGGCTTGCATTCCAGAAATTAGTGTGCCTCCCAATATACTATTCGCACGGCTGAATAATATGGGGGAGACGAGGTTGACAACTTGGTAGCGGAAGTTGGCATGGGACACAAATGACGTGACCTTTAATCACAATCAATGTACTCCATATGGCATATTGGACAGAATTGGTGTGAATATTAAAGACCATATATATGAGTATTGGTCAATTTTCAGGGGTGTTGTTCATCTATCCAGACTTGCAAGGTGGCACGGAACTTCCTCCATAACAAAGGTGTGGAAATATGCATGTTCGTATTTAGCATTGTTGTATGCCCAAACACCATTACCTTCAGAATTCTGTGTTACTTAGGCCCAATGTGAATAGATGAAAAAAATCAACTGCCCTGGAACAATGCAGTACTAGTTTATCCCTGTGGCAGGTGAATGTGCATAAGACGGTGTGCTTTATTCAGTGATAGGATAAAAAGTGGTACACCCGGGTGCATACAGAATGCGAGGCATTGAGAAGAAACAAGACGTAGCTCATTGTGCGACGTAGAATAGTTGGATCCACTTGAGGAAAATCCACGAAGTGCTGCGTGAGGCCGATACTGTCAAGTATGTTGCAGGCGAACAAAAGAAAAAAGAAAAGAGATAAAAGAGGTCTACCAGACATGTAGACCCTAGATACTCTGAGAATGCTAGCGGTCTGCACCGCATCTTGACCAGGCGAGCCACGCATACGAGAGAGCGCGGGTTGTGAGGATATTCCAGGCAAGGGCAGGGGAAATCCAGCATCAGCACACGGGGGCAGTGAAACAACTGGCAAAAGGAGGGCGGTGGCGACGGGGGGAGGTGCGGGATACAACAGTGTGCGACGTGAGATGCGAGCTGACGGGCACAGCGTGAAGGCGATTTGGCAGCGGCGGGGGCCAGAGCTGAAGGACTCGAGGGACCGGACAGCGGTGGGTGCGGAGCGGCGGGTGGGTGCCAGCAGGTAACGAAGGACGAGGAGCCGGCGGAGACGGGCATGAGATGACAAGAAGAAGAGGAAGGGAGCGGTGAAAAAGGGGCGTGCAGGTGGGCAGGCGGCTTTTCTTTATGCGCGCGTGCGATGACGACGATCGGCGGCGCGCGAGCCAGGACACCGGCGCTAGGCCGCATACGGGCTGGCGCGGGCCGGGAACAGGTGATTTCCCCGGAGACCCACGGGCGGGTTGCGGCAGCCCCATGACGTGTCGCGAGCGAAACAAACAACAACAACAACAACAACCTCGCCGGGCGCTGAGCTGGCCCAACGGCGGCGCGTTTGCGGTGGCGGGCAGCCGGTGCTGCTGGGGGTACGGAGTATATAGTAAACTAGTGGGCGGAGTACTCTGTATGTCTTCTGCGTCTTTTCGTGCTCTGCTGCTGCGGCTGCGGAGCCCACGGCCAGGCCCCTGGCGCCCATTATTAATTGCGCCCGCTAACAAGGCGACTAGTTCGCTGGCCCGACCCCTGTCCTGGCCCGCCGTTCAGCCAGCTGCTAGCCTGCTACTGCTGCCGCCGCCGCCTTTTTTATCCCCCGGCCCAGGCAAATCCTCGCACTAACAAACTAACTACCTGACTGACTGCTGCTCCTCCTGCGGCCCTGTTCTCGTCCTCTCCGCCCAGCATGCCCGCCGTCTGCTCGCCCGGTCCGCTCTCTGCCCTTCTCGCTGCCGCTGCCACAGCCTGTTGACACCCGCTCTGCCTCGCTGTCGTCTGTTTGGGGCCCAGGAACCTTATCCTGCACGGTTGCTCGGTCTCAACCTAATCTTGTTCTGTCTTCCCAATCGCTTTTGCTCGGCGACTCTCTTGCTGGGTCTTCCTCTTTAATTCTTCCTGCCCGTCGGACCGCGTCGCCAGAGCACAGCTGCACCGCGTCGAGCTTCATTCTCCCTGTGTCGCCTGCTGGCCTGGCCTAGCCTGTCCGTTCGCGCTATGGGCCCGCCGCCTTACTCTCGCTCCTCTCCCTATGGCGGCTCCCGCGAACCCTCGCTGCCTTCGCTCCGCTCGCGCCTGTTCGCCTCGTCCCCGTCGAATGCGACACACGGTCCATCGCAGCCGCAGACAGCCTACGACCCGCTGGGCCGACGAGACCACGACGTCTCTCCGCGAATCCCGCCGGCGCCCGTTAGCTACCCATCGCGCTTCCACCCGCGCGAAGGCCCGCCGCACGCGAGCTCGACACCAGGCTCGACGCCGTCGCCATATCTCACTGCACATCCTCCACCCTCCGAACCTTTCTCAGCATATCGGCAAGCCCCTCCTCCTCCGCCGCCCCCGGGCCCCAACCCAAGCTATGGCCACAGCGCCTTGCACGACCACAATGCCCCATTTCAGGAAGGTAAGGTCTGCTTTCTTTTCTCCTTCTCTCTCCCTCTCCCTCTCGTCGCCGTCGGCTAGCACCAACCCGCCCGCCGCCCTCTCTGCAGCGCCTGTACCTACGCGTACAGAGGCCCTCCTCTCCGCCTGTCGCGCCGCTGTTGATTGCGCTGCCCAGCTGCTGCTATATTTGGTTTTTTCTGATCAGCAACCGCGATCCTCGTGTCCATCACGCTAGCCGTTTTAAGGTTCTACCCCTAGGCTGGACGCGGGCTAGCGCAAACCTTACGCGTTCCGGTCCCGTGACCGCGCATTTTCCCCAAACGTGCCTTCACCACCTCCTCACTCGATCTCCTTCGTGCCTTTTCCCCCATTCCAAGGCTAACTCTTCCACTCGCTGGCGTGCGGGTGCCTTAGGTCCGCCGCCGTCTATACTGCGAGACATGTCTCATCATTCGCAGCCGTACGATCAGCTTCGCAGGAGGTCGCTAGGGAGCACCGGAAGCCCACCCGTCTACCCAGGTACGTCGATCACGTTCCTTCAATGCCTGTGAACCATCCGCTTCTCTCCATGTACGGAGTACCCTTAACCCTTGCAAACCCTGTTGCGAAACATTGCTGCTGAACGACAGTAATTGCATGTTTCATGGGTCTTTGTGCAATATTCTTTTTCCGCTGGCTTATGTGAGCTGCCCGTTTCAGCCAGCTAACTCCACTATTATCTGCGCCCTTAGGTCATTCTGACCATCAACCTTCCCATTCCGCTTCATCCTACAGTGCTCGCCAAATGCCTCCTCCTTCGCCTCCACAGCTCTTCCAGGGCCGGGTGGCCTCAATTCAGCCGCCGCATCCCCCAACTACCCTGCCTCCGCCCTCCTCGTCGTTTGCGCCTCGCGATCCCCCCTCCCAAACGCCGCCGTCGCATCGCACTGGAAGTAGCGTGCCCATCGCGTCAATTCTCGGTTCGGACTCCGATAGACCTTCCCGTGAACCTACCTCGTCCTCAATGTTTTCACGACCTCATATTTCGGCCATATCGGGTGCGCCAGGGGTGCCGACTGCGGCCGGGAAGATGTCACCGCCTCCAGCGCCTTCCCGGCAGTCATCGTCTGAAATTCTGCCAATTGGAAGATCCCATACTCCTGACCGAGCATTCTTTTCAAAACCGAGTGCTCGGCCGTACCGATCAGATTCTGGTGGTCTAGGACTCGGACACTCGCAGCCCCCTGATGACGCGCGATTTGGAGCGCGACCTCGATCCCATGTACCGTCTTCCTTGGGAGAGAAGCACGCGCCGCCCTCCCCACGCAGTGTTTACATGGAGCCATCAGGCCCTTCAACGGATAGACGTCTGAGCCTCGGAGCACCAATTCCCCGACCAAGTAGTCAGCCACAACACCTTGCACCACCAGAAGAGATCCCATCGCGCTCGTCGCTGTTTAGCCCGGTTCATCGATCGACGCCGGGCTTTGTCGATAAGGGACCCGGGCATCAACGTACTGGTTCTGGGTACCCCGGGCTAGAAGGACACCCACATGCGCCGTCAAGATTTGGAGGCATACCCTCCGAGCCACAGAACCGAGACCTTGTGGGCCGCGAGGCGGTTCAAGATCCCAAGCACTCTCAGCAACCATTAACACGATATGGGCCACCCATTTCGGAAAGAGATGAACGACATCCGCGCGCACCTTGGGATTCGAATCTACAACGCCGGTCCCCAGAATCGGCTCGCTATCCAACGGGTGAGACTGCTAGCGCCACCTTTGGATATGGGCTACATTCTTATAGCAAATCGATCGGGTCACAGCCAAGTGCTCCACGCTCCATTCCAGGTCCTCAATTGCAACCAAGACAAGAAGTTCCTGCATCCCAAGAGTACTCCCCATCTGCTACCAGAAATTTCCCCATCCCGTCACGCATCTTTTCACCCGCTCCGGGACCAACTTCCAGGCCGCCTTCCTTTGGACTTTACGCGTCAGAAGAACAACAGCCACCTCGGACCAGTGCTGAAGAACCGCTACACCATCGGGCAATCCTCCATTTGAATGCTGATAATAAGCGTGGAAGGGTCTCTCCCTTGCCTCAAGCAGTACAGGGCGCCCAAGCCCAGCTAATTGGTCCATCGGGAGAGCCTGGAATTCAGAGTGAGCTGGGGAGGGTGTTCTCTGGAATTGGCAGTGGAGTTGGAGTGTCTGGAAGCGGTCCTCCCACTCCCATTGGCACAAACACGCCATTTAAGAAGGATTTGGCTCACCCTATGAACCCTGACCTTATCGATAGCAGTATTGGGGGCAAGCCAATGAGAACGAATTCCCGACGAGGCCGTAAGATTAAGGATGAGGAGGCTAAGGATGACACGGAACTCCAAAATGCCCAGCGTGGAATACCATTGGGGCGTGGTGTTGGACGACGGGGTCGACATATGCATCACCATCACCACCATGGCCATCAGTAAGTTTTCACTATGCAGTATCACGTATTCTAGTCATAGCTAATATGTTTCGCAGCCATCATCACCATCGTCACAAACAAGATGATGATACCTTGACCTCCCAACAAGGTGGTACATTTTTGCAACAAACTAATATTCCCGAAAGGCCCCTTGTTTCTTCTTCTGCTGCTTCTGTGCATCATCATCATCACCACCACCACCATCACCATCACGCCCCTCGAGCCTCCGCGGCTACACCTCATCAATTTGCACCGTCAGTTCCCCCTAAAGAATATAGAACGACGGTCAAATTGGATTCTATCTTGAAAAGCGTGCAACATTTGCCTCGCTACCATCTTGGATCTACTCTCTACGCTCCTCGTATCAGTGCTGCATCTTTAAGTGCGCCACCTGAGGCTGCAAAGTTTGGTTATTCATCCACCCCAATTCCCATTCCTCGCTTTGACGGCAAAGAGAACTGTACATATACTATACGTGTACCTCGGTTTCGTATTGACGGACCTCGTCGAGAAGAGATATGTGCAAGGAGGGCTCTTTGGGGTACAGGAGTTTACACTGACGATTCGGACCCGGTGGCAGCTGCAATCCACTCTGGATTCATTCGTGGTGAATGGGGTGAAGATGTTGACGTGTCATTACTTGACCTTGAGATAAAGGACCAACACCAGCATGCTCCGCGTTCGAATAGAACCTCGCCCATCTCCTCATCTAAGGACACTGCTGACAACAAGGCCAAGTCGGAATCCGAGGACAAAGGCAAGACGCAGCGAAGGATCCCCCCCGTTCCGCCTCCGGATAAGGATCTCCACATCACGCTTTTAATCCTCCCACCCCTTGAACGCTATGAGTCGAGCGTTATGTTCGGCATAAAATCTCGAGCGTGGGGAAATAATCATGACGGAGTGAGCTTTAAAGTAGAACGAATAGACTGGGTGGACGAAGCCAGTTCTACAGGCCAGGAGAGAGGTGGTGAAGCGCGTCGCAAAAGATTGAAAAGAATGATGCATTCGGGGCGGATCTGCACTCCTGCGGGCTTGAAAGGGAAAGGAGGAGTGGAGCTCTTGCAGAAAAAGACGGCCTTGAAGATTGAGAATGGAATGGCTACGCCAGGAGATGAATCTGAACCAGAGAGTCGCGCGCCATAAGCTGGTATGTTTGGTCTTGAGATTTTTTTCCTCTCTAGTTAGAAACTTTGCTTGATACTTTTTGTCTTTCTACGTGCTGCAGCATACCTTTTGCTCCCCTGAGTGGGTAAAATTCTTTTTCTTTCTGGGAGTTAGCCCTTGGCGTTGATATATGTGTATATACTTCATATCTGGAGTATATGTGAAGGAAGGGAGCAATCGTCAGCAGCGCTTATGGATATCCACTTGACCGCTTTTAGCGTGCTGCATTTTGTGTTGCCGAATACGAAAGATTGTTGTTTTGACATTCGTACAACCCTGCCTACTACTACTCCTGTAGCCCTGCAAGAAGGTGGTGTGTTGCTGTGTGGAGTTGGCTCTTCACTATGCTGTGTGACAGCGTTGCAAAAAATTTTTAATGTTCACATGCTGGCAATCCTTGGAGTCGATCCATCTACTCCGTACCCTCCACACATCTAATGAAGTTTATACCCGCACGGACCTGGCCCTGGAGCTTGGCGGGAGTTTTCGCGCGTTGAAGGAGAACCTTTACCACCACTCCGAACACCAAATACTTTATATGACTTAGCACGAGATACGATCTGGAAGACGGCAAAATTGGCTTTTCCCTGAGCTTTGTTTTCCCCAGAACTCGAGTTGTCTGAACCCGAAGCGGTTTGGTCTTCTGCTTTGCATCTTTTACATGGCTAGATCCTTAAGCCGAGGCTCGGGGTTGACTTGCGGCGGAAAAATCCGGAGACGCGGCGCTGCCGGCCCGCGCTAACCGGATTCATCGCAGCTGTGGATGACATGATACGAGTGCGAATTAGCGCGGTCGCCGTATGATGGGTTGGCAGGGGAAAGAAGACGTGACGGGAGCAGTCGGCATGCGCCGTGTCAGCAGACAACAGCTTGTAAAATAACACGTTGCTGTGGGCCGTTCACGAAGGCGGGAGAGTGATCACTCGGCTGGGGGCTCAGGGCATCGTGGCTGTGAGGACCCGGGATAAACGGAGTGGCTGAGTCAGCCGCCCTTGAGCCGAGGAAGTTGTTGCTGACGTTCCAATACACGGCAAGCTCCTTTTTTAGTCGCGCGGCCGTGATCCGTTTTCTCTCTCGCTGTCTTCGATTTTAACCCTTCTTGCCAGCTCCTTAACTTCACCGCTCTCTTTTCCTCTTTATTTTTTTCTGTGACCTTTTGGGATGTTCCAGGCTGCTGCTCGAAGCCGTCTCGTTGCTTTTGGACGCTGTTCTGTTCTTGGCCCCACTCGAATACCGGTGTGTACTTTCGTCCTCATCGCAGACAATCGAGAGATAGAAAAAGCCTGAGAAGATTCTCGTCGTTGTTCTTCGCCGGAATGGAGCTAACTAGCTGTACTTATCCAGGCCCTCGCCATGGCTTCTCGTCGCGCGAATTCGTCTGTCCCCGCAGGTACTTGCTAGCCTTCTCCGCTTCTCCGCTTCCCCGAGATGGGGCTCGGCCGCGAGATCAGAATAAGCCATGCTGACTTGAATCTCAAAACAACAGGCTATAAGGAAGATATGTCTAAGGGAAAAATGCTCCGATTTGAAGATTCCCTTCCACAGTTACCTGTACCCACTCTCGAGGAAACTGGTAAAAAGTACCTGAAGTCGCTTCACCCGCTATTAAGTGCGGAAGAATTCCAGCGCTCGCGAAAAGCTGTTGAGGAATTCGTAAAGCCCGGCGGTGAAGGTGAACCTCTTCAGAAGAGGCTGCTCGCCAAAGCTGCGGATCCTAAGGTGCAAAATTGGCTGTATGATTGGTGGAACCATGCGGCCTACCTCGGATACAGGGACCCTGTTGTGCCATACGTCAGCTACTTCTATTCCTATAGAGATGACCGGACTCGACGGGATCCGGCTAAGCGCGCCGCGGCGATCACGACATCTGCATTGGAATTCAAAAAACAGGTTGACGACGGCTCGTTGGAGCCAGAGTATCTCCGCAAGGATCCAATGGCAATGAGTTCGTATGAGTACATGTTCAATTGCAGCCGAATTCCCGCCGAGGGCGCAGACTTTCCACAGAAGTACCCCGCCCAAGGCAATGAGCATATCGCTGTGATGCGCAAAGGCCAAATATTTAAGGTGCAGACACATTTGAATGGCCAGCAGCTGAACACGTCAGAGCTTCAGCAGCAGTTCGAGAAAATTCTAAAAATTGCCGAGAAGGTTCCTGCTGTTGGCGCTTTAACTTCTGAGAATCGTGATATCTGGACTGCGGCGCGTAAAAGATTACTCGCTGCTGATCCAGCAAATGGCGAGGCTCTCAAGACTGTGGAAAGCGCCTCTTTCTTGGTGTGCTTGGACGACACTGCTCCAGTAACCTTGGAAGAGCGTGCTCATGTCTATTGGCATGGTGATGGCGTGAACCGCTGGTATGACAAACCCTTGACATTTATTGTCAATGACAATGGCACAGCCGGTTTCCTTGGGGAGCACAGCATGATGGATGGCACTCCTACCCACCGCCTTAATGACTATGTGAACAACCTCATCTTCAACAACCGTCTCGACTACTCCAATCCTTCCATCCGCTCCAACCTCCCTGAACCCCAACCCATCAACTTCAAGGTAGACTCCGCCGTCCTAGAAGACATTGCTACCGCCCAGAAAGATTTCACGAACGTCATCGCAAAACACGAGCTCCGTGTTCAGGCCTTCCAGGCGTACGGCAAAGGGCTCATTAAGAAATTTAAATGTAGCCCGGACGCGTACGTCCAGATGCTCATTCAACTCGCATACTTCAAAATGTACGGCAAGAATAGGCCCACTTACGAATCCGCTTCCACCCGTAAATTCAAGCAAGGGCGCACTGAGACCACCCGTACCGTCTCTGACGAGAGCGTGGCGTTCTGCAAAGCGCACTGCGATCCGGCTGCCTCCCGTGAAGAAGTCGCGAAGTTGTTCCGCGCCGCATTGGCTGCGCACACGAAATACATCGCCGACGCTAGCATTGGAAAGGGCGTCGACAGACATTTATTTGGGCTGAAGCAATTGATCCAGAAGGGCGAAAAGGTTCCCGCTCTCTATCAGGATCCTGCATATGGATACAGTGGCTCTTGGTATTTGAGCACTAGTCAGTTGAGTTCTGAGTATTTCAACGGGTATGGATGGAGCCAGGTCATTGACGATGGCTTTGGTATTGCGTACATGATCAACGAAAACAGGTAAGCCTTCTGTCTAGTTACATTCTGGAGTGTAAAAGGCCTTTAGACTAATTCTATCTCTGTAGTATACAATTTAACATCGTCAGCAAAAGACTTGGTTCCGAGAGGATGAGTTTCTATCTCAACGAGGCTGCCTGCGAAGTGCGGGATGTGCTGATGCCCGAACTGACGGCACAGCCTGAAAAGGCTAAGCTATAGATGCGCACAGTCCAAGTCGGAAAAGCAAAGATTATATACAACAGGAGTTTTTCCTACTCGTAGAGGTATACAAAGGTTTCGGTTTCTTTTAGCGAGCAAACGGATAGACATGGGAACTCTTTTATACAATATGTTATCATATACTCAGTACATATTTTCAAGCTCCTTAACTTCTTCATTTGTTATACACTTGCTCTTATTCGAATCCTCAGAATACAGTAGAGTAGCAATTTTTATCCAGATTGCTGGACACTCTTGACGCTTAACCTTGGATACACAATCAGATCAAGGCGCGCGTTCTCGGCTTGAGTTCTTGCAACATGGCTCCTGACTCACGTAGGACTCCGTAGATCGGTGTCCCTGAGGGTATCGTATATATGTATGTACATACATAGATAGACCCTGTAACTAGCAGGTCTGTTCGGGGTATGTGTTGCAAAGTTTCAAATGTTTCTCTCAATCTTTTCCAGAATCCTTGTCGGTCGTCCCAGATGCCAAGGGAGGTTCACTTTCAGAGGCGCTGGGGGTGGGTGCAGATGATTCTGCGGAGGTGGATGACATCAAGTTGGATGGCGCGACAGGCATATGGGCAGGTGACGCAGTTAATTCGCAGATCTGCCGTTCTATACAGATAGAAAACGTTAAAAGGGCTATGCCTCAGAATTGAGTTAGCAAGGAAGGGTGAATTACCTAAATCCCTGATTCGAAGACGTAGCATTTGGTTCTCTCTCGTCAAATTGGCCGTTTCCGCTTGGTAGAAGGCACTTTCATCGCGGCTGCACCGTCTTCCGCTCCCATCGCCGCCCAAAGCGATCCAGTCAGGGCCAGAAAGACCGTATTCTGACTGAGAACCCGTTGGGTGCGCCACGGGCGACGTTGCACTGATTGAACCGCGTCTAGATCGGGTATTACCGGAGAACTGAAGTGATGATCGACGATTGAGGCCCGAGGCAGCTGGCGGAAGGGGGGGAAAGGATGGGAAGGAGATGGATCGTTCCGAAGCGGGAGTGGAGTCATCAACGGCCGTAGTGCCCGCTGCTGCTGGGTGCATTTGTTGCATTTGCTGGAGCTGTGCTTGCTGGTTGCGTATCATGAGAAGGAGGCGGTTCTAATATGATCAGCCATCTGGGCACGGATATTAAGAGGAAGATACCCTTTCAATGGATGTTGGCGTACCACTTGTGCTTCCTGCTCCTGTTCAAGCTCCTGGTGAATCTCTCCCAATGAAGGAGTCCGATGATGATGCGGGTCACCTGTAGAAATTATAGGGCTGCTCCCGATACCAGTTGGGCTATGTGTAAACGAGCTTCTTGTGCTTCTCAGTGACGACCTATGGTCTGCGTTGGAGAGCTCCCCTGGGCCAGGCACTGTGGGGTCGTTGAAATTCAGGTTCATAGCGACAGCTGAACGGCGCCGTTCAGCAGCTCTGTTTGCTTGCGGCGACCTCGTTGAAGAGCGACGGGAAATATCGGCCGCATTTATAGCAGCAGCGGCTTGCAGGGAGACGGATGATGAACGTGGAGGTGGCGATTGGGTGCCACTGTCTTCTGGAGATGACTGCATGGTGCGAATTTGCAAAGGAGAGGAAGACATTGAGCGAGGAGGTGGAAGTGAGTTTAGGTCTGGGGGCATGCTTGATGGCGAAGGTTGTGGGATGGAGGTTGGTCGCGCCGGCTGGCCGTGCGAATCGCGTGTCAAGGCGATGATTATGACGGCAGTTTGGCGGGGTTGGCTCGGCGGTCGGCGATATCTTAAGGGTGATAGTTATACCGTGCCGGGGTCCGCTTACCAACAACCAGGTTGTATAGTGTAGCGGTCAGCACGTCAGATTCTGATTCTGAAGACCTGGGTTCGATTCCCAGTACGACCTCATAATTCGAATAATTCTTTTTGTCTTTTTCGCCCACGGGAATAGCCCCATGCTCGTATGCACTCAAAGCGAAGCCCGCACCCCACACTCGGGTGTATACTCCGTAGTAGGTTGTAAGTTTCTCCTAAGCAACCCCCGGTTTGCCTGCGACTAATGCTTATCCCAAGCTGATTCGGAAGACCTGGGTTTAATTTCCAGTACGCCCTTATACTCCTCTTCTTTTTGCTATCTTTTCTAGGTTGAAGTTTCGGCGATATGCAGATTGCTAGCTTCCGACATCCACAAAGCTTAGGCATAGCACTCCTTAAAACCAAGATCTGGAGGTGAGAGTTTTTAAGTTTTAGGTATGGGTAGGAGGTAAAGTTTTATATATGTACTTAGTGCTCCATATCAAATACTGTATAATAAAAAGAGGTATATTGGCAGGGCTCAGGTAGTTGGGTGATATGTTTGACATCTTGCTGGATCACAGAAATATGTATCATAATCCAAAGCTAATTCTATTTCTTAAAACTAAGAATATAAGAGATAAGGAGAACTTTCACCACTATCCGCCCCATAATGAATACCTAGATGGACTATTTTTCCATTAGGTCCAGCAAAAACTAAGCTCCCTGAGCCCCCAGTCGCTGAAAATTGCTCGTAGGCGCTTTTCCACTTAATTCGTAGGTTATAAATAGGAGCCTCGTCTCCGGGCTGGATCTCGACCCCGACCTCGAATTCGTCAAACTGTAAGATAAAAAGGATTGAATCAAATGCGTGGACCGGCGCTTCGGCACCACCTGGCCAGAACCATACTGTTCGTGATATATATCGTATAGATAGCCAGATATACGCCCTGTGGTGGCCCCGATCATTTACTTCAAGTCACTCAATGAGTTTATTGGGATACAGAGAGGAGGGGATTTGCTTCCAAATGAGTCAGCAAAGGCTTTTTGATGCCCCTTCTACTGGAAAATTCCGGCACCTCTTCACCAAGAGGTCCAGTGATCTCACAACAATTCACATTACCAAGTACACAGGGCAGAGGTAAGAAAGTACAACTTTCTGGAATGCCCAAAAAGCAGATCTCATCTAGGGCAGGACGATCAAGGAGCCAAGAGCATCAGAACATAGGCCTCCCATCAATGCGCTCACACTGATTGATAGTACTTAGCTTAGCAATCACTCCATTATCATGAACATATAGAGCTTAACCTTCCTGGAAAGTCTCAAAATATCACGCCGACGTATCCGTAGTTTCTTCAAATCGAGTGCGTGGAGTTTGAAGCCATTTTGAACTTTGAAATAATACTCCGTATAAAGGCAGTAAAGGTAAAGGTAAAAGTAAAGGTGGGACGGCGAGGCTGCTTTTATAGTTAAAACTAGCAGGCTAATGGCGCCAATCATGTGACGACGGATTTCGAAAAAGGTCAGGCAAACGGTTAGAAATAAAAAACACTTTCTAGCTCTATACTGTGTTACTTATGCAGAGGTATGTTAAGCTGGATGAGTAAGGACGAGGTCTGCAGCTGCCACAAAGGTGGAACCTGCGCATATGTATAAGTAGCGGGCCTGAGCGTTGGCCCTAAGGCCGTTAAAAAGGCGAAGGTTTAGCAAGCCCCGTGGTAGGGCGGGAGCTGGGAGCAATCCAGGCCAAGGCTTAACTACCGTCGCGAACCTAAGCAAGGGGGCAGGATGCTCGTCCACCGCCCACAACACCTGGCGCGAGCCAACAACCACCCTGAAAGCGCGGCATTCTTGATAGTCCTTCTTTGTTGGCTGCTTTAGCTTCCCCTTCTCACATTCTTTATCTTCTGTGTTTTATGAACCATTTTCTTAGCGCCCGTGGACCTGTTTATTGTTGTTTTCGCCGCGTTCCCCACGCCCAACCGCTCCTTTGAAATCAGCCAAACAAGACCATATAATGCCCCCGACATCAAACGTATTCAATCGCTAAGCCAGAAAACTTGATATTGGTTGCACCGGGCTCAAGTCCTATTTCGCCTTCCCCTACGCCTACGCCTTAACAAATGCCGCCCCAAATTGAAATGAAAACTAGAACCAGATCACTCGTGACGGTCACAATATCTATCACAGCTCCCCAGAACTCCGGAGGTGATGGCAAATAACAATTTTCTGAGCATGAGAAGCAAACTGTCCGCTACAGGATCTTTGAAAATCACGCCCACGGCCTCTCCGATTCTCAAACCTTCCCCAAAACCGGCCTCCAAATCTTCCTCTCACCTGTGCACGCTCTCACTACGGACTGTAATCGGCACCACGACATCAGATCCCAATGGATTTTCCTATCATGAATCTAGTCGAACACTTGCTTTGTGTGCCGGGTCGGCTGCAGTCTTGGTTGAGCTGGATGACGAGCTGAACATCCACCAACAATTTTTTCGCGCCCGCCCTACTGCTACTGGGCTTAATCCAGTACCCTCTTACTATAATAACACACAAACCCCTCCTATTACTCCTGATACGCGTCCAAGGGTCCTGCAGGTAGCTCCAAGATTGACAGGAGGCAGCATCCCTTATGCAAGTACTCCCAGCAAATGGGGTGAGGCTGCCTCATCACGGACATGGAGCTCGCGAGAGCGGATCAAGGCTGTCACAAGTGTAGCTTTGAGCCCTAATGGTAGATTTTTGGCGGTGGGAGAGGTATTATACAACACCTACATACTGTCTAATCTGGTTAACTAACACTTATGCTCCTTATCAGAGCGGTTATAACCCCCGCGTTTTGATTTTTTCAACGGCAAATGATTCTCCACCGGATATCCCCTTGTCTATTTTAGCGGAGCATAGCTTTGGCGTTCAGAGTCTTTCATTCAGCCCTAACTCACAATATTTAGCTTCACTGGGGGATATTAATGACGGTTTTCTTTTCATCTGGATGGTAAATTTAAAAAATGGCGCTGCCAGACTTCATTCTGCAAACAAATGCACTTCATTCATTCGGGATATGTGCTGGCTAGGGGACACTCTCATCACGTACGACCTCCTTAGTACTTATATTTCTTATATTAACCGCTTTCTATAGGGTAGGAGTAAGGCATATTAAAATCTGGCGATTAAGTGATGTGACGCCGATATCGCCTCCGAAGGCGAAATCTAGCCTTGAACCTGCAAATGCAGCTTCAGCTATCCTTGGACCAATATCGCTTCCAGGAAGAAATTGCCTGCTGGGCAATCTGAGAGACAGCGTTTTTACCTGCATCTCACCACTATCTGAAAAAAAGGCAGTTGTTTGCACCGAAACTGGTGCTATATGTTTTCTGGATGATGTTGCTGGACAACATAAGCTGCACTTCATCAAGTGCCTGAATATAGGCATTTTGTCTATAACTGTTGACAACGAGTCCAATAATATTTTTCTTGGTTGTCGTGATGGCACAGTTCAACAAATCTCCATAAAAGAATTGACTCCTGCCGTTCCAACTGAAATTTTGACTAGTGAAAGATCTCAATCCCTCAGACCAAGTTCGCCATCGACAATAGCTATGGGAATAATATCCAATCATATTGTTTCCGTTGATTCTACTTGTGCTATTCGAGTCTACCCTGTGTCTTTACTTGCCCAATGCCAGCCAGGGGTTGACCAGCAAGTAGCTTTACCCGCACACAAGGGTCCCGTACTAGGCATTGGCGCCGTTACCGCCCCGAGCTTGTATTGCGGTGCACAGTTTTATACATGGTCTTGTAACGGCACCGTGAGTTTCTGGGATTTAGAAGGGAAATTCTACACTGGGAACCAAGTAGAAGTAGAACAGGTTACGGGGAATGATGAGGATCTGAACGAGCTGAGAGTTGTAAGAACCACCGCAGACATGAAATTTTTTGTGTCCGGGGATAAATTCGGCGTGATAAGGTTGCAATTCCCCTCTACCCTCAAATTATTAGCGTTAATTCATCCCTAGGCTAATCACCAGCGAGCCATGGGCTTGTAAACACGCTGCCCGCGCACACGCTGGGGAAGTTACAGATATTGCCATACAGCTGAGCCAGGACGTATCCTTGGTGGCCACTTGTGGCAGAGATAGGATGGTTCAGGTCTTTCAGTATAATGGCGAGTCTTTCAACTTGGTACAAACCATGGACGAGCACGTAGGCGCAGTTGGCCGCCTATTATTTACGCACGAAGGCGAGAAGCTACTGTCTTGCTCTGCAGATCGCACTGTAATCATCCGCGAAAGAAAGATGAAAGCGGAAAACGATACAACAACCGTTGCATTTCTCTTAACCAGAGTCATTACGCTGAAAGCCTCCCCTATTTCAATGACAACTCTCTCGGATGAACCGGATATACTTGTATTATCCACTATTGACCGACAAATTCACCGATATGACATTCCTTCTTCCCGCCATCTACACTCATTTAAAGCCGCTGACCCGGAGACGAATGATACTGCCGTAATAAGCTCCTTAGCTGTCGGCTCTGACAGCCCTGGGCTAAATTCACGGCTACTGATTGGTGTGTCTACCACTGATAAGTCGATCCGGGTCTACGATTTCGCGAAAGATACTCTATTAACGCGAGAGTTTGGCCATACGGAGGGGGTGAGCGACGTACTTTTGATCGAAAACGGCATGGGAGAGAGCAAGAAAAGAACTCTTGTGAGTACTGGGTTGGATGGAATCATCATGATTTGGGATCTGTCTACCCAACATCAGCAACACCTAGAGGCCTCTCTGCCTTCCGTACGAGCAGAAGACGACACTCCATGTAAGGAGTCGACGGCCGCAAAAGCGCCTCTGCGACGGATACTCTCCCGCAGCGAGCTTGCGGGTTTTCAGAAATTTGATAACCCTTCTTCTCCATCTCCAACTCCTTTCTGGGACCCATCTCCGCCGTTAACTCGAAGAAGGATTGCCAGACACGCTCAGTCTCAGTCAAAGAATGGGAACACCATATCGTCTTCTACGGCTCCAACTACACCGCTCCAACCGTCCCGTCGATCACCAACACTGTTTTCAGACACCAGTACTAAAGCCTCACGGGATGGTTCTATTTCTCCTTCAAGCCCTAAAGCAGGATCAACCAGGACACTCAATATTAAGAATAGCTATGCAAAGCTACGCAGACCATCTATGGACTCGCGTCGCGCTAAAACAAGCGGGAATGTCAGCGAATTTGGAAGTCTGAACATGTCTACAGAGCAAATCTGCCGCTCCCTTAGAGCTTATAGGAAGAAACTTCAGGGATCAACTGACCATCTTCACTCTGCTCCTGAGCTTGAGAGGGAACTCGAGCTCACATTTCGAGCGCTTGGCGAACGCAAAAAAAGAAATCAAGCAAGTGAAGACTCAACAGATTCAGACAACAGCAAGCTAATACCACCTTTGCCCTCAAAGCCAATACGACTGGCTCGTCGGGTTCCATCAACTCCAAATCTTACTTATTCAAGAATGGGCGATAAGAAACCCGACAAAATGCATCGCACCAATTCTTTGGATGCCAATAGCAAAAATTAAAGATTAAATTCTGCCTTGTCTACTTTAATCATATACACTCATTTTATACGGTCTTTCTCTCTATGCCTATTATACATTTACCGCTACATATCACTTCAGCTACCCTTTATTTGTTCAGGGGTAAAAGCCGTGGCGTTTTTGCATGTTCACGCATACATTTGGCTGGATGGGAGTTGAATTACGGTTTAGTATTCTTAAGTCATTAGCCTTCCTTTTTTGTTCAAGATACCAGCAGTATTTCATTTCATTTTCTCTGGGGGCATCCACCTATCTAATACCTTGGTTGTAGCCCCTTTCCACCTCTCAACAGCGCTTTCTGCTCATGTTCTATGCTTGATTCGGTATTCCTTTACACTAAAAGATCCCTATTATCACCCAGTGACTAAGACCAGCATTGCCATAGTTTGGTGTGCTTCATTTCTCTCTGCTATGTGAGATTGTGCTCACATGATACCTTTTCATTTTCCTTTTTCTTCCTCCCTTAACACCATATAATGGCCACATTTTCTCAAGCATTATGGATTAGACTAGGAGTCTTCGTTTCCTTTGTTCACGGGCATCATCCTCGGGATTGTCTCTATGTATGAACGTGCTGTGTTCCTTAGCCCGCTTCTCGAAGCCAACCCGCAAATTTAGGCCAATGCGTGATATTCAACCAAGCCGTCTACAACCTTTTAAAAACGGCATGTGTTCTCAATAATCAGTCCTCCCAATTTAGTCGGGCATAATTTGCCTGAAAAGTGCGCCACAAACTCCCGTTGTCCTGCAGTAGCCGAGCCAGATCAAGGGCCTTTGTATACCAACGGCGACTTGCTGTGTCGTCAGAAGCGAGGTAAAAGTCAATTGCATAGTTAAATGCTGATGTTGATAACCATTCAAGTTCCTCTTCGGGATAAACAGATTGGCCTGAGGGTCTATTTGCTTGCTCTAAAATAATGTCGTCGCCACCAGACTGATATCCAGGAATGTCACGAGCTAGGGCATATGCTTCATCCATCACCGATTCAGCAGCAACAATATCGGATTTGACGGATAGCTGAAAAAGGCACCGCAGCCAGCGAGATATCTTTGCAATATTTTGAATATCCTTTTGTCGAGTTACATGAATAATTTCCTAGAATGGTCAAAAAGACACTCATATAAAAGTTGTTGTTTTAGATAAAATGAAATAATTACCTGGAATACAGCTAAGGCTTCCTTGAAAGACTCCCCGGAGGAAAGTATTATATCCGCAAATAAGCTGTAGAGCCTATCATCCGCGATATTCCGCGCTTCTTTTAGTATTTCCGCCAAAGAACTCCATTGGTTTAACGTAACGGCCGCTTCAAAATCAAAGGCGAGCAAAGTTCGGTACTTCTCAATATAATCTGAGAGGCTATCTATTATGTTACGTTTCAGTAAAGGTGAAATCGCTGTTCGAAAACCTTGGATATGTATTCTTGAGTCGAGGTAAAACGTTTGCTAGTTCAGATTAGTCGGTGGCGTGTTAACTGATGTGGATGATAATTCTAGTTTTTTTTACCTGCATGTCATGGTCCTTGTGCAGTCTTGCCTGTGCTATAGTGAGAATAGCTGATAGGTAAAAGCATGATAGTTTCCTCTGCTCTACATCCGCTTCTGCCTCCTCACCTAGGTTGGTGGGATACAAGTGGATAATCTGGATAAAAATTAGTCCAATTGTCTCTGAAAACCAAATAGATAGAGAATACATTAATACAGGCATCAAGAAGTCGTAAAATATTGGGTGGCTCCCATTTTGTACAACACTGGAGTGCAAGGTTGTAACTATTACGGGAAAACCATTCCAGCTCAGGGATAGTAAGCTGTTCCATTGACAGTGTTTCTCGATTCACAGCTGCATTCACTAGAAAGTATCAGGCGTCTGGACAGTGATATCAAGAACAACATGACTCGAACTCACAACCCTCAAATATCTGACATATTTGGTCCTCCAACACAACCTTATGAGGGTCATCTTTATATAACTCTGAGATGAGAAGTCTCCCAGTACAACTGGGGGATAATATTAGACATTACTAAATAAATAAAGAGAAATAATATTACCGAAGCAGTACTGGAAAGTGTACATCTCGAAGCTGTTTTCCATCCAGTTTATCAAGAAGCCGTTGAAGAACAATGACAGCTTGACGCTCGGCGCCGTGATGCAGTGCTTCAGCAATACAAGCAAGCAGGTATGTTGATTTTTCTGTGTCAGATTTGCATATAATATCTAGGCAGTCCTGTGCTAACCTCGAGTTAAAACACCACAAACCGATGCTTCTTTATATATTTTCTCACCTAAATCAAGATCTTCATCCTGTAGAGCGACACGATACATAAGATATCTTGTTAGGATCTCTGATTTACAAGCTTCTGAGAGCCCTGAAAATAGTCGCCGTGCGGTATCCGTTGCTTTACTTTCCAGTGCACAAAGGATTAATTTCCTATTGAGGTCAGCAAAGATGAGTACCTTCATGCAACCTATGAATGAAGGTTGTACCTTCCAATCTTCGATCTATTGCCCTCCCCTGAGTTTTCAAATAGTGGATGGAGCGCTAACTGGCACCAGTTCCGCGCATTTTCATATTCTTTACGATCGAATGCAGTAGTCACCTTTTTCCAAAGTAGCTTCTCACACCTTAGAATCTGCTAACACCTAGAGCGAAGAGTAGGACAACTAACAATCAAGCAGGCATGGGTAGCCTCTCCAGAAAGCTTTGATTTCCAAATCTCAGTTGATTTTTCCACAACCAACTCCAGATGTTTAAGACCGCCGTCAGACTCAGTCGTCGTTTTCATCCAGATATATGTAACAAACCCACGCTCAATGAGGTCAGTGTTGCCATATATAAACAGTCGCTGGAGAAGAAGCTGCTCTAATGAGCTTATTGCTAGGTCCTTACTATGGCAGGGTTAACCATAAAACGTGATGTTTGTCACAGAAGTCACTTACTCCAATTCTCGTAGCCTATGGATATAACAAAGCATACTATGATATATAGAACTGAGTCAGTCCATCGTGAATGGATGATAGAATAAAGTAGCACTAACTCTTTGAAATTTAACTCTGTTGCAGGGGCTACGTTAATAAATGAGCAAAGACCTAACCCCAATTTCAATCAGCAACTCTTCGGGTATTTGCCTAAATTATTCACGGGACGTACGGTCATAATAACGCTGACTATCCGGGTGGCCTTGAAGATGTATCACCTCAAAACTGAGACGTAACACCTCCAGCCTATGACCGTACTCCTAGTAAATGACTGAGAATGGTATCAATGACACCTTTTCAGAATCCCACTCACGCTTTCGAGAGTGCTAAGGAGCTCTGTGGCATTTTGTTTTGAATCTTCAGTTTTCAAGGCACAATGGGTTTGTACTATTCAGATTGTTAGTTGAACTGCATTTTTATCATAAATAGTGCGGATTTACATACTAAGTTCATGAAGAACACACAATTTTAGTTCACCAGCGTCAGGGTGTAGTTCATTTATGGCTTTCTGAGAAAATGCATATAAGGATCTTTCCAACCATTTCACCGCTTCAGAGTGCTCATTCTTCTTGATTAAATTTTTTCCGATATCGAAAAGGAGATCGGAGTATCGTTGCATCAAAATCGAATCCAGCAAAATATTATCAAGGTCAATTTTAGAGAGCATATGCTCTGCAATATCTAGCCTGCCTTGTTTCCAGGCCTTGTTACTTTGTTAACGAAAGCTATTGTGAAAACTACAATTAAGCGTTGTAGGGTGTGAAAAATACCAGGTTAACTCGTGAGATATAATATTCCGCCGAGAGTGTCTTCAGAATTTCATCTACATTATGGCTCTCTCTCGACAGCTTGTTCTCTCTGAAGGCAGCCTTTTCCAGGATTTTTAGCCCATCATCTAGTTGGTCGAGCGCTTTTGGCACTATTAGCACCAGAGAGCTGCAAAAATACGAACACCTGACAAACCTAGACAAGATCTTGCGGATTTCAAAGCTGTCCTTAAAAGACGGATGTCATCTACATACATCGAAGTTCAGTGGAGAAGCCAAATATAGGCTGAAGGAACACTTACCAGGAGTGCCGCTGTTTTGGCAGCCAGTAGCACATTCCAAAACCAGAAATGCAAATGCTCTGGCTAGAAGAAGCCAGGCGAATCAGCATCCGTATAGACGTTATGACAAGACAAAAAAACCTCGGCATAGAAACTTAACGATCCCCTCATCTAGACCCTCCCTTCTCATAGCCCTGGTACACGCATTCCATAGCTTTGTTCCTAGGCCATCAAGCTCCTCTCCAGTCGGTGGCTGAGGAACTAGTGTGATGTCCGAGGTGGTATCGATGAACCGGCCTAGGCTACCAATCTTGTGATCAGTGGTCTGGAGGCCGTCGCTGTCGATGATATCTGCAAGCAATGATCCAGCAAACTCTGTTGAAATGGGAGTCAGAAACTGCGTGAAGCCAGCCACTGTCGGGGTGCAACAAGGCGCCAACTAGATATCTCACCGATAATGGATTTAAACACGTCTCGTCGAGGCTTTCTAGACAGCGCCATGGTCACGGGCAAGTAGATTCATTGTCAAGCGGAGGTCAACCTGACGGCCGGACGTTTAGTTAGACGCGTCGCCTTCCTTTTGCGGAAAGCCCACCCCCTTTCCCGATGTAGAAGGCGGGATTTCCCCCCACACTCTCCGCCCCTCTTCCCCGGCAGGCGCCATCGGCGGCCATATTGGCTTCTGAGGGGAGCAGATCCGCTCGCGCGGCCGTTTCTCTCTGCCAATGTTGAGTGGCTGGCTGCTCGGGTGTGCGGCGCAGTGCTTGCGGCACAGAAAGCCACTTCCCACCATTGACTCCATTAGCCAGCTACTTGACTACCACAGTAGTTAGGATACGGAGTGGACGCTAAAAGCACTCCGCGACCGTGATGTGTAGACAGAGAAGTACCAACCAGCCCACATCCAGTCAAGCCACAAGTACATACCAGTGCCACTTACCAAAAGGATATCAACTCTTTGACGCTATGTTCCACTGCCTAGAGTAAGGAATTTCTTAGCCACTGGGCGATGTGGCTCTACACGAATAACTAGAAGTATGCACGCACCAAAAATCATTTTCAAAACCTTAGAACCTCTGAATTTCAACCTAAATTCCAACCCTTTCTACTATTTTTGCCATCACCCCTACCCTGTAATAGCTGATGTGTTGTTAATTCCGAAGATAGACCTTTTCCTTGATATGGTGGTATGCCTAGCCGCGCAACTTAAAATAAGAAAGTCTTGGGCGTTTTCGAGAAGCCTACTGATAATGGATACACCCATGATATAAAAGTTTATAATTAGACATGCAAAAAGAATAATCTAAGAAGAATATGGTAAAGGATGGTATTCGCCATCCTAATGGATTGCTCCACTGCGGACTTATCTGTCCGTTCTTTTAGTAGGTAAAAAATTTCCTACAATTATCGATGGGCTAAAATCATTAGCAAGGCGCTTGCGCTCAATTAAAAGCGTGTTAATGGGCTTACATGTTATGTGGATCACGACGTATTGTAAAGGAAAAGCAGCATTGTATTTCCTGCTTAGGGCTTTTTGAGTCTGGGCTCTTCAAAGTGCAGCTCGTGAGCATGGCTTTCTGTGAGCTATCGAAGGCAATTGCACCAAACTTCTCCCAGTAGCTGACCAGTTGGTCTTCTACAATGATCTCATGAATGGCAAGTTTACCCTGCGATTCTAATTAGTGTTCAGATTCAACAAAACGTCCCAAGCAGTCTCACATCTCGCAAAGATTCAATTGGCACGTTAATCAGTTGCGCCATTTCCTTGTTTCCCCGAAAAATTTGGCCAGTTCGCCGCCAGCAGCATGCCGGTATCGCCATACTAGCAAAGACACGATCATATTCCATGAGACTCCGCTCAAACCACATCTCCACTAGAACAAGCTCGATATCAGTAAGGCTATGCATTCGCTCCCGAAATGTAGGCCTGAATTTGTCTAATTGACGCAAGATTTTCTGTCGAGAGGATGGATGTAGGTTTTCTTCCATGTATTTATTGAGTCGTGCATAACCATTTACATAGTTGAATGGTTTTAGCATCCCAGCATCATACTTTGCTTTCAGGAGCTTGTTCATTCTTTCTTCAGGAGGGTCTGTCCCTGAAGGATCTGCGGCGGTCATATAATAGGTCTCCTTAGCCTTGTCATTCACTGTACTGCTTGGTCTTTGGATAGAGTTTCCTTGAGCAGCTTGGGACTGCGATGCAGCAGAAAACTGCGGAGGAGGAGCCATGGAGTTTTGCTGAAGCTGCTGTGGAGGGATGAATGTGCCAGCAGCCGGCATAGAGTTCAGCAACGAAATATCTGTGAATAAAGACGTGGCATCGTCTCCCTGGTACATTGTAGATTCGTCTAAAAGGCTTGTGCTAAGGAAATCATTAAGTATGTTGTATTCGTTTGTCACTTCGGGGGCGTTGAACATGTAAGACGGATGGTAAGGGTGCATCTCTTGAAATTGATTTGGCATTCCTAACGGCCAGTCGTTGTAGCCTAACACTTCCCTGAGGTTAAAAAAAAAAAGTAAGGACATCGGAACTATGCTCACGTTGTTGGTTGGAGCCGATTCCCGGGTTGCTCGTCGTCGACAATTCTTGGCCAACGACAGGTGGTAGCCCGATTGAAGTGTCTCCTCCCAAAAGCTCATTTATCCCAGTTCCAGACAGTCTTCGATTCATTTTCTGGGGGTCAGCAAGGTCATTATTTGTACTGCTACCTTCGTCGACGGTTTGGGTATCTTGGTCGGTCTTGACACGTTTTGAAGATTCGCGGGGTTCATCATGACACAGGTGGCCAATGTTACGTTTTATACATCGAGAACATGGGCGTCCCTATCCGAGATATCAATGACACGAACCACGGAGCAGGAAACGGCAATTCTGGTTGGGATGTCCAGGGCATAGAAGCTACAGGGTCGTACCGAATCACAAGTCATATGCTGTCCGACATCGATACAGAGTTAGCCAGTCTCAGCAAAAGCATCATGTCGGTTTTAGAGAGTAGCGATGCGTGCACGTATGCGCAGCCGCCAGAGGGAGGGCCATTCACGGCCGTCCAAGTAAGAAGGGGGAGCAGGGCGACTGGAGCTCACCGAACGCCGGCAGTAGACACACGCTGCAGCAATTCGTTAGTCACTCACGGTTAGCAAATAACGTCTCGTTAAGCCGAGTCTGCAAATGGGAGTGGGGGAAATGACGGCGAGGGAGCGCGCAGCAGCAGCACCAAGACATCGAGATACCGTCTGTCACATTTCACGGTGCCGATCCTTCTGCGCTGGTGGTCGCGGAGGGCGAGAGAAAGCGAATGGTGGGCTCACCGTGATTCACCTTACGCCGCTTCTTGGGGCTGCCTCCGCCCGAGGGAGCCGACGGCTCGCCCATTGGAGCTGTCGAGGGCGCGTCCATCTCCTTGATCTTCGCCACATCGTCGTCCGTCGAGGTGGAACGGGTTGCGTCGTCGGGCGCCGCATCGCTGGGCGTTTTTGCTTCGCTGGCCTTGCTCGCGCCTGCCTCCGCCATCCTGCCCATGGGAGTCTGTTCCACCCACTGCCCGGCCCTGGGAGAAGCTTCGCGTCGGCGTTCTCTGATGGTTTCACACGGCGTCCCGGCGTTGACCCGGCAGCTTGCGAGCAATCCGCGTCCCACGATAGGAAATCGCTTGCGATGGAAGTAGGGGCTCGGGTCGATAATGGGGCGGTTGGACTTTGTTCATTCCAATGAGCTGCGACTTGGCGGGCATTTAAGAGCAATTCGCGTAACCTTTGTGTTCGGCGGGCCGCCGAGGCATTAACGGAGTCTTTGCCTCTTGACGTCCCGGTAAGTTTGGAGGTACTATTTTTGTTCGCGTGAGCTACGTCTGGCCCCAGCCAGGTGGCCGAGGACATAGAATTGAAGTCGAAGAACAAGTCATCTTCAACGAAGATGGGTGATAAAGACATTGAAGGGTAGTGTTATTCCCACTCTGCTAGTAATATGCATCCTTCCCTGGAGAGGGTACATATGGAGATACATTGAGGCAGCCACTTCGCTGCTGACAGGCTTGATGCCGTGCAAACGATCCCACGCCCGGCATTTCCGCACGATCGCCAGTCCCTCAGGCTCATGGACGGAACGCGGCACGAGGGCTCAGGGTCCTTTGTCCGTTATTCTAGTCACAAATCAATATTCGGGCTGACTGTCTACGCTGCCAAGCCCCATGTACTGCAGTGATTTCCCTTCCATGGCCGGCCAAGAAGACCCTGTGCGACCGCCTACAGCTTCGCATCCCCCAAGCACGTATTGACGAAGAGGCCAAACCAGCATATCTAAGGATTAACTTGGCGATGAAAATATCTGAAGATCCCAGGCTCCTTGCGTTACCTCAATCTTCGAGCTGAAGTGCGCACTGCCAATGAGAGGTCGTCATTTTCGTGAAGCTAACGAACAATCAAGGCCTAAGCGGTCTGGAGCGCCTTTGATCGCACAGGAATTTCATCCCAGAGGTAACATGCTTAGTGAATATTGGGCGCGTGTGATGGCCTCCCGAACACCAGAAACTTGGCCAGCGTTGGCCTGCATAGATTCGAGATGGTTCCGTAGTTGTTTCACCAAAGATAAGAGGTCCGGGTTCTCATCGTCTATCTGAAAAAGCAGTTAGTAGCCGCTTATCAGAGTTTCATTTAAGGTCGGGCACTCACGTCACACAACAACCCAGGCTTCTCTTCGGCATCCGTCACACTAAGGTTCGCGGAATCTTCTATTCGTAATGGGCGTTGTTCAAGGCGACGAAGAGCGGGATGTATCTTATTAAAATTATCAGTTTGAATTACAGATATCAGATGAATCAAGTCCCAGATCCAACATACATTTTTCGTTTGCTTCTTCTGGTGTACCTTAGCAGCCTTGGCGTTCTTTTCAAGTTCTGCCAGTTTTGCAGTGTCCCTCGCAAGCTGTGCCTCCTCACGCTTGATCTCTCTTCTCAGAAGAGCAGCCGAGTTTGTCATCATCGCTAACTGACTTTCGAGAATACGCTTGTATCTCAGTTAGCCCAGGATCGTCTTTTCGGTAAAAATGACAATTTCTCTCTCACATTTTCGTTCAACGCAGCATCGTAATCAAAGTTGACAGCCTTCGTTCCTGGAGGAAACGGCATTTTCGGAAGTCGTTTGCCTAGCCTTTACAATTCCATAATTAGCGCTTGATGGGACAAATCGGCTCCTGATAGACAGAGCCAAGTATGCAAGTATAAATATTCGCCCAATGTACTCGGAACATACGTTTTTCTCACAGCAGCAAGCGCAGACTGCACCTCGATTCTCTTCTTCTCATCCCTCTGTTTCGTCAGCACTGGAAGTTCAATTGCGCCAAACAGCTCCTTAATGCGAGTTTGGGCAGGCTCTGGTAGCGTCATCCATTTCGATTTTACGACGTGTTCGGAGACCTGTCGTGTACGAGCCACGAGCCTGGCAACGCGTTTGTTCGAGTTCGTTTCACGGTCGCCTCGGGAATCAGAGGCGATGTCACTGCGTTTTCGTTTCGGAGGCATGGTCTTGTATGAAAGGTATGGTGGTAGAATGGATGGACAAGAACTAGATTAAGTAGAAGGTTCCCAAGTTGCACGTATCCTCCTAAACTCCTGCCTAAACGGGTAACTAGGCTCCTTCACTCCGCGTCGCACATGTTGTGATAACCCAGGGCGTCAAAATATCACGTGGTGGAATCTTGGCCAACCAACCATGCCAAGTCCTCGTAGATATCACATGCGGAACCACATGCTGGCTGCTCGCCTTCCAGCAAGAAACAAAAAGTTTCCCGGCCCCTCACCAAAATTTCGTCCCAGGCACGGACGGTGTGCGGGGAACGGGAGCGGGAGCTAAAAAGGTCAGTAGCAAAAGCCTCCTTCCGCTGTTCCAGTCTTTTTTTTTTTAGTACTCCCTACCCATGGCAGAAACACATGGACATGATCAAGGGTGAGCCTTCACCATGGGCGCGTGGAGATGATCTCAGCGAAGATCACCCGATGGTGGTGGAGGGGGCAGTGCTATATTGTCCAGTCATATGGACATTCTAGTTCAGACCGAAGTGTACGGATAGCACTCCTTGTTTATATCTAGGGATCGGGCTTAATTGATTTTGGCAGTAGATTAAGGAAGGGTAACGGGATATGACCGAGTCATGTGTGTTACCGGAGTCAAAGCTTAAGAGGCCACGAGAGAATTTTCATTAATATTGGTAAATATCTCATGATATTGAGGTCACTAAGATTGAATATTATTTGGTGCCGTGTGGTAGCGGCGCATGTATGTACATACATGTATGCAGAAAATATACTGACGAATTAAGATGCGCCTTTAGCATCATGGGCGTGCGTGGAGGGGGGTAGCCTGACAAGTGTCTGATGTGCTCCGGCGTCCCGCCTGGTCATTCAACGGAAGAAGGTATCATGCATAAAAGGACATTTCAATGGGCAAAGAAAAAGATGACCAACTCGCTCCAGATAATATACAAGGAACGGAAAGGGTATGTGCACCGGGCTGCATGCTTCAAATATTAAAAGGAAATAGAGGTAGCGAATGTGTAGATTAGAGAAGAGGAATTATTAAAATATTAAAGAGAGGCGTGGGCCTGGGCGGCGACGAAAAGAAGGGCATCAATAAATAAAGAAAACACAGGAATTCTAAGGTCATCCACCGGTCTGCTTTTTCAAATCTTCTAATTGGCGTTTGAGGATCTCGTTGCCTTCCAGCAGGTCTTCAAGCCAGCCAGCTGCCTGGCCAAGCATGGTGCTTTTGCTAAACCCACCACCCCTCAGTTCTGGAACAAGCGAGCAGAGTTCGTCAAACCCTTGCTTTATCAGGTTGCGTCGCTTTTGCTCGGATAAAATGTGGTTTGCTCTCTTTTGTTCCTCAGTGAGGTTCTCGCGAGGGGGTTTAATCACGTGGACCTTTGCGCGACGTGGCTGCGTGCTACTATTCGATGACCATCGTCGATCTCGTCGTGGGTGGGACGGCCGCCCCAGGGGGGGTGAATATGTCTCCTCCTCGTCTTTTGGCTTTCCTTTCATGTTCTTTCGTCTCTTTGTCGGCCGTAAATCATCATCCATATGCATCTGATCTGTAGGGGAGAACTGTTTGAGCGAAGTTGGACTCTGCAGCATACCTCCCCACTCAGAGGTTTTGCATTCTGCACGTCTTCGGGCAGGACTCGATGGCCGGGTATTCGGGGCACTGCTCTGTGATTCGAAACACTCTAAGCTATGTAACACCTGAGCTGTCCGCTCCTCCATGGTTGGCTGGTCCGGTGGGACCCGATACCCTTGCTCAGCAAATCCGACATCAGAGCCCCATCGGAGAGTACCGAAAACGTTATCCTTCGCGATAGAGTGGGATGTGTTGGTCACTGTAGCACCGGAATGGACTCCTTTCTCGGGATATGTCTCTCGTCTTCTTGAAAAGCTAAAGCGGGATCGCCGTCCGTCGTCTCCAAAACGAGCATGTTTGACTCCAGTGTGATGCGAGCTGATGTCTTCCAAGCCATTTTCAGTAAATATCTGGCTTGTAAATGTTGACGAGTAATCGTTTCCGTGCACTCCATTCTGATAGAGCATCGATGCTGCAGCAAGAACATCTGAGCTCGGGACTTGGACGTCCTGTTTCACAGCTATCGTTGGCTCGCGGTGAGTCCGCTGCGGGACTACAGAGTGGGATGGCAGCGAAGTGGTCGACCCTTCGAATGTTGGCGGGAGTTCGGGCCAATCGAAATGAAACCCTGCATTCCCATGGTGATCGTTCAGGCCAAACCAAAAATCATTATTATCAAGATGATTAGCGTTCATAGACGTGAAAAAATTATCCAACATATTCGATTCGCTGTCATCCAACAATGCAGGGCCCGGAGGCGGGGCAGGCGCGTGTTCATAAGGTGTGTACAGGACTGTAAATGGCGGACGCGAATATATCAGTAAACAAGGCGTCGCCACGCAATGCGAACGGAAGTAGCAGGCACTTACATCCAAAGGGACCAGGCGCCGAACGGCCTCCGTGTCCCGGGAGGTGCTCCGACATTCTGACTTCTGTCATGGTAAATATTGGGAGTCGAATTGTGAGGATGTGGTGTCGACGGTCTGGGGACAGGATTTAACTCTTGGGAGGGGCAAAAATGGCATTAAAGAAGGTCCGAGGGGGAGGGGGATGGGAGGAAAACAGACTGTCTTTCCGCCCGCAAAATCTCGAGCCTGGGAGAGTTGAGAAGGACAAGCTGAGATGGAACGGGGCGGTCAGTTGACAGGGCGGTCGCACAGCACACAAAGGGGATAAAAATAATCGACGAAGGGATGGCAGCGATTAATATCCCGTGAAAATCTGGGGAAATTATTGCTGGCTCAAAACATGGTAGACTCTGGAGCAAAGGCGATGCTAAAACTTGGGGACGGTCGGCGCGCATCAACAGTGGCATTGGCTGGATCCTGCATTGCAGGGACAAGGGCGGGCGGACTGGCGCATCACATGCAAGCGCAATCCTTCTGCGGGCGTTGGCGGTCTTACAAATGATCTGCCCGACTCGGTGTTCGCGTGACGTATTAGGGCCAGCCACAACGGCGCTCTCTCGGCGCCCGGCGTATAGTTGTTCCTGCGACCGCGATTCGCGCGGGCTTCTGGCCGAACCTTGTGAGTCAGCACCGCCTGCGGCCACACGGAAAATGACGCTCGGCCGCCCAATCAGCACACGCGCTATGCGCTCCACGCCCCACGGCCACCACCTGGGCGGCGTGGCCTCTGCGACAGACGAATACGACGTTGCTGCGCGCCGGACTCGGCGGCCCTGCCGTGCAAAAAAAGGGTCGCGTTGCGCGCTGGTTTCTTGAAACACGCCCACCCCGCACCTCCACTTGCTCGTCGAACCACCGGCTTGGAATTCGATTCTTGCCCTTATTATGATTTTTTATTTTCATGGTTTACCACGCCTTCCTGACCGTCGGGCATTTGAGGCTTGAAAAGGGAGGCCGCCGCACCTGATCGACCCGGCCCCAGGGCCAGGCACAACCAAGCTTCGGCCCTCACAACGGCTAGAGAGGTCCTACACGCAGATCACGGCGGCCAACCGGGCTCGGTGCGGCCGCGGTCACTCTCCGTCATATCATTTCCGCTCGCTGTGCGCTCTACACTACTACTTCATGCCCTGCTCGCAACCCCCCTCCCCTCCCCATGAAATGCTGAGACATAGTCCCGAGATCACCCCATACCATATACCCTGGAGCTTGTTCCCCGAAAAACCCTCGGGAGCGCAATGGCCGGACCGTGATACTGGCGCTATGGTGTGGCAAAGGATTTTTTTCTGAATCGTGAGAGTTGGACGGCAACCATAGTTCCATTACTAGGCGCGTCATGAATCATAATTCCATCTAGGATGCTGAAGTGATTTTCTATCTGTGACGTCCTATCATCCAGACATTTCTTGCATGTTCAACAACAATAATAATAATGCTCAAGAGCTGAAGACAAGCTAGGCAGGGATAAGCCCAGGTTTTGCTGCCGGGAAGGCATGGCGCTCGCGGGGTGCACAGCTGCCCTGAAACTGATAGGGCAGAACTGTCTAGGCTTTTCCCCCCCGTCTCCGACTGATTTTCGCAGCGTCTCCGGTGCGATGAGCCAATGGAAATTCGGGCAAAAGGGGCGTTCAGTGACAATGTATATTGCGCCCAGTGCTATCTATCTACCAGATCTAATGTGTTCAAGTACCTGGAAATCCAATACCTCTATAGATCTTTCCTCGCTTCCATGAAACCTGGTATACATCATGATGCGCCCGTTTTCATACAAGCGCCGCGCATTGACCAGAAAGAACTCTCGGTCCTGAGCTGGACTCCCCGTCATAGCACGGTTCCCTGGAACGGGAGCAAGAATGAAATATAGGACAGGGAAGTGTCTTTTCAAATGCCGAGCACCCCTGGCCACCCTATCCCACTTTGTTTCCTGGCCTTTAGCGCCGTCGACAAAACAATAATGAGATCCTTTTACTGCTGTTGAAGGAGGTAGCGCCGTGATGCCAGCTTGGGACGCGGATTTCCATATTCTGGAATGATGCATGACACAATCTAAAGAACGCCACCAAATGTTTTGGAAGACGAACGTTGGAATTTATCGCCCGTCGTCCCAACACTTCTCCTTACCAGTTCTGCCTTGGCATCTGGCCAGGGATAGTTGATCTTGCATTGACAACGCTCATGGGTACATCCCTGTGTGTCGACGGTTTGAACTTTGCGCGAACCACACTAATAATTGCAGCAGTGCTGAGTTGTAGCGAGCCTGTTCACCTTAAAGTGTAACGCCGGCGGCAGTCCGCGCTCCTCTTGAGCGAACGGTATGTAACAGCCGGCTACGGAGTAGTGTTTTGTAAATTATTAGGATGTAACTGCTTAAACGGATCCTTCACGGACCACGCGTCAAGGCTCGGAGGATTCCGAATTCAGCCCCAGCTCTGGCGGTGGGCTGTGTAGTTAGGTAGATACGCACGACTTATATTACTGCACATTTAAGCTGATCGAAGGAAAAGCCCACCTGTAGCGGTCCAATCCCGCAAATGACAAAGAGACAGAAGCGAGCAGTTGCCCAGCCAGAGTTTGCGCAGGAGCAAACGTGACATTCGCCCAGCCGAGGCTTCCTAGCAAGTTTGGCAAAACAACAAACCTCATCAAACCGGCCGCAGCACGATCTCTTTAACAGCTCGATTCCCTTCCCCGCGAGACCTAAGACAAGTAGGGAACCAGCGAGGAAATGAAATTCCCCGGAGTAGCGGTGGCTCTGGAATCACGCTGCTCAACGACCGCAATCGCCTGAAACGCATTGAAACCGATCATCCGCCGCCCCTGAGCTAGGGAGCTAACGGTCTGGGGTCCCCCATCATGGATCTTGCACCTCGGGCCCAGATCGCGAAGCTCGACTCAAGGGTGTTGAAACCGTATGTGTTGACCACGGCTGCTGTTTGTTGGTTTGCGTTTTTCTGCATGATGTAACCCGTCTTTTATGCATGTTCGCTAACGCGTCGATCAAAGAATCCTGCGCGCATACACTCTTGGTTACCTCACCGCAACAGGTCCCAGGATCATCTCCTTTTTCCGGATTCTTCGCCGGAAAGACCTGAGCAATGATTCGAAACTCAGATATGTGAGTCCTCGCGGTATTTGCTTTTTATGCTCTACCTCATGTATGGATTGAATGTTGGTGATACACGCGCCTCATAGTCTGAAATTAAATAGGATGCATTGCCATTCTGATACGATTCCACGGCTAATATGGTGTTTTCCAGCTGGCCCATATTCTAGTGGGAGCACTACGATGGAACAGATTTCCAACATTTTGCGCGCTTGTTACTGGCGGCTCTACGCTCCTGCCTTACCTCTCAGATAAGGCCATAGCGTCGTTATTCAACCGTCAGAAACCGACAAACAAGGTAGTTTTAACCGTGAAATTGAGTCGTGTTTTACGGTTTGCCGCAATTTTCGTCTCAGCATGGACATGCTTTCCGCTTCTTAACACCAAGCAAGTGCCAAAATCTCAACCACATCCCACAAAGCATGGAAACTCAGTCACCAAAAATGAAGAATGCAATACGCAATTAGACCACCAAGATGGCAGTAAGCCATTTTCAGATACCCCTGACGTGCCACACCTGGCCGGCAGAACACTCGATCTAACTCTATTTGCCATGGTGAGGGCAATGGATGTACTTGCTTCTCTCTCATGGTCTCGATGGAGGCGATATCGGAAGTCTCGGAAGGCTTTTACTCGTATTGAGGCATCTTTACCCCACTTATTTGATACCGGCGTATTTGCTGGAACGGCGGCTATTGTGATGTGGGCTTGGTTTTATCTTCCGGAGAGACTACCTTTCTCATATGGAAAGTGGATCAGTGACGCTGCTCAGATTGACCCTCGAATTATAGAGGCTTTACGAAGCGCAAGGAGGGGAGAGTGGACCTATGGACAGCCAAAAGGATCACGACTCGTATTGGAGCCCATGTGCCGTGATTACGGATTGCCAGTGGTTTGGGGCGACACTTCTCAGACCATCCCTATTCCCTGTGAACTCGTTCATATGGGCTGTGGGCCCAATTGTGAACTTCATGCAATATGGCGATTTGCTAAATCGTTCAAGTTTGTTCTTACGACTGACTTACCCATCCAGTTAGTGTTACGTTCCAGGTCGCCATCCATTCAAGGCTACCTTGGTGCAGTGAAGGCGTCTCTTCGCTCTTCCGCTTTCATAGGCCTTTTTGTAACCCTTTTTTACTACTCTGTCTGTCTCAGTCGTACAAGACTTGGCCCGAAGCTCTTCAGCGACAAAACGGTCACACCCATGATGTGGGATTCTGGTTTGTGTGTTGCTGCTGGATGTACAATGTGTGGGTGGAGTATTTTTGTTGAAAGTGCTAGAAAACGTCAAGAAATTTGTCTGTTTGTTGCCCCAAGAGCTATTGCTACTTTTTTCCCTAGGCGTTATGATCGAAAGGTACGTTTTTTCCAATCGTGGATTAGGAGTATAGTTTTACTAACAAGTTAAATAGCATTTATGGCGTGAACAGATGGCTTTTTCCTTAAGTACAGCGATTGTTCTCACATGCATTCAATCAGACCCAACAAGGGTTCGAGGCGTTTTAGGTAGGGTCCTTCGTGGAGTTTTTCTAAAGGGATGAACACTTGTATAACACCATTTCTGTACCTTTATTGAGTTGGTGGCCTGGCGTTGCGGCCCTGGGTATATATAACTTCAGTGATATGGCTTTCAGGTAAACATTATACATACATTTATTCTGAATGAAGCTCTTGATCAATTCTTTTCAAAGCCTCCAGAAACGTCTCCTAGACAACAATTTATTGTTTATCGCCCTGAGGTGAGCCTTATTCTCCTCAGATAAGCCGAGATTGACAGATGCCTTCGACATTTGAATGCAACACGTGGTCGGTTGAAGCTTAGTAGAATGGCGTGGATGAAAAGGCACCCAGAAACGCAACCCAAGCTACCAGATCGGCGGTCACCATTCTGATACGATGAAATCCAAGCCATTTTTCCATGTCGCCGGAAGCTCCGCCTGTTGATCTTCCATCAATGATATCTCGAATTGGGCCAGCCACCCACGGAACAAACAATAGATGGCCAACTGCTCCCACCAAGCCTGCAAGATAAAGCTTGGTACTGAATGTTGGAATTGAAAAATGGTGATCAAGGATCAAATTTGCGATGGCCGTGGTACTAGTAGTTAGGTTAAGGGCCAGGACTACCCATACACCACGATGGAAGACGACATTCCACCAGTTCGGGAGAAGTTCGTTTGAGGTCTTGCGGACTGAATGGTGGAGGAAAGATGAGTTATAGATGAGTTCTGCAGTTGCGTAGACTAATGTGCCAGTGCTACTGATCAGAGGGGCCACTCGGAGGAGCCGCATCGGGTCAAAGAAGGCTCCTGATGCCATGGTAGGTGTGTACGAGTTATAATCAGTAGGATGAGATATGCTACTTTCCAGCAATAACAGATGATGATTGAGAACCGTCTCCTACGCTTTCCGGAGTCTTATCTGTATGGAATACGGAGTAGAAGTGCGGAGTAAACATGCGAAACACCGAAAGCTTCCGGATCAGCCCACATGATTCTTATTGGTCAGAAGCCGCTGCCGAAGAAGCCGAGCTCTTCATTGGCTGCTTTCGCGCGACCGCGCTTGGCGGACCCAAATCTAAGTTAGCTTCACATTGGATTCGCCGACTCATCAGGCCATCCAGAACAAGACCTGGATGGGCAATGCTCACAACGCCGACCATGGCCGTTCGGATACCCCCACCATGTCGATTTTGCTCGACAAAGATGCTCATCCGGGGCCCCCAAGTCTCCCACCTCAGTCACTTTCGAATACTTAGCCGCAGCTTCTCGTCTCGGCCTCCGTTATGGCAACTAATCACACCCGCATCGCAGAGCCAAATATCGTCCAAAAAGAACCTCACCACACTGTATAGCATTATTTTCAAATTTTTTTAACTATACGCATGCTAATTTGTACAGGTATTATACAATTAGCACAATTGTCGGAACAGTCGCCCTTGCTTATGCATCCGTTCCATTATACAAAATGGTATACCTCCACACCGTATTCCTCTCTTAAAGCAAGAAATAATAAGACGTCGCCTTAGATATGTCAACAAATGGGATGGAATGGTCAGCCCGTTACATCCCACCTTGTTAACGGGGAAGACACCGCGTCTCGCCTCGTTCCGATTACCGATTCCCGGAGGCTCCGCATCACTTTCAACGGCTCCGTTTCAGACGTCCTTCCTTGGAAATTTACACCTCAACAACGAGAAGTTCGAGTTCTTCCGGGAGAGACGGCATTGGCATTCTATACTGCCACAAACAAAGGTGACAGTGACATCATTGGTGTTGCGACATATAGTGTGACCCCTGGTCAAGTGTCCCCATATTTCAGCAAAATCCAGTGTTTCTGCTTTGAGGAGCAGAGATTAAATGCGGGGGAAACCGTTGACATGCCAGTATTTTTCTTCATCGACCCTGATTTTGTGAAAGACCCGGCGATGAAGGGAATTGACACAATAACATTATCGTACACGTTTTTTAGTAAGATCATCTAGAAGGTTCGAACCTAAATCTGCGAAATTACTAATGGTTCAATGCAGAGGCGCGATACGATGACAATGGAATTTTACGACCAATACCTACAAGATGACCATCAACATTGGTGAATGAATGCCGTAGGTTGGCCAATTGCTTTCCACACCAGCTTTTGATTTATTCAAATTTTCACCTACTTTGCCATATGAATTTGGCTATCATGATTTATGCCCTTCACCGAAAATAACACCACTCAGCATTCATCGTTACCCTTTCCCCGATCCCGGCATTTGTGGGCTCATTTCTGAACTTGGATGAGGATCCCATTGTTCCCGCATACTTCCTGCTCAACCTTCACTTCTGATATTCGAGGAAATAAACCAAACAAGTGTGCATTGAGATTGAGGGTCTGTATATTCTAAGCCACGGATCACGGTGCGTACATAGAGATATATCCAGCATATCTATCTTCGCAATATTTGCTTTGCTCAAAGAAAAATCACATCTAAAGGTACGCGGATCTCTTTTAACAGGTCTTATGCCTATTTTGAGGATATACCGTATAATTTGTATATATTGTATACATTTATATCCTATATTTTTTAAATTTAAAATAGAGCTTTTGACAGTGTTGATACAGAGCAGCTTATCAACACTGAATGTGATAATTATGAAGGTGCCCTAAGATATGAGGTTTAAACAATTGTATTAACTGGAAAGAATGTACTTTGTGTGCCATGAAGCAGCAAGTCCCAATTTAGCCATGATAATTCACGTGTCCAAACAACTTCATTTACCTCACATCCTCCAACTCACCTTCCGTGGTAAGACTCAGCAATACTCAACCTTCCAAACAATACAATACTATCTTCAAATCTGACCGACACAGGATCAGAATATTTTCACTAGCCACCTTAGCATACAGTAAGAGTATAAGATATTGCATGTACAAACAAACTACTAACTGTTTGATAACAGAGACGTAAAGATGGGTATTGCCCTCTATTCTGATGAAGAAAGAGATGTTGAACCACGCTGCACTGACTGGCTGATTGCATGTGGAGACACTCACTATGCTGTAAACCGTTCCTCTTTCAAAACATACCATGATCTCAGCAATGCGGGGCTCGACTCGAAGGAAATCAAAGGCGTTGGAACCGTTGAATTGCAAGTCCAGCGTTCTAACGATAGCCCCGAAATCCATACTCTCGTCTTGGAAAACGTGGCACACATTCCTGGGGCTATCTGCAATGCGTTCTGTTACCTTCGTAACACCCATCGTGCAATCTGGGACATAATGACAAAGGGTTTCGAAGCTGGAGGAGTGCCGAGCTGGTATGGGGAGAGAGTTGGCAAGTTTGATGTCTTAGTCCTAGCAGGAAATGCCCAGGGGAAGTCCGAATTCCGAAAGCGAGTGAACGAAGGGGATCCATATTTTACACTGAGCCTTTATGTTTCCAGAGATGATAGGCAAAAACTAGGTTTAACAAAGCGGAGCAGCGGGATTTGAGAATATTCGATGTCTGCTAGAGACCGTCTTGTCGTCTTCGAAAGACGGGTACTCCGTATATCGATAGAATGTCTCTTTATACTGCATAACGAGGACCAATATCAGGACGTGGCCACGTCCATCTTCATTTGCATTGTCGCTTCTGTCATGCCAGCCAGACTTTAAAGGAGATATACTCGCATTCTAAATTTATATTGCAACGATGCATGAGTAATGGAAAGAGATAGGCAAGGCGGCCACCATGCCCCAAACGAAACTAACGCGCTGCCCTTAAAGCACGGACCTCCATTTAAGTTAATTACCTAACTAACTAACTAGTTAATTGGTCGCGTCAACACGCGTCTTCCATCATCACCAGATTGCATTTGAGAATACTACCGGCAAAAACAATTTTACAATGGCGCTTCTTGTGGATAGGCAGCGGCCTCGCACTCTTGATACTCTTACATATCACCATGAATTATCTACCCGACTAAAATCCTTGGTGAATTACTACCTTGTTACTAAGTATTCATAACCCCGCTGACATGGCTTGATTCTATAGGCTCAAAGCGGCGACTTTCCGCATCTTCTTGTTTATGGGCCATCAGGTGCGGGTAAGAAAACTAGAATAATTGCTACACTTAAAGAGCTATATGGGCCAGGAGTGGAAAAGATAAAAGTCGACGCCCGGGTGTTTCAGACCTCCAGCAATCGAAAACTCGAATTCAACATTGTTGCTTCCATCTACCATCTAGAGATTACACCTTCCGACGTGGGTAATTATGACCGAGTTGTTATTCAAGAATTACTCAAGGAAATCGCGCAAACTCAACAAGTCGACCTATCCGCTAGACAACGTTTTAAAGTTGTGGTGATTAACGAAGCCGACTTTCTGACAAGAGATGCCCAAGCAGCACTTCGAAGAACAATGGAGAAATATAGTCCAAATATGAGACTGATTCTACTTGCCAATAGCACAGCAAATATTATTGCACCCATCCGCTCGAGAACACTGCTTGTCAGAGTTGCTGCGCCAATGGAAGAGGAGATATGCGAGGTATTAAAGTCGGCTGGGAAAAAAGAGGGCTGGCCTGAAGCACCTGGATTAAATAAGAGAATAGCAAAAGAAAGCGGGAGGAATTTGCGAAAAGCATTGCTCATGTTTGAAGCAGTTCATGCACAGAAGTAGGTGATGTCTATTCACTTCATCTCTTGAATAGTACTAACAAGCCATAGTGAAAAGGTGACGAATGATACTGTAGTCCCTCCACCAGATTGGGAGGCTTTGATTTCTCTCATCGCTGATGAAATAATGGCCGAGAGATCCCCAGCACGGATTCTCCAAGTTCGAGCTCGACTCTATGACCTACTGACCCATTGCATACCTCCCACTACTATTCTCAAGGTAGCTCCTACAATAGTTACTTCTTCTCATGGGCCGAAGATACTGACTTATGATATAGACATTAACTTTTAAACTTGTCCTCAAAGTTGACGATATTTTGAAACCTGAGATAATCAAGTGGTCGGCTTTCTATGAGCATAGAGTAAAAACTGGCAGTGTAAGTTCAAGTTGTAACTAGAAAGCTTGGAGCGAATTTTAACTAATACTACTTAGAAAGTTATATTCCATCTCGAGGCATTCGTCGCGAGATTCATGAGACTTCTCGAGAGGTATGGGAAACACTGCCCAAAACCTTATCCACTCTTGAAAACGGAACTAACAATATAATAGTTATTTGATGGGCATCGAGTTTTAAATCGTCTCGATTGCTGTCCCTGAAATGCTATCACCGAAATTCGGGGAAGGGATCGTTGTTACATAAAAAAGAAAAAAATGGCTGTGTTATGTTTCTTGAAATACGAAATATATCCCAGTAGTTAAATGGCTATTTCATATATGGGTCTGATATACACAGATGAGTGCTGATAGATCATAAGTGTATAATTTTACACTACTCCTAAGAGTCCATGGAGTCCATTATAATACAGATAACCAACGCTCAATATAATAATAAAACAAAATCTAGAGTGCTGGGGGCTCCGAAACAACAGGTTGCTGTTCCGCTACAAGTTTATGCTCCACAGGTCTCCTTGCTCTTTTTAAAGACTCCAGCGTGATTCCGTTAGTTAGTTTTGTAAGCCCAACAATTGGCGGTTCGCCTTTTTTCACGAATTCATATAAGCCTATAAAAGGACATCAGCTTCTGGTTCAAATGAAATAGTGGGTTTTAAGCGTACCAGGTAGTTTGTGAGCGGCCAGTCTAAATGCCTCCCTTGCAACTTTCTCATGCAGGTTTCCTTTCAATTCAAATATAATCCGGTTAACTGGCACTCTGGCAGCCCAGTAATCAAATTTCCCTTTTCCTTTACCCATACGCTGTTCATTTCCACTTGTATAAACCCCAATATTTGCACTAACTCTGGTGTAAACCTTATAGTCCATCCCTCTCAATCTGCGATTTATCGTTTCCATTCCAATTTTTAATTGTGCCGCTGATACTCTACGATCGTGGTCTCGCATGCGAAGTCCGTAATCGCCCCAAACCACGGTGGTGCCGCGCGACGATCCTCCAGTCGGCATACGTGGTCGCCCCTTGCGTGATTTACTCTTTTCGGCCATTTTGGGAAGCAGCCAGTCCAAGGCTGGTTTAGAGGTAGAGAAGCATCGTCCGGAGGTGGGTGTGAAGTGTGGTCGAAATACTATGAGGAACGCCGTTAGAAAAGCTGGGGCGTGAAAAAGGCAGAAGGTACTGACAAAACGATTGAATGGTAGAAACTCGAAATCCCGAGGTTATCCCAGAGTTAGAGCCCATATCTATTGAGCCAAGTCCACTTTTTGAGGCTTCAAATCCGTATTGTTGTCACAGCAAAATTACTGTCTTGAGAAGTGATAATCCATGCACAGACCACCTAGATAGAACATAGTTAAGTTAACTACAGTAGTTAACTAGTTAACTAGTTACCTAATCCACCAATTTACAGTCACGGGATCTAGACGCGTCGGACTCGCGGTAGACTAGCTCGTGTCTGTAGAATGATAAGAAGGACAGTATTTCAATATGCTGCTGTGTCGTGTCTTGAGCCAGTACAATTTGTCATTATAACATCATTCAGGAGTCAACTATACCTGTTTTCCGAAAATGGCTCCCGATATTAGATCTTTCTTTGGCACCCAAGGCAGCCAAAGCTCAAAAGCTGATAAGGAACCCAAGGCAAAAAAGTCAGAGGTAAGACCACTGGTCTTCCATCCCTAGCAATACATACTTCATGAAAGCTCTCTTTTATTACAAAATCTAATTACATTACTCTCTAGGATACCGCGAAGTCCAGGAAACGACGTCAGTGTTTTTGTCGTATACAACATATCATAGACTAATTATGCCTCTGGTCGATAGGTAGTAGAAAAGTGGTAGAAGACTCTGAAGACGATGATACTCATATAAAGACAACGCCGAAGCCACAACCGAAAAAAAAGCAGTATGTGCTAGCCTTTGAGTATAATAGTTGATGGATAAACCTATGTCTAAACATTGGTCATTTATTGTTCTAGAAAAGCGGAAGAACCAAAGGTAGAGCTAACGACTTCTTCGGACTACTTTGCATCATCTCGGAAGAGCAAACCGCCTTCAAAACAAATTCCGCCGACAGAAACGACAACGGTTGGAACAGCGGAATCTTTGAAGGAACAGCCTATGAACACGACGCCCAAACAAAAGATTGACGGTAAAGAAGATCTGGGCAAACGCCCTGCTGTTGTCGTCAGGGATGATCAAAGGCGACCAAAGCCGAAAGCCAGCAAAACACTTGATGTTGATGAGGGTCTTGGAGGCGACGATATATTCGCTACAGAGTACCAAAAGCCTAGTAGAGGCGGCGATGATGATTACCAAGAGATAGCTGAGTCCAGTTCAGACTCAGATTTTGAAAAAGTTGTTCCCAAATCCCGTTCCGTACCGGTTTCACAACCGTCACGTACAACTGGTGCACCCGTCAAAGGTGGCCAGAAAAGAAAATCAGATGTCCTTTTGGAAAATAATGAGGAAAGTGAACTTTCTGATGAGAAGCCAAAAAAGTCCTCCCGTAAGGGTATAGCTAAGCAACCAGCGAAGACTACGGCTAAAAAGCCAAAGGCTACAGCGAAACCTGTACAGGCTGAGAGCAGAGAAATACAAGCTATTTTTGATAGCATTCCGACTGTTCGCCCTCCTTCTCCTCCTGCAGAGACGAAGAAGTTCAATTACGTAGCTGCCACCCAACGAGCACAGGCTCCAGCTGCTGTTGGATCCACTGAGCTACCAACCGGCGCAGAAAATTGTCTTACTGGCCTCTCTTTTGTTTTTACGGGTATTCTGGACTCTTTGGGCCGCGAAGAAGGCCAGGCACTTGTGAAAAAGTATGGTGGTAAGGTCACTGGTGCTCCTAGCTCAAAGACAAGCTATGTTGTATTGGGAAATGACGCTGGGCCAAGGAAATTGGAAACAATTCGCAAGTTCAATCTCAAGACTATCAATGAGCATGGTCTTTTTGAGCTTATCAAAAAGCTTCCCGCAAATGGAGGTGACGGAAAAGCCGCTGCCCAGTATGAAGCGAAGAAAAAGGCTGAAGAACAAAAAGTAAAAGAAATGGCTGCGGAAATAGACCGCGAAGAAAAAAAGAGGGCTGCTTCGTCTTTTGTGCCAGCGTCAGCAACCCTAGCGAAGACCTCTTCCAAACCTATATCAGCTCCAAAAGGACAAACCAGGGATGATCGTCTATGGACAGTGAAATACGCTCCAACTTCATTAAGCATGATATGCGGAAACAAAGCTGTTGTCGAAAGACTACAGACTTGGCTACGAAATTGGCGAAGCAATGCTAAAGCTGGTTTTAAAAAACCAGGAAAGGACGGATTTGGCACTTACCGTGCAGTAATGATCCATGGTCCTCCCGGTATCGGAAAGACCACTGCCGCGCATCTCGTAGCAAAACTCGAACATTACGACGTCGTCGAGACAAACGCAAGTGATACAAGAAGCAAGAAGCTAGTGGAAGGCGGCCTGCGGGGGGTATTGGATACAACGTCCTTACAGGGATACTTCTCAGGAGAAGGTAAAGCCGTAGAGAGCGAGAAGAAAAATCTCGTTTTGATAATGGATGAAGTCGACGGAATGTCCGCCGGTGACCGTGGCGGTGTTGGAGCGCTTGCAGCAGTTGCAAAAAAGACTCGTATTCCGATGATTTTGATATGCAACGACCGAAGACTGCCGAAAATGAAACCATTTGATCAGGTAACTTACGATCTGCCGTTTAGACGCCCAACCGCGGAGCAAATCCGTGCCCGGCTTTCCACTATCTGCTACCGTGAGGGATTAAAGATTCCTCCTCAAGTTTTAGATGGGTTAATTGAAGGGACCCATGCTGATATAAGACAAATTGTGAATATGTTGTCCACGGTAAAATTGGACAGCCAAAATCTCGATTTCGATAAAGGCAAGCAAATGTCTAAAGCTTGGGAAAAGCACGTTATTCTAAAACCATGGGATATTGTTGGCAAGATCTTAAGCGCGCAGATGTTTTCTCAGAGTTCTACTGCGACGCTTAATGATAAAATAGAGCTTTATTTCAATGATCACGAATTCAGCTATTTGATGTTGCAAGAAAATTATCTCAAGACGAACCCCGTTGCGGCTGGAACATATAGCGGCCGAGAGCGAAAATTCAAACTGCTCGAGCTGGCTGATAATGCTGCTGAGAGTATCAGCGATGGGGATTTAGTGGATAAAATGATTCACGGCTCTCAGCAACAGTGGAGTTTAATGCCGACTCATGCCGTATTCAGTTTTGTCCGTCCTGCTAGCTTCATGTCTGGAAATATGACCGAGAGGGCAGGATTCACAAGCTGGCTAGGCAGTAATTCAAAGCAAGGTAATCGTTTTTGGCCATTCATTATTTAATCGCAGTAAAACTAACCTGCTTTATAGGCAAAATGAGCCGACAGATCAAAGAAATTCAGGGCCACATGCGTCTTCGGGCGTCTGGAGACCGACATGAAATCCGCCAGCAATATCTTCCTCTTCTCTGGGAAAAACTAGTTCACAGACTCGATGCTGATGGCAAAGAAGCCGTGCAAGATGTTATCGATCTGATGGACAGCTACTTCTTGACTCGTGAAGACTGGGACTCGATTCTTGAACTTGGACTCGGGCCAATGTCTGAAAAGGGAGTTAAAATTGAGTCACAGACTAAAGCTACCTTTACCCGTCTCTACAATCAGCAATCACACCCCCTTCCATATATGAAGGCAAGCACGGTAGTCGCTCCAAAGAAACTTCCAAAAATCAAGCCGGACCTTGAAGATGCTATCGATGAGTCTGATGAAGCGGAGGAGATACTAGGCGAAGAGGAGACAAAAGAAGATGACGACGATCTTGATCTTAAGAAAGATAAATACATTAGAGCCCCAAAAAAGGCAGCCGCGAAGAAGGCCCCTGGCGGCAAAGCCGCTGCCAAGCCAAAAGCAAGAAAAGGAAAAAAGAAGGTCGACAGTGATATCAGTATGTCCGACGACGAAGAGGACATCAAGCCTACGAAAAAGGGCAGAAAATCCAAGGGGAAGACGTGAACATCATCGAACCTTTTATTCTTTTAGCTCTAGATGATAGATATATAATCTTGGTATCATTGGTATTTGTCCGACGTGACATAGTAGCTAGTGTAATATCATTTTTTGAGGAATCATTTCCTTTTTTAAAAAAAACATTCATTAGATCGTACTATACTCTCTTGGCTTTTTAGAGCCGGGGCGTACCGTCTATTTAGGTAGGAAGAATCCGGGACATGGGGATATTTTACAAAGGAACAAAAGTAAGAAATAAACAAAAGTGGCCTAAAATAAATCTAGGATTGAAGTATCAAAAGGTCGTAGAAGTTCCCTCATTTACGCAATAATACTCCATAGTGCTACCAGGGCACCTCGATCCCTAATGCTTGCGCTACTCTCATTGCAGAGACTACGCAGCCCTCCAGCAAGACCATACCATCCCAACACCAACTTCCAACGAGCCACACATTGCCATCGCCATTGACAAACTTTCCAAGGGCGTTGAGGCCCTTTTCATCGCTGACCGCTGCATGAAGAGGCTGAGACTTGCAGCTGAATATTCTATTCACGATCTCCCGGCTCTGCGGTGTTCTTAGAGTTCGTGTAAAGTACGTGCGACTTATGACTTTCGACGGATCAATCGGGGTGCTTGGAAAATTCGTCACGATGACAGAAGACGTGGGATCTTCATGTATTGTCTCTGTCAAGTTTTGCGAGGAGCGAAAATGGATCCAATTCGGAGGGTCAGGGGTAAGGTCCATTTGGTAGATGGCATTGCTGGACTGTTGGCTCGCGGCAGGGAGATGCGTGTGGATAATCGATTCTACTGTTGCCGTTGGGATATGGGACAACTCGGATTTAAGGGGAGTAAAGATGCTCCCCACAGCGTTCGGGGGCACGGCTAGGACGACATGGTCGAAGTATTTCTGCTTGGGGACATTACTCAGCGATTCTGAGGAAGATGATTCCCAGGACACTTTGACTCCAGAGCCAGCTGGAATGATAGACGTCACACGGCAGCCAAACTGCACAGAGAGGCCCTGGCAGAGTTTCTTTTGAACTTCGCTGACTCCACCAGACACGCGAACATGCGGGGAATTAAGCGAGCGCTGCTTGTAGTCAATTACGTCCTTTGCTGGGAAGTTCAACATTTCAGCATGGGTGCATGTAGATATGCTTGCAAGACCTGGAAGCAGGTATCTTTCTGTGAAGTATGCGGGGATAAATATTCGTCGAAGATACTGCCCAAAGGATTCACAATTTTTGAGCTTACCACCTACTGAAGTTGATTCGTGCGGCGAAACAAAGGAAAGACAAATCGTAAGCCAAGTTAAGCAGAGGGCAAGATATGCGGTTTCCCAAGCCCATGTCCAGAAACCGCATGCTTGAGGCTGCACGGGTGGAATGCGGTGATTATTTGAAGAATGGATGAAGTAAGGTTTTGGTTCCACTGAACATTGACTATCTTTTGATCCTTGCTGGGGTAGCCTTGCAAAGCTGAAAAGAAAACGTTCTGTGTGGTATCTGACATCGAGAAAGTCATACATGGCCGTAAGATTGGGGTAGAATCCACGATCAAAAGCGCGCATGGGCTGGTCAACGCGGGTGGTGAGGGCACCATGTTTTGCGGGCACCGTTATGGAAGCCGAGTCAAGAGAGAGCTGGTCTTGCTAGGCGGGTATTAGCAGTGAACATGAAAGATAGAGACAAGAAACTAGTGGAAGGAATCAGCTAGTACCGCTTCATATACTTGGACGTCAAAGCCCACATGCTTGTCCTGCCGCAAGAGATATGCTACCACAAGCCCAGCCATACCAGTCCCCACCACGGCAACAGACTGTCGCTGCGACGGCTTTGTTTTTGATATGGTGTCCATGGTGTTTTCGATGCTGGATTTCATCTCATGAGGTTAAATTAAGAACGAAGTTATGTAACCCAAAAGAGTTCCGAAAACACACTGAAATACCACAGGTATTGTCTCTTCAAAGAGAAAGAATACAAATGTTAGTTATATTTCAGCGGAAAACTGGCGCTGAGTCGACATTCGGCATTGAAGACCTGTCTCTGGTCAAAGGAGCGAGAGATGAAAGCGAGATATCTAAGACACCGGCACCAGCGGCCCCCATGAAAAACTTCGCTGTATGCACAGGAACAGAGCTGGACGGGACAAATAGTCGAGACTTTCGTTCACCGGGGCTTAAACGTCAACCGCCGAAAAAATTCGCAGGGCGTTTGGACGTTAACAAGTGGGCTGCGGACGAAACCTTGACGCGCGTCGGCGAATAGCGATGGTGGTGACAAAGGCTAGTTTCTGGACCTAGATGGCATACAAACGCTTGTCCCGACAGCTGAATATGGTTCGAGACGAGAATTCTCGGGCTAGATTATATGCATGCGGTCTCCGCAGTTCTTGGGCTGTGCGGAGTTGGGTAATGTTCACTCAAGCTACGGAGTACTCCAGACGTCAAAAGCTACCGCTGGAAAATACGAACTAAATACGTGAGGGTAGCATACATATCTAACGGCTGCTTCGTTGCTTGAATACGAGCGAAACGCCTGACGTCTAGCCAGAGGTCTAGTTACCCGTTCAGCCAATTTGTTGAAAAACCCTATGCTATGTTCCGTAGCTGCTTTCGTCGCTCAAAGGAGGGACAAGCCTAGAATGAACAGCTGTTTCGGGACAGTTGGGGATATTTGAGAATTGCTAAGCTGAAGCACTCCCATATCGAGGTCCCAGCTGGCCGATACTGCTTCTGAAGCCAAAGCACCGCAGGTTTGGTGCCGCAAGAGAGCCAATAGATGTCCTAAGTTACAATTCCTCCCATTCCTCAAAGGGCGCGCATTGGCCCCAAAGCCTCTTGGTTATTATGTATGCTCGTCGAAGGTCTACGCAGCACATAAACAAACGACAAAGCCAGAAGCGAACAAGCTTCTCCGAGGCAGGAGGCTCGACCGCAAAGTAAGTCGATCTAGACAATATATTGCAGAGGAAAGGGGGGGGGGTTCCTTGCGTAGGTATTGAAGCGGGTGTCGTGGGCTGCAGACAAGTTAGCCAAAGAGGACACAGTCGCATCGCGGAGCTGGAAAGTGAGCAGTCAGCGAAGGCATTGTGAGTGTCCGACGTGAAGTCGACGAGTCTCGTTTTCATTGCTGGGTTGAGAGGACGCACTGCGCAGCCGATGATTGGTGCGACTAGCTGGTACCTTTTTTGTGTGCAGTTCTCAACGTTTATTGGCCTGTTGACGGGATGGTTCAATTACTCCCACTGCTATTGGCCAGAAATCACCCCCTCAAACCCACGATGCAGCCAATCGCCGGCTGGAATGTCGGCCGGTACTGGCGGGTAATTTACCGTTGGGTAGTGACAGGGGCTGCGACAGCCGCCAGTCTCCGCGGTAGAGGGGCGACAGGCCAATTGAGCGCCGCGCTTGCACGGCGGGAGGGCTGCTCATGCGCGCGCTGGGCCAGCGAGCGTGCCGGGCTTGCAGACGGGCAGCTGGCGGAGCGTGCGAGCTGTTGCAGTGCAGCGCGGCCGCAGGCGTGTTTCAAAAACAAAATTACCGTCGTGACGCCCAGGCCCAACGCGGACTAGCGCAGATTCCCTCGCAGCCAATCAGCGCGCGGCAGCGGCCCAAAAACACGCCAAACGACGGGCAACCCCTTTCTTCTCGCTCAGGAGGTTTTGGCCGTCTGCCTCTCCCCAGCTCGTCTCCCACACCCTGCTCTCGCACGGCGCCCTCGAGGAGCCAGCTCTGCATTTCCCTCGTTCTTCCGGCTTCCTTTCGTGCTGTCGTTCTCCTCTCTCAAGCTGTGCTTGCTCTTCCTTCCGCCAATCTCCCTCTTGCTCGTCTCTGGGCCCGCCTGTCGTTCTCTCGCAAAAACGCCTTGCTGCAAAAAAAAAAAGTGGCCTGAGCCGAAGCTGAGAATCGCTTGCTTGTCTCGCCACGCCAATTGTCGCTTCGCTTCGCTACTTCGAGCCTGAAGGAACCGGTATGTCGCCTTCTCCATGCAGCTCTGTCTCTTTCCCAAAAACGGGCAAAAAACGAGCACACGCTTACGACTACCCTGGCTTTTGATACTTGGCTGACCAAACCACCGTGTACCTGTACAGACACCATTACGATAAAGCCTTTGCTTCACATCTTTCGCCCGCGCTATCTTCACAATGGGTAAGTTATCATTGACACTTGCGTTGCTGCAATCCTCCACCCCTACCCCTCCCACAGTGTACCCGCGACGTATTCCTCGCCCTCGCCAGGAATGTGCTTTCATACCCTTGGAATCCAGTCTTTTTGACAAAGCGGGAGCAACGTGGCCATTATATTGTGGAAAAATTCCCTCACCGGGCGTCGAATTCACAAACAAGTTGCTTCCTCGTTGTTTTCAAAACCTTGTGCAACGCGAATGAGACACTGACTACCAGCCAGACTCCCCAGCTTCCAGTGCCAACGGGGTTCCGGCCCCCACCCGACCCTCGCCTGCCGTCGATACTCCTCCAAGCAAGCCTACTTCACCGCTCGTCGAACGTAGTAACCCCATGGGTGCGGGTGCTACCCAGACTGTTACCTCCAAGGACCCTAAAGCCGCTGCCCGAGCTGCTACCGATATGAGAAATGTCGTTCGCCGAAAGCTAACTGGATATGTCGGTTTTGCCAACCTTCCTAACCAATGGCATCGTAAGAGTGTCCGCAAAGGTTTCAATTTCAATGTTATGGTGGTTGGTGAGTTCATTCCGTTGAGACTGCCGCTTGCAATCCGTCACTTTGCTTACAATTCCTTAGGCGAATCCGGACTTGGAAAATCTACATTGGTCAATACCCTCTTCAACACCTCGCTATACCCACCCAAGGAACGCAAGGGCCCAAGCCTTGACATCATTCCCAAAACAGTGTCGATTCAATCCATCAGTGCAGACATCGAGGAAAATGGCGTTCGCCTACGATTGACCGTTGTTGATACGCCAGGATTTGGTGACTTCGTCAACAACGATGATTCATGGCGTCCAATCGTTGAGAATATTGAACAGCGATTCGATGCCTACCTTGATGCTGAAAACAAAGTGAATCGGATGAACATCGTTGATAACCGTGTTCATGCTTGTGTCTACTTTATCCAGCCAACCGGCCATTCACTGAAGCCGCTTGATATCGAAGTCATGCGCCGCTTACATACCAAAGTCAACCTGATTCCTGTCATTGCCAAGGCTGACACTTTGACCGACGAGGAAGTCGCGCTCTTTAAGCAGAGGGTAAGCGCTTGAGCGACTCTATTTTTTTTTTAAAAAAGGGAAGGGCTAACTTGAGGCATAGATTCTTGCTGATATCCATCACCACTCCATTCAAATATTTGAGGGGCCCCGTTATGAACTCGATGACGAAGAAACACTCGCTGAGAACCAAGAAATTATGTCTAAAGTTCCTTTTGCTGTGGTTGGTGCAAACGCAGAAGTCACCACTTCCAACGGCCACAAAGTACGAGGGCGTCGGTATCCATGGGGTATTATTGAAGTCGATAACGAGGAGCATTGCGACTTTGTGAAATTGCGCCAGATGCTCATTCGCACCCACATGGAAGAACTTAAAGAACACACTAATAATGTTCTATATGAAAACTACCGTTCCGAAAAATTGACGGCCATGGGTGTGACACAAGATCCAAGCGTGTTCAAAGAAGTTAACCCGGCAGTCAAGCAAGAAGAAGAACGCGCTCTTCACGAACAGAAGCTTGCAAAGATGGAATCGGACATGAAGGTTGTCTTCCAACAGAAGGTCCAGGAGAAGGAGAGCAAATTAAAGCAGAGCGAAGACGAGTTATATGCTCGGCATCGAGAAATGAAGGAGCAGCTGGAACGACAGCGCCTCGAGTTAGAAGAGAAGAAGAGTCGATTGGAGAGTGGTCGACCATTGGAAGACAAGATAAAGCGAAAAGGCTTTTCTCTTCGTTAAATCACGAGACAGTCAACGCCTGAACGTCACCCTGGCACCCGGTTCAAACTCGAGTCGAATTCTTTTGGAGATCTAGCATGCTTTTTTCCCTGCATTACTTTTTTGTTGATGGATCTAGCGCTCCATCACACTTTCGTTGCCCATTTCTTTGACTCCGACACTCTCTCGCCGCCCACTTTTTTTTTCCCTCTTATACCTCAAAGTTTTTAAGAAGTTTTCTATAATGATGTTGAATTTGCCTCGTTTCCTGCGATAGTATCAGACTTTAATGTTCACGGAGACCGCTGGGGAGATGCGACTCAAGATTGGGCCGGTAGTTTGGGGAGAAGTCGTGCTCTAAGGTAGATTGCTTTGCGGAGGATGGGAACTACTCCCGGACGGCATAGAATTTGACTTTTGCTCTCTCAGATTTCGACGTAAAAGGATGTCGCTGGGTGTTGAGTTTGGCTGAATACGTACCGTGTCGAATAGACTCGGTGCTCAGTAGTTGCTTCGGCTTTCTTCTTTTTATTATTTTAGTCAACCTCCCTTCTTGTCATGTATTTGCCTACTTTTAGCTCTTGTTTTATTTATCTGGTTTGGTTTTGAATCTCTTATGGAATTTCTCCGCCTACCGATTGATATTTCCGGGTAAAATGCTCATAGGACAACCGATCTCTTGGGGCTAATGGAGCCCGGAGAATGAATCACATACCAAGATTGTACGGCCTTGATGAATTGTAGAAATAGGATTGGGCGGGATGTTCCTGTAAGATCGCCTTCAATGGTGAATTTGTCACTGCCGTAAGGCTGATATGTAGTCATTGCATGTCAATGATTGTCACTCGCCAATATCTGATTGCGTAAGGGATGGAGATGTGTAATGCTGCAGTGACGGAAATCCATGAATGCCAAATATGCCAATGACGTTGAAGTGAGCAGTAGGAAACTACAGAAATCCTTTTATATATTTATCTCTCATCGAATTACTGTTTCTACTTCTTTCACTCGTGTGATAGGATTCAACTATCTGATGCTGTCTATCCCTCTTTTTTCTTGTGTAATTCTTCTTTGATAACCGCCTGAGAAACTCTAACTATTCTCGATTTACCACACTTTTTCCTGTTACTATTCTCGTGATTTCACCAAAAGAGAGGCACATCTGGGGGTTGTGAGCAAATATCTCTTACAGTATCCTTTGATATCATCAAAATACTCTCAACATCATGTGCAGAATCATCTCACAGGAGCAATTTCTAGTATGCGGGCATACTGCCAAGTGCTACCTGAAGCATGGCCTCTTATACTGTAAGGCACCGAACGGTATACCTTTCAGCATTGAAACACAACGCAACCGTCAGGGACTTTATCCAACAAGATTCTGTCCAGAAGAGATATGGGAGGAAGTGACAATACAAGTTGACGGGCTCTGCACAAACTGTGTGCGTGAGAGGGAGCCAAGAATACCAGCAGGCAAAAGAAAAATATATCGTTGCAGGCATACCAGGGTAGAAATACCAGGATATGCTCTCCAGAATTGCTTCTCGCCGTCCCAGCCATCAACCGCGGCTGCTGACATAGAAGATAAAGATTCAACTGATAGCACCCCATATTTACCATTTTCTTTCAGATTTGGTAGGTACCGTCATTTTAGATTTCGCTCTTTAGGGCTCAACAAGAATAAGAATAATTTAGGGAACAAAGCTCCTAAGTTTGCATTGTCGAATAATGAGCAGAAAATGCTCTTTACGCCGATCTCAGAGGAGGACGTTGAAATAAAGGAATTTCTCGGCAGCGGAGATGATGCAGAATTCTCATGGGAAAGATATGCAAAACTTCATATGTGGGAACAGGGCAATTGGGCACCGTGCCCAGAATGCCAGCGACGTTGGGCCTGCCGGAAAGAGGAGTTGCAAGAAAGCATGGGACTATTGAACGAGAGCGCGAAAGTAAAAGAAACTGGGTACCGGGCCAGAAAACCAAAGGGCCTAGAGGTGGTTATTTATGACGCGGAAAACTATCTCCACCGTCGTTCGAAGGCAGTACGAGGCTCTGTGGAGGAGGATAAGGGTACAAAGGGGTCTCTGGAAGCGGCCGAGTAAGTCAAACGAGCCTATGCTGCACATACCACAACTGACAAATTGGAAGAGGGCAAGCGTTTGTCAAATAGTTCGGCTGATAGAATTCAGAAGTCCAAATGCCATCTTAATCAAGCAGTTTCACAATGCTAGACGAGATGTTTTACTGTTTTGCCTCCTATAGTTATTAAGGCCACGCACTGTTTGGTTGACGGTGGTGGTAAGGCAGCGTCCGTAATGCCGCCATTTGATAGCTGTTCCCCAAAGCATGTCAACAGTAGCCAAGCGTATATGTATTTTCTCAGATATGCTAGCAATTCCACTGATTTCTTGTGGTATGCGGAGTACCAGGGTATGTTTCTCTCTAGGGTGCCTGTTGTACACTGAGAAACTTCGTAATATGGAAAACGCCAGAAACCAGAAGTTAGACTTTAGACTCAAGCAGCCTTTCAACCTATCGCAGTGTAAATATCCGCTTTGCGCTCCTTGTTTCTCCTGTTTTCGTGATGCTGGCAGTCAATGTTATTGCAGCGGGGGGGCTAAATCGCATAGAGGCTCCGTAGCCAGCGCCGTCAGAGCAAAGGCCCCGATGATAGACAACATGGTTCTTCTGCCTGAGGCGCACTGCAGGGTCGTCGTCGGCGATGGCAAAAAGCTACGGAGACGAGTTCACTACTCCGTATTCCGTACAGCAAGCAGGTCACGGCCAGCTTGGCGTGACGATGACGGAAGCTGTCGCAGTGGCCAATGGGGTTGCTGCTCGCCGGCCCACAGAAGTGACCACTTTGTTTGTATTTAAACCCAGCCAGCGCACCGCCGCTGCCGACCGCCAACTGTGTCCCTCTACCGCCTCTTCTGCTTCCGCTGCTGATCTCGTTTTGCTGTCGTCTCGTCCCGCTCTCCTGATTCCGGTGCCTTTGGATAGTTAAATGGCGCCTCCACCACCTGCAAGCTTGCCCCTGGGCGAGCGGCTTAAGCAGCTCGCTCAGCGATTACAGTACGTCCGCCAGACTTGCTATCCAACAGCCCGCGTGGCATGCTAATTTGCTACTACGCAGGTTTGGATGGTTTGTTGGCCACTTGTGTCTCGTGCTCGCCGTCTTTCGCTATCTTCTTTCCGTCTTAACGTTCAATTCGGGTTCTGGCATGGCTCAAGCGTCGTACCGATTCGCTTTCATTGCGGCCGCCGCTACTTACGGAATCGTGGTGTATAAGGCGCACGTTACTCGCGGCGACCTAAAGGGTAGCGTGCCGGCAATAGTGATGAAGCTGGGTGCCGATGAGAATGTCCAATATTTACGTATGCACTTCTCCACTTACTTCTTCGTTTTGCCATTCGTTTCTTGTAGCTAACGGCATTATGCCTCTTTTAGTCATTGCTCTTGTTTGGCTGTATGCGCGTCAAATCACTATCGCTGTTTTCCCATTTGCAATCTACTCGTTCTTCCATGTCGCCACTTTCACTCGCAGCCATGTGATTCCAACGATTCAACCACCAAAAGAGGCGGACGCAGCAGCTTCCTCATCATCTGCACCGCCGACACCAAAGCCATCACCGCTGTCAGAGGCCATTGGTCGCTTTATCAAGCAATATTATGACGCAAGCATGGGGCTGGTGGCTTCACTTGAGCTGGCTCTGCTCCTTCGACTTGTCGGAACTGCCCTTACGTTCTCAAGCGGTAGCTGGATTCTTCTTGTGGTGTACTTCTTTTTCTTCCGGGCTAGATATGCTGGAAGCAGATACGTTCGCGGGACTGTCGCTCAACTCAATGAAAGAATCGAAGTGTCCATCTCGCACCAGAATACGCCGCCTGTCGTGAGACAAGGATGGCAGGTGCTAAAGGACTCCATCCAGCGGGGATATGAGCTTACTGATGTGCGCCGCTATGTCGGAGGAGAACCCGCGGCTGGAGGTAAGAAGCCACAGTAAGCACCACTTACGAACTGCACGGGTGGAACGACTTCGCTGTGGTGATTTCAAATTACAACACCTACCGGGTTCGATAGACCTTAGTCGGACCGTTCCTCTTTGGTCGGAGCTCGACAGCCAATTCCGTGCGGATATAAAAAAAGCCTCAAACCATAGAGATTAAGAACACTACAGATCTCTCTGTATTTCTATTCTTTGAAAATATGTTTCTTTCCCTATTCCACATGCGCCTGTTCAAAAATTTCCATGATATCGTTGCGCTCGGTGTATTTCGCGTCTTGGTTCCGAGGCCAGCTCCATTGAGTTTATTCTGCGGGTTCTTGATGTGCTTTAAGTCAAATCTCATGGAGTAAGTGAGTCAAGTGATGAATAATGATTTTTTTTGTCTTGCATGCTTCGCCGTTAATTGCCGGCGCATTTCTTGAGTTCGATTTCTGATGGGCCTCGGACGGCCGATGTAGCAATACCTGACTATAAATATGGTCTTAATCTGTACGCTTCTCTACATGGTATCTTTTGCATTCGGCTTATCAAAGAGGTCCGTACAGAGTTTGTAGAAATCATTAGTACCTTGATTTAGCCCGGAGATAACGCTCGGAAAAACCCAAGCTCCGCAGAGTCAAAGAAATTTTGGAAAATAGAGGTCTTAAAGAAGGCCGATGCAAACAGAGTGGACGTATCCTGTTGGATACTAGACGGTATTAGCTTACACTTCTATTATTGCTGCTTTAACGTGGATGGCATACTGGCTATCTAGTTTTCTTCATTCCCTCCGCCTGCGCAACCGCTATCGTTGCACGTACTCCCGACCAACGGGTCATATCCCCACAGCAATACCGGTACCCTGGTGTTGAGCTATACGGCGTGTTAGGCTGGAAGAGCTGAGGCGATCTTTTGTCTAGCTGACCGGCCTTGTGTAGCGTGGCCATGAGCCTGGTGTCGCGAGTGACAAGCTTATTCGGAACGACAGCTACAGACTCATCCACCCAGACGAATCCTCCCTCTGCTCCCGCTTCATCGGGTGGTAATGGTAGCCCAGGATACAGTGTTTCGACACCAACCATAAACTTGCAGGGCCAGTATGATGGGGGGGAATTTCAAGACTCCGGACGTGCCAAAAGACTGAAAACTATGGAGACATGGTCGGAACAAGAACAGGATGAGCGGGAATACAGGCCGCCATATTTGCATGTTTGTGTTATCCGCATGTGGGATTCAGTCAATTTTAAGCCAAGCGCTAATATCCTCTGTTTTATTGTAGTCAATGCTTGCTGGTGGAATTGGAGGCACCAGCGGGGATATGCTGATGCATTCATTAGACACCGTCAAGACTAGACAGCAAGGAGACCCTCACATTCCTCCGAAGTATACGTCTATGTCCTCATCGTATGCTAAGATATTCCGACAGGAGGGTATAAGGCGAGGTTTGTACGGGGGAGTGACTCCAGCTTTACTTGGGTCATTTCCAGGAACCGTTATATTTTTCGGCACATACGAATATAGCAAAAGGCACATGCTGGATGCCGGAATAAACCCTTCGTTATCGTATTTTGCGGGAGGTTGGTTCTATTTCTCCAGTCCATTTTCTTCTTGATGCGTCACTCCTGGACATGCTAGACTGACTATTGTCGAAACAAGGCCTTATTGCCGACCTAGCTGCATGCTTTGTATATGTTCCCTCGGAAGTGTTGAAGACTCGACTACAGCTTCAAGGTAGATACAACAACCCCTTTTTCCAGTCCGGATACAATTATAGATCAACATTGGATGCGTTTCGAACAATTATCAAACAAGAAGGGTTTTTTGCCCTATATTCTGGCTTCAAAGCGACGTTATTACGAGACTTGCCATTTTCTGCGCTACAGTTTGCCTTTTACGAACAAGAACAAAGGCTGGCGAAGGAGTGGGTCGGGAGTAGAGATATTGGGCTGCCGCTCGAAATACTGACCGCCACGAGTGCTGGTGGTATGGCTGGTGTCATGACATGTCCCCTTGACGTTGTCAAGACACGAATACAAACGCAGCACTCCGACCCACAGCCATCGAAAACTAGCATTGGCGACATTAAAGCTGCTTTTCAGGAATCATCTAAACACGTTCATTCATCCTCACCATCAACATCACATTCTCAGAATCAGTCACGCTTAATATCGACATCCTCGCCATCTACGTCTACGGTTAAACCCGGCGCTTTGATTCTGGATACATCCTCCGTGTTCACCGGCCTAAAGTTAATATACAAGACGGAAGGCATCCTAGGTTGGTTTCGTGGCGTGGGCCCTCGCTTCCTCTGGACTAGCGTGCAGAGCGGCACAATGCTTGTTCTGTACCAGTTCCTGCTCAAGCAGATGGAGGCTAGCTGGAGCGCACAGGAGTTGAGCAGTGCATCTTCGTTGTGAAGAGTCTATTACATAGTAGCATTGGATAGAATTGGGCTTCACCTCAACCATGGGAGGAGCAAGGCGTTCGTGGGGTGGAGCGGGCTTAGCTCTGTATACTGGGACCGATAGAAATCCATATTCACTGTACATTATTCCCCATTCCACCTGTGTTGCCGTGTAGCTTTGGCGTGCGGTGTTGGCGGCCGAACGCGCTAAGACTCCTAGCCGCCGATCGCCAAGCGGCCGATGTAAACAATCGCCTCGCCATCTCCCCCGCGCACGTATTTCCGGTTCAACGCGACACAACGCCCGTTCCTCCAACCCTGTTCCATTTGGCCTTTATATATATACAGCAAATCGCTGTCGCGAGTGTGCTAGTTTGCGTCGCATAACTCCCGCGACTCTGAATATCGACAGTTTACCACGATGACGGCGGCTCTACCCTATCTTCGCTCTCTGCGAAAGACGGACCTCGTTGTCCTCGCCGCAGAATCTCATTTACAAAAGTAATATTCCCCGGCGACATGCCCCTTCAACTCTGTGCTGCTATCGGCTTCGTGGTAAATGGAATCTTCCACTGACTGGCTATGACAGCTATGGCGACTTTAAGAAAGTCGAGCTCGAAGCGGCGTTGGACGAGCATCTGAGCGCCAACAAGTCTGCCCTTTCGGATAATCAAGTATTCAACGATTATTTCAGGAGACTCTCTCAGCCTCCTCGCTCGTCGCCGATTAAAAAGGAGCCGAAACCGGATGCCCCTTCGGGGATCGACCCGCTTGTTTCCCCTACCAAGCGTTCAACGCGTTCTGTGACCCGGACGCTCAAACCAAAGGATGAGATTGATGCTACGTTAGTCATTTTCCTTGTATTTTTCGCTGCGCTTATGAGAGCTGGAAAGGCCATATTAGCGCCGTGCAACACCTTACTAACACGTGTCCATAGAGAAGAATCTGAGTCTTCCTCTAGGGCGAGTGGATCGCCCTCAAATGAACCTGCGGCTGCACGTACCCCGGCGCGACAAACACAGGGATTTTTCTCTGCTATTCCTCCGTCCCCTGCTGTTGTCACAGAAGTCATTGAGGAACAAACCACTAAGGTGGGCCAATTTGTCTCGAACGCGTGGGTAGCATCCGGGGTCAAAGAGCGTGCATTTGCGCTCCGCTCATGCCTTAGCAGCGTGAGCATGATTGAGACCCTGATCATAGCCTTTGAGTTTTACTGCTTGAGCAGCCAAATCATCCCATCCCAATATCTTGGAACAATTCCGGAGACCTCGGCTTTGCATATTCCTGCTATTCCGGTCAAGATCCCCGAAATATTTGTTCTGTTGACAGCGGAATTCTGGGGACCTTTCTCTCTATGGATAGCAACTAGTATCGTCCTCCCAACCATACTTGCCTATTTCTTTAATATCAACCTCAAGGTTACTCAGCCCAATACCCCGAGCCATTCGTACGGAACCCGCCGTGCTTCAGCTGCCCAGGCTGTTAATGCAGCCGCCAAACCGAGTATTGACCCCTTGGTATTCAATGTTTCCAAGGCTTTAATATCCTACCTTGTCTATACAAATACTTTCACCTTTGGCGGGATATATAGTCATGTTTCGGTCGAGAGAGTGGTTCGCTCTGTACCAGGTGGCCTACCCGGACTGTTGACCGGCTCTGCAGTCTGTGTACTGGGTAGTTTGTATGAGGCTATCTTGAGAAAATAGGCATCAGTTGGAAATCAGCCATATATTTTGAGTGGAGCTTTTGTTGGGTTTTATTTTTATTTTTGGTCTTTCTGTTTGAATTGTGCTATTGCACATAACGATGTGGTAACACAATTTTCGGTGCTCTTCGGACTGATTTTTTGGCTTGAAACATTGACTTATCTCCGCCATTGATTCTAATATGAACTGGGAAGCTGGCACGTTGAAGAAAAAGATGAGCAGATGATAGCTCGTTCTGACTATATGTATATTCCACCGGTGGTGCTCGGTGATGGGTGTACGCGGGTCATTTCATTGTTTGATTTGACTGCTTACCGGCGTTGGTGGGAAGTTGGGGGATATTATGGCTGCTTCTAAACAATCTCAAGTTCTCTATTAACTACATACCTATATATAGGTAGCGTTAGAAAAAGAGTTTAAAATTTCGATTCTTTTGAAGTGAGCTCTATTATGATATGTTGTACAGTATGGGCCACAGTCCTCGCTTGAAGAGCGGTAAAGAGAGAGCGGGTCTTGAAAAGATCAATGCTAAAAGATAACTGCGGTTGGAGCGGCAGCAACAATAGGGAAATTCCGCTTGAGATATTGTAAATTCATGAGTAAGAGGGGGGGGGATTATTGATTTCTGTCCTGTCCTTGTGGGGCTGTATCTTCAGAGAGCAATTTCTGTGCCTTCTCCGTTTCAGATGCTCTTCTTACTTGATCTTCTGAGGTTGTATCTGGCTTCGGTGCGTCAGACGATAGCTGGGACTTTTTAGCATCTTCAGCGGCGATGTGCTCCTGAAGTTCCTGGTCAACTTCATCTTCATCGAGTTCAGAACCGTAGATTTCCGGGTGAAGCTTAAAGCAATCTTGCATATTCCTGTATTGGAGTCGTTATCAGCAAGCATTCGAGTTCCTCAATGAGACCACATACTTGAACTTATCAATGCAATCCATGCCTTTCGGCTCTTCAGTAGAAAATACGAAGCAGCTGAATGCCTCTTTGAAATCTTCACCGCAAGGTCCATGCGCCATTCCACCTAAGCAGGGGCAGTCCCAATTGATTTCACCGGTCTCTGGGTTAAATGCGCCCTCCTGGTCGGCTTCCTCCTCGAGCTCGGAAGCTGTCAATTTCAGTGGCTGCGCATTAGCTGGATCGGATTGACCAGTTTCTGCAACAGTACCGGTGGATTCAGCTGAGGGCGGCGAGGAGGACTCTGCGGGCTCTAGGCTAGACTTTGGCGGCTGTGACGAGGACGACGAGGGAACATCTGAGACGGGTTTCCGTCTTTTGGAAGCAGCTACGGATTCAATTGTTGGCAGGGAGGAAGAATCATCCTCATTCTTTGGGGATTGCTCGAGTGCCACTGATTGTCATCGTGTTAACGTTGGGATCTCATAGGAGGTCTATCTGAGGTCGGAGACCCACGAGAAGGTTGTTCGGCAAATACTGTGCTTGTGTTGTAGTAGTATACCGCGGCTGCGGCCAGGCCCCATCTCACTATTGTCCCTTTCCAGCCCCGCGACCTCTGCGGCGGAGGCGCTGTACTTAAGAACCTCTGTCGCTGTACGAGTCGGAGCGGCCGCGCTTGGCGAAGGGCAGTTCTTGAGGCCGATTTAAACATCGCGGCTCGAGACAGATAGGAAAGGTATATGAAACCAAGAGCTAATTGCGCCGGCAAAACCTAGCGAGGCACCAAAGAGAATGAATGGAAGGCAGAAAAAGAGCGTTTCCTGCTGATCTGACTTCAGCGGTTCGTTTTGATTGTTCAGCACGAAAAATACAAGATATTATATAAGCAGACTCGGGATATTCCGGTGTTATATTATCCCGGATTCCGAGAGCTTGGCGTCAACTAAACTACCTTACGTCATCGGCCATTCCATTCATCTATAGCGAAAGTTGTGATTCAGAGCAGGAGTAGCAGTGGCCGGTCAAAGATACTCTAGAATCTCATTGTCTGTGTGAAGATGGAATGGCATCCAAGCAAATTTTTTCAGTCTGCTTATCTCTCAGATCCGTATGCGCTACTGATATTACATCACCCTCTTAATGCCAGGGTATATCATAAGTTAAAGAAACATGGTGTGTACCCTGAATGGCCTTATCATTCAGCTTCGCCATTAGTCTTCTAGATTATCTAACCTCTACATAACAGCATGTTTCATCATATGTGCTGATGGTGGTGCAAACAATTTATATGATCTTATTAAAAACGATCCGCAACCAAGTCCGGCATGAACCAAAAGATCACAACTTACGACTAGAACAAATATAGCTAACTAAACAAGCTAGCTTCCGAATGCTATCGTAGGTGACCTGGATTCCATTGATCCTTACGTACGAGAGCATTTTGAGCGATTAAACGTGGAAATTATTAAAGAGTCTGAGCAATACTCTACGGATTTTACCAAGTGTCTGCGATACCTGAAAAATAATTTTGAAAACATAATAAGCTCTTCGCCGGCATTTTCTGCAGACCATGAAAATTTCCCCAGAAAACAGCAGCGCTATCTCGACATTGTCGTTCTGGGAGGATTGGGTGGTCGCGTTGACCAAGCATTCTCTCAAATCCACAGCCTCTACACTGCCTCGCAATCCACTGCAGACAAACCCCCTGGTGATCTCTACTTGATCTCAGAAGAAAGCATCTCATTTCTTCTATGCGAGGGGCGGAACACCATTCTTACACCTGGTGGAGGCGCCCTAGAATCTCGCAAGAAGTTTGCATCAGGACTCGAATTTACCGAATGTTGCTTTTCAGAAAATGTTGGGATTATACCGGTCGGGGGAACTTCCGTAATCAATACGAAAGGGTTCGAATGGGATGTACGTGACTGGGAAACCAAATTTGGAGGGCAGCTTAGCACCAGCAACCATATCCGTGCCGATGCGGTTGAAGTAAACACAACAATACCGGTACTTTTTACTATGGAGCTAGCGGACTGGTTGAAGTGTACGGAGTGTCCTGTGTTTGCCGAGAGCCATCAATGACACTTGAGCCGATGATGGAGGCTGGTAATTGTTGAATCTTATTGAAGCACAGCAAGTGAGGAGTGTTAGTGGAAGCCTAGAAATTTTTAATGATTTTTTAGTAGCAGTATATATTAAGGATCTGATCTTATCATCATTTTTGTCATGGTAAGGGCTCCAAAGGCACTAATATATAGTGGCTAAATGGAACGCTTTAACATCCTTAGCAATCTATGAATATTAGCACGGTCGCTTTTTCTTGCAGTTGAATAGATCTGCTGCAAGGAGATCATGCAAGAGGCAAGTGACCTCTGGAAAATAATGATCATCCAGTGTGCGGCAGATATCTATTGCGGATGTGGTTCGTAGAATAAATTCTACGCCACCTTGCCATGATAAGCTCGATACAGCGTTGATTGATATAGCGAGCGGCTTTCTTAAATCGCTGCCGGTGACAGAAATTTTAGAATTACTTCTAATAACAAGTCGACGACCCGGTGGTAGAGAGTAAGCTGTTCCGCAGCTTGATGCGCGAAAGTATGGCACGGATGATAGTGTGCCTTCGAGAACGGCGATTCGGCGTGTTGCAGCGTATCGTTATGTTTCCTACCAATCAACATCGCTAAGCTGCAATTTACGGGAGCGAAAGGTTCGGCCAGAGGTCATCTTTTCGGGTTTGGGTGTCGTGCGCTTCTCATTACCTTCTCTCATGCTTTAGTATTAATAGACATGTGATATGGTTAGCTAGGAGTGGGACAGGGTGGTTCACCATCGTTAACTTCATTTTCATCTCCGAGATCATAATTCAAAACCAAGTTTTTGATACGTTGCTGCTCTTCGCGTTCAGCTTGTTTTTGAGACCTCATAGCAATGGCAAAGCTAGAGTTCGAAGGAAGGTCAATGGTTCGAGTCTGCAACTTGATTAGCAAGGTCAGCCAGTCAATGATGAAGCATCTCTACCTGTTGTCGATTTCCCCGTTTGGTCATAAGTGAGAATGCCATCGTGTTCGGTGGTGTTGGAGCATGTTCGCCATCTTCAACGCTTGCGGGTTCACGAGTAGTACGTCTCATCGGTAACGGTAGATCAAACATTCCTTTTCGCTCAAACTTGCGGGATTCTAGACTCTCAGCCATCATTTTTTCAAACGCGCGATCGAACTCGGCTTCAGCCTCAGGATCATGTTCTTCTTCTTGCCGTGTGACGATGATTTGCTCTTCCTCCTCCTCGTCGGAGCCGGGCTCGATGTCCTGGTCGGTATTATCAATTCCAGCCTAAGTTGAGTCAGCAATCTGTACAGATAATTATTTATCCCTGGGGCATACTTCGGCATCTTCGCTGGAAGACCCTTCCTCTTCGCCCAGCCCAATAGCATCATCCTCGAACTCTTCCTCCGATGATGAACTCTCTCCATCTTCCTCCGGTTCATTTATTTTGTTGGTATCCTGAACTTTGTAATTTTGTGTAACTGCATCGCTGAATAACTGAGCAGCTTCTCCAAGATCGGTTGCAAGTTTCCATTGAGGGCGCGTTAAAGCATAAGTATCGGTTACGAGAAATTCTATATCCATTGGCATCGGGTCTTTGGTGAAAATGTAGTACTAATGAAGATTAGCAATAGCACGATCCTACAAGGGTCAAGACTTACCTGAAAAAAAGTCAGGAAAAAATCAAGTTTCTTTCTAGTATTGCCACGATCGAAGCAAACGCCACATGTACCGAGCATTGTGCAAACAAGGCGAATGCGAAAAAAATCGTCGGGTAGATCAAACGCGCTAAGCTTCCCTGGAGTAGGAGTACCGCCTTCTATGATTTCGTCAACAAATACCCCGAGAAAGTCTTATCGCTGGAAAGTTTTCATACCATGGCCAAAGGTCACAATGCGATAGAGAGTATCGAAGATCACAGGTGAGTCAACGATTTTATAGTTATAAAGCTCCCCAAGGTATTTGACGTCAGCAATGCGCTCTTGATTGAATTTGAAGTCGTTCTGCTCCAGGCCGATCGTGATACGCTCAAGAGAATTGTCGATGATATTGATAATAAACCCTTGATGATAGCGATAGAGTGCGCTCGCAAGAAGCGCCAGCAGATGGATATTCCCGTATTTGACTTTGCCTGGCTTGCTAAATATGCTTTCCAATATATGAACAACCTAGATCAGCTTAGTATAACCCTTAGGGACATAGTACCAAATCAATCAACGTACATCTGGTTCCTCCCAGTGAAGTTTTCTAATAGATTTTAAAATTTTGGGATAGTTACGCTTGTTCATATCGACATATACTAGTTTTCGCACGAATAGCTCCATCGGGGTGCGCTCCCTTTGTTCAATCGCGGGGCGCGGCGGAGGATCAACGTAGTAAATAGCATTTTCAAGGACCATTCGTTCTTGCTGGCCCAAATGTTGGGCTGTTTTCTTCCGCCCAAGGGTTTCGAGGAAAGATGCCATTCTTGGGGCCGTGTCTGGATTCCGTAGTAAGTATCGGCCACAGTTTTCCAGTAAATTTCCAATAATATCAATGTTCATTCTTGAAAAATCATCCAGGCTGACTTTGAAACAATGGAAAATGACGTGTTCTGGCACGACGCCAAACTTTGTCAGTTCCGCAAGATATCGAATGTTGCTTGTTCTTACTTGCCCAAGAAATTCTTTTTGTTTACGGCGTTGAAGGCTTCGGAACTCCTCATCAAGATATGAAATTAGACTCTGTGGAATATCAGAGAGATATTGCCCGAGTGTAGCTACCAATCGCGCATACAACGGAAGTAGGTCTGTACGGCCTTTGGGAATATCTTGCACCGCTTTTAAAAGTCTATTTCGTGAGGCTTTCGAGTTCAAAAAACAAAACTCTAGAGCAAATTGATCGACAGAATCTTTGTTCTGAAGCTCTGGAAGCCTTGCCAACAGTGCATCAACCTGAGCACCGACAGTTTTGTTAATAATTGCGGTCGATTGGTCATCATTGTCCTTAGGGGTAGAGTCCAAGGCCTGAGGTTGGCCTTTCTCATCCGGACCAATTCCGTTTGGAGTTTCGGTACTAGGTTGTTGTGTTTGGTCATCGACATCACTTTTTCTCTTCTTACCATCTTCAAGAAGAACAGCCGGTACTCTGCCTTTTAAGTCAACAAGATTCTCATAAAATCTGCGTTCTTCTTCATCTTCCCAGATACCCGCTCCTTCGCCCTGGCCTCTCAAATACTCGCCAGTCTTTACAAGTCCGATAATACCACTGTTAAGGCCTCCTGGCGTTTCTTTCTCAACCAGATCCGGCATATCTGATCCCAGAATATCACAAAGGACATGTGTATTGGCCACCAACTTTTCCTGAGCCTTCGACTGTTTCTCGAAATTCGACTGCCGGTCTTCTAGAATCTCTCCACTCTTCACGTATGCTTCAGCATTTCGGCGACTCAGAAGTGTGAGAGCCTTCTGGTCTCGAACGACATGTTTTTTCACATCTTCAAGGTATTTGTTCATGATACTCTTGAATCGGGTTTGTAGTCTCTCGTCAGATACTAGGGGCGGGTCATTCGCGGAACATATTTGTGTCTCATCCCCAGAGACTTCAACGGTTTCTTTATTTGCAGTTATGTCACCGCTTGAATCGATTACCTTTCTTCCTTCGTCCACCTTTTCAATCCCCATGATGTCCCAGGCATAATTTTTAGCAAACAAGACAGCCAAAGGGAGGTTTTGGTGCTCTCGGTCATATCCAAGCAAATCTTTAATGACCTCTAAAGGAAATGGATCTGCATCTTTGTCCTGAGTAGATCGAGATGCGCTTTGCAGCATTTTACCTTTCACCTGACTGTCGGAAGATTTACCGCTAGCTGCACTGTCTTTTCCTTTTACACCCAGATCCTCGGGGCGTTCAACATCATCTAAAGTACGTAAAAGCCCAACCAGCCATAGCTCTGTCACGACTCGCAGTAAGACCCGCTGTCGAACTAGTCGTTCCTTTTCTTCTTTTTCTCGAACATCTTGGCTCCAAGATTTAAGTTGGGCTTTGTCTGGCGTACTCATGCCACGGCCAAGAAGCCAACCAAGCTGCTTTGTGAACTCATCGGGACCGAACCGCTGGTGAAGTGCGCTGGCTATTTCCACTCCAGCCGTAATCTCTCCAGGCGATTTCAATTTACAAGCTCCCTCGTAGAAAGCAGATATTATTTCTGAAAGATATTTATGTAATGAAAGGGCTCGGATTTCGGTAAGAAAAGTGAGTTGCGCGGACGCGGTAATACCGGTTCGAAGACGTTTTATAAAGGCGGTGTTCTTTTTTAGAGCAGAGTCCAGCGATTTATTGACTGTAAATATATCTAGAAAGAAGTTCAGGAATTAGAACCACATGCATGCTATTGAGTGAACTAGGTGGCATCGTGATACCTGGCTCCCCAGCCCATGCTCTAATATTTTGATCACGAAGCTCTCCTAAAAGAAAACGTATTAGAACCAATACTATTAAAATCAATACTAGCGGCATACTCTTCCTTGCGCGGTCCATTTCCTCCAGCTGCCCGGATTATCGAATGGCTGGAGGATTCAAGCTCGCAGAAGATTGTATGCTTAAGAAACGAGAAATAAAGCGGCAATAATTAGTAGGAGGCTGCATCGGATTCCAATAAAAACAACCAGCAATGGGAAATATTGCTATGCGGCTGAGATATGCAGCTTTTAAACAGGCAGTTTCAGTGATAGGATAAGCTTGAGGGGGGCTTCAGGGTCAAGTGCAGGGTGGTCCCGGCGAAGTCTCCGCTGTCAGCAACTGCACCCAGAAATTCAGCATAAATAGAGAGTAAATAAGCCTTTGTATCTCTTCTCTTGTTATCTTTGTGTACAGATACTCCCTTAGACTTGTTCAATCCTATTCCTGGCCATTAACTACAGTAGTTAACCTTCGCGGGGATTACATAAGCTTCCCTGGACTCACAGCCATTGGAGCAAGATTCAAACACTATACAAAGTATGGCCCAGCCCTGCTTATGTGAAGGCTCCGGAAACAGAAATGTTCTTACGTTCTGTATGGACTTCGGTGGAACCGCGCCCACGATTATAAAGTCAGCAGATTCTGGGCCCTGATGACGGCGACGACGTTAAACCTTCTTCCTTCATACCTATTTTTGTTGGCTCTTTGGAGATTAATACAGAAGAAGCTGGCCACAATTTACGACTCAACTGCACAAGTATGAACTGATTCGGATGAGCTATGTCTGACATCCTAGTACAGCCCTTGTTTAGGTTATACCGAAATATGTGTCTGAGATGTCTACGGAGTATACACTGCCCCAAATGTGATAGCTAATGTAATATTTCCATTTAAAAAGGTTGTAAATTCACCGGAAAGAGCATTTAGTTATGCTGGGCCTCTCTCGTTTGATAACAAAACATAACATTAACTCCACACTGTTCTCGCCCGCTAGCTTGTCTGCATTCGGTTCTCGCCACAGGTAATCTGTACTCATATTGCTTACCATCGGTTAGTGGACAAAGGAATGGCAAATATTCTTGTAGCAAGCCCAGTTCACGAAGAAGGCAAGAAATTGAGTGCCCCAACGGCTGCGAGCTCATCTGCATTCTCTCGACTAAAGCTGCTGTCTCATGGGGGATTTTCGTGGAATGTCCTTTCTAAAGGCCCCTTCAAGGGATGTGTCGAGCGATGCCGAAAGACTCCATAGATTAATACAAACTGAACGGCCACGAGCAGAGAGAACGAAATGAGGCGTCTGAATTCAAATATTTGGGGCCAGTTTGGTATTGTTATGTGGAACCGAGAGTTCTCATTGTTAGTAGTCAAAATAGTCTGAAGAACATAGGGCAAGGGAATGTGTATCAAACATAAAAGCCCTGGAAAGCCGTGTGAATTGTACTCTACATGTTAGCACTGAAAGGGAAAACATGAAACAAATGATAATCGCGATAAATTATCACACACTGCAAGTAACTCATCGCCATCTCGGGAGCAGGTGAGGCGCTTTATAGGCTAAAGCGCCAACAACCGCAAGGGTGCCTGCTAGAGTAAAACCCAAAGCATTAATACCGACTATGGACTCCTCCCTGACCCGCCCCAAATTGGTAATACGGGTTTTCTTCATGCCAACTGCGCCGTTACCTTCTAAGTCAAAGTCATTCCAATCCAGCTTGGCCAAGAGTTTCTGGTAATCTACCACGGGGCCAGACCAGTTGTTCGTTATCAATCCGTCTGCAGTTTTATACCAACTCTGGCAATTAGGCGACGCAAATGAAGTTCCTGAGAGTTCTTTTTGCAGATCAGAGTTGAACTGCTCCATTCGTTCTAATTTAGGCGTTATAGAGAGCGCTTCACCACGTTCCCTAGCGCGCAAAATGGCACGTATCATGGCGAGGATATAGCGGGATTGAGCTTCCACCATGAGGATAATAGAACTGTGACCCAGGTTCGTGTTGGGCCCATAGAGCATACCGAAATTGGGAAGATCTTCGACCGTGACGCCATATAGAGCGCGCGGCTTGCCTTTCCAGATTTCGGTTAGAGGCTTCCCATTTTTGCCGTAGACCTTAATAGGGTGCATGAATTCAACTGTGCGGAATCCAGTGGCGAGAATAATCACGTCGAGTTCCTGCTCGACACCGTCAATTATGAGACCTTTCTCGGTGATACTATCAATATGATTTGTTTCGAGAGAAACATTTTCACGAGCCAGAGTACCAAAGTAGTCATCGCTAAGAAGGATGCGTTTGCATCCAAGGGGATAATCTGGAGTAAGTTTTTCCCATAGGTCAGGTCGATTAGGGAGAGACTTGTGCATCATCTTAAGGCTTGCATCCCGGAGCATGGTGGCCATTGTGGAATCGGGATTGTTAAAGATCACATGAATGTGCTCACGCAAGTCCATTATCAAGGCTCGTAGTTTCCACAGAGTAGGAGGACAGTATCGGAAAATAGCTTGAAGTGGTGCCCAGACAGACATATCCATACGTGGTGTGACCCAGTTTGGCGTTCGCTGAAAGATAGTAAGATGAGATACTTCTTTAGCAATTTCAGGGATGATCTGGACAGCAGTAGCACCTGCGCAGCTCATTAGTCCAGGGTAGCAATGGTTATTTCAAAGCTTCACATACCATTTCCTATAACTCCGACCTTCTTATCCTTCAGGTCATAGCTCCAGTCCCATCTTGCAGAATGCATCATCTTTCCCTTGAAGGTTTCGATTCCCGATATCGATGGATAATAAGGGTAATTCAGCTGACCAATGGCGGATACTAGAAAGTCCGAGCTGATTGAATATTCTTCTCCAAATTCGATATCCTTGCTACCAATCACTTTGACTTTTGTGCACCATTTGCTATTGGATTCATCCCATCGCACCTCCTCCACCTCAGAGCTAAAACGAATATACTTGTACAGACTATAGTGCTCTGCTACTTTTCTCAGATAGTCCTATAACGGTCAGTACCCCACAGAGATGCAAGGGAAGTCATAGACTAATAGTTCGTACCAAAATTTCCTGCTGGTCAGCATACAGCCGGCTCCAGCCCGGGTTCTGCTCGAAGGAAAAGCTATAAAGATGAGAGAACACTACAATCGCAAAAATTAACAAATCTTCAGGGTAGATAGAAATCTGTAGCCCGCGGCAGGTTATATACCATCGCAGCAGCATCCTGGATATTTGTTGTCTCGCCACGTCCCACCGAGGCCGGCACTCTTCTCAAGAATAACGAAGTTATGGATGTTATTCTTTATCAAATCAATAGCAACGCACAGTCCTACACATAAGGCCTATGTCAGCTTGCTATCGAAATTCACATGCGACATATAGTTATCTCGCTCGATGTCGTACCCGAAATGCCAGCTCCAATGATCACAACACCAGCCTTAGTAAATTGCCTATTGCCCACAGGGAGCCGACTGTAAGATTTGGACGCCATAGTAGCGATATACTAACAATAACAAAAAGGCTGTATGTAACTGAATGGAATCAAGTAACCAAAAAAGCCTTATCTAGCGAAGCGGACGGGTATATGTTAAAAAATGGCGTGTAGATTGGCTGTTTCACTTCTTCATCAACTGCCAGAAGTACGGAGTACCAGCTCCGAAAGTGGCTATTCTCCAACCGAGGGTGTTGTCGCCATCTTGTGGAAGATGCGCTGGCTCTTGATCGCCATGAGGAAGCGCCATGCTTCCCCGCTGGCTTGTGATGTGCCTTGAGGCAGCCGAGGCAAGGCTCTCACGTCCACAACCTAAGTGTTCCTCTTGGCACCGGCTTCCATCCACCCGCGCAACAGGCCCACAAGCAACTACTGCATCTATATTATTGTGTGGAGGCCATCCAGCGGTTTAAAACGTCTCGCTAAAGTTGCCACCCGCATTGGACCCTCTAAAGAAGCATTTTAGATCTTCCGACGGAATAGTGGGGAATGGTCGAGGCTTTTACAGGTTACCGGTGGAGAGTCGCAGAAGCTCATCTGGAAGCAAATTGCCATATTCCAAGCTGAAATACTGTTCGGCTTGGTATATACATCGTCTAGCAGACCAAAATACCCGCAGATATTATCCGTACCACTTGCCCCACGTTTTCTACTGTTGGGTGAAACCAATCTTTATGAAGGCCATATTCCGTGGATGCAGAAATATTTCCTCCACGTTCCAGCCATGTCCAAACCTAGCCCATTTACGGCTGCCAGGCTGCAGGTTGAAACCTCGCTGTCATCACTATCAAATTGATGCTGGCCTTTCTCCTGGCCCCCAACATTTCCTAACTAAGTAGTCAACCCGAAGGGCCCCGGCTGGGTGATATCAAGAAGCATCTCCGGCACAGGACCCCACGAGGCATCGGCTGTTCTGGGGGAACGCTATTTAAATTGATTATGATTCTGCTTCTGCTCGAATTTTCTTCGTGTTGCTCGTGCGGAGCTCTACCGATGAGCGCGAAACCTCCTCTCACGTAACAATGCCTCCCAACGATGACTCCAGAATCCATCTATTCTTTCTTCTAGGCATATCCACACTTCTCTGCATAAGCTCTATTTTTTCCCTGGTATTAAAATGCGGAGCTTTCTTCGCTCGCCGAGAACCCGTCAATCAACTCCCACCTACCCCTCAGGGCCCTCATAGCGTTGATAGATATGCAGATAGCTCCCTTGCTCTATTTCCCGTCCACCTTAATGAAGCTTCAGCTGGAGCGGTGATTGCCAGTGGTGCACTCAGCTTGCTGGTCGCGCTGCTAGGGATAACTTTTGTATATATTTCCTTCTGCAACGGCGCGATCTTGGTAAGAACCGTCTCCCTCATAGGATGTACCGCCTAAGGTTAATGCCAAACTAGATGTCTTTTCGCCAACGGGCATATGTCCTTGTAACCCTGCAACTTCATTCTCTTCTTACTCTAGGAACTCTTACATACGCCTTCATATCCCACCGGCTATCCGATCACTTTAACCCAGATTATCGAACTAATCCGTACGATAAAGGTGTTTTCGATCCCGAAACGTGGACATGCGAATTTCAGGGCTGGTATCAGTTTGAAGACCACGATGGCAAGCTACTTGACCGGCAGTGTGCCTTCGAAAACGCGAGCAGATGGGTCTCCGTCCCCATATTCATCCTCTCGTTGGTATTTAGTGCGGTTGCAGCTTGGGCTTTAGTGGCTGAAAGCGCCATTATTCAAGCGAAGATTGAACAGAAGAACTTGACGCGTGTCAATGATTCTGAATACGATAGTCCATCAGTCTATTCAAGATAAAATGACGGGTAACTAGACGGATACATGTTGCAAGCCAGACATATATTCTGTATTGATTGAGCACCTAGTGGCTTTTAAAACAGGATTTATAATTCCATAATTGTTGAAGGTCATATATACATCTGGTCAATCTAGACGCATATTAATCCTGTCAGACTCCTTTCATATAAACTCTAAGTAACTCCTGCCTTTGGCTTTGAGCCAATAAGCATACAATTGTTAGCAGCAATATTGCAAAATGCAGGCCTTGGCCTTCTGCCTACGATATCTTCGATTGCGGAGCCATATATAATGAGAAGGTCTTCTCTCCATGCTGTTTGAATAATTCCGATTCCGAAAGGAACACCTGCAGACACCATGAGAATGGATCTTTATAGTATGTACGTAACTCGGATTCTTGAGCAGATAAATAAACTTACCATCTTCTCCAACACCAATGGGAATTGTAATCATAGGATAACCTATCCCACAATTAGAATCATCCAACGTCCTATAAAGGGAAACGAGGTAGACATGCCGGCTTTCGCTGCCACCTGACAAGCCACGCCATTTTCAGCCTGGATAGGCACCAGAAGTCCATCCAGTTTCGAATTTTCCCAGTACAGAGCGGCATCAATACCTTCTTTGCGCGACTTTTGTTGAATAAAGGTTAGAGCTTCACGGTACTGTTCATTTTTAGTTCCTTTAGACCCAACGCTCTTTTCAAAATTATCCTGCCCACTTGGCCAGCAAGGATGAATGTTTGGATAACCGCCTTCAGCCTCCGCGTGCCTTTGGTTATAAGCAACTACATCTTCCAAGGTTTTGATTTGGTTTGGATTGGTAATGAGGTTGGAAAGGTATTCTTGAAGGCCATTGTAAAATTCTGTCCTCACAATATTAAACTCAGAAAGGTAGGGTTTGTCTTCTGGGGCATATTCCCTATTAGGCATCAGTAACGAGCCCCCAATTCTGGTCGTGACGCCAGGTGTATTTTCTAACCAGTCCCATCCTGTTGGTGGTATGATCTCCTTCGCACTAGGAAAATCCGCTCCTTCAAATATTTCGGCTCCAGCACTCTTCATATCTGCAATAACCGCTTTTAGTGTTTCGTAATGAATTTTCAGTTTCTCATTCTCGCTTGCCATTTTCCAAACACGTTGCCAGGGTAGACCAAACCTGGCACCTTTCAGAGCGTCTCTTTGACTTATAAACGAGGAATACGTAACCGTAGATCGGTTTCCTGTATATTTAGATGGCGGGGTCTATGAGAAGATTCACGTTGAACCTCACCTGTCTGAAATTTCCCGGTCATTGCATCCATTACAACAGCGACATCCTGAACACTTCGTCCCATAGGTCCTACAGTATCCATGCTACTTGCTTCTGGTATAATTCCTTTCGTAGAAACTAAGCCAACAGTAGGTTTAAGGCCAACTATCCCGTTACGGTCAGCAGGAAAAATAACCTGTTTCATAAGTCAGATGTGCAAAAACATCCTTTCTTGAAGGGTGGTCACTGACACTCCCATCAGTCTCGGTTCCTAGACTGAATGGACACATGTTAGCAGCCACCGCCACAGCGCTGCCACAGCTCGACCCCCCAGGGTGTTCAGCTAAATTGTAGGGATTGCGACATTGTCCGCCTCTAGACGAATAGCCCTCAGAGCTTTGAAAATGTCAAGATCGGCGTAGAGTTGACAAATGTTTGGGAGAAAACACACTAATATGAAGACCGCATTGAGGCCCATTCTGACAAATTGGCATGGCCAAGCAAAACAGCACCAGTCTGACGCATCAGGCTGACGACATTTGCTTCTGGTGTAGTCGCACCAGCGAGGACTAGGGCCAACCCATATATAAGTGAGCAAATCATTAGCAGTGACTGTTGATCGGAAAAGGTTATCAAAGGGCCTACCGGAGGAACCGGCAGTAGTCTGCATCTTGTCCCCTGTGCCCATATTCTATACTCGGGCGGCTCAGCATGATGGCCTAAACACGAGACTATCCCAATACGCATGAATGAAGTAAACACCCACGTCTTTGACTAAGAAAGGAATGCCATGGAGAGGGCTTCGAATTTTTCCAGTTAGTCTCTCACTGTCCAGGTCGCCTGCAATATCAAGGGCATCCGGGTTCGTCTCAATAACAGCCCTGGATAGACTACCGTGAATTGACATCCACGGACGCGCGTAGGGCATCAGATACCAGTGGAGAGAAAGGCAACCCACTTCAATATTGAATTGATCCTCTCAATTCTTAGGAGGTATGAAGCAGTCAGTTCACGGGCAGAAAATGTGCCTTCAGTCAGGTGCTGCTGTAGTTCAACAATCGACAGCTCCTCGATCTGGACGCCTCGACAAGTTGGCATACAGAGGTCTGGGCCTCCATCGTGCGCATCACAGGATATGTATTCCTGCTCAAGCGGCATTGTACTGAAGTATCAGGGTGCTTTCGTTCAGCAGACTAACACTCGTGAGCCTGGGTAGAAGATCGGTGCTGTGAGGGGCAAGATGGGTGGTGCTCGTGAACAAATCGGACGTGTCAGAAAGGCAAGGCGCCAGTCTTAAAGCAGCCTAGCGGTAAATTCGGTGAGTGGGCTTTGGACAGTCAACAAAGACTGCCTGACCACCGCGGCGGTGTGAGTAGACGATGCTGTTGCTAAATATCAGTTATTGTGGACTTTGCTATGGAGCTATGTTTCTTCATCAAGTTTAATCAAGTCTACCTAGTTGTCCAGCACGATTAACTAGTTAACTAACTAACTAACTACCTACTGAGGCGCAGAAGCCAGCGCGAATGAGCACATGCAGGAACCTGGGGTGTGTCGCCACGGCCACACCAGAGCTCCCCCAGCAGCCGCCTGAGCGTGGCTTGCCCCTCGCGACCCCTGGTGGCTGTGCGTGGTTGGACAGTTCAGCTGCCTCCAAGAGCATGCGTCCCCGCTAGTTAGCGGAACCAGAACCTGACCAGCCCTACAAGTGTGGCGGGGCAGTTGGGTTGCTCTCTATAAATACTGCTGGCAGCGCGCTATCCTGCCGCTCCAGGTCTCGTACAATTCCTGAACTAACTAGTTACATAGTTAACTACTTCTATATTGACTCTCATTTACAACTAGCCGACTTCTCTTGGTTGCTTAACTATGTCTATTTACACAGTCCAGCCGGGGGATACCTTGTGGAAAATCGCTAATGACCACGGCATCACTCTCGATGCACTCATTGCTGCTAACCCACAGATCCCAGATCCCAATATGATTCAGGTTGGACAGGTTATCAACATTCCTGGTCCCGCAGGCGGAGATCCACCGGCCCCTGAGAACCCTCCCGAGCATCCTCCGCCACCTACCAATCCGAGCCCACCGACGCACCCCCCTCCTACCAACCCGGGCGGCCTCAGAACTGTCGGCTACTTTACCAATTGGGTGCGTTTTCACGTCTAAATCCACCTCCAATATGCTGCAAAGCCAGCCAGTAATACTAAGGTCTTGGACAGGGTATTTATGGACGGAATTACCAACCCCAGGATATCCCAGCCAGTCATATAACACATATTCTTTGTATGAGCACCTGGTATTAACCTCTATTTATTTACTAATAAGTTGATGTAGACTCATTTGCCAACTTACGTGCCGATAGCGGAGAAGTGTAGGTTTTTGTGCATACCTTAGGAACTAGGCTTGTAATACTAACCTCGTCATATGTAGGTTCCTGACCGATACATATTCTGATCTAGAAAAGCATTATCCTTCGGATTCATGGAACGACACCGGCAATAATGCCTACGGCTGCATAAAGCAACTCTTTCTTCTTAAAAAGCAGTATCGCCATTTGAAAGTGCTCCTCTCAATAGGAGGCTGGACGTATTCCGCGAATTTCACTGCGGCAGCCACTCCTGAAGGTCGCCAAACATTTGCTCGTAGTGCTGTGAAACTTCTAGCTGACTGTGGTTTTGATGGCATCGATATTGATTGGGAATACCCTAAGGATGATACAGAGGCACAGCATTACGTCTCGCTTCTCCAAGAAACCAGGGCGGCACTAGATGAGTACGCGTCGCAGCATGCACCAGGGAAGCACTTTGCTCTTACGATTGCCGCTCCATGTGGCTCAGTCCAGTACTCGGTGCTTCGTATGGCCGAAATGGACCCCTACCTTGACTTCTGGAACCTGATGTGCTACGACTTCGCTGGAAGCTGGGATTCAGTGGCAGGCCACATGGCGAATGTGTTTCCTTCTCGAGACGCCCCAACAAGCACGCCGTTTAGTGCTGATGCTGCCATATCGGCATACATCTCTGCTGGTGTTCACCCAAGTAAGGTTGTCTGCGGCCTACCACTGTACGGCCGCGCATTCGAAAATACCGATGGTCCCGGCGCTCCGTACCAAGGCGTGGGCGAGGGCTCATGGGAGAATGGCGTGTGGGACTACAAGGCCCTCCCACAAGCCGATAGCGAAGAGCACAATGATGCTCAACTTATGGCATCTTGGAGCTATGCGCCTGGTGCAAGAAAGATGATAAGCTACGATACTCCAGATATTGCCGGAAAGAAGGCCGAGTATATCCGCAATAGGGGGCTGGGAGGCGCCATGTGGTGGGAGCTTAGTGGAGACCATCCGGTTGGCAGTGATAGAAGTTTGATCAATATCACAGTCTCTCACATGGGAGGCACAGAAGCATTGGATGGAAGTGAGAACGTGCTAGAATATCCAGTCAGTGTTTATGACAATTTAAGGAACAAGTTCGAGTGAGAATGCATTCTTTTTCTGAGTACAACCATATTAATGGACTCTTTGATATAATGAGAATTATTATGACCAATGATGATACGGATGAACACAATACAGTTTTCGAAAGAATGCCATCCTTTGCTATTTATATTAACATAACTATTGGAGCTATCATGTCAAAATAATAGCCTCTAAAACAAGGGATTCTGCCTTTAGAACCCCCTCTTTTTATTTAAGACCAGTTATAGTAACCTAAAAGGGAAACCCAAGCAGAGCGGCCCAAAATGGAGGGGCCTAAAGATATTACTAGTTATATCATAAAGTTTTATGGATTTTGCATGAAGTTACTACCTACAAGGCAACTAACTGTTTAGGGGGATATAACATAAGGGTCTTGAAAATACATAATACCGTGTCATATTTTTTGAATCAGAAGGGTGGGGTTGAGCGTGGGGATCTACAAATTCTGGGGGAAGAAGGGTAATACTAAAAGCACATATATGTACGGAGTAGAAGGGTATAGGAGTTTTCGGAGAAATGAAACAAAAAGAATACAAGTCGGGGCAGAGGGTTTGGAAATCACTAGTCCATACTAACCTGGCAAGAATACAACGATAGATGGAAGACGGAATGCCGGGGAGTTGATGATTGGCTCCCAGGGAGGCAGTCAAAGCATAAACTATGGTGTTTTAGGCTTTCGCCAGTAATATTGCTACAAGGAATGCCGTTAGTACTAGAAGGTCGATGGAGATAGAGCATTCGAACCTTATGTTGTTTCCGGCAGTTTCTCAAACCGGGCTTCCTCAGACCATTCACTACCGCTTCACGTCGCTGTTCATCCTGATCCCCATCTGGAATGTAATAGTACTCGCTTTCTAGCGCCTTTCCGGCGGCATCTTTGCCTTCCCTACTGACCTTTCCAATACACGGAGTGTTTTCGACAACAGACGTAACCTGCGAAATTTGGAAATGGGAGTGTTCTGCAGGAAGCTTCCCAACAACGTCGGCCGGGAGGTTCTTGATAATGACTGAGAGAGGGGTTGAAGATAAACGCGAAAATGCTAGTTGGTTGATAACATGGTTTTGGACAATGTCTTTGATAGAGTCAAGTTCTGGGTTCTTCTTTGGCGAGCTCAGCGCGTTCGGGGTTTTCGGCTTCTCCGTTGATTTGCCCGGAGACTCGCCAGTGTGGAAGGAGGCCATTCTTGGGAGGATATTCGCACCAAAGGGGCCGAAAGAAAAAACGATCGGATCGTTTTCCTCGTCATGCTCGGACAAATCTTCTGATTTTGAAAGAGAACCGGAGAGGGAATTTCGCTGAGCATTCCCTAGGGGCTGGGAAGCTAGCTGCTTTTTCTCAAACGTAGAGTTTTCAGCGGAGCTTCGTCGAGCTACTGGAGACGGTTCATCTTCGTACACGACGACTTCGTTAGGCAAGGAACGGGACGGCGTCACGGGTGTGATCAAGTCACTTAAGCCTTGAACGACAGGTGATGGGGAGATCGGTGATGCTAGGCCTTGGTTACTCTTAGACGGACTCGTGGCCTGACCCATGTGTGGTTCGGCTTGAAGATTCTTAGTGGGTGAGTCGTCCTCCCATGTTTGATCCGAGTGCGTGGACGTCGAATCCTTTATTGGCAGGCGGGGCCACTGGACAAGTACGCGTGAATCATGCACATCAATCAAGATGTCAGCGTCTCGAGTTTCCGTGACGAATCTTTGTCCCTTTTTCAACGTGTACGTTTTGCCCCCACAGTACAGCTTAAGCCCATTCCAGCCGGTGCACAAGACCTCCACCGCGTCTGGTATAAATGGGAGTTTAGCCTCTATATACACGGCTTGCACATGGCATCTTGACACAAGGCGATTAGTGGAGAGTTGGTAATTGCAAGAGGTGCTTGATCTCCCCATTGTGACAACCTCTCCATCTCCACTGAGCATAATGACTGGAAGCGTGGACAAAGGTGCTCTTTCGGCTATGGAATACGTTCGCTTCAGGCCACGTCGAGCGCGCGGAGGAGACGAAGCAGGCACAGCGGCGGATGACGTCGGCACTGGAGTGGGATACTTTGAGACCCCATCCTTGCCATCGTGGGCGAAACGCTTGACAGGTCGAGGGAGGCCGGGTGAGGATGACGGTTCGAAAGGAGGCAACAAGGACGCTGACCGCTTCACGCCAGCCACTGAGGGCAAGCGTGTGTGTGCTCGAGGAGTGGGTGACGAGTCCATGGTGACGCGGTGGGAGTCTCCAACCCAAGACAATGTCTGGGAGGAGAAAGAATTCTTCAAAGGACACGATGAAGATGAAAATTTTTTGTGGGCAGCTTAACGATACGCGACTAGACACGGATGTCAAGGGGGCCGAACAGAACGGAACAAGGAGCAGGAATTGAAAGTGTAATCAAACAGAAAGAAATCACACTTCCACCAGACACAGATTCTCAGGGGTCAGGGCGAAGGCGAGAAGAAACGCAGCCGCCGTGGTAGAAGTCACGGTCGGGATTAGTACGACGTGCAGAAATGCCTGTCGTTCCAGATGCACGCTTGGTGGAGCTACGCGTCTGGTGGCTGGCGAGAAAGCGCAAATGGCGCGTCGCAGCCGGCACTCACCGTGCACAGAACGAGGCGACTCGCTGCACAACACCAGAGGCCCTTCGCGCGCAAGCAACAAACACCACCCCGTGTGGCTCGTCGTCCGCCGCCGTCGCCGTCGTCGCCAGCTGGTATACTCCCGCGAAATAGCGTGCACGCGTCTAAATAAACGGAAGACGCGCCGCGCCGCGGGGCCCGCCAATCATGTCGCGCGTGCTGAGGTAAGCAGAACGCGGGCACGTGCTTAGGGCGCCACCAGCGCTTACGTGATGTTGAGCCTCAAGGCTGGAAGAAAAGATGAATGCAAGGCTCCGTACCGCTACATGGATTCTTCCGTCAAATAGTGATTGAAGCTAATAGAAGGGCTATCTACATAAATCAAAAACATGCAATTAAACACCAACCTTCACAATGCTCTGTACATGCTCCAAGGCCATCGTAATGGCCCAGCCATCGCTTGTTTCTTCGCTCTTCTACTACTTGCCGAGTTTGACCCTCGCTGGCAACCATGAGAGTCATGATCTCCCCGTCAGGGCCAACAAGCGGCAGTTCCGCTTCACAAGGTATCTCCTGCGCTTCTGACTGCATCGCACTGCGTGACTCCTGATCTCCGGGCATACTCCATCGCCCTGCCAACTGTCGCGACCTTTTTCACGGTGAATGATCGATCCACCCCCAAACGATGACGCTTGCGGCCTGGTACTGCCATCACATGGGTTCTTTTCTCCATAGCAGTCAAAATGTGGCTCCGCCTTGCATCTACCCTTGACTCTTACGCCAAAGGACCATGTTTCCAAGCGGCACTCAGTGTTGGGGCTGCACTCCAAGGTATCCCAGGTCTGCTGGCTTTCCGTAATGCTCCTCTCTGTAGTCGATGTGTACCCCGCCGACCTCAAGGGATGCTTGACCAAGGGTGAGTGATACCTTTCCAGTGATGCTCCAGCCCTCCGTTGTGGTCACAGCAACCGACTTTCCTTTGACAAGCTGCATCTTGAATACCCTGGGTAATAAATTGCGTCGAACTACTTCAAGCGTGGTAGTGTGGATGACTTTGACATCATCGATTGCGAGCACCATACCCAACATCCAGAATCTGGTATTGGAAGGACAGAACCGCTGTTCGCTGCTACAAGTTGCCTCTGTACGATTTTCAAATATATACGTCGGTGCTACGCCGGTCGCAATTATCTTTTTTGCTTGGAGGTCTTGCGTCAACTGGTCAATCACTGCCCGGGGGTCCACTTTAAGATCATTTTATTATTGGCCCAAAGCCCGCATGCTTCGGGAGTATAGCTCCATACCAACTAAACATCAGGCGGCTCTAGGCCTATATGTATATTTCTTAACAGAGGAGCGCTTGGACCACCAACTTTACTCAAAAGCATCTCACCATACAGCGCACCGGACAGTTCCTAGAATATAAACAAGTCTACCAATGGAAAAGTGTACATTCAAGGTACACAGTGTTATCGGGTTAGGCTCTAAGAGCTACGTAAATGGTCCAAAACTTGCTGGCCTTCCCAAAGCTACAGAAGCCGAATGTTGCCCGGCTTTTAATCCACAAATCAATGGCCACTCTCGGCGTAGAGAATATTTTCAGATGGCGAAGTCACTGCTCGATGTCTCTAAGTTAGAGTGTTCCAGAATCGGAGCTCTGACACAATTTGCTGAAGGTGTTTTTATAGTTGCTAGACAACCCTACACATTCAGCACGAACAGTAATCAACCTTGAAAAATATCCTCGCAAAGAATTTCTCAAATATTCAACTCTACTCATGACTATCTCAGATCCCTTCTTTCGGACTTCAGTATCACATTTCTTCCGTCAATCTAACGATGTGGTCGCGAATGAAGCAGATCAAAAGGGAAAATATATTAATCGCTGCCTTACGCAAACTTTTCCAACAAATTACAAATTACTTTAAATTTAATAGTGCTTTGCGATGATTTTCGCCCTTCTAATGTACATATCAATGCAGAAACGGGGCTCTAGCCGCTGCCATTGAGAATATTCCTGGTGCATTCTTCTTCAAGACCCAGAAGGTCGCGGGTCGGATCTCTTCAAACGCTATTCTCCTTCGCTTAACCTTTCCCTAAAAGCTTTACGAGACGAGCCCAGCATTATTGCGGATTCTTTCTTGATGGATTCACAGCGGCCGCCACAGCAGACGGAGAGATCCTCGGACAATAGACTCTTTTAGCTGTATCTCGCCGCACGGTATAGTCAAATGCTGGACAAGAGTATAATAGACTTTCCTTAATGAGCTTCACTATAATCAGTTCATCTCAGTCGAAGACCGTGCTGAACGGCAAATAACGAAGAGGGAATCACCTTGACACAATCTATCAAGTTACATTGGAATAGTTAAGGATGGAAGGATTAGTGCTCACTACTCACTATGCAAATAATGATTTAATTGAGTTGTAGTTGGAATAAAAGCTTTGATGCTCTGGTCCGTTATTATTTTATTTCTCTTTGAAACCATGTACGAAGACCGTTAGAACCCCATATTCTTTGGCGGAGTAAATCTGAGAGTGCTCAAAGAAGGACTCTCAGTCAAGAAAGAGGTGAATTTAAAACCCCATATTCTTTGGTGGAGTAAATATGGGAATGCCCAAAGAAGGATTTCTCAGTTAATTATAACTATAGATGTGATATTATTATATAGGACATACCCCGAGTATTACTCAGGCCCTTTCCCAGTCTTCAGGGAGTCGCCAATAATATCCCGTACAACTAGCATGCACCAGTATGTGGCAATCAGAATTCTGGCCTGCCCATCCAGCATAATCCAACCATGCATGTATGTGTGTACAACAAGATGTGGGGATGTGTAAGCTGATTGCAGAACCTATGTATTGCCAGGATCAATGGGTCTTTTGGAGAAGTCTCACTGGGCTACAGCTAGTGTTTAGATATATAGATATTTGATTGTGGTCCAATTATAGGAAAACTGCCACTAATTATCCAATTATGTAAAAGTCACATTCTGACCACAATCGCACAACATCACGGTCTAATTCTTTTGGGGCGATAGCTGTATTTTTCGAGGTTTTTCTTGGAGCATTCGGGGGCCCAGTGATAGTATGAGCCATCGGGAGACGGCAGAGAAGCGATATAATCTGAGATTTGCACCCTGCAACCGAGTTGCGGTGATTTTAGGAGTAGATTTCGCAAAGGGTATTTTGCTTATTAACTAACTACTCCTCCGGGTCAATTTCGGTTTGATGAAATGCTTGGTGTTAGATGCCAAGATCTTAGAACTCAACCTCTCTTATGTAGTTAGTTACTCCGGACTCCGTACTCCATACAAAATATAATGACTTCCGTTCCATCGCAACCTTGACTAACTACTCCGTAGCATGTGCCGATCTCGACCTCGCATCTATCGAGAAACGCCAGTTGTCATCACGGAAACGGGGTACTCCATACACTGGTTAACTGGGCGTCTTTATCATCGCTTTTTACAACGTCGCTGGATAGTTTCGTGCGACGTTTGGCGCCATAGCACTTCTCTGCGCCCACCAGAAGCCCACCTTGCTGCTACACCCTGAGTACTCGAATTTATTGGTATCCGAGAGAATTACAGAGTACAAGAAGCCAGTGTGCTTAGACATATACTCACATTGAAGTACTGTGAGCTCAGGATCAATAATCGTCCCCATCAGTCGCTAGTGATTGTTGATGATGCCTTCAGAAGGGCCTTCAAGGGGCACCATGTTCTCTGCAGATGAGGTGGTTTAGGCTATCTAGCAAATTTCGGCCACTGCTTATTTGTGAGCCCTAGAAACCGAACCTGTTGATATCTGCAGACTTCTCAAGAAAGATTCCATGTGTTTCGGGTACAAGATTTGCTGGACTGAGTTGTTCATCCATTGTATTAATTTCTAGGGTTTAAACTAACTAATAGAGGTACAGAAATCAAAGTTTCTGTTTTCCACAGTAAGTTGTTGCTACGATGAGATGGCAGCTTGCAGGAACTTTATAGTCTGGCTCTCAGGAATATCTCAAGCACTGCATCATTATATCATATGTATTAACTAGCTCACTACTCGTGATTACCATATTTTACTATTTACACTCTTGATATTGGAGGTGACTAGAGTTCGGTAAAAACCACTACTCTAAACAGGACTCTTACATTTCTATAGCAGTAATCAGAAACTGCAACAACAGTGGTTGACGTTAGCCTCCAGGTATTCTAGGTATGTATGATCCAGTTGTTTCTTTCCGATTCGGAGTTTAAGCCAGATTCGGCATTGTTTTGTTGAACTTCTGTTAGCAGCCTCTCTCTTGTTAATCCTCTATTGTCGTTGCCTTTTTATTGATATTGAGCACTTAGCGATGCGGAACTCTTAAAATTTGATCTAGTGTATTTTTGGACATCTTGATACTTGCGCTTCGAAATGCCCAGACCCCAGTATAGCGTGACTCGGAGGTACAGACTACACACTGATAATAGATAGGATATGACTATAGCGAGTCCTGATCAAATGCCTATTGAGAATTTTCCGTGCTGGTTAGGCTGGGCCATACTATTGTATTGTGCTTTAACGCTGCACGTTTGCCGATTCTCCAACCAAAAACCACTACGACCCCGCCAAGCCACGTGACGGCCTGCTTATCGCCATTCGTGGGATCCGATAAGCAAAAAAAGCTCCGGTTCTCCATCGGCCGCTTCTGGGATCCTCCTAACACCGGTTTGCCGCTGTGCCCGTTTTTGCCCCCCTTTCTTTATTCTTCCTCCCTGAGCATGTCTCTAGAATGGAGCATTTGTTTTTCTGTCTCTCACTTCACGCGTTTGCCGTCCTAATAGCCTATTCTTAAGCCGCCGGGCCTGTAAGCCAGCCCCTCTTTGACCTAAAACACCTCAAAAGCCAGCCTTACAAATTGGCCCACCGAGATTTTCCGATCGCCGAGGCCCGCGAACTGTTGTTGCTATTTGTTGCTTATTAGAGAGGTCCTATAGATATCTCTATTTTCAATTCCGTGTCCCAAACTTTGGGTGGTTATAGCTATTCCGGGAGGATCAGTTTGTTATAGGGAAACCGTTAGACGCCCAGCTCAAATGAAGCCCGGACTTCAAGCCGCACCGGAGGGCAAGAAGGGTACGCATTATCTCATATTATTCGATGATTCAGGACCTAATGCTTATTTTAAGTGTGGACGACATTGATCACCAATACCGATTACCTTTCCGGCCTTCTTACACTAGAATATTCTTTAAAACGGGTGGGATCAAAGTACCCCTTAATCGCACTCTACACAGATACTTTCCCACCCGAGGGTCATGCTGCGCTAGATGCAAGGGGTATCCCCAGGCGCCATATTCCCTACCTCCTCCCGTCTGTTCATAAAGATTATAGTAATGACACCCGCTTCTATGATTGCTGGAGCAAACTCACGCCCTTTTCGCTTATTGAATACGACCGCGTTGTTCAGCTAGACAGCGATATGCTCGTATTGCGAAACATGGATGAGTTGATGGATCTAGAGCTAGATGACCCTACCCTCGGAGGCAGTGGTCCTCGAGTTTTTGCAGCGAGCCATGCATGTGTTTGTAATCCGCTGAACAAATCGCATTACCCCAAGGAATGGTATCTACCCCGTTGCGCAAATCCTCGTCATTGGTCCTTTACTTACACGTTCACCTAGGAGCCCCGCCAACTGCGCATTCACCAGCCAGCATGGCAACCCTGATAAAGCACAAGTAGAAGGAGCATCGCCCGCTGTGGGCCTCTCCATCCCCAATGGCGGCCTTCAGGTTGTTAATCCATCGCTCGGAGTGTACAATCGCATTCTCGAATGCCTGCAAAACCCAAGCGCCACGTCACTCTACGATTTCGCAGACCAGTCTCTCCTTGCCGACCTCTTTCCTGGTCGTTGGGTCGCTATTCCATATATATATAATGCCTTAAAAACACTTCGGTGGGACGGCGTGCATGATGTTATATGGAAAGATGATCAAGTTAAAAACGTGCACTATATCTTCAGTCCAAAGCCATGGGATGAAAAATGGCGAAAAGAGCCAGCAAATGGTGAACAGTTCACAAAAGCCCCCAAGGCAAGAGTAGACGAGACTCATGACTGGTGGTGGAAAATTAATTTTGAACGGCTTGTCGAAGAAAAGCGTTTAGGCATTCCGAAAGATGGGTTCTAGAACAATTTTGGTAACTCATCGATTGCCTCTTTCTTTTGATATCTACATTTCTCATCTAATAATGTGCTTTGATATATGAGCAATGCATTTGACAACCTTTTATTGCCTCACATGTCCGCTGGTGACTTGAAGCCAGGTGAAGAGCGGGGTTCTCGACCGTTAGAGGGCACATTTTGGGTGCCATTAAGACATTTGGGGGCTGGAGAAGCCGGCATTGCAAAGACTACCGCTAGTTAATTGAAGGATGTCTCCGGTAAACGAGCCCCTATGGCTCTGTTATTTCTTGGGGGTGAGTGTTCTATAAGTTTCAGAGCCAGCATGGCACGTACAATATTCCCCCACGAATTATAGTAAAAGTTGGTCTGTTTGTCTGAAGTTGCCGTCGTTTGAATGTTTCCCCAAGTTTTCCAACTGATCCTTCTCCCCGCAAGCAACAAGGAGGCTTGGGTAGCTCCCCTTCCTTATCACGGAGGTAGTAACTTGTCGTGGCTTAGTAACGTATCTTTTTAACTAAGCATGGTGAAACCATCTCAAATGTTCTCTTGTACGGAGTAGAACCTCCGTATGTAGCGGCAACAAGTTATCCTACAGCCGGACATCGCGGCCACAATTTCGCCTGATGGCAAACTTCTTCTAATCTTGCTAAGTACTCCGTCAGCTCTGTGGTATCGGTAGAGCTATAGCTAACTGCACCACGTGCCCTTATCAGTCATTGCGGTTAGTTGGTTAGTTTTTGGCAAAAACCCCCTGATCCTTCAACCCACCCAGTTTATTGTTTCCTTGAATCCTACAGCACGACTCCTGCCACCTTTTGAATCATACCGAATCCATTCATTATATGCGCCTGGTTGAGTCGCACTGCAGTCGTGGGGTAACTAACTACAAGGATTCCCTGTCCCCTGCTGTGTGCACTATTTGGAACACACATCCCGACAACATTATGGTATAGTTATCTGGTTCATAACTATGGGAGATACCGCACAGATCATCAGCCTTGCTCTTATCTTCTGCTTACATATAAAACGATTGCTGGTCGGATTTCGCTCAACTGCTCAAAATTGGTAATATGTGGATTTACAGATCCCCGCTTACATATATATCGTTCAAGAAGAATTATCTAAATTTGTCAATACACAGTTCCAGGAGTATTATTCACCAACTGCTTTCATTCCTACACTAGAAAACAAGAAAATAACAAATTTCGGACAACGTCGTTCTATAAGAGTTGCCATTCAACCCAATCAGGCGATTGATTGAAAACCTGAGAGTCATCAACCGCTTCAGCATGTCGACAGTCTTGCATAATTTTGGAGATTGGCAACCCGCTAGGCTCACGTTTCTTACTGTCTTAGCTTTTGTGTCTTTTCGAACTAATTCGGTACCTGACCAGAAGAAAGAGGTGCACCTAAAGCTAAACACTCAACAGCTTTTGTGCGTATTTTGCAGTCGACGCTTACGTTTACTGTACTTATTCAAAATACCAACCAAAGCGGCAGCTAGGTGGTCTCCGTGGGTTCAAGAAAAGGTGCAAAGTTTTATAAAATCCATTCTGCACTGTCTACAGCGCATTTCTTTTCATTGGTGGATCAACTCTAAACGGTCCAGCATGCCACTGTGCACTTTACTTTACTGTGCGTGCGGGTATTTTGGGCCTTTTGGAAATAGCCAGCTCTTGACTGTACATGAATATAAAATTTTAACCACTGCTGTATTACCTGAATTCTCTATCAATTTGATGGTCTACAATGGCAGTTTTCCAAGAACTTCAAGCCCAATGGTAGCAATAGTTATATATCCTCCGCAAGAAGCAGGGTACTCTCTCTAGACAGACCACACTTACTGCAGACCTTTTAATACATCTTTTTCATGGAGGGAATTCTGGTGACGTTCAAAAAACAAAACGCCCTCACAGAGGCTCGAACTCTGGACCCTGAGGTTAAAAGCCTCATGCTCTACCGACTGAGCTACAAGGGCTAACAGTGGCACGTGAGAAGATGTAGGAATATATGAAGGAAAAGAACTTTTCTCACGAGGCTCTAAAAATATCATCTCTCTTTGCGTCTTTTCAAAGTACGGAGTTTGTGTAATCGGTATCCAGCCAAGCATTGAAACAAAACGGGCTGTGTTCGGGGGCCCATCTAGAAATACCGCATGTCCGAAAAGCTTGCTCGTGTCATGAAACATGCCCAGAAGTAGCTTTATTCATGCGTTATCGCCAAGTAGTTGCAACTAACTACAGAGATGCCAGTGCATAATATGTAATGGGCTGACGTGGTGCTGTCACTTTTGGGGGGCTGTCCACGTTGACCAAGGCGCGGAACGTCTAGGGTAGAATCAAGTAACTAATAGCTAGGAGGTTGAGGAATTATGTCTGTGCACGTTGATTGTCTGCAGGAAGAAATATCAACAGCTGTTTTCACCGCAATTTGTTACGAAGGGTGCCTGCCATACAAATATGTACCGAATAATGTAAAATGTCACATTTATATATGAAGTGCGTTTGTAAAAAAGCAAAAAATAAACTTGCGGGAAGTAGTAATAAATTGCTCGAATTCCAAATAGAAATACCCGTAGATACTTGGATGAAAGTTATGGATACAAGGAATCAATTGTTTTGGTGATACCCTGGCATCTAGAACATCATCTCTTGATGTTTCCATTGAGATATAGATGTATTCATTAAATTGGGACTGCCCGGTTGATTTTTTCGTTTATTTCGACAGGAAGTTGTAACACACTATTGCATCGAATGGATTAGCAGCGAGTCAATTGTAGAAGCATACGACACGGGTCGGGGCATACCGTCTCCCAGCCTTCGTGGCACAACAACCACATAATAATGACGCGGGATAGCAGATGACCTTGGGCACGACGCCAAAGGCTTTTCGTTAGCAACAAGGAGGCCCAATGGCTCCCAGGATGGAGGGGTATTCATACAGCGGAGAATATACCAAGCCAAAATGCTAGAGTGTATTGATTTTTCATAAGCGATATTCACTAGCGGTACCTTATAGCACATAGCTACTACTCACCCAAGGTGGGCCCGACGACTCGACATCGACACGGGTTCTGGTTTGAACCGCATTGAATGCAGATTGGGATCCACGGAATATGGGGAAGGCGATCCATTTTTGGGCTGACGGCAGGTAAGTTGATCAAAAGGAATTTATCATTGAACAAGGTGGTTCGGAGATGCTGCGCCTGCAGCGAATGGAGTGTGTATGAAAAGCAGGATCTAAGGGTATGACGTTGCATCCAAGTGTGCGGGAAGTCAAATCGAACATCAGATAAGATCCGATTTCCAAACAGGCAAGCATAAGAAAACAGAGTGCATGTCAATGACATACACAGAATCATTGTAAACAGATGCTCTCAGTTTAAAGCGCATTAGAAAATTCGTTAACGTTCGTAGAGTCATCACCAAGCACTGGTCACGCTTTCTGTCTCTTCGCCACGAGGGCTTCAACAGCGGCACCAGGGTCTTGAGACTGCGCATGCTGCTCATTTCGAATCCTCTCTCTGACCTCCATCAGAGCTTTACCTAGCAGATTCGAGCCCCATCTCGCCCGCATCGCACCGGCATTGTTCGCGCCGAACCCCACGCCCCAGATCCTATCTCTCGGACTGGCTTCGACGAGTTCTCGGTTCCCCGTTGCCAATAGCTGCGTCTGAAGATCTTCATTTTGGGTAAACTTGAGGTAGTTCCCGTCAACTACTATCTGGAAACGCTCCTTTCCCCAGACTGTGCCGTCAAAATTGGGGATCTGGCGGCCAAGGCTTCTCAGTGTGCTGGGATGGGGGGCTGGTTTTCCGGGGGCGAGGATTTGCTGGGTGATGATGTCGTCTGGGGCGAAGAGCATGCCTTTGCGATGCATCATATAACTGGTTTCAGAAAGATCAGCGGAAGCATTGGAGGAGGGGTATTGGAAGAGAAGTGGTGAAAAGAGGGGGCGGGGAGTCAAATGACGCGGATGGGCTCACTGTTCACAGTTCATGTATTTGATTTCAACGTCTTCCCTATCCCCGACGACCGTAAACCTCGACGTGTACCACTGGCTAAGGAACCCATGCGGCTGGCTGGGTTTCCAAAAGTATACTGGCCCATCTGCTTGCGCGGGCTTAACTTCCTCTTTGGGCCCCTCTTGGAGTTGTCGTTTGCCAGTCATCATCAATATTGCGTAGCGGATGGTAAATATGACGCAAGCGAGAAAGCACTGGGGCTACGGAGTAATCTATGTCCAGGAGGCTGGGGGGCCGCCTATGTAGTTATGTGAACGCGCAGCATGTTTGAAAGCGTTAACCGACCATCGCTGCGATGAGTCACAGAAGTTGTCAGGCTGCGGGCCCCAAGTGGCTGGACGTCGCTGTCGTTTAGAAGTGCGAAATTGGAATGTGAGAGTAGGTAACGAATATAGGAGCACTCTGGAGTCGCTACTCCGGGCAGCATGTTGCTTCTGCTTTCCAATCCTGTTTCTATGTGTCAGTTGGATTGCAGCCCCTTGGTCAAAGCTGAGCTCTCCCGGCGCTAACAACAGGAGAACAGATAGTTGGTGGAGAGGCGGCAGCAAAGGCTGAAACACGTTTTGCTTTCGCAGGTAAATTTAGCAGTACGTGACCCCCCTGGCTTTGGGTGACGACGACACCGACGACTCTCAGTTGCCCCGAGCCGCTTGGAGGATAGCGAGTTGGGTCCGTATATCCACACGGCCGAATGTGGAATACGGAGTATACGTTCACTGTCCGTATCATGGGTGCCTGAACGGAGTGCTCCGTAAAGTAAAATGCGTACAGAGTACAGAGTATATGCCTCCAACACTACAGAGTACGGCCAACTACTATCTCCCCAGCCTCCTTCTAGAAGTCTTGATCTCTGAGCACAGAAAAGTTTGCGTGGATGACTGGCAGCAGGCCAGCCCTGGGGTGACGTCAAGCTCTGACTTTTGCTGAGTGAAAAAAGTCTGCTGGGCGACAATGAGCGGCATGAAATTTCTGTTCCGCGGGGTCTCGCTCGAACGAGCTTCTTTGCGGTGTCACCGGCAGGTTAGTATTTTGCAAAGGCAGCAGCACAAATTCTAATCTTGCAGGCAAACAGGAACAAGCCGGTACTGACGGCACAGCGTCCATGGTTCGAGCTGGGTGTTACCGCACGGTTTGTAGAACCTCTCGAAGGCAATTGCAACCTCCACCATGATTCTTTGGCTGCCGCCAACTGGCGAACTCGAGTCGCACACCGGATTTCTCGCAGCGAGGTCCTTCAGTATTCTCGCAGGCCCGTCAACCAATGAAGGCAAACGGTGGCGGGGAGACGATCTCGCGCCCACGGCGAGTAATAATGATCTGCCTGGTGGCACGGCGCAACAATGACGGTCGAGATATGGATGTTTGCCAGATGGCGGGGGCAGGGCCAGCGCGCGCTCTGTCTTCGAGAACGACGGTCTAGACGAACAGCCGGCCAAGGTGAACGAACAATCGTGCTCCACGGTGCGACGGCGGGTTGGGAGTGCCGCCTCGGTTGGGTGGGCGCGGTGGTGGGCGAGGGAAGAAACTTCCTGCGGCATCAACGTCAGCCTGTCATGGAGGCCTTCCAAGCGATCAGCGCCGAGGGCCAGGCCCAGGCGGGGCGCGCAGTCGGTCTTGGGAGAGGCACAAGCAGAGGACAAGCAAACCTTGCGACGTGTTCGAAAGGCTGGGCGGCCAGCAGCAAAACTCAGCCAGGGCGCGGTTCCACGTTGCCACCCTCTCTGCTGGGGTCACAGCTGGCCGCACGGAAAATGCGCCCTTTTGCGAGCGCATCGCAGCACAGGCGGTTTGTCCGCCGGTACCTGCGTCTGTCGCGGGGCCACATGGCGTGGACTGACTGGGCGATCGTGCAGCGCAGTCGTCGCCCAACGCCAGAGACCGACGAGCCAAGCACATGACAGACAGACAGTACTCCGTAGGAGTAGTGTCGGTCATGATGCTGAAGCCCGGAGTGGCATGTCTGCGCAGCGAGGGATGCATGCGGGCGTCATGGCGGGCGGGCAGGCAGTGCGCTTGACGCCGCGAGCGTTGGCCCCTCGCCAGCCTCCTGCCTCTCGTCGTCCTAGGCTAGCCGCGCGCTGCGGTCGCCCCCTTTCTGGCGGCGGGCGGTATGGTTGGTATGGGTGTGATTGGACCGGCGCTGGGCAAATGAGATGACTCGGGATGAGAAGCCAATTTCCCGCTGAGCCCTTGGCCGCGTCGTGGCTGGCCTCGCAGCCTGTCAGCGGAGGGCCCCGCGCCCAGCCGTGCTCTGTGTGGTTGTCTGTCTGTCTGTCTCTGTCTCTGTCTCCCTCTCTCCCTCCCTCTCTCTCCCTCTCTCTCTGTCTCCTGCTGTCCCCGTGCTACCCCCGTGCGGCCCCGTGACCACGCCCAACTGGTCGCGCCCGCGGTTTCTCGTCCGGCGCCGACCCCTGCCGCCGCCAACCGCGCTAGGCTAGCGGCCCCCGCCCGCCCCTGCGCCGGCCTCCGCTTGGCATCCCAGCGCGCGCGCCCATTGGCTCCCCTTCGCGAGCGCACGCCCCACCGTGCCCCTGGCCCAGCGATCGGCGCCCAAGCCCCCCGTTTCGTTTTCTCTCCCTTCTTCTCTACTTCTTCTTCTCTCTCCCCTTCTCCCTCTCTCCCTCCCTTCTTTCTCGCCCGCTCTTTATATCTGTCCCACGTCCTCGCCCGCTCCTTTTGGCGTTCTTTTCCGCCCTTTCGATCTTTACCCCCTCGCTGTCCCTTCGTTCCGTCCGACCTGGAGGAGTCTCGTTCTTCCTCCCACGTTCCTTTGGAAAGAGAAGAGAAAGCTCTTGGGGCTTTTGACACTGTTTGAAACCTCGGCCAGCCCGACCAGCGTCGCAGTGTCGTTCACTCCTGTCGACCTGCGCAATATAACCCCGGACTGCTGCCTGGTAGGTGTTTGTCGTCCTTCGTTTGCTGCCCTCTGTTTCTCGTTCGTGTTTGTCGCCCATCCTGGTCTCGAAACAATATGCTGTCATGCGCGATTTTTCTTCGCATTCCCATCTGCCCAAGGCGCTAGCTAACATCGCTGCTTTTCTTTTGTCCTCTATAAGCCTTGCCTTTCGATCTCCGATCCGATTCAATCTTTGAAGGCCGACGTTGCCCGCTCAATTTCGACCAAACGTTCTTTGTTGATATTATTGACCACATTCCTTCTGTACAATGAAGTTTACTCCGGCCATCTTGACCCTGGCCGCTGCCAGCTCCGTGGCTGCTGCCGCCCATCACCCCCATCGCCATGGACACGCCAAACGAAATCCCGTCGCAGTTGAGGTCGTGACTGTTCCCGGCCCCACCGTATTCGCGTATGAGCTCAACGGCAAGTCGATTAGTAAAGACGAGGCCTGCAAAGGCATCAAAGACGGGTCTCTTGTTTGGGCCAACGGTGGCAACCCAAATATCTGTGATTCTTCCCCAGAAACTCCAGTGAGCCCTCCAAAAGCCGGACAACAATTCTACGAGAAGCCAAAGACCGAGCAAAAGCCCCAGCAGAAACCTCAGCAGGAGCCCCAAGCGCCTGCTCCAAGTCCAGCTCAGCCTTCGCCCCAAGCGCCCTCTCCAAAACCTTCCACCGTCGATAAACCCAAGCCCGATACTTCCAGCCCGTCGGGTGGTGAGGGCATTGACTCGGACTTCCCGGATGGCCAACTTAGCTGTGACCAGTTCCCTTCTCAATATGGTGCTCTGGCGGTTAACTGGGTTGGCCTTGGCGGCTGGAGTGGTATTCAGCTCCCAACTTACGGCCGCAGCGCCATCACCGACATCAGAACCGCCATCAGGGGTGAAACTTGTACTGAAGGATGCATGTGCTCCTATGCTTGCCCTCCTGGATATCAGAAGACCCAATGGCCTGCTACTCAAGGCGCCACTGGCCAATCTGTTGGTGGTATCGAGTGCAAGAACGGCAAGCTACGCCTCACGAACCCTAGCTTTTCTAAGAAACTCTGTACCAAAGGTGTTGGTGGTATTAAAGTTAAGAATTCTATGAGCCAAGTTTGCTCCATTTGCCGTACTGATTATCCCGGTACGTTTATTCCATTCTTCTCGCACAAGCTCTCGAGTTTTCTAACAAACATCCAGGCACCGAGGCCCAAACTGTGCCCCTTCTTTCACAACCAGGAGCGACAGATCCTCTTACTTGCCCAGATGCTTCCAACTATTATACCTGGCTGAACAAGCCTACCTCTGCTCAGTATTATGTCAACCCCAAGGGTGTTGGTCTCAAGGATGCCTGTGTTTGGGGTGATAGTAGCCGACCGTATGGTAATTTCTCCCCCTTGAATATCGGCGTTGGAATGAGAGATGGTAAAATCTGGGCGTCTATGTTCCAAAACCTCCCAACTACCAAGGTAGCCCTCGACTTCAAGGTTGAAATTCAAGGTGAAGGTCTCTCTGGAGTTTGCCGATATGAAAATGGCCGCTACTATGATTCTAACGGCTCTAACGAAAAGGGATGCACGGTATGCTTGAACCTCAGCTATTATGGTGATTTTCGACGTACTGATACTTACTCGTACTAGGTCCAAGTCATCTCCGGCGAAGCCACCTACGTATTCTCGGAATAAAGAAGTTTTTAAGTTCGCAGCAGCATGTTAAACACCGGTGTTCGCTGCGTTATTGATTCCTCTCTCTTTGGTACCAACAGGTACCCGGCGACGGGTACCGCTTTGATTGATATATAGTCAACCTCTCCTGTGACGATTATCCAGGAGTCTAATCAATAATGGTGCTATTTATTTTTTGTTTATTACCTTTGTCGCACTTAAAAACGTTTCGTCTTTTTTTTTGTTAGCTCTGTCATAGTATATTTAGTAGCGCTTTTCTCTTTGATTCTTACCACTTACCTTGACGGAAGTGCATCTCTGCAAGGCGTACTCCGTTCGGAGCAACGTTTGATGATTAATGTTCCCTGTGTACGGAGTACACTCGGGCGTTGTGTATATTCTTGGATATGAATACGACCAAACTCGTGCGGCTGTTATGCCTGCTTTGTTCCGGACCTGGGGAGTATGTAGTAATAATATGTAAGCATCAGGGGGCCACATAAGCGAGGTTGGCCTCCCCATGCCCCTTACTAGTAGATTGGGCACTTTCAACCACAATTCATTTCCGCGATAGGAAGCGCGCTTAATTTTAATACGGCCTGTACTTAATATTAATAGGACCAGGACAGCCTTCTATTTCGGAACCGCCACAGTCAAGAGGCTATGATCACCCTACGCTGCCGGTACGGAGTACGCCGTACTCCGTAGACAAGCCACCTTTTTCCTATCGATCGTACACACACGACGAAATACGTAGTATGCACGTAGACTACGCTCATCTTTCTCTAAGTGCGCGCTGCGTACATTCATGCCGTGATACCAACGAGCGGCCCGCCCGTCGAAGCCTGCCGTCAGCGGCCATTTCAGCATCAGAACGCGTGGCGATGGACGAATGAGATCATTAATTACCATTTCGTAAACTGGTTCTAGGCTGGAGGGCATGGATCTACGGAGTACGGAGTACTCCGTAATGTCTCCTGACCAGATCAAATCGCGGTGATCATCGATCGCATGCGAGCTTGATTCCTATGTTTTTTTTTTTTTGTTATTCCCGATCCTTTCCTTTTCGATACGAGATCGACTGTCCATCGATGATCCTAGTTGGCTGCCAGGTACTGCATCTTGGTTCCTATAGACAGGGGGGGAAATTCTCCTGCGCCCTTCCAACCTCGATGAGTGGAATAATACTCAGGGTAGCGGTATGCTAGGGGCAGAAAGATTCTGAATGGGTAGTGATGGTCCAGGGAAGAAATTTATATCCAAATAAATTCATCGTTTTGTTCCCCTGTTTCTTTTGGCATTCATCCATAATACTCGGTATATTGCAGTTATATTGCACAAGTTATATCCAAAAAAAAAAAAAAAGGATAGAGCGGAAGTATATACGGAGTACTCCGTAGAGTAGAGGGTATTTTTTCAGATCGCTCCCTTTTTAAGACGTCTCGGGCACCTCGGGTTTCTGCCCGTATATAATATAGTATTGGGAGTATATATGGAGACTGCGGTCCATGAGCTCTCTCCTCACACCAACTAAGAGAAGCTGAATACGCGGAACGCTCCATCCAAGTACTCTGGTGAACAACGCGAGCGAGTAGGCTTCTAAAGCCTCAAACATCATTGCTTGCTGGTATCGTCCGAGCTCTTTGAGTTTCCGGTCTTTTGCCCATGGGGAGAATGGGACCTGTAACGGGTTTTAGCTTCTTCAGAGGAGCAAAAGAAACGAAATGTCAATGTACGAACCTTATATATTTCTTCAGTGACGTTCTTGAACCCAGCATCGATACACCATTGTTTATAGTTCTTTGACATGCCCATTGGCTTTCCAAACTTCTTACTGGCCTCGAGCAGTCGATCCCTCCACTCAAGAATATTGGTGGCCTTTTCAATTGTCTCGTCATCGCCAAACACTCCCACTGTTGAATCAGCAACTTCAAACCATCCTCCGGGGATTAAATTGGCCATAACCTGGCCAAATAACCGCGGGTAATCCTTGACACTGCCTTCAATATTACGTGCATGGATGAAATCGAAAGGTTGGCTGGTATTCCAAGTCGATTCGAAATCGTCAATTTCGAATTTACAGTTCGGCGGAAGCCTGTCGTCGTGTGTTAGATCTGATTTCTTTGAACCTGGAGTAGAGTGTAATCATACCACGATGGTTGGATCGGGCTCAAATCGGTCCCTAAGAAGAACGTGTCAGCTAGGGTGCATAAGCAGCATCGATGGTTGAAACGTACCCGTCACAACGGCGTGTGGAAGTTTGCTACGGCATTGTATTAGCGTTCCAGTCAAGCCATACTCAAACGAAGAGAATCATACTCAGCCACGTCGATCGCCCAGCTTCCTGTACCCGTCCCGAGATCTAGGATACGAGAGACGCCTGATGGAATGGGCGCACGATATAGCTCTCCCGAAATAATCATACCGAAGATGTGATGATGCTGTTACTGTGAGAAATACTACTTGTCACAGATTAGAAGCAAATAACCAACCAGATCAAGTCGATCTTGTTCCCTCTCATCATTTGGCTGAAGAAAGTTAGCGGGGAACTGGCTGCATTGAGGGATTGCATTTGGTCATACAATGAGATATTCTCCCTCCCGATAGGCGTGATAGCGTCTTCCATTCTGATTAGGTTGATTTAGCTGTTTGGGTCCCTGCAATTGAAGACATATACTCACTTCATATCTATTGGAAGTTAGAGATACAGATCCGGGAGGGAGGGGTTCGTTATCTTACTGATAATTCAACACACTGGAGGTCAGTGACGCGGTGCTGCTCTCGATGCTAAATTTTGAAGTTAGCGCTGACTTCGGGAAAGCCTAGGCGATAGACTCACGATGCTGAATCGATTTCGTCATAAAGATCGTTATCGTCCTTTCTCGTCGTTAGTATGTCTCGGTGTTTAGTTATTGAGCAGAATACTGATTATTAGGGGCACTGACTTCGGCCACTATTATCTGGTTCTGCTGCGTCTCGCTACTCGTATTCGCGGCCATCCTGACCCCGGCTTAAGAGAAATGTCTCCTTCTACAGATTGATGAAGATAACCAAAAAGAAAGAGGGTTGGGGTGCCTGGGTAGGAGATCGGCGGCTTTAAAACTGTATGCCCATATCTAAATCTGGACGGCCTCAGGCTGTTTTGCAGAAGAGAACGACTGAAAGAAGTCAATGGCAGGGGCGCTTGTGGGCTGCCAGGTTGTTGTTAGTAGTACTGAGAGCACGGAAACAGCCGTTGGCGGGCTTGCCCCCCTTCGTACGGCAGACCGCAGCGGCCGGGTAAGGCAACAGTCACCGCCTTCGGTAGTGGCCGTATAGTTAGTAGGCTAGTTCGTTGGTTAAGTTAGTTTGTCCCTCAACTCTGAGAACAATGTGTAACTAACTTGGGCCGCTGACTCGCTGTTCCTCCAGGTTGCCACAACGGAGGTGTAGATTCGCGGATTGCACAGGACCAGTATTTCCCAGCCGGGATGGATTCACAGGCGTATGTATTGCTCACCGCTCGTCCCTGTAAGCCAAATTCCTTCGTCCCCCGCGAAGGAATTTTTCCGAACCAGCGAGCTGAGGAGGAGGAGGTGGTGGTGGCAATACGCCGCTTTGGGTTAGTGCGGCAGAATGGAGGGTATTGCCAGTCAGGCGCTGCACTATCCGTAGCTGCAGTCCGCCGTATGACCCCGGGTCCCACGCCGGGGGAGCCCTTCCGCTCAACATAGCGTGGCTCTTAGCGCCGGAAGAACAGGGCTTCGCTTGGGCATCATGCGTTTCCACGCAGATGCTTAGCTAGCTCCGCTTGGCCCAGCCTAACTGTCCTCGGGCATTGGTCGAACGGAAGACTCTGCGGTATTTTGCCTCGTGATTGTAACATTATTGACACCCGGCATGACTTGCAGCCGTTCGAGCCTTTTGCCTGGCCTCGGGTAACGCTCTTACGGTAATATTGGCGCCGTTTAGAGGGTTTGGCGCTACTGCCGACGTCGAATTTATCTGGCGTTGATTGGCTAGCCATTCTTCAGCAATGGCTGCCACTGACTCGCTGGGAGGGCTGAGTTTGCTCTGTTTGCTGCCGAACCTTCTTGTCTCCATGTGAGAAACTGACCACCCTGCACTCTATTATTATTATTACGACCAGGCTTGCGCGAACGCTCGATACCTGAGTATTGTTATTAAATATTCTCCATGGCACAAAATAAGCCGAGATGCAAAGCCACGGTGTTCGATTTTCGCCTTCGGGTGGAGCACATACCCCTCATCTTCTTGCAAAACAAGCACCTTCGCATTTGAAATCTCCAGGTGGACGTTGACGATCAGACTTCCTCTCCACAAAACCGGGCTGGGATTAACGTTATTTTTTTTCGTGGATTGATGGGCTGCTCGTCTCCATCAACCTTGCTGAGCCGCTTCTCCGCTCTGATGAGAATCTACACGAACACTATAGGGTAAAGAAGGGCGTCACTGCGCAAGTGATATTCACCGTTGCAATTCAAATCCTAATGGATTGCTTCCTTGGACCAATGCCTCTTCTGAATTTAGACTTCGTCAAAAATGAACCCCCTGAAGAGGTTGGGGGGCCCTTGAATTCAGAGGATACCTGCGAAGGAACGATCACAATACAACAAGAGTAGGGAAGGCGGTGAACACTGTTGCCCATTCCAAGATATAAACCACTTTTTTGCCTACTTTCGCTTGCGCTGCATACCTATACGGTCGGGAACGTTTCATCTCATCGTGAGCATTCCTTCAATCATGATTTGGTACGATTGTTGGGACTGTTTCGATAAACAGAGTTTGCCAGCATGTGCCTTCTCATCTGTTAGCGAGAACTTAGTGGGCGGGGCCTGTTAGTCTATCAGGATGCAACCCTTATTTATCCCTTTGCCATTGGTAGATACTCCCTAAAAGCACCCGTTCGTCAAGTTCTCGCCCTTCTGAAACCATGAAGGTTGAGACGCCAGGTGGTCTTGAGTTTTAGTGGAGTTTATCTTTGGATTAGAAATGGCATGAAAGACCCATCAGATTTGGCACTTTCTCAATCCAATTTTTGGACAGAGGCTACAGGGGGTATGAAGCATGGTATTTCCGCAGTTGATTTATGAGCATCCCATTTTGGCTGCCTTGGTGGTATGCTTGGTGTATGCTATCAGCCTTGCCGTTTATCGATTATGGTTTTCTCCGTTATCCAGGTTCCCGGGTCCGAAGTTGGCTGCAGCTACACTTTGGTATGAGTTCTACTATGATGCGATCTGTCATGGAAAATATACCTTCGAGATCATGAAGATGCATGAGAAATATGGTTTGTGTCTGGGATTTCTATTGGAGACTGTTTAATAATCAATCACAGGGCCTATTGTTCGGATAAGCCCCCATGAGCTTCACATAAATGATCCCGAGTACTATGAGATTCTCTACTCTCGAGACAGCCCTCGCGACAAGTATTCTTATTATACGGGACAATTTGGTACGCCTATGGCTGCAATTTCCACCAAGGAACACGCCCACCATCGCCTTCGCCGTTCGAACATGAACCCTTACTTTTCCATGGCCCGCATTCGCCAGTTGGAACCTTCCATTAAAACGCTCGTGGATAAGCTCTGTGCCCGATTAAAAGAGTTACAAGGTACCGGAAAGCCGATCGTGGCACAATATGCCTATACTTGCTTTTCAACTGATGTGATATCGGACTACACCATGGGAAGCGGGTTTCATTATCTAGACGAGCCTGATTTCATTCCTCATTGGAGCGAAACTTTGAGTGCAATCGCCAAAGCCACCGTCTTTTTCAAGCCATACCCATGGCTTTTTTACTGGCTGAGGGCCCTTCCAGAATCCCTGGTTGGTAAAATGGAGCCGGGAATGAAATTGTTTTTTGTTTTTCGCCGCCGCTGCGAGGCACTAATCAAAACAGTTATTGACGAGCACGACTCTCCTGATTATGATGAAAAGCGGAAGTCATATGGCCATCCCACATTTTTCCATGACATTCTTGACAGTGACCTTCCACCTGAGGAGAAGGGGCCTGAAAGGCTATCCCAAGAAATCCAAGGTGTCATTGGTGCTGGCTCCGAAACCGTTGCCAAAACATTAAGCTGGCTTACCTATTATCTACTTGCAAATCGAGATAAACTAGATAAGATGCTAGAAGAGTTAAATAGATTAGATCCTGATCAAATTGCTACCGCAGCGGAGCTGGAACAAATGCCTTATCTAGTACGTCCCTCGGCGTTTCCCAAAGCAAAATTTGCTTTTCTAACCATGCTACGGAATAACTACATTAGACGTCAGTGATGTTAGAAGGTCTACGGTTAGTTCTTTTTGCATGGTCTCTTGCATTTTGTATCTCCACTAACCTGAAATCAGCCTATCGTATGGGGTTAGCACAAGGCTTCAAAGAATCGCGCCTGACCGCAATCTTCAATATAAAGAATGGTCGATTCCAGCTGGTGTAAGGTTCTCATTCTCTTGATTATTCTGACAAGAATAACTCACAAATAAACTCTCAAGACTCCTGTTGGCATGACAAGTGTGATGATGCATCACAACGAAAGGATATTTCCAGATTCATACAAGTTCCTCCCTGAAAGATGGATGGACTCCCAACAACGAAAATACCTAGAAAAATATCTAGTTGCTTTCAGCAAAGGATCGCGACAGTGTGTTGGTATCAAGTACGATGTCCTCCTGCCGCTTTCTTCTACATACGTTCCAAATTCTAATAAGTTTCAAAACAGTCTTGCGAGGGCCGAATTACTTCTTGCCCTTTCCACGCTATTCCGGAACTTAAAACTTGAGTTGTTCGAAACAACACGTGAAGATGTTACGCTTGCCCATGAGCTCTTTCTCCCTTTCCCCAAAATTGGAAGCAAGGGGGTGCGGATACTTGTTGTAGATTGAGGTATCTATATAGGTACGCCATCAATATTTTGTCGTTCGTTTTAAAATTCTTCCTTCTTTTTAGAGCCCGCTTGGTTTGGTTTGATATAAGAATTGCTTTTTTTACGAGGCGGAAGAGCGGCAGGAGCAAACATTGCTGCTGCATTACCCAGTGATTTAGATTCGCATAGGATTTTCTGTGAACGTTGTGTTCCTTAATGTATGTAATATGTGTCTAATTATATACCACATACTATAATGGAATTACCTTTACTCAGAAAAACAGGCAATGCAGTCCCGTCGCTGCTCTTATGTTGAACTGTGACCGAACAAGAATCCTTAGCCCTCTTTTCTCTCTACGAGATCAACATACTCCGTACGGGGAACAAATATATATACTCCATAATGGAGGATACACGGACCAATATTAGCAGGGAGCCTCACACCAACAGTCAACCTTTGCACTTGGGTACTAGTATTACGGTGGCAGGATACGTAACTACAGATGGCTAGCACAGTATGAGGTAGTTACTCCGTACTCCTTGCTATGAATGCACGATGCTGCGGTGAAGGAAGGCAAAAACCGGGCTAACAATAAAGAAATGAAGTATACGACGAAGTTGTAAAGCACTTACCTATGCACGTAGTATTTGGAATAGCATCAAACCATTGTGCGGAGTACAGAGCACACGGGATGCCCGCTGGCTTGGCAGCAAGTACGTAGTTTAGAGGCCCGCGGCCAATTGGTTAAGGTTAGAACCTTAACTACCAAGCAAATTAGATTTTCGGAGCCCATTTCCAAACTGTATCCAATAGTAGTCCGTACTTTAATATCTTTTATGCTACGGTCGAGATATTGTATATGGGGTGCGGAGTATATGCTGGAAACCCCTTTTAATATTGAACTACGATGATTTAAACCCCCCCCCCAAATATGACCGACCCTCATATGCCATAAATCATGGTCCGTATTGCTCTGAACATTTGCCCCAAGACCCACTTGAATATGGTCCGATATTCTGGTACATCAGAGTTGTCATGTCCCATGGAAGTTTTACCGTACGGGGTACAGGGCACTACTAACTTCCTTCAACAATACAGTAAACCGAGCACTAAGGCAAACAAGACTTGGTAGTTGGTTTAGAGTATGGGGCGGTTTGTGATTCTCTCCGGGTATTTAAGAATATTCCTATCCGCAGTAATAAGTTTAGGTTAGCTAGTGAGAAGCACTTGCAGTAATGCAGATAATGGAAACATTAAGGAATTAAGAATTTGATGTAGTTGTACTTCTCATATCTGAATATTTGCGAATCCACATATAGGAACAGGCCAGTGATGCAAATAAGAGAGGCGCGATCTCTATATCAAGAACCCTGTACTTCAAGTGTATACATTCATCCACTAGCGAATAGTATATAGATAGAAGTTGAGCCATAGGTTGTATGACTATTCTATTCAAAAGTTTTGAGGACATATTTTTACTTTTGACAGGTGCTTAAACATTGAAAATTGTGTTGCCCACTTTATATTCAGAACAATAAAATAACGTCTTGTCCAGACGCCATTTTCACTCGCGTTTGGATCAAAAAGGTTCAAACATTTGAACTTCTGATTTCCCTTCCCTGTTTTGGTTGCTGTCGTCACCCACCCCATGGGTATCTGCTATTGTGTTATCGGGTAGATGTTTAAGCTTCAAGAGAAAAAACAATTTTACTGGGCTCAACCTCTTTCTAGAAAGTTTGCAGCAAAATCTGTTGTGAGGAGCTCAACTTCCTAGCTGCCACAAACTTACGGAGTACCTTGAGTATGATATAGCCTTCATCCAGCTGCTTGGTATGGTGCAGAAGACTCTACGACGCATATCTTAATTGTGAGCCGAAAATAAGCTTCAGTCAACGCGGCTGGCTACCATCGTCCACCTCTTCAGCGTGGCTAGCGGCCATCGTGTTGTAAGTTTAGAATCGTGTCAGGACGACCAGGGCGGCAATTTTCATGCCAAAACCTGTCTTTGTAATGAACGGAGTCACCCGCAATCTGACCCTTGCAGCTTCGGCTGCTATATAGTCAACATTAGACAAGATCAAGGAAGATATTGAATATCGTGTCCAGCTGGCACTAAAGTACCTACTTGTGTACTCCGTGAAGAAAGAAAGACAAGCGGGCGATGAGGAGAGTAGGGTGAGCTTCAAACTTTATTTACAGTTCGGAATAATATTTCACCCGACGCCGACGGTTCAAATTTTGGGGAAACAAAAATGGTGGACAAGGACGATTGTAACAAGAGTGGCTAAACATGGCGGTCTCATTTGAAGAGCTCACGATAAAGACGGATTCGGGATCGCCTTACCAACTTAATGCTGATCAGGTATGCTGGCCATCCAGTTTCCCCCTAGTTCGCCGCTAATTCAGACTCTACCCTAGGTGGTTCGAGCATCCACGGCACTGCTCAAGCACATAAAAAGCGAGGTGAAAAATCCGGCCGAAGACTCAACTACCAGGCAGTTACCTTTCGACGATGATAGTGACGCTGAAGACGGGGGAGAGGCCGGGGATACCGTCCCGGTCTGGCTAATTCTTACAACAAAAAAGCATGTTGTTGACAAAAATCGTTTAAAACCTGGGAAGATAGCTGTGCCTCACCCTCTCAACACGTCGCCGTCACTTCGTATTTGTCTGATTACTGCAGACCCCCAGCGTGAGGTGAAGAGCGTTATTGCAGATGAAACGTTTCCTAAATCTCTATCATCCCGAATCACAAAAGTCATTGGCTTCTCAAAACTAAAGGAACGTTACAAGAGTTTTGAAAGCCGACGTCAGTTATTCGCCGAGCACGACGTATTCCTCGCAGATGAGCGGATTGTACTACGTCTGGTTCAGACTCTGGGAAAGACCTTTTATAAATCCAGCAAGAAACCTATCCCCATTCGAATCGAAGAAATTCAAAAGGTCAATGGAAAACGCGTGAAGAAGGATGAGAAGAAGAGGCCTCCTCCCGGCGAAAAGTTTGCTGCCGTTGCGTCTGTTGCCGTCGTTGCTAAGGAAATTGAGAAGGCCCTCGATTGCGTCCCTGTCCACCTAGCACCTTCTACAACTGCTGCCGTGCGGGTGGGGACGTCGGCATTTTCATCAGCTCAAATCGCGGAAAATATTGAGGCAGTAGTTAAAGGCATGACGGGCAAGTTTATCGCAAAGGGATGGAGAAATATAAAGGCCATACATGTGAAGGGTGCCAATACTATGGCGTTGCCGATATGGCTGGCTAGTGAGCTCTGGCTAAATGAAACTGATGTGCATGAAAACGAGACAAAGCATAATGAGACACCTAAGAAGTCGGACAAAAAGAGAAAGTCGATCAAGGCCTCTGACGATGCGAATTCGAAGAAGCGCAAGGTCGTTGACGCTGAGGATGTTGAAGCAGAACTCGTTGCCTCAAGAAAGGCGAAGCTGAAATTACAGAAGGCAAAGGCCCGAGCTGAGAACTGATTGTTTATTGAGGGTATTACTGGTATGGTATATTGCTGGTTTTATTCAGTGATGTTGATGGGTTGACTAGCACAATTGTGTGGATATAGGGCGTTTAGAGTTTTGCGACGAGGCGCATATCTATTGGGATTCGCTGAAAATTATGAATCAATAAAAGTACTCCATAATCAATTTATAAAAAGCATATCATTGCATTTTCTCCTGTAAAATCACTTTGTCTTCAAGTTTTTTTCATACAAAATGATGCCCTTTTAAGGTTTCGCCGCGGATTTCCGATGCCTTGCTTAGTCATTAGGAATTCAAGATTGCCGGGTAGATTCCGCCGACTGCCCGCAAAAGATCAAGATGAGATCCAAGGACGGCATTTCTCGCATTGCAGTTCGAACTCACGCAAATAATTACTACTGCCTCTGTTTTCTTGATTCACAATATGATTCCTCTTGCTAGAAAGTCAATCCTCCGGGCCTCGCGCTCTCAATTCTGTTCCTCCAGAACCTCGCTCCAGTCACACCAGCTCTCGGCACTCTCGAGATTACTTTCTACCCTTGCGGTATTGGAACAAAAGGACGGGAAAATACAGGCCGCGTCTCTAAGTGCAATTTCAGCGGCTGCAAAGCTTGGTGGGCCTGTCACAGCGTTTGTAGCCTGTGGTGGAGCGAAGGCGGGTGCGGCAGCGGAAGCTGCGCAGATTAAGGGCCTTGACAAGGTGCTTGTGGTTGAAAATACGGCATACGATAAGGTATAATGGCTTGAATACACGGTTGTCGCTTAAAATAAAACATCAATCACTGATAATGATCGGAGTATAGGGATTACCAGAAAACTATGCCCCTCTTTTGGTCGAAAACATCAAGAACGGCGGTTTCACACACATTATTGCTCCTCATTCTGCTTTCGGCAAGAATTTACTACCTCGAGTTGCGGCATTACTGGATGTCCAGCAAATTTCGGATATCACAGCAATCGAAAGTGAAGACAGTAGGTGCCGGGGAATTGTTGTGGGTAAATTATGCGTCAAAAAGAATACTAACTTTGAGTTTCCATAGCGTTTGTACGGCCCATCTATGCTGGCAATGCTATTCTGACTGTTCAGTCAACCGACCCCATCAAGGTGATAACTGTTCGAGGAACGGCTTTCCAGGCCGGTGAAGCAACCGGTGGATCTGCGGAGGTTGTTGACGGTGCCGATCCCAATGCTCCATCGCCAACAGAATGGGTATCTGAAGATCTGACCAAATCTGATCGTCCTGACCTGGGCACCGCTAAGCGAGTTGTCTCAGGCGGTCGTGGACTGAAGTCCAAAGAGGAATTTGACAGGATTATGACTCCTCTCGCAGATTCCCTTGGTGCAGCTATTGGCGCTTCTCGCGCCGCTGTAGACAGTGGATTTGCTGATAACAGTCTTCAGGTTGGCCAGACTGGAAAAAATGTGGCCCCAGAGCTCTACCTCTGCGCTGGTATCTCAGGTGCCATTCAACATTTAGCGGGTATGAAAGACAGTAAAGTTATTGCTGCTATTAATAAGGACCCTGATGCGCCTATTTTCCAGGTTGCCGATGTTGGTCTTGTTGGTGATTTATTTGAAAAGGTTCCGGAGCTCACGGAGAAATTGAAGCAATAGATGTTTGAGATGGTGGTATCTTGCTTTCCTCTTTAGTTTTCTCTGCATATAAAACACTTGAGCAGCCATCCTGTCTTTTTTGTTTTGGCTTATTGGTATGCATTTTAGATCATATGCTGTACAGATACCGTGGTTGCAGAAATATACGCCTGAGATTCCAGTCCGTTCAAGCTATATTGCCTGTCAACAAGTTGCGTTGTTGAGGAAATCTCTCATTCCCTGAAGGAAATTTTCGGATGCGTCGGAGTTTGTATTATACCTTACCTGGTGCACGGCGAGAGCATTCCATGCCAGACCACACGGGGCTGAATACATCCGGCCCAGGATGCAGCTGGTCTCAGGCGGCCTTAACCCAGACAGCGCCGAGTACTCCGTGCGGAGTAAGCGAATTCGGAATTCTCAACTCCGATAGTGGCTTTAAGCCCCAAAAGCTTAAGAACTCCGAATGCACGGGCCATGAGCTAGTTAACCAACCACTCCAACTAACATGCGCGCGCTTCGTTGTTCGTCAAGGTTGTCCTTCGGCTCAAGGATGTCCACAACGGAGATATTTGTGGGTGTGTGGACTGAGAAAAATATGGAAACAATAATATTAATATTTGCTGGCTTTCGCTCATTGCCCTGTTTGCATTAAGGATTTCGTCCGCCTCAGCCGATTTGTCAGAAATGTCACTACGAAAGGCTCTACATTGTACTCCATATGATTCCGCCCTTCCATAAACGCGGCGATCTTCGGAAATTTTATCCGTCATTCAAGGAAACATTAGTAGCAATTCCGGCCCGTTGAAGAGCCCCAGACTGCCGAGTGACTCAACCCCGAGCTCATATTCACGCCAATTATGGCCATGCATACTCCGAATCGGTAGTCCGATATTAGTTCCAGTACGGAGTAGGGTGTGGTAGATGGCAACCGGGGACCCAGAACAGGTAACGCTGGACGGCCTACAATTCGACAAACACTTGAGGGGACACCCATATTACCATTATTTGCGTCAAAGCCATCTCCACACCTCAATCGGACTGTCTCCGCTTGACTCATCGTTGGTGGAAAGCTTGACTGATTTTGACTTTCCTGCATCTGACAAATTGATCGTCCTAGAGATTACGCACCCAGGTTGAATCCATGCGAATAATGTGTTATACCACCTGGTGCCTGGGGCCTGCAAGGCAATCTATTACTATAAGAAGGGGCTTCACCCCCTTCTTACATACCATTTTCCTCCTATGAACAAATTCGACCAATTCAGGAGCTTTTTCTGATAGTGTTTTCTACATCTAAAAACATTTAGACTGACAAGGAAAACCTGGCCTTTTTCTTCTAGGGTCCTATCATAGATCCTCTGAAAATCTGTACGGTGGTGACAATGACCTATAAACAATGCTCATTTTGCTAACACAATATTTAGTTTCTACCATACAACAACCCGGGAATCGTATAGATTTAAGAATTGTCATAATGGCATCTAACATGACGGATTTCACTGCCTACTACTATCCAACCCTAGCTGCAGCGAAGGAGTCTCGTCCTCGCTTCCTACAGCGCCGAACCTCCACGGATACAACATCTTCCGCGGCCTCCACTATATCGAATCTAAAGTCCTCGCTTCGTCGACTGAAAAGGCCCTCTTCCTCACACCCAAAGAAACAAGCACAATCTACCCTCTCTAGAGATCAGATTATTTCCATGGAGGCGCGTGCCTGCTATTTTGCACTGAAATAACGGCCTACCCCCAATCAACGCCCCGAAGGAAGATGGGCCGCCGTGGGGTTGAAAAATATTTACGATTTGCATGTCAGGAGTTGATCTGATTTCCTGGTCTGGTTTTGGAGATGCCAGGCGCTATCGTGCATTTCTCATGATGTTGATTTCCTTTGTATGTTTGTATATCCCTATTATAATAATCAATTTACAGCGCCATAGGCTCGGAGGATTTATTGTACTATTAATTAGTTTTAACAGGACTTTGTTGAATTAGTTTTTTTCTTCTATGTAGGACAGACCCAGCAAAAAGTGAGAGCGTATGAATCATGTGGCGTTCTGGATTGTTATTGGTACATAATAATTCAAACGTGCCTGGGGTGATAGGCCGGATACTCACTTGCATTCAATGTATGAAGGGAATATGTGTTCTCCAAGTTTGAGGAGTGGGCAAATTTGAAATTACGCATGTATATTTGTATTTAGCTCTGCACATACATAGTGAAGGCTAGTAGGGTGGGCTTCAGAGCATGTAAGTAATTACTCAGAGGCCGAATAATAGCTCCTGCATAGTTATTCGCTTTCTAACAGCATTTGAAAACCCTTCGTGAAAGCTAACCCATACTTTCGTTTCTTGCTCATCCTGTTTGCTGTTTTGACCTCTCTTCACCTGATTCGAAGTAGGGCGTTGCTCGGCAGTCGACTCCCTAATGCGGCCAAAGAAATCCCGTTTTGGACCACTCAGCCCTATATGTTTAGTAGCTGGGTCTTGTGATGTATCGGCTTGGTGTTTGCTTATTTTTCCAGAAAACGCTAATGTGCTATGTTGCGTATGATGGGTCTCTGCTTGGCTTTTGAGCAGCCCTTTCCGATATTCTTGATCAAGAACCTGTCGCACTGCATATCTCACAGGTGCCGAAGACCCAGCTGTAGCTAGACATGTCCCTTTTGTCTTCGAAAAGGTTGTAAGGGAGTCAAGGGCCCTTTGGTATATTAGCCTTTGTGATTGGGATGATGTTGAAGGTCATAACTTACGGTTCCATCCTATATATCCATCCACTATGAGCTCCGCTATCAATTTCCACCCTGGTCTTTTCAAATGTAACCCCAAGCCCATTCATCACCCGTACTGCCGACTGCACAAGAGCGCGTTCGTTTTCTTTTCGAACACTAGCAATGCCACGTTCACTCCCGCTTCCTCCCACTACGACTGGTTTGATATCCGGTGACAACATGCGCGTTAAATTCGGAATGAGCTCCGTCGTAATTATTGCAGGAGAGAGGAATATCCGAAGTAGGGGAGCGGAAAGGGAGGATCTTAGCTCGGTAAGTATGGCGCGGGTTTGCTTTTCCGCTTCAAAGGCCGAAAAATCTGCTCTCGTACCGGAGAATGGATGTTCTTCCTCATCATCATCGGGCTTCCGTGCCACTGCATGGGACTTGTTCAAGGAAGAAAATAAGTGGTGGAATCCAATAATAGATTGGCTCAAATATGGATTCAGCTCCCAAGCTTGATTAGCATAAATCTTGGATGATGCTAAGTCATGAAAATATAGCCACTCGTAGGCGGCATTGGGTTTTGAAAGCAAAGTGTCATCTTGATATGTTTGGGTAGGATATGTGAGGAAACAATCCGTTACGCAACGGTCATACTCCCCAGCAGCATCAACCATTTCTCTTAAGCGACAGATTGCATGGCGCTTGCGAAGATCTGCAACTCCAACCGGCAAGGTATTGCTATCTTCGGAATAAGGGTCCTTAAAGCTGTCGGCTCCTACATGGTCGTAGGAAAATCCGGCACCTTCTATGAACACCCTTTCAATAATCTCTTTATTTCCTCCACGTCCTAGTCCTGGGATAGAGCCGTCTTTCGAGGATTCTCTGATAATGTGTTGTTCGACCCATTTCCTAGTCAATCTCATATTTGTCGACAAGGAGCCACTGTATCGGAGCTTTCGAGCTATCCACTCCCCGGCAACGAGAACGCCTCTAATGTCACCCTCGTTAATACCGCGAGATTTCATTTGACGATCTCTTTTGGCACTCAATCCCCAAGAAGCCTCACAGATTCTTCGTACGGCATCTCCGTCGCACAAGATGCCTTCTTTTTCGAAGACATGTCTCATGCGTTGAACGACTTGCTCTAATGGCACTTGACGAACATGAATGATCTCTGCAGCTGAGGATGTACGAAGCGGTCGAAGGCTGGGGTGGTATACGTCGTTGCAAATCAGGATCAAAGGCCGAAGAAGTCTGAAGCTATTTCCTCTTCTCTTTTTATTATTGCTGTTTGTATTGGTTATTTTGAATTTTTTGGCGGAATTCTTTTGGTCCAGAGCAACAAGATCAATTAGAGCTTTCATAAAGCCCCCTTCGCCGCCCCCCGAGCCACCGACCACACCATCAACCTCATCCACAACAACGCAAACAGGTTTTCCCGGCTGTCGGGTTTTCTTCCCATTAGTTTCGACAGTAATGCCCTTCACATTCTCCGTACCAACTGCGTCCTTTATTCGGCCCTTAACCACATCTCGATTTCTCTCATCGCTCGCGTTTATTTCCATCACCTCATAGCCAGCCTGCTTTGCGCAGACATGAGCAAGTGTTGTTTTCCCGAGGCCTGGAGGACCTGTTAGTAGGAGGATTTTGCGGTGCATGGGGTCTTCATGTTCCGAGTCCTTGGTATTCCGGCGATTTGCTTTAGCTAGCCCTGGAAATACAATCGAATCCCAACCCTTAAGCCAGCGTAAAACTGCCCGGTGCGTTCGGTCGTCACCTATCAAATCCTTAAATCTCCGAGCACGATATTTTTCAGTCCATAGAGTATGAGTAGCCTTTCCGGATTGCTTCAAATCTGATGTTACCTCCACTGATTGGTGCACATCTAAGGTAGATACTGAGCTACGGCTAGCCCTATAGACCTCCGCTTCTTTGAGCAGTTGGTGAATGTCGATCCCGTAATAACTTTTAGTAGCTCTGCCAGGAGCCGTAACCGATCGACTGGCAATAAGTTGCTCATACGAAAGCAGAGTGCTGGAATTTCTCTGTTTTAAAAATACTGGCGCTCCGGAACATTTGCGAATGATGAAGTGTTCGTTCTGACGCCCTAAAGTAGTGGTAGATATTGTATCAAGATTGGGGATCAAAGAAGCGGTATTTTTACAGTCTGTGTGTGACGCAGTCACACCGGGTATTTTCGTGCTACAATTGGCCTTGGATTCAAGGATCCCAAGCCAACTAGTATTTTGCTCTTCTTCGTCAGATTCATCGACAATAAAAGGCCCTAATAACTTTGCCCGTTTGGAGAGGCCCTCATCAACGATATCATCCAGTCTTCTTTTTCCCTGATCAGGAAGTTGCTCCACCCCTGGTTCTCTTGGAAGTGAACCTGGATCGCAAAATAATGCCATTCTGGTACAATTGTAACGGGTATCAAACAGTGGGTGGCATCGTTCTAAAAAGAGCTTGATTGCAACGTGTGGCAGCTCTGGGAATGGAGGACCCTGGGCACACAGGCGGTCACAAAGTATCGTAAGTGCAAAACTGGAGTCCAGTTAGTTATTTATTAATTATGGTAGGGGTGCGTTATTGACTGGCCGCATGTCCGTCTCTCCTCTGCCATTGTCAATTTGGTCTCTAGCAGGGGGACGCGACGCGACTCAACGCGTCGATGTGAGAATGATTTCTGATTGGGCAGGATCAAGATGCCGATTTCAAAAGACATTAGTCATCACAGTTGATTAGCTAATAGATGGTTACATATCAAACGCCGGCGCTATTTCTTAATTGGTTAGCGCGGTTCAGCTTTCCTTCGCGATCGAGCTTGTATTATTCCACCCTGAAGGCTAGGTAACGTCTGCTTTTGTGCCGGATACTTAACTTGTCGCGAAGAGAGTAAACATTTTGTAATAGGGTGATATTACGTTTAAATCTAGCGGAGGTTGAAGATGGAGGATTCACATACAGCCTCCGGAGACATGGCTTCCCAGGGTGATATGGGGCATGTTGACCAAGATGCGCAAATTGGTGAAGGTATTGATGTTTTTTTTGTGTGTTCTGGTATGATTCGCTACAGATTAGTGTCTAACTCGGTTCAAAGATTCGCAATCTAGGTCCGTGTCCCCTATTAAGAATGATCAAAACGGAAGTGGATCAGACAATCCACTTGATGCGCCTCTCTCCCCTAAGCCTCAGAACGAACAGCCTGAAGCCGAAGATGAGGAGATGGGTGGTACGGAGCAGGATGCAAGGAAGGAGGACGATGATCAACCCGCAGAGGCTACTGCTTCCCAACAACTCGACGGTCCTAGCGATGATGCAAAATCAAGCCTTGAGGCTTCTGCGCGTTCAAATCTGATTTCCCAAACCCACGCTATTATTCTTCCGAGCTATACATCTTGGTTTGATATGAGCATTGTTCATAACCTGGAAAAGAAAGCGCTCCCAGAATTTTTCAACAGTCGCAATCGCAGCAAGACGCCTGCTGTCTACAAGGACTATCGTGATTTTATGATTAATACTTACCGTCTGAATCCTGTTGAATATCTTACTGTGACTGCGTGTCGAAGGAATCTTGCAGGAGACGTATGCGCCATAATGCGAGTACATTCGTTCCTTGAGAACTGGGGCTTAATCAATTACCAGGTTTGCCAGATATTCTTCTTTTTTATATATAGTTGACTCATACCCCCATCTAGGTTGAGCCAAGTTCGCGCCCTTCTAATATAGGCCCGCCATTTACAGGCCACTTTAGGGTTATTGCAGACACCCCGCGTGGGCTGCAGCCATTCCAACCACCGCCTGGTACATTTGTTACTCCAGGAAAACCCCACCCTTCGACGGAGAAGGCGGCATCAGCAACTCCCCTTTCTAAAGCAGATTTGAACCTTGAAATTCGACGAAATATTTATGATGATAAGGGCAAAGAAGTTGCCACCGATGATAAGGATAAACAAGAAAAACAGACCAACGGGGATAGAGTGGTCAATGGTACAAGCACAGATCCGGCTGCACGTGCTATGGAAGCGGCCACACGCCCAAAGCGAATTGCAAACTGTCACTCTTGTGGAATCGACTGCACTAGAGTTCGGTTCCACTACTCGAAAGCCGTACCCGCTTCCGCAAGTGGTAGCGCCCCAGAACTGAAATATGATCTATGCCCGACATGTTTCTTGCAAGGTCGCTTGCCCTCATCCCATCAAGCATCCGATTTTGTGAAGGTAGAAGATGCCAGTCATACCTCAATTCCTGATCGAGACAGACCTTGGTCTGAACCCGAGGTTCTCCTCCTACTCGAGGCACTCGAAAACTTCGACGATGACTGGCGGAAAGTGGAACGCCATGTTCGATCTCGCACAGCAGAAGAATGTGTGATGAAATTTCTGCAAATGGAGATTGAGCCAAAGTTTATGGACGATATTGCGGGAGATGGCCTACCTGAGCAAAATTTGCTTAGGGGACAGGATCCAATTAGTCAGCTTGAAAATCCAATTCTTTCGGTTGTTGCACATTTAGCCCAGTTGGCGGATCCTTCTGTAACAGCCGCAGCTGCAGGCCGTTCTATTGAAGAGATTCGCCGTTCAATGCAAAAGCAGATTGAAAAGGTCTCTCCTGAAAACCATAGTAAGGAAAAGGATCAAGTCGAGGGCCTTACACAAACCGAAGATTCTATGGACATCGATGCTGTAAATGAAGGCGAACCCGCCACTGTTGTCCGTGCTGTGTCTAGTGAAAATTCGCCTCCCCCTTCCCTGCCATCAATTGCGATTGCTACCTCCGCAGCGCGCGCGGGCGCTTTGGCTTCCCACGAAGAACGAGAAATGTCCCGACTTGTCAGCGCCGCCGTGAACATCACACTCCAAAAGTTTGAACTCAAGCTGGCCCAATTCTCCGAATTGGAGCAGATTCTTGAAGCCGAGCGTAAAGAATTGGAGCTCGCCCGGCAACAACTGTTCCTCGATCGAATGGCGTTCAAAAACCGGGTGAAAGAAGTTCAAGATGCATTCCAGGCTATTAGTCTTGAAGGGCCTGATGCAGCAGCAGTTAAAGCAGCAGAGATTCGAACTGTAGGACTTGGAGCAGACAGCTATCAATTCCAAGCAGCTGGCGCTCTGGATAGGTCTGTCCAGCCGCTGAGTGCTAGTGGGGTTGACTACAAAGTATTTGAGTTGTGATGTGCTTTTTAAGAGCCGCCTCCCTGTTGAAACCGGGATATGTTCTTACTCGTTCAAGGGTAAGGATTCCTACTTTCTTTATATTATTACTACTTCTATTTGTGATATTTTCATGGTGCGGCGACTATTTGGTATGATTGTCGGATTTACGTGGGTCGAACTGGTGGCGTCTATTCTGGTCTTCAGATGCGTTAAATTTCAATTTCTTAAGCAGGGCCTATTCGAGATTCGCCTTTCTCTTGCGTACTTTTGTATTGCCAGAATTCTCATGCAATTTCGTCTTGACTAGGTTTTTCCTTTCTAAAACGTCAGGTCCCTCTTTACTCTCAGATGGAACCCAAATCAATATGTACGGAATACTTATATTGAAACAATTGAAGAATGCCAAATATTAGTCAAGCGTACGGTATATTAAACTAGCAACCGCTTCAATGAATCATGCAGGATTGGGCTTCGGCCGCTTAGCGTCCGAATTTTCTCTCATTCTCTGATTTAGAGTCACGGTGTCGAGCCCGAAAGTCTCCCATTCTGCCTGATACAGGGTATGATCCCTCCAATCCGCTAGTTCATCGCGTCCTTTTCGCTTTTTAGAAGGCATACGTTGCGCGTTGCTGTCTTCGAATTCGGCCTTGACGTCAATATCAAAGCGGCCAGGAATTGTCTTGTGTATGCGTTGCCATAAATTGGATTCTTCCGTGCGGTTTGCTTGTATGTCCAACGCGTTGGCACACATTTCCTCAGGCTCCAAAAGGCTTTCTTCGACAGATTCATTGGTGGACAACTCGTCAGGATCGGTATCGTGCTCACTATCTTCTAGCATCACTGGGGAAACGCTGGTTGAAGGGATGCTTGAAGAGCCTATTGTTTGTATGTCCTTAAATGTAATGTCAATTTTCTTACTTAATAACGCCTCGACCGTGTCATAGTCTAGCGGTGCCGTTTTGTTCGTCTTCTTTCTTTTGATATCAAGGGCATTGCGGCGAGGTGCACCGATCCAAAATTCCTTCGAGCTTTGTTCCATCTTAAGCACAGTCAAAGCTGCAAACACATCTTCCACCTTAACGAGACTTTCTGGGATAACGTGAGTACGCTGAACTGCGCGAATTCTGGATAATGCAAAAAATATAGAAGCTTGTATAAGGCGGCGGGTAATGCTAATGGCTAGGGCGTAGAAATCAGACATCGCATCACAAGTTAGGGCAGGGGTTTCGTCTTGGAAGCATATATGTTGCCAGTTATTTTCTACTCTCTTTTCCCCTGAATTCATAAAAACGCGCTCGGACAGCTGCACCCAATTGCATATATTCAGAAGTTTAGCCGTAGCAAACAGACTCTGGTGTTTGCTTGCCATGGTTTCGTGTTTTGATTGAAGCTCGCATCGCGATGGGGAGCCCGGCTTGAAGCCAACCTCTGGTAGAGGCTCAGGGCTAGATAGTCGATCTGAAGTTGAAGGTTCCTCCAGGTCCAAAGCTCTTTCAACTAATGCAGCAGTCTCACGATTCACAAGCCATGAATCACCGTATTTCTTTCTTCCAACCATGTTGCTTGTTTGTTCCTCTCGTAGACATAATGCGTTAGAAATATGTTCTAGAGCTAAGCAACACTCATCGCTAATCTCATATGCAGCAGGGATATCTGAAAGCTCTACAGGTTTTACATTTCGATCTGTGAGGTGATGAAGCTCAAGATTGTGCTGCAGTAGATCAAGGTAGTGCCGCACCTCCATTTGGCTCTTGGTACCTATCGAAGCTGCAATTGCCGGGACTCCATCTCTCCCGTTTTTAGCAAGGGCGGCAAAAAAAGCAGTTTCCTCTTTGTCTGTCCAGCGAACCGCACCATACTGGGAGGAAAGCTTGGAAGTATTCTCACTTGCGGACCCGGAAATCGTATCCTTGAGTGATTCTTCGAATAATGTAGAGTACTCGTCAATCGGAAGTGTAGCAGCTGCTCGTACAGCACTATATCGCAATTGCGGACGATCTTTGCGGGCAGAATAAGCATTGCAACGGGGGTGGACTGTGCTATAGTGGAAAGTTTTTAGGGGAGGGGAGTAATTTCCAAGGGCACCTTGAAAGCTGGGGTTCTCAAAGGATCCTGCGTCAAATTCAGATTCCGTCCCGTCTTCGTCTGGCTTGAAGCTCACTGAGGAGTCGCTCATCGTAGATGTTCAACACCGGAGAGCGTCGTCCATTAGCTTTGTTCAGTCCCACCGGAAACAAGGTTGTAAACGAAAACATTGCACTCCGATAGAGCATTCGATAATGAAGGAAGCCTTATCCATTTGCTGCACCTAAAGGGTAACTAGCTTTGATAACAAGTCTTTGCCCAGAAAAAGTTGAAGGATGTTGCGACTTGGCAGTGTTTGTAGTGTTTGCCGAGTTTGCCTACCTGAGAGCAAGATGCTCATGAAACTCACCACGAGCTTTAAGAATTGGAAACATGGAAAATGAGAGGTGGTTTAACTTTTTTATCCTATTTAAGGGGGCGTGGGATACTCAAACCTGAAAGATATGCTTATCGTCGTCTCTTTACGCAAGAATTCAATGGCGCCGGGCGCGTTCTGCTCCCAAATAGCAACATCAAGCTACGGGATTATCAGGAAGAATGCATACAATCAGTTCTCTCTTATATGCAACAGGGCCATAAGCGGTTGGGCATATCTCTCGCTACTGGTAGCGGAAAAACTGTGAGGGTCTCTATATTTAACTCTGCCATACCTTCACTGATTGACTATGGATACGTATGCACGTAGGTCATATTTACACAATTGATTGACCGTGTCAACCCTTTCAAAGAACATGGAACACAGACTTTGATACTTGTTCACCGGAAAGAATTGGTGGAACAAGCTGAAAAACACTGCAGGCTGGCGTACCCAAACAAGACTGTCGAGATTGAGATGGGAAGTAACCATGCAACTGGAACCGCTGATATAACAGTCGCGTCTATTCGCAGCCTTCTTTCTAGTGATAGGATAGAAAAGTTTGACCCAGGCAGATTCAAGTTGGTGCTGGTCGACGAAGCACACCACATTGTTGCGCCATCCTACCGCCGTGTTTTGGAACATTTTCGCTTGGATAAACTTGACAACGGATCGCCAGCGCTCGTTGGTGTCTCTGCAACGTTTTCAAGATTTGATGGCCTGCGGCTAGGCACGGCAATTGACCATATTGTATACCACAAAGATTATGTCGATATGATTGGGGAGAAATGGCTTGCAGATGCCGTTTTCACGACCGTTAAATCCCATGTAAAGTTAAATAAGGTTGGAAAGTCAAAGGACGGCGACTTTCATGCCAGACAACTGTCGGCAGCTGTCAATACAGATAAGGCAAATGATATCACCGTTAATGCCTGGTTATCGCGTGCCCAAAAACGAAAATCAACACTCGTTTTCTGCGTGGATATTGAACATGTCACATGTTTGACAAACAAATTTCGCTACTACGGAATTGATGCTCGATTTATCACGGGCCAAACCTCCAAGGATGTTCGAACACGGGAACTTGATGGATTTAGGAACCAAGAATATCCGGTTCTTGTGAATTGTGGTCTTTTCACCGAAGGAACTGATATCCCAAACATAGATTGTGTACTCCTTGCTAGGCCCACTAGATCAAGAAACCTGCTTATCCAGATGATAGGCAGAGGGCTGCGTCTACATCCAGGAAAACAGGATTGCCATGTTATTGATATGGTTGCTGCTCTGGAAACTGGGGTCGTAACCACACCCACTCTTTTCGGCCTTCATCCCGACGAAGGTTTGGAGAATACCCCTGTGCATGATTTTGACAAAATCAGGCAAAAGAACGCAATAGATCAACCACAAGAGCTGGAAACTGAACCTGACTCAGCTGAGGATGAAATTCTTGTTAAATTTACCGATTACGACTCAGTACATGACCTTGTCATGGATACTTCAGGTGAAAAGCATATTCGCTCTCTCAGCATTAACGCTTGGGTAAGAGTTGATGAAAATAGATATATTTTAAACGCACCTGGGGGAACCTTAGAGCTTGACGATAAGGATGGTGCAGGTCTTTTCTCGGTTTACCAGACAATGGCATTGCCATCAAGCGTCAAGTCGAAAAGCCCATTTGGCCCGCCGAAGGAAGTGGCATCATCCCTAAACCTTACAGACGCCGTCCATGCCGCTGATACTCTCGCTGGCCGAATATTTGGTTCAACAGCTGTGAGCCTGTTCCAGGGCTGGCGAAATGCCCGAGCCACTGATCGGCAGATTCGGTTTCTACGTTCTGCCCTTGGGTTGAACAAGCAGCGCTCAAAACATATCACAAGGGGTCAAGCTGCGTATATGATTACAAAGCTTAGACATGGCGCCAAAGGGCGGTTTAAGGAGATCTTGAAAACCCGGGTGAACAACAAGAAACTCGAGAAGCTTAAGGAGCTGAAGAAGCGTGAGGAAGTTAGGGTTGGGCCGCTCAACGAATCGTAGGACGTAGTTCCCGGCCAATTCTATTATCATTTAATTACATGGCTTAAAAGTATATACATAGAAATTTTTATAGCCAGTACGGAGTACATGCAAGCGTGTGTCGACGTGCTTGATACATAACTACATACGGAGTACTGTATGTGGAACGATGCGCGTTTTCACCCATTGAGTGGTCCGTGCGGCATCGTCAACTTTTTTGCTGAGACAGAATTGGCTTCCAAGGAGTCCAAACTCTGCTCCCCCTCAGCTGGCTCTTCTACGCTTTAATCAACTGTTGTCACTCTTGACCTGCATTTCTTTTTCGTTCTGCCGATTCCTGCCATTTCTGAGCCAAACAGGGGTGAGCAAATGCCCCAATGCAAGGACGCCTCGAGGGAGCTTCAGATGGTCTTAACCGCTCGAAAGATACGTCTCTGACCATTGATTCTGATGCCGACAATGGGAACGGTACTTGCAAGCTTTATGGCTATGCCTTGTCACCCAGCGTAGCCCGCGAGGAAGCGTCGAACGGCGACGCCAACCTCAGCTGTCGTCTGTCAACGGAACAGCGCTTCGAAGCTCCCAAACATCTTGCACTCCCCCAGACCGAGTTGGCTGCAGTGCCGGGTCTGCATCATTCGATGCCTCTCGGCTCGCGAAAGCAACGGTTGGCGATGGACAATGCCTTGGAGTCCCAGAAGCTGCGCCGAACTCGAACTCGAAACCCTTGGGCTTGTTCCGGGCTAACCTTTGTCGTGACCGTATCCGCTATTCTCGTTCTTTTCATGATCGTATACTCCTATCGAACACTCCAAGTCGATCCACAAGGATGTAGAACTCCGAGCATGCGACCAACGTACATTAAGCTCGTTGGTTTTGACTCCGAACATACACGATTTGGAAGTAAGTATGGGTTATACCTCTATAGAGAGCAAATGGTGGATGAATACGACGAGGAGGATATTGGGGTATGATTTGTGCTTCCCTATGTACTCATTCAAGTTTTTCTGACTTAAGTCCGCAGCTGAAAGGCGTACCGATATTGTTTCTCCCGGGTAATGCGGGCAGTTATAAGCAGGGCCGCTCTCTCGCCTCTGAAGCCTCCATATACTTCCATGACGTTCTGCAGTATGACCAGGAGCGAGTTAAAACAGGAGTTCGCAGTCTGGATTTTTTCATGGCGGATTTCAACGAAGATATGGCGGCGTTCCACGGGCAAACACTCCTTGATCAAGCAGAGTACATAAACGATGCACTGGCATACATCCTCTCTTTATACCATGACCCGCGCCGGCCAGGTAGAGATGCCACGCTCCCAGACCCCACGTCAGTTATTCTTGTCGGCCATTCAATGGGCGGTATTGTCGCTCGAACCGTTCTTACCATGTCGAATTATCAAACAAATTCTGTCAACACCATCATTACAATGTCAACGCCCCACGCGAGACCACCGGTTTCATTTGACTCGGATCTGGTTCATACGTATACGCAAATTAATAACTACTGGCGCAAGGCATATTCGCAAAAATGGGCAAATAATAACCCATTATGGCATGTCACCTTAATCTCAATTGCTGGAGGGGGTGGAGATACTATCGTCCCCTCAGACTACACCAGTCTTTCTTCTCTAGTCCCAGAAACGCATGGTTTCACTGTTTTTACAACTACAATTCCTAATGTCTGGACAGGGATGGATCATTTATCCATTGCTTGGTGCGATTCATTCAGAAAAGTCATTGTTCAGTCCCTCTTCGACGTCATAGATGTGCGTCGCTCCTCGCAAACTAAACAGAGAGCCGACCGGATGAGTGTGTTTAAAAAAAGGTATTTGACAGGGCTGGAATCTTACGCTGAAAAGACTCTTCCAATAAAAGGTAAGAATTTACAATTTGGAGACGGTCATGTGTATGTACTAACATATGTAGAACATACTACACTGTTGACTCTTGGCGAGAATACAAGTTTTGTACAGAGGCAAGGTGACCGGCTTATTCTTCGGGGGTTTGGGCAGCGAAAGGAACCCGAATCTTATCTTATACCTATACCACCGCGAGGAGGAGTCCCAGGAAAGAAATTTACCCTTTTAACTGACCAGAAGCTCGATAGCTCCGAGAGCAACTGGAAACTGGATGTATTGTTTTGCAGCGATTTCCCCCTTCGGGCCGGGCAATCATCGACACTTTTGTCACTAAACCTTGATCTTTCTGGACACAACACTGGGTCTATTCGACTAGTTTGCAAAAGTGCTGGAGAGGATGTCATCCCGTTACCTGCTTCCACGGCCTTTTCGAAGTTTGCTTTTGATGAAACACCTTGCTTTTCATTTTTACAGTATGATCTCGAAGACCTAATGGATTATCGCTTTGTGGCAGTTATTGATAGAGCTGAAACAAACTATCCTGGCTGGTTACGTGCGGAATTCTCTGATAGCTCTGATTCGGTGATCCCAACCAGAGTTGGATTAGGCAGGTTACTGAGCACCGGCCTTCACATACGGCTTCCTGCAGAGAGGCCGCTGGTAACTGACATAAAAGTTCCTGCTCTTCATTCTAGCCTACTTGCATACAAACTGTATGCCAAGAGCAAAAGTTGTGACCAGAGCTTATTCGAACCGATGATACGCCAATACATCTCAGATCCTCATGAATCTAAGTATTTTGTCAATATTAGGGAAGCTGAAATTAATATCCATGGGATTGCGCCATTCATGCCTCCCCATCTTCGTGATACGGCTGCTGCACAGGGAATATCTTTTCAGCTCTGGTCGGATATGTCTTGCAATGCTCCTCTTCAATTGTCGCTCAAGGTCGATATTCCGGGTAGTATGGGGAAGCTCACAATGCGCTATCGCACGGTTTTCGCAGCTTTCCCACTTCTAATTGTTGCACTTGTTCTACAACAGCAATTCAAAATATATGATCAAACTGGTGAGCTTGCAGTATAACCATTTCTACTCTTAGGCTAATTTGATTTAGGGGTATTTATAAGCTTCCTGCAAGGATTAGATTTGTGCATCCGATCTTCGATACCTTTGCTTTTTCTTGGTCTCACATTCTTGGCCTCTTCCCTGGCAACTTCGAAGGCAGTGATGTCCAAGGGTACCACATCTAGCGTGGGAACGAACTCGACAGAATCTGTCATAGACTTCTCGAAAAATGATCTTCTTCTAGGATCCCAAGATGCCTTCTTCTGGTTTCTGGTTCCACTCTTTGGTGTTATTAGCATTGGAACTTGCGTAATTGTTAATTATCTTACGATGGTTGTTATTCATACATTTGGGGCGATCCGCTCCATTTTAATATCCCGGAAAGGCTATATTAAACACGATGAACGCAGGTGAGTTGAAAATAATGGGATATGCCGTACTTTTTGCTAACTCGAACTATAGTAATGTGTCCCTATTCTGGTCTTTTTCGACGAAGAATCGAATCATCAACACAGCTGTCCTCCTTCTATTCGTTGCCACTGTAATCCCATATCAGTTTGCATATGTGGTTTCGTGTATTGTCCAACTTGCAACCTGCGTTCAGGCTTTGTGGCACTCTCGAGAAACGGTATGATCGTTGGCCTTTTTTAAAAAAGCTACTAATCTCCAACATAGAGATCAACATCTTACTCTAACTTCTACAACTATTCCCACTCCATCCTTATTCTCATGCTTTGGATCCTCCCCGTGAATGTCCTTGTACTCATTGTCTGGGTTCACAACCTTACGATTCATTGGCTTATGCCGTTTTCGTCGAACCACAATGTGCTTTCAATCTTACCATTTATACTTCTCGTTGAAACTCTAACATGCGGAACAATGATACCGAGAATTACAACTTGGTTAGTCTAGCTTCTCCTCAACTCGACTTTCTTTCTTATTGACTGCATTTCTCATAGCCTACGTCACGTCACTTCGGCCTTACTTTTCTTCCTTGCCGTCTACTCCGCCATATATGGCGTTACATATGCGTATTTACTTCATCATATCACGAACTTGGTAATCGCATGGCTTGTGGCAATCCATTTTTTTGCGGGTGATTTCTCACTGAAAAATCTTTCTCGAGTTCTTCAAGGCCCCGATAGCTTCCTAAAACCGGATGGGCATACCAAAAAGCTGCCTTAGGATACCACGGGAGCTTTTTTTCAAACCCCGATTTTACATGTGCCGTCGAGGATATTCATAATAATATAGAGATTTACCTTTGCATTGCCGGGCTGCAACTATTTCTTCTTCCTGTACTATATTTCTGATCTGGGAATACCTGAGCTGTGGGATGCCCTGCTTCCTTTTGTGGGTTGGTCAATGCACTCAGAATCGCAATCATGAACTTTCAACTGTACTATATCCTGCCTACTTGCCCCCCCAAAAGATTGGGCACTGGCCCTCTTTTGTTGGTGTATTCTTGCTGACTGTTGTTTCTTCTTTTCTCCTTTAGCAGGTGCACGGCGTTCTGAGTAATCCTGTGATGTGAAGCTGGAAGGCCTACATTTAACACTTTATCTGTCCGAAGTCTCTCTTACATGTAATACCTCTCCATCTAGATGTGACTTGTTAAGTTGTAAATCAAGTCGAAATGTGCATACCTGCAGCCATAATCCGTGCCATAAAATCCACACTAGATATCGGGTTGTGTAATCAGCTGTGTAATTACTAAGCTCTCTAATTACTAAGCTACCAGCCTGCCTGCGCGTGTACTGTTTTGGCATAGTGATTCTACAGCCTGCCAATCACCGTACGGGGGCCCCATATAACACGAACTCTAACTCATGCCGCCAAGCTGGCTGATAACCGAGTTATACTGAATGGGTTTGTTAGGGGAGCCGCCGTGATAACCGGGTTATCAGGGCTTGGCAAGTTATAACTTCGTAACGCGGGTCGGTGATAAACCGAGTTTTACTGAATGGGTTTGTTAGGGAGACGCCGTGATAACCGGGTTATCAGGGCTTGGCAAGTTATAACTTCGTAAACGCGGCCTGGTGTACTCCGTACAGAGTATGCTGATATTGTGTAGTAAACTAACAGATCCTCAAAACGTCCAAGAGGATGTTGAATATATCTAGGATTCCCATATGCAGCTTCGAAAGACATGCAGTTGCATAGCCCACATACAAAATGGTCCCCACCGCTTATCACCACCACTAGAGTCTCTAGAAAACATCATCGACTTTTCCTCCTTCATACCCTTGACAGCAGACCAGCGCTCCCAGGCCCATGACAGGTTCTATGCTGTCATCAATCATTTCAGTGCCCCTAATACAAAGGAAGGATACAGCCGCCCACTACTTGTCTGGTATATGCTTGAGTATGCGCGCTCTGAACTGTCACAGGATATTATTCTGCGTGTCTTCTTTGAATTTCTGAATCTGGGTCTTACCAGTGATGATGATGATATTGATTTTGATGATCAACTGGGTATCGGTTTGACCACCTTTGCAGACTTTCTAATTGATAACTTTTTTCTACTCAGGTTGATCTCCTATCTTCCCGTCTTCATTATTTCATGTCTGTTAGCTCCATGCATCAGTAAGGCTTCTGGTCACTCCACCGCCCAACCCTCGCCCGCTCACCTGTCGATTATTCAGCAAGATGAATTTACTGCCACCCCTGACCGACTGTCAGCCCTAGGGGTATTTGTCTTGTCCGTGACCGGAATCGTTGCGTGATTTCGCGCATATTCGACCAGTGCGAAGCATTAAGTCGTCTGAAGCGACTTGGAAATAATGCTCGGGACGATGATGGGAAACTTCTGTTTGGAGAGGTCTTTACTCATCTAGTTAGAGGTGGCACACATAGTTCCACATGCCCTGACTCAGGCAAATGCAGATTCTCAGTTGGTAAGCCGCCTTGCCACCAGGACCAAAAGAAGTAGAATAACAATAATATTTTCGTGGGTAGGATGATTCCAAAAAAGTCGCCTTGATGATACTTAATATGTTCGATTTTAATGTTTCACATGATTGATAATGTTGATATCGATCGCCCATTCATTTGCAACACCTCAGGACAATTCAGCCTATTTTAATACAGTTATGCATTGTTAACAACAGTGTTTGGCATCAGTAATCAGGTACAGTCAGAGCACCTGTGGACCGCCCACCTGGTCCTGGGGGGCTGGAGACCTGTGAATGGCTACGTGGGTACAAAGTACATATATTCACTTTCGTGTCTGAATTGAAATGGTGCTGAAAAGCATATCAATCAGGATTTTCTTTCTTACAGGAGAATATCTTCTGCTAACCTAGCATAGTTATTTGAACGCCAGCTCGTTCTTCATCATATCCCACATTGCTCAGTATTTACTTATTGCGCAACAACGACACATGAAGGTGCCTTTTTTCTGGCTATATGATTCGAATTTATGCTTCCCTTTTTCCCAATCCCACCTTGTCTCATTTTATCAAACCCTCAAGCTACTCTTAACTCGCCTTGGTGCTGTTCATACCCTTTCATTTCAAATCCTATGCTGCCATGCTCGGAAATTCGCATATACATCTATGTTCCATGGAACTGGTAGTATCTAGAACACATTTGGGAAACCTCAATGATGAAGCTATAATAAAAGCAGGACTAGGGACATTTTTTGCCCTTGTACTGGAACTGATTTCCACTACCAATTTCCCCATGGCACTTATCTTGAGCGGCCTGAAAGGCTTAGTTATACGCTGCATACTATCTTCTTGTACTTCAATGGGATAGAAAGCGTAAGCAGTTTATAGCCTGCCTTTCTGGTAGCTGACTGGATGGCTGCCATGAAAATGGGGCATGTATTACGTGGAATGAGGATCAAAGAGAGCTCTGAGAGGGCTCCCTGAAGACTAGCCCCCTTTACAGAATCTATCAGTATTATATATTGGTTTAATACATCAGTGGATCTCAATATTACATTATAATGACAGTGGGCGTAAAAGGCTAAGTAACGATGCAATGATGTTTTCAATCATGTCTTGCGTGAGTTGCCTTTGAAGCTCGGTTGGATTTTATCCTCGCCTTTCTCCTAGCGAGAGCGTTTTCAACAGTTTGTTTTGGTAAATTCGGGATACTATCAATTCCAGCGGGGTAGACTGCATTTTCAACATGCCGACGACGCTCGGTGGGCATATCAGGAGCTTCTTGATCCTCTACACTGCTGCCATTATGCTCCAGATTTTTAGATGCGTTGACCTGAAGCTCACGATCGTTCGAAATAGACCTACCGTCAAAAACCCTTTTGAATTCAACCCTCATTGGTGCTCTTCCTAGACCCGGCCAAATATCCGAAGGAAGATAGTCGCCTTGCTCAAGACGAAATGCCTCGCGAGCTTGTACATCATCTTCATATAGCTTGTCCAATTTTGCTTCTGCTTCCTGGATGACTCGTTCTACCGCGGATCGGGCTGTCTTTCGTCGTGCGACTTCTAGGATGAGGTCGTCATAAGCATTCAGAAAGCCGACATACATGAGCTGTAAGTCAGATAGATCACTCATGCCGGATCGCATATTTTCGTGTTGTTCTCTCAGTATCTTTAGAAAGATATGGGATTGGGCGATATACTTGGGTAATTTATTTTTGGAAAAGCGGTCTAGACGCCGAACATTTTCTACCATTGCAGTACACGACTCAGATAGAATATGCCGTTGGGCAAAAATTCGGTCAAGCGTGATTTCCATCTCCGAGACACGGTCTTGGATCTCAAGAACAACATCTTCGGCTTCTGCAGCATCCTTTATTATGACACTCAGCATTTCCTGATAGTCTGATTCTGTCAGGGGCTCAGGCTGAGCATTATGGTTATCCACCTCACCGCCATCATCGCCAGGCGTACCCCCAATAGCCAGCCCGCTGGGGAGGTCGCCCGTGACGCGAAGTGCTGCAGCCCCGCCGCCTTCAGTGTGTTTTACGGCTGTGACGCAGAGGTCGAAGTGGTGAACCAAAGATTCCAACAGATGTGCCATTTCCTGTGCATGTGACTCAAGAGAATGCAATAATTCCAAAATCATATTGGGAGAAGATTGGTTGATAGGTACCTGCGTAGGCGAGCCTCTGGATGAAGAAATATTCTTGGTGGCCTCCTGAGAGTTGCTGGTTTTTCGTTGAATTGCATCTAAGTCGTCATCGAAGGCGGTGTTGGACCGACCCAAGTCTGCTTGGGCGGAGCTGGTCTTGTCGATAGCATTTCGCAACAGTGATTGCAGCTCATGTACTGCGTTCTCATCAACAAAATCATGTAAAGTCTTGGAGCCGTCTTCAGCCGGCACAAAAGCAAGTTCTACCTTGGTTTCATGCAGTGAATTTACGGCATGTCGCAGCCTCTCGCCTACACCGTCGAGCTCCTTGAGTGTGGAAGAAAACTCGTCTCTTCCGTAATGGGCAACCTGTTCTAATTCGTCTTTGATCTGATATAGTGTGCGAAGCTGAACTTCATTCTCCCGGTGTAGAAAGCCTGCTCGGGCAAAGAGTATCACACTCTCTTGCAGAGCCGAACGAGCAGAAGTGACAATTTCGTTGGCCCTCCAAACATGATTGATCGACGAAAGAGACCGCTTTGCAGCCACGAGATGGGCGACCAAGGTTTCTAGGTTGGGCTGCTGGCCCGTTGGCTCCTTTTCCAATTCCAGGTGGCTGTCATCGCTGACAGAAGAGGGGGTCGAGTCTGAGCGCGACATGATTTGGAAATTGTATGTCGTCGAGTTGAGACGGTCTGCAAGGCCGCAGAGAAGGTCCGTGCGCAGTCACAGGGGGCAATGGGCTGTGGTCGTAGCAGCGTGAACAGCTCGGAAAATCGGTAACCCGATGGTAGTGCAAAGATCTGCGATTCCGCTATGGAACTAGCCATTCTGGGAGTGGATGGGTAAATACTTGACCGGCCCGTGGATGAGGCGACATGTAGCTAAGTACAACCGGGTATCAAGACTCCTACAACAACAAATCCTTCATGTGCTCGCCGGCTATGGAGTAACTAGTTTGTTAACTAGCTAGTTACGTAACTAACCACTACTTAGTTAACTAAAGGAGCTCAATGCTCCTCCGTACTCGGCTGGTTATTCAAATTTTTGGGACTGAAACTACGCCACAATGGCGGCGATTGGAGCCCTAGTGAAGAGGCGCTCCGGGCGGAATACCTTCCAATGACCGCCTCTGGTTCTTCCCATGGGCGTCCCTGATTAGTGAAAATACCCAAATGCTCCTTATTCCAGACAGCTGACTTCGTAGCTGTTTTGCGGGTCTGATGCCCAAAGAGCGTGCCGAATCTGTCAAATATCCCTCATGGCAAATTGAAGAAGGATCAAGTGAAACTTCCTAGAGGATGGTAGGTGAAAGATTCAGAGGGCCCCAAAATATAGAGATGATTGTTAAGGAACATCTATAAAAGAGAAGTCTTCCTCAGTCCTCAAGCCCTGTTTTGTGCAAATTGTGAGCCATCAGCTAGGCCAGCCAGTATTTGACCACGTTCATTGAAGGATATTATTTCTCGTTTATTTCAAGCATTAGCTTAGAGTGCCCCCGGATCAAGATGATTCCAATCTTTGCCTTTCTTACCGTTCTCCTCGCGGCAGGCATTTCCGCTCTCCCACAAGCTGTACAAGATCCTCCGACGAGTCCCAAACCTGTCGATACCCCCCAGGTTAAGTTCGCCAAAGTACTTATGAACGAACTTAAGTCACGCTTCACGGTTGATACTGCAAAGCCCCCTCAGGGGGAAACCGACCCGAACTTCCAAGATGCGTGTCCTGCATTCTGGCTGTTCTGCCCCAAGGTTGGGTTTTATTATAGACACATCTTGAGGAAATTCGAGAGCGCCGATATTGATTATATAGTTCATGATGATACAAAACATTTTAACGCCGGAGCGAACGGAACGGATCCAGTTGAGGTCACTAGTGAGAAATCGGTCGCGGTATGGCATGCTCGTAGCCAAGGTTGGAAGGTTGGCGTCACTGCGACAGCTACATCTGACAAGGGTGCAATGAGCCTCAACATCGAATACTCGGATACAGTCACAATAACAGATATAAACACTAGCGTTATCAGAACCACCATGAAGTGCCCGGTCAACACCCTTTGCAAGATCGAAACCTGGAGCCTGTATGCGAAAGTCAGAGGGAAATGCGAGAGAATTCCTATGGTCAGATGCTCCGGAAATCGGAATATGTGCAGTGACAGTGACAATCTCGTCAATCGGGGTTGGACAGGCTGCCAGCAGTTCCTCAGCCCATATATGCAGTGTGACGACAAACGGTGGGTGGACTGTAGCTTTAACGTCCCAATCCAGGATAATGCTGGGAAGCCATATTCGGTCATCGTCCCAACCCAGTACAAACCCATATGAGTATGATTGGGGGTCAACTATCAGGTTGATGGGGGATGGAGAGAAAGAATGCTTTCTACCTTCGACAAGTGACGTGTAATCTATATGTATGTATGTATGTACCTTAGGGAGTTTTTACACCGCGCCCACCTTGCCGGGTCAGTGGTATTATTTATAAAATAGATCGCTATGTTATTTCCAAGTATCGTTCCTACTGACACTATAGCTCATATGCAAAGGCACTGGCCATATGATTAAGATTTGCTTGGGATCAAAATTTCCCTGCTTAGCAATTTACGGATAAAATTTTGAATCAGCGGGTCCTTGAACGCACGGAGTATAGAAAACTTTCCAGGATTCTTCTTATGCCCGTCTCGGTGGACAGTCACGGGAACTGGGATTTTGTTTTAGCGAACGCCGATGCCGACTTCCCCGCGGCTCAATGCAGCTTAGCGCCGGCCCAAATGACAGCAGGACCCACCTGGATGGCGTCAGTGCAGAGAGCCACCGCTAGTCCTCATTGGGCCTGGCACGCCCGCTCGGCGTCACATCTCGCGCCGTGCAAAGTCAAGAGCCGAGCGCACGCCGACGGTAGACTCAACGGGTGTGACCATATGGCTTCAAAATGGTCTCATTGCTCCTGTAGCGCCAGGGGATAAGGTGTGCCTCGTGAGTGTATTCTTCATCTTATTGCCTAGACGATTATCTGGAGCGGGCTCTTCCCTAACTATTTGAAGTTTTTATTCGTTGTCCCCTGAGGTCCTCGAATAATCTTTAAATCCAGGCCGGCTCGCACCTTCGCCTTGCTCCCTCTCGTTGATATCCTCCGCCTAGCTCCCGTGTTGATGTTCCCTTTGCGCATGCACCATTTTCCTTCAACACAACCTTCTTCCAAAATGACATTGAAGTCAACAGATTCATCAACACCGGTCATGACTGGTGACTTCCAGGCCCCCTCTCGAAAACGGAGACGTTTGTCACCAGAATCCTGGACTGACGATGAACCAAGCTCTTCTGTTTTTGGGCCGTCACTGCCTAGCCTCCCAAAGCGAGAATGCGACGACGAGACCGACCCCAGCGTGAAAGAACACCAACTACAGCTTGCAGAAAAGAATGTCGCGCCTTTCCTAACCAAGCATATTCGTGATCAACACGCTGCCATGAACCGATTTGAACCTCTCGAGACCCCAAATAGCTCTAAGAATCCGAATTCAAAGTACTGCTACCGCCATCGGCCCGATTTAAAATGCCGACGTCAGGCTGATGAGATCACGATGGACCATATGCAACAGGTACGGGCCGAAGGATGACTTGAACTCTCTTGAACTCCTTATTGACGCGTTATTCAACGCTTTAGGAACTACACACCTTATCACAAGGCGACCAACAAAGTATCGCGCTTTTCTGGTCCTTGTTTTCCGCCGCCCCGTCAAAACACCGTAACCTGATGCTTCAGGGCATTCTTGCCCAATGCTGTTTCCCCCAGCTCTCCTTTATCTCTGCTACCATCCGAGATCTTATTCGAATCGACTTCTTAAGCGCTCTACCACCTGAGATATCGTTCAAAATCTTGTGCTATCTCGATACAGCTTCGCTCTGCAAAGCAGCCCAGGTCTCACGTCGTTGGCGAGACTTGGCAGATGATGATGTTGTTTGGCATAGAATGTGCGAGCAACACATTGACAGGAAATGTAAAAAGTGTGGATGGGGCCTTCCTGTGTTGGATCGAAAACGCCTGAGAGATACAAAACGGCGGATTCAGCTGCGCGCTGCTGGCAGAGCGATAACCCCCAAATCAGCAACTCCAGAAGCCATCATTCCTGATGATGATTACTTCAAACCCCACTATCGCCCTTGGAAAGATGTTTATCGGGATCGATTTAAGGTTGGCATCAATTGGAAACATGGGAGATGCACTACGAAGATTTTTAAAGGGCATACCAACGGCGTAATGTGTCTTCAATTTGAAGACAATATTCTCGCGACTGGATCCTACGATACGACCATCAAAATTTGGGATACGGATACTGGGGAAGAATTGCGCACCCTTCGCGGGCATCAATCCGGCATTCGATGCTTGCAGTTCGATGATACAAAACTCATTAGTGGAAGCCTTGACCGGACAATTAAGGTCTGGAATTGGCGCACAGGAGAATGTATATCCACCTATACAGGTCACAATGGCGGCGTCATCTGCCTCCATTTTGACGCAACCACTCTTGCTTCAGGATCGATGGACCATACCGTCAAAATCTGGAACTTCCAGGACAAGTCCACACGAGTTCTACGGGGCCATGAAGACTGGGTCAACTCCGTGAAAATTGATTCTGCCTCTCGCACGGTAATTACCGCCTCGGACGATTCGACAATTCGACTTTGGGACCTTGACACGGGAAACTGCGTCCATACCTATACAGGGCATGTAGGCCAAGTCCAACACGTTGTATTCTTACCGCGAGAATTCGAATTCGAAGACCACGGCGGTGAAGATGCCCAGAGCATAACTTCCACTACAACCAACGCCGAAGCGGAATATGTCCATACCCACGACCATGTCACTACAGACGAAGCGTCGCTTTCCACATCTTTTCCCGTGCCCATGTCACCAGCTTTCGACACGCTCTTCAGGAATGGCCGGCCAACTCCTCCTAGATACATGGTCACCGCCTCGCTTGACTTAACTCTCCGGCTTTGGGAAGTGCCTACGGGGCGATGTCTGCGAACATTCTTCGGTCACATCGAAGGCGTTTGGGCGCTTGGTGCGGACACACTCCGAATCGTGTCTGGCGCGCATGACCACATGACAAAGGTGTGGTGTCCCAGAACCGGCCACTGCGAGAGAACATTCACAGGGCATACGGGGCCGGTGACATGCGTCGGTCTGAGCGAAAGCAGATTCGCAACGGGTAGCGAGGATTCGGAAGTGCGAATGTATAGCTTTAGGCCTTGAACCATGCGTGCTTCGTCATGTCGAGGTTACTTCATGTAGTACGCTGCTACCACCGATAGTGTCTAACAATAAGGCTTGTGGTGTTATTTATGCGCTGTTTACAGGTGATTCCAGCGTATCTAGTTGATCTCCATCTTTCACTAGATTTGAAAACCTCTTCTTGCTAGTTATGATACCCAATAATGACATACTTCGTATAATGGTATGGGTAGCTCTCTTACCTAAGCTTCCGCACGTCAAACCTTACCCACCACATTTTCACTACACAGCTAGTGATAGATATCACAATCTGCAACTACTTCACGAATACAACAGGAGATCAGAAGCTACCTACTTCACGGTCGAAGGCTGTCCTTGGATTCAGGTTCCTGAACCCACTGCAGTCCTGATTCTGCTTCACTTGCAGCTATGAATCTGACAGCCTCTGCATCTTTCAACATGCCAGTTCTTGGTGAAGCAGTGCAATGTCAGGGAACACACAAGGTATATACCTGATATCAATGAAGGTACGCCTTCATGGTACGAGGAGTATGAATTTCCTCACGAGTACTCCGCACGGTAACCAATTGGTTTAGCTGGCTACCTGGAAGCATGATTTCTATTTGAAGCAGCCCTCGTAGCCGTTGCACAGCCAACATGTCGCTGTTAACGTGTTGTTCTATTGAAATACCATTGCATTGAAGCCATTCCAGCACCTCTCCCTTGTTTGAAGTGTCCTCGGGGGACTAAACTCGCCTTTTCTCATCATCTACCGATATCGAATTCCTTCCACCCCTATCTGATGCACAGCGGCAGACCTCCATCGCGGAAAAGAGCCCATTCTGCCCATGCATCCCTCGCCAGCCGCAGTCGCAGCAGCAGCAGCAGCAGCCCGCCCTCCTATACCCCTCACAGCGGCGGCGGTGGCGGCGGCCCTTTAAGTCGCATGCTGCCGTCGCGAGGCGACCCCTTCCCACAAGGAACCACCACCGCCGCCGCCGCCGCCGCCGGGGGCCCTCCAGGCTCCTTCTCCAGCCGCGGTATACCCAGCCACGTGCTGCACCCCAGCAGCCCCCGACGCCGTGTACCCTCGCCGCACGTCCACGGCCCGCTGGGCGCGGCGCCGCGCGCACGGACGCGACCGGGATCGATGCGCCAGCCGCTGCCTGCGGGCGAGCTGCCGGGGCTTGCTGGCGCGGCGGTGGGTTCTCGGTGCGTGCGCAGCGAGTCGATGCCGGGCCGGATGGGGTCGCAGCGCAGTGACAAGGGCCGCCGTGGTCCGGCGGGGAGTAGGAGAGGAACAGGGCGTCCGGTTCCGACGGGTAATCCGTTTGGTGATATTGGTGTTGGGCAGGGTGCTACGCGTGGCCCGGTTGGAGCGTATTCGCGGCTACCGGGGCCGGGGTATTATCATGGGGGTGTTGGTGGGGTGGGTGGTTATCATGGCGGCGGCGGCGTTGGGATTAGAGAGTCTATGGACGAGTCACTGCGGTGTTTGAGGTTGTTCTCGGTCTGTTTGCTTATAGCATTGGTGATTGTAGCTATTATCATTGGGATCCTCAAGGGGACGGGGAAGATATAAGTATAGAAGATACACAATGAGATATATGAGATGCAATACTATGAATTTGATTTTGGTGTCTGGTGGCAATATCATCAAACATGGGCGGATGCTAACGTATTCACAGAATAGAAAGGGTGTGGGGGTAGGTATGTACATACATATGTACAAAAGTACGTGGGGTGAAAAGGGGGGATACAGGACAGAAGTAGAAAGGTAACACCGAAGCCATCTCCAATAACATCAAGTCTATATAGATAGGGCTGCATCCAGCCGGCAAGCAAGAAACATGGTCATGAGGCAAGTCGCTACTTTAATATTTCGGCGTGGGGCCGCTCCTTTTCCTTGCGGCGTCCATGCGCACCCGGCCCCTGAAATGCTCACGAAATTGCATGCGCTGCAGCGTGCCCAGTCCCACGGTCAGAATGAGCAGGCCCGCCCATATGCAGGTCACGATGGCGCCGATGGGGAAGATGCCTAACGAGACGCCCGGGATGACGAACTTGGTGGCGGCGGCCATGATGGCGGGCAGCTGGGCGGCGGCGTCGGGAAACGTGATGTTGTTGGGAGATTGGTCTTCGTTCATTAAAAATCCAGTAACGTATGAAAGAGTATCGGATGATAGCGCAGTAGAAACGGAATCGTTGGAAGCAGATCGAGTGGTGATGGTGATGTTGGGAAGCAGAATGATGCGCAGGTCTTGCCTAAGGGAAGGGTTAGATCTCTAGGATTCTGGGTATGTGATATAAAAACAACGTACAAGCTCAGTTTTTCGATCTGGAGAAGCTGGTCCAGGCGTCCTATGTGTCTGAAATCCTGCAGCAACATAGGACTATTGGGACCCGTGGGCACGTTCGACTGTAATCGATTGGGCGACGAAACGGTGGCGGATGGGATGATCATTTCCAGCGTATACTGAGAGGTTGGCACTCCTGCAAAGCCACCGGAGGGCGGCGACACCTGGTACAGCCGGATGTCTGCGGCAAAGGTGCCGGTCGTGGCGTTGAAGAAGGGGATGTTATAGCAGGCGGCCAGGCCGGACGGGTTGATGACTCTGCGCACACGGCCCAGGGCGGTCACGCAGGACGACGTGGCGGTCTCGTTGAACTGCTGCTCGTTGACGGGCGGGGTCGACTGCGGCGGGGAGGCCTGCTGCGGCTGCGGGGCCCTGCGCACCCAGCGGGCGTCGTGGGCCAGCTGGCTGAGGGCATCGCGGCGCAGATTGAGGTGAGGCAGGGAGGGCGCGAGAAGGAAGGGCAGGGTGAGGTCGGAGGTCGCGACGACGGGGCGGGCGAGGCCGCATAACTGAGCCAGGCACACGAGAGTCGCGATGACCCGCATCATGGACAGCCACCGGGCGGCGGGCGGCAGGCCCGGGGACGAACAGGTGGTGGCAGACGTCCTCGCTTGGTTATCCGGCGCCGCAGCTGGTGATTCTGACCATGAATGCTGAGGGTGTCCACCGTCCAGCGGCAAGGGTTCGGTCGATCGATGGCGGGCTTAGAGCGCGGCCGGCGCAGAAGGCATGCTCTTGAGGACGTGACGGCGAGAGCAGCGAGCGGTCGACGACGACGAGAGTGGTGCAGAGAAGACAGGCCAGGCCAGGCGACGGCGAGATGTAGATAACCAGCGAGCAGGCGCAGAGAACGAGAGCAAGAAAGGGGCGGGCAGGTCTCGCTCGCTAACTATACGGGCTGCAGGCACAGGCGCAGGCGCAGGCGCAGGCCACGGCCGGGAGCCGGCGGCCGGGCGGGCAAGACACGCAGCGCCTCACCATCGCCGCCGCCGCGCCTCCGCGCCGGGCCTGCGACAGGGGCTGGCACGCCGCCGGTTTGACGATCGCCGCCCCAAGCGCGGTCTGGCCGGCCAGTCAGTGACTAACTACATGACAGGTCTGGCGCCGTGGTTCCAAACACCGCGCTGCCCATAGATACACCCGTCCGGGCTGTGCGAGCGACGCAGCGCCCGCCGCCTGCGAAACCGACTGATTAACTAGCGGCCTGGCCTCGCTTCACGGCGTCACCATCGCACTAGCCCCAGCCCGCCCGCCTGTTCCAGCGCGCGCTGCATGTTTCCCAAGCTCACGTCAGTCAGTCACACACGCCGGCCAGTCTGGAGCTGTGCTGTACTATGCTGTGCTACGCTGCGCTGTGCTGTGCGACTCTTGCACCAGGCTCGCTGTCGCTGTCCTGCCGCGCGACCGTGATGGTCGCATGCGCTGTGCCGCCCGGCCCAGTTTGATATCGCGACCCAGGCCCACGCCCACGCCCAACGCCCGCGGCCGTTTGATGCCCTCGACAGCACACCTGGAACACCGAGATTCCGCCGGTTGCAAGCTGCAGGATCGCTTGTTTTCAATCCCTTAAAACGGTTTGAGCTGTCCTCCTGGAACACCGAGATTCGTCCGGTTGCAGGTCGACCCCGCGACTGCATTGCTGCTGCTCTCATCAACATATCACCCGCTCATGCTTGGTGCTTGGTGCATGGTGTGCGCACTGGCTAGCTAGCTAGTTAACGAACTAACTACTGACTTGTCCGTCGCAGAGATGCGCCCGCCCGGCCATTATTCTCGCCAATCGACACCCGAGTCCGCCAGCGTCCCGTGCGGCATCGAGATCGCCCTCCACGGACCGACGACTGGCTCCTTGACTAGCTGCGCTGCTCTCCAGGCCCCCGAAAAGCATACTTACCCGCCGGTGGAGCGCGCGGCTACAGCGTGCCTGCCCAGACGGCCGGGCGTGCAGTGATGTGCACTCGGAGGAATCTGCCATGAATCCCCCGGCTCCTACCGGCCCCTGCATATCGCATCTGTGATATATCCTTTACACCGCGAAGCATTGCTCGTGCATCAGATGGCCCTGGCAGCGCCGTTGCGAGTCGCAAGTCCCTGGGAAACACCACCGCCAATTTCCAGAGCACGCCCGACAGCCCTGGTGGCCGCTTCACCCCCACCCCGTGAGCGCGAAACAATGGCCCTTCCCCCCTCTTGCTGCTCATTTTGCCCGTCTGGTCCTGGAAATTGGCCTAGTCCCCAATGCCACCTGCGCATCTTCATACCGTTCGCGCAAGGCCTGGGTGGGTACTTCGTTCGGAGATATCTTGCTGCTTCTATCCGGACCGTAAGACTCGCTCGTGATGGCACCAAACAAACAATTAACTATTCTGAAGAGAACTAGAGTTGTATACGTGTCGTTCCCGAGAAATCCCCAGACAAGTAACTACCCGATGGTGCATTTCGGAGAGATTTTTCATTTCTTTCGTGTTTTAAAGGCCCTGTGCATTGACAGCACATACTTCCAATCTTCCCTCGATGCCAATACTGGACCCTTTTTGCCTAGAAAACGTGGCTAGGAAGTAACTACGGAGTAGATAACTTGGATAGGGCTGTCTCAGGACTATTCCCTATATATGGCCACCCACGCCCAGTACCAAGCGCGGCCAAACCTGGTGGGATCCAAACTTTCCTATCGACCATGCCATATTTTAGCATCCTTCCAAAAGCCTAATGCCAGGCCCGGGAACATCAAAAATCCGTCCATACGGAAGTATACTGTATCCGGCCTAGAAGTCGGGTCGACTGCTCTGGATGAGGTCATGTTGAACCTTACCATGTGCTGGTGTATATACTTAGAATCCGGATTACTCCGGATTACCATCTAAAGGACGACACGACAGGACATGCGATGCCGTGAGCAAGTGCCATGAGCGACAGAATATGGAGACCTCCCGTGAGGCTTTGATTTCTTCAGGAGAGCCGTCGGAGACCCGGCTGGTCTACGTAACCAACCTCCAGGCCGAATCCAAGCCAAGGACTCCCTCAAACTGGTTTAAACGCGTTGCTTCTGCTTCGTTCTGCTTTGGACAGTGAGTACTCGGTTGCCAAGATGTGCTTGCTGTAGCTGATCTAGCTACTCATCTATCATAGTCGTCAAGGCACCAGTGAAGTGACAGAAAAGACCTCCGAAAAACGCGAGCCAGGCAGGTTCGACCCGTCGTTGAAGTCCGTTCTTAAACGTGAGCGAGGCGGTGCTGCTGCCAAACCTCGGCGGAGAGGCTTGGGCCGCCGCTGGGCGGTTTGAACTGTCCCCATGTTATTAGTTACCTACTGCGTACTTCCCGAGCTTTGCATTACCCTGCGCTCCGAGTTTTACCTGGCTTGTCGGTGAATAGTATGTCTCAACAGAGTCAACGCTTCCTAATCCCAATGTCCAATCGGTGTTCCCTAGCGTTGGCGGGAAGACGCCATGGTGAGCTAGTTAGTTATCTAAACTGAGTCGGTATCAAGCGACCCAAACTATCAGATAGCTAGACAGAAGCAAATAATAGCCTGGCGTGCATTTTTTGGTAAAAGTCCATACTATCCATTGCCCATGGTCTACCGTCGTTAACTAACTAGTAACTAACTACCGATCTATATGCATCGTGTTTTGAAAATGTCTAAAATTTTTGTAAACAAAGACTCAACCATCGCAGAGAGCCCAGTGAGACTCCAAAATTGTTCGTAATTACTTTTCTTTTCTATTGCATCTTTTTTATTTCCTTTTCGTAGAATTAATAATCTTTTTCTTGATATGTTTCGGCATCTTCTTCGCCCGCTGTTCCCGCTTTTCCTCCTTAACCTGACGCTTGTGGTCGCGCTTCACATCTTTGTCTTCAAATCTTTTCCCACGCGGCGGCTTCTTGGCGAATAGGTCGTCGTCCTCGTCCTCCTCACCCTCTGACTCTCCTTCTGACACCGAAACGCCTCCGGATTCGTCCGAGCCCTCGTCAACGACGACGGCGCTCGCGCGTTGTTCCTCATCACCTACACGAGCTTTCCCGCGGGAAGCTAGCAGGTTGCGGTACACAAGATCTTCTCCCTCACCTGCTTTGAGCTTCTCGACGTCGCGTTCAACGTCATACACTTGTTCAAGCGTTTGAGGGATGTACTGCTGTCTGAACACTGCAGTGTCAATCTCGGTAGCCTCCGTGTCATGAGTCTCTGTTCTATGGGCGAAAAGGCTCTCCAATTCCTGGATCATTTGGTCGTTGCACCCATCTACCATCCGAGGTCCCTCTGGAGACAGGATAAATTCAAACACCGTGGGCTCAGGAAGGGTATCGACGCCCTTTCGGCCGAAGAAGTCGCTGACGTTCTTGATATCCATACGCAGGAACTCCAAACTGCGCGGATGGTCATGTTCAACACTCTGACTTACATCAATGATAAACAGTTTGTGTTTGTGGTATAGGATATTATACTCGCTCAGATCAGCATGCACTAATCGGCAGTCTTGGTACATGGTCCTCATGTACCCAATCAGCTCCATGTAAAGAGCCCGCCATCGGGCTTCTGGGTCTGCATCCTGTAATTCGACGTCCTTCAAACGAGGTGCAGGAAGACCCTTGGAATTTCCAAGAAAACCCATGGCAAGAACGTGCAACCGTAGGTACAGTGGTTCTGGACAAGGAATTCCGGCTGCATAAATGCGTTTGAGATTCCGCATTTCTTTTTCGGCCCATACCTTGACCATGGCCCGATTGTTGGACTTGTTGTATCCCTGTCGGAACCTAAACTCTCCTGTGACGTATTTATCACGGTCCTTGAATACTAGAATGCTTGTTTTATAGACCTTGATCGCACGTTGTACGGGCTCTCCGTCTTCACCGTCGGGATAGGAAACAGCGTGGTAAACATTGGCTTCTTTGCCTGTCGACAAACATCCATTAACCTCTGATATAACATTTCTGTTGATCATTTGCAATAGCAACATTCTCGTTCGCGGGTCCAACACTTGTTCAGATGTTGCCCTGTCGCTCTTGTCGGCGCCTTTGGAGGTCCGGCCTCCAAGGCCGGATTGCGTATCATCGAGCCGTAATTTTGCAGCATGTCTAGAAAGCGCCGATATCTGGTCATCGATCTTTGCATGGGTATTTATGGTAGGCTTTTGCGGGTTGCTTTTTGGGTAGGATGACTTCGGCGCATTTGCGTCTGCCGCGACCTCGTTCAAGCGGCGTTGACGGTTGTATGTTTTTGTAAAATCGGCTGGGTTTGAGGAGAGGAAGTCTTCATCATCAAGATCTTCCGCAAATATATCATCGTAATATTCATCCTCTTCCTCCTTTATGCCCTGAGAATTTTGCTGTGCAGCTTCATTTGGTGGGGCATCGGAATTTTGGTCAAGCACAACGCCGGGGGCAGGAGCTCCGGTGTCCTCCAACTTTGCTGTCTCTGCCGATGCCATTCTGAATCGAGAGCGTCGCACTAGCTTGGTACGTATCCTTTCTGAAGTAGAACGAAAAAAATGAAGAATATACCCCCCACTGCCACCTTGAGAAATTGCTGTGTGACGTAGAATCACCTGTCGGCTAAATTGTTTCACCGATCCCCACCCCGCCTAACCCTAATTTCCCAATCTGGAACGCGTCGGGGGTTGGCCTATTGAGCCCGACGCGTTATCAACCCGCCAGGGAGTTTTTGGGGATAAAGGGTGCTGCGCCGTTCATTACGGACATATTTAGCTCCCTGAGCTTAAAAACGCGTCGCTTATGACGGTTCTCTGGAGTCTTTAAGCATTCCTCCGCTGTCGCCAAAATGTTCGTTAAGCAGATCATTATCCAAGGCTTCAAGAGGTATGACATGGAGTGAACGTGCCCCCATCCTCATGGTAGCATTGCTGATGTTGGGCGCGATTATAGCTACAAAGACCAGACCGTCATTGAGCCCTTTTCACCCAAGCACAATGTCATTGTCGGCCGCAATGGATCTGGAAAGAGTAACTTTTTCGCCGCAATTCGGTTTGTTCTTAGCGATGCCTATACGCATATGGGCAGGGAGGAGCGCCAGGCATTACTACACGTACGGACTGTGGTGGTTATGCTTCATGGCCGCTGGAGAATGCTAATTCCAAATAGGAGGGATCCGGGTCCGCCGTGATGTCCGCGTACGTTGAGATTATTTTTGATAACTCCGACGATCGGTTTCCAACTGGAAAGTCGGAATTAATATTGCGCCGTACTATTGGGTTGAAGAAAGATGAGTACACTTTGGATCGCAAAAATGCCACGAAGGCAGACGTGATGAACTTGCTGGAATCGGCTGGCTTTTCTCGCTCAAACCCATACTACATTGTCCCTCAAGGTCGCGTAACGACATTGACCAATATGAAAGACACAGAACGTCTGGTTCTACTCAAGGAGGTTGCTGGGACACAAGTATATGAGGCGCGCCGTGCGGAGTCATTGAAAATTATGAACGAGACGAACAACAAGATCTCTAAAATTGATGAATTACTAGACTACATCAATGAGCGCCTCGGGGAGCTAGAAGAGGAGAAAGATGAACTCAGGAATTTTCAGGAAAAGGATAGGGAAAGAAGATGTCTTGAATATACAATTTATTCGCGCGAACAAAATGAAATTGCTGGTGCACTGGAAAACATCGAAAACCAAAGGCAGACCGGAGTCGAAGATACGGATGTGAATCGCAATAGATTCATTCAGGGGGAAAATGATATCGCCCAGGTTGATACTGAGATCGCCGAAAGGAAACAGCAAATAGAATTGCTGAAAGTGGAAAAATCTCAGTTAGAGGACGATCGTCGAGACGCTTTTCGAACTCTCGCTCAGGCGGAGCTGCAAGGGAGAACGCTTGCGGAAGGACAATCTGCCGCTCAGCAAGCCAAAGCCCGACATGAGGCAGATCTAAGTGCAGTCCAGAAAGCAATAAAGGAGCGTGAGGCGGAACTAGAAGAACTTCTCCCACAATTCAATGCTCTGAAGGCAGAGGAAGAAGTGTCTAGAGGAAAATTGACTGAAGCCGAAACCAGTCGTCAAAGGCTCTATGCTAAACAGGGCCGTATCTCGAGGTTTAAAAACAAGTCAGAGAGAGACAAATGGCTACAGAAGGAAATACAAGATACTTACACCTCCCTCTCAACAGTCAAAGCCGTACGCATGCAAACAGCAGAAGAAATAACTCAGCTGGAAGGTGAAATTGCGTTGCTCGAACCTGAAACAGAAAAGCTTCGGAAACAACTTGATGGAAGAGGGGATGCCATGCAATCTATAGAACAAGAAGTCCTCGCAGCAAAGGAGGAGCGTGATAGTCTGATGGACCAGAGAAAGTATGTTATCCAATTTCCCGTAAACATGCCAAAACGTTACTCATAGTACTTAGGGAATTATGGAGAGAGGAGGCCAAACTTGACTCAATATTATCTAATGCCTCTCAAGAAGTCAATCGTGCAGAGAGGAATTTATCGCATATGATGGATTATAATACAAGCCGTGGGATTGCCTCGGTTCGGCGGATAAAACAACAACTCGATCTTGATGGTGTGTATGGGACGTTAGCTGAACTGTTCGAAGTTAGCGACAGATACCGCACAGCCGTTGAAGTAACTGCCGGACAAAGTCTTTTCCATTATGTCGTTGATACCGATGAGACTGCTACGAAGGTATTAGAGATTCTACAGAAAGAAAAGGCGGGACGGGTGACCTTTATGCCACTCAATCGACTCAAGCCCAGACCGAGTAATCTCCCAAGGGCCAGTGATACCATCCCGATGATTGAAAAGCTCCAATATGATTCGAAATACGAAAAGGCATTCCTGCAAGTTTTTGGCCGGACGATCATCTGCCCAAACCTTCAGGTTGCTTCCCAGTATGCGCGTAGCCATGGTATCAATGCTATCACTCCAGATGGTGATAGATCAGATAAACGAGGTGCGTTGACAGGAGGTTTCCATGATTCTCGCGTGTCACGACTTGAGGCAATACGGACTGTGTCGAAGTGGCGTGATGAGTTTGAATCAAAGAGGAACAGGGGCACTGAGATTCGGGGGGAGCTCGAAAAGATGGATCAACTTATTACAAGGGCTGTTGGGGAATTGCAAAAACTCGAGCAAAGAAAGCAACAGCTACAAGGAAGCAATGCTCCTCTGCGACAAGAAATTAAAAGCAAACGTGATATTCTTCTTAACAAGACGGATACCATCGAAGCAAAACGCCGTGCACTGAAGAACATCGAAGGAAATTTAAATGTTCTTACTGATCAAATCGGTGCACACGAAGAAGAATTATCAACGCCATTTGAAAAGGCTCTCTCAAACGATGAGGAGACTCGTCTTGAAAAGTTGAGCTCCACAGTCCAGGACCTTCGACGGCAACACTCGGAGCTATCTAGCAAAAGAAGTGAGATTGAGACTAGAAAGTCGATCTTAGAAGTCGAGCTTCGAGAAAATCTTCATCCCCGCCTTGACCAGCTAATTGCCAGTGATCTAGATGCAAGCGAGGACTCCATTCAAGGAAACTTGAAGGAGAGCCAACGCCAAATCAAAAAAAAGAATAAGGAACTGGAGAAGCTCAACTCTCAAGTCCAGAAACTGGAAGACCAAATTGAAGAGGGAAATACGGAAGTTGTTCAACTTGAACAACGTAAGGCAGAAATCAGACGTGAACTCGATGAGCTTTCTAAGTCTATCGAAAAACATCAACGTCGTATGGAGAAGAGCATGCAAAAGAAGGCCGCATTGACAAAGCAGGCCGCTGAATGCAGTGCTAACATCCGTGATCTGGGAGTCCTGCCAGACGAAGCCTTCACCAAGTTCAAGAATACAGACTCCAATGCAGTTGTGAAGCGATTACACAAAGTCAATGAAGCGCTGAAGAAGTATTCCCATGTCAACAAGAAGGCGTTTGAGCAGTACAATAACTTCACAAAACAAAGAGAAACTTTGATGAAGCGACGAGAAGAGCTGGATGCGTCTCATAAATCCATCGATGAGCTGATTATGGTTCTTGATCAGCGGAAAGACGAAGCCATTGAGCGAACATTCAAGCAGGTGTCTCGCGAATTCGCCAAGATATTCGAAAAGCTGGTTCCAGCAGGACGAGGCAGACTGATCATTCAGAGGAAGACGGATCCTACCAATCGTCAAGACGATGACATTGATTCCGACGATGAAGATGCTCGTCGTAGCGTTGAGAACTATGTTGGTGTAGGGATCAGTGTAAGCTTCAATAGTAAGCATGACGACCAGCAACGAATTCAGCAGTTGAGTGGAGGCCAGAAAAGTAAGCAATACCCTAAATCTGAGCTCCCATTGTCAAGTTGTCTAGACTAACACAGTATGACTAGGTCTTTGTGCTCTGGCTCTCGTTTTCTCCATCCAGGCGTGTGACCCTGCCCCGTTCTATCTCTTTGACGAGATAGATGCCAACTTGGACGCTCAGTATCGTACGGCTGTTGCACAGATGCTGAAGTCTATATCGGAAGAAACCAACGGACAGTTTATCTGTACTACTTTCAGACCGGAGATGCTCCACGTAGCGGAGAAGTGCTATGGTGTTAGCTTCCGGAGCAAGGCCAGTACCATTGACGTGGTCTCTAGGGACGAGGCGTTGAAGTTTGTGGAGGAGCAGAAAGTGTAAACCCAACGGGATGATAATTGTTCTACCCTTTCTTTTCCTGGAGTTTAAATGAATATGGCGTTGACTTTGTGAAGACAGTTTAATGATTACTGCGCCGGATGGACCAAGTGTATTCTATGCTATGCAACCAGATCTATAATATCTACTATCTAACAGCCAAATGAAACCAAATACCCAATAACGCTAATATCTAAGAGGCAGCTTTTAGCAAAGCTGCCTTTTCCATTCCTACAGTAGGATCACTAAGTTTTCGGGGCGGCTCTCCCGTCCATTCTGAAACGACGTCTTCGGGAACATCCCGCACAAGTACATGGATGTGCTCTAGAGACCTTACACTCTGCAGCGACGTCCAGTTCTTGAACCACATTACGCGGTCCTTCGCATCCGTAAACTCACCCACCAATCGACCCACGAACACCTTCTGCACAAACGCATCAATCAGCGCTCTAGATTCGGGAGTAAGGTCACCAATACGCTCATCCACAGCAATCCGATTCTTCACCCACACCACGACATGGGTGACGTCGGGGGTAACGCCATAAGGCCAATCATTCCGAAGAATTTTATAATCTCGAGCATCAGCAAAGGGTGTTGCGTTGGCACAGTGGGTGTCGGGATCGAGGTCGAGGGGCCAGTGAAGGCGTTCGAGACAGATATAATTCGTGATAGTTTCGTACAGTCCTTTGATGTCGGCTGACCACTTGATATAGTTGGCCAAGTCAGACGGTTTTCTCTTGAAGAGATGGAGGGAATTGGCAGCTGCAGGCGGGGGGGTTGGTGGGAACAGCGGTTAGCAATGTCCCCGTACTCGTCTTGGAGTATTGTAGGGTCTAAAAGCAGGAAGGTAGACGCGGGCGCAAGAACCTATGATGCATTTCAGATTGTCCCAGTCATGGTAGACGAACTCCTCGTCTGTCTGAGACAGGATCTCTCGGTCCAGCGCCGTTAGGTGGAAGGGCGCCGGGGCGGAAATCGGCGCCGCAGGCATTGTTTCTTTGGCTACCGGCAGACAAAAGCGCTCAGTCAAGCCGGGGCCGCGGGGCGGTGGTCTGGAGCTCGTGTCGCCCAGAAAGGCCGAGTTCCCTCCCCCGCCGACGTGAGGGGGAAGAGGCTGGTCGGCAAAGGGCGCCAGGGGCCGCCTTACATAAGCCCCGCCAGAGCCGCGATCGGCTGATTGTTGAGGAATCTTTTTCCGCAGTTGGTGCGCCAGTCCGGAGCTGCGAACGAATATCAACTACTTCAACGCCCGTCTCGCCCGCTTTCTCGCCCGTTTGGCGGTACCTCCGGCGCTCTCCCGTTCAATTCACTTCGTCGCTCAACAAGAACGTTGCACAAGATGAGGTTTGTTTGTTTACGCTTGAACCTAGAGTCTATTGGAGCTGCGTCCCAGCTGACCCTCCCTGCAATAGCTCCTGGAAGTCCTCCGAGAACATCAACGGGGTCTATATCCCCTCCGCCCTCCTGATCTTTGGCACTACGCTTGTGAAGAAGGAATGGGTGCTGTATGCGACAGCTCTTGCGTTCGTGCTTTCGGCTTGGAAAATCCTCAGTAACCGTCCGTCTGCTCGGCCTCCGGCGCTCGGCCGCCGCCTCCCTCGTGTAATTGTACTAATGAAGCATATTGCATGATGTAGGGCCGCGGAAGGTTTTGAAACCAACCGAATTCCAAAAGTTTGTGCTCAAGGACAAAACAGTGGTCTCTCACAATGTCTGCATATATCGATTTGCCCTCCCAAAACCGACCGATATCCTTGGCCTTCCTATCGGCCAGCACATTTCTCTTGCTGCCACTGTCCCCGGCCAATCGAAAGAAATCGTGCGCTCCTACACCCCTATTTCCTCTGACGATGATGCCGGCTATTTTGATGTCCTCATCAAGTCCTACCCACAAGGAAACATCTCCAAGTATATGACAACCCTTCGTATTGGTGACAATATGAAAGTGCGTGGTCCAAAGGGAGCTATGGTATACACCCCAAACATGGTCCGTCATATGGGTATGATTGCTGGAGGTACCGGTATCACTCCCATGCTCCAGGTTATCAAGGCCATTATCAAGGGTAGACCCCGAAACGGAGGAAATGACACGACTGAAATCGATTTCATCTTCGCCAATGTTAATCCAGATGATATTCTCCTCAAGGAAGAACTGGACGAGCTCTGCAAAGAGGATGACAAGTTCCGTGTTCACTACGTGCTCAACAACCCACCGGAGAAGTGGACTGGTGGTGTTGGATTCGTCACTGCCGACATGATCAAGGTAAGCGGTTGATAGCAATCATTTCGCACCACCGGCCCAATGTTAACGCAGAATTTTAGGCCAAGCTCCCTCCCCCAGCAAGTGACATGAAACTTCTTATCTGTGGTCCTCCACCCATGGTCAGCGCCATGAAGAAGGCCACTGAATCCTTAGGATACAAGAAAGCCAACCTTGTCAGCAAGCTTGAAGACCAAGTCTTCTGCTTCTAATAAATTAGATATTCTATGTGCTATTAGATATCGGACGGTGTTCGGGGGCCATTTTCATTTATTATTTCCTTCAGCAGCGCCAGCAGGAGCAGACGAGGGTCATGACTGCTGCTCTTTCGGAGTACACAGGGGGTAGAAAAAACATCTCTTAGTCCGAGAAGTGCTGTTTCGTGAAACAATGTTGAAATACACTAATATATGGAGTAATGGCGAGGCCTATCTGATAGTGCGTCTTGAAGAACGTAATGACCGTTTTGATGAAATATGCTTTTTCAATAATCGTTTATAGCGCGCGCGCGTACGTATTGCCATCTGGTACGTTGATGCCACCGACAAAATTCTATATCACGTGACTGATATTCTGCCCCTCATGAAAGCTGACCGCCCTGGAAAAGTTGAGTCATAAACAAACAGTAGAACGAAGCCAGAACAGAGTTCATAGAGTGATAAATAGCTTTGCAAGGGCAATCTGGATGCGCCGACGGTTTGCTGAAGGCGCGTACTCCATTTGCGCAGCTACCCATCACCAACGCGTTGAAATCAACACCAGACGTGTAACTTTTTTTGTCACCCAATTTCTCCGCCGCCGCGCCCCGCTCTCCGCACCCAGTCGCTGTAGCTTCTCGACCTCGTCACAGAGACTGCTGCCCATTCGCACATCCCTACGGTTCAATTCTCTTCACACAATGGCGGATACTGTCGTGACTCCAGCTGTCGCCGAGCTGTCCGTCCACGACACAACGAGCGAGGACTCGAAATATCCAAACTGCTACCCCTCCCTGAACCCGGTGGATAAATACAGAACGCATATCGCAGAATTGCTTGCACCTGTTGTAGGAAAGGAGGCCGAATTTATTTATAGTCGACTGCAATGGACGAATACGCTGGATAAGGGAGATTTGCTTTTACCGGTAAGCTCTGGCCGCTACGATGAATCGTCTCGTGAGGTTGCTGAAGTATCCTTTCCATCGACAAATGACTAGGTCCCCGCTCTGCAGATTAAAGGGAAGAAGCCTAATGACCTGTGCACGGAAATTGCTTCGAACTGCCCCGAATCTGACCTCATTGAACCCCCCGTCGTTGCTGGCACTCATTTACAATTTCACTTCCGACCTCAGCCTTTAACACAGGCTGTTATCCCCGCTATTCTTAAAAACAGAGCTACCTACGGAACCAATGCAAACATTGGTTTGCGAGATCCCCGGGACCCTAGCAAAGGGAAGAAGCGAATTGTTGTGGAGTTCTCGTCGCCGAATATTGCAAAGCCATTCCATGCCGGACATCTTCGAAGTACCATTATTGGCGGCTTCCTGGCCAATCTTTATACCATTATGGGGTGGGAAGTGATTAAAATGAATTACCTAGGAGACTGGGGCAAGCAGTATGGCCTGTTGGCGAACGGATATAAATTATATGGAAACGAGGAAGAGTTGTTAAAAGATCCGATTAACCACCTTTTCGAGGTCTATGTGAAAATCAACAAGGATGTCGCGGAGCAAGAAGGCCCGATCAAGGAACTAAAGGAGCAGATCAAGGGTCAGAAGGAAAAAGGAGAGGATGTTACTTCTCTCGAAACGGGGCTTGCCCGTCTGGTTGATGAGAGCTGGGATGAGAAGGCTCGTCGTTATTTTAAAAGTATGGAGGACGGTGATGAGAGTGCACTTGCTCTGTGGAAACGATTCCGTGACCTGAGCATTGAGAAGTACAAGCAAACGTATGCCCGCTTAAATATCGATTTTGACTTCTACTCTGGAGAATCGCAAGTGAAACAAGAGAGTCTCTCCAAAGCATACAAAACCATGCAAGAAAAAGGGGTATCCGAAGACTCTGAGGGAGCGATTATTATCGACTTTACTAAACACGGAGCCAAGAAGCTGGGAAAAGCTATCGTTGTCCGAAAAGACGGCACGCCTCTCTATCTGACCCGAGATATTGCAGCTATATTTGAGCGCGACGAGAAGTTTAATTTTGATAAGATGCTCTACGTTGTTGCGGCGCAGCAAGACCTGCATCTGGCACAGCTGTTCAAGACCGTGGAGTTGATGGGCCGAAAGGATCTGTCTGACAGGTGTCAACACATCAACTTCGGCATGGTCCGAGGCATGAGCACCCGAAAGGGCACGGTCAAGTTCCTGAACGATATCCTTAAGGATGTGGGCGACGAGATGCATGACGTTATGAGAAAGAATGCGGCGAAATATGAGCAGGTTGCCAATCCAGACGAAACAGCCGACATTCTTGGTATTACGTCTGTGATGGTGCAGGATATGAGTGGGAAGCGGTGAGTATTCCGTTTTCTTCTTTTATTTTTTTTGTTTCTGGTTACCGGGCGAAAGAAAGAAGAAAAAGAAAAGAAAAGAAAAACTAATCAATCCTTCCAGTATCAATGGCTACGAGTTCAACCTGGCGGACATGACCTCCTTCGAGGGTGATACGGGACCATATCTCCAATACGCCCATGCCCGGCTGTGCTCCGTCACCCGCAAGGCCGAGCTTGACCCGTCCGAGCTGGGCTCTGCCGATCTCTCTCTGCTTACGGAGCCGCACGCGGTGGCCCTCGTCCGACTGCTGTCGCAGTGGCCAGACGTGGTGCTGAACAGCATGAAGACGCTGGAGCCGACCACGATCATCACGTATCTGTTCCGCATGACGCATACACTGAGCTCTGGGTATGATACGCTGAAGGTGGTTGGTAGCGAGCCGGAGTTGAAAAAGTCTCGAATGGCGCTGTATGACTGCGCGAGACAGGTGTTGAACAATGGGATGAGGTTGCTGGGATTAAATCCTGTTGAGCGGTGAGTGTGATTCAAAGGTGTTTCCCCTCTTGGATTTGTCCGATGCTAATGTGGTTTGTAGGATGTAATCAACATAGTAGACAGCTTTGCTATGTTTCTTTTTCTTCCTTCGACATTATTTCTGTTCATAATGGCAACGCAACCCATGGCAGCATATTTGGTCTAGATTCAATGAAATTCTTTCAGTCTATTTTTATCTTTTTTCTAACAAAAGCAACATGATAAGTTTTTTCAAAGCCGTTTCGCGATGCTTCGAGCTCGCGCTTCTCACGTTTGTGGCCGTGTAGCAGGGTCAGACCATACCGCACGAAAAACCGCTCAAGCCCTCGCCCCCTGCATGTGGCTCGCGTGTCAAGCCCTACGCAGCCTCCACTCGTCAGGCCATTGTATCCCAACGTCTTGGGTTTTGGGCCATGAGATGGCAGCCCAAGGCCGTCAATGGAAGAAAAAAGAAAAGGACGGGCGAGGGGGATGAGACGGGAAACAAGAAACATCCAATAGTTTTGCGGGATGAAGCTCTCGACGTACCTGTATGCGTCGTCTGTTGGTTTAGTTAGCTAGTGGGATGTAGGATGACGGCTTGCGAGCCCAACTGAGGGGCCGATCTTGCTGCGCGTCAGGTCGAGGTGCATGAAAGAGTGTGGGATGGCACCTGATTTGCTCGCGAAGCGAACGAGCTAGTGGTTTGCGATTCGCAGCAACGGAAGAGGACACGGTCGCGACAGGCGGGGAGCCCGGGCGGGAAGGGCCTCCCTCGAGGGCCATTTGTACTTCATCGGCTCGGCGTCTCTGGACCGCGTTTCGAGCGTGTGGGTGTGTGGCGAGCGCAGCGCAGAGCAGAGGGCGTCCGGGCCGGTCGCTTGCCAGGGATGGCCTGGGATCCGGCTTCGCACAGGCAGACGGGGATTGCCACCCCACAAAGTAACATTGGGCCGGTGGTTGATTAGACGAGGGAAGGATGCGGATGCTTGGGCGCGCTGGGCGGGTGGAGGGGCTCACACACGATCAGTGCAGCGGCGGCGGCGGCGATCGTGAAGTCTTGAGTATAATAATAATAATAATTATGGGGGAGGAGAAGTAGGATGATCTGGCGCGCGGCGGTTGCGTGGAATGGGCTGGACTGGCGGGGTTGAGCAGGCAAGCCGGCAGGACGGGCGTTGCACACAGGCTGGAGCAGCCCCGCAGACGACGGTGATGATGATGATAGTGGTGGTGGTGGTGGTGGTGGTGATGACGATGAGGATGGTGAAGCCACACCTCAGTCGCGAGCCGGTGATCGGCCGTCGAGTCGTTACATCACTGGCTCGGGCTGGTCTGTGTCATCCCGGATCTCGCAGCCGCAGGATCTGGGCGGGTCAGAAGGGCGTTTTGTTTTTTTCTTTTATTGTATTTTTTTTTTGTTTCAAAGGCTCATAAGTATCTGGTCTGTGCAATGGGCAATACGAGGCGGGCGTGGGCGTGACGAGTGCGCGCGTCTGGATGGCGATGAGGGCAGTGTTCCGCGCGAACCCAGCGCGCGACAACCCGGCCTGTTGTCTGTGAGTGAGTGAGTGCGTTAATGAGTTACAGTAGCTGGTTATCTGCTCGGTTCGCGCGCCCTGGCATGACGCACGGAACGACAGCCACGGGCGGCGGTGCCATTGGGCCGCAAAGCTTCGATTGGGCAGCAAGACCGGCGTCCCAGCGGGCTTCGGCGTGAGTCACGTCGAGGAGTTGGCTGCGACGGGTATTATTATTATTCTGCTGGCTGGCGGTTCCTGGGCGGGGCCGGACGGTCGGCCGTCGATGACGGGCTGCTTATTCTACACAGTGAGGAGAGTTAGCCTGGCGGGAGGGCCGTCGGGCACTCCCTTCTGGCGCGCGGGCTGGCGGAACCGCGTACTGTAAAAGCGTTAGGCTGCGCTGTGCGACCGCGGAGTTAACTCACTAGCTCTCTACCCACCAGCCCAACCCCAAGACGCCGCCCCCGTGCCCCCCGTCCTTCAGGGCCCGTCCAGGGGCGCCCGCCCGCGCGTTAGGCTCGCCCACCCCCCTGCAGCCCCCGGGCCTTCCCCGGCAGAGTTTTCGCGCGCCCGCCATGCCGCGCCTTTTCTTCTAATCAGCCCGGCCGCACTCCCTCTGCAGACCGACTGCATCGCGTCCGCTGCCATAGTTATCGTCTCTCCTCGCCCACGTCGTGGTTAGTCAGTTACCCACGGCCCAGCCGTACGCTCTGTCAGGTGAGTTGCGCCCTCCGTCCAATCCGCGCTGTCCTGCTGCCTGCGCGCTGCGTGACTCCGTGGCTGTCCCTCGTCTCTCTCTTCTTCTTCTCCTCCTCCTCTGTCTCTGGCGTCTCTCGAGTCTAACCACCGCCGTCCTGCTCGCTAGACTACGTCCTCATACACATTCCTATCTACACGTATCCACCATCTCGCGCGCAATCAACCATCCCGTCGCTCAGCCAGCCCCAAACCGACACGGTTTCATCCCTACCGATCGCCCTGCATCGCCGATTCTGCTCCCTTTTTCATTTCCATCCCTCCAGCCGGTTTCTGCAGCCCACCCCGGTCGCTGCTCTCATCGCCGTCGCCTTGCCCTATCTGGCCCCTCGCCGCTTCGCACCGCCGTCGCACACCCGAAGCGCTTCTCTGGCCTCTGTCGACAAACACACGTCGTCGCCTCGTCTCGCTCCCTCGCGTTATTAGGCGCCTCAGAATATTTTTATTCGTCGCGCAAACTAAAAAAAAAAAAAAAAGCGCCCACGCACCTCATCCCGTTTGCCACGGTACTGAATCTCGCCTGCAGGCGTGCGTGTCTTATTTCCCCAGACTCCGCGGCGCTATCCGCACTCCTTCCACTGCGATCTGGGCACGGCGACGAACGAGCCTGTCTCATTTCCCGCTATACCACAATCATCAATCCCCAGCGTGTCTCCGGCGTCGTGATTGCGTGCCCCTGTGATCTGAGCGCAAAGTGTTGGAGGTGGTGTCTGGACTCGCTCTCGACCACTGCCTAGCCCCCCCCGCCGTCGCCCTCGCTTTTGATTTCATCGGCCGGGTCCTCCTCGCACGGCTCTCTTTCCGCCAGCTGCCCCGTCGCCATTGATATACCGGACGCTGCACCGCCGCCGCTTTCGCTCCCTCCCGGAAAACAACTTACCTGTACTTCTTGGTAGCTGCTCTGACCTGACCTGCGCCGGCGCCGTCCTCCCCACCCATTTCGACCCTGTTTACACTTCGATGGAGCACTTGACCTCTTCAGTGAATTCTATATCGGAGTTGAGATTTCGAGCGAGTGTGTACAGGTGAAGCTCTGGAGCATCCGCACCCGGTTTGAGCGCTACGACGAAACACTTTTCCTTATTTCTTCTTTCTTATTGTTTTTTCTTTTGTTCCTGTTGGCCACGATCAAAGAGCCCAAGACAGTATCATACACTATCAACCCGGGGCAAAGACCCTCTTGAGCGGTCTGTGGGGGAAGCAAAGAACAGACACCGCTTATCTTTTTTTTTTTTCTTGTTTTCCTGTCATTTTCGAACGAGGCAGACGACGCCGACGTCTGAGACCGCATCCTTAAATAGGATTGCATTGCCAAACGGCCCTTGACGTGTCGGCGCTGCGCGAGCGGTGACTGGCCCACGATCCTCGCCCGTTGCGCCGTTTTGCCCCATCTTGGGCGCAAACCTTTCGACCTGACGGCTCATCCCGAGCCTGCCACCGCCCGCCCCACCGTCGGGCCGCCTCACCGTCATGTCGCCCCGGCCGGCTTCCCACGCCTTCGCTGCCTTCTGCGAGGAGTTCGACGAGCACACCAACGCTGTCATTCCAGACACCCGCAGAGTCGCCAACGTGTCCGCCAAACGGTCGAGGCCCGAGCTAGTCCCGTCGACCGCCCCTGCTGCTGCTGCGGACGGTGCTAGCGATTCTGGCTACTCCAGCAGGACTGCTGCCACCGTTGGGAGCGGTGACTCCTTCGCTAGCGACACTGTGAGCCCTACCTTTCCTCCATTGGCTCCGGCCGCCTCGCCCGCTGCTACCGTCGTGCCGCCGCGCGAGATCCCCCGTGATCATCCTCGCTTGCGTGACCGTCTCGACGAGAAAGAAAAGGACCGTGCTGGGAATAAAGCCAGAGAGAAGAAAGACCGCAAGGACAAGGAAAAAGAACCCGCTAGACAGCCACCCCCACCTCTGGCTCCCCTCAAAACTATGCCCGCGGCTTCTCCACGAAGCTCGAGCAAACCTCCCGCCGTGCAAAGGTCCTCGTCTAAATCGCACAAACGGGACTCGATCGGCTCCCGACATCCTCCAGGTGCCTGTTGGGAGTGCGATCAGTGGGGATACCACCCAACACCCGTTACTGCTGCTGGCGTCGACCCGCGGATGATGGACTCGTCCGGCTACTTCCAACCTCTCCAGGCCCATCAGTACGACATCCCACCATCTCCTCAGACCTCACGATACGCTCCGGTCATCACCCAAGAGATGCATCCCGCTTCTCCGGTCGTTGTGCCGCAGCAGCGTACTCATCGGTCGAACTCTTACCATACCCAGAGACCCGTCAGCTACCACGCTGGCACGGTCCCCGACATGAACATGATGTATATGCCCATGGGCCATGCCTACGGTCATGGACCCCCGCTTTCTGCCTCTGCATATGCAAATTCTTTCTATCCGCCCTCTCCTTACATGACGGGCGAGGTTACTGTTCACCAGTCTACCAAGACGCCCTACGAAGCGACTCCACGTTCCTCCCACGAACGTCCTCGCGAGCGTCCTCGTACGACCTCTATTGCACGATCCTCCACCGAGAAACCCACTGCTAGGCGTCCATCTGTCTACAAACGACCCATCGTGGAATATAATACTGCTCCAGCCACTCCCTATGAGCCTGAGGACTACAATCAGAGAACCCCGCAGCCGGACCAGCGTGCCCGCCGTCAGTCTCGTTCCTATGACCCGGATGAGGATTACTATCGCATGCCACCGCCATCCAACCCACCACCGAAGCCAAAGCAGCCCACCCAGGTCATTCCAATCAACGCTAAGCGTCCAGCGGTGCGTAAGTCCAGCACCACTACTTCCATACCGCCAACCCATCGCCCTGATGCCTATGATATGGCGGATATGCATCACGCTCTTCCACCCAGGATGGGACGCAGGGACTCGCGTGACCCTATGGTCGAGCCGGAACGTCGACCTAGCGTCCCGGCTACTGCCCGTGAGCGAGTTCGTACGTCGGCTTACTACGATTCTGGCCCGCGAAGAATCGTGGTGGAAAACTCCCGCCGTCGCCGCTCCTCGCTCTACAATGTTGAAACGCCCCACCAGAACTTGGAGCAGAAGCAGCGAGAGGCCGAGGAGTACCAGTCACGCACCCAGAGAAGTGCACCGCTGACCGCAGAGGCTCTTCGTAAAGTCCGTTCTACTCATCAGCAGAAGGTGGCGGCCATTGACAGTGACTCTGACGACACCTCCTCCGAGAGCAGCCACGAAAGCGACACCCAGACCAAGAACGGAAGTGGCGTCGGCAGCGGCCCAGGAAGCGGAGTGGGCAGTGGCCCCGGCAGCGGCGTTTCTCGAGTTGACGATGACAGCATCACGATGATTTTCCGTGGCATCAAAATCGACCTCTCCGGCGGCACCATGGACAAGCGTATCAACCTACGATCCGGCGAGGAAGGCAGCATTGAGCTGAACATCGAAGGCAAACGGGGCTCCCAGAAGTACCTCATGTCCCGATCTGACACCACCAGCGTGGCTGGCAGCCGCAGGGAGTTCGAGGAGGTTCGTCGCATTCGAGAGGACTCCCGATCTGAGCGGGAGAGCCGCCACTCCAGCCGATCTGGCTACAGTGGCCGAGGCATGTTGGATTAAAAACGTGCACACCTTTGCAGCTTCGGCCTTTTTTAATTCAACATACACACCACCATCGAACGATTCAACAAGACGCACCCTATTATCTTGAGCTACTTACTCTTATTCGATTTCGTTTCTTCAAGCGGCACTTTTTACCTCCCTTTGCTCTTTTTTGTTTTTTTCTACTTATCGTTTTTTTTGGGACGAATACTATAGAGACATTCGGCTTTGCGGCCACTCGCTACTTGGATTTCACCGCCATCTTCAAAAAGTTCAAGAAGGCATTTTCAAGGCCCGACCACCCGATTCACTTTTTTTGTTTAATTTGTTTTTCCCCCTACGACACCTCTTGGGAAAAGAAAAACTGGGTCTTTATCAAAAAATAAAAAAGTGACTGGGAGGCATTGTGCTTTTTTCTTTATTTCTCTTCCCTTCTTTTTTGAACTGCTTTTTCATCTCAACAAAAGTCGTTTTTATGGTTTTCCTCTTTGGCCTACAATCGCATACCCCCTTTGACATTGCATGCAATATTCCCCCACGTTGCCCTTTTTTGTTTTTTTTTTTTGCCTATCTCAAGCATTCTGTTCTGTCCGAAGCTTCCTGTATCCTTGATATTTTGCATCTTTCACAATTTTTTTTGGCATTTATTCCCCATAGCTAGCGCACGAATCATGTACTGCCCAATTTCTGTTTTGCATGCTATGACCCTGTACGATTGCTTATGATATGATGGAATTTTTTTCGAGACTCTTTGCGTGCATGCGTGTTTTTACTGCATTTTGAGTTGGATTGGAAATTGGGGTTTTTTTTTGATAATGTACCTACGTGTCTTGTTGCTGAGGTTCGATGCCATACACAATAACCCAGCGAATCTTTTTTTGTCTCTCTCCAAGCGTGAACATGACATGACTCAATGCGTCTTTCTAGCTAATTTTTGCTCTGGGACCTTGCTGTTTCGAAGTCTAACTGATGTATGTCCCCCAGCTTTCTTGCTCTAATTTGGTCGTATTCTGGGACGAAAAGAGGTACGAGAATGGATTCTTTTTGCAACGCAGCCGTTTATACTCAACTTGTGGCTGTTGATAATTGAAAATTGATGGGAAGACAAAAGACACTCTGTCCTGGTTTATACAAACCCTCGGTTCGGTACTCCCTAGTGAAGCTGTATTCTTTTTTATATGGAACAGGCATCTCTGGCCTGGTCCTGCAGGGGGCCGGCTCGTACTTATGAATACTTATAAGATCCTATATAGATCAATCATAGGGAACTGGGTAAAAGGCACAGCAAAGACGAGTGTCATGTAGGTAATCCCCTTGACGGCCAATTTACCCTGGGCCTGTTTATTTAAAATGAATATTTAACTGATGGCCACGTGTGCAAAGGACAGCCTATCGAATAAGATTACAAAGATGAAGAGGCGAGATTGTATTTGATGTCTATCTGTTTGTGTTCAGATCAGATCAGAAAAGATCGCTTTTTTTTCTACTTTTCCGTTTTTTCTGTTTTCCCAAGAGGGAGACCCTCCAGCAGCCAGTCATCATACAACAGTTCTATGGCGGTCGGCCTGTCTTTCGGGTTCCATTGCAGCGCTGCCCGCAGCCACCTCAAGAAGCCCTCCGTATCGCCTCCCTTGATTTTGGTGGCCAAGCCTTCCAGAGTGATATCGGGAATAGGGGCTAGGCCTTTCCAATTGCCTGTAATGTGAGAGTATATTAGGATGGAATTCCTAATAGCAACATATCCAGCGAAAACATACCAGATTCATCCCAGAATACCGAGCTAAGCTTGCTCGAACTGCGGAACTCAGGCGGGGGAGGACCGAGGAGTGCAACTAACTCCGCAAGATGAACCCTGTCATCGAATATCCCATCTGGATTGTGACCATCAATCAGGGTGTGAGGGCAAACTATATCCCACGCCTGTCCATCCCAGAATATAAGCCTAAGCAAGCCCAGAAATTATTCTAGTATCTAGGTTGAGCTGCAACAAAAAGAGATTAACAGACTTACGATCATGGCAACACTCCAGATATCCACTTTGCAGTCCCAACTTGTTTTCAAAATGACTTCAGGCGCTCGGTACATGTTAGGCATGATATCCGCGTGATGCTCTTTGCCATACCGTGCTTCACCGAAATCAGTGAGGAGTGGTAGGCCGGAACCACCGGGGAAGTTTTTGGAGGATGTGTATATTGTCCGGTCTTCCAGTACCTTCCTGGCTGATGGTGCTTTGACTTCCTGGTTTTCGAATTTTAAAAGCATATTTGTTTCAGGGGAAGGGAGAAGTAGATTTTTCAATTGGAGATCTTAAATAACATATTAGCTCTGCAAATCTAGCTACTGGAAGAAGTGAAACACCTGTATGAATCACTTGCAACGACTCGGAGTGCAAAAAATCCAAAACAACGAGTAGCTGCCTTATGCAGGGTTTCATATTTCTGATAGTCATGGCACGGCCAGGGCCCATCTGCACCACTTCAAGAGCGTTTTCCCCCAACAGCTCATGCACAAGGCAAAGATGGCGTCCATGAGGGCCCTCAATAAAGAAGGAGCTGTAGAGTTTGCGAATGAATCTCCTGCCCGGATGTGTCGTTTGCACAGAATTGATCCGGTCATAAATATTCAGCTCCCGATTCTCTTCTTGGCCTGTTACGCAGACCTTCAAGGCGACATATTTGGAGTCACTGAATTATGGTGGAAATTAGCAATATGAGTGTAGATTACTAGATATGAAATACATTGCGCTCACAGTAAATCACGACCAAACCAAACAGTTGATGTCACGCCATAGCCCAGCTTAGCTACTACTTGATACCGGTCATTGAGAATTTCTCCTTGTTGAACAGGGTAGTATTTCTCAGGGTTATAGGTTGGCAACGCCTCCTCTTCAATTTCCATGGATGAATCGATCAAATGAAAGCCAGTGGCCGGAAATTTTCTGGGGGGAGATGCCCATTGTGAGGAACAGGGCCTATAGCCATGTTTCGACATGTTTTGAGAACTATAAAACACTGAAATGCGTGAAAAACGGGGAAAGGGGTATAAAAAGGCCCAATAATTACTTGTATAGGAATCACAGATACCGCGAGCCCGCGATATGATCCGATTCATTGTGAATATGGATTGATCTTCTCTTTCACTCTCTAGATCAACAACAAGGTTGCTGCCAAGATTTCAATCACGTGGAAGAATTTCACATTACACGTGACCATCCCCTGGTTGTCCATAGCAACCTATTAGTAAACACGCGCGTCATCGCCCCAACCTCGTGAAATAACTGGGGGCTGGTTAGACTTCCGTCGCCACGAGCCCTGTTGACTCCTCCCCTCTCCCTTGCGTATTGCATCACCTTTCGATATTCTTACCATCAACAGTGGATGTACTCCCTTTTGAGGAGGACAGAAAGACTTTTTTCTTTGAATGACCCTAAAAAAATTACAAACCGTACATACAAGCGCCGAGAAAACCCCTACCTGAGAAGTTGGTGGTGGATGGGAGAGTGTCGGGAGCGTGAAAACGTCTTTCAACGTTAAACAGGTGCCCCGGGACCCAGATTGCAACATCAATATTTTGACGAGGAACCTTCGTCATGGCTCCAATGCCACCGATCGGCTACATCGAACAACTCGCGACGACTCTTCGCCGTCACGGAACTGGAATATGGCGTGATGTGCGTAGCAATATTATACAAGGGACCAGTGCAAATGCCTTTGTTCCGACTGCCATGAAGCCTTCTCATCGTTTAAGCGTCCGTGATGAGTCCAAACAACCGTTTCATCCTGGACAAGGCGCTGTGAGCCCCAGTAAGATCAACATGCAGGGTATGCTGGCGTTGTTCGCCTTCATTGGTGCAGTATTTGTTCTTGCCGCAATTTGGTTCTTTTTCTGGGCAAAGAATGGAGGTTTCCAATGGCGAGAAAATGACTGGGAGGAATATAAGTCTACTGTATTACGACGAAAAGGACCGGATGGCCGTACACTGACAAACGCCACGAAGAGTACGAAACTTGGTGGGGGAAGTATTGTTGGGCGGCAGTATCACGACTACGATGACCAAACAACAGCTATGGAAACTGCTACTGTTGTTACTGAAAAGAAGAGTCGAGGAAAACGGTTCAAAGAGTCTGCGAAGCAAAAGCTATTGAAGAAAAGAAAGGACGATGTGTGGGAGGGTAGTCATGACGAAGATGTGCGAGCCTATCGGAATGAAAAGCCGGCGAGGGTGGGTGGTATGAATCGTGAACCGGATGGGACGTACCACGGCACCGAGTACAGCGGAACACTCGACCAAAGAACTGAATGGACCCATAGCGAAATGGGCGAGACTCATGCCGAGACAGAAACACGCTATGACCCGCCAGATGCTGGACGGGCACGAGGAACAAGAACAGTCTCCACCTTTTCCTTTGTTCCAGGCACTGAAGACTCGATCAGCAACGCCCCGGAGGAACGCTATTCTCGTGATTCCCGAAATCGTCGAGAAAACTACCGGACCCGTTCTCAGAATCCTCCACGACCCCAAGGCCCAAGGCCTAGCACCAATACACGGTCGCGACCACCGAGCCCTCGTAAAAAGGACGGCTCCGTGCTACCTGGTGGGTACACCACGCCACTGGACATGTCTTCTATTACTGCCTCGGAATATACGTATGATAGGCTGGAAGGATCAGACAACGGCACTAAATCGTATCACCACCCGATACCGGGTTTGAGTAAAGGCTATCGGCGCGCCGGTGGAGGGAGAGGAAGAAGAAGAGACAGTTTGAGTGACAGTGAAGGAGATGATTACGACAGCCGTCTATCTTAATCGGCCGCCAGAATCTTGTTTTAAATGGCCAAGCTGGTGCATATTAATTACTTTTTGTCATTGGTGCTTTCTTTTGAAGATCTTGACGTCTATTGTTGGCTGAGGAGCAATTTTGTTACTTGGGTTTTTGCGTGTCGACTATTAGCTGTGAATGGATGGGCTCTGGGTTGGAGGTTAACAGGATGCAGCGGAAATGCGATACGATATGAATATAGTATGTATATGAAGTCTTTGTGATTTTCCGGGCGCGATTTCTTACTGTGTACAGCGTAAACTGGGGCAGAAATACACTATTTGCTATATTCCACACAGGCTAGCAGTGAACATATCTATTTTAGGAAGATTTGTCACTATGCTCCCGACCCAGAGCTGTTCCAAGCTCTTAACGCAATTATGCGCTGCTAGGATGAACCGCCTGTTCCTTCGAGCCGCTGGAGCCACACAACAGCCGCCTACACTAATTAACTATGCGAGGGATCGGATGGGCAAACTAGCTATGAAACTAGATATGTAGCTAGATGACTTGGCGTGTTGCCCTACGAGCTGTTTCCTCAGTCCCCGACCGAGTACGGAGTCCGGTTAAATCATAATTGAACTCCAGCTCCCACTTGTGGAAGAGATACAATGTAGGCACCTTACCTCAATTTAGTGTTTGCTCTACGGAGTACTCCATGTGCAAGACCTACCCGTAAGGGTCTAGTACGAAAGCTTATCAGGCTACACCCAGGTGGCAATAATATTTAACCGGACTCCGAACCGAGCCTGGCAAAAGGCAAGACCGCGGCGGCTCGACGGTTCTCAAACGGCACTACTTCTAGAAGGAAGCGGGCCTATGCTACCCTGATTCCGATGCGGATAATTCTATGCCCTCTTTTGCTGATATTTTTGTCCAACCCACCGTCTGGGGAGGCACCATTCTGTTAACCACTGCTGATCCTCTCCCGTGCCTCGTCACCCCGGGCTCCTCCATGTCTCTGGATTTACCTGCCCACAGCTGTTGGCCTGACCAGCACTCTGCCGACTGTCTAGAAGATGTTGTTAGCCCAAGAAAATACCTTCTGCCCACACTTTATGATGCTTGAGCAAGCCTTAGTTACTCGTCATTGCCATGATATCCTTGTGAGGCGCCTACTCCGTACTCGGGTCTTCTCAGACTGTGGCCCTTGTTCTAGCTATTATATAAGCTCGCACCCTAATGGTGCGTCTCATGATATCAAAGAATGGGTCAAGAATCTAATTTGTGGCTCAAGTACAGAACCACTACCTTCGTTGACCCCACAAAGCCACTGCTCTCTATCGGTATGCAGGATCGCAAGAGTACTAGCTGGCAACCCCCCCAAAACGCTCTGAGCTTGTAGGATCATGGGGTTACGATCATGGTGACAAGTCAATCGCTCTGTTGCCACAGCCTTATAAATAGCGGACGATGCCTGCCTTCGTTCCTTCCTTTCCCTTTGAAAAACCATTCATTCTATTCTGATTCTACTTTTCTCGCTTTATTTATACCTAAATCTCTCGGTCTTGGCATTTAATCAAAATGTTGTTTAGCAATCTTTTCCCCGCCCTTCTTGTGACTGCTACCTGTGCAGCTGCAAATCCTGTTCCAGATGAAACCACTATCAATGTCCTGGACGCCCGAAACACTCGTGAAGTCTGTGCTCCAGCTACTGCATGCACGAACACGCCCAAAACAATCAAAGCTACCTACCAGATTTGCTTTCGCTTTACCAGTGCCAATAGAGCGAAGGTTATTGGAAGGATTTCTGGCGTACAATACTATTGGGGTGCTGCGTGGTATAATCCCAAGGCCGGCTATCCATACGAGTACACCATAGGGGGAGGCTTGGATAATACACACCCCTTCTCCAAAGTCGGAAAGGCTCACACACCTTCCACCGAAGTTGAACTTGCTGAGCTTAATGTCAATCCTGGTCAGCACCGCCTTTTTACGAGATACCAGCAAATTGGTCCCTATCATACCTTTCCTAAGGATTACGTCCGCTGTGACCATACATATCCCCAATTCAATGTTCCGGCAAAATAGAGTGCCAGAAGAGAGAAACATGGCTGCAAATATACATTGGAGGGGTACGGAGTATATGGAATTCAAGGATGAAACTATGTGTGTATATACATACCGTCGAAACTTCATTCGTACACATTTGTAAATGCACGGACAAACATACATATACAAGCACTCTTAGGTTTGAGCCCCTCAATTCCACGTACATGCTTATGCTTCATAAAAGAAGTACAGTACTAGGTCAAAAGTGTTGGCACCCCCCAACTTTTACACCAAACCCCACCCTTTTCACAATCAAGTTGCTCAGCAAAATTGTATAGTAACATATCAATTAATACATATTAATATTAGAGAAGTGGTAGAAGAATATTTTAAGAATAATTTTATTCAATAATTATGAATTATTGCCTCTGTAAATCTCATTAAATATGACTGAAAGCTATCATCACATAGACTTCTCTATTCATCATGAAAATAAGTCAGAATTAAATTATTAAAGACACAGTAAATAGGTCAAGCATTTCTCTCCATATTGATTATATTATTCAGTATACTAGCATACAGTTTTGTGGAGTAATTGGAGTTTGAAAAGTGTCACTTGAAAAAAAGGGTGCCAACAGAGGGTAGTACTACGGAGTACGGAGTAGTTTAGTTACGTGGCTGGATCACTTCGACTCCCGTGGACTGGCCTTTCGGAATTTCAACGGGCCGCTGTCTTGGCACATCCACGAAAAAAGTTCAAGTTCAAGCAAGCCCATGAAGAACAAAACTGTTGGCAAATATTGATTTACTGCCAGGAAACGTGAGACTAGCCATGAAACGCAAGCTAGATGCCAATAATGTACCGAAACCCCTGGAGCCAGAGTCGGCCCAGCCATCGCTGCAGAACTTCGAAGCTTTGCAATTGGATCCCCGATTACTTCAGGCTTTGACGAAGCAGAAATTCACAAAGCCAACTTTAGTTCAGACAGAAGCTATTCCTTTGGCTCTGAGTGGGAAGGATATACTAGGTGGGCTAATTCTTTACTCAGCCTATGATTGACATCATAAACTAACTGCTCCAGCCCGAGCAAAAACGGGGTCAGGAAAAACTGCAGCGTATCTACTCCCAGTCATACAGTCAGTGCTGCAGAAGAATGCCGTAAGAACTCCTGGAATACCCTTGCTGTGATTTTTGGCTTATTTATCTAGACCAATCCGAACCAGAAGTCGACGTCAGCCCTTATCCTCGTGCCCACTAGAGAACTTGCAGAGCAGGTGCAAGATACAGTCATTTTGTTTTCTTCTTTTTGCGGCAAAGATATACGCTCTGTAAACCTGACGCAAAAAGTTTCAGATGCTGTTCAACGGGCGATGCTTGCTGAGCTTCCCGACATCATAATCTCCACTCCTGCGAGGGCCGTCGCGAATGCAAATAGCTCCGCCTTGTCACTGGATCGCTTGACACACCTGGTTATTGATGAAGCGGATCTTGTGCTTTCATATGGGTACGAGGAAGACATGCAAACTCTGGCAAAAGCTATTCCTCGGGGCGTGCAGACTATGCTGATGAGTGCGACACTTACGTCTGAGGTCCATACCTTGAAGGGCTTATTTTGTAGGAGTCCAGTTACTCTCAAATTGGAAGAGGAAGAGGATGAAGGGGCAGGGATCAGCCAATTCTCCGTCAAGTATGTTTTAAGACTTCTTTTCTCGCTAAATCTCCCCTAACAATTATTCTAGATGCGCCGAGGATGAAAAATTCCTTTTAACGTACGTCATATTTAAATTACAGCTTGTTAAGGGAAAATGCATCATATTTGTTGGAGATGTTGATCGATCTTATCGCCTGAAGTTGTTCCTAGAACAGTTTGGCATCAAGAGTTGTGTTCTTAACTCTGAACTACCAGTCAACTCGAGAATTCACGTTGTTCAAGAATTCAACAAAGGCGTATACGACATCATTATTGCTGCAGATGACCAGGAAGTCATTGGAGCAACACCTAAAAAGGACTCCAAAACGCCGAATGAGACTACGGATAACACAGTGGACCGCGACCAGGACCTGAGTGATGACGAGGAACCCGAACATCCGGTGAAGAAGCGCAAGAAGACTACAAAAGAAAAGGACTATGGTATTTCTCGAGGGATCGATTTTAAAGACGTCGCATGCGTCCTTAACTTTGATCTACCTACAACTGCCAAATCATACACTCACCGTGTTGGTCGTACAGGTCGAGCTGGCAAGACAGGCATGGCCCTCTCTTTTGTCGTACCTAAGGAGCTGTACGGCAAGCATAAGCCGACAAGTTACCCAACTGCCAAACATGACGAAGCAGTCCTGGCTCGAATCATCAAACGTCAATCTAAGCTCGGACGTGAGGTAAAACCGTACAATTTCGACACGAAGCAAATCGACGCTTTCCGCTACCGAATGTCAGATGCCCTCCGTGCTGTGACACGAGTAGCCGTCCAGGAAGCCCGCACCAAGGAAATCAAGCAGGAGCTTCTGAAGAGCGAAAAGTTAAAGAGGCATTTCGAGGAAAATCCGGATGAGCTTCGCCAGCTGCGCCATGACGGCGAGCTCAGGCCTGCCCGCGTCCAACCTCATTTGAAACACGTGCCAGGCTATCTGATGCCTGCCAAAGGCAAGGCAGGCCTTGGAAGTGGTGACGTTGGTTTTGTAGGGCTGAAGAAGACGAGCGAGAATCGAATAAGAAAGGCGAGAGATAGAAATCGCATGAGAGGGAAGGGTGGCCGTAAAAATAGTCGTGGAGGGGGCAGAAAGGCGGACCCGCTGAAAACGTTCAAAAGTAAATGATTGTATTTTCCGGTTTTACCACCTGATACATAGAGCCAAAGAATCAAGTTCCTGGCACACTTGCTCTTGTGTTAATCCAGCTAATGAAATACTGGATCTTCATGCTCAAAGCAAACCTCAATCCATTTACCTTTAGCGTCAGTTCTAAGACGTTGAATCGACGTTGTCACATAGTTTACTGCATTCATGTGCATATTCCACATCTTTTCTTGCCAGTGGGGCCTTCTTGTCAGCTGTTTGCCTTCTACCTCGACAGCCTCCAGTGCCCATCCAAACCCTAGGCCCAACCATTCTATTCCACGCCACGACCCATTCCACTCAGGCCCTAACGGCCGGGATATAAGTGGGGGTTCGTCATCTGAAGGTTCGCTTGGATGTTGATCACTGCAACCCCAGCAGAGTGCTGGTAACCATTCACCACAGCCGTTGAGATCTAGCCACTGAAGACAATAACTTGCTCGAGATAGTTTGCCCAAGACAGTTGTAGCTTCTAACATTTCATTGGTAGAAGCAGGTAAATGCTGTAGAAGATTCATACTAGGCGCGCCGCTTAACGTAGAATTAGCAGCCAGAGTGGGAGTAGGCCAGTGAGCAAGGGATAGGTGAGTCAGTGTTGACACGTGCGAGAGTAAGTTAAGAAGGGACTGCCAGTTCGCAGTTGGCGGCGATGGTCGTGCCAGGGACAAATATCTTAAGTTATGGAACCGTAAAATAACAGGCTCCTCATAGATGAAGCTAGGCGTAGATAGAGAAGTCTCACCCCAGGCTTCCTCTTCCCAAGATATTGGGATAGCTCTACCCCCGTCCTTCGAAAGGGAAGCATCGCTTCGCAATTCACGGTGAAGTGTTTTCAAATTAATCCACCGCCCGAGAGCACCCCCTAGGTCCAGTCGAGTTACGTCAGAGTGTATTGCCACGTCTCCATCTGCGGTCATATCTAAAAAGAGAGGCTTTAGTCCTCGCATATTAAATGCCAGTGATGTATTCTCAGTGTAAACAGCAATGTAACTGAGCAGCAGTTGCTTTGTGTAAGTTGGAAGAGCAGAAAGATATTCTCCATCATAAAGTACATGCCAATCCCAATTGCGTGACATGGCTTTTAGAATGGCATGTTGAAAGGAATGCTTGGGGGGAAACTTGAGTCCGGGTAAGTGATTCAAACGCCGTTCAAGTTGGCCATTAGGAGCCCCATTTCGGGAAATTATCCCGGGTCCTACGCGGGATGCTGATGTCAACCAGCTGGTGGGTGCTGCGGGGCCAGGAGTTTGCCAGGGCCGTCGAGTGCCAACAGCTGGTCCAACTCTAAACCGTGGTCGAGGAGGCCGAGTCGCTGGCAGATCGAGGATATTCCGGATCGTTGGGTGGACTGAGCCCGACATGACGCGGGCTACAGTGTCGACTCGCGGCTGCTCGGGGGGGAGCTGGGCCCGACGAAGGTGTTGTATAAGGTCGTTGACGGACGAGTGGGGTTGAGCACCCTCATCTTGGGAGGCTGAGCGGGGTGTGCGGTGGATTCTAGGAGTTAAAGCTTTCACTTTGCGATGCTTCTTGGGCATCGAGAGGTAGGAACGTTGGAAGCTGGCCGAAGAGTTGTGGGGAGGAAGGTGAGGATTTATAGCATCGGTCGATGTCTACTTAACTTTCTAATTACGTAGCTAGTTAGTTAACTAGCTAGTTAACCAGTTAACTTAGCTAGGTAGTTAGTTAAGTTAACTACACTACGGACTAATCCGGGGAAGTTACTTCGCTTAGCCCTCAGAAATAAGTCTGTGTTGCCAATGATTATAATACGAGACTACTCCGTACATCGCACCGCAATTAATCTCTATCCAGCCATATTCTTCGCAATGCACTTTAACTCCCTTTTGAAAGAGCGTCGGAGTGATGTAGAATTGTCGTTTTCTCCTCGTTTCCTCTTCAAAGATTCCGTTTGAACAGCGTCCTGCTCATTCAGAATCTTGGCCCGCTCAAAATCAATAAGCATCACATGTTTATTCTCTGCATTCCATAAAAGGTTATCATTATGCGGGTCACGATGCAAAACACCAAGACGATGAACAGCTTGCAGCGATTCAGACGCGGAAGTGGCAAATGTTTTGAGGTTATTAGGTCCGGCATGGAACCTCACCCGTCTGCCGGCATGGCTGAGAAAGAGGAGATGCACAATCGCTGCAATCCCATCATACCACAATGGCCGGCTAGATATGTCTATACTGCCCAGGCAAACCGGGATATGTACGCCCTGGATTGGCCGGAGATGTCTGTATAGATATTCTTCGTAAACAGCGCGGTTTATCGTTTCAACGGGTGCCCCTTTAGCAACAAGTGTATATCCGTGTGAAAATAGCGTAAGTCTAAATAGCGCCCCAGTCGTGCCATGGATGTTCATCGATTCGCAACCAAATGGCCCAAAGTCTTTTCTTAAAATCTGTGCTTGAACCAGCCGGCGAAATTCGTATCGGTCAATTCTGTGTTCGGTCTCCCCATGTGTTGCCACATTGGGGCAGTTGCGGTCCAAGGAACCTCCATGTAATAAGCCTAGAAGGCATTTTTGAGTACAGAACTGCCGCATCTTCTCTTTGCCCTTATCTTTGTTCTGATTACTGCCAGACTTTTGAGTTGGTTGGGAAGAGGATATGGCCTTCGATCCGCGACCTGCACTTGGGCTATTAGTGCTGGGAGCGCTATTTCCGCTACTATTATCTTCTTCCTCACTGGTATCCCAGTCTCTGCGTCTTTCATGAGGGGGACGACACGGGGGGGCGGTGACAGGCCCCTTTGACCTCGTCTTGATGGGTGAAGTACGCATATATTCGTTCCTGCTTTGGCGGTTCTGTTTATAATCAGACAAAGCACCGTCACTCTCTTCAGAATCAGACTTGAATATTATATTCTCTTGGATTACCCATGTCTTTAGCTGTGCATGGGCTTTGGCTCGCCAGTCCTGGCTATGCTGAGGTGTCCGCAAGGCTCGAAGTGTAAAAGCCAAGACTTGGCCGACCGCCGTCATATGTAGTCGATTATTATTATTATCATCGGAATCTTTTCTCCATCCAGTAGTAGCTCCAACGTCGTTATTAGGGACTGAGAGGTAGTAATACACAGTACTAGGATCATCAGCGAGAATATGAAGAAATATGAATGTTTCTCCAGTGCAAACATATCCATATTCAAGGCCGCCTTGGATCATATAGGAAAATGCCTGTGTGATAACTGCAGCAACTTTGCGGCGGGCTTCAATAACAGGGCTTTCGCCCTCAGTACATACCACCACGTCATCCACCGTCATAGCCACAAGTCCGGCCTCTATGATGGCCAGAGTAAGTTTGTGCGGCGCCTTATATTCAATGACGAAGGCAGGAACGGTTTCTTCCGAGCTTGTATTATATACGCAGAATTGGTCAGCACGAGGTCGCGATGACCTTAACCGTACATTTGAAGTAGTGTTTAGAGAACCCTTGCTCTCATTGACTCTCTTCTGCCGCTTCCGTACGGGGGATGTTTGTGGGGAAACCATCTCCAAGTCCAAAGGAGGCCCTACACTCCTCTCTTCACTGGTTATAGTGTTTCCGTGGTTTTCAAATTTCACTTCTCCTTTGAGGTTGAAGATGCGTCGCAGTCTTGGGTCCAAGAACAAGATTTCAATGGCACTGGAGACATGGTCCTCAACGGTATACCGTTCATAGTAGCCAAGATCAAGCTCTGAACCCAGTGATCTCTTTCGCAAGCTCGCTCCCAATTCTTTAAGGGTGTGTAAGGATGTAAAATGGCCTTGCGACAGAAATTCATCATCAAAAAGGTCTTTCCATATGGCACTTTGCTCCTGAGGAAATGTAGTCCATTCTGAAATATAGTCGGGGCGAAGCTTGGAATCGGCATTCTCTGGGTCGCCTTTGGTACCAGTTTTATAGTTGATACGCGACGAAAACCCAACGGATAAATGAACGTGACAGGCGTCTAGGAAATCTGGGAGGGTGGTTGGCTGCATTTGCCTTTCCAACTGTCGCCTCTCGTCTTCTGCCTGTTGCCTAAGGCGTCGTTCATTTTCCAAAAGCTGGAGAAGCTGCTCTTCTCTAGACATCCTCACAATGTAAGCAATGGCCACTTTAAGGAAGCCTGAATACTTAGATATCCTCGGGTCTCTAAAGATGTTCTAGTTCTTAGGTCGGCCTTGAGACTTGGGGGAGCGCCAGTAGTTAGAGCTCTAGGCAGCCAGATCGGTGGGAGGTGATCGGCCCGACCCCGCCCGGCAGGTCAACAATCCAGTTATGTAACTACATAACTACAGTATACTCTGTAACGACCTTAGTTTAAGAGTCCTTAAGCAAGTAGCTTTACGCGCTCACTTTTCGGCTCAGGCTTATCTTAAAAAAGGGTGAATCTCTATTCATAAATCTAGTTTACATGTACGCTTGCTAGGCTGAGCAGCCCATGAAACAGGTATTTGGGCTTCAAAAAAGCCGATAGTACAGTCGTTTGAAGAACGTCGCATTTTTTCGTTTCTCCAACTCCAGGTTGTGTGCGGTCCAGTCAATCTCTCTCCTCCCTGAATCGATATCGATTTCATCGAGACTGAACCATCCTTTCCGTTTCCAGGCATACCCACACGCCCAGCAGAACAAGACGACAGGGAGGGCGAGGAGCGATTTGAAAAAGCCCTTTGCATCATTGAATCCGCCTTTAACAGGGCAAATTGCGATAAACACCTACGGTCTCTGGATTAGCCTCTAGCCTGCAAAAACCATCGCTCTCCCTCCTACAAAGGGGAGAACTGATCCGCATAATAAAATCATTCACGAACCTGAGCAATGAAGACGAGGACGACGAGGGCGAGTCCGACCCAAGATCCCCAAACACCAAATGCAGCCTTGAAGGGGATCTCATCAAGGGACCTCCCTTTGTGAGCCCACGCCGCACGGAATCGAATATGTGCAAGACAAATCTGCTCGTCGCGGGCACATCAGCAATGGGATTTGAAAATACATAGGTCGAGACATAGGACAACTTACACTTCCCCAAGTGAACAATGCAGTGAGACCAGAAAGAGCAAGAAGCCAATCAAAGATTTCAACACCACTAGCTGTGACGTTGATGTAGGCCAAGGCACCAAATGCAATGACAGTGCCTGTTGATATAAGTGGCCTGCCAGCTCTATCAACGTATGAAAAGATGCGAGGAGCATATCCTTGTTCAGCAATTGCTGTCAATGTTCGAGATCCTGCATAGACTGCTGAGTTTCCTATGGAGAAGACAGAAACAAGAATGATGACATTCATAAAGCTGTCATATCCTTTAAGACCAGCATCAAGAGCAGCAATAACAAATGGCGATGCATTTGTGTCAATTAATGGGTTTGCACCCAAAAGCCGGCTGTCATTAGATGGAACAAGCAGGCCGATGAAGAACAACCCAAGGATATAGAATAGGGTGATTCGCCAAAATACTTGCTTGATCGCTGAAGGAAGTGATTTCATAGGTGTTTTGCTCTCGGCTGCCGCAAGGCCAACGAGTTCGGTACCAAAAAATGACAAAGCCGCAGTCACAAACACGGAGCAGAAGCCTTTTGTTATGTCAGTTCTTTGTTTTTCTCGAGGTGTGACCCCTGATTGGAGCCAAAGTATCCGTCACAAGAATGCTTAGCTTACCTCTGAAACCATTGCGAAATGCACCGGGATTGTACCAGAGTCTTGCGCCCCAGTATTCAGAATAGATACCTCTCTTTGGGCCTCCTCCACACACCAAGACCACAGCAACTATCATAAAAATGACCACAGCGCTGAGCTTGAGGGCGCTGGCCCAGAATTCTTCCTCTCCGAAGCCCAGAACTCCAAAAATGTTAATTATGATGATGGCCACGAGGAACACAGATATCCAGACTGCGACATTGACGTGGACGTTCCAGTAATTTATGGTTAATGACGCCACTGTGAGCTCAAGAGGAAGCACAGTAAGCCATTGGAGAACATAGTTCCACCCCATAGCAAACCCCCATGATGGGTCAATAAACCGGCTGGAATATATATAGAACCCTCCGGATACCGGATACATGATAGCTAGTTCTCCAAGAGCAAAAACAACGTTAAACATCATCTATGAGGTAATTAGCTTTTTGCCCCAAGCGGAGTCTTGCCAAGTAGTGTACTCACAACGCCAATAATTGCGAAATCAATCACAACACTTGCCGGGCCACCTTTTGATAATGCTGCACCTGAGCCAACGAAAAACCCCGCGCCAATACTGCCGCCAATTGCTATCATATGCAAATGGCGGGACTTGAGGGTCTGGTTTAATTGATTGTGTTTATCTGCCAGGGTCCTTTTCTTAAATGATTCTGGCGTGCAGCCCATCCGTGTCCAGAACCCTGGACGGCTCTGAGTTTCTTCGGCATGCAGGGCGACTTCTTCATCTTTGGAGGGAAAAGCTGGAACAGTCGGAGAAGTACTGGTCCCGACGGAAGCCGCCTTCTCAGAGGGGCCCATCGTAGGGGTTATAATGAAACAACAATTTTAAGAGAAAGCGACGTTGAACAGGAGTAAAAAGACCAATGCAAAATAGTATAGTACTACCAACAGCCCAGGTTTGTAGCAGCGTGGAAATTTTGTGGTTTTTCTGGAAAATACGGGCAGAGCTGGTTTTATAAGCAAACGAAAAAGTCCGAAGGCAAAATCCCCGCGATGCGGGGGGGATTCCACAAGTCAATCGTGACTTTGGAGTGGATGGGGAAGACTACTGTAACTGGTTCCGCACTCTCCATGGGCCGAGTCTCCGCAGTGTATATTCCGCCTATTATTCGGTGAGAGGCGTTTCGACCCTGCGGAGACATAGGCGGACATAACAATGGATCATGGATCATGAAACTGCTGGCCTCTTGCAAAGTAATACTAGTCGATAAACAGAAAAATTCTGCTGGCTTTGAACCCAGTGATTCGCATTTTCCCCAAAATTCTCTTGACCAAGCCTCTCTCCCCTTCGCCACAACAGCAAACATAGCTGGTCCCAGCGATCAGTGTTTTCATACGGTTCCAAGGTTTTCGTCTGTGGAATTCCGTGGGCAGACTAGCCAGATAGAGTTCTTCCAGGCGTTTTCGACGGCTATTCCTGTTTCGCCAGGGCGGGTCGCAGCGGCGTGGCGACATTATTATTGTCGTGTGTGCGCCAGCTGCGTGATGCATCAGGAGACGCGGACATGCACCCACCAACTAGCGAGTTAGTCGACTGCTAAGCAATTAACTAAATAGTCCGGCGAGATGTGCATCATTATTGGGCGGGTTGGGCCAGTTGAGGTGAAATCGAAGTCAACCGCGCCACAAGACCTCGGATATTTAATCCCCAGCGCCAAGCAAAGTCTAGTTAGTTGGTTCACTACTCCGTAAGTCTTGCCAAATAATGCTTCTCTTCGCGGCTGTTCTGGCCTGAGTGTGCATATCGCAGCACAGCAAGTCGCGCGGAGAGACAAGTCGTACGATGTTCTGGAAGCGTTCGGGAGGCAGATCACCACCCAACTTTGCCGGGCTGGCGTCTGTAGCGAGTTGACGCCTTCGTACGCGAGACGAGTTCCACCGAGCCAAGATTCCCACTCGCGAGCTAGAGTTTGCGAGAGGATTGCTTCGAGAAGCCCGCCTTGCTCGGGTTGTCGACTGTCTATTACTAACACCGGCCAACAAAGCGTCGCCGAACACGAAAGGGCGTCCTCGTATGCCGCGGCAATGGACAGCCGCTTGCGATTGGACACGAGCGCCATTTCCGCTGATGAGCCATCCCGGGCGGCTCACGATGTGCCGGCTGAACTTAAAGTGCCTCGTCAGGGTCGAGACCTCCAGTTCGATCACAAAGGCCGTCTGTTCCGTGGGAGTGCACAACGACAAGCTCGCCGCACTTTTCCCCGGGTTTCCCCAGAGTATGCCGTATGCTTGTGGCGATTCGTCTGTCTACATCTTCAATCAGTCCATGCTGGTTGCTATGCCCCGTATGAAGGCCACTTATGACGAACGCGATCACTCCGTCTCTGGATGCGCTTATGGACCGTGATTCGGCTATTTACGGCCGGGCGTGGAGGCAAAAATAGTGGACGCTGTGTACGCAGCGCGTGGGATTGATCAGCAATATCGTATGATCTCCACTAATTTTGTTGCTCATGAGGCAGAGACTTGCTACCCATGAATGCCCAAAAAAATAAAAGCTCACGCTCCGGCAACGTGAATCCGCCCTTGGGTTCGGGGGGAAAACTGGTTAGTGCGAGTGGAGGGTAGTGGATGGTCGGTTCCATTCCCACCGGCCTCCAAATAGGCACACCACGGAAGACAGATCAAATGTTGTGCTATTTCGGCATACTTCTATCAGTGGGTATAAAGATCAAAGTAGAGTACATACGCTCAAACATCCCGGACCCAAGAGTCGTCGTCCATTTTTCTTTCAGTTTTCCCTCCCTCTCGCGCCCACGTTTCTGCCAGACTCGCTTTAGGGTCTTCATTTGGTAGCCCTGTGGAGCTACGGACCTGTAAGACAAGTTCTCGGACCCTCATTGTGCATTCTTTCCGAAGCTCCACTGCTTCCTGGCCATACATGAGTTCTTCATTTAGTACCCCTAAGGAAGTTGGTTGGCCGTCTTCCTCCACCTCGGACTTTAGCTTTTGCCAACGTCGTCTTAGATCGCCAAAGAGATCCTCCACATCGGCTTTCTTACCAAACGTGATGCTAATTTTTTTGTTTATGCGGGGAAGAAATCGCGGGAACGTTCGACTTTCATGCATGACTTCGTCCGTACCATCGATCCACATCGGGACAACATCAGGGCACTCGGAAGCTTCAAGAATCAATCGAGACACCCCCCATTTGAAATATCTCATGGTTTTTGTAGGAGACTGGTGGACCTTGCCCTCTGGGAAGATATGAACCCACGAATAAGAATTGCATGCGTACGCAGACGGTGCTAGGTACGAATCATAGCCGGTAGTCGTGTATGCCATGGCGACTTCAGAAAACGGGTCCACACAGATATTTTGTAAGCTCCATTGTTGCATACCCTCAGCTGCGGCATGGGGTGTAACCGGAAACGGGCCCTTTGAAAGCAGCCGAATAGCCTGTGTTACCGTTGATTGAAATAACCCACCGTACGTGGAGTGATTGAGTCTATGCGTTGGAAGCACCTGTCCTAATGTGAAAAAGGCCGAGAGCCCCCTGATGGAAGATGGATAAGTCAACCAGAAAGAAAAAGGTTACCACGTTAGGCAGTGTAGGTTTTGCCTACCTGTTGCTGAAGCAAATATCGTGACTTCCAAACGCCCACCTACGATTAAACGACTTGTATCCCCAGTGATTATGAAGCGGTATGGTCCCCCACATTATAGGGTCATCCATGCTATTTATTACCAAGCGCCATTTCAGTTTCTGCCCTTATTATAGCCCAGGTGTGCAATTCATGCCTACGTACACGCTTATGTGGTTCGAAACTGTCAGAAGTACATCTTAGCTATCGGGGCAGCCATTTGCAAAAGAGCAGATGAATCAAACCAAGCTCGGTGCTAGAACAAGCCTACCAGTTATTAGACCCCGTTTTCTGGAGGTATGGTCCCGCCGTTCTTCCAGAAGCTGTAAGAATGCATCCTGTCCGTGTATCTCCGTAGTATTAAGGGCGTAGAGAAAGCCACGGCATAGTGCAGCGACTTGGAACATGGTCATGGACGAGCAGAACCTCCAGAACGAGGACGGCTGTTCAAGTGTCTCATGGTTGAGATGCATGGCTAGGGGACAAATCTGGATGTCAGCTACTTGCCATTGGGTCGCATATGTGAATTGAACAAGAGTATCAGGAAAATTTGAGCGTAATAGGGGCCGAAGCCGCGCAATTGTGGAATGGATCGTACGTCGCGTTGAAGTTGACACGCCTGGCGAACAGACCGAAAAAGCCAATTTCTGTACCGACGCACGGGCCACGTCAAGAATCGTCTCAACAGGCCTGCAAGTCAAGGCACTTCACCACCACGGCTACATCCCTACCATCCACACTTCCAATAACGATGTTCAAGCCAACCTCTCCCGTCATGGGAGGCCTACTATGGTACGTCCAATTCCCTCATTCTTGCCCTATACATGCCTTCTTACCCCACCACCAAGCGCAATGCTAATTCCACCGTTCCTCGCAGGAAAATTCCCTGGCGACTCTCCTCTATGCAAAAAGCCCGACAACGCAAGCGACTGCGCGCTGTAGATAATGTTGTTGATACCGTAGCTGCTGCCCTGCAGCGCAATGGAGGCATGACCACGAAAGCTGTGGAGCGGTGGCACAAGGAAATGCCTAGGGAAGAGGAGATGCTGCCAAAGGATAAATACACGATCTTCGATCGGAAAGAAAAAAAGTATCGGAAGGGAATACACAGTACGTATCTGAATAAATCTAGTATTTTTGTGAACTTTACTGCACCGAGATCGTTTCTACTGTGATGTGGGGGTAGCCGTGATATTTTGCGAAAGATAACACTTCTGATCCGCTTTTTCTTCACAGAACTTCCAAAATGGACTCGGGTCAGTCAGAGAGTGAACCCGCCAGGTTTCTAATCGCTGTCGTCTGGATCTATCTATTTCTGTATAAAACGCAAACTCTATCCCAACCAATGTCGGCGGCGATTTCATCAGAATCGTCCGTGTACACATACTTCTTTTTCATTTCCGGAGCAAGGGTACTAAGCTGGAGTTATATTGGACATTTTGAGTTTTCAAAACTTCTTCTTTTTGTTATTAGACAATTATTATCTACCCTGGATGAACGAATGGAAATATTCACTCTCTATACGGATGGATAAATTGAGCAAGCATCCACAGTTCTGAAGTCATATCTAAGCCCGTTCGACACTGTCTTACTCGAGTGCCCTCTTTAAAATATTTCCAATTATCTTCATGTTACCCAGAGCTCGTCGTGTCTGTCCGCGGGGGTCAATATGTCAAATAACGAATTCTGTCGCTGTCGATGAGTCCTCTGAATCCGTGATTGCCTGTGCATTGGCCGCGAAAGCGCGATCCAAATGGCTTCCAGGAAGATCCAAAGATAAACTTTCCTGGGGGTGGTCCATCGATGCTGTAGGGCCGCCATCTGGAGCTGCTCTCTGGTATGTTTGATTCCTTCGCGACCAAGTTGACTTTGCGATTTTTCTGCTTTGTTTTCTGACTCGTTTATTGCTGGTGTGCCGAGACCCACGACGTTTGACTTTGCTGGAAGCTCTCTTGCAGCCTTTTGTGAGCGCTTTCGCAACCTCTACCACTCTCCTTCTATTTGCTTTCCCCTCACAGATGACCTTTCGCGCTCGATAAGCTCTTGGAACGTTCTGCCAAAATTCTAGCTTCTCATACCATCCACCACAGCCTTCGAAGTACGCATTCTTTTGTTTTGTTGACATCTCAAACCCCTGGGGTGGCTTTTTGAGAATCCAGGTTGCAGTGTCTATTGTCCCCTCCGGTGGCTCGTCAGCAGATCCGTCAAATAATTCTATTGCCCTCAGAAATTCTTGAACGCCAGCGGATTTTCGAGCTCCATTCACCGCTAACCTCCAGGAGTCCACTCTCGGAGTGCGTGCTCTTTTCTTTTTTATGGCAGGACACGCCGCTTTTCCACGGTCTTTTGGAACTTCTGGATTTTGGTCGCCACATAGTCTCCTTGCAGTTGACGAAACTCGAGTAGGTGGGTCGATAACCACCCATGTACTTTTATTCAACCAGTGGTTATGAACTAGGGAGAATTGCTGTGGCTTGCGACCAGGTTCTACCTCACTGGAAAGCCATTCAAGCTTGCGCTCAAGATCGTCGATTAGGCGGACTTCGGGATTGCTGATACGTCGTTGAGGTAAACTGGGAATAAAGTACTTATTTTGCGATGGTCCTGGTTCCGCAGGATATTGACCGAAGCGATGATTTACCCTCTTATGAATATGGAACGGTGGATGTTGATTTCGGACAGAATTTATCGTCAGTCTGGACGTGTATCTCTCAGAGCCCACAAGGTGGTGGCCTGCTTGAGGATAGAAGCCAGATAGGGATGATTCTGAAGCGGCTCGCCTAGGAATATGCTCTGTATACGACTTGTAGCCTTCAGAGTCGACTCTTGTTGAGATCATACTTTTCAAGGCTTCTGGTAAAGGGGTTCCAGGCCGACCAGCCAAACCGCGCAGATCGGCCCGTGTTCCAGGAAATGCGATTCGTTGCATTCTTGCACCCCACGCTTTATATCTCCATGATAAATTTTTGTCTGGTCCAATTGCGGGCAAGCTTTCCTCGGAGGAATGGATACCCTGCCTTGGACCAAATGCCGGCCCACTGTAGCTAATAAACAGATCAGGCTTGTGGTTCTTCCCAAGGGGCGCGTCCGATGCACATCTCCTAGCCAAATGCACCGCCTCACTTTCTCTTATCATAAGCGGAGATTCTAGAACAGGAAGAGACGCAGACCGTTTGGTATTTGCTGAGGGGAAGGATCGGCATGGCTCTGACTGATCTTCCGCAATTTCAAACGTTGTTATACCGCAAGGCGCTCCGTCAACGTGGAAATGATAGTATTTGTCACCGTCACCTGATCGAACTGGTGTTTCAACATTACGGGCGTCGTTCAATGGCATAGCACCCGTTGTTGTCATTGATACCTTTGGTCTTATCACAGCAGGTTCTGGAGCTCTCAAAGGGATATCTGCCGCGTTCTCAACTTGGGGCGGCACATAGCGCTGGTTACCAATGGGCTCATTTGATGGAAAATACACCTGGCCAAGGGGCAAGTGTGAAATCGGTTTTTGAAGCCAGCGCAATGGCCTTTGCTCTTGCATTCGCTGTTTTGCCTTTCTGCCATCTGGATCCCACCAAACCCAACTGTAATCAGCATGGCTCGTTCTCCAGGTCGTTAAATCTTGAAGCTTTTTCAGATACCCACGCCGCCGCTGCTGATGGTGCTTGTATTTTTCCATGGGTATCCATCCATACCATGTCTTTGCATATTGGGTTTCTGCATTTTTCCCACCACTAACCACCTTGTGTCGGCTGAATGAGCGCAAGAATGTACCCAATTTCCAAGAGAGCACGGTAACAACGAAGGTTAAAAAGAAGGCAATGAACAGCACAATGAGTGCCCTGAGTCCATAAGAAGAGTCATCGCCGTATACAGGACCTTTGTCAGTGGGTGGGAGGATGACTTGTCTATGACGAAGTGAAGTGTTGTAAACTGGAGCCATTAATCAGGTCGGAAACAGGACCGGCGGCTTGAATGGTCTCACAGTCCTGAAACCCCCCGAATTTGGATTTCTCGAGTATAACGAATGTAACAGGACTAGCCAATATACTCAACCTGTGACGCAAAGCGAACGTGATTGCTTCCTGTTTCGCGCAAAGGCAGCACGTAAAGAACCTCGCTTTCCTCCTTGTCGAGTTCCTTAACCGCCTTGGAACACCAGACTAGAAAAGTAACGACCACAAAGAGAGCGAGAGTACCAATCCCGATGATGGTCAGGATATCCTTCACTTCCATACGAGGCAGCTGGCGAAGACTGGACCCCCTAAGCGAGCGTCTTTTCAAAGAAATTGGAGAAGAATCCTGGGTTGAGCTGCCAAAAGTGATAAAAGCTACAAAAATAATGAAATAAACAATTTGAAGAGATGTGACAGGCTCACATTCTCATCATGAAGAAATTTTGTGGGGTTCTTTGGTGAAAAAAAAAAGCTGACAAGGAGAGAACTGAGGTGGAAAGTGCAATGAACCTGAATCTTCCTGCTATCTCGGCGCACTAGCCTGACGATGCGATGCCCAGGCAGCATCGCATCGCCAGGCATGGCTAGGAGTACGGTTGTTGCTAGGAAAGTCCTTGTTTGCAGCAGCGGTTTAGATGTTTTGCACAATCAATCACTCTGCTGACAGGAAACTCTGGAAAAGCGGTGCACAGCAATTGAGAGCCCAACAGGATATACTTTGTTCAGAAATTTCATCCTTCATTTAAGTTGAATGCACATGCTACTATGGGTTTTTTCTTCCAGCCTCATATTATGTTCCCCGTTGAAAAACTAAACACGTCATTAACTAGCTTCAGTTTTCACGTCATCTGCAAACATATGCTTCAGTATCTTGTGGTATTTGATCAAACAGCATTTCTGTTTGAGATGCGGATGGCCCCGAAGGAAAGAGTGGAGATCATGCGGAGGAATCGAGAGTCAATCAGAATAAGCTCTACCACACTACCGGAAGTTCGCTGATACCGACATCCATGGTAGGTGCGGTATATTTGATCTCTGAATGGGGGATTCCAAGTCTCAAGTTAGGAAGCCGCTGGAAAAGCGTTGCTGAAACTGGGTTTAGTGAAATTGAGACTGCGAGCCTATATACATCTTGGACAACTTACAGAAAACAGCCTCTAGTTCTGCACGAGAAAGCCCTTCCGCGATGCAGCGATGGTCCCCATAACCGTACCCAAGGGCACTTTCGGCACCACGTTTGCGGTGCATATCAAATTTGTCTGGGTTAGGAAATACGTCCTCGTCTCTATTAGCAGCTTGGTTGGAAGCAATGATACCTTCGCCAGCTTTGATAATTTGGCCATTCAGGGTGATATCAACTTTAGCGACACGGCGAGTAGCCAACGCCGACGCAGTATGATACCGACATAACTCTTCTACGAACGGTTTTGCTAGAGATGGATGGTTCTTCAAGTCCTCTAGTTGGTCTGGATGTTCAAGAAGTGTTACCACTCCCTATTGATGTATCAGGTGAAAGTTTGATGCCCGCCTTGGAAACAAACAACTTACTAGATTGATCATGTTGACCATGGTAGCATTGCCAGCAACAAGCAAAAGAAATGATATTTGGACAGCATCCAACTTGTCAATATTCCCAGGAATGAGCTTCAAACATTAGAACAACGAGGCAATATCTCGAGGTTCAAAAACATACCTGTTTGGTGACCAGGGAACTGATCAAGTCGCTCTCAGGATCCATGATTTTCTTGTCGACAAGCTTATCAAGATACTCCAGTAGTTCTCTGAAGGAATATTAGTAACTTCATGGATCTAATATTCAGAAAAGGCTTACTGATTAGCATTGGAGGCAGCAGCAGCAGTCGAGCTACCATTCGTCCGAATAGCATTCCATTGCGTCAAAATCTCTGTGTCCTCAAATGGTATACCTAACAAATCATATATGATCTTGGATGGTATGGGGAGGGAAAACTGTTCCACTAAATCAACTGGCTTCTCACATCCTTTTCGTATCATCTCTTCCAGGTAATGATCCACCGTCCTTTGGATTTGTGGCTTCATTGATTCAATATGCTCTGGAGTAAAGAATGACGTGACCATACCCCTGAAGTTTTTTGTCAGTCAAAAAGAGGCCTTGCTCAGCTATGCAACCACTGCTTACCTTTGATGCATATGATCCGGAGGATCCATATCAACAAAAGTTGGCCGATTCTTTGCTGCGGCCTTCCCACCCGCTGACATTTCTGGGAAACCATCCCGTTGGCGTTGCTTAAATCAAACACGGGTTTCAGCTTCCAACGCAGTACTGAGTAAGTAGTTGTGCTCATTCTCTTCCTACCTTGGAGAGCCGCTCGTCAGTGAGAACACTGCAAACATCCTTATATTTGACCACCAGCCACGGATGGCTGCCATCCCATAATTCGACTCGTGAAACTGGATTCGTGGCCCGAAGCCTTGCAAATTCAGCTGGTGGCTCTGCGCGCGCGGGCGAGCGAAGGGAAACTTAGGTGGAGCTAATCTGCATTAGATTGATCGTATTATGAAGATGAGCCTATTTCTCCCTACAAGCTTCGCTAGCTGTGTTGCGGTGTTGTATTGAACTGATTGAAGAAGCAGCTGATATCAGGCTTGTAAAGAAAACACATGAGTATTGGATCAATTTCCTCATATCCCATAGCATAGGATAGAGCGATAGGATAATTTGCCCATTCGCCCAAGATTGACTGACATGTTTCGTCTACCCGAAAACTGCCTTAGAAGTCCCGTTGGTGCTCTTGTGCATAGCATTTCGAAAAGGGGTCTAAGATTTAAGAGGCAACGGGTGATATATGGCCTTCTGACAAATTTGGGGTATTGTAGAAGAATGAAGAGAGACGAAAACCGTTCTTTGGGTCAATATATGGTCATACGATTGGATAAGAAGGCGAAGAATTGCAGGAAGCACCGCTATCCTGGACAACACTCCGTATAAATACGCATTCTATGCCACGCCGGGTATTGACAGCCTTGCCCGAATGGGAGAGACGGCCGACGTCTCCGCGGACCTCTTCTCCTTATGCTGCCCTAGTTAGACTTCGTGTATCGTGCCATTTCCTGCTACATAAGGCGACAGTAACAGTTGCACCAGTAATTAACCGGTTAGCTTTGGGAGGGGGGGTATGGGCGCAATATGCAAAGAGCACACCAGAAACCACAATCAGGTTGTCACGGCATCCAGCGGAACCGTTTGGGGCCGTTGATTCCTCATCCTGCCGAATGAACACGAGATAATAACTAATCCGGGTCGCTTTCTTCGATGTGGCGAGTCCCTGCTCAATAGTCAGTTACGCGCGTGTCCGTGCTCATGCCAGAGCTCACAGCGGACAAGCATCTCCGCGGAAGTCGAATGTGATGGGATTGGATTTCTGTTGCAGCGCGAAATGATCTCGGAGAAGGAAAATATCGGGGGTGGTGCAGGGGGCACAGCGTGACAAATCGACCAAGAATGCACGAATCGGAATCGTTTACTCCGTACGGAGTACTTGTATAGTTAATTTATTTCTCTCTAATCCCTCTATTAAAATGCTTCCAACGCTATTCTCATGCTGTCGGATAAACCTCGAGTTCATACCAATGACAGAACTTGATTAACTACACGACGTTTATGCAAGCCGGTCGAAATTGGGGCCTGTTCGGTTGATACCAACCTCCTGCGGGCTCCTCCCTTTCTGTAAGTATGCCCAACTCCCACCGCTAGAGGAGGGTTGAGATCAAACTGATATACTACTCATATATAAGTTTATAAGGACCTATTGTATGCTGCGACATTGGGTAATCTGCAGCTCAACGATTACAGTGCCGTTTGTCAAAGGCAATCATTAGAAGACATTCATGTTATAGGGACAGTAACCCGTAGTATCAAGCTAGAAAACTTCCTTGTTGACTACGGTCCACATTTTTAAGCTCCTCATTGGGTTAGTTAGTTAAAGCGGCATTCGGTAATGGCTGACGGAGCCAATTCCAATACGTGTAATAGGGATATTTCCCAGCCTTGACGGAGGTTACAAACCACCGGCAGATATTTGCTCCATGGGCGTCGCTGCAATGTAATGGACATATAATATCTCCCAGGCCCTGCTGTACCGGAAGTCGGGGAGCACAGAATCCTGGTGGCAGTAAGGGTCGGGTGGGATCATATGGCAGCAGCCTTGCTTAAGCGGCGAAGGTGTATAAGAGGAAATGGCGACCTTTCAGTCGAGATTTTGTTTGGCATTTTTGAACCCAACCCGAACACTGGAGGGGGGGCTCATTGAAACAAAGGAGAAGAGGATGGTCTATTTGCTTGCATACAGAAGCAGCGTGATGTAGAAGGCGAAGCACAAGCACATGCTCGATGGGTTCTACCTAAACGTTGATAAGACAGACGTTGGCTCGGTGTTGAAGTTGGAAGGCCAGCTAGTCAAGTTAACTAAACGGGTGAATTTCGGGCCGGCGCCAAACTCGGGGTTTATATTTTTCCGAATCTTGGAGCTTCAACAAGCCGAACCACGTAGTTGGAACAATCGTTAGAGCTCATGACTCTTCACGACTCATCAATCGTTACTAGATCGGTCAAAACTCAATTACACAAATCTCAGTGTGATAAACGATACACAGTCCTGTACTCCTTATGGATACATAGCTGTGGCCCAATACTAAGTGCTGGATAGTGCCGAATTGCGAATGTTTTCATGGCAAGACTACGAAAACGCTAGCATTACCTAATTCAATATGATTTACATACCTGCGATGATACTTAGGAGAACCCATACGCCACCGACAGACGAAAAAGACAGGACTCGAGCCAAGGCTAATGTACAGTGCATAATAATGAGGAAACTGACGACGCTGTTGGCTACTCGCCGGGATCGACAGCGCCTCGCTAGAACATCATGTAGCCTTACACCACAATAATTGTGTTGTGGGTACTGACTACGAATACTATGAGTGAAGACGTGTTCAGAGAATAGATCGTACAAGCTTTCGTGCATATCAACGGATAGTCAGTGCAGCCGAAACCGCAGAGGATTCTTCAGCAAACGCGTCGCCAAAATCATTGAGTTTTAACAAAGCTAAAAAAATAAAGCTAAAAAAAAGTTGCAGATCTAGGAAACAGCTGATGGAATGGCGAGAAATCGGAGTAGAAGGGTGTTAAGTCTTCTCGCAGTTGGATGTTGGGCTTTAACATACAACAGCTCCTGTGCGGAGAACGGAGTACAGCGATCAACTTGGGTGGTTTAAATGGCGCTGATAGGTAGTTATACGATCTGGGTTGATCTCCGAATGTAGCAAAGGCCAGGGTTAGTTAGTGCTTATGCGGCATTTTCAGTCTCGCGGCAAGAAAGGCCAGTCGGAATGCTTGCATGTCGTTTGTGAAGAAACGTCTCTTGATTTCCAAATGCTGTCTACCCTATATGCATCGCGATACGCGGTAGTTACTACTGGCGCGAGGATTAAGGTAGGTTTGTAATCGACAGCCTTCCGGGGTATTGTCGGATGGTTAGTTGGATGATGAAATGAGGATTGGATCTGGTGACTAGGGTAGACTAGGGTAGAGATAAGAAGACTTGGAGGGATTTTTTTCCAGAAGAGCAGGCAGGAATCAACAGAGGGTGTGACCACGGCATGACCTGGAGGAATCAGCTAGTTAGGCGCATGGCCATGGGCGTTGAGCGCGAACCAAGGCGCCAACGACATCACGGGGGGGGGCGGCGATGGACTCAGCCTTGCCGGGTGGTGCAGGCGCGGGTCTTGGGCGGGCGGGGCGCACGAGCTGGAAAGAAGACGTAGACGCAGAAGCTTATCGCCAAATGGATCCTTCGCGGCATTTCCAAGAATAGGCGGGGGTTAGGTGCAAGGCCGGGGTGGGCTCGGGACAGCCGACGGTGCTCAGCAGCGATCCTTCGCGGGCAGGTTGGCGATAGGACGGGCTGTGGGGAGGGAGTACGCGGCCTACGGCCAGCATGTCGCATCAACTAATTTAATTAGGGAGCAGCGCGGGCGGCGCGGGGGTGAGTCACGCCCAGACGGCGCCGAGGATGCGGCTCAGCACCGCCCGCCACAGGGCTGGCCCGCCGACGCTCCGGGGGCCGCTGCGGGGCGCCACAGGCCTGGCTACTTGCGAGCGTGGCGTACGTCACGCCCCGAGCACGAGCACCCGTTGGCCGGCGCGCAGAGCTTCAACGCGGCAGCTAGTCAACTATAAAAGGGCCGCGTCGCCGGTGTTTCGTTTGGCGGTCCCCGTTTGTTTCGCTGCTGCTGCCCATCTTCCTGACTCCCTCCCCGCTGCCCTCCTGGAGAGCGAGCCCCGCCGCTGGACTGGCACCGACCCCTATCCTCCCACCCTCATAGCTCCTCATAGCTCCCCGCCCGGCGCCGTCCGATCCACGCCCGCTCCCGCTACGCCCGCGCGCAGAGCATGAACCCGCGTACCGACTCGGGGTCGCAATCCACCCGATCGCAGAGCTCCAGCACCAGCTGCGGCTCCGCCAGCAAGCGATCGTCCCTCATGTCGGCGCTCCACCTCCCCAGCTTCGGCCACCACCACCACCACCACCATCATCACGATCCTCCCGCCGACAAAGCCGTGCCCGAAGTCCAGCACCATCCCCTGTTTGGCGCCCACCGCCCTGGGGCCAAGGCCCCCGCGCCCATCCTCACCGACCACGCGCCCCCCGACGCCCTCGACGCCCGCCCGCTCATGGCATCGCCCGTCGACATGCACGCCCGGCCCGCCGGCCACTCCTACCCCGACTCGCCGCCGCCCGTCTTCAGCGCGTCATACCCGTCGCCGCCGGCCTACGCCTCCGCTCCGCCCCTGAGGAAGAAAGACACATCCGCGTCCGCGCCCGCACCCGTGCCCTCGCCCTCGCTCCCGCTCCCCGCGCCGTCCCACCGGCGCAGCGCCAGCGACCACAGGCGGCTCAGTAACACGGTCAACTACTGCGGCCGCCACTCCAACGACTGGCTGTTCAACGGCTTCAGCATCCGCGACAGCGTGCGCGGGCTGCTGCGTGACGGCGAGCGCGACGGCAAGGCTCCTCCTAGCCATGATGACCCGCCCCGGCGTCGCTGAGCGATCGCAACCACAATTCCCTGGTGGGATTTGTCTTGCTTCTTTTAGTCATAATTTTTGTTTTTTCTTTTTGACCTTTTGGCTTTTTTTAATGCTGGTGGGATTGACTGCCCGCCGCCACAACGTTTTGTTATTGGACACGGCCATGGTAACAGCGGAATATTCGCGCAGCTGAGACATTTTTCTGATCACACCTTTTTTGCATGTTAAAATGATTTCCTTCACTACTGTTACTGTGACTGTGCAGCCTGTGGCTTGCGCCTTGATTGGCTCATCTGCTGAACTACTTAGTTAGTTAGCGTTGCCGTTCTTCCCCTTGTCTGGTCGCATGCATTTTCTAGCTTGTCCCCAGTCGGACTGAGTTACACGCCTTTGAGAGCGTTGACATGGCACAAGTCCATGAATATACTGATAGATTGCTGAATTTAATGGCTTACTGATGTCTCAATACCTTGCCAGTACATGCAAGCCTGCATCCGGAGTACGTACGTGTAGCACATATAAGAAACCTAAAAAAACGTTGGGGAATATCAAATCACCAGCAGCCACATATCTATCACCTTTAAGTTTGGCAGAAAGTTAAGCTCGCGGGCTGGAACCGTGGAACACCACCATCCTTGACGCACACTCCGGGTTGTTTCTTCGTAATCCAGCACCCGAACAACCTTTTAGCAATTCCCGCCCAATCTCCCTAGCCCCCTCACCGTATTTCACCCCGGTGCTTTTACGCCATCTTAGTCCTCCCCCCACGTTCACGATCCAAATGCAGCCACACGACTAGAGAAATCAGAACGGAGTACGGAGTAGCCACCCTGCTCGGCCGGTCCAGGTGCATCGTCTCCAAAGCCATCCTTCGCGCCACGTATTCGATTTGCACGTGGGCCATGAACATGCCCATTCTTGAGCGCTAGCTGTGGCACCAGGAACGCCATGCGTCGTCGATGACGCGGAGTTGCGCGTTTGACCGGCGCAACAAAGAACATGGCTGGCTCGGGAGCCCAAGATGCTGCCGGTTATGTTATTCTAAAAGCTTCCTTTGGCTTTTCTGACCATTCATCGAAGATATTCTATTCACCGCCAAGCTCGTTTTTCTTGCTATACTCCGTCCGCCAAGTCTTTTACGATATATCAGGTCCCAAGACAATATTGATCAGTGTTGTATCGTCTGTATGAGAGTTATTCACGGTATGTCGGAGAGCTTGCGCGTCGTTGGTCGCATGCCCCGGGACATTGGGCTGGTAACAAATGGTCATACAATACTCCGTACCATACTCTCCATGGTGAGGGACAGTCTGAAGGGACTTCAGCCACCCGCAGGGCATCACTCTTCCTGCGAAGTTAGGGGGGACACTGTCCTTGTACTCCGTAGACAGTACCGCCCCAGGGTTGGTATGAGTTTGCAAAGGATTTCTCCTTGGGACAGTGGGTACCTAGTTACATACTAGTAACTATCGGTTATACTGTAATGGGAGAGCACCGTCGATACAGCGGCTTCAGCACATAGAGGCATCGCAGGCCCTGGTTGCCCGCGCGAGAAAATGGTCTATTCTCGTCGTTGTCGCCAGTCAAGAAAGCTAAAGCCACCAAGGAGCCAGTGAACTTCACGGCTTCTTCTGCAAGGCCCAGCACAGCCACACACAGCACTCTTGGGCGATACAAGCTTCACGATCCTGGTGGGCCCTGATCATAAGGCGGTTTTTGTGTTTGGCTCCTTGGCTGGGGTTGGCAGACGCTCACGCGCCAGGATAGGCGAGCATTGGCGCGCCATAATTATTCCAGAATATCATGTAAACGTTTAATCGGCTTGACGTGTTTTGGGCTCGTTTAGTCGTTTGCTAGAAGCCAATGAAAGGTCATAGCTTGTTACTGGTAAAACCATTTAGTTAAAAATGATGTTTCAGGGGCCTATACAACCTTCGGAGTAAGTGACGCGTGTATATATATGGGGTGTTATATCTCCTCGTACTAGGTAGTATATTTTGTTTACATCAAACTGAAAACTGGAAATCTTATGGCCAAATTTGTGGGAGGGCCCCTGTCCGTCCGTCTTCCGCACCCAACTCCTCGAAGCATGTCATATCCAACTCCGTTTCACTGTCTCTTCTTCCCATTCAAGGATGAAGCAGCTCCGACAAACGCCCCGCGAATCTCGCTCCAGCCAGCCCACAGAACCCAAATCGGCACAAATACCCATAGCATATTAAAAAACACCAGGTATAACCACAAGTAAACAGGATCGCTCGTCTCCAGCGCCGTGTTTCCCGAAAGCCATTCCGGCGCAAAAGTCATAAATCCACCATATAGCTCAGCAACAGCCAGCCCAATAGCCACAAACCACAATCTTCCCTTGTACATCCCCGCTTTTGCCGCGACCGCCGAGGACGTGGCCTTGTAGGCCAGGTAGCAGATGTACAGCGCAGCAGGGCCCCCAAGAAGCACGGTCAAGAGCTCCAACGATATCACACCCAGGTCTGAGCCCAGCCATCGCGCATCCGCCTTGCCGTACTCCTGCCACATTCTAGCCGTAGGCCCTGCGCCGTACGCCGGCCCGTACAGCCTGTCTCCGTGGTTCAGGAAATAGGGCTTGGCGCGCGCGACCGCGTACGCGTGCGAGGGCAGCGTCGTGTAGCTAAAGAAGCAGTGGTAGAGAAACGAGCCTTCGATCAGGAAGTGCGTGAGCGCATCGTACGCGTGCCAGAAGAAGATAACGCGGTATTTCGGGCTGTGGGAGGGGATGAGGACGAAGGAGAGGATCAGGGAGAGAGGGAGCAAGGAGAGGGCGGCAGCGAGGGATAGCGTCGTGGGAAGATCGGGCGTGAATGGTATCGTGGGCGACATGTCGGCGGAGGTTTGCGAGATCTATCGATCTGCTGTCGAGCGTGCGGCGGCGGTGATTTGGTTGAGAGGCTTGCTGATGGAGGGGCGGAGCAGCCTGCTTTCCACCCTAGGCTTCAAACAAAGAATATATGCTTCACGTGGATTTACAGCTGCAGGGAGTAGAGTGAGTGTATTTGCATCTTCTGCGTGCCTCCATTTGTTCTCAGCATCCACAAGTGTTGGTGGAGATTTTGAGCGTTTGGTGAGAGGTTGTTGACAGGGAAGTGCGCTAGTGTCAGAAAAAGGGGTTTGCTCTTGACACTCCTCAACATGCAACATGATTCAAATTCAACCATCACACCTAGCTATGAATAAAACCAATCTCATGAGCCATAAATACATTTAAATCATCATCTTTCATCAATTAATCACACCATTCCTATCTCCTCCACAACACTCGCATAATTTCCCGGGAACAGCCCTTTTTGGCCAGCATAGCAGCCCCATAGCCAGTCGTCGTTGATGTTCTCGGCTTCGGTAATTTCTGCACCTCGAGGGAACATGATTTCATCTGTCTCTTCTGGTTCGGGGTAGTACGACCAGAGAGCAATTAGACGCAGCCCAATTCCGCCTGATGGCGGAAATCGCATGGTAAGGGTGTTTTTTGGTGTTTCTGCTGAGCCAGCACTGATATGGTGCCGCGACCGATTGAGTTTGCGCCGACTCCCCTTGACCTGAGCATCAGGGTTCGCGCCTTCGGGCCACTCCCATGGATCCGAGTCTTGGCGAGATAAAGGACTGTGGGGAGATGCGCTCTCGGAACGGTTGGTACCGCTATTATTGGAGATAGTTGGGCCAAAGTCATCCTTCCATGCATACCCGCCAACTAGCCCTTTTACTACGACGCGTTTCTGGCCTTCTTCATGGTCCTCAAACCCAACGATGATCATGCGGTGGTTGTGTGGACATCGCCGCCAGCCATTTCTTCCATTGTCCCTGCTGATCCTTCCAGTTGCACCCAATTTCAAGTAGCAATTAGTGCAAATATCATAGTCGCCATCTTCGCAAGTGGGGCAGTGGTATCGAGTGACAGAAGGCGGGATCGGATATGCACAGATATTGCATTTGGTTGAGAACGACAATATGCCGTACCGCCTTGTTTCAACAACGAGGCTGGATCCTGGGACCAGAACGCACGCCGAATTACGCCTACTAGCCGGAACAGAGTGCATTGAGTTTCCAGTAGCTTCGTCAACGCGCGTGATCGGGAGAAGTGGATGGGTGCAGCACTTTCCTCGGCCCACACAGGAGCTGCAAAACCCCCACTCGCCTTCGTTACACTGGCTGCACTTCCAAAAACAATCATCCGAAAATGAGTGGCATATGTCACAGAATAGCCCATCTTGCAGTCTAGTTGACGGGTCTGAGTTTGTTGTCTGTCTTTCATTCTCCCTGCTAACGGACAGGATCGTTTCTTCTGCAGGAGGTATATATCTGCGAGATCGAAGTCTATGTGGGCCCTCGCGTTTTTGCTGTTCCGTAGAAGAAGGCTCCAAACTTTTCTCGAATCGAGTCTGTGCTGCCTTGCCAAAGCCGAACCAGTGCAGACACCCAAGTTCTCGACGGTAACAACCTAGGCAGAGACAGTAGGCCCCATCTTTGCAAAGGGTACATATCTTATGGAGTTCGTATTCTAGATGTTTCTGGTGACACCTTTCGCACGAAATTGACGGCTCGACGAACGAAGGAATCGAGGTCCTGCTATATAGCTCTGACTGGGGCGACGGAGTTACATATGATGGAACAACTGAACGATTTGGTATATTGTTCGACCTTGAACGTGAGTCCGATCTGTGGCGACTTTGCTCGGTGCTCGAATTTGAAGTCCTGGGCGACGGAGGTTGGAAAGTATCGGAAACTGGGGAGTTGACAATAGTTGGAGAGTCTGAACTATGTCGGTCTGGTAAGCTGCGTTGGTCAGATCTTGAGCTACCACGATGTTGCCTAACATGCAACCTTCCAGTTTGGTCACTGGCACTTGCAGCTCCACTTCGTGAGCTTGCGTGAGTTCTAGGTCGTGAGCGGCTGTCGCGGGAATGCTCTGAGACATCGGTGGCAGATCGTCGAGCGGGTGTAATTGACCCTTCTAATGATCCCGGAATGGGTGAAGTGCGTCTGCGGCCAATTCCACGATCCGAGGCGTTTCTTCGATGAGATGCAGAAGCAGTGCCTCTTGATTCTAATAGGTGCCTTCGACTATCCTCTGAAGAGCTTATTTGAGTGGCATGTCGGCCACCTGTGCTGTGTGAACGGGACCGTGGTTGTCTCGAAGAAGTCCCCTCGGCTCCGCTGGATTCTCCATGTGACCTAGTTCTGTGCCGTTGGCGCCTTCGAAATGCCTCCGCTATGCGCTCTGTAAGTTCCTCTTCTTGCTCGGGGTTAAGACTTTGTAGGTCGATTCCATCCAATAGGCCTTCTTCAGCGATTTGTCTCAAAATTTCTTCTTGAATGGCAGTTTCGGTAAAATCAGGATTACTGAGAAGAGACCGTAAGCTGGCTTGGTGCTCTACTTGCCTTGATCGATCCGCACTCCTATCAAGAGGACTTCGTGACCGCGTCGTAGTACTCGTCTGCCTTGCGGCACGTCTTCTTCTCCGTGCATCTTCAACCCTCTGTTGGTCACTGGGTTGATCTGCTCCGCGATGGGTCCGGGAAGTGAATGAACGGGAGTCTCTGTAACTTCCTCTTTCATGAGAATCTCTTAGACTAAGTTCTCTGACTTCTTCCATTAACCTGCGGTCTTCCTCCTCTTCTTCGTCACTCCGCGACGTCCGTGCGGGGTTTCTCTCCACCGGTAGAACATCGTCCCCACGTTTATAGTTTTTGGCAATTTCAGCCTTTTCATCGATAGATTTTTCCTTGTCAGGGTGTGATCGGAGGAAAAGGTCTAGAAGGGTGGTGACTTTCGCGTCATGTTTGGTATCCCGGACAACAGACCTACAAGAGGGACAAGTAAACCGTGGGCTTCGTCCTAAGTTAGGGTGCAGTTGCTGCCATGAGAACCACTCCTTGAGGCAACAGCCGCAGAAGGTATGGAGGCAGTCAAGAACGGTTAGCGGTTGGTAGAGTAATTCTGTACAGATCTTGAGAGGCGTTAGAAAACCGTTTCTGCAGCTTATCGTCTAGAACAGTTATAGCATCGACAAAAGGGTATATCCATGCTTACAGAACAAGTCAGCTCTTTTTCCAAATCCACCAGTTCCATGTTTGCCATCTTCCCGTCTCAAACGTAGGCTGCATGAAGATGCAACGGATGAGGTTCAGCCGCGCATGCGGGAGACGGGGTTATGACCCCAGATAAACCCCAGGTGAGCAATATAATTGGACTGGACTTGTCTTTTAGAACTCAATTATGTCTGCAATACCAGGCGTGAGTTTTTTGTCTGCGTCATTCAAATCGGCGATAAGAAATGGCCGCCCAAGTCTCGAAGGTCAGTCATGTGAACAGCGGAGCCGCCCAGCAACCAAGGTTCCCCTCCGCCGACGTTACCAGTGGCCAAACACTTATTAAAAACATACCGGGCCAACTGATGCCCTTGCTTCTTGTTTGGTTACTATTATTAAAAATTTAGGCTCTGTTCCTCAATGAACCATGGGACGACAAGTGTATCTGACTACACAGTAAACCCCTACTTCAACAGTATGGGTGGTTGTGAATCTGAACACCAGGCTTGACACATAATGTTGGGACGAATGCTCTCCCAGCACCTCCATATCCAGGAGGTATACTATCTGGGCGACTCAGCGTGCATGAAGGTGCTAGAACCAATTCTCTTCTTCACTTTGAAAATGCAACAAGATCACTTTCTCGTCTAGTCTTGCTCAGAGCTTGTTCACTTTTTGAAGTTATGAAGCTTTCTGGGGTTACTCTGAAGTAGAATAGTGCAGTATCAAGTGCTATTTTGAATATTCTACCATATTGACCCCTTACTTACTACTGGGATTTTCTGAAACAAAATCTTTCAAATTCAAATATAGAATCGGCTTTACTTCAGTTCTTGTCCTCCATTTTTTTTCTCACTGAAGTGAGATCTACGCGCCCTGAGGATCCTAATTAATGAAGGAAGTTGGAATTGACAGTTTCCCCTTCTCTTAGATTTTCTTTGGTATTGCACGGGGACACCCGATTCCTCGCTCACCAGCTTCAACATGGTCTTACCCAGAGGCAATGGCAAGCATCGCCATAGATATTCAACATTACTATCTAGCAGTCAGATAGGATCGTTACTACCACAGAAAGATGGATCGACAAATACTAAAGGCAGCTCGAATATTGAAGATGATGAGCTTTTTCAACCACCAAGCATCATCAAGTTTCTCTTCGAAAAGGAGACGTCCGACAAGGAAACCACCGATCATCAAGAGAATGGAATGAGTTACACTGCCAGCGACAATAAAGAAGACACAAGCTGGTTTGGTTGGCCCGCCCCGGGACATACTTCAGTGCGCAAATCCCCCGCCCTTAGCAGCCCATCCGCTCCAGGAAGCCCAAGGTCTTTGAATCGGGGAAATACCCCCTCTGTTGTACCCCCTCAACTCGGAAATTTGGCAACCAGATCTGAGGCCAGTCGTGAGGGCTATCTCGGTCTGCCAAAAAGCCTAACATCCCTTCCCGACTCCCCTCCTATTTATCCTTCACAAGAAACCCCAAAACTCCCAGACAATGGCCGCTTCTCACAATTACAGTCTTTTCAGGAACAGAAATTGTTCCAAAGAAACAAGGCATATGCGACATGCCTCCGATATGCAGAGCGTACAGAATCGGCTCTCACTCGGTTTTTGGCAAATTATCCAGACCATGCTCGTACAAAGGAAGAGCTCAAGGAGTATCGGGCGTGCAGGGCAAAGCTTAATGATGGAATTCTATTATCTGCCCCGGAAAGAGGAAGATTAGGTCAAATTGCACGGAATATTGAGCGAAGAGAGTATGCCATTTCTAAAAATATCATGCCAATAACTCGAAAAAAATTTTCGTCCCAAATACCACCTGCTGAACATAATGCTCGAAATACTGTGGAGAAAGTGGCCCTTTCTAACCCAAATAGCAAGGAATCTTCATCTTTTAATATGGCAGTCGAAGAATGTAAATGTCCAACCGTCAGAGAAAGGGAGCGAATGGCTGTGCCCCAGTCGTGTGATCAAACCGATGAGGTGAGCGAAGTAGAACTTGAAGAAGAAGAAGAGGAAGACGCCGAATATTTTGAAGAAGACTGCGATGGCAGTGATACTGGAAGCCAGGATGCGTCGTTCTGGCACTACCATGTGTACATTTTTGACTCTAGCTCCTCGGCTGGAACAACATTCATCTCAACATTTATCAGTAAGAACAGGGCAGAAGACTGCCTTCGAAGTGAAATTGCGAAGATTTACACTTCCTGCAAACTTGAAGATAGAAGTGGTCTTGAAATGAAATGCAATTTCGGAGATGGTGGCATTCGGGAGCAAAGCTTGGAATTTTCATCTGGCCGATTTGTACAGGTACGGATTGAACGCGAGTTGGTGAAAGAGGCAATTGTGCCCAAACAACGTCGCCGGAAACTACAATATTTACCAAACAAAATCTATATCGTCACTGAACATATTTCCGTAGTGGACCCCGAAAACATGGAGGGCAAAAACCAAGAAATCGAATATTACGCGCAGTTTCCTCGCCAGACTCATGGAAAAGAAGGGTTTATTCTTCTAAAGCATGCAAATGAGCAAGCAAATCGTGAGATGATGACCTACTTGACCAATCATTTGACGAAGGCCCAAAAATTTGACCCTAGCTTCACTGGAACTATGGATACTGAGGCAAAATTATATCTTCATGAACTGGAGGAAGGAGAGCGATTTTATGATAGGAAAAGTATCGTCACGGATAAAAATGGGTACAGGCTTCAAGTCCGGATCAGGGTTATGGAGATCCTCGTTCGAGGCCCTAGAAATTAAAACTTCCTGAACACCCTTCTACGTTACTATCTACAGGCTATTAACTCAAATTTGGTTTACAAAGGAGGGAAAAAGCTGAAGCGAGTGGCGATAGGGTACTAGAAATATTTTCTCTGTAGCTTCGTGGGAAATAGAAATTAGCATCTATAGAAGTTACAAGTAGTCCCACGGCAAAATGGATGCCTGCTCGGCGTATCGGAACTGCTTGTCGACTTCATCTCACGTTCAGCCAACAAGCGCATTCTTGCTACCTGCCTCCATAGTATAAACCTTCTAAAGGGTCACCATACTTAGGCCCCGGGCCGGCACCGCCGAGTTCCTTTAAACCTAACGTACCAGCTGTCGACGGGCTGGCAGGGTCAATTACCCCGTAAATGTACCGTTCTTGTCCTACTTGTCGCAGCAGGGTTTCCAGACTGAGGATACACGCACCCCTGATGCCAGGACCCCATCTTCCACCGACTGTAAGCGTATGGACCAGGGAGTCACGCATTAAGCGCCCCAGGACTCTATTCGGCGCAATCACCAGATATGTCACGGACAAAATTCCCATTAGAGTTGCAATCCCAACAACAGGAATAAGGATCCGATAATTCATCGTCATTATGAGCACGTTCCGTTCGTCCTGAACTCTCATCACAACCGTACCATTCGGATCAGCACCGCCCCCTATTTCGGACTCTGGGACATCGAGAGGCCTAGCACCTATGGGAATATGCCATAGTGTTCTTTGCATATGAGAAATCAGATCGCTGGAGAGAATATACGAGGTTCTGTTTGTCCATCTGGCTGATGCCTCTATAAAAGTGCTATTTTCCTGGGGTCGCCCTTGAGTGGAACTCCAAGCAGCCCCCTCAAAAACCGAAATAAAAGCTGCTGCAGTTGCAACAAAGCCTGCCGATGGGCCATTGATTTCATGAGGCACGGGGTTGATCCAAGAAGATCGCTTGCAACGGAGGTCTTTCATGATACCGATCCCCCCAGCAAGGGTGGTACTACATTTGCCAGTCGCCGGGTGAAGGACGCAGGAATGTACAAGATAGTGGGTATTGTTGTTTAGTGTTGCTCTGAAATTGAGGGAGCCATATGCGGTGATGATTGAACCGTTTTTTATGGGCTCCGTAAAGGTATGGGTAAAGTTGTAGTAGTACTCTGTCTGCAGCCGTTTTAGATATTGCTTGTCAAGAAGGATAGCGAGCCAAAGAAGTGCTTACACTGCTAGCTAGAGGGACAGTTCCTGCAGTAATTACAACATTGCACTCAATATCAGTATACGAAATCTCACCAAAAGTTGCCTTCCCCGATACATTCTGCTTCGTATATGAATAGCCCACTGTTTCTCCAAAGACGGCAGTAATAGCTGATCGTTTGACATTAGGGCGAGCACCTTCTGGGGAGTTGAGAGCTGTTCCCGTTGTCGCCATTCGGTAATCTAGCTGCGCGTGCGGTATGGAGACATCAGTTGGTGTCATTTCGACACGGGTAACAACTTTGACTCCGGCCTGAAGAGCAGGAACAACAACACCTGTGCACAAAAGGCCAGCAAACCCCAGAAACCAGCCGACTCTAGCAGAGGGAGCTACCAACATCCCAACTGCGAGGCGGGAAGCAAGGTGAAGCGATTCAACCTCTTTTAGCTTCAACCCGTCATTTTGGTGTCCACCATTGGCATCAGGCACTGCAAGAAGAGACCAGAGGTGTTGATACAGGGCGACACCAAGCAGGGCACCAAGGCTTCCTTTGATAATGATACCTCCCAATGAGATAAAGACAGGCGCGTTCGATACCCAGATCCCCGTGGTCGTTGGCTTATTATTCGTAGTAAATGCAATTATGAGGATGAAAGTTGAGCCAAGTATCAATGTTACCAGACTTGCCCATGTTGCTTGAATAATATGGCTAAAAGGGACATGCGATTTCGAAGGAAACGGAGTCGTTAGACATGGCCTAGGCGAAATGTCGGTCATCTTCGAAACAGGTTTTGTCTGCCTTTGCCGCAGGACAAGAGGACAAGAGAGAACTTGGACACATCTTGGGCAAAATTCTCAAGCTGAGGCTTCGGCTAGTTATGTTCTCAGTGCAGCCTTTCGCGGCGGCTTGCCTCATGATTCTGGCCAACATCCAAGACAGAGGCGCTAAGGCCGAAGGCACCCGGTTTCATTGGTGTCTGAAGCGAGAGACGTCCTGAAGATACATTGCTTTTTCTACCTATCGGAGTGTTTCGAAAAACAGCTTTTTGAAGACGTTTCACCCCCAGGCCTGCAGAGACGTCGTGAAAGGCTGCAAGATAATTTTAAACGGAAACAAAGTTTTGCAGCGCTCACTCTCGGCTCCCAAGACGAACATCCTTGCACGCCGGCATTGCTTGGTGAAATCTTAATGTCAGGCGAGATCCGTGACTTCAAAGAGCCGCTGTGGGCCCTGGGCCCCATCAAATCGAAGAATAATGTTGACAAAACCTAAATAATCTGCACCTATTTTTGTGTCTCCAACTTGCAGAAGGATGATGCTCTGCTGTTTGGGTGATGGTGCATCGAAACTCTGCTGCAAAAGCGAGCCCTGCGCCCCCTGCTGTCCATGTGGGACGAACGACTTCGGTCGGTGCAGCTGAGAGGTCACTGGCGAACCAAAAGAAAAAGAACCCGAGGAAAAATTGCTGATCTCGAACTCAGTCGTGGACGATGCCTGATATTTCCGAGGACGCATGACTTGAAGAAAGATATTTAAACATCGTGAACTCCGCTGTGTATTTTGCTCGTCTTGTCGTATGAGTTTGGATGGGCTTTAGCCCGATATGAGTACGGACAGCCATATGTTTAACTCACCGGTGGAAATATCGTGTGATAGGTGTAGGAAACGAAAGAAGAAATGCGATCGGGCATTTCCCAGCTGCGCTTCGTGCCAAAGGTAAGCTACCATAGACCCTCTTGGTCTCCTCGAAGAGAATTTTCTATATCGTTCTTGTATCAAGACTTTAATAAAAGGCACCTTTTTAGATACCTCTATAGATGTACCTATGGAGCACCACATCCAAAGACTGAGCTTCGGCGTCTTCAAAAGCAAGAAAGGCGTGAAGAGTATGTGACTGGCACTTCCAAAAAAAGAGAATTGCGGGCAGCGGCGCCAGCAGCAGAGAAGTTGCAAATCAGCAGACAGATTGACAACCCCAACTCATTTCCGATCTCCCCCAGTTGGTATATGTCGAGGTTACTGGAGCATTGTGAGCATAATGGCAGCCCTCGCTGCATCAACATCTCTAATCCCACGTGAAGTTACTTCGATGCAAGATATTGTAGAATCGGGACCATGTTTTCGAAGATCGGCAAAATGTGAAAGTATTGCATATAAACTGCGGTACATTTGGGTACCAAGCGCTCTTCGCAACCCTTGCATGTTCCATTCCTCTATGTATGGCGCTTCCGCGCATTTTGATGCTTTGAATGAACAAAAGGAAAGCCAAATAACAATATTTCATCGAATGGAAACTCTCAAGTTCCTGAAAGAAGAACTTGCACGTTCCAGAGAGGCGGATGACTTTATGGTTGCCTCAGCCCTCACGATGGCACATATGGAGGTATTGATTCTGTTTTGAAGTAATGGGGCTCGCTAATTTTTATCAGGGACTTGGATATGATGCCCATGCTCGGAAGATACATTCCCAAGGCCTGCAGCACATGGTCAGCTGCAGAGGTGGTTTGAAGAACTTAGGTTTCAACGGCCTCCTTGAAGATCTAATTATCATGTGAGTCCAGCATACAGCCATCTATAAGAAATTTTCCTAGAATTCGGCGGCTCACGTTATCGAAGAGGTATCTTTCATAGTGCGATGTCGTCAGATCCTAAACTTGGACATAATCAGAATATAGATGCAGACATTCTAGGCCCACAGTTAGGCCCGAGATCCGCACTCTCGTCAATCGAATTTCTGCTTACAATCAGAGAACAGGATATAAGGCCAAGCTACCAATCTATAAATGTCGTCGATTTGGTCCTGCGCCGTACTTACGACATGATCATGTCATGGATTTCATTCTCTCACACGCATAATGAGGTATGGGGGTCAAAGTGGCATCTTGCCCGACAGAGGTTTCTGGAGCTATTTGAAGGCGATAACTTTTTTACTGGAAACGATAAAATGATAGAAAAATGCTGCAAACTGGCGGCCTTAATCACCGGAGCTGTCATTGACTATACTCATCCCTTTTCAGAGACTTCTTTGGAAGCTTTTCTGCAGGATCTAAAGTCTTTTATCGAGCAAACTGATCCAAAATTTTGGATACAGTATGCCCCAGAAGTTTTTATATGGGTTTGCTTGACAGGAGCTGCTGTATCGCGTGACAAATATTGCCGGAGATGGTTCGCAATCCGTTTTGGCCCGTCGATCATGGTTACTAGCTATGCTGTGCCATTGATGAGAAAAGCATGGCCATATTTTTGTTGGCTGGAAGAGCAGTGCAACAAGAGAATGGGGGAAAGTGGGGTAAATAACTGAAATTTGATACTGGTGAATGAGTTCAGTTGCTTTTGATATAGAAGGATCTGACAAAATAATGGTCAGCCTGCTATATTGTGGTTCAGGCGATACTCTTTTGGGAATATCTCATATACCCAATCAGTCTTGGTCAAGGATAATTTTATACCATACTATGAGCGTAGACCTCTGATGAATCGACTGTTGTCGCTGACAGTAGGCCAGAGAATGGGAATAGGTGATGTAGTTAGTCCATGACAGAAGTGGGCTGGTTCGAAATACAAGAGAAAGTGGAAGCGGTTCTGGAGTTCAATGTTTTTATAGAAGAAATTTTGGGTTTTAAGGAATAGGGCCATGGTTGGGCAGAACTACCAGCTATTTCAAGTACAACCGCTTACAAGGTTCAGCACAAACGGCCAGTTTGCCACCTTAAATATGTCGTAATACTAATTGTTTTTCCAACATTCCTCTACCATGAAATGGCCTGTTGACTCAATACGATGATGTGCATGCAATGTTTGATTGGATGTGCAAGGAGCAAGGGGTAACATGGTGGCAACGAAGCACCTTCTCACTATTTGTCGAGTCGTTATTTACTTCACACGAAATTTGCGTAATCAGCCAATTCTCAACGGAAAACCCATCCAATCAACCATTATGAGCGATGTTGACATTGATAATGTCTCCCTGATCGCCAACGACATCTCCATTGCCCACACACTTCGTATATCCCTTTTCCCAGCAGCACTGGATGATATCCTGGATCTTCGCCGCGACGTTCTGCGCACGCACATGGGTCGATCCTGTGGGGATGCCGGAGGTACGGCGCATGGTCAGAAGCGCGGTGCCGTAGGTTGCGAAGTTGCTGCTCTTGCGGCCGGAAACGCGGTAGTTGCCGTTGTACGCTTCCACGACGCCCTTGATGCCGACGATGTCTTGGCCGATAACGTTGGTGCTGGGAGCGCAGCTGTAGCCGTTGGCCGCGCTGGCGGTCTGGATGAGGAGAGCGCCAATGGCGGCGGATGCAATGGTGAGCTTCATGGTGAATTAAAAGGGGATGGTTGGAGCTGTCGAAATAGGTCAGTTTTCAAATAGAATCATAACCTGGAAAATGCAAACCGGCGCACCTTCAAAGGGCAACTGTGATATTTAGAACTATTTTCTTGAGGCTCTGATATTGCTGTTTTGATCCAGAGGAGTGAGTCCATGTCCGGGGAGCACCCCCAATTTATAGGCGAGTGCATCGCTCAATATCACCTCAAGAGCGTCATGCGAGCTGAAAATCGCGTATAGCACCGCCTCAGCAACATAATACTGTATTTGGAAAAAGGTGCGTTGAAGCACAGCTTCAATCAGAAATTGGTGGACTTCAAGCCTGTTGCGAACTTGCGAGGCTCATTATTTTTGAAGGTGGGGAGAGTCCGATCCCTGGCATGTCCGACCCCTGTCGATGATCCACCAACAGGGATCGGACTCCCATCGTCCAATGGCGCCCATGCAGCATGTCTTGGCTTGAATGACCTTCTGGGGACAACACGACGAACTGTCAGTCCGTACATGCCACCGCACAGGTTCACTCATGATCGCAAACCACCCTCGAAGCCGCTCCCTGGCTTTCAAGAAGCGGATATGATCGTATATATGGAGTGTATCCGCTTGCTGGCGGCCCATATGTTTTCGGTATGTCCGTCTGAGTCCAGTGAAACGAAGCCTCGCCAGAACAAAGCAGTAGACCGGGACGGACTACTCGAGCGGCCGGCATCAACAAGCACAGTCTCCTATGCTAAACTGCACAATGCTGGCACCTGGTTGCATTGTCAGGTACTATCAGCTCCTTACCCTAGTCATATTGTGGCTCTATGCTGAGCGCAGGAGAGGGTATCACGGGATAGATATGCAGTTTTACAAGCTCTTCATATGCTATGCGAAGAGTGGCAATGATGTATAAAACAGCGACAGAGGGTGAGTTTCCACCCGAATCTCATTGACTTTGAGCAAAATAGATCCATTGGCCTCTGATGGGCCGAGTATTAAGGTGTGTTCTCTCTTTCTTTTTGTCTGGGTATTATTTCCTGCTTCAGGAAACATTTTTTTAAATATAAACTCACTTATATTGTTAATACCGCTATACGATTACGCCAAGTGTAAAATGAGGGGACTTATCTGCATTTTATAAGAGTGATTTGGGTGCTCAACCCTTCAGAAAGACAGTCTCTAACCGTTCAGTCTTGCTTTGACTCTAGTTAACTGCAACTGACAGCTTTTTCGCCATGCTAGATAGAATGTGACTCCTTGATTCACCTACAAGTTGTTTGGGGCAACACTGCAACTCTGAGAAACATTCAAAACAGTTTTTCCTACATGAGCTTCTGTATGTATGTGACTTTGGCCATTGTACCACTGTGCGAGCGGTATCGGAGCACAAGGCAGGCCTAGTCTAAACATCAGAGATGCACGAATAGTCCGTGAGTCCTAGACGGTTTGCCAATGCAGCCTATATTTGTACTGCAATGAGTGATATCGGCAAAATCTCGGTTGAACATATCTAGCAAATTGAGAACTGATGATGTGATGGGCCCGCCGTTTTCCTGTACATCTTATGGTGACGTCTGTCGGACTCTAATCTATAGTTCCCTGAGTCCTGTGATTTACAGGGGCTCTGTTTTCAGGGCGGATGTCCCCCTTTTCGTGCGATCTCTGTGAGAGTGTACCCGTTTTCCCTTCCGCTGATACTGCGGGTGTCTCTGGTATCAATTGCAGATCTAAACCTGGTCTGCTGACCCTAACACGCCTTCATCGGTGTCATCTCCTGCCCTTACCGTGTTGCGTTTGGGTTATCTGCTGAAAATGATGTGACACATCTGATGCAAAGTGGGCCGTTCAAGATGCCTTTGCTGACTCGTGTATGTTTGTAGTCTGTGTACACAGACTTGTTTGTACGCTGTCTCTGTTATCTTCAGCGCACTAGCCCTCGCCAGCTGGACTTTGAGGCGACACCAGCAGAGGCTGATGTGAGGTTTAAGCGCCGAGAGACTTGCGTCATTGTTCAAACATGAGGAGTGACCTGAGCTTGTGGTTGCTGGAGCGGTTGAGTTGTCCATGCATGAGGCCGGTGTGCCTAGAGATAAGAAAGTGGTGTGGTCATCTGACAATTCGTGAGTACTGGCATGTATCGATATACACGGCAAAGTGCTCAGCGGTTTGCATGCACAAACAAGCCAGTGTGCGCAGTATTGTCCACCTGCAAGAAGCAAGTCTTGGTTATATGGGCGATAAGGTAAGCCTCTGGCCTCGATATCGAGGTGGAAACTCCTCCCCCCCACAACGACCCTGCAAGAGCTCCGGCCCTGCGATGACATGCAGACAAGAGGCATAAACGTGGCTGTACGCCGCCATCCCGCTCGACAGCTCCTCCCTCTGGCTCCTACAGGCCCATGCAGGAGACGCAGATCCGCACTCCCACGGCAGCGCGCGGACTCGGAGCATCCCTCCCGGCGGCCGTTATCCCGCTTAATGCTCCGTTGGAAAGGTGCTGGAAAGATACGAAGGCCGGACAGCCAATGAGAAGGCGGAGTCGGGCCGGGCAACATCGCTGGGGCTGCGGCTCTGTGCATATGAGCGTGTCGTACATTGCACTACGAGCGCTGGAGAAAGCTCCCGTTCGCGACGCGAAGTTGGTCTGGGTTAGAATTGTTCAGTGAGCTTGGACAGCTCTTCCTTTTTTTTTTTTTTGTTTTTTTTTATGCTTTTTTTAATGTTTCTACCCCACAATTCTCTGTTCAGGTTTCGAGTTGACTTTGCATCCCAAGGTTCGAAGGTAGTTTGGGCCCGGACGGGGGTAAAAGTACCTGGTACCAGAGGACGGCGGTCTGGTTCCTCTGGTAAACTCTCCCTCTGGATTTCAAGGTGAATCACGACCGCCAGGAGCTGTCGATCGGTTTCTTCGTCGTGGCGGATGTGGAATTCATCGGGGGGGGGGAGGCAAGAGGGGGCCGGCAACAGCGCACACCCTGCGTGCGGACCCTGATTGGCATGGCCGACGCAACTAACGAGCTCCATGCGTAACGAAACGTTGAAAAGTACTTGCTCACCGATGGGCCTGGTACGGCGAGAGGACAGATCCCCGGACGAAGGCTCGAGACAGCTTGTCTGCCTGGCTGTCGGTCTCTTATCTGGGCGGGTCCGAAGCTCCAAGACAAGACCCTTGCCCCCTCCGGTTGAGCTCGTTTGGGCGATCCAGGCCTCCCCTGACCGCAAGTTCGCTCCGATAAGCAAAAAAGTATCGCTATACTCCGTATACTACGAGCCGACTAAGTAAGTCACTACTAGGCAGTATGCAAGGCCGCCAACGAGGGGGTGCAAGCGCACTGGCCGCTGGGCACGGGAGTGGGCAGACTGGCAACGGCAGTGGTTAAGGTTGTGACTAGCTGGTAGCTACTGGGATTCTTTGTCTGCGTCGCGGGCGGATGGGCAGGACGGGGCCGCTGATTGCCCGTCCGCGTCCGTGTGGCCTGTGCGATGTGCGACGTCGGCATCCGGGCAGGCTGCGACGCACGTCCAATAATGTGCATAATCTCTCTATCACCTGGATGCAGCCAGACAGACAGCGTAACTAACGAAGGAAGGGTCTGGCTGGCCGTGCAGCGGTGGCGACGGGGTGGGGGTCGGGGATGTGGCTAACAAACTTAGGTGGTGATTAGTGCTAGCAGCCCCCACCGTGGGCGATGGGCGCAAACACCGTGGACAGCGTGAAGAAGAAGAAGAATAATAATACGCGAGCTGTGCATCTGAAATCCAGGAATGGCAGCGCAGCGGCGGGATTGACAGGGTTGACGGGCACATCGCTTGGGCGGGCGGGCAAGCGGGAGGCTTTATAGGCAGCGGGCGGCAGTATGATGACGAAGGCGCCGCGAGTCAGGGCCGGGCAGGGCCGGACAGGCGCAGCCAGTCAGGGCGCCACGTTGGGGCGGGCCAGGCCCAGCGACGCTGCTGGAGGCTGCAGGGAGCAGCCAGAGTTAATTCACTACTACTCCGTACTGCCTAGTTAACTAACTCACTGGGAGGCTGAGGGATAACTCTACGGAGCCCAGTCGAGTGGTGTCACCGCCCGGCCCAGCGACCTCCCGGCGCTTCGCCTGCAGCGCCGCCCCACGACCGCGCCGTTGGGCGGGCTGTGTGTTTCAGCACGGCGGCCTTTTCTCCGCCCCAACACTTTTGGCATGCTTTGGCGAAGGATGGCTGCGGCCAAGGCGTGCAGTGCAGCGCAGCGTGCCGCGAACCACCACCGCCGCTGGATGCACGGGCATGTCGTGCGTGTGGGCGTGCAGGGTGGATGCACGAGGGCGGAGTGCAACGGCGCATCCAGCGCGACAGGCCGGCGACAGAAGACAGAGACAGAGACAGAGCGCAGATCGAGCGCAGGAGTACCCTGTTGCAGTTAGTTGGGTAGCTAGCTGAGGCGCATCGCTACCGCGCATAAAGTGGGCAGCGCCGGCCTGTGATTCGTGCCTGCGCGGCGGTTCTGGAAAGCCCGCGCGCGCGGTGGCGGCTGCGCGGAGGTACCCAGTACGTCACTCGCCCGCGCACGCCCGCCCTGCGCCCGGGTCGCGGTACCTGCGGCGGTGAAATCTCTGCCCGCCCGCCCAGGCGTTCCCGCGACTTTATTAACCATCTGGCCCGCCACCGCCCGCCAGCCGCTTATCTGCGCGCTCCTGCGTGGCCTCCACCGCTATCTTTCTCTCTCTCGCTCTCTCTCTCTATCATCTTCTTCTCTCTCCCTCCCTCTCTCTCTCTCTCCTCTTCCTGTGCGACCGCCCTGTCTGCCGGCCCTGTTGCGTGTTGCGTGTTTGTCTGTCTGTCTCGCCTTCATGTAGCTCCCTGCGTTCCCGCCCGCCCGTCGTTCAGAAGGCCCCCTGGTCGCGCTCCTCCGTGTTGTCCGCCGATCTGGCCAAAATAATATACCCGCTTCGCTTCCCTGATTTCCCTCCTGCGTGCTGGCACCCTCTCTTCCCTCCGTCTCTCAATTGTCTCTCCCTCCTAACGTCCTCTCTCTCAATCTCCTCTCTCTCTCTCTCTCTCTCTCCCTTATTTATATCCACGCTGCCCTGCCACCACCCCCCTGCCATCGCGACCTAGACCGCCGCTAACGGTACGTATTCTCCGCCTGTCCCCTGCACTGGCCCGCCCTCCCTCGCGCAATTGGTGCTGCCCGGCATTGTCGTCCGGGTGCACATCCTGATTCCATCTCGGCCTGTGCGAGCTGCTTGTCTTGTCTTCCCCCCCCCTCCTCCGCGGCGATCAATTCCGCCGCCGCCAGACCTTTTTTCTTCTTTGTTTTTTTTCCTTGCCGGCTGGCCCGAATCTCTATCACTGCGCTCCCTCACATTGCTTGCTTTTTGCGGCTGCTGTTTCATACTCCGGCGCGGTCTCCTTGCCCTGCCCTGCTGAGCCGCCCCCGTTTATATCCCGCCTCCTCTCTCGTGCCTGCTTTGCCGCCTTCGCTCCCTCCCACCCGTTTGCCGTTTGCGCCCATTTCCGCTCGCCATTGGGCCCTGGTCCATCCCCGTTGCTGATTGCCTGCCTTCTAGCACGGCCTTGTCGCCCTCACCCTCCCTCCGACACTGTCCTGCGCGCCCACTTGTTAGCCAACAAGTCGGCCGGATGCCCTACACGCCGCCAGCGTCGTCTGTGACTCTCACAACCCCCGCCGGCCTCTCGCCCCGTCGACATGGACGCCACAACTCTGAGCCGCTTTTGATGCCTGCCCATCGGCCCAGAACCGCCCTGCGGTCCAGCTCCTATCTCCATCGCCACAGGCGGAGCCCGTCCATTCGCTCCAGTGTGCCTACGTTCCCGCCACAAAATGTGCCCGCCCGTGACCAGGAGAGCAGTCTCGTGAACGGCAAAGAAGCGGCTTGGAAGACTTCCCAGGCAAGCTCTACCGCCTTGATTCCATCATGTTCGATCCTCTCCCCCCCAGAATCTAGGCAAAATTCAAGCGATGAAGACGAGCAGAGAAAAGAAAAGGAAAAGCAGCTGGTGCTTGCTGAACTACAGGCCGCCATCCGCTCAATGGAGACCCCAGCCGTGCGTTCGCCATCCAAGGATGCTGCTGACACCCGCCGGTCTCCTTCACTTGAACTGATACCCCTCCGTTGCCAATCTGTTGACGGCTCTGCCATTTGTCAGCTTCCTGAAATTGGAATGCAGACGCCAGACCAGAGTGACCGTGAAGACGAAGCGGGCGCTCTCAGGCCAGCCATGATTCGCAAGAAGTCAGGTGAGCTTGTGAGGCCTGCCCTTCGCATGAAAAAGAGGCCCTCCAGCATGCCTGGCACGCCCACCTTTGTGAAGAATGTTCACTTCGATGTGCAGCTCGAACATGTTCGTCACTTTCTACAGGTTGACAGGCCCGTTGCCGTGAGCGCTGGGTCGTCTCCCGTAGACGAGTACGACGGTGATAACGAGTTCCCATTCGAATCGAATTCTTCGCCCAAGTCACGGTCTTTTAAATGGGAGGCAAATGTTACAAATTTTCCACGCTCAAAGCAAATGAACAGCCTCGCTCCAGTGAAACTCGAAAAGATATTTTTATCTGCCGATAACAAGTATCTTGTTGGCGTTGTTTCGGTTGCAAATCTTGCCTTCCAGAAGCACGTCGTGGCGAGATTCACTTTGGACCACTGGAAGACCGTCTCTGAGATTGAAGCTGAGTACAACAATGACCCTTATTTGGGCCAACATCGCATCCGCAATGGCAACTACGATCAGTTCCATTTCAACATTCGCCTTGCAGACCTTGCTGACCTGGAGTCGAAAACGATGTTCATCTGCATCCGCTACCACGTCAATGGCCTTGAACTTTGGGACAATAATCACAGCCGGAATTACCACATCAACTTTTGCAAGAAATACAAGTGTGGTACAGCTAGCAAACGAGACCATCCAACCGGGTCTATCGGCTCAGCACCTCGTACCAATAGGAATGTTCCCCGCCCACTTTCAATGCCTCCGATTTCCGGCAGTCCGTCGTTTGTTCCGGCCAGGTCGTTCCGGAGTCCAAAGGACAAAGGCTTCGCTCGTCTGAGTGAGCAAGTGCCCCTGCATCATGCTGATGACGATCTTGTGGACGCACCCACCAAAAGAACAAAGCCCGGCAACCAGGCCTTTACCACTCGATATGATTTCGGATCTTCGCTCTCTGCGGCTATGCAGCCTGGTAATGTTGACATGGCGTCGCAGGAGCCTGGGCCTAGCATAACTTTCGTCTCCCATACTGCTGGAGACAAAGTGACGAAGAACTCTTCTGCCATTTCGCTCGCGCAGCCGCGACAATTGGTAAAGCCATGTGACTTAATCTCTACCAAGCCATACCACCAGTCCCCAGGCTACAAGGAATTGGTGGACAAGTACTGTTTCGTAAGTTGTTGATGGCCAATCTGCTCTCAAGAATTCTTGACTAATGATCGGCAGTACGAAACTGGCTCTCCTACGAAGACGAAGGCCAAATCCACTGCACCCACCAAGCACGAATCTAACACCGAGAAAGAGCAGTCGCAATCTGATGACACCCTGTTGACCTCGCCCCTAGAATCTTGCCCCTTTGACGGTGCACCATTGACCTCGTCTCCCATTCAGACTTCAAGGTCCCCATCCCCACCAAGCCAGCCCAGCCCCGATCTGAGGCCTGACAGATCCTCTCCTCCGACTTTCAGTAACCCCTTCCACACTACGATTCCCGCTCGCTTCTTGTCTGAGTCTCCTACGCGCACGGCGATTCCTGGTTAATCGACGGCTTGCTGCGAGTTACTCTACAACATCGAGCAACGGACCCCTGACCCTGGAATCTGTATCGACTCTATACTAAAAATGCTTTTAATCCTACGCCCATCGAACGTCTTGCGGCCTACACATATTATCGGACGGAACTTTTGATTTTGCGAGCTTCTTTCTTTTTGTTTCCTGTTTTGCTTCTCAGGATGCTTTCATTTATATTATACGGTGCTGGAGTGCTGTTGCTTCTTTTAATTCTGCCTTGTTTACTGTTCGTCTTTTCTTGAAATTTTTGCCATGTACTCTGAATTAATATCCGGTTGAAATACTTTTCGTTTGCGGGAGTTTGGGGCTTGATGCTGGTCAGGGCTTTTCTTTTTTCTTTCCTGCATGTCTACGGAATGGCGTTGCACGGTGTGGGTCCTGCTACTTTTCCTCGTTTCCTACCACGCCGCTCTCACCTCCCCCCCCACACCAGATCGGCTATCTGGGTGTGGGTATCGGTGACCAAAAAAAAGTGCACTTTCTAATACGTCGGAGGCGAAACTCGTTTTTATTTTTCTTTTTACCCTCGGTTATCTTCTCTCTTTTCACGGCGGTTCAGGTTGCACCTTGAACGTTTCCTGCTCAAAGTATATTTATATCTTGTGTGGAGCGGAAGGCGATCGTCAAATGAGATGACTTATGACACCTATTATAAAAAGAACCACAGAAAGAACCTTTTCCTGTAAGTTGCTCAGGGGAGAGCACAACGGAGAAGCCAAAAGTTTCTTTAAACCTTTTAAGTTTTCGCCCAGGGATTGGAATATCTCCCTGGCTTAACTGCGGTGGAATTTGTCTTTTTTTTTTTTTTTTTCAGTTGGAATATAGTTATGTATATATTACAAGGATAAGCTGCATGTTTTACAAGTGTATTGTTCTGTACAATGTGATTAGTTCTGTGTGGGAATACGACAGATTCTGCTATCAAAATTTGCACCACAACAAGGTAGATGATAAGGATGACGTCAACAGTTTGTACCCCACCACCATTTAAAGTTTCGCCACGCGAAGGCCCCGGCCGCTATTCTTAAAATAAGCTAGCGCTATCAGGGCCCGCTCCCACGTGATTATAAGCGGTGTTTGGCGGGAGAAAGTACACCCGCGCGGCAACCGGGGCTGCGGCTTTAACAGCCACATCAACAACAACACGCTGAAAATTAAGCTCATGGCTGTGAGCTATTGCGCTGTGTTTTTCTTCTTGTTTGAGAGTGTATCTCGCGCTAAGATAGTTAGTTATACACCAGTGAAACATTGGAAATCAAGGTGATTCATTTTATATACGTTAGCATCAACCAATGAAGTAGAGTATGGAGGATGGCCAGCCGTTAGCTAACTTGCTAGCTAGCTTGGAGTTACCTAATCCAAACAAACATATCAAACAAGATTCGAGAGTACAATTCTGTCTCTCTCTCTTTTTAATTTCCCCGTCCTTTTCCCTTTCTCAAACCACAACATCGATTTGGATTTGATTTTTTTATTGCCATCAACCAACGACGAGTCGCACGACTCAGCATCGCCGCTTTTACTTACCTTTTTTTTATATTTACAGTCGAGGTTTATTTTACTTGATTCAGAATGACTGGACGTAAGTATTATTGTCTTTTTTATTGATGGATTGTCTGTGTTGTCGATGGCGATTGATGTCGTCCGCGGGTTTCGCTGCAAGGGGGGCGTGTGGTCTTGGCATGACCCCTCCCTCCTTCCGCAACCAACCACGACCCCCCCGCCAATAATGGCTGTGGCTCTCCTCATCGTCGACTGCGCTGTCTTGTCAAAGATGGCTCGTCGTCGTCGTTGTCGTCGCTGTTTGTATTTCCATTGATGATGAAAACGATGCTAACGTCGCTGGCCTGCAGGCGGTAAGGGCGGAAAGGGCCTCGGCAAGGGCGGCGCCAAACGTCACCGAAAGATTTTGCGTGACAACATCCAGGGTATCACCAAGCCTGCCATCCGTCGTCTCGCTCGCCGTGGTGGTGTCAAGCGTATCTCTGCCAGTATGTTATCGCCCCATTCATCCTCCCCCGCCTCCCCAGCTTTCTATATCTTGTTACTGACACCGTACTTCCCTCTAGTGATCTACGAGGAAACCCGTACTGTCCTCAAATCCTTCCTCGAATCCGTCATTCGTGATGCCGTTACATACACCGAGCACGCTAAGCGCAAGACCGTCACGTCTCTCGATGTCGTGTACGCCTTGAAGCGACAGGGCCGCACTCTCTACGGTTTCGGTGGTTAAACCCTCCCGGCGACTCCTATACTGTTGGGTTTTGTTCTTATCGCGGATTCTTGGTTTTGTCTACTTGTCGTCGCTTGTGATATATACACCCACGGTTATCATGCTTGCCTTAATGGATCGAGGGAACGGTGACTCTGGTTTTTTCTTCTCCGTTATGCCGGCCAAGATGAATGGAACAAGGGATGAATTGCTATGCGAGGCACCTTTGGGGTGTTTTTCATGGTATTGATAACGGGTTGGGCTGTTGACTGTTGCGGAATTTGGAAACAAGCGCCAAGTTTTTTTTTTTTTTTTTTTGGCTCGGGATGTTAATGGAGTCTGGGGTGTTGACTGTATTTGTCCAGTAGTTTAGGAGGTTTATATTGCCGTTTCCTACCAATTTAAACCCACTTACTCCGTACATTCAATTCAGTAACGTAGTGCTACCCTTGTTTATCTGTGACATTCGGGAGAATCGAATGTGGCAACTTGGTCGATGGTCAAAGGCGCTTGCATTCATCTACTCCTTTGTTTGAATCAAACCTGACAATCACTCACTGGTATATAACCCCTAGATTATATTAAACTATTAGCTATTGAGCAATCAGGTTTGTTTTCAGAGAGTCTGGGGTAGCTTCCCGCCAATGCGGAGTACACGTGACGTCATTTAAAGTAACGTTTTGTCCTTCGTAGATGCCGCGCCCAATACTGTACTCGCGATCGTGACTTCCTTTTATATTAAATACGTTATTGCATGATATATCTCAATAGCGAGCCATATCGAGGAGATTGTTCCTCCTGAAGGGGAGGATCGTAAATGATTTTGCTGATGACTATCATGCTCAACTAACACGGATCTCTATACAAATTTAACTACCTAATACGGACCTAAACCTCAACGCGCCCTAATGTGTGTTTGCTCTTCGATTTTGAAAAATGGACTCTACTCTGGGTGAAACCTTTTTGGTACCTACGGCTATTCTGTCTCTTTTGACTTGTTGGCTCACCCCCGATCCTAGGATACTTTCTCGCGCCATCTAGTATACAGCTTCCCATCATCATATACAGAACCTCCGTTCGCGCGTGATGGCAGCGTCCTGAAATACCCGCCGCTTCCAGCTGCCGGCGAAGGCATTGCGGGCGCGTTGCGTGCGGCTACGTCTACGATTGCTGTGTACCCGTTTTCTTTGATTTTGACGAGATTGAAGCTCAGAGCTCACGCGGCCGATGACAAAATCGAGGAGGGGGTCTATGGAGTTAAGGAAATTGCAAGAACTGCTAAAGAAATTCATGACAATGAAGGCGGCGTGAGGGCTTTGTATGTCGGTGTTTTGGAGGCCGTTGGGAAGGATGTGGCCGAAGTGTTTCTTTTCATGACAATCTATCGCCTTCTGAAACGACGGATGGAGGCGCACGGCTTGGGGGTATTGTCGGCAGGAGGAAAGCTCATGCTGGGAATCGTATCTGAGGCGGTCGCGAAGTTTTTTACAGCCCCGATTGAGACAGTGCTGACCAGAAGACAGATATCTGGAGGCACACGCAGCGTCACTGATATTGTCAAGAAGGTTTTAGCTAAATACGGTGTTTCGGGGCTGTGGGCTGGATACTCCGCATCGTTGCTGTTGACGATCAACCCGTTGATTACGTTCTTGTTGAACAAGACCCTCTCCTTTAAGGCTGAAAGTGGGCCTCTTACTCGCCTTATCTCTGCCATCCTTAGCAGACTAATCGCGACATCACTGACGTACCCAGTCGCGGTGACGAAAGCTCGCATGCAAGCGGGCTATAGCCCCTTGGTCGTTTCGTTAGGGAAACCCACTACTACAATCATGGACTCCACTTTGCTCCATACGATGAGTGACGTTTTCCGGGGTGAAGGCGCGGCGGGGGCATATGCCGGGATTACCGCCAATATGCTGCATGAAATCGCCAGGCATGGTATAGCAGCGCTCACGAAGAGCACGATCCACAGCTGCACGATTCGTATGTATTATCTTCATCTATTTTCGGAATCGCTCCTGGATAGGGTCAAGAGGGAGATGGAGAGTCTTTCCGAATCAGCGAAAGCAGGAAACACGCGTGCCATGAAGGAAAAAGGCAAAGACAGCAAGAAATTTCTCAAGGCGTCGGTGAAAAACATCTACTCAAATGAGACTGCTGATCTTGTTGCAGACTATGTCGAGGATGAGGCACTGGACCATTGGTTCTGGGAAAAAGAGAAGCGGGGAAATGGAACCTGAGATCGTTCACATCGAAGTTCTGTATTTCTAGTCAGATCCTGTATTTATGATATTCTTATCCTAGTCTTAACTTTTCATTGCCGATGCACGGGTTGCCAGCCTATACCGTTCTTCTGCCTCAAACGCCGTCCCGGCTGTGTACGCAGTGTACCTATCAGACGACACAGGAGCACGTGATGATCATGTGACTGAGAGTCGTCTGGTCTGTTCCTAACAAATGAGACAGCTGTACTTATAGACAAATATGCTATAACTGAGACTATGAGAAAAACATATGAAAAACCTCTAGCAAAACCTCCACCAGCCTGATAGTCAAAGATAATGAAATCAGTACCATGGTTGAGAAGAGGAGGTGGTGAACCACTAGTTCTCTGGTTCCTCCAAGGTTCAGGGACCCGGTCACCTGACAAGTCACCTGACTCCTGCTCAACAGTACCGCCGGTCCCCGCCAATCAAGCGTTGTGCTGACATAATCAGATGCCGACGACTCTCCCACCGCATTGGCTCCTCATTTCCAGCGACATCACCCACTCACTTCTCGTCTGCCATCATCGTGCATTCAGCCCACAGCGCACTGCATCAGCAGACAACAGCAGTGCTGCTTCATCGGCACAACGCCTTTGCATTCTTCCTGGGGCTGGCCCTGGCTTGTTTTTGTTTGCATGCCACTGGCAGCTCTTCTAGGGGAGGGCGGTGCGGAGAGAGTGTCTTCACGTGCTTGAGCAGTTCAATTCACGACTAGCAGTCTTGTTTCTTGCTGATATAACTTATTTCTTGTCTAACTGCTATCTTCATCGTTTCATTTACTCTCATCCCACCGATCTGATTTAATTAATGATCTCCAATTCTTCTATTACCCGAAGACATTGAGATCCCCACTAGTCTGATGTGTTGTTGCTAACAAACCTTTGACAAACACCAGAGCCCACCATGTCGCTCCTCCAAAATGAAGAGTGAGCCATTCGCCTAGTACTGCATTCCTAGCTTCCTCTCTAATCTAGTGTGGTTTAGTTTCATAACATGGCAACTTCGTGCCTCCTACCTCTCGACGATAAAAGATGGTGTTGGCGACAGACTTATAACCCTCAACTCTTCCGTTTTCAACTCTCCTGGGTTTCGGACGTCGGGACTTTCCAGATCTGCCACCGCTGCACATGCTCATGCAATTAAGCGAACCTACTCTCCACCGATCCCTGTTGCCACCGCCGTCGCCTCGGAGTACTACCAGTCTGGATCTAAGAGTGGAAACAGCGGCGAACATGGCGACAATGGGGATGAAATACCGGAAGGTGAACGCCGCATTGGCCTTGGGCTGAGTGATGAAGAAGAGGGTGGGATGGTGACAGGTGTACGTGACGACACCAACACCAGTGTGCCTTTACCAGCACGGACTAGCCCGGGGAAGAAACCGAGGAAGCGGAGACAGCAAAATCAGCTGAGAAAGCTACCTAGCCATATTGAGGTTGATGAGGATGACAGTAGTGATCTTAGTGATGATAGCGATGAAGGACCTGGGGATACTTCGCGGTAAGATGGCCCCGAAACCGATTCGGCTTTTCTATTGCTTATTATCCGCAGAGCTGTGCAGCAAATACAATTTACGAAAATGCCTGTTCGAAATCGTGCCGGTTCTTCCCCGATCAGGAGCTCTATGCGTCGCGAAGGCCCCAAGGTCTTGATCACTTCTCCGTCAATCAGATCGAATGAAAATCACTATCGTAGAAACTCTCTCGGTACAGTCCAAGCCGTCAAACCTCGGGCGCGTGGTGATACAATAACTAGCAGTGAATTGTCGTCAGATAATGACCTGGATCCGGATACCACCAGAAGACGACAAATTCACTTTCAACCGGAGGAAGAGATTATCGAAAATGCCGATGACGCGTCAAGCGAGAAGCTAGAGGAAGAGATTGAACTCGAAGCTGCAATGGCTAGTCGTATGGATGAGAATGACGAGGACTCAATAGCAGAATCTGTTGGATCTGCGATGTCCTCCGAGTTTGGCGTGACGGCAGGCTCGACTACGCTCCTGGATAGAGTGGCTGGTGGTGGAACTTTGGGCTCTTCTTTACTGGGAAAATCGGCAAAAGATCCACATGACACTTCACCAAGGAAACCCAGGGCGCTTTCTCCCATCTTACAGCGATTGGCTCCTTCGCGTCCTCTGAGCATGGTGGGGACAACCAGTCTGATAACAGCTATGATACGAGCAAGGACAGAGGGTGCTGTTAACCCGGTGGAGAAATATGCTGCTTTTTCTGGGAAAAGCGACACAGCAACCCCGCTATATATCAAGGTCTTTATTCCCACCAGTGCAACCCCAGATGTGCCTATCGATATGCCTACTGTCCGGGAATCAAAGGATGAAACGCAGCCCGGTCACACCATAGTAGCGCAAGCCATTGGTTTATCCTTATGGAGATATGGTGAAGATGAGCGAAAACCGGCGATTGCGAAGGATAAGCTTAGTGTCAACCACTGGCATCTTCGTATGATGGATGACGGCGAGGTTGATTACGATTTCCCGCCCCTCAGTCGAGACAAGCCTCTTACAGATTTCACATCCAATAACAATCGAGCAGCGGCATCCCGAGGGAGGTCCAGAAGCAAACCATACGATGAGTTTGCTCTAGTTAAAGCTACCGACGACGAATTTGAAGAAAACGAGAAGCGCTTTCCAAAATACAGTACTGCGGCCGCGCCGCCAGTCGCAGAGAATCCACCTGCTCCCGCTCCGACTACCCCGGCCCCTGTCGGTAAAGGAGCAGCCGCAGGACGCGCCAATCCTATTCTTGGCCAGCCGTTCCCATCTGCCTTGGACGACGCTTCTTTAATCCCCGCCGATCTTCCTGCCGTACCCACTTCGCATGCAACTCCTAAAGTTGGAGATTCGAAAACGATTAGGGTTCGGCATTTTGATCTTGAGTCGTCGTCGCGTACGACTACGCTGAATACTTCCACGGACAGTTACATTGCAGAGCTCCTGGACTCCGTTTGTAAGAAATGGGGATTGGACAAAGGAAATTTCCTGCTCAAGGTTGTGGGATCAAATACGATAGCGCCTTTGGATCGAACAGTTGAAGCGCTTGGGAGCATCTCAGAACTTGAGCTAGTTCGTCGTCGATTTGGTCTTGGCCCCCTTTCATTGACAGGGTCTCCTGGCAGCTCTTCGCCAAATGCGCCACTGCTAATCGAGGCCCAAAATCTAAACTCTACGACGAAGAAAGGAAAGAAAGCGGGCCGGATGCTGCACCCGCTCGCTCAGCAGCAAGACGTTATTGGAGGCTACTATCGCCGCTATCATGTTACCAGAAAGCAATCAATGTCCCTGACAGCGTCTAGTCAGCGGGTGCTTGCGTTTGACCACGATTATATTCACATCCTTCCTGGCGAATCAGGACGCACGCTATTCGAGTCTAATGCAAAGACCACGTCAATTTCGTTCAACGACGTTGTGGGATCGAAAATCAGTCGGCGGCACCCAAAGAGTTTTCGAATTGTGGTGCTACGAGGCAACGACGCCAATGAGCAGAAGCGCTATGACTTCGAAGCCAAGAACACGATGGAAGCGACAGAAATCGTGGAGGAAATTAAGAAGAACATGACAAACTACCAGATATGACAATGGGTTTTACTTTTTGTGCTGGAGGGTTGGTGGGCGGTTTTTTGTTTGGCACGAATGGCGCGTTTGACCAACAGCAACGCAGATGCGGGAGTTTCCAGTGATACCACACGAGTCCTTTTCACGCGTTTGAGCATTGATGTTGCCAGGATTTTGCGGGCGTCCGTGTTTTGTCCCTTTGTTCTTATTTGTGGCGCCGCAGAGAAGGCCTCCATCATCCAGGCAAGTCACAGGCGGCTGGGCAACCTGCGATGCATAGTGGCTCTGAGATTGATTACGCCGTAGCAGTTATCTGCATTCCTTCCTTGTAACTAGCCGGCTCCAGGAGCTGACGGCCTGTCAATTCACCTATATTCTCCGTACATGACTGTTTTTTGATATGCTGCTCGGCTGTAGCCACAGGAGACGTCGACGGGTTTCCAACATCAATGCCAGACCCCAACCCAGCGGTGCCACGGCCGCCTTCTCAGCTGAGGCGGCGGGTAAATGGCAGCCAGGTGCCTCGCGCCATCACGTCGTCATCGTCCCGCCTTCGAGCATAGAGTTTAGGCGCGCAGAGTCTAATTCGGGCCATCATCCAGGCCCGCACGCATTCGCCGTCTTTTAGCGGAGGCACGGCCGCCTCGAGCAGCGCGGACGGCGGGCAGGGCAGCGTAGATTGGCATCAAAGGGAGCAGGCGCCGTTCTGGCTAGCTAGCTTGTTGGCTGCCTACATAGCTGTTGGGCTGCGAGATGGCTGGTCAAGTAGTTCGCGTTGGATGTGCAGTGAGTGAGAGCGTGAGAACGGCTGACTTGGCTTGACTAAACCGCCCGCCGCCCATTCCCTGGATCCGGCGTCAAGTTCGCACCACTCCCGCCTAGTTTCGCTCTGCATCCTTCTGCCGCGTCGTCTGGCTCTGCAGCGCCCTTCAATTGTTGACCCGCCTGATCTCACGCTGGCCCGCCGCTGTGTGTCGCCCAATTGGCTGTCTGTCGCAGCCGCGCCGTCTGATCGCTCGCCCACCGCATCGCCGCCTGGCCGCTCGCTGCCCGCAACGCCCTCAGCCCGTCCAGCGTCTCGGACGGCGTTTCCGGAAGACCGCGCCTGTCGACCGTCTACCGCCTGGTCTTTCGTCCCAGCTGGTGCCGCGGCGCAGTCTCCCCGCCCGCGGTGTTCATGCCGATTCTTGGAGGCCTCCTCAAGAAGCGGCGGACGAAGGACTCTCGAGCATCGAGAGACTTCAGATCGGTTCCCTCCTCTGCTGCCGAATCGCTTGCCTCCATTCCCTCCGCGGCCTCCCAGGCGTCGTCGTCGCCCCAGCGCTGCCGCACTTCGGCCTCCCTCTCGACGTCCACCTCGACTGCCCCTCCCGACCGACGCGTGGGCTCCGGCGCTTCGCGACCCAGTAGCACCATCGCCGCTTCAAGCCCAGACGATATCCGTGCGGGTGCTGCGGACGAAAGCGCCCTGCCGTCACAAATGAACCCGCACCACGTCCACCAGCCTCCTCTCCCCGCGGGGTCCCCGCACTCGCCCTCCCCACAGCACCATGACAACGTCGCCAGCATCAAGAACATCATAAACCCGCCCCAGCAGGATGACGTGCCCTCGCAGGATGCCCACTATGCCTCCCAGCAGCCCACTCGCACTGTCCAGCGTCAATTGAAAGGCAAATACTCTTTAAACGACTTCACTCTGCGGCGCACGCTGGGGACGGGTAGTTTCGGCAGGGTGCACCTGGTGCAGTCAGTACATAACCAGCGCTTCTACGCCATCAAGGTGTTGAAGAAGCAGCAGGTGGTGAAGATGAAGCAGGTGGAACACACCAATGATGAAAGGAGAATGCTGGAGCGCGTCAAGCACCCGTTTTTGATAACTCTCTGGGGTACCTTCCAGGACGTGAAGAACCTCTATATGGTCATGGACTTCGTGGAGGGTGGAGAGCTATTCAGCTTACTACGGAAATCACATGTTAGAATCCTCTTCTTTTCTTTTTGCCTTCCTTTACTTTCTTCCATCTATTTTCTCTGATCTATGCTGATTGTGAGGTAGCGGTTCCCTAATCCTGTTGCGAAGTTCTATGCAGCCGAGGTTACACTTGCATTGGAATATCTACACTCCCAAAATATCGTTTATCGGGACCTTAAGCCCGAGAATCTTCTTCTAGACAGACACGGCCACCTTAAGATCACCGACTTTGGGTTCGCCAAGGAAGTACGGGACATCACATGGACACTTTGCGGGACTCCAGATTACCTTGCGCCAGAGGTTGTTTCTTCAAAAGGGTATAATAAGTCTGTTGATTGGTATGTGAGACGTTAAGTTGGGTGTCTTGTTTCATTACTTATCAAATATAGGTGGTCCTTAGGAATTCTTATCTTTGAAATGCTGTGTGGCTTCACACCTTTCTGGGATAACGGGTCTCCCATGAAAATATATGAAAATATTGTCCAAGGCCGAGTCAAATACCCTGCATTTCTCGTTCCGGATGCACGGGACCTGCTATCTCAACTTATCACCGCTGATCTTACCAAGCGCTTAGGGAACCTACGGGGTGGCTCTGAAGATGTAAAGAATCATCCGTGGTTCTCTGAGGTTACTTGGGATAGACTCGCGAGAAAAGATATTGATGCCCCTTATATTCCTCCTGTTAAAGCCGGGCAAGGCGATGCCAGCCAGTTCGACACATACCCTGAAGAGACAGAGCAATACGGCCTTCCAGGGGAAGATGAGTATGGACAATCTATTCCCTTGTAAGATACTGTTGCCAATGCTGATGGATGTTTCATATAGGCATGGCCACCTCTTCCGAGATTTCTAAAGCATTCATAAACCTCACGCCTTTCGAAGAGCTCCAATCTCATGACATTTATACCAACGATCCATATTTTTATTCTCGTTAAATTTGTGAATTGCGTGACTGTGCTGTTTTATATATCCCGGCTCTCGGTTCTCTTACAGCAGGACTGTATTTCGACTTTGACCTTGTATTCTTCAGTGGGGTAGGGCAAGACTGTGCTGGTGTTAAACACCAACCTGACATCTCCTTTCTCCACCGAGCTTTTTTTTTTTTCTTCTTGTTTATGTGCTGCGTCGCCATCTGCTATAGTTATCTCTTCGTCCTTTTTACCCCGCTTCTATCAGACGCGTATGGCTGACGATGAGTCGACGTTTTACGACTCGCTAATATTATGATAATCTGGCTCAGTCTTTGAACGTGCACGAGACCCTGAACCTGTCCGATACAACCAAAAATTTCCACGTTTTGCTCGATTTCATTGCGGCATTGTGTATTTGTAATGCCTTGTTTAGTTGTCTAGGCCACGGCCTTGTTGGGGTTCCGCTATGGGCTTCTTATATTTGCAGAGGTACTTCTTTTTTTTGGGTAGTTTCGCTGGTGAAGAGGATATAGGTATGTGCAAACTAGCTAGGGGAAAAAAGTATGCTTAGGAGTAAAAGTGGTTATGCATTTTTTATGCGCAATCTGTAATGATGACATTTTTCGCTCAAATATTTAATAGCTTGCCACATGGGGATCATTTCGATTTTATATAATTGTTTTGATGCATCCTAATATACACATCGATGCCGTATACATCGGAAAATGAGCACAGATAGAGTCTGCTCAAGCCCATGGCCAAACTCGCTAGTACCCACAAAGTCTATCCTTACACGGAGTAGGTATTCATCACGTAGTAATATGATTTTCTTGCGACGAGCAAGGATGGGTGTCAATTGGATTTGTTCAAAAGAATCGGTGGTCGGTGCCGTTACAGACTACCACCGGATGTGCCGAATCCGCCAAAGCTAGAATCACCGTTCAATCTGCCGCTCTGAGCTTCCCGATTTAGTCGCCCGATGTATGCTTTGTTGGTGGCATTCCATAGTGAAATGTATTTCTCCATGCAGGATTTGAGGCAGGCCTGGTCTTTCGACGATAACGAGGAGTCGGGTGGCGTTGGAACGCATTTCTCAAAGCAATTCATATTCAGTTTCTAAAAAAAAGAAGTATTTTAGACCAAGCTCATGTAAATACGCAAAGAGGAATAGACCAGAATCTGTAAGGTGAGTGGCTTACCTCCATGAGGGCCCGAGCATTGTTCAACGCAGCTTCAGCTTGAACTTGCTGCATGACAGCAGCCTTCATGTCGGCGGACGTCGCATTTCGCGAGGCCGACGGGGCATCTGAAGACGAGAATGGGTTGGAGAGGGCCATTATACGGTGGGTGGGCGAATGACAAAAGTAGTCTTGTTGGTCGGGATGGCACAATGATGTACTCCGTATGGGTATATAGAGAGCCGCCGCCCAGATTTGCTCAGGAGCTTTGCAAGGTCGTGATTGGTTGCTCGGAGTAGCGACGGCCCGGCCGGTGCGGCGATTGGCTGACTCAGCAGCGCCGCGGCTCGAAATGGCCACCTTTGAGGGTTCGTCCGAATCGGGCAATCTTCAGCGAGCCGGCGATGCTTCTTTTCTCTTTTGCCGCTCCGGTTGCTGTTGTTTCGCGTGCCACGCGCAGATTGACGTGGTGTCTGCAGCTATTGTGATTCTCATTTTGTAGTCAGCAGCTCTATGTTCACCATATCTTCACATCCGTTCCTTTGACCCTCATTCTTACCCGCCATTTTGCGAAAGAGGGACGCCGCTCATAGGCCTATGCCTCTGTGACACGATAACCTCGAGAACGTTCCTTTTAATTATATCCTCTTAAACCTCTTCTCGTTCTTACATTTTCCTTTGTATGCGCTTCTTGTTACCACCTGGCGTCATGCTTTCGCATTTCCTCTCCACCCTTTTTATTTTGGCAATTGGCCTCAGGGCGGCCATTGCCAGCGACGAGAATGATTTCGAAAATGATCCCCATACGAAACGGGTACCGGTGCGCAGCTTCTCGTTTTTTTAGACTGCATCCATTGATTGCTAATTTAATATTCTGTCCAGATGAAAGCATTTAGTATACAACCGGTGCGCTGAGCCTCGACCTTCTCGGTTGTTGGTGGACTCTCAGGGACCAGTAGACTAACATACGGCGACAACACAGCCCTACTTAGATTCAGACCTGCATCACCGGTGGTTTGATTTTGGCGGTGATACAATTATTCGCACTGATCAGTACGTCCCACCTGCCACTTTCCTCAAGCTAGAGAGGCGATATTAAAGCGTTGGTTTTTCGGTATTGTAGGCTAACTATAGTAGATACCTACGGCTCACTTCCGACCGACCATCTCAAAGGGGCTGGCTCTGGTCCCGTGTTCCATTGACGGCAACCAACTGGCAGGTGTGTGAGCCAATATATTACCCCGCCGGCCTACCAATTCTGACCAGATAATTTTTGCAAAACACAGATTGAACTTGAATTTAAGTTGCATGGTGATGGTAGTCTGCACGGGGATGGTTTTGCTATGTGGCTGACCAAAGAACGCACGACCACTGGCCCAGTGTTCGGATCGGCCGATAAGTTTGAAGGGTTGGGGATTTTCTTTGATACTTATAAAAATGGGCGGACTGGCATGTCCTTTCCGATTGTCATGGCTATGATGGGGGATGGTCACACCGCTTATGATTCCCATTTCGACGGCAAGGCTAACGACATTGGTTCTTGCTCGGTATGCTCAAGCTGTCTATGGTTTTTGATTATTGATTTTCTACAGTTTCTGACAAGTTTTCTTACTTCAGGCTCGTGGAATTCGTGGCGCTTCCAGCCCTACAAAGGCCCGGTTAACCTACTTCCAGGACAAACTGCTTGCCCTCGATCTCCAATACCAATCAGACGGTAGCTGGACGTCTTGCTTTAAAATTACCCCTAGCAGCAACGTTCCTATCAAAATCCCCGCCATTTCGTATCTTGGCTTTTCCGCGGAAACTGGTGAGCTTAGTGATAACCACGATATCATAGAGCTAAATACCTATTCCCTTTACAAACAATCCGATGATAAAACCTCTCAACCTGCAAGCCACGGACACGAGACCGCGAGCGCTGGAAAACCAGTGATTGAAGAAAAGACAGGGGGCAGCTGGCTTTGGTCTTTCTTCAAATTCCTGATGTTTTTGGTTATTGTTGCTGGTGCATATGTGGGTTGGACGGCATATAGGACCAAGCGAATGGGCTCAAGGTTCTGATGACTTATCACTTTCTTGAATGGCAATATCTCCCTACTTTCGTATTTTGGATTTCTTCCTGTTCCTATGAGCGTTGTTCTGTCGTCTATAACACACCTTTTTGGCATTCCACGCCCATTCATCTCCTTTTTTAAACCATGCTCTAAGACAGTAGAAGTTTTGGAAAGGTATTGTGTATATCTTGAGAACAACAACCTGGCAAAAAGGCAAGATCTTTCTAGCAACGATCCGTAACCATCCAAACACTGAATACGAGCCAAGGTCGACCCATGCCACCGGAAAATTAACCCCTAACAGCCTATATGAACATGGATGACGGAGGTATCTAGATTTTCTTTTTTCCTTTTTTTGTCTTTTTTAAATATGTTGGATCGTGCGACGAATGTAAGAATTTAACATAGACCTAGCAAGGGATATCAATGATACGAGGAAAGTTATGTACTAGGCGCCTGCCGTTTTAGCGCGCTCTTCTACCCATATTTTATCTAGGATCTGGAAGACTTCCGTTGCGCTTCTCGAAAGCTGTTCTTCCATACCTAAAATTCCATATCTATGTTTTACCTTGTCTGGATGCCACCTAACACGCTCTGTTTTTAAAGCTGTAAGAACATCGGGGTAATATGAGACTGTTTCTTGTTCAGAAACTCGCGTCTTGCCTGTCACCTGCGGTTTAAATGGTACATTCCGAATAAACTCTTCGACGGCGTGTGGTGTAATATCTTTTCGTTGTCCAGAACGAACAGGCCATACGATGGAGTTACGAAGCAGCGAGGCGGGTGGATCAGGTGGTGTCTTCTGGACGCTAGAAGCAGCTGCAGTGTCTTGAGCACGGGCATCTAGCTTTACCCAGCTACGCAGATATCGGCCCCAAATTTCTGTCCACATATTGAGTTGATTTTTATTTTCTTTTCTCTCCTTTCCACGACGTAGGCTTTCATCGATCATTCTCTCGAATGCTTCCCGGTCACTCTCCTTTGTAGTCTGTTGCTGCTTCGCCTTCTCTTCCTGACGAACTCGACGGCGCCGTTCTCGCTCTTCAAATACAGCCTCGTGGGTCTTCTGCCACATTTTTGCCCGAACAAATGCAGCGTATTCTTCATCAGTCATTCGCTCCAGCTCTCCACGTTGATCTTTAATGTCTGGTCGAGGATAAGTATGAATCGGTTGCCCGTAAACCCCTTCCCAGTATGCCGCTCCTTCATCATCTGCCATAGCATCAAAAAGAGATTCTCTGAATGCGGTATTTGGCGAAAGTGGAGGGCTTGTTGTCTCTTGTTCTATGTGAGAGCGCTTGCGGCGCTTATGATGGCGGTGACTGCGGCGGCTTTCTCGCTCACTGTGGCGCTTGGGCAGCGCCTCATCACTATGCTTATGCTTAGATGAAGATTTGGTCTTTAAACGAAACCTTCTGCGGCCACTGCTGCTGTATTCGTCAGCTCGCCCGTCTGCTCTGTCGGGATGCTCATTTGCTTCATCTCGGGGCGACTGCATCTTGGCAAAAACGGATTTTCGTTGAATAGAAGAATAGATGCCTGGGAGTGTCGGCGTTCATCTTCATGGCGTGTCCGGATGTATGCTGCTCGATCTTGCTTTCCACATTGCTGTTTCTGCCTGTTAAATTGGAGGAACTGAGGAAGCAAACTAGCTTGCTTAGTCAGATCAGGCGATGCCAGCTGAACGCAAACTGAAATAGTTACGCAGAACATTCTTCTTTCGATAACGTTTGGACTCAATCAGCGTCTCGCATCATCAGCCATGGCCTTAGTTACGTATTCAGACTCAGAAGCTTCGGATTCTGAAACTACCCCCCCAAACCCTCCTACCGCTTCACGAAGCCCTCCTACCCTTTGCGCCCCTAAAACAACAGCCTTCCAGCCACTGGTTGATCGCAGTAACCCACGGAAGATCATTGTCACCCTCGCGGACACAAAATCGGCTGAAGTTGAGAGCAATGATACATCTCAGGGTGGAGAACCGGCTCGCAAACGAGCCAGGATAGGTGGTAGCGGAACGTTGACTGGATTCAATGCCATGCTTCCAGCGCCAAAACGCGCAGCGTTGATTAAACCCAGTGAAAAAAGCACGACTGCTACCGTGACACGAAAAGTATTTGATCTTAAAACAAGCTCTAGCCCAGGGTTTTCTCGAGAGCCACAACCATCACCCTCGGAGGACTATGGTACTACCACTGAGGAAGGCCTTCGTATGGATGGCGACCCCGCCAATCCTCAGAAAGCAAAAGCAGAATCTCAAGTGGTAGAGAAAAAGGGTAATTCGATGATGTTCAAACCATTGTCAGTTGCTAGAAATTCGAAGAAAAGGCCAAAGCCAAGGCCAGTAGCTGGAGCTACAGATAAAACAGCAGCCCCTAGTTTGGAGTCAGCGAGCGAGGTAGAGCCACAAAAGCCGAAGCAGAAGCTCAATTTATTTGGACTATCGAGCGATGCAATCTTAACTAATACAGATGAGCCATACAGGCAGACACATTACGAGCCAATGGTCCACGTGCCCTCTAGAGACTCTGAGCTTCAGTCGTCAGTTGCCAGCGGTGTGGTAGAGAACCAATCAGAGATTTCTTTTACTCCTAGTCAGACAGACTCACTTGCAAATGTTGCCAGTGATCTGAAACTCTCACGGTCTGAAATGCGGCAACTAATGGGCAGAAAAGGTCGTGCCTCGGCAGCTGATACCAGAATCCTGACTTTTAACACAGATCAAGAATATAAGTCTAATTCTGCTCTACTCTCTGCAATGTCCGAACAAGAACTTGCAGCTCAGCAGCATAATCCTGTTCGCTCCATCGCCCCTGGCAAGCACAGTTTGCAGCAATTGGTGAATGCTGTCGGCAGCCAGCGAGATGCGCTCGAAGACAGTTTTATGGCGGGGAAAAGAAATCGCAAGGAGGCAGGATCTAGATATGGATGGTAAGGACTTTTACTCATCAAAACAATAAAACTAGTATGGGTTATGTTTTGTTTCTACCTATGATGAACTGATTTTCCAGCACTCTAAAACACTTTTTAGCTAGTCTTGCGTCACTCTATTGAGTAGTTAATCAGGTGTTAAGCTTCTAGAGCCATACTTTTATCCTGTATATTCTATATGTACATCTAGTTACATATGTTATATGTTTGCACATACATAACTACATTCTCTAGATCATTGGATCTTATCTGATCTTATATTTCAGCGTAACAAACTCTTTTGGTTAACAATCTTGTCTTATCTTATCTTATCTTTGTCTTTATTTTATATTATCTAAGCAGGATGCTTGGCAGTATGGATTTCTTTTAGAGACAACATCGAGCTGTCATCTATGGTGAATAATAGTATATATAGTACAAGTAGATAGTGAGATGCGCAGTATATAAAACAGCACTCATACTTTCTTTGGCCGAAGACCTCATAGTATTCATGTACATGCATAATTACATACTGTACGAACCCCAAAAGTCAGAGCTATCAATGGCCAAATCTCAAGCCGATACATCAACAACCTCAGCAAACCATTGTTTTAAGGCCAGCGATAGAACAAAAGGAAGCTCATTCACATTTCTCACAATTAGGTAGTAAGGAAATGGAAATCCTTCTAGGTACTTTTTCATTTTCCATTTCCCTCCTGAGTCATCATGCTCAAAGGTCGCCTGCGAAAGGCTCATGATTGAGTTGCTCTCTTCTTTAACCGCATCAACAATGATGAAAACAATCATTATTCGGTCCTCTTGCGCTTGTCTGAGCAGGCGTTTAATATCCTCATGGTCTTCGCAAATACCATCGGATACAATCAGCTGTAGTTGCCATAGATCGCCGCTTGATGATGACCGTTTGGACCTCGCATCACGAAACAATGCAGTCGATTCCTCGATCAGTCTCTTTACATTGGTACCAGTTTGTTTGTAGCTGAACTGTTGAAATACCCGCATTCCTGCATTGGATGAGAATGGTTTTCCAAACTCGTGTGCCACCCGGATATGATCCTCGTTCCCGAAGCTAACAATGCATAATTCTCCAGCTTCTAGCATACTAAGACTGCGAGATACCAGTGCAAGGGTTTCAAAGGCAAGTTGACCGCTGGCGCTTTCAAGCATAGACTTACTATCATCAACTGCGATCATTATCTGGTAATTTCTTTTCGAAGGCATGGAGCGGCGCATCCAGATTTTATCCCGCTTAAATTGAGACGCAATGTATGGGATTATACGTTTAATATTCAGCCGTTTCCCCGTTCTGAAATCGCCTCTTAGTTTTGTCGCCATTGTTGGGGCAAGTATCAGCCGAAGCTGTTCTGTAAGCGATAGTGCAAGGTCTTGCGTGACAGATTCATAATGAGACCACAGCCGCCGTGCTTCTTCGGGTGGGGTTAATGGGGGACGTTCAGGCGAAAGATGAATTGCTGACAGATGACGATCGACATCCTCTAAATTTTCTTGCATCTCATCTTGTTCTGTGAATTGACCTACATCGCTTTTGTCTTGAATATTCCCTGCCACAAATGGCAATGATGCAGGATGGTTTGTCTGACCCGCAGTATTGTCTAGCTCCATTAAATCTTCCAGTCCCTCTTTAGTTTGTTCTATATCATGATCACTCTCACCAGGAAAAACATCATTGTTTTCCACTTGCTGATTCGATTCGACGGCTTTGGTATGATCGAGATTTCTGGCTTGGTCATCGCTTGCTGTACCAAGAGCTTGGGTATCTGCGGCATCTTCGTCATTGGCTAGATGTTCAAAGTCAACCTCCTCCATATTCACGTCGACATCTATTTCATCCACTTTCCCATCATTGGAGGCCTCTTTGATATTTCGTTGTGATCGATGCCACTGTTCCAAGATATCACCGAGTTGTTTAAACGCCTGGGCCTGGGAATCCTGCGGCGCATCTTCTGCCCTACCCCCGGCGTGATCTCCTGAAGCCTGCCTGTCATTATCGTCACCGTATTTTCCCGCGTTTGATTGCATCTCACTGTCTTGACATAGATCATTTGACTGTTGTTCACTCGTTACCTGCCCTGTTGCTACATTATCACGATTTTCCTCTGTATCCGGACCTACAGATACAGCTTCGCTTGGGGCTGCATGTGTATTTTCAACCTCCGCGTCTAGCTGTTCAGCTGGGCTAACATCCTGCTGATCATCACTATCGGATATATTTGACCCTTCAGATTCCTTGTTATCTGAATTGTCAATTTCATTTTTATTTTCATCTTCATTTATTTCGTTTTGACTTGGCGAGTCTGGGAAATTTTCCTTTGTAACAGCCTCAGAATTCTCAGGTGGCATCTCGTCATCATCTGGAAAATCATCGTCGATGTCATCATCAGGATCCGGGTCGGTGTTGTGTTGCTGTTCATCAAGTTCCATATCATCTGGCAAGTCCAAAATTTGATCCTCTTTCACATACGGTTCGGTGACATCCATATTATCTTCACGGCCAATTGCCTCGGATTCTTCGTCGGCAACCGATTCACTATCACTGTCATTTTCGTCACCCTGCGTTTCTTTTCCATCCGTATGATTCTTTTCAGGGGCAGCAGTTTCCTCCTCCGTATGAGATGTACCTTTACCCTCGTCGTTTTCTGTGTCCTTTTGCCCAGGATCATTTTTGCCATCCCATAGCTTCTCGTCTACGGCAGACTCATCCAGCCCATCAACACTGCCTACCTCTTCATCGATATCATCGAGGTTTTCTATCTCAGAATCCTCACCATCTTCCGACTTCTCAGTCTGTTCAACGTTTTCGGTATTTGCTTCAAGGTCATCATGATCCATGTTCACAGCATCATCGGAAGAATTAGTATCCTCTTTCTCCGCTTTTTCGTCTGATTGCTGTTGGGCCAGGTCAGAAAGATCCTCGTCATCTTGAACATCTTTACTAATATCTTCAGCCCCTTCCCCCTCACCAAGGCCAGTCCCGCTTTCCAGGTTCCCTGTTGCTCCTTGTTCTTCTGATGCTTCTGCTGGGCTACATAGTCCCTCAGAAGCCACCCGTATGAACGACATGGAGAGAATATAGCCCATCTTACAGACTTCGCGGTGAATAAGAGAATATCGATTAACCAAGTCAAGACATATATGGTGATATTGACTGACTATAGGCATCACGGTGGCAATAAGGGCAGGCGCGATATCCAACCCTCCTGATGGCTCGGAGATTGACTTTATTGTAGCCAAGGAGGATATGATGTTGCCCGCAATCTCATCAATATGAAGTTCATCCAGAGCTTTCGAGAAAACTTTTTCGGATTTTGATAGCCAACCAGAGTCTTGAATAGAAGTAGGTAGAGCTGCTAAACAATCCTTCAGCCTTTGCAATACCACAAATATCTTATCTGTAGCGGCTAAAAGTGAAATATCAAAGTCTCCAAGGGTATCAATGGCGGACGGAGTTTGATTCGTAAATAGGCATTCCGACAGGTCAATTTCAGCCCAAGGAAGTACCTGGCGAAGAACAAATGCTAAACTTGGGTTGTTATATATTATGCCTTGTACATCTTTCCGGACCTCCATAATGAGCATTAGAGCACGAGAAACATGGTATTCGTGAGTTGCGGACGATAATCCCCATGGAAGGGATGCGATGTTTTGCAACGTCTTCTCTAAACAGTCCACTTCATACTGTCTTGAAGTCAATTTATCGACTACCTCGGATATGTCAATTTTTGTGCAAGAAGCTTGAATATTCAAAATGGTCACACATAAGCCAAGAGTTACGGATAACCAGGCAAGCGCCCCCTTAACATCATTCCGATTAGCAGTAGATGGGTTGAGTATTTGCAGATCCCCTTTCTTTAGGCTTGACATGCTTTCCATGACCTGAACAACTTCAGAGAGTGGCTGTAGGGCCTTCAACGCTGAACTTAGCACTACTCTCTGAGCCAAAACTCGAAATAGTAGCCCTTCAACGAAACCAGAACTTCTCGCTGCTTCTACATTGCTCAGATCGTTGGAGTACTCGCGACTAGCTTGACGTGTCTTGGGCGTATTATCCAGGAATCGATGGAAATATGAATCTGCGCTTTCCAAAATCCGAGACTCCCCATTAAATATAATATTTGGGGTTGTAGCGATGACGGACGAAATAGAATTCTGCTTCCTTAAATCATCTGTACCAAGGTTAGAGCGGATGCCCATATGTCGAAGTTCCCTTAATTTATCTGCATAAAAGCGGCGTTTTTGACTTTTAAGATGCTGCACCTCTTCCTTGTTACTTTCAGTCAGGGTTTTGGGGGTTTTGGCCCTGAAATCGTTGAGAGTGTCAAAGATATCTTTCATAATAGTGTCTAGTTCCTGGCCGATATCTAAACCGACAAAACACCCCAAGTATACTTGACGCATGTTCTTAGCCGTAGAATCTGGGTTCTTGAACCGAGCTGGCTTAGTGTGCCAGCCAGACACGGTTCCGCAGCAGTAATCAAGGGCTGTTGCCAGAACTGGTTTAGCTGTGCCCAAGGATATTTTTGAAAAGTTCTCCGACACATAACCAGAAGTAGGAAGTCCGTTTCCGATGACGGTGTCTGATAACTGGCTTAGAAGGGTTCGATATTTTCGTACGACTTTGAATAATTTATGATGAGAACGACGTGCACTGTCCCGAAGCACGGCGATATTGGTGTCCTTCCAGCTTGTAAGAACTATCTCCTGCTTCAGATCTTGTTCTAGAGACTTGCGGCCGATTGCTAGCTGCTCCTCAAATATCGTCACAAACGGTTTATAGCGTCTTACCAAATTTGACAAGGCTGAAACCAACTGACTCAGAGAAGGAAAATCAACAAGATATAGCTGACATAGAGACACAAACCACTCCACAAGCTCCAACCTGAAGCGATATTGTCCGATTGACGTCAAAGAAATAAAATTCTCCAGCGTCGAAATAAGTTCGGTTGTGTGGCTTGCTAAATTTTGACCATCTCGAAGTATTTGCAGTGGTGTTTCAATTATTACTTCGTAAGCAACAAACCACCAACTTTTGGCATCATTTTCGCATTTCTCGTATTCGATGTCGAGAAGACGAGCCCATGTGGAGAGTTCAAGACGTCGCCAACTGATCAACAATGCAGTCAGTTCATTATAGCAGTCAACAGCGGAATATTCCTTGCTTGCAACGGTTTGCCATTCGTGAATATACCCATGCAGCTTTTCCGCTTTTGTCAAGAACTTGGCAATTGGTTCCCGGTGCTTAAATTGATAGATTCCAGAACAACACTCAAGGACGTCCGCAAGTGTAGCATGTTCAGACCAAATTTTGTGCAAGTCAGAAAATCGGTGCCACGTTTTTTCCACAATCATCATCAGTCTCTTTACTTCTGGGATGTTTGCATCGGCGTAGAAGTTCTGAGAAGGTCCGGCTGGAGTACAACGCTCCTTATCTAATAATAACAAAATTGCAGGCAGATGATACTGAGGCTGCAATGAAGACCATGGCACAAGGTCCAATTCTAATGGAGTACAGGCAATAAGCCCCGCGGCATCCGAAATCAGCTCTTTAAGTCTCGACTCTTTATTTTCATGGGAAAACAATTGATTAAACTTCCGAGAAAGCCGTAGCACAATTGTCCTATTGTCGAGTCTGACTCGCGGCTCCCAGTCAGACTCTGAATTTTCATCAAACGTAGGGAATATATTCAGGATTTCTTCCGCTTCTGCAAGGTTACTGTCTTGGAGAGATCCTCGGTAACGGTAAAAGGAAGACTTTTCCGCTTCGTTCGCTTGATCCGTTTGTAATTGCTCTTTCCACTGGCCATAAAGACTTTGAAGGCAACTCCGTAAGATCTCGCGATAATCACGGCGTTGGAGAACTTCGGAGTCTATACAATTAAAAGTACTGATAAGGCTTAGACGAAATATATCAGTCTCAAGTTGTAATTGTGGGAGCTGGGAAATGCCAATAGACGAAAGATCATGAATCCGGACACGTTCTGTTCCTCCAAAAAATGGTGTCGCTTTACTAATGGTATCAATAAAGTCTTCGAGACCCGTTGCTTTCTTTTGACCGTCCTCGATAAGGCTTATCCCAAGGTGCAGCATTTGAAGAAATCGGACAATTGGAGTAGTGATATCATCATATGCCCTGTAGCTATCAGTAAGACGAGTACATAAATGACGAATATTCTCCTTCACTAGGCGCGAGCCTATATAGCCAGACTCTTCGGATACTACCGAAAAATCGTCTCCAGTTTTGTTGATGACCGACGTCAATATGGTAGTAAGTTCGCCCTGAAGATTGCTTAAGTGAGAAGGTTTGGGCCTGATTATGCGTAGTGGTGGCGGCGCGTCTCCCAGGAGCCGCAGCCCATCTTCCGCTGCTCGAATACGAACACTTGTATCACAACCAGAATACCTTCTTTCGAAATTCAATAATGCTTGAAGGATGTTATTCTTTTCAAGTTTTTTTTGTAAATATCTTTCATGTTCAGCAACCACCCCTAATGATGGGTCAAAGGGCCGATCCGGAACGAAACTTTTTAATAATGTTGTAGCAAATGCTACAAGCGTTTTCCCAAGCCGTAACAAAACGTGTCGCTTAGAATATGTTGCATCACAATCGGTGATACATTGAATCAATGAATTTGACAAAAAAGTACTAAAATTTGGGTACCTCTCAACCTCAGTATGCGATTTTATTTCGATATTAAGCTCCCCGTCACCGGAAAGTAACGAGGTTGAGCCACTAGATTTGTCAATGGACTCCAAAAAGGCCCGTAGCGCTTCAGTATCCATAAGACTCTGGTGACAAAGTAAATATTCTTTAATTAACTCCTTCATATTATCTCCAAGTAGCGCGAACTGGTCTTGCGAGATTTGAATGGAGCTTGCGGCGAGCGCCTCAGTCAGCATTTTCACTTCAGATTCAAGAGCTTCCATTCTATGGAGTGGCACATCACCAATATGCTTCAGCTTCCGGATAATGGAGAGTGATAAATTGCCTCTCAATGCATAATGGTTGGTGAATGAACTTTGAAAACCCGAAAATCGGGCAAGATTGCAGAGTAGTCCTGGGGCAGGGTTTCCAGAGGAGGAGAGATCATTAGGCACAGACGATCGACCTGCAAGGAGCCTTACAACGCCATGTAAAGACCCCCAGGTATCAATTGTTTGTCTAGCCGAAAGGTCATGATATTGACATATTGTTTCGAATTCCACTGAAAAGTATGAGTCGGTTTCAAATTCAAAATTTCTGGCTTTACGCTCCGCTTCAATAATAATCCGTGTCAGGTCCTAGAATTGATGATCAGCCACAAAAGTTGAGGGAAAGGTATTTCATACATACGTGCACCAATTGGCCTGCATCAGAACCCAGTAGCAATGACTCTTGCGCCTGAATTAATAAATTGCTTAACCGAGCAAGATCCGCTAGAGGAAGGCTTGTTGATCGTATCAAAGTATCAAAGCGTGAGCAAAGAAGCTCCAATTCCACCATGTTTTGTAGGCGGAGTGGACTTGATGCGGTTGCGGGTCTCCACTTTTCCCACATTATTTGCATACTATCACCGGTAGTAAGCTTCCAGTTAGCTTGGAAAGAATCCAACATTTGCGGCCAGCACTCGAACAAACGAATAGAACCGGGTCGCAAGGGTTTACAGAGAGCTTTTCCAATGTTAATATAGGTTAAAAATAGAGCGTCTTCAAAGTCATTTCCCACGCCCAATCGAAAGATATCCAAGGAAAACTCGAGAATAGATTTTGCGGCTTCTAGATGAGTTTCATCTAGGGAGTCCAACCGCACATCTTGGAAGAAGTCCATCAAAGCCTGACATGAATCTTTAAGGAAGGTGGCAATGTGTGACGTAGAGTCCTTTCTGTGGGGAACAATCGTGATAGATGTCATGGAGCGTTCCAACCGATTCATTTCAGATGACTTTTTGCTCCGAGCCGCATTTTCTACACGAGACAACTCTTGAAATAGTCGAGCAGTACCTAGTTGGGTTTCTTGGATCTTGGCGACCCTTGTAAGGCAAAAAGGGTCTTGAACGGGTCGAGGAGAGCTCAATGCGCGAGGCTCATTCACTAGAGGATGGACCGGCTAGCCAGTTCAATCAGCTACATCAATGTTTATCAGTAGCAGAACATACCTCAAAGCACTGTTCCCTTTTCAAGAACTTGTTTTCGTCAGTGATTTCACTAAGAGACAAGTCTTCTCGCCAGCCAATTAACCGGCCATTTGATAGCAAAGAGTAATAGCGGGCGATTGTAAAAGACACCGTCTCTATGGGGCTACCTGCGCTTTCGGTCCATAGTTGCCCAAGGGAATGTAAATTTTGGTTGATTCTTGTAATATCTCCTGGGGGTAAATGATCTAACGCAATCTCCAAGCCACGGTCGTCTGTGGCTGCACTGAAGATGCAATTTCGAATACGATACACGGCAGATTCGCAAGTATAGGCTATCGGGGAAAGACTGCAAGAAGGAACTTCACTGGGCAGAAAGAAGAGCTCGACGGATCGATTTCGCATTGCTCGAGAAAGTTCACCATGCCGGGGGTCCATCGTAAGGAATAAACGAAACTGTTGATGTGGTCGTACAATTTTTATCGACCCATCATTTGTGCGCTGTTCGTTAATGATAAGACAGCCATTTGGTTCCATGAGCGAATTCAACCTGTCAAGAACTGTCGCATTACAGAGATTAGCATTGTCCAATACAACCCAATCTCCTCTTTCAACCGCATGAATCAGCAGGCTTTCTGTCCATTCGAAGCCAACATGGTTGTCACTGTTTGAAGCCAGAAGTTGCACACAACGATCGTAAAAGTGCTTGAAGCGCGGATCTTCGTGTTGACAAGAAATATGATGTAGGGACTTAGACACCTTTTCGAGGGACAAAGATTTCATTTTGAGTAGTCTGTATAGTTCCACCAACTCATTAGTAACTTCTCTAAGGGGCACATTTTTGTATGCCCGGATGATATGGTACTGTAAAGCGTCTATAAGCTCGTTGATAAGAAGCGATAGGCGGCGGTGTTCATCCCGCTGTTCAAATCCGCCAATTAAGTCCATGGCGTCAGTATCCGCATTCAAGGATAGCTCAACAAGCTTAGCTCCACTAAGTGCAGCAAGCTTCTGAAGCGTGGCCGATTTACCGCAACCGGATGGCCCAACGAGAACAGTCGGCCATTTGTTCTCAACACAGAACATAAGTGACTCTAGGATTGGGAGGTCTTTAGGGTAAATTTCAATTTGTCTTTCAAAGACTCTTTGCAGTGTTTCATCGCGTTTGAGTTTTCCAATACCAACATGAAAAAAATCAGTTTTCAAATTATGAAAATAGCTTTTATGATCGGGGTCTTTTCCAAAGATTTTTCCATAAAGCTTCGCGACCGTTTCTCTGTCCCCTGCAGTTCTAAAACGCTGGGATATTATGATATCAAGAAATTGGGAGGCATAAGATCTCATTTCTGGTTTATCCAGCAGTATAAGCCACCGAGATAGATCCCTCAGGTTAATTTCCCACGGGCCTCCAATCTGCCCCATCCCACGGTGATCTAGCAGCTGAGAGTTTATAGCGGAAATAAATTCTACCATTTGTCCAGCATGGTTTGGAGAAAGGCTAGGAGAGAGCTTAGTGCAGATAAGTTTCAGGTCGTGCATGGTGAACGAATCAGCATAAACAACTGTAAACCGATTGACAAAAGATGCTGGAAGGCCTTTTCTACCCCCACCTTGGTGATGCGGGTTTTGTGTTGCAAAGAGAACAAAGTCTTGGTGCCTATCGAAGGTTTGGTCCAGCTCTGCAATATAAACCTGTTGTCGATGATCCAAGCAAGAATTTAACCCTTCAAGGACAGATTGAGAAGCAAGATTCATTTCGTCAAGGAGTACCCAGCCACCTTGTTGCAGAGCTCGCAGAAACGGTGCATCGCTCCAGGTAAAGTTTCCAATCTCGGCGCCTTCAACGGGAACATCGTACCCAAACAGGTCCGTGAGGTCCGTTTGCTCGGACAGGTTAATACGTGTGAGATTTATCCCAAGAATACTAGCAAGTGCTGCTACAAGGGTAGTTTTTCCAACGCCAGGGCTTCCTTCAATCAATATTGGTTTATTTGACTGAAGACCTCTTGCAATCCTAAGAGTATTTGTCAACGTCGTCGGTGCATCTAATGCAAAATTAGGGTCGGTCTGAGAACCAGGACGGATTTCATGACAGAAAGGGCCTATTTCCATGTAGCCCTCATTAATCGAAGTATTGATTTTTTGGAAGTATACAGATATCGCATCGAACGAGAAAAGCCTCCCAAGTTCCTCTAGACATCTACGGCGATCTTTAACAAGATCCCCAGATGAGACAGCAAGTATTGCAGAGGGATTGGCACCCAACGAATCAATATATACCAAACATGCTCCATGAACCAATACGGATACAGAATCAAGCTCCTTGCAATCATTGACAAAACTTGCCCAAGCAAGCAAGTCGCGGACGGAAATAGAAGCTGAAGCGGAGCCTTGATAGTTTTCTTTAAACCACTTTGCAAAACACATCATTGGTAGCGCTGAGTTTTGAAATGTAGGATGGAGTTTTGCCTCTAAAATAGGTATGATATCGTCCGCATCTGAAAGCTGAGGAACCCAAATTTCAGTGAGACGATTCCTTAAAGCAGCAGATAGCTCCCTTTTACCATAGTCACCACCGGGATTCATTGTGGCCAAGAACTGAAACCCTGGTGCTGCAACGACCAGGGAGTCAATGGGGCCCTTTTCTGCTAAAAGAAGGGATCTATGCGGCTCAAGGACGCTATTTAAGCGCTCAAGAACTGAATCATCAGCAAGAGATAGCTCATCAAGCAGAAAATGCTGGCCTTTTTTCATTGATGACACTAGGCTTCCATCAGCCCACTCGAAGAGTGCATTGACTCTAGAAATATTAATATGTATTCGATCTAGGATTTTTTTGTCTAAGCCCTCAAGCTGAGCTGGGGAGAGAGACATAAAAGCCTTTTGAAGGTCGTCCAGCCTCAAATCACTCTCTTCTGTCATCGCATTGAGTTGATATAAAATTGACGAAATATCCGCAACAAGGGTTTGTTTGATCAAATTTCTATTTCTCAGTGGTCGCTGCGCACCAATAAGATCTCCTGTCTCAAGGTTGACGTGAGCATTGAGTATGTTTAGGTCTTTCCCGTATATTTCGGCAATTGCTTGACATAGCTGCGTTTTGCCGCAGCCTGTATCTCCTACAAGTAACACTGGCTCATTATGATCGATGGCATTCGAAACCAGGACGAAAAGTCTCCTCATGGCATTTGTCCAAACAAGCCCGTGAGGAACGGTAGATGGCTGAGAGAAACGGGAAGTCACATTGATAGTATCATACAACGATCGTTCGTTGATGTTAACACCCATAACCTTTTCGATGACCTTTTTGACAGCAAGTCGCTCCTCCGGATTCCTGACTCGTTCCGCGAGAAGCATGAATCCGTTAGCAGCAAGTTGTTCTTTGTTATCAGCACGCCTTAATGCCCACCTGAAGAGATCACGTAGTGTAGCAAAACTATTCCTTTGCTCAAATAACCTGCTAGATTGTCGCAGAATAGACAGCTGGCGATATACAGAAACGATTCTTTTACAAAACGAAGGAGCTATCTGCGATCGCTCTGTCAAAATAAATTCCAGCTCCTCTTCAGGAATATCATCAAAGTGGAGCTCGAGGAATCGGTTTCGAAAAGCACGAGAGAGGACTTTCCTCCCACCATACAAACCAGCAGGGTTTTGAGTAGCAAATAACATAAAATTCGGGTGCGGACGAACGACGTCCTGTGTCTCAGGAAGGAAAAGTTCTCTATTATCATCCAGTAATCGGTTAAGGGCTTCTAGAACATCGGTCGGAGCAAGATTAAGTTCATCAAGAACAATCCAATATCCGTTTCTTAAGGCTTCAACCAATATACCCTCCTGATACCGCAAGCTGCCATCTTCTCGGGAAACGTACGAGCCTAGATATTCTTGAAGATCTGTGTGTTCGTGGTTATTGATCCTTACGAATTTATTACCCGAGATTTTTGCCAGATGTTCGACCATACTGGTTTTCCCAGAAGATGTCGGGCCTTGCAAAAGAATCGGAAATCTCCTTGTGCAACTTGCCCTTACCAGATTCATCAAATTCTTCTCGATAAAGGGAGTAATAATATAGTGTGGCTGAAGTTCTGGTTCGAGACCGCCCTTCCGCATCCAGTAATGCTTGAATTGTATATGCTGCGACCCATCTGGAGGTTCCTTGGGTGTTTTTGATAGCAATGATCTTGCATTTCCATGTTTCTCAAAGAGAAATTTATCGATGTAGGGAGCAACAAGTTGCTCGGATTCTTTTCCTAGTAGCGTTAAGAAGCTCATACAAAATCCCTCATACATTGCACGGCGGACTCCATAAATATGAGCTTGGTCGTTTATGTATAGCAGCGTCCTGACTAATGTGCGTATACTGAAATGGGGTCTTTGACCTGCCCCATCAGTCAATCTGTTCTCAGCATTTAATCTCTTTATCTCAAGATACAAGCTAGCGAGTGCTGGCGCGGCTGTACGATCATGATGCGCCAGCTGGCCCAAGTACGCTTGAATTAGGCTTATTAAGTCGTCAAAATCGCTATCAGGTGGTTGAATGTACAGTTCCGTAAAGCGAGACCTCAATCCAGGAGCCAGGTCACGTTTACCTGCGTCAGTTGCAGGATTCATAGCAGCAAATATGCGGAAATCAGGGTGGCCTTGAACAGCCTCAACCTCTCCAGCTTCGGAGAGAAGGATAGAAGGAAGACCGTCTCGTCCGTGACTGAGTAACCCGGAAATGCTTTCGAGGGTCTCAGGAGATGCTAAATTTATTTCATCCAAAAGAACCCATTCCCCATCCCTTAAGGCTTTCACAACTTTTCCCTGTACAAAGGCAAAAGACATCTTAGTGTCTCCTCGGGATATATGTGTTTCGAAGTCCTGTAAGTCTTGCGTAAAGGATTGCCATCTTTGCTTTAGGTTGCCGTATTTTGAGATGTCTACCTTCCTCCTTTTTGCTGGCTGTTGCTCAGAGCTTCTCTCCTCACCATAGGGTCCAGTTTCAGGCTCATGAAACAACCTGGAAGACATTTTAACAGCCTCGTTCAAGACATTCAGCAAACGAGACCAGTTTCCAGTGGTGGCACTCTTTAAAACTGAAGATAGAAATTTTTGATTCTTCTTTACGGAAAACGTAGCGTCAAAGAGAGAGTGAAACCTGTCCACTAGAGGAATTGCGATGGATCGGAGATTGACTGGCTTATAGCCCCCAATCAAATCGGTTGTCTCACTCTGCTGAGAGAGGTTCACTACCGTAAGGCGCTGGTTTAACAAACATGCTAAACGTTGAATGATTGCAGTTTTTCCAATACCTGTTTCGCCAACAAGTAGCAAGGGTTCAGACATTTGGAAAGCCGCAGCACATTGCTCCATAGTCCTCAATGATGCCTTGGTTGATGCGAATGCGAGAGACTTACCCACTGACAACCGTGAAGTTTGGGTATTTAAAACTTTCAGAGTCGGGCACACCTCTCGCCCAATGAGTAGTCCATCCTGAGCCTCTGAGTATTCAGGTACACGCTCAAACAAGCAAAAGTTCATGCGCTGAGGAGGCACACGGAGTTCTGCGGCAATTTCGCCTATAAGTTTGAGTCGAAATGCCTTGTTCGGTACGAATGCGGCAAAACAATCAACCGCATCCATGAGTATTTCGTCGTCAGTCCTTTCGGGGATTGCCCCCCTGCTCGTTGAAATGCCCAACTTTTCAAGACGTCGTTCAATTCTCCAGCAAAATTTTATTAAATCACGTAGTCCGATAAATCTTCCTTGGATGCTGTGGGCCATAGTTGATACACGCACAACCTCTATTATTCGATCATAGAGATTGAGAAACATATCAACGTATCCAGCCATTGAAAGTAGGGGAAACTCTTCCTGTATGATTTGCCTGACTTCCGCCGATGGCAGGGACATCACTTGAATCCGGCGCCATAATCTGTTACCAAGCAGGGTCTCACCTGAGGTGACCTCAAGGCCTTTCGAGTTAATAGTAGATCTCATAGTGGCGATAATCCTGAAGCCTTCAGCACATTGGATGCGCTCTTTTCTATTCGGGATAATGAGTTCACGGTTCTTAATCAGAGGCAAAATGACACTCAGGACTTCGGAAGGTGCTCGGTCAAGGTCTTCAATCAACACCCATCGCCCTTCATTTGCGGCCTTTGCAAGAGAGCCGGGTTGCCAGATGAATCCCCCAGTTCGCGTAGAAGTTGAATATACTCCAAGTAAGCTTTTCAGATCAGTTTGCTCATTTAAATGCAACGTTATCATGGAGGCCGATTGCCCCATTGCATCCGCCGCGTGAGATATGAGTGATGTCTTTCCTGCACCCGCCAGGCCGATGAGTAAAAGAGGCTCAGAGGAGAGAAGACCCAATCCAACTCTGCGTAAGTTTTCTAAAACAGTGGATGTCTGCACCAATGTACGAAGGTTTGTTTTACGGCGCTGTTCGACTTTCGGAATTATAACACCGCCAATCACAGCTGTGAGGGGCGATACGGGAAGTCGCTGAATGCACGTATCAAAGATAGATGAATCGCGACTGCTTCGTACGTTTAGCAGATCTGTCTGAAAATCATTCCATCTCTTTTCTTCCCAAAGGCTTAGAAGCCTGTAGTCAATCATCTGGTCCTCCCACGGGCCCAGAAGCAGATCTTCTCCGCAATATTGTTGAAGCATCGATTGCATGGACGCATCAGCAGCATGCATGTATAGACAAAAGCACCTAATGCTCAAATATCTCAGAATACTATTGGAATGCGAAAATAAAGCCCCTAATCGAGCCGGAGAGACGAAAATGGAGAATATCTCCCGATCAAAGCTTAGTAAACGAAAGAATGATAAGAGTAACAAGAGTAAAGTTTCGTCACTTGTATCTTCGAAATCGATGTCCGGAGATTCGGAAAATAACGGTACCTTGCCATTTAGGCGCTGGAGGAGGAGGCGTACAAATGGCTGTAGATATTGTGCAAGAGGCAAAATTCTGGAGAAGGCGGCTATGACTTCAAAAGGAGAGGACAATAAGTTGATGGATAGCCATCTCGCAGCAATATCCACACATATAGGCTCAAATATTGAAAATAGCTTCGCCGTGTAGCTCGGATTCAATGAAAGGCGTGATAATTCATTCAACGGCTCCGCGCTCCGGCAAAGTATTTCGACAAGTTCATCCGGAAGGTGATGTAAAAGTCGCGGGTCAGACAAAGTCTCAAAAAGGGCAGGCTGATCTTCCATATTTTTGCAACAAAAGGAGGCCCTTGATCTGGAAAAATAGGTAAAAATTGTTTGTTGTGTACGGACAGGCTGTACATCCTCAATCACGGAGCTCAAAAATTTCCTTTTTGGGTTTTTATTTTCTGCCACGCTTGAAAGCTTAAACTGTGAGAGTGTATCCTCACCGCTTTCACCATCATCATATACCATGTTACCCTCTTCACGGAACAAAAAGTGAGATAACTACTCCAGCCGACGAGCTCGATAATTACAGTCAAATCAAGCGCGCCTGTCCCTGATGGCTAGCTGTATTGATAGCCATAACCCCGTCCGTTCTGGACAATGTCGATAAATAACTTGTGGTCAAACGATCGGCAACACCGCCAACCGGATTTCGCTTCTAATAATGACGCATCTCCGTCGGGCTTCAGCTCCTCAGAAGATGTGACTAGATCATCTTCCGATGTTCCTATAGAACCCCTTAGTGAATCGTAAGTTATCCCAAATGGCGGAGTTCTGGGTAACTTATCTAACCTCTAGTTTTCAGCATCTCGTTCAAACGCAAGCAAAAAGCGCCCAGTCGCTTTGGTAGCTATAATCCGTTCTCTTGGAATACCTCTATAAGCAATTCGTCGCAACCTCGACCAGCACCTGGTCTTACTTCGAATAATGAAGCCTTTCGTGACATCTCTACAAGTCCACCCGATTCAAGACCGAACGCCGCTGATGCGAATCCCAAGGCTGGGCCCCTCGATTGGTACGTTGAAGGCCCAGGGAGGCGGTTAGGATATGATAATCTTACTGCAATTGATTGGATATTTGAATATACGAAAGAGCGCCAGAGAATACGACATTTACGTGCCAGTAGCAAAGGCGTCCTAGGCCATCTCCGCCAACTCTTAGATGCCAGTCATGTCTGGCTAGTTTTGATTGCTACTGGCATTGTGGTTGGGGTCCTGGCTGCTTGTATTGATATTGTAAGCAATTGGCTCGGTGACATGAAGATTGGCTACTGCCAAAGTGGAGACGAAGGTGGAAGATTTTACTTGAATAGAAGCTTCTGCTGCTGGGGCTATGAAGGTTCGCTTCCAACATTAGCGGGAACGAGAATAGTTATATTTACTAATTTCTACGTAGATTTATCGCAGTGTCGCCATTGGATTCCATGGCACAAGGCATTGCACGTGAGTTCAAAAGCCGGAGGATACGTCGTCGATTATATTTTTTTCACTTTATACTCTGTAAGCCAGGCGTACAATACGACTCCCAAACTAGGCTTACAATTTTTTCAAGCTTTTATTTGCTGGCCTTGCAAGCTTCCTAGTCACAACCTATGCAATTCATGCTAAGCATAGCGGGATTCCGGAGATTAAAACCGTACTCGGTGGCTTCGTTATAAAGCGCTTTATGGGAGTTTGGACCCTATTGATAAAATCACTTGGCCTAGTATGTGGTCCGCACTGCAGTTTTCAGCGGCTCCTGTGTATATTTTTAACAGATATCTTAGTGTCTTTCGGTGGCCTCTGGAATGTGGCTTGGAAAGGAGGGGCCTTTAGTCCACGTTGCATGCTGCTGTGCAAATATCATAATGAAGCCGCTGAGCAGTTTAAATCTGAATGAAGGTATTATCCCTCTAAATCCTTATCTATGTAATTCTTTGCTAATGCGTCGCAGCCAGAAAGAGAGAGGTTCTTTCAGCTGCTGCCGCTGCTGGCATCTCTGTGGCATTTGGCTCGCCTATTGGTGGAGTCTTGTTCAGCTTAGAGGTAAAAATTTCGACAGTTTCTTAATGGATGAGCTTTACAACTAAACATTTCTTAGCAACTATCTTACTACTTTCCCGACAAAACCATGTGGCAGAGCTTTGTCTGCGCAATGGTTGCGGCCGTGACTCTCCATGCTCTCAATCCTTTCCGAACTGGAAAGATAGTTCTCTACCAAGTCAAACATTCCCAGGGCTTTCACCGTTTTGAGATTTTTCCATTCATGTTCCTTGGGATTATTGGGGGTCTTTATGGAGGACTCTTTATCAAACTTAACACGAAAATTGCCCGATGGCGAAAGACTCGAAAAGTTTCTTTCCCCGTTCTAGAGGTTGTAATAATTGCTTTATTGACAGCAGTTATCAACTTTCCGAATATATTTATGCGTGTGCAGCTATCCGAACTGGTTTATTTCCTCTTTGCGGAATGTAAAGAGATTCCGAATAACCAATTTGGCTTGTGCAAAACTGGCGCTGCATCATTTGGAGTTGTGGGACTTCTCCTCGCTGCCGCCGTTCTTGGTTTCTTCCTAGCCTCCCTCACCTTCGGTCTCGATATCCCAGCCGGCATAATTCTTCCTTCTCTGGCTATTGGAGCACTTTATGGCCGAGCGGTTGGTATTGTATTTGATGTATGGCAAAAAGCACACCCAACATTCGTCCTTTTTGCAAACTGCGAACCAGACGTACCATGCATCACACCTGGCACCTATGCGATAATAGGGGCTGCTTCTGCACTTGGAGGTGCTACCAGGATGACAGTCTCAATTGTCGTTATTATGTTTGAACTAACAGGTGCACTCAATTATGTGATTCCGATTATGATTGCAGTCATGTTATCCAAATGGTGCGGCGACTCATTCGGCAAGCGAGGTATCTACGAAACGTGGATCCATTTGAATGATTACCCGTTTCTAGATCAAAAAGATGATACACCTCCCCCAGATATCCCTGTTAGTCAGGCTATGACCAATGTCAATGATCTAACGGTTATTACCGCTGTGGGGCATACTATCGAGTCGCTCACAAATCTCCTTCAGACAACATCTTATCGCGGCTTCCCTGTTGTGTCTGACACGTCCCGTCCCGTCCTGCTTGGCTACATCTCCCGGAACGAACTTTCTTATGCTCTGACGGCCCCCGGGTCTCAGAACTCACGCAATCTCTCTCCTGAAACCCAGGCATATTTCTCCCACCAACCCTTCGCCGACCCACTCGAAACCCTTGATCTTCGACCCTGGATGGACCAAACTCCCATTACTATGAATAGCCGTGCGACGTTTCAGATCGTTTTAGACATGTTTCAAAGACTCGGGCTACGATATGTTTTGTTTGTTAATAAAGGCGTTTTAGAAGGCTTTTTAACCAAAAAGGATATTTGGTATATTCTTGAAGGGGCTAGGAATAGACGAAATGAGGGCTTTGGAGATGGTGTTTTCAGAGAAGGCGACATAGGAGAGGAAGAGGGGTTACTGAGCCCTTCAGACGACAATCTCCTCCGGCATCTTGAAAGGAGGCCTTCGCTATAGCAGCTTTTAATGCAGTGCATAAATTAAATGATTTCTTGGGTTCAGCTAAACGGAGTTGATTTTGATTTTGATTTTCGCGCTTTCAGTCGAACAGATAGTATTGATACGAGTGTACATAGTGATCCCAGTCCATGAATACCCAGAAAAAAAGACAATTGCTCCTTCCTCCTCTATACATACGGGTATCTTACATACAAAGACTCATCGAAGATGACATCCAAGTAAAACGGCCATTGAAACAACAAACTCAGTTTGAGCTGTTTACCTTGTCCTGCTGGCACTCTGCGACTGCGACTGTCCCAGCTGGCTTGCAATGAAGGTAGCCTCCCGGACAGCCTTGGAGATTTGGCCCCTGACGCCGGCCTCTTCGAGTACCATCAAGCCGCCAATGGTACAACCGCCGGGCGTGCTCACTTTCTCTCTAATGAACGCAGGATGGTCTCCATTTTGAACCATGCTAGCTGTCCCACGCAGTACTTGCGCCGCCATGGCTTGTGCTTCGGCTCTGGGCAGACCCATGGCAACCCCCCCGTCAGCCAATGCTTCGAGCACCAGGGCCACAAAGGCAGGGCCCGACCCAGCAACGGATGTGCTGGCATCCATTTTCGAGGCGGGAAGGGTCACAACCCGGCCAATGCGAGAAAATATCCAGTTGACCAAGATGTCCCAGTGTGGAGGCAGGGGAGGGTTGCTCTCGCCAATAACAGTCATTGATTCTCTCACGATTGCGGCCGTGTTGGGCATGGCGCGCACGATGCGACACCGATCGCCGTGCGGAATATCGGTGTCAGCGTAAAGTGTGTCTTCGATTTGCTCGACAGTCACTCCAGCCAGGATACTGATGAGTAGCTTTCCATTCAGAGCGTCACGCATTCCAGGGGCGCCCAGCAGGGCCTGGAGCATGAAGGGCTTGCAGGCAAGGATGACAACCTCGGCTTCACGGGCGCCACGGAGGTTGTCGTTCTGGAGAATTGTGAGGGGATGCGAGTACTGCTTGAGGGTCTTTTGGATGCGCAGGGCGGACTCAGGGCGAATCACGCACGCAATGAAGCGCGAGGGGACCTGATGAGGGGCGACTTCTTCAGGGGGCGTCGCCGTGCCGCATCCAGGGAGGAAGCGGGAGTCGGCCTTTTTCGCTTCGGCCAGCGACGCGAAGATGCCGGAAAGAATGGCAACCCCAAGAGTTCCTTGTTCAAGAATCAGTGCTCGAAACGCCTGTCACGTAGTTAGCAGCGAGTACGCACCGCATCCCAGAACAGTCAGAGTGGCGCCCGATCTCGGCGCGAGGCCCAACTCGTTGGCAGCGGCAGACATGGCGACTCCAAGCAAGGCGCAGGGAGTGTGTGCAGCTCTGCGCAGTGGTCGAGAGAGCAACGGGCGAGGCGAGGACGAGGACGATGGCACAGGAGGGAGCGGGATTTATACGGAGTGGTCAGTCGACGGACTAGATATGTACTGTAACTATGGCCGGGCGGGCAGGGCTGAAGTTGCTTTTTCGCGGCGCAGGGATCGCCGGTTGCGTGAGTGCGAGATTGCAGGAGCTTAAATCAACGGGTTTGCCGCCCGCCAAAACACGCGGCCCGCGCAGCGACACTAATGTTCATGCCCTGCAGCATGAGCAGGCCGAGCCCGAACTGCTGCAACCTCTCGTGATCGCCCGCGACCGCCGCCATGGCCGACCCTTTCGAGGTGCGCATGCGTTTCACCTCGATGCTGCAGCACATGAGCGCCTCCTTCACGTCGTCGCAGAAGGCCGCCCACTATGCCATCAAGCATCGCGACATGGCCGAGGATCTCCACTCCTGCATCCTGGAGCAGCTCGAAAAGGTGCGTCTCCCCGTTTGCGGCTGGCATTGTCTTCCCAGCTAACGTCTGTGGTTGCCAGAATAACATGAACATCCGTGCCAACATCGTGTATTTCATCGAGCACCTGTGTGATGTGGCCACCAAGGAGAACCACCTAGAGTTCGTGCAGCTGATACAACGGGACGTCCTGCGAATAGTCGACGCTGTCGCCCCCGCTGATGGGTCCGGTGCTGCGAACGTCAAGCATGTTCGGCGGGTTCTCAATGGCCTTCAGTCAAAGGAAATCCTCTCGACAGACGCCGTGTCGGAGATAGACGCCTGCCTTCGAGAACGAGAAAGCTATGCGGCACATCTCTTGGACCAGGAAACTGCACACGCCGGCGACCACGGCGACATCACGAGGCCGGGGGGGATTACTGTTGACAAGAAGCAGATCGAGCAGCGCATTGAAGAGGACCGGGAACGCAACAAGCGGCTACGCGAGAACATGTGGGCGGTTCCTCCCAGCGATCTCAAAGAGTTTGAGATGATGTGGGAGGATGTCAGCGACATTGACGAGGATGATTATCTACAAGCAGCTGAGGAAGCTGACGAAAGGCGCAGAGCCGGAGAGGCCGCCGGCCTTGTTGCTGGCTGAGTCGCTATGCATTTCAAAAGGCGTTATTTGTTAGTCCGTTCTCTGTATGTAATTTTTTGGAGTCGTCTGTTACAGGCATAAACGGTGGGCAAGCCAAGCCGGCATCCAACTTTGTAGTCCAATTCAAGATCCCCTATTTCCAAATCACAGCTATTCTATTCGTTATATATCTTCCACTGTCTCGACGGTTCAATTCTCAGGCCGCGAATAAACTCATCCGGATCAACAACGGCCCGTAGTTAACTAAAAGCTGACTAAGAAGTTGGCAGAAAAGGCGGTCAGCGGAAATATCAAACGATTTTCTTGTTTGCTTGCAGTGAAAATAAAATAGTACGAGGCGTTGTGTCTTATTCTCCTTATGTTTTCTCATCTGGTGACAGCTGCTCGAGGTCTCTTGTTTGCGAATCCAGATCCGCCACAAAGCCAACAAGAAACCAACAATCTCACCATGGTCACCGCGACACGCCGCTCTATACTTTCCCAGCCAGACGACTCTCCGTCACGGAGTAGCTTCCCCGTCACCAATGGCAAAAGAAAGACTACTTTACGCTCTACGGAGGTGCTACTTGAGCCCACGCCAAAGCGGCGGCGAGGTCAGATCCGTGAAGGGACAGATTCTCAAGCTAGCACCCCACAACCTAGTGAATCAACGAAAGTACGGTATGAAGTGCTGCAGGCAGTAGAGATAAGATCATCCCAGAGCCGGTCGGCAACGCGAGAGTCCTCACTTACTACCTCTGTGCCCTTGTTAAAGAAAGGAGCTACCTCCCCCAGTGCTATCTCGAAATCAATGGCTGCTCACGTGCGTTTTGGCAGTCAAGAGCCAGAACCGGAGCTTGACCGTGAGCCAGAGCCCGCTGTCATGGAAGATCATCCGAAATCCCAGAATCAAGAGGATGGAGAAAGCGACGACGATGATGCCCCTGAAGCTATCAGTAACACCAACCAACTTCAGAAGTTAAAAGAGTTCGAACGAAAGCGAGTGGAGGCAAAACAAAGGTATTCCAGACAACACAGAGTCTGTTCTCCGTCTATTAATTCTATGCTAACTCTATAACTTTAGGCAAGAACAAAGCAAAAAAGAAAAACGACGGGAACACGAGAATAGACTAAAGATGCAGGCGAAGCCCAAGTCAACTCCAGAATTGTTCAAGACCCCAAGTAAACTGCCACATAGGCCAAAGCAAGGAGATGTTCACTCCGAAAGCTCAGCGACACTCCAAGGCTCAGTGGTCAAAGCGCCCGAATCACCACCTCTATTTTCGCTACCCAGATTGCTCCCAGATGAGATATTACTGGCGGAGCCATCTATCCGACCTCCCACCCCTCCAAGAGACATCAAGGAGCAATCAGCAATGCCAAAGGCGTCAGGGAATAAAATTAGGTTTTTTGATACGGTGACTAAACCGCCAAAGGACATCAAGGTTGGTGGAGCATCAATTCGAGTCCTTGGAGATTCCCAGAACCCTGCAAGCAATCACAACCTGCACAATGCCCTTCCTCCAAAGGCGTCAAAGAAGGGTCGCCTTGTTCGAGAAAACTGGATTGCAGGCAATCGAAGTGGCGCTGTGGCTTTACACCACGGCTTGAGAAGGACCGCTGGGGGAACCTCTGGGTTCTTGCGAAAATGAGCATTTTCCGGTTTATTCTCTAACAGTAACCCTTTGACTACCTTGAATCAAACCCTTTCTGTGGAGCTGTCTCGCCATTGCTGCCACCTTGTGTGGAGAGAGTTTGAAATTCGACCCACGGTGTACTGGTCTATTTACTTCCTCATGGAGTATTCCGCTTCATCAGTCGACTTGGCCTCCTTAGGGAATGCTGTAGCCACGAAAGCCTTGTCAGTATCAGCCACTTCCCACGCAAGGCGCCGCGTCAGCGATAAAACACGAGGCACTGGGTGCCTCTGCTTTCCCAACGTTTCGAGTTTATCATGGAGTCAATCGATTTTATGCCAGATTCCCTCACCTTCTCGTAAGAGACAACAAAATCTATTTGTTACTAACCCGCAACACCCAGTGATCGTAACGGGGGAAAGCCGACCTAGAGTGCTTATGACCTCCCCCAAGGAAAATTTGCATATGAAATGGAAAGATACTGACAATTTAGCCTCTGAATTAACACCCAGTGGCGTGATTGGCCCACAACCACAGGCCTTGGTTTTAACCGGCGAAGAAAATTTTGCCAAATGCCCCAATGCATAGTTACATAGCCTCAATATGTTCTTGCCGGAGACTGATAGGAATTGTACTCTGGTGAGATTGACTTGGCCCAACTTTGGGCGAATGCTTAGGATTGGCCTTGGGTTCTGTTTTGCTTGTCTTACGTTTTTGAGATGCAGGGATGCAACAACACACCCCCTTCCTCTGGCCCAAATCAAGTTTATGACTTGCATGTAGGCATATATGTATGTATTTGTGTAGGACTCAAGGTAGTGAACAATATTCCATCAACTTAACCAGCGAATAGAGGGGCCAGCGAGATGCAGCGGACAGCGGATCGGAGGATGCCTGGGGGCGAGACGAAAGCGTGCATCATATGTAACTATTGCGTAGAGGAAGTCAAAAACCGAGTCAGCCTGGTGGTTCCAAAACACCTTGTGGTTTTAAACTCTCGAGCTAGCAAGCTTCCTAGTCAGTGCTGGAACTACATCATTCATCTCCACCAGCACAGCTGTGTCGCAGTCTTCGCGACGATAATGGCTTCAACCCCTTCTGAATCTTCCTCGTTACTGCAACATGCGCAATCCGACCTCCGATATTCGTCGCAGGGCGAGCCACGGCCCCCCAAAACCGTATCGTTTGGCCCCGATCCCAGAGTCGGCGGTTCAACAACAACACCAGCTCGCGGAAATATCCTAAGACCACTGCACTCTGCAACACCATCGCTGCAGAGCGGCTCTGGCCAGCCCGTCCTCGCAGCCCTTAATAGCAAGCTCCGTCGGAGACACAGCCAGGAACCTCCGCTGGTGCTGAGCCCACCTCCGAAGATTGGCCCGCAACGGACGACGAAGAACACCCAGAAGCTCAAGCTCTTGCCCAACCCAGTGACCGGCGAAGACGATGAGTGGATCGACGAAGCTATTCCAAGAGATGTGTACTCGCAGATTAAACGAATTAAGGAGCCCACCGCAAGAAGAGATGCCGCTAGGTTGGGTAAGGCGGATCGTGATCGACTGCCGCGGGTTACGGCCTACGGCACGGCAAACTCATACAGGCTGGAAGGGGTGATGAAATTCTTCAAATCGCGAGTGCATTCCAGAGGGACGAATCCAAAGCTTTTCGATGAATGCGTCTATTCGCCCTATAACTATGGGTTTGAGTCGAAAAGCAGTTTTTCGCAAGAGCCATCTAAGATACCACAAAACTCCATACACCCTCCCCCGTGGACATCCACCGAGCCCGCACCACGGCGTTTCTCCGACAGCGAGTTTGAAATCGAAGGCCACCGGGAAGAACAGCGCGAACAATTGCTGAGTATGCAAGGAGCGAATACTAACGGCCTCAAGCCGCAACATGAACTCCCCGATGAAGACCATTCCCAATCATCCTCGAAAGCTCTCGCCTCTGGCTCCCTCGGCCACGACACCCAGGATTTAAATACAACAATTCACACCCCCGAAGTTTTCCTCTTCGATTATGGCACCGTCGTAATATGGGGCATGACTCCGTCGCAAGAAACTCGTTTTCTGAACGAAATATCCAAATTTGCGGACTCCGTTCTCTCCGCCGAAGACATGCAGGTCGAGAACTTCAATTTTTACTATACACGCGACTACCAGGCCCGCATATACAACGATTTCATATCGCTCCGTGACCCCCGAAGTTACATGACGAAGCTCGCCATTTCCCACGCCCTCTCTCAGTCCGTTAAGACCTCGCTTTTTGAGGACCTTGTTTCTGAGACCATCGCTTCGACCGCTCCGCTGCCCGCGCAGATCGCTCAGACTGGAAGTGTAAACCTCACTCGCCGACAAATAAATATGCAGATCGGGGAATTGTTTATCCTGCGAATAAATATCCATCTTCAAGGGTCGGTGCTTGATAGCCCGGAGCTGATGTGGGCCGAACCGCAACTCGATCCCATTTACCAGGCCATGAGGAGTTATCTGGAGATGGACCAGAGGGTCGGGTTGTTGACGGAGAGACTGGATGTCATTGCCGATTTGCTGGCGGTCTTGAAGGACCAATTGAGCCATCGACATGGAGAATATCTGGAATGGATTGGTAAGATTGTCCCACTGTTTTTAGAAGGCAATAAAACAAAAACAAAAAATTCATGGCACAACTAATGGAATTTTGGAACCCCTATAGTTATCGTTCTAATTGCTGCGGAGATTCTCATTGCGGGGATAAATATTATCGTGGACCTGTACGCTGGAGTCGACTAACCACGATAGCTGAATGCTGCAATTTGCCTTGAAACACAGGTCATTATCGTAAGCCTAGGAAACTCAAGGCTCTCGAAACAACACCCTGCATGTTTTAGGGAGGATTTGGCTAAGATGCACTGGAATTCCTCCTTCCTTTTCTTCCCCCCCCCCTTTATCACTAAGCCCGCACTACGTTTCTGTGTTGCAAATTTCTATTATATATGATTTTTTAATAGACATGGGATGAACAATCTTGCGGCTATTCAGCTGGTGAGGGTTTTTGGAATTATTAAGTTAGCGACTTCAATACAACAACTTCAAAATCATGAGACATCGCCTTGTAACGCAAGCCGCTCATAGTCGATAATATTTTTCTTGTAAACCCCTAGATATGGTAGTAGCTTGTTCTTAGCAAACTACTCGATATAGTTTGCCAATCTGACTACCCTCAACTCCTCAAACTGAGAATATGTAAGCACCCCAGGACATAATCGCAGCATTCTCCGTTTAAAGAGTGGTACGCTGAGCCTCCCCTATATCTATCGCCCATAGAAAACTCTTCCTATTTTTCTTCCAAAACCAAGGTTTTCTGTCGCTGGGATACTATATTCTTGGAGGCGTCTCAACTGCTGTGGGGAGGGGAGGGACGTCCGAGCCACATGTGTTAGAGTGGAGGTCATCAGCGGGGTGGCATGAAACGAAAAGTTGATAATACATTTGAAAATAATTCAATCAACGAATATGATGCCATGATAGAGAGACCAATTAGCTTCATTAACCATATAGAGGTACCATTAATAAAGTCCACACCAATATCCGTTTCGCCAATTGATCTAATTCATACCACCACAGACCGATTCCAAGACGCCTCATGGTATTGACAGGAAAGATAAAAAAAATAAATATATAATAGGAGTAGATGAGATAGGTAGGTCATGGACAAGGAAGGGTAGCGGACATGTCGGTGCGGGAAGAAGGTAGTTCAAGAGCCAGGATAGCTGAGAATCTCAATTCTTCAGGTTTTTCGACGTGACAAGGTCGCCATATTTCCGTTTATCTTCCGGGTCCATATCTTCCCAGTGTTCGAGAAGGGCTCGGTGTACATCTTCGTCGGTTATTGAGGGCCCGCGAGTACGATAAAGGGCGTTAGCTATTTTGTTTCTGTTCCGATTAGTGAAGTGGTCAAATGCAGAGACGAAAGGACAAGGTGGCTGCTCCAGGGCTGAAGACGTCAAACCATCCAAATGATGGCGGCTGCTGCTGCGCGACTCAGGTACCAGATGGAGAGATGATGCGGCAACCCCTGCAGGGAGATTATGCACGTCCATCGCGGATGATGCAACCGAGGTGGGAGCAACGGGGGTGCAAGGGAGCTGAAAAGAGGGTCCAGTCTGGAAATATCCAGTCGCAGGGGTATGTGGAGCAAGATCAGGCATGAGATTGGGAAGGGTATAGCTAACAGAGTCGGCATTGTTGTCCCCCACATTCTGATCCTTTAAAATATCGTCGGTCTTGCGATGCTTTTTACTACGAACAGGGCGCTCATCGGGCTATCACGCCAGAAAGAAAAGGATCAGCAGCTAAGCCACAGATTCGGGGTAGATACTCTCATACAGTCGGAGGTTTATCATCTGCGCTCCCAACGCTCTCATCATCTAAATAATCTTCTTCGGCGGGAACGCGTCGGGAAGGACGCTCTGACGGCCCATCATCTGCACCTTCAGCAGGAGGAGCAGCACCGCTTTCCTGCATCATGTTCATGGCCTGCGTACGTATGTCATGAAACGTTGCGTTCTCATCCGTCATTCCTGTAAGAAGACCCAGCCGTTCGAGTAGCATACTAGACTCAAGCCGCATTTTCTGGATGTAGCGCCAGCCCCGTTCGTTTCTAAGGCGCATGGCATCATTATTAGCCTCAACCTCCTGCAGCCGTTTCTTCAGCTCAATGCACTTGAGCTTGTAGGCGGCCTCAATACTCGGTGGGTTCGGTGGAGGAGAGGGCGCGTTGGTGGGGAGCGACGGGCCTGGCTGTTCCTGGGGTCGGACATTGGGCTCGCCAGGCTCCATTCTTATGGATAATTGTGATGCCTGGTAGTAGGCAGGACAGAAAAGCAATATGTTGAGATATTGATGACGGAAGACGTCGTCCTTGGCTTAGCTAGGTATTTGTGGTCGGGGACTGGTCAAAGTCAGTATCAGTGCCGACATACTAGTGAGGCCAAGAGCCAAAGAATGCCTCGAGACCGAGAGCGACTCAGCAAAGGATATCTCACGGACAGGATAGTAAAGAAGTGTCGCGGGCAGCCTGTAGTGCGCTGGCAGTCTGGCAATGGCTTCTGCACGCGCTGGGGGCTCCCAAGTTGGTAGTTTTCGCGGCTTTGCGGCTCGCTGAAGCTCGACGGGCGTGGCTTCATTCTGCCGGGATGATAAGATTATGTAATCATGGAATAACAATAATCCGATGGCGGTGAGCGTTGCCCATGGAGCACTACAAAGCCGCAGAGGGAGGATTATAAGGAGTACAGAGTATTAATATTGATATGCATACTACGGACTAGATCAGGTCGTCTTCACAGCACTCCCAGAACTTGGACGTCAGCGTACCCTGTGCTCACTAATATAGCAACCCAATCGAGCAATATGGGGCATATAGTGGAAAATAAGCAGTGGCTGTGAAAACATCTCTTAAAGACCTCCTCGTAAGAGGCCAGAATAGGTAATAGGGTAGATTGATATTCCGTGGATTTCCAGGCTGGAACGCCGGCGGGGAAACAAGCCCCCCACACGGCCGTATCAAGCACGCAGTCTGCACAAGGCCGGTCGGAATCAGACAGGGGCTTCGGGGGACGCGGATGGGGTTGAAGGTTGACCCTGTGTACGGTCTGCATTGCATGGGCATATAACGTCACCATCGCCCGGTGGATACGGCGTATTTTCCGCAGATGGGGATCCAGCTGTGCGATGACATCCGGGTGCCGCTTCATGATCTGGGACACCCGGGTTTCGAACTTGGACGCACGGCGATCGGGATAGTACCAGTCACTAAGCCACAGGGACCGCACTTTGCGGGAGGCCGCGCCCCGGAACGATGTAAATAGCTCCAGGTGAATCCACAGGTAGTCATAGTCTAACCGGCGGCTGAGAGAATACTCCTCGTGGATATCCCACATCCTATACTGGGCGACTAGCACTGCGCTCGAAACCTCCTTCCAGTCTATGTCTATCAACTCCCCGCACCTGGGCTCTACGCTGATGGTTCCCACGTTCTTCAAACTGCAAAAGAGCCGGGCCACGATATTGTAGTCGTAATTGCTGCCGCAGTCGCCGCTCCACTTTCCCCAGGAACAACTTTGGTCTCCCGCGTTATAGAAGCAGACCGCCAGCTTTTTAATCCAAACAGCACCCCGCAGCAGATCCACCACCATCCGGACGGTATTCCAAAGCAAGTATAGAGAGCCACCGTCGACTCGTATCGGGGCGAAGACGGACACCTGTACACTTCGAACCAGGTGAAAGGGAAATTCGCCGAAGCTGCAACTCGCGTCATCCGGCGCATAAATCAAGCCCTTGGGCTCGTGCCCATATGGGATTCTATTGCGCTTAAAAGTCACCAAACACAGATATCGACTGAAAAGGAGCTGCGGCAAAATATCAAAATCTAAGTCTGCACATTGATACAGGAATGGGGCAACATTCCTGTATACTCCTCTGCTGACACGGAGAATGCTCAGATCTGCCTCCATGGTAGCAACGTCGGCGAATAAATGCTCCCAGATCCTTTCTTGCGCTATCCAAGGAAGCTTATCGAACATCCCCATAGACTCCGACATTCTGGAAGATACAAGCAATTAAGGGATATTCTCTGGTAAATGTAGCACCCGAGATCGGGACGCAAACCGGTGTTTACGCCCGCCCACACACGACCTCAGAGATGGAGTGAGAAATATATATATTGTATTCGTTTGTCACTGACTACCGGCAGTGCAGGGGAGACTCGGGGTCTAACAAGCCACGTTTTTGGGGCCGCGGAAGCCAGGATCATGCTATGAGGCAGTCGCTGTCCGTGGCGTGAGTAGCCATCCCCTAGGCGCGTCCATGAGGAGCAGGCATGATCCCAAAGCCAGCCCTGAGCTTGTTGTTCTGAGTTCCTAGGAGGTCATCGCGCCCGGAGCAGTATTTAGCAGTCCTTAACAAGGAGGAATTCTGCAAATTCATTATCACCTTGTCATGGATCAGTGGTTGGCCAAAGAATGAATACACCTCTGCTAACAATATGCAGAACCAGTTGCTATTGCCAGCTTTTATATACGTCAGAACAGAGCAGGCACCCCACTGCCAACAACAGAAACAAGGGGTATATCGATATAAGAAATGACTCGCTACATGTGGCGCCGCTTGCCCGCTAAACCCATTGGTTTCCAAAAATGCCGCGATATTAGGAAACGAAACGTGGAAGAGAAAAAACGGATAACAAAATTAAATTGCCGAGGAGGCCATTTGCTATGCGTATCAACCGCTTTCATTAGTTACGTCTTGCATTTCTAAGTCCTGAAGAATCGATGATGCGGTGCCTGCGTTGCTGCTGGCTGCACCAACAGTAGTAATTATAGAATTAGCAGAAGAAAAATAGCCGCGTTCTATCGTGGAGGTTGAGGCCATGGAGAGAGGCCGCTCGCAGTCTTCTTCTTCTGGTGGTGAAAAGGACCAGACCTAGGTTGTATTTAGGATTAGGCGAATACATCAAGAACCTGGCGTGACTGACGATACTCACCTCTAGAACTGTTCGCCCACTACGGGTGGCCATAATGACTGCCTTCTCTTCCTCAAACGCAACACGCCAGACGGCTTCTGCGGGTTGGCTAAGTTCACGGACTAGTTGGCCAGTCGCGAGGTCCCAAATCCTGACCCGGCCATCACTTCCTCCACTGACAATGCGATTTTCGTCGAATTCCAAGCTTGTGATGCTGTTATCATGAGCAGCGAGTCGGTGAATTGGTGCCAGATGCTCTAGCGACCAGACACGAATAGAACCATCGGAGCCACCAGTGACAAGTGTATCCCCTCTCATCTGCAATTGTCCGACCAAGGACGTGTGGCCCTGTAGTATGGCATGACACTGCCCGGTATGCGCGTCCCAGATTCTTACACTGGTGTCCAGGCTCCCAGTAGCCACTCGAGTCCCATCAAACGCGATGGCATAGATCTGACTAAAATGGCCTGCAAGTGATCTTAAGTATCGCCCCTCTGATATGCTCCACACCCTAGCCGTTGTATCATAACTTCCGGACACGATGAGATCACCGTGGATTTCCAAACATCTTACACTCGCTTGATGGCCTATTAGAACATGCTTACACACCCCTGCGGCAAGGTCCCATATTCGTATTGTGGTGTCCCGGGAGCCGGAAATAGCCGTGTTTTCATCCGACATTTTTAGACACCGTACGGTTGACGTATGGCCACGAAGTTCATGCACGCTCTCACTAAGGGCCGTACATATCAGCAAAGGCCACGCCACGCTGACAGCAAATGAAGTATCACTTACCCAGTGGCCATGTTCCAAACACGAACATCCCTATCACAGCCACCACTGACCAATAAATCATCCCACGGGACCATTGCCCAGACGCCCATGGCATGCCCAAGCAAGGTTCTTTGAAGCTCACCCTCGGGGTTGAAAACATGAATTTTTGCGTTATCTAGCGCAACAACTATGTATTTTGGCGTTAGATGAAGGCTAGTGACTACTCCATGGTCTGGAGCAATGCACTTCGTCTTGAGCCTTCCGCCTTTCCTCCACGCGGACTCCACCATATACCGATGCTTGAAATGGTATCGATAAGAGGTCGCCCGGGTGCGCCGTCTTCGAGGTCTCATTCTGCCGATTGATGACGCTGTAATGGATGTAGTGCTGCTTAGTTCATCGGGTATCGAACCAAACCCACTCTGCAGCTGTTGGAGGTCGGTATTGAAATTAGGGTTAAAACTGCGGAGCGAAGGCGTTGGGGGCACGGTATCATATGGGTGATCGTATGTTGATAACCGTCTATAGGAATGCTTATCACACAGGACTTTCCATGTTAAATCGTCGTTCAGGAGGTCGTGCCATCGTCTCGAGACTTGTGATGCCCGTGCAAGTGTCTTTGGGTCATCGATGAATGACAAAACCTGCGGAGCCATGATTAGCCACACGCACTTCAGTCCAAGTACTCATGGACGACTTACTCTGAAGCACAGTTCATTTGGCAGATACTGAAAAGGATCCTTTCGCAGCTTTGGGCCCACAAGTTGATGGACGAAGCCGAGGATCTGGTTATCGCATAGATTCAAGAGCTCCGCCAAAAACCTCTGCCTGTCAACCCGACCCAGAAGGCTAAATTGAGACGCAGTGTCTCGTATGAACAAATCATCATCATCCAAGCCAGTCTGCCAGCTGGGGCCCCGTTGGTGCGGCGTCGGGCTCGGAGCCGGGGTGGGCGGGGATGTTGGGGCGGAGAGAGGCAGGTTGTGGAGGAGCGCGGGCGTCGAGTGCGTTTTCGAGCGGCCAGAAGACGAGGAAGACGAACGCATGGCGGGCGAGTGTCGGTTGAGGACGGGGGACTGCGAAAGACGAGAGAGAAGAGGCCCGTCCTCGGTGGCGGTGTTCGTGCGCTGATAGCCCGAACCGGACGGGCCCGGCTGAGAGGCCATGTGAGCCAGGCGAAAGACGGGCGGCACTCGGCCTCACGAGGGCGCTGGACGATCCAGTCTCTGATTTCGCTCACAGCAACAGAAGCAGACGAGGACGAAGAAGACGAGGGAGGAGGGGAGGGAGCTGGATCTCTCTTCGCCTCCTGGCTCGATCAGCCTTGTGACGAGCGGCAGCTGCGTCGTAGCCCGTCTTCGTCGACCCGGAGATCTGCAAGCCAGAGCCTGCTAGCGGACAGGGCGCGCGACGGGAGCTTTTGTGGGAAAAAGGGAGAATTCGGGCCAAACAGGGCTGGCTTAAGCGTGGCAGAGTCGGCTGTTATTGGGGAGCAGCAATGCGAGGGGCGGGTTTGGGCGTAAAACATCAAACAGCCACGCTGAGCACACGCCCGGCCGACGAAGCACAGCAGCACGCAGTCATCAACCCCGATGCACGCGAGCTTAGCCGCGGAGGCTGGACAGCCAAGGCACGCGGCGGGCGGCGAAACTTGGAACAGCACGTTCATACAGACATGTCTACGCATCATTGCTATGTACCAGCGGAGGGATATCGATCTACAAACATTATCACTCCATACCAAACACCCGCCCACTGAGGTTTATCTTCCGCAGACGCTCTGGATTGCGTCGTCACCCTCAGCTCTGCTCGAATCCTCCGCTGTCTCATCCCGCTGCGTCCAGCCAAGTTCGATTCCGTACCCTGACTGAAACACCTGCGGACACCTAGACCGCTTTGGGAGCAGGTGTGTTTCAATGCAGAATCCACGAGACGCTGCCTTCAATGTGCGTGCCCAACTTGCAGAAACAAGGGGAGTATCATCCCGATGATTGAAGCCATGAGGTCGCGCATGGACTTATGCGGCGGAGGAGTTTCCCTCCCCTCGCCGTACCCACTCGCTGGCGACTCTCGTCTCGACGCATCTGCGTTGTTTTCCTGCATTGTATGCATCGCAACGTACCTAGGCGTAGATTCGTGTCAGTAGCGCTGCCCATTAGGCCCAAAACATCCCCTTCGTCCCGGTGAAACTCACAGGAATGTGCCTGCAGAAAAGAGGAGCAAGACACCTGTCCTCCATCGCGTAGCCTGTTCATCGCTTCCATGACTAGCAAATACTGTATTGGCAACAAGCCAGGTCAGAATGGCCCCCACCGGAGCGGCCAAACTAAACACCAACAGGTGCCCTCTGGCCGCTCGAATAGAGAGTCCTTGCTTCAACAACACGGAGGTCAGTCCAAAAGACGCCGGCGCCTTATGAACCATGATCGCGATGAAAATAATGAAACTCAGGCTGGTGTTCGACGACGATGCACCAAGGGCAATTCCGTCCGCGGCAGCATGGATCACCAGTCCCACGGTTGTTGCAAAGCCCTGGGATTGCGTTGCCCCATTTCCAAAATCAAAAAGCCCACTTCCTGTTTGGGATGGGGAATTTCCCCTCCCAATACCAGAGCCTAAATCATCAAGGGATATGTGATACGGGCGGTTTTGCTGGTTGGATGACGAAGTAAGGTATTGCGGTAATTGATCCACGAGGTACATTAAGAGAAAGCCACTTATCAGCCCTACGCCTACCCACGCATGGGGAGAACGCTCTTTCTCGTGGCTTTTTTCATTTTTGTCCGACGAATGCTGGTCTGTGTGGCCTGGCCCCGGCTTGTTCCCTCCTTTTTTTCCGTCATCGATGGCGGTCGGTGGCGCTTTTACAGTTGGTGGTGTTTCGGGCGCATTATGTCCGTCACCTGTCTCTGCACGAGGTAATAACACTGGTAGTGAATGATGGCTCCACTGGGCGCCATTCGCATAAGATATGACCTCCCTTTTATGGGCATGGCCATGTGAGGCTCCCGTAGAGCTGTATAGAGTCTCGACACCTTCGGGAATGATGACAATCAACGATGTTCCAACCAAGATACCCATTCCAAGCGTTGTTATAAATCGGAGTTGCGAGGCGGAAAGCGAAAACGACAAAGGAAGAGAGCCGACAAGAAATGAGCTATATACGCCGGAACATGATATTAGAACCATATGCAGGCTCACGAAGGGACTGGAGGGGTAACTAAAGATACTCACGCAGCGGCCATCAAAATGCTCAAAACGAGCAAAGTGATAAGGTCCCCCATTTCCAAAGCTGTTGTCTCAATTTGTCGGTTTCCTCTCAACGGTCATTGTTTCGTGGTTCTCGTCAAAAATATAGATGTAGCTCGCTCTGTAGTTAACTAGTTAACTAACTAGGCGCCCAGGCGGAACCCGCTGAATATAATGTTGGAATTGTACTCTGCAACTCTCCGGGATAAATTGCAGTCGACAAGGCAGAAGAAAGAAACTAATTGACAGAGGTGCTGTGAATTCGGCGGCAGGACAAGCCCGATGGCCCCAAAGGTCTCTTGGATGACCGAATAATACGAGAACCCCTGATTCATTTCCAAGCCGGCGCGATACCAGTCAGTCATGTGACTGCCCTGGCCCGACCCGACCTCGCCTTCCACACTCACCGGGTACTCCAAGGATTAATAATAGAGCAAAGATACTAGAAGGCTGAATTCGATAGATGCCAGAAGGAAGATATTGTATCATTAGTACAAGGTTGACTACGGAGTAGTTACTCCACAACCCATCAGCAAAAACTGGATACCGCCCAAGTACGGAGAAGCTAGGTAACTAACATATATATAAAGTTGTCGAGAATTAACCGACTTTGGTATCACTGACATGAATCACTCCACCTTTATAATCAGCCCCGCTATCGCATGCCTCGCGATACTCCCGAATAAGATCGTCGGCTGCAGGGGAATTTGCAACAAAGTGCTTGATTGCCTGCACAGGGACCAGGAAATGCAAGACACAATAGACAAACGCGCTGATTGCAAACCCGCTCAAAAAGCAAATCTGGTATAGGCGCACTAAGCCTATTGGTACAGTAACACTTGAATTAACCTCCGCTACAAACCCCGGGAGAGACGGTACAGTGCCGCAGAGCCACTAAAAGGAATGTCAGATATTGATTTTCATAAATGCCCTGGAAGGTTAACAAACAGCAATTAGGGCGCGCCAGTCAACACCCATTGTGCACCAATAGATACTATCACGGCTTCCAGTGTATAGATCTTCAACCTTGATCTTACGCCGATTAACCACGAACCATGATGAAATCATCAAGCCCGTCATCGGCCCCAAGAACACAGCATAGCTACTCATGACGGTGAGAAAAATCGTTGCTGTGGATACGAGCTTCCACGGGTTGCATGCAATGGACAAGAGAACAGTCAAATATGCTCCCCTGCGGATATTGATGTATTTTGGGAAAGTAGCGGCAAAATCGAAGCCTAATATAAAAATTAGCGTTACCAACTGATACACAGGTCATTGTGCTGACGAGTGGTGAGAATTCTAACCTCCTGAAAGAGCGTTTCCAGGGACATTCACACCCATCTGGGATACAATGAGAGCAAATCCAGCAAAGAATGCAGCTGCTCGGGACCGCGAGCCGCCATTTTTTATAACGGCCAGCAGCAGTTTCGGTAGATTCCAATGAGCCTCGCCAAAGCGATTCTGCGTTGCAGCTGTGACAAGAACCCCGATCACCGAGCATAAAATGGCACAAATTGGAAAGCTGACTGCTTGGCCAATAATAGCGTGTCGCGGCTTGCGGGCGAACCTGGCGTAATCGTTCTGATTGAGGATGCCGGCAGAGATAGCACCGATAGTGCTGATAATTCCGAACACCACTGTCCAACCCATTTCTCCTTTAGGAATCTTGGCCTCGTCGGTGATAGTGCTTCCGAAGCCTGCTGGTCCCATGGTGGCTAAAGCCCAGATCAGCAGTACGAACTCGAAAACGAGGATGATAGACGAGGACACGTTGAAAAACACTCGCAGCTTGTGTGGTCGAATATAAACGGCGGGTAACGAAAGGACCATGAAGACGATATACGACACAAATTCAGCAGTAGTAATACCGGTAGATGCTGACATGGTGTTGGGTATGCGAGTTTCGAGAGATGGCCAGATGGCGAAAAGACAGACATACACGCATTGGCCTCCAATATAGGCTTGGAATCCGTACCTAAGAAGAAGGGAGAGAAGGTCAGGTAATTGGCGATTGAAGGCGCCTTAGCAGCTTACCAAACTAGAAAACAGAGCTTGTCAGAGTCATGTGGAAGGGAAAAGACGATGAAGGATCGAGCACACACCAATAGAAAGCAGAATGCGGTTCCAGATCACAAACTGACTCCCGTACAAACCCCAGACATAGCGATTGACGACGGGAAACCCAATATGGTAGTAGGCGCCGGGGAGGGAATTGAGGACGACGAAGACGGTGGCCAGCAGATTTCCAATGACAATGGAAATGATTGCCTGCCACCAGGTCAAGCCCAGGCCGATGAGCGAGCTACCAGTCATGTAGGTGGAGATATTGGAGTTGATGAGCACCCAGTAGTTGGTGAAGGTCCAGACGGACCAGGTGCGGCGGTCGGCCTCGATGGGCTTGATGTCGCTGTTGATCCATCTGTTCGGCAGCGAGCCGCCCTCATGCGACACCTCAAGCTTCTCCAGGACAGTTGCCATGGTGCGCAGGGACAGAGTGGGCAAAAGTGATTGTCGGGCAAGATTTTAAATCGAACGAGCGCATGGGCGTATATAAGTACGGAGTACTCCGTAGTTAAGTGCTAGCGAGCCGGGTAAGGCCGCGGCCTGGTCAGGCTGACGGGCGTGCAACAAGACCAGTTCCGCGGCTGCTGACCGGCTGGCTAACTAACTAACTAACTAACTAGTCAGCCGCATCGTTATCGCGTGGCGGGCAAGCCGGTGGGCTGCCAACAGATAGTCAACTAATGAACTGGTTAGTTAGTTAGACGAGAAAGGGTTTGCCGCGCGGGGGCCCTTTTTCGCCCGCGATGCGGAGAAGCACGGCAACAAGCACGGCCACCAAGCTCGCCGGCCGCCCTAACCGCGTTTAGGTGTTTTAGCAGACCGCTGAGCGCCCGGGGTGTCTGCCCGCCGATTGGCTGCCGGGTTGTCGCAAGCCCGGACCCGCCATCCGCTGCCACCGCGCTGCTGTAGCACTGGTAAGCCATGCGTGCTTTGGAGGACTGTGGCCAATCGCCCCGCGCGATTCGGGCCTCTCCACGGACGAGGGTCGATGCCGCTCTGCTCGTGGTATAAATGGTGCTACATGCCCCGCGCCAGCACATTTCCCCGCTTAAAGGGAACACCTCCGAGATGCCCTGCGCTGACGAACTGGGCTGATACTTATCCTGTGACCTAATTTAGTAGGTAACCCACGGACCTGTTAATTGGCTCCGCAGATCACCACCCACAGACTTGATATAAATGCTAACTATCCTCCAGTTTCCCTTGACCGTTGTGGCTGCTCTCCAGCCGCAAGACACCCACCCTTCAGAATGTATCGCATCGGCGTGGACGTCGGCGGCACCAATACCGATGCCGCCATTCTGGACATCACTGCATCTGAAACCGAATCTCGCGGCGTCCTAGCCTCCAGCAAGACCCCCACGACGCCAGATGTTACCAGCGGCATTAAGGATGTCATCAAGAGCGTGCTCCAAAAGTCCTCCGTCGACACCCAAGACATTCTCAGTGTCGCCATCGGAACCACCCACTTCGTCAATGCTGTCGTGGAGGCCGATGCCCGGAGACTCTGTAAGGTTGCTGTAATCAGACTATGCGGCCCGTTCACTCGCGAGGTTAGTATTCGCAACCATTCAGCTGCATCATTTGCGCTAAGTTTAACTTCAGCTCCCCCCGTTCACGGACTTTCCCCCAGCACTACGGAAAATCATGGCTGGCCCTGTGTACTACTTGGATGGCGGTAGGAAATACCTCCATTTTTGGACTTTTCGGACGTCATTGTGTACTGATTTTGTGTGTTCGTGTCTGCAGGCCTGGAAATCGATGGGCGTGAAATCTGTCCCCTTAATCTGGAACAGATCAAAGCCACTGTGGACAGTATTCGCGAGGCTGGTATCAGTATGGTTGCAATTATTGGGGTGTTTTCTCCCCTTGATCATAGTGGAATCCATGAGGAAACCTGCAAGAAAATTATGCTTGAACTGAACCCGTCCCTCTCCATTATCTGCTCTCATTCGATCGGTGGCGTTGGTTTACTTGAGCGTGAGAACGCCACGATCTTAAACGCCTCTATCCTGAAACTGGCTAGAAAGACTGTTCGTGCTTTCTGCAAAGCCATGGCTGATCTTCATCTCTCATGCAAACTATATCTCACGCAAAATGATGGTACTCTAACAGATGCGGTGACTGCGTCTGAATTTCCCATAAAGACCTTTGCAAGTGGGCCCACAAATAGTATGACTGGTGCTGCATTTCTGGCTGGACTTGATAGACAAGGATCTCGCCCGTCCTTGGATCGCCAAGTCCTCGTGATTGACGTTGGCGGTACTACTTCGGACGTTTGCGCGTTGCTCCCATCGGGATTCCCTCGTCAAGCATCAAACTTCGTGGAAGTTGGAGGTGTCAGAACCGCGTTTTCCATGCCAGAAGTGCTCTCCGTTGGACTCGGTGGAGGCAGCATCATTCGTCGCGATGAAACCACTGGCCATGTTAGCGTTGGCCCGGATTCTGTGGGTCATTATCTCACTAGCAAAGCTTTGGTATTTGGTGGTGATACCATGACATCAACTGATATCGTCGTTGCAACTGGATCCGAAAGCATCGGCGAGCCACTCAAGGTTGCATCAATTTCGCCAGACGTTGTTACTGAGGCTCGCAGGTGCATTAGGAAGATTCTGGAACGTGCTGTTGAAGGTATGAAAGTATCGGCACTACCAGTCACTGTTCTTCTTGTCGGTGGTGGCTCCATCGTCTATATGGATTCGCTCGAAGGAGTCCAGGAGTGCATCATTCCACCTCATCATGATTCCGCAAACGCTGTTGGCGCCGCTATCGCAAAGGTAGCAGGAACTGTCGATCTCATTGAAATTCTGGCGGGCCAGAACGAAAAGGAGGTGGTCAAAAGGGCGGAGCAGAGTGCGATAGAGGCGGCCGTAGCACGAGGTGCTGACCGCAGCGATGTAGCAATTGCCGAAATCGAAAAGCTTCCCCTTCAGTATGTTACAAACAAAGCCACCCGAATACTTGTTAAAGCGGTAGGAAAACTCAGAGTCCCAGAGAAGGGAGCTGTCTCTAATGATGAGCTGAATCTGTTTGCCGATGAGGCAGAAAACGATGGTGAGGAAGCACCCAAGGCTGCTGCAGACGAGAATACAGCCGCCTCTGGAGTCAAACATTCTATTTCTATCGACATACCATCCTACAAGCCTGACGTGAGAAATGGTGTGTGGTATATTAGTCCTGTCGACTTGGAATTTATCGCCTCCGGCACTGGGGTTTTAGGAACTGGGGGCGGTGGGCCATCTTATCTCCAGTATCTTGTTGGGCTTGAAATGTTAAAAGACTACCCGCCTGAAAGAATGCGTGTCATCTCACTTAAGAAAATGGCGGACTCTGATATTTGCGTCTTCGCCTCCTGGTACGGAGCTCCAAGTGTATCTGGGGAACGAATTCCCTCGGGTGAAGAGCTATTTAAATCTGTTGAAATGTCGGTTCAAATCTCAGGCTACACTCACTTTGAGGCAATAATTGCAGACGAAATTGGAGGCGGAAATGGCCTGACTTCATTCTCAAGTGGCGTTCATTTTGATATTCCAGTGATTGATGGAGATTTAATGGGCCGTGCCTATCCGTCAATGGAACACGGTGGGTGGACTTTACCCCTTCTTCCCTAGCTGTTACTGACGCTTTTATTCTAGGAACACCTTATGTCTACGGCCATCCAATCACCCCTTGCACGTTAGCCGATGCGAATGGCAACGTCTCCGTAGTCATGGTAGGACGCGCCCCGATATATAAATCTGCTAGTGGCTGACAATTATTCAGAGTGCCACTTCCAATGCTAAAGTTGAGACCATGCTACGTGCTACCTGCATTGAACTAGGCTTGAAGACAGCAGTATCCGCTAGACCACTACCTGGAAGTGCAATCAAAGAGTATGCTATTCCCAACACCGTCTCCCAATCGTGGTACTTGGGTCGGGCTGTTCATATGGCTCGCCGAGCCAAGACTGATGTTACCGAAGCAATCGTGAGTTAATCAAATATCGGCTCGACTTCATCAATAGTTAACGGTTTCAGTTCGCTACAACGCCTGGAAAACTCCTTTACACCGGGAAAGTCATCGACGTTCGCCGGGATGTAGGACGTGGATATACCATGGGACACTGTGTCCTTGCACCACTGTCCAAAGATGAACTAGACCAACCTTCGGCAAAAGCTGCGAGTTCGACATCGTCCATGACTGAGGACACCAGACAACTCATCATCCCATTCCAAAACGAGTACCTTTACGCCGCCTATGTGAATGACGAAGAATGCCCTGAGGAGTTGGCCAAACAGGACGTCATCTGCACAGTTCCGGATTTGATTTCTATCTTGGGACAAGATGGAGAAGCGATTGGTTCGCAGGAGCTCCGGTATGGCCTCAAAGTTCGTGTAATTGCGATGCCGGCACATCCGTTATGGACTGGCGACGAGCGTGGGTTGCGGGTTGGTGGTCCGAAAGGTTTTGGCCTAGATATGGATTGGAAGAGTATAGGGCAATACGAAGAACCCAGGAGTGTGATCGATGAGTATAATATTGCTGTTTGAGAAGACTTTGCCGCTTAGCTAGACCATACATAGATACACGTGTTTATATAGGTTGATAATCAATACCAAAAGTTGAGTGTATCCAACTAAGATGATATGGAAGCTACTAATTCTTTAACTGTTGTACGCTTGCATTGGTCCAGTATGGGTCGAATTTAAGGTTTTATAGTTTAGGGGGTTATCCACGTGATGTAATAGCGGCCTTGCCTAAAGAGGGTTAGCTAGTTGTGGCATTAAGGTGAGGCGGGAATTCACCTTATCGCTAGCGCCTTGGCGTCATTTCCTGATTGATTCCGCGCATTCAAGCGCGTTCTTCCGGCCGCGAGAGATCAGAAGCTTGATAACATCTCGCCAACCGAAGAGTGAACTCGTCTCCTCTCAGAATGCCCGCCGACTCAATACCAACGGAGGACCAGGCTGCCTGTAGGGCTGCCCTTCGCTGAACTCTTGCCGTATTTTGTATTAACAGTTATTTAGGGACTTGTAGCGCCAACGATGCTCTTCAAGTATCAATTGTTCAGCCAGGCGGCGATGGCAAGCTCAAAACGCTCTCGACTTTCTATCCTCAGTTCACCTATCCTATCTTTGGCGATAGCGAAACAATATTTGGCTATAAGGGGCTAATGATGCAGCTGCGGTTCGCTGCGCACGATTTGAGATCGAATGTTTGCATCTCTTACGATGAGAAATTCAAGGCTGTGGAGGATGTGGCTCCTGCTGATCTCAACAAAGCCCTGAAAGCCTTCCTTCCAGAAGGTGTGACGCTCCAGTACCCGATCTTTTTATAGCCATATTGTAAGCTTGTCGGCTAACCGTAACAATCTAACAGCTTCCTTTACACCTCTCCCAAAATTCGAGGAATCTGTGATAAATGAAAATGACGCAAAGGACTTCACTCCTCCAGGGAAGATGTGCCGTAGCTATACAAAGAGGAAGCGCAATTATGAAATATGGAAGGGCTCTCTACTCGACCCGAAGGTCCAGGAACTCCTAGATCGAATCCAGATTTTCGTTTCTCTCTATATTGAAGGCGGAACCCCGATTGAAACAGATGATTTCGAATGGACTCTAGATAGGTGGACAGTGTTCTTTCTGTGAGCTTTTTCTTCGCGCCTCAGATTGACCATTTGCTAAGTATTCGGGCAGATATGAGAAGCTAGACGAACCTCCGACACCGGACGCGTCTGTCTATTCATTTGTGGGTTATGTTACGACATACAGATGGTACTTCTTTGACCGTACCGGTAAACGAGATGAAGTGGTGAACACCTCCTTCCCATACGGAGAGACGCTCGACTCGGCGAGTCTTCCATCACGTCTTCGTATATCCCAGTTCCTCATCCTTCAGCCACACCAATTAAGCGGTCATGGCACGGAGCTCTATAGGACTGTGCACGACGCATGCCTTCAAGATTCTACGATTCGTGAGCTTACTATCGAAGATCCCAACGAAGCCTTCGATGCCCTCCGCGATACAAACGACTACACTCTATTACAGCCAATTTTTGAGCAGCATATTGTCTCAATAAACGTAGACCCTCCTTCGCCGAAGCAAGAACGCCTCCGTCATCCCCGTTTTGTTCCCACATCCCTTCTTCTTCCAACTGAGACGATACGCAACATACGCAGAGACTACAAAATTGCACCCACTCAGTTCGCCCATCTTCTAGAAATGTATCTCCTTAGCCTCATCCCCATGTCTCATCGCGGGTCCCACAATGTCAATTTAGCACGCTTAAGAATTCAAAAGTCACGCGCCGCAAACGAACACGATAGGAGATATTACTGGTGGCGTATGCTGGTAAAACAGCGACTTTATAAACGTCACCGTGATATGTTGATCCAACTTGATCGGGCTGAAAGAGTGGAAAAACTAGAAGAGACGTTGCATAATGTTGAGGAGGGATATGAAAATTTACTGAAAGCCTTTGTACTGAAAACGCAGGCCGGGTCACCTCTAACTCTGCAGAAGCAAGAGACTGGAGCCGAAGCTGGTGAAACAGAGGGCAAAGGAAAAGGGAGGAAGAAGAGAAAGTATGCTGTCTCAGACGACGATGATGAGAGCGACGACAGTGGTCCTCCCCCTAAGCCTAAGGCTATGCAAGCGAAGGTTGAACAAAATGTGGTCGGCTCCCCAAAGAAAGCCAAAATACAGAGATGAGCTGCTGGATTCTATTGTATTTCTATCTGCACAAAACCAGGCTCTATTAATGGTGTTATCACGGGCATTGTGGGCTATCTTACGGTAAATTTGGGTCATGACACTTGAACAGTTCAATCTTAGTTCTCATACTATCTAACTATATCTCTTACATTCGTATCAAGTAGCTGCCTTATTTCAGACAACCACACCTACTCGACCTCTTACTTTGTCGGCAGTAGCGGTTCCATAGCCCGACCATTCTACTGGAACTCACGACACTGCTCGTCAAAAAGAGCATTCTAACTCCAATAAGCCTCCACTTTGATATCTAGAGAAAATATATTAAGGATATATAAACTTTCGGTACGAGTATATCAGAGTTGAATATTTAGACCAATTCTTACATCCGAAAAAGTCAATGTTTACTAAAAAACACATCCATTTATTCCAAATGAACGCAATATGCAACACTCCATATCACCATTACTACAATCAGTGTTTTTACTACTAAGAAGGATCAGCGTGGAGCTTTATACTCGTGTTGCTAGAAATCTTTTGTCTGCGCATCCATCTCCCTGGCCCCTTGTGCATCCTGTCGTGGGGGATACTGGCCCTTATAGAAGGGTCCTGAGTTGGGCGGTTGTCATTGACGTGACAAGCATATTCGAACTCCACTGCCGTCAACGTCCGACCCAGAAACCAAGGGTACAAATTATAACGCAAGCTATAACAAGCCCAACGACCAGCCCTGGAACCCAAGCTTTGCTGCCGTGCGATTACTCGAGGCCAAATATTTTAGTTTAGGTACAAATGATAAGGCCGTTAAGGTTGAGGCAGGAGGAGTAAGGTTTGCCGCAGAAGAGCTGTGGCTGAGTTGAATGTTAGCCTATTGGTAGTTAACAATTTAGTCCAAATCTGTGTTTGTTTACCTACCGGTAGTATCGAAGTCGTTGTTCTACCAAGCGCACTCCCCTACTCAGAATGAGCAGAAACGCAGCCATGAAACAAAAACTGTGTCCAGAAAAATGCCCCTCAGTGGCAACGAGGGGCCTGTCAACATTGCTTTTCACCTTCTTTTACTGTGATGCCGGGGGTGTGTACAATTGGCGCATTGCTCGGAATAGTCCTAGCTGAGCCGTACTTAATATAACTAACCAACAGAATACTCCCCCGTGAATGATACACCTCCCAAACAAAAAACCTCTTGTCCCGAGGCGTGAACGGTGTACTGGTAACATGCCCAACCTGTTGATTTGCAGGCTATTTGTGTGTGAGTGCTAGGCACGGCTACATAAATGGATTTCCACCCTTAGGACCTAGCAACCTAATGTAAGACACTACTCGCCGTATGTACTCCGTATGTATGTACATACATTTATCCGTACTCCGTCCGTTCACCGGTTGGCCCCAATTGGTTTCAGGATACAAGCGGCGGAGAGGCTGCTGTAAACATATCGAGCCGCCGGGAAATGGCCTAGAGGACATATACGCCGTCGGTGTGGAGACATTTACTCTACGGGGCACACACACAGGGGGGCAAAACATAGTAAAACGAAAAAGTCGGGAAACTAGGCTAAGATGCCAGAATCCTCCAGGCTATGTAGATAATTACAACGTATTATTGCAACTCCCTTAACACCATCAAGTAGAAAACCGCACAAGCCCAGGCCACTCGCTCATCCACTAACCATAGTCGCCGTTTCAAGATCAATGCTCTCAATAGTCCCAGTTTCGTCTGTCTCGTAGCTGAAGATGGTGCTTGTACTCGGAGACGCAAGGGTCGTCAGGGGAGCAATAGAGGATAAAATTGTTGGTGTGCTATCAGATGCCCTCATGGCTCCTATTTCTGCGATGTCTTGAGATGCTCGCCGTTGCTCGGGAGGGCCGTTAATTTGCACCAATTGCCCTACATATTCTAGAGCCCGACGGAATCCTACAATTTCATTTTGCATTGCATACGCGCCTAGTGGGACCGGCCGCCTTGGGTCTATGAAAATGTTGTCGGCGCCATTTGGGGTGTTGAATCGACGTTGGAAATGGCTAGATTGCGGGCTAGAAGCCCCATTCAAACAGTTCCATAGCTCAGTCCACCATAAACTGAATCGGTAGCGACACGCCGCCGCACGATACGCCTGGCGAGCTCTCCTTTCTTCGCGCCTTGCGGCAAGATCCACGCGGCGCCGGCGACAAGATATCGAGTCGCGGAAAGTTTTAAATACAAAAGCTATCGTAGCAATGAGGAGAAGCACCACGACGATGACCCCAACAATATGCTGTGTCGACTGTGGTGTTACTATAAGAGACCCTCCCGGCGTCTTTGGACGGTGAGTAATAGCATTAGTCGGTCGGCCTTCGACGGTTACCTGGCTACTGTTTGAAAAAGTGGAGGCAGATGAACCCGTTGTGATGTTTCGGCCTCCTGAGTCTCCGACAAGAGAAGGGCAAAAAGCGCCGGATAAGGTGGGTGGCAGTGTACCAAATCGGTATTTCATGAGGCGAAAAAGATCCGGAACGAGTTTAAAAGAAACTTCAGCAAAGCAGCTGAGAGTTTTGCATTTCTGAAGCATAGACGAGAGACAGGTACAGTCATCCAGAAGATGCATCCTGATTCTCTGGTCCTTTTCCCTGATTATGGTTTCTATTCTCTGTGCCTCCTGCCTAAGTAGATGCAGTTGCTGCAGCTCATCCTCCAGATTGACGATTCTGGTCGCGTCGCTGTTTGCATAACTCTGCACGTGGAACTCGTCGGAGCCCGAAGAATTTAACCAGGATTTAAAGGAGGTATCGTGCTCGGAGATGGATACCGGAGAGGTTGATAGGCGAAATATCTCCGGTTTCCCCACAGAATTAAATGACAGGGCGAATCCAGATGCCTCCTTATTTTCATCAACCCGACCAGCGGGATGGAATGTCACAGTGAGTATCTGAGCAGCATAGTCTTCAACAGATCCAACCGGGCTCGACACACAGAGAGCGCGAAAACTCATGAAGAGGCTGGTAGTTTTGCGGGCATTAGAAAGTTTGCTTGTTATATTTGTCTCCCCAGCAGCAGTGGTGCCGTCCCAATGCAGTTTCAAATCCCGGCCATTGAGGCGTACACGGCTCTCACCGCAAACTGATTTTGTGCTAAGGACGTCTAAGTAGAATATCTATTGCCTTTGTTAAAGGAAAACGAAGCCTGAGCCTATCAGCAGTACGACACATACGACTCCTTGCTCTGCATCATCAAAGCATCCATTGCACGCAGCCTCGAAGGTTATCGGGAGAACGTGTTCATCTGAAAGAAATCAGCCATTGGAGATATAGTCAGCTGTGAGACTAGAACGACTAACTTCGTCGGGATATCGCAGGTGTGCGGACCACAACACCCGAATCTAAGGGCAGCGCAATGGAGTAGACAACAACGGAGACGAAGAGGAGATACAGTAGATAAGTGTTGGCGGTCCAAAGCATACTGAGGGCCAGGGCGTCTCAGCCGAACATGGTGGGGGACTTCTGCCACGGCCTTAAAAAGAGTGTCTTTTGCTTCCTGGCTTGAGTCTCTCACGAGCGATTCTGCCCGTTGTCGTTTTGCGTCAAGGAGGCTCGGCTCTGACTAATACCGGGCTGAGCCTCTTGCAGCGGCTCGTATCCGCCCCGCCCGGCATTCCAGTCATGTGTACGGAGTACGGAGTACTCCGTACGGTAGCCGCGGACTTTTACCTAAGCAGCAGGTTATTCGATGATGATATAATCTCCAGGATAATTAATATTCCGATAGAAGTCCCGGGTCGGGTTATCTATATTCCAGCTCCGCAGGTTGTCAACCTTTATCACATCAACAGCCCAGCAAATGCCAACGCCATACGCTGGCTGTGGTAGATGCACGCTGCTGGTGTCTAGATACAATCCGATTCTCGTATGCTTATTGACTGTTGGCAACAATATTAGTTCCTGACTCTCTGTTTGCGTCACCTACATCATAATTCGGGCTTTTAGCCCCCTCGATACCTTGCGACCATGGTAGGTGTTGCTCTTCTAGAAGATCTGTTGCCGGGTTGTTCCCTTTACTGATGGCCTGCAGCTTCCTCTAGGTCTTCTCAATGCTGCGCAAGGTCACCCGATGCTCGTAGAGCTGAAGAATGGAGAAACCCTCAATGGTCATCTTGTCAACTGCGACAGTTGGATGAATTTAACTCTCAAAGAGGTTGTACAAACAAGCCCCGAAGGAGATCGCTTTTTTAGATTACCCGAGGTTTACGTGAGGGGAAATAATGTATGCTGTTCTATTCCATCCATGCCATTCCCATCATCTGGTAGGAATGGTAAACACGCTGACCTTGCCGCTTTGCTAGATAAAATATCTCAGAGTTCCGGAAGAAGTTGTCGACCTCGCTAGAGATCAGCAGCAGCAAAATCAATCCTCTAACCGCGGGCGTGGGGGCCCACAGCAGTCCCGTGGTGAAGGAGGGCGGGAACGCGGTAGAGGCCGCGGTGGAAGGGGCCGCGGAAGAGGGCGAGGAGGATGATTACGACCATTTATTCTACGAGACTATGCCATTATATCATTTCTTTTGGGGCGGGGCTGAAGCCAAGGCGGTATTATATTGAAATATCTCGCAGGACAATATTTGTTCCGTTTAGTTCTATGGCGTCATTGCTTGAGCGCTGATTGAACTGCCTACGCTTGCTCGGTTGGCAGGAAGACCATGAGCGAACATCACATTTACACTGTTGAAATGAAGATGTACTAATACGCTGTTATACCTGGCTGGGCTTAAAGCAAAAGTCTATAGTGAAAATACCTACCTGCCCTAAAGTCTTCCAAAAAATGACACGATTCAGGCGCTACCTGTTCTATTCCTTCTATCCTTTGGATGTTCACCAATATCATTTTCCCATCCACTTGCATTAGCAGGTCCAATATTACCTGGGGTGTTAAGGGGGCTGATTCCAACCGTTGAAGAGCTTCGTCTACGCACGTGTGGGAGCCCTCTTGATATCGAAGTAGTTGGGTCTCTAGAGCTTTGTCCTTGCTCTCTTTGCACTCGTGCCGTTGGCATGCTGTTGTCATTTGGAAGGGGGGAATCTTCATCTTCATCTGATGACCACCCCTGTTCACCGGGCTCTTTTTCTTTGTTTTCAAACACGCTCGTTCCGCGCCAATCTGCCGCATGGCCCTCCTGTACGGGCTCGCCAGGCGCTGGCTCTGAGATCACCTTGCCAGCAAGTGGTGGACCTCCAGGAATAACTGCACCACCATCCTCCGCCTCTTCTTCGCCAGGAGTGGGTGCAGGATATCTCCATAGAACCTTGAACTTGTCAAAACATCTGGCACCTTTGCTATACGTGCCCTTGATTCCATCCAGGGCATCCCATTCCTCTTCAAATACCCCTGAATCATGCTCGTCTCCACCTTCGAAATAGGCATTGAACCAAACATGGGCTACAGAGGTAATCATGGTCCATCCGGTGTATGCTGCGGTCGCGCGTCTCTCGAAATCTATGTTGACGTCGGAAGTTGGGATAATGAGACGTTTTCTCGGTCGAATAATTACAGACGAAAACCCCTCTTCAGGAGAAACCGCTTTTGAGGCGATTGAGGCATTGTCATCTATTGTTTTCAGAGATTCCTTAACTTTGGGAGGCTCGATATGCGATGATTCTGCTAAGGAAGTCTTAGCGGCCTTTGAAGGATCGGGTGGTACAGGCAGGTCTCCAGGCGTTGTCAAAGTGGTTTCAGACTGAGTCTTCTCATCCTGATATTCTTCTCCGCTATCCACGGTCATCCATTCGCTGCGGTAGAATCGGTGGAAACATTTTATCTTCCGGCCCTCATCCACGTAACTCTCCACCTGGACTTTGACGCCATCTCGTACGCCCCAGATATGTATTTCCAAAAGTTCTACCGGGCGCTCCACATACTTCTTGTTGTACTTGTTTGCCCAACGATCAATATAACGGAGATATCGCAGTTGGCTAGGTATGCTGACACCGGCGCCAAATCCCACGCGCATCCGCCGCTCTGTAAATTGCTTCATCGCATCCTCGGGGGACCAACCCTGCTCACTGATAAGGAAGCTACAAGCAGCGGTGCCGCTCCTCCCTTTTCCTGCTTTACAATGCACTACAATCACCCTTTTGCCTTCTGACTTTCCATTCATCCAATTGCGCATACTGGCCATCATCGGCGGGATAATGGCGAACGGTGGAGGGTGATGATCTGGCCAGGGGAAATGATGTATTCGACCATAAACCTCCTCATCGGGATATCCGGTGCCTTCGGCACGAAATTCCCATATCGACCAATTCTCGCCATGTTTTGAGTCCAGAAAACGTACAAGGGCGTCAGTAGGGTTCCGGTACGCACGTTTGGGGTATGTTGACGACGGTCCGGAGGTAGCTATTACTGCATTTCCGGACATTTATTAGACTCTCTTCGGATAAAAGTAGATTAAGACATACTATCATCGGTCACATAGCACAAATCAAGGTTCGATTCCGCATGACGGATACGTGGGCCCGCCACGATCTGCCGCAGCAGTGATGTCTAAACCTGCAGTCAGTGTTTTCCAATACAAAGCAGACAATATGCTAGGAATTGGTGGCAATCAGCGCCGGGTCCAATCCAAATCGCCAATAAAGGAGAGAGCTGGCGCACCATTGCATCGAAGCCCATGGCGAGGACACACGACTGTACGACATGCGTTGCCAACCATACAGTACAGCCTGGCCCTGGATAATGTTGAAGTGATCAAGAAAGATGGTGGCCGTGCCCTAGGCGGCAGAGTATGTTGTAGTTATGGGAGTTGTTAGTCCAGATCCACGCAGCTGGCTCCAACTCACAGCAAAAATTGAACATGTGACGTCACTCTCAGGCCCCTTGGTTTCAAGATTCTTCTACTGTAAAAGGGCGACACCACGACTACGGCCTGCTCAGAACTCGCTGGATTAATGTAATTATATATATACAATTGCTTTACAGGATAGTGGCTAGCAATTAATCCTTTTCTTGATCCATCGGCGTCATCGACTGTTGGGATGTGTTTGTACGTCCAACACTAGCTCCTACGCTGACCATGGATGTGTTGGCGGTCAACTTTCTGTATCCCCTCTGTACTGGCTTTCTGACTAGGATATCATGTCGTAGAGCGTTTGCGGCGGTGAGGTCCGACTGTGCACATTTCATCCTGATATACCGTTTTGAAGCCTCCGTCAAGGAGAACCCAGACTGCGCCATCTCAAGCAAATATCTATGAGCTATTTCAAAATGTTTCAGGTCTACACACAAAACAATCAGTATTTCGTATGTAGACTGGGTTGGCAAAATGTTGAGTAGCTGCATTTCCTGTAGAAAGAAGCTGATCATGTCTGTGCGTTGAGATTTGCGACAAGCACCGAAAAGGGCGTCGAATGTAGCTGAGCTAGGGCCAGAGCAGCATACGATATGCAATTCACGATAAATATCCATTGCTTCCTCGATGTTACCCCTTTTAGCACATAGCTGAATGGCAATGTTTGCAGCCACCACTGGTACAAGTCTGTTTTCTTCGGTCCGCAGCGCCTTCAGAGTCCGCCACAGATCTTGAGCTTTGATGTCGGACCGAAGCGCAGCGGACAAAAGAAGACGGGTGGAGGGTTCACTAATTCCAAGATTGGCATTCTCCATAGTGCACAGGACGCGAACGGCAGAGTCAAAGTCCCCAGCCATAACATACGTGTCAAGCAGCGACTCGTAGTTATCTAAAGAGATTATAGCCTTCCGTTGGTCTAAGATTTCAAATACCGAAATTGCCAATTCAACGTCTCCTGTGCGAGCACATATTGCAAGGACATTATTGCAAACCCCGTAAGAAGGTATTATATGCCCGCGCTGAACTTGTTGTTTCCAGATATAAGATGTTAGGGCTTTGTGCATTGCAGAGCTGGCCTTGTCAAGCAAATGAAACCACAAATTTGTTGAAAGGTGTTGTCCTGCTGTTATGCGGGGTTGCATTAGATTCAACACTTCGTCGTACTCTTCGGCATCCGCCAAATTATAAATGGTTAATGCATACAGCCATGGCTTGACTTGGATACCCTGTGCCTCCATTTCCTCAATATTATCAAGGGCGAGTTCATATTGCCTCTCCCGTAGGAGACCAATTACAACACTATGCCAACCTGCCGGATCAAGTGTTAGCCATTGGTCTCGAAGAGTAAGAAGAATCTCTTGGCGAATTAGATAATCCGGATGAACAGCAAGAGCCTAAATACTCGATTGTATGTAATTAGCAAAATCTGATAGAATAACATCTATGATGGTACTTACTCTTAATGCTGCATGTAAGGTCCCCGAATCTAGGGTGATTCCAAGCATTTCCATTTCTTGCAGAATACTCTTCACATGCAAGGCTGAGCCAGACGATGAATCGGCATTTGCTAACATCATTGCGCGGTAGTGCTTAAGCTGTGGTTTGATATTTCGACGTTCGATTAACTCACGCAAAATCCGCAGCGCAGCTATATGGTTCGGTCGCTCCCCAACAACAGTGTTCAATAAGGACTCCAGTGTCTTCACGTTCTTTTGTCGGAGTTCATAGCTGGGGCCGACATTTTCGCGTCGTACCCATTCCCTTGCCTGTTTCAACTCTTCGAAATCAAATCCTGTTGGTAGAGGTTCTTCAGGTTCGCAAATACCCTCCGGCCAACTGTCAGCTTCTTTGTCAAAATTGGAAATTTCATTCTCGCTGGGAGAATGTGCTGATCTGGTCGAATGACTGGGTAATGCTGCAGGATGTGGCTGCAATTTCGTCCCTGATGAGACTAGCCTTCGAGACACTTTATGGCTGCGAAAATTTGGTGCCTTAGGCCATAATGGCAAGGACGATGATGGGGAGACAAGCCGAGCAAAAGATGGACGGAAACAAAGCCACAAGCCATCTACAACTTTTGTGGACATTGTCAAAACATTCTGTGTTGGAAAACGAAGCAAGATGATCTATCTTGAAGTAGGTACTCCGTACGGAGTACTCCGTACTTTACGTGCCTCCGGTGTTAGTTAGTCAACTTCTGAGGCGGTTAGCGGCTACCTAACTAACTAACTAACTAGTCAGCCTAAAAGGGCTTAGCTCAATACAAAAGAAATATTCCGTACAGAGTACTATTTGCATATTTTTATGTAGAAGTATATAAAAAAGGAAATGCCTGCAGTAGCCACTATGGCTTGGATAACTAACATGAAGACACCAAGAGGTGCTGAAGACCTCCGTTACACCCCAGGTCTAGCTGGGATTTCATCAGGAGGTCCAAATACTTGCTGGCAGAAGTAATGTATCCTCCTAAAAACGTTGTTAGGATAATTGGCTAAGACCCCGCAAATCTTCTTCGCGTTGTTTTTCCAATCTGATCTTCTTCTTCCGCTCGTATATTCCCCTAACCACCCGCTTCACTTGATCTTCCCCTTCGGCAAAATTTGCTTTTGCCAGCCCAACCACAGCGTCAACTTGCTGTGGTGTATAGACAAAGTTCCAAGTACTCAAAAAGTCATCTTTAGCAGGATCTATGGGGACAGCGTGACTGGAATCATCAACGGTTGCATTGTTAATCTTCGGCTCCTCCGAAGTGAAATTCGATGCCTCGGTATTGGATTGAAGGCGGGGAGCTGCTGGATTCGGTATCAAGGGGAAATAAGCAACCGCGATGCCCGCCTCAGGTTTCATAACATGGAAGTTGGCATCTTGGTCGCCTTGAGTGCCCGAAAAGGTGATTCTCTTAGAAGGGGGCGGCTCGGCAGACAATTTCCTCTCCTCCGTCGTACCAATCCAAATATTACAATATGTGAGATCGGTCTTGCCGGGTTCAAAGTGTGTTGGTAACTTGGGAACTTGATCTATCTCTTCCAAGTTTTGGTGGTCGTTGGCGTTTTTGCGACTCTCTTCTACTATTTCGAGGGCAGATGCTGTTTCTTCAGGTGCAGTATCACTTTTTGGCCATCCTGCACCCATTGGCCAGCCCTTTATTCCACGCTGGCGGGCATACCCATCGACAACGGAGAGCCAATTCTCCTCTCTGATATCGGCCGATACATCAAAAGCAATAATGAGGTCAACGTCTCGGCCAGGACGTAACAGTGGGTATATGGGTAGGTTATTGCTCATGCCGGCATCCATCAGGCGGAGGTGCGAATCTCTGAATATAGATTCGGGGCAGGATTCAGGTAGTTTACCCTCCAGCCCCAGAATAAAATTGGGTACTGTTGCTGGGTCTATTGGGTGCACCCGAGCTAGATCTTCATTTCGCTCTTCTATTAAAGAACCGATTCCAGAAAACCCAGCTATTCCCGTCAATGCTGGCCGTACTTCCTTGTAATAGTGCGCTAAAGTTGCGCAGAATGCGCTGCCCCAAACACCCATAAGCGCCGGAATTCTTAATTCGGGAGCAAAACGACCATGAGAAGGTGAAATGTCTTTTCCTGCTTCAAACTGTCGTCCCAGTGCCCAGATCGGTATTCCCGCTCCAAGCTCTTCACAAAAAAACTCATGGGGAGTGAATTCAAACCATTGAAACCAACTTTCCTGCTTAGCTTCCTTTCTTCTCTCGTTTAGTAAGGCTTCGGTTTCCGTGTTTTCAGATGAAGAAATATCTGGTATTTCATGCCGAACTGCTGTATATATGGGTAAGGGGTTGGCGCCGGAATCAATATGGCTGCGTTGACTGGAAAGTTTGAGGTCGCGATCCAGAGGTCCAACATTTCCGCCGGATGGCACAAGAAGCCTAGAAGCTAGCAAGATCCCATAGATATCGACTAAGCCAAAATCCGCATCCGGATCACTTTTCAATTTTTCAACCACGCTCCGCAGCAAATATTTGTTTGTTGGGGTTGTTGTCAATAAATTTAGAGCGGCAGGCGGAAACGCAATGTGTATATCAAGTCTGCTTTTAAGATGATCAATCATTGTTCCAAAATCCTGTTTTGCAAGGGAAGAGTGATAAATTGCCTGTAGCCAGCAAGACCCGCTGACTCCGGCTGTATACATCACGCAATCCCACAGTCCAGCCTCTTGCGCTGCAAGATAAGAGCCAGTACCGGCTACAAGAGCACGCAGGCCCCCGCCGGAACCACACATAGCAATCACCGGTACATCATCTGGATGCACATCTTCATCAAGACCTAGGTAATCGGCAAGTTTCTTCGCAATTGCTCGGCGGCGTCGCCATTGAAAGTATTGCTCCTTGCGACAGATCCCTTCGCCAATTCGGACGGTGGCGGACCGCGTTATCTCGGGATTGGAAGTTGGATCTTGCGCTTCTGACCAAATATCATCAGCCAGTGACCCTTGGGCCATTGACAGCTCTCGTTGAAGACTCTGCAACTTTTCCGGGAGTAGTGAGGTCCACGTTGGCACAACATAGCTCTTTAAGTGATCCGCCCATTCCAAAGAGTTAAACGAACCCCTTGGAATCCCTAGCTTCTGCCCCAGCTTTTCCCAAGCCGAAACCTCTTCTTCAGAAAGGTGATCTTTAGAAACCACATCCTTCTCCAGCTCTTCTTGGCTAGACTCCTTAGTATGGGGCCTAGGTTTCCAGGTTGCGATATTGCGTCCTGCATCACAATTTATGGGTCGTCCCCCGATGAATGCAGAAAAGGAATACCCACTCCCCAAGAGCGCGCTAGCACCTAACGGCCATTTCCATCTAGCCCGTAAAATTCCGGCAGCGCCCATTGCAGCAAGGACATTGCCAGATAGATGTGTTGTTTGTTCATTGATCAAGACGCGACCGAGCTTCGAAATCATCTGGAATGACGTCAATCACAGCTTCCGATTGGCTCGGCAATTGTGCTCTCCCGACCCGAGACTGGACGCCAAATATGGAGGCACGTGATTTGCTGAGTAATAAGTGGTTACATTATTAAAGGTCAAGCGGCACCATTGAATGCCCAATCGGGCTGTCAAGCTCCCTGCCCGGTTCTTGTGAAACGGTTTGCGCCTACGCAAAGGAGCAAGCGAGCAAACCGATCGCGAGGCCGATTATGGGACCACTGGGGAGGATGACCAACCTATCCCCGGCTGCGTGAGTTGTTAGTTTAATGTTCCTTTCCCTCTCTATTCTGCACTCAATATCTGACCTCCCCCTTGTTAGGCATCATGGTCGCCCCACGGAACGCCGTACATGCGGAAGAGAGTGCGGAGGTGGAGGTGCTTTATGCAGATTTAGAAAAGCTTAATGCCCTGACAAAGAAAATCCAAGGCTCATTATCACGTCTTGAAGCAAGTGGAAAGGTGGTCAAAGATGCCATAGGTCCTATTTACAACAATACCCAGGGCCTACAGGTCACCAACAACAATATTGACAAGATAAACGAGGCCATAGATAGGCTTCGCCGACCATTAGATGTTAAGGGAAAGGAGGAGGCCATTATTCGCGCTGGGTATGGCTGTCACACTTGATTGGAGTGCATTATTTAACCGTCACTCTAGACCGCAGAATGCTGGATTACCACAATACCTCGGCGCTCTTAACCGCATTGCCATTGCACTTACAGATCTCCAGGCTACCAAAATTCGCTCCAATCAAAAAGCGATTTCTGAATTCAGTACTCTTCTCGCAACAGGTAGCGCTCAAGTGCAAGACCTTTACCGCTCCATCCTACGAGCAAATGTTGGAACTATAGAGCCACTACATTACTTAACTAAACGTAAGTAAGCATATTTATATAGAGTTGGTGTTAGCACTTACTTATACTTATCCAGAACTTCCCTTTCCCTCCATACCGGAAGATAGAATCCAAGACTTAGCACCACTTTGCACAGCAATTTCAAATGTGTCGAAGGGGATCCCTTCAAATGACCCGAATGAAAACCCTGCGATTACAATTTATGCCGAAACTCGCGGCCCTTACGTCACCTCTAGCTTGCAAAATCTCGCGACAGCGTCCATTAGTACGGCAAAACGACGCCCCACGGATGGACCTTATAAACAAGGAACGAACGGCATTAGCGTCTATGCGAGTGGCATAGAGGGAATGGTTGTGGCAGAGAATGAAAATGTGCTTGGTGTCTTCCCACCTGCTTACCAGGGTAAAGCATTACAAGCCACCTGCCGATTTGCCCTAGCAGAATTCTCAAAAACACTAAGAGAATTGAACATGTATATCAAAAACAATCTCATGACGGATTGCTTCCTTGCTTTTGAAATTATTGAAATTGTTACGTCCTTGTCATACCGACTCGACTCAAAGACTGGAGAGTTGAAAAATCTTTTTTTTGAAGCGCTTAGGCCTGTAAGGGAGACCGCTAAGTCGTCTCTTTCCGAAATTCTGGAAGAAACCCGACGAAAAGCGTCTAATCTTGCTGTTCTCCCTAATGATGCAGCACCGGTACCCCTAGTGAATGAGGTCATGAGTACCTTAGCTACCCTGACTGCCTACTCTGCACCGTTAGCTTCTATTCTCACCTCCCTTGGAGATGGGAACTGGAAACCAGCGGGCTCCAACACCAACGCCCCCCTTGATGTTAACCCAGATAGCTCAACAATCCTCTCCCATTTCATCCTTGACATGGTAGAAGCTCTGCTTTCGGCACTTGACCTCCGGGCGAGAAGTTTACTCCGATCAAAGTCGACTATTGGGGTGTTCCTTGCCAACTGTATTTGCGTTGTTGACCGTTCTATTCGCAATAGCAGTGAGCTCTCGAGATATCTTTCTACTCCCCAAAATGAGGCTCGGCTTGACGTATGGCGAAAGAAAGCCGTGTCGACTTATATCGATGCGTGGCGCGAGCCATCTTCGCAGCTCCTTGACGTACAATACACAAGCCGAGGTGCCCGCCCCACATCCGGTGGACCCGTCGATTCTACTGCCATTGTTAAGTCACTCTCGTCAAAAGACAGAGATGTCATCAAAGACAAATTTAAGGGCTTCAATTCCTCCTTTGAAGATCTTATTGCGCGGCACCAATCATATTACATAGAACGCCAAGTTCGCACGGCCCTAGCTAAGGAGGTGCAGAGTCTCATTGAGCCCTTGTACGCAAGATTCTGGGATCGATATCATGAAATTGACAAAGGCAAGGGAAAGTATGTGAAATATGACAAGGGGGGGCTAGCAGCACAGCTATCAGCCTTGAATTAGTATCATATACTGTACATTCAGTGTTCATCGGCCACTTTGCTTATATTAGCCCATAGAGGGCGTGTTGTTACATATATCTTTACTTAATCGCTATACAAGAGGGGGGGGAGATTGGTTAACATTTCTATTGTCTAGCATGATGATTGTTAGTGGCGATTATATCACCCCTCAAATTCCCTCCTATACTATCTAACTTCAAATCAACAAAACCAAGTGTATGTATTTTGCACATAACTCAATGGGGCCAATTGAAAAGCCCAATCTCACCTGTGCATCAACATGTCACAGTAGTTAGGCATTAGTCAGCACCCTGGTGAAGCGAGATATTGGTTGTCGTCCGAACTTAACTAAAAGTTCTCACCACTGGATACATACTAACAGTGCTTCATAAGCTACTGAATGTTCTGCACCTACCCTGCATGTTTTGCGTTTGTTTGCTGATACCCTCATCTGAATTGCCAACATACTTCCCTACTTGCTTCCCTAAGGGCTTGTTTGATCATTGCAGTTGAACTATACCCAGTCAGATTTGATGATGAATTCTAACTTCCACGATGACGTTATCATGGCTGGGGGAGGTGAAGTAGCAGCTGAGCCGATGGAAGCAGATAGCGACAATGTTGCCTGTGAGTGTGACCAAGGATCAGAAGAGCTGCTTATAGCCTATATGTACTTTGTGGTGCCCACTTGAACTACTCTATCAGAAAGATAGACCAGCCCTTTGTTTTAATTGCCTTGGAGTTTGATTCAATTTTCATGGACTCTTGATATCTTAGGATAGGCAATGCCATGCATCCCTAGCCTCCCATTAATATACACCCAGTGCTTTATCTACTGTCCCCTATGACATACTAATTTCCAAACCTCCTACCAGCCAAACGCCAGCGTGCCCGTTATGGCCACAATCGCGTTCCTTCAGACGGCGTCTATGGCCATCCCGAAGAGCTTGACCAGTCCTCAGAAACACGAGAACGTCGACACGCGGCGATAAGCATTTTAGGCGACACTGAGCTCTTGACCTTTCATGCTCTAGCAAGTAATGAGGTAAGACCTCCCGTTGTTTCTTTTCAAATACCGCCCCCAAAACCAAAATTCAGGCAATCAAGACGCATTAAAAGAGAGAAATATCTAAAGGCACCAAACTTCCCTTACTAGTCAATTCCTCAAGCTCGTCAGCGGTTTCTTCACCATCTGATTGGCATCCCACCGCCCACTGCTCGGCCCTTTGCTATTCAAGATGTGTCTCGACACCGCCTCGATGATATGCAGCACATCTACCCCCGTCGACCACCCCAATTGCATCCTAAGGATGCCGGTGCTCAGAAAAATAGTGGTAATAAGTCCGGCTATACGACTTATGAGGAAGCACCCACTGTGGTTGATATTATCGAGGTTAATGGCGGCTGGGAAGGAAATCTTGACAGTCAAAATAAGACAAAAAGTGTTTCCGCTAGCGGAAGCAGCAGAAGTGGTGGAGGACCAAGCTCAAGCCATACTAGAATCAAGGGTAAAGGAAGATAGGCCTCGGCTTCCTGTGGTTAAGAGTTTCCTCCCTTTTATGTTTTTTCCTGAATTAGCGTCGTAGCACATCCTATTCATACAGATCAGCACGCACAACACTGTTCGTGTCTCGATACTCTTCCAGCAGTTTACTAGAGGTTAATTGTATTCATACATTCTCCATTTCATTGCTTCTAAAGTTATTTACTTCTAGATAAATACACACTCAGCTTGGGGTACAGCTTTACCTACGTATATCACACGCAATCAGCGATAAATATATAGGTAGTTATATACGAAAATAGAATAGCAATAATCACAATTGTTCCTGCATCTCATATTCTATTTTGTTGTATTTCTTGCCGGTTTCGTTTTCGACGCCTTGCTATCCGGGGATAAGTTTGGGTGAAAAAGATGTTTGGAGGGTAATCATATTCAGAAACTTGATGCAGACAATAAGAAACCGTGGTGACATTTTAATCGATAAATGTTTCGTAATGTCCACGGGGGCAAAGTTGTAATTGATGTGGCTCACAGCAATAGACCATCTACTGCGCAGCGAGTGAAAAGGGGGCGTCATGAAGGGTGGTACTCGTTATCGTGCTTTTTTTCGGAACTATTAAGATCTCTGCGCCATTGACTAGTTTTTTTCTGTTAAAATATTGAGTGCGTAATCGAAAATTCGTTGCATAAAGTTGTGTAAAGAGAGAATTAATGTGGAAAGTGATCAAGCTTTTGGTCCATAAAGCAATCCACGTAAAAACCGGAGGAGTGGTCGAAGTCTCCTGATACGCAGGAATACGGTAATCCTTTACAAGAAGGAACATAATGTGAGCAATCAAATTCCGCAGCCGGCCAGAAAGGAAACGGAAATCGACGGGCGAGAGCCCACAGGCATGGGTTCTCACCAACTTCTTTCCTGATGGACGAGACTCTCCGCATCCCCGACTTGTTTCCTTTCTGAAACCTCTCTGCTTTTTATCATTGAACGAATAACGGCAATATTCATAGGTGTTAGTCCTTGGTTTGTGGACGTAGTCGAAGAAAATGAAGGATAAAGGTGGCGAGATGAGCGTACGAGCGTGCGGCCGTCCTTCATGACTGGTAATTGTCATTGAAGGGGCTCCGAGCTTGATGAGAGGCGATTTAGATGGAGATAGACATCAGTTCCATAGCTAAAACAAAAAATGTTAGCACACTGTTTTCAAGCAAAAGCAGGAATAGCGAACGGAGAGATGCTTTACCCCTCCATACTGATCAATTTCAGGTCTCCACCAAAATATCGCGCATAGAGCCGACTAATTGGGAGGCCATAGCCAAAGCCAGCCATAGGGGCCTTGAAATCGCTCTTATTAAAATCTGGGTCCAGGTTTGGTGTTTGATCGACAGTGGTGTACATATATGTCCACACCAGTGGAATTGATGACCGTGGAATCCCACCTCCTTCATCCGAGATTTTAATTGTTATATCCTCACGGCCTTCCGCAACGATGACCTTAATCTCTGGAAACGAGTCGCTCTCAGGGCCATGGGTCTCCACCACCGCACGCAATGAATTTTTCAAGGTCTCGAAAAGCATGTGAGACAAATGTCCAGGGACGTACATGAAATTCAGATCTGGTTTGCAGACGAGCCTGACTTTTGGGGCATCAAATAGTCCATAATGGTCCTCGCACACAAAGCGTGCATTCTCAATAGCCTCTTGTGCAAGTTCACGGACATTTGTCCTTGTGCAGATGATTCCAACATAATTGGGGTGGTACTCATGGGTTTGTTGTGTGAGCGCAATATGCTGGCCGATCAGCATCCGTATGCCGATACGCGACATGTAAAAACGGTCTAAGAATGATTGTATGTTTGAATCGATTTGCAGTCTCTGTCTTTTCCGCTTCCATTCCAAAATTCCCTGTGCGACAGTTGTAACAACACTGTCGTGTCTTCTCTTGATGTGATGAAGAGTTGAGGCGAAACGGTTATTATAATCTCTGAGCTCTGGCGGCCATTCAGCGCCATCGTCTGCAGCAACAAAATATCTTCGGCTTCTGCTGATTTTATGTTTTCCATTCCCATTACCATTACCATTTCCATTTCCATTCCCATTGATGCATAAGTCTTTGGTTTGTTGGAGGATTGAGGTAGTTGAAGAACGATACTGGCCCTCCTTGACACTCGGATTCTGCGTGGCCTCTTCCAACAGCCTTGGTTCACGGCCAGTCAGGCGACCAGGGCGTAGCAGGCGTGATCTGACTTCTTGTGAGAGTGTTGGTCGGGGAAGACTTATAATTTCCTAATACAGACATTGTGAGTCAGATGACATTTTGCAGAATGCCGAGAGGGAAAGGGGTCATCGGCTTCACATACCTCAAATGACTGTGCATACCAGTCCTGCACCTTTTTTATTGATGGCATATCATTCAACCCATCTGGTAAATCGCCAAGCTCTTTTACTCTGTGCGCCAAACGAATTGGCAATTCTTCTGAAAGGAACTGGGATGCGCGAAACAACGTTCCTTGATAGCGAGCAAACAGATTAGAACAAGCACCATCTGTGAGGTCTAGAATAGAACAATTGCACACACCTGTATCTAACATACCTGTCGAAGGTCTATGGCCGAATTGAACCATCTGTCTTAAGGAGACGCCTGTTGCGGGGAACGAAGCATAGTGGCCGATGGTATCCATCAAGCGCTCCGAAGCCTTCCACATAGTCGCAAGTGACATTCAGGCCTTGCGGCCTACTACCTAGTGGGTGGAATAAGAGAGTTGGCTCAGCACCCTGGCTGAGAACGCAGAGTGACGAGGTAGAAAGGGACAGACGGCCACAGTGCGACGCGCCAGGCGAATGCGGAAGAAGTATGCGTGACTACTGTTTCTGACTCTTCATATGACAATCAGCTACTTGACGAACCACGGCTCGGACAGAAACGGAGACTGGTACATAAGGGTCCCCACTACGCAGTGACGGGCACGGGGAATCCAGACTGCCGAGGTCGAGGGGCGCAGCGTTAGTGGAGGGCAAGACTTACCACAAATCGGGTGGGCGGCGGGCGCTCGGACAGTCAAATCTGTATCCAGCCAACAATACCGAAAGTGGCTTCAGGGCGCATTGCAATTGATGGTGCCGACAGGGGATGCAGAGGACGTTTTGATGACTGATGGACACGGTGTCTCTTGTGGTTAATGCTTCTTAAAGTGGCATCTGAGCACATTAAGGAATGTGCGAACCAGACCAGCTCACGTGCGGGCGTTCTTCCATCCAGGTCCAACGCTACAGACTTGAATGGAGCAGCACAAGCAACATATTGTGACTCACAAACGGGGAGAAGCCGTCATTTTCATCTGTGTCGGCTGTCTGAGGATGAGGAGCTCAGAGTGATCACGAGACAGTGGTGGAGTGAGGTAGCTAGTTAACTAAGCAGTTTGGGGGGCGTGACGGGCGATAAGTCTCCGTCTGCACGCGAGACCCTGCAGTTCTGGATGCTGCTGCTGGACAGGGGACCATGATCATTCGATTTTTGCTGATTTTGAGTGGGAACTTCTTATTATTATCGCCATTGCGGCAGACGTCATGCCGGCTATTCTCGCACCTGATCTCCCCTGGCGCAGAAGAAATATATCTACGGAGTAGCTAGTTAAACTAACTAGTTGGCAGGCGAATAACGGCTGTTGGATTGACAACTGGGGTCGGATGGAGCCAGCCCAGGCCAGACCAGCAGCTCTTTGACTGGAGGATTCTGCCGCCTTGTCAGCGGTCTAGTTCCTCATGTATCCATTCAGATGGCATCGTCAGGCATGGCCCTCCGACACCAACCTAGTATTCCGTGCTGACATTTCGGCGCTCCATATTTTACAGTGGGGAGGTGCTCGGTGTGGCAGTGAAGAAGTAATGAAGTATGGTGGTGATTTCTATAATCAAGCTCTCTAGAGATATACGAAGGTGTATAAACTAGAATGACTAGATTTCTAGCATTAGACATCGATATGCATGGCGTAAATGGAACTCGCAGGCCGGTGATGGTTTCTGTTGGGCTATTTTGCTCCTCGCCCTACGGGACTTCCTGTACGTCCACTTCTTGAAACCTAGCCCCATTCGGGATGCATGGCAGGAGGCGGAGGGCCCACCCTTACACGTAGGGATAGCGAGTGCGGGTTTTCGCACCCCGCAGGGTGACTTGTCGTCCAGGTTGAAATGCCTTTCGAGTTCAACCCGCCCCGATATTATCCTACATTCAGCGCTGGCAGGACACTGCGAAGCTCTTCCCGAGCATCCATGTATACTATGATATTATCTGGGAAACCATAGTAGAGCTTTTCGCGGCGAAATACATTCGCATCGCACAACAAACCCGCTGACGGGTCCTCCTGTAGATGTGAATATGAACAGAACCACCAGCGGCCCGATGTATGATAGCGAGGAGTACATAGGAGCAGGCGGTGAGGGTGGCATGGGCGGGCTACTGCTCTCCGGGAGCTTATGCACGACACAGACCCTTGATATGTACTCTATTTAATGTTGACAAACTTAACATCATCTAGCGATGCATCATTTAGTCAATCGGCGCAAAAGTCGGACGATTGAATACCCACCAACGGGAAGATATTCTCGTGCAGCCCATTCCAGCATATAAACTGAGATATTCTTCAGTGGAGCTGTAGCTGAAAATTTGCTCTTTGAAAACGCGGTGAAAGCGGAAGGTTTTTCCGGTCGAGAAGTCCCGGATGGCGTTGTAGTAGAGAAGAGCCCTGCACGTTGTTACCGGTCAAACTGAAGGGGTTTGACGAACAGGGGGTTTGAAATTGTATGCCTGCTAATGGTGATCTGCCTTATCAAATAGTTATATCAACCATCTTGTTCCGTAGCGGTGTGGAGGCTTCTTTTCTCCGGACCTCTAATATTCAACCCTAGGTATTAGATGCAACCAGATTTTGATGCATATTCTATCAGTGCCGATAATAGAGTCCAGTCCAACAAAGAGCTACTAGTCAACCCACCAAGGTTCATTTATTACAGGGTATCTCATGTGACATGAATATTGACAAAGGGTAAAAAAAACGCAACTGAGTTCAGCGTACAGCGGTGGCTAGGGCTAAGGGAAGTGTGGTTTGATGTAACCAGCGGCATAATCCCGGTCTGCCAATGGCAAATAAACAGACAAATTCCCCAATATCGGTTGATAATAAGAACCATTTTTTAGCCTACACTTGCGGAATAAATCTGGTGAAGCATTTCTTCCATAAAAAAAACAGCTGGACCTGTGGCCCAATGGCAAGGCGTCTGACTACGAATCAGAAGATTGCAGGTTCGATCCCTGCCAGGTTCAGAAAGCTATGATGCTGGCCTGCTGTCCAAATAACTCAATGGCAGAGAAGATTTTTGTACGGGGAGACGGTTGAACACTTCATGCAAGAGCAATCGAGAAGCTCTGACATTTTTAACTGGGGGTAGCAATTCCGCGGGTATCATTTGGGAGTACAATTAGAGTACTCCGTAGTTCTTCCCATATAAAAATAACGCAAAAAAGAACAGGTGCCGTATTTGATGCGGATGCTGGATATAAATAGAGAACGCTCACCTGATTTTAAATGGCCGGCGGATCAACAATTGGCCGAGACGGCCGTGCTGCGATATAAGTGGCTGTGCCGATGCTGACATAACAGCTCATTTTCGCGCGCACCAATCAGCACGCCGGGATGGCAGCCCACCCGCCGCCACTCGCGTCGTATCCGGAACGGTTTTGATACCGTATCGTCTGTGCCGCTTCGGGACATCTGCTGTCCGTTTTCGGCGCGAGTCGCGGCGCGCCCACGAGAACACCGAAGGTCAGGCAGTTGCCTGTTTGGTAGCTAACTACCTCCTAGTTACTTCTCCGCAGCCGCAGCGCCCATCGCATCGCGACCACCATCGCGATACCACCTCTCGCGCCGCCACCGCCCGCGCCCAACCAAGCTGGGGCCCCAGCGTCCCGAAGAAGCTATCGACCATTCGAAGCCAAGGCCCGCCGGCGTGCTCTTTGTCCTGGCACCGCCGCCGCCCATTGGACTGCCGGCCCTAGCTCCTCGTGTTGTCTTTATTTTGTTTCCACTTGCAGGACGGCCGGGACGCCATCAACGCTAATCACATCGTTCGCTCGCCAAAAACGAGTTTCGATGGAGCAGAGCCTCGCTGGCACGCGGGTTGCCCTCTCTGCCCGCAAGGCTGACGCCGAAAAAGAGGTGCGAACCTCTTTTTTCTTCGCGTGTTTCCTTCTTCCTTTGCTTCACCTGAAGGAAGCCTGTTCCCGATATTTCTTCCCCCCTTGTTTCGTGTTGGCCCTATAACTGCTCCTTGCGGGCCGTCTTCGCCGTAAAACTATCAAACGGGCCGTTGAGCTTTCTTCGTCTGAGCGGTTGGTCGCTTGGGAGGTTGTGACGCGCAGATTGAGCCTGGCGAACAGCCTTCGCTCCCGCTCTCAACAGTCAGGTATATGCTTGCAGTTGCTGCTGGACCCTGGTCGTATTGAAAGCTATGCATCGCTACTCTCCATGGACTACCGCCCTTGTGGCCCTACTCTCCCTTGGAGGTGTAGACGCGTCAATACCTTCTTTGCCACAGGAGACTCCTATCGGCCTGATGGCTGCTATTGGAATCTCTCCACGGCCTACAGACCCACCAGGCCTCCCTGCCGGCCTTCCTCGCGAGCTGATGCCTCGTCAGAAGAAGACTACTCTCCCACTGCCTCCTCCAGGCTATTATTGTGGGCTGGTCGAAGGCGACCCTGGTATGTAGGACTCAGCGATGTTGCTATTATGATGAGCTGTGCCGTGCATTCCTTTACTTACTTGTCACCTTTCTTATGCAGAGAACTTGTTGACCTGTGTCAATGCCAGAGCAAACTGCGTTCACCAAGGCACCGCCATTGGCTGTTGTGTGAGCAAAAATATACAGGACTGCACAAACGTGCCGTCCACATGTGTCAACTCTGCCGACGCTTGTGATGCTGCTTGCAAGGCAAACACAAGAGTGCTGAAATGCACTGTCACAACAGAACCATATTGTGGAATATATTCCTTTGCAGGAGGATCAACGTTATTTGGCTGCCGAGCATTTGCAACAGTGACGTCCTCGGTACAAAAACTAGACGATTACTATTCCTCGGTTTATGGTGCGAGCTGGACCACCGCTTTAGCAGCCTCGACATCTAGTATCATCGACATCCCAACGCGCAGCTCCGGCGGCGTCTCCACTTCCTCCAGCCAGACATCGTCCACCACCGCATCGGGCTCCAGCTCACCAAGTCCGGACGACAACAAAACCCTCTCAAGTGGCGCCATTGCCGGCGTAGTTGTCGGTGCCTGTGCCGTGGTCGGTATCATCGTTGCCTTTGTCATCTGGTTCTCCTGTGTTAGGAAGAAAGACAAAGAAGCCACGGGCCCTCCCATCGCCCCATCTGATGGCCCTCCACCTAATCAAGAGCAATACACCGGCCAGCCCCCCAACCCTCAACTTGGTTACTACGCGCCCGTCCCGCAAGAACAAAAACCCGTCGACACCGCCCAGCCACCCTCTTATGGCTACGAAAAACCACCTCCACCCCCAAACATGGCTGAAATGCCCGGCTCGGGCCCGCAACCACCGTTGCCTAACTCGCTCCAAAGCGGCCAGGCTGCGGATTACTACAACCAGCGCGCAAGTATGGGACCGCCCAGTCCACTGAGCCCCGGCACAGTAAGCCCCGGGAGTCCAACGGCAATGCACTCGACGCATGCTGGCCCGGTGCCCGAGCAGATCTACGAAATGGGCCCGGGACGATGAGAGGTCATATCAGAAAATAATACCCGCGTTGAAAACTTTTTACAGGATTTAATGAGCGATGGATTTGTGTATAGTGCCATTTTGCTACTGGTGAGACGAAGATACTAGGATCAGTCATTCACTCATTTGGTAGTTTCCTGTCCGTACCTCTCTATATCCCCAGCCTACTCTATGTTGTTCATATTCTGCCCATCCACATACTATTGTTATAATTGATATTGTTTGTTCGCAAGCATTATGATTGTGTTTATATGCATGGAGTACATGTCATTCATATATCTTGTTTATTAGCCTCCCTTGTTTTCCATTTTCACCTAAAAGTATGCTAGCCATTTAGAGGTTTGATCTTGTTAAACATGAGAAGTGAATACTGTACGCATGTAAACATACACATGGGATATCAAGGGTGGATCAAGGATATCCAAATGTATGGCACTTGTATAGTGTGAATCGAAGTGCTACTGCCTGTTTTACAGATTAAATGCATACATCACGAACTACCATTAGAAGCCTACAGCTTCATGGTGACAAGCATGTAACGGCCCGGGAACATCTTGAATAATGCTTTCAGGTCTTTATTGAGTCTCAATTTCTTTTGAAAACTAGTTTTCTGGTATCGCCAAATGCCTTGCCCACCGCGCTATGCAACCATCGCAGGGAAGAAGAATCAAGCATTAGAAGTACAAAATTTTGTGTTCAAGAAAAGGAACAGCAGGTAATCTGGTCATAATCATACATTTACGGGAAAGGTAAGGAAAGTGAAAAGGAATAACAAAAGGCAAAGGTTCCACACAAAGATAAAAAAAAGTATGGAAAACTCTCTACCACGAATAAAAAATTACCTTAACACCCATGAACAAATGAGTTCTTTGGCCAAGCATAGTTGGTTTGTGACCTAGAATTCAAGTTAGAGCAAGTCGCCAATGACCTTTCAGTGTTACATACCAGCTTGTTAAATTAGGGTTCATGTAAACGTCCTGGTGCTTTCGAATATATTGGGTTGTTCCCATCCCTGGAGGATCACAAGTCGTGCTCTTTTGATCTGGGTCCTGATATACTCTCACATAATCGAATCGCATTTTGGCCGGTAGCAACGGAGCCAGGCCTGTCATATTTAAAAATGTGAAACTCGGCGAAATACCCAAGTTCATGATGATGGTCAAGGGCTCGACTGGGATCACTCGCTGTCCAACATTGCCATTTGGTCCTATGGCCCGACCGTCAATCTTCCAGGTCTTTTCTTTGCCAACGAACCACGTAATATCTCCCTTCGCGCCAGGTGTGTATTCAAAAGCATAGACTTGGTATGCTTTGCCATCATACCAGTCGTTGTTCAAATTTGTGATGCCAGAAATGGCTTGTTGGAAAGGTCCACCCCGATAACTATTGATATGTGTGACTTTGGGATCATACAGCTCCATGAATTCTAATAAATGTTAACTGAGTTTGCTTAGAATGGGGGTTGGAAAACTAACCATAATTTGGCATATACCAAATATCAAAGGGTGCAATCTGGGCACTCTGAGATACGTCGCCAATTGTTGACGGAATATTCTTATCGAGAGGATGCACACTGGCTTCGATGACATCGATTTCAGGGGCACTACGAGATCTTCCAGGCGTAGGGTGGTCTTCTCCTTTGCAAGTGCAAGCTGGAAGTTTCATACCGGGCAAAAAGCTAAGTCCATCCGACGAGCTTTGGTTTGCAGTGATACCCGCGTCACATTCGTCATGATACGTGTAAGGCCACATTCCTTCAGTTGTTGCAGCATATCCAGCGCGTCCAAGGTTGCCCATCGTCCAGAAACCGGGCCAAAGGCCAGATGTGTCGCCACGAGCGGGAAGAGAGATACTCGCCTCAATACGACCGCCGGTGAAGCAGAGCTGGTTCCACGATTGAACCATACCCGATCGATAATTGAGTCCATGATTTTGGAAGGCATCAAAACGAATTTCAAGAACTCCGTCCTTAGTTGTCACCGCATCAGGGTCGTACCACTGGAAGGAATGTTAACCAAGAACCAACTAATTTTCATAATGTCCTTACCTCCAAATCCTGTGTAACACCGTACCAAATATCAACCGCTTGGAAATAGGGATCATCGCCGTCGAAAAACGTACGCCCATCACGATTGAACTCATCAGAAAACTAAAGATACATCAGCAACGATAGGGAGTAAGATGGGCCCATAGGTTTACGTACCACTAAATCCCACTTTTTCCCGTCTGCAGTCTTGATCGATCTAACTGACTGGGGGGTATCAGGGTCAATTAACGAGGTACGAATATTCTTTAACAAAGGAACATCCCCAACGTCAATACACATAGGATCGCCTCTACAACCAATTTGATCTGGTGGTCGAAAGAGCTTTCCGGCAAACGTGCTGCATGACAAGTATGATCAGCTCAGTGAACAGGATACGCGAAAATGAAAAGACGAGGGCCATACATTACGGGGTAGCCTATGAAGAGGGTTAAAACTCCCATGCAAAGCAGGGCCAAAAACCCAACATTCGCCATGCCTCGTTTTGTGAAGATGCGACAGTCTCGTTTTTTGTCGCTGGGGTCAGGATTATGCATTTCATCGTCCTTTTCCACGTCATGCGGGTAGACGATGAGATCCTTGTCGGGTAAAATAGCAAATTTCTCAACTACCGTTTGTGTGTTGATTTCCTCATCATCACTCCCTGCTCTTGATGGCAATTTTGATTGGAGGAGTGAGCTTTCCAGGTAGTGTCGACTGTTACGGCTACCACCATCGGAACTCCAGCTAGTTCGGCGAGAGGAACGAGACGGTGCGTCGACAACATCTTTGCGGTGATTCTCAACATATTCACGGTATGCTTGTGCTCGCGATTGAGGGATAGTTAGGTTGTTTTCCGACAAAGTTTCAGCCCGACCAATGGGGGAATATGGAGGTTCGGGGGGTGTGATTAACGGGCGAGAGGCGTTGGGTGATTCCTGGGCACTCCCAGGTTGATCATTAAAGGGATCCTCGTAGCCAGAATTCAGACGAAGATGAGGCACATTCCTCGGCGGGTCGTCGGGAGGAGCCATGGCTGTAGACGGTGGTGAAAACTAAGAAAGAATCTCGCTTGAAATGCAAGTGCGGCGTCGACGTTCGACAAACGTTGAGGTGTAGATTCCAAGAAAATTCAGAATTAAAAGTTCGAAATTAAAATCCGACGATCAGGCAAGTCATTGACATCATCAAGCCCTGGTGTATGCGAATCCGTGGTAGACGGTATGGACGTAAAAATGCGGAAGCAGAGATCAGGACAGCGCCAGCAGGACGACCGGGAGAGCAAAACGCCAAGCAGAAAGACTTAACGAGTGACTACAGTGAGAGAAAGTGAGTTTAGGGGGCAGGCGGACAGCGAAGGAGGCCGAGCGACACTTACCAGGGCAGAAAAATCGAGAAAACGAGAGACAAAGAAAGGCAGGAAATTGGCGGGAGGCTGGCCAACCAAGCTCTGAAGCAGCGGTTTCGTCGTCAGCAACGGGACGGCGAGAGTGGAAAGTTCAGCGGGAGAAACAGCGGTTCAAGGAAGTTAATCAAGGCAGTGGAACCGGTGGATCCAGAGAGATGAGCAGGCAGATACCACAGCTACACTGACAGGGAGACGACGAGACTCAATTGATATGAGAGAGAGCGAGGGCGGAGAGAAGGGCAGATGAATAGCAGGATGGCAGGATACAGAGGATGAGAGGAGAGGAGAGAAGGTGGCAACACGCGGTGGTTTCGCGATGTGAGGTCGTCGTGCAACAAGAGCAGAGATAATAATAGCGACAGAGAGAGAGAAGAGAAGAGATGAAAGAAGAACACTTACAGGCAGCAGAGCAACAGGCACAGGAGAAACAGCAGAGCCAGGCAAAATTATTGGCTGTCTTCCTCTCAGAGGAGGATGTGGATGGTGGTGAGGATCAAGCTGGGCGGGCGAGCGGGTTGTGCAAGCGAGCCGGGAAGGGCAGGGTAGGGTAGGGCAAGGAGGGCGGGTGGCACGCAGGCAGCAGTCAGAGAGTGAGCCAGAGGATGCAGTCCCAGGGAGAGCAGAGCAGGGCAGACAGAACAGAACACATCGACAGAGACAGGCCGGAGGCGGCGTTGAGTTTGAAGGATTCGGATCTAGAACGTGCGCTGCTCCCCTGAATTGCGACGTTGCCTTGGGGGCGCCAACCGCACGCCCGACACCACACCCAGCCGTCTAGGTATATTGCCCGTACTGCTGGCTCGAGGAGGAACTCGATACGCATCAGCGCAGCGCAGCGCAGCGTCCGCTACGGCGGACAGATACCGCCGGTATCGAGCTGCTCGCCAACAAAGCGGCGGCGGGCGCGTTTCGAAAACAAGACGGCCATACCGCGCTAGTACCGCGGCGCCCCACTTCCCCTGGCCTTGCGTGCCGCCCATTGGCTGCACCCCCAGCCGCCACTGGGCCAATCAGACGCCGCACAACGCCACGATCCGCGCCGTCGCCACCTACCATTGGCCCGCGCTTGCCCGCCGCCGGAACGGGCTGGTCACGTGCTGCAAATCCGCTTCGCGCTTACGTGGCCGGCGGATGACCTCATCATGAAACACGCCGCGCCGTTGCCCATCGCAGCCATACTACGACTACAGCGGCGGTCACGGTTCGCGCGGGATTAATTTCGCCAGTCCGTCTCCCTGGTTGGATCAGCACGGCGGCCCTGGCCTCAATCTCCCGGCTTGGCCGGTGCACGAGCCCGCCGCGCGCGACAAGCCGCCGACGGCGCACCACCACTAAAAAGCCTCCCGCGCCGCCCGCTCGACGCTCCGCTCGCCAGCCGCAGCGAGCCGTCGGGAGTGGTGTCGTGTGTAGTGGCCGGCTTCGCTACAAGTACTCCCTCGTGCCCTGGACACCTGCTTACTTCCTTACAGGTTCTGTCCTACACCGGCTGCGATTTTCCCCGTCCCTCCCGCCGCGCTGAGCCAATGTCGAGACCAACCAAACTGTCGCTGCAGCTGCCGAATATCACACGACTGTTCAAATAACCTCTGGTTTGAGTCGCCTGACATTCTCCTCGTAACCGGAGCGCTGTTCTTTTCCAGCTGCATACTCCGGCCCCTTCTTTTTTCTATTTTGAATTCATCCGTCACCAGAATCCACTGTTTTCATGGGTTACCTGATCTGCGAGGCGGAACAATGTACTCGTCCGCAAGCCTCGCTTCGCCATAACCTTTGTCATTCCTCCTGACCAACGTAGCCTCATTATCGTGCGCGTCCGGGAGAAATGCCTTTCGGGGTTTGCGTTTTGTCCGCGGGGCCTTCCGGGCTTCTTGTCACCATACGTAAGGCCTGAGGGAAACGTCTTCTCTTGATCGTCTAAGCGCAGGCACCGCCCGCCAAAACATTGCTGTGCTGACTCCGTAGAGTCAGGAGTTCGTTACAGCCAGGCAGTTCCAAGACCACATAACGTCACTTGAGTGATTTATTTACTTCGTAGGCCGTCCTCCCATACTCTGTACACGCAACTTGGACTGGCATCCGAGAATTGGCACCAAGCCAATAATCAAGAAAAAAAAAATTAAACCAAAAAATTTGAAAAATACAAAACGGGAGCATTTGAGTAATACTGTCAACTAACTACCTATACCTGTGCGAGTCTTACACTTATCCTGAAGGATGTGCTTCACGCCACCTTGTATGCATTTTTTTATTCTATTTTTCTTCTTTTGCCATCGTGTTCTTCTGCTGGTTGACTAATAATTATTTCGGTGGAATACATAGTTAGCCAAAATACACTCGAGACTGTGGAGAACATTGGACACAAGTTTCGGCTTCGATCAGGGACAACAACTGATCATCGCTGCGTCGCCATCATCTTACATAGTTAGGTGTATGGAGTACTCCGTACTCTGTTGATAAAAATAAAAATTTTCATTGACGTGACGTCAATTGTGCACGTACGGAGCACTGGTGTATCAATCTGCGATGTATCAAGGTACTTCACACGTCTCCCAAAGAGGCCGTCCGTCTCATTCTATTCTTTTTCAATCAGGTATCCCGACTCCACATTCGCTAGATCACGTAGGAAAGGCGAGCGAGCGCCGTCACCACTGGGGAAGAAAAGAGGAGAAAGTTAAGAGGCATTTGGACAGAGCGGGGTTCCGTGCCTTGGGCAACTGTCCTGGGATGGTCAGTCTGACACCAAATTTTAGGATCCGCGATTCTTGCTCACACCACTCCATACCGTGATGTCTATACATGAAAGCACGATCGTGTTAGTTGAGAGCAAGGGCGGGCTGTTACCCCATCCTCCCCCGCCCACTTCCGTGTCGTTGAGGTCGCGTTGTGTATACCGGGCTCCACAAGATGTATGGCATACGTACGTACATCTTTTGTGTCTGTAGTGACCGTCCGGGTGTGGAGAAAACAGTGTTCTATAAACAGGTTAGACAAATATGATAGTGCCTGATCCCAGAGGAGGATTATTATCCGCTGTGCTGTGGTAGGATGATCTTTTTACGTTCATGCAAAGAGAGCACGGACACTAAAATCGCTGTCCCACCTGTCAGTTCCTGCTTCCAGAGGATCCGACCAGAATAAAACTCGGGCCCAGCAAAGAGGAGCGGGAAGGAAATGTAACCAGAGGGCCAGCAGCGATATGATCATACGATGTCCCATGCAGAATTCACTCGACGCTTTAGTGTAAAAGAAGAGAGAAGAATGCATGTTTGCGCGATTATTTGACTTGAGGTGGTTTGGCAAAGATAGAAGTCCATGAGTACCGGGAAGCGCCGCCTTGTTCCTCCTCGCCCAGACCCCGGCAAATGATTTCGGTAAGGTTCAGGTTGCGAGTACGATGAGGGTTGGCATGACTCGGCCGGATGTCGTTTGAGGCCGTGGGCCTTATCGGGTGCACATCGTGGGGGGTCGATTTCCTCGGTGAGAATGGCATTCCTCAGACCGTGAAACCCCTTTCGAGCGGTAGCGCCAAACGTCCGCTGTATACGCTGCGGAGAGGCCTCCGGAGACACCGCAAGTGCAGATATACGGGGGTCCCACTAGGACATCGGAATTTATGTCGGTGTAACGTGGTTGGGAATTGCGATGATGCTGGAAGATGATATCAACTTCCAACAAGGGTTGCACCCCAACACCGAGAAAATCATTGGTAGGCATCCTGGGCGGAAATGGCGTAATAGAAACTTTTTCTAACACAACAGCAAGACGCTCACAGCATAAGCAACAGTATGGCTCAGCGAAGAAAGCTTTTTGGCAATAAACATGGCCATCTCCCAGCTTCCAAGCAAATTGGTGCGAAACTTCTTTTTTCATAGCCAGGTACTCCGTGCATTCAAATGATATCACTGGCGGCACCCCGACTTCCAAGACTGCCTGGTTAATTTCAAAAAGGCATGGCAAAACGCTTGCACAGCAATGGCGCCTCTTAGCCAGCCAACTCAAATCTTCGCTTCCAGAAATTCGACATGGCAGAGTTGCCTCAATGGCAATGCACTCGAGCCCAGGGGTGTTCTATGCGAACGCAGCCACCTTCAAAGACAGATGTCCAGGTGTTTCAGCAAACCACCGCAATATGGCGGCTTTCCGCTCCAGCCAGCGGCAGCAGCCTGGTTTTTGCGCGAATCGGAGCGCTCGCGGTCGCGGAATGGTATCTTATCTGGGAAGGGCATCCAATGATCGGGCGGCACGGCGGAGAGGTCGCTGCCCGGGGTTTCAGGCCCGGTCCGGGATCCTATACTTAGGCATAGGACTGCATGGCGGAGCTGGTTCCTGGCGGGTCTCTCGCGCACACAAGCACGGCGATTCTGAACACTTGCAGTTTGAAGGCGGCGCGCTTGGCGACGCTGAAACCCGCGCCAAGCTGCCCAGCCGCCTAGCCGATTCTCGCGCTCCGCCACCCAAATGCCACGCCGATCGGTAGACGCGCGCCAGGCCAAACTAGGCTAGCCCGTGGCGCGGTCTCTCACCGTAGCCTATCACGCCACGCCGCCCGCACGTCGCCCAACCAGCGGGCGCAGATAGCCGCTGCGCTAGGCCCGATCCGAGGCTAAGGGTGGTGGCTTGAGGCCAGCGGCGTGTGCGCGTAAATCCCGCTCCGCTTCGACTCCGTTGACTTCACACTTACTTCTCGCAAGCCAGGAACCACAACCCACATTCCACCGCCGCCAGACTGGTTTTTTGGCTGGTGGTAGTGCGTTGTCGGGACTGACTGTCCAACACTCGCTGAACTCTAATGCCTTTTCTTTGGGGAGTGCTCGCCGCGCTTTGTTCGCGCTGCTCCCGGCTCCACTCCCTGGGCCGTTGCATCTCGAGGACGCTATGCTGGTATTATTGGCCCCCAGCAGCGAGGCGGGGGGTGTTCCGCCCAGTCGGCAAAGTCGGATCCTGACTTTGCTGGCTTGATAATCTACTTTCCGCCAAGCGGACGATCCGCTGGGTGGTTACAATAGTCACCAAATATGGATCGGGTTCCCCCATACTTTGCTGACGCGCACCATCGAGGCGAAGGAAAGCACCAGCGGGATCACTCCAATCGCCAAGCAGGCGATCCAGTTGGCGCACTTGCTTGTCGCAGGCGACACTTTTTCAGGACGAGCCGTAACGGCCTCTGTTTGAACACAATACTCCCCCCATTTCATATCGTTCCCCAAGGCCGTGTCATTCAAGGGGGCACATGCCTACCCTGAGAGAATAGATATTGCCAATCTTTTAAGTCTGAGGATCCCTTATCCATCCCTTCTTTTTGCTCTTTCTCTTTTGTTCGTGTTTTCGTCATTCTTCGCTTTTTAAATGAATTCATTCCTCTCTGGTAGAGACTAGCCAACACTTCTTGGTCAAGCGCCTTGCATCCAGGTACTGCAGGCAGTATCTACATCGTGGCCCTCGCTCGCCCGTCATGCCTACCCTCGATCTCAGCGAGCTGAATATTGTGCTCTCGGTCCTAGGTTCGCGGAGCCTGATCTCCTGGACATGGCCGTCATGCTAATCGACTGGCAGGGGGCTTTATCCTGCTCTATGGGGTCATCTCCTCCAAGATCAAGAATGTCTGGTATCTTGGAGAAGCACGTAAGTGGCAATACCGTGCCCCTTTCGTTTCTCTGCTTAACTGTGTCGTGTTGTAGTACCCGCCGTCGTTTTTGGGATAATTCTAGGGCCGATTGCATCGAAGTTCATTGAAGCTCAAAAATGGGGTGTTGGGGCACCGGACCAGCAGAATGCCATTACTCTGGTACATATAATTCCCCCTGGTTTTGATTTCGATGAACGAGTACTTAATTTGATATAGGGAATCACGCGTGTAGTTATCGGGGTCCAGCTTGTGATTGCTGGGTTTCAACTGCCTGCAAAGTATCAGATGTCTCGTTGGAAAGAAATGCTGATCTGCTTGATTCCAATCATGACAATCATGTGGTTGTGCACAACCGGATGCATTCTGCTCACAGTCCCCAAACTAACCTTGGTAAATAGAAGGTCCTCCTCTCAAAATACTTCATCTCCTAATAATCCTTGTTTAGTTGACTGCGTTGGTTATCGGTTCCTGCGTAACCTGCACGGACCCAATTCTCTCCCAAGCCATCGCGAAAGGCCCCTTTGCAGATAAGTTTGTTGCTCGAGACCTTCGTGAGATCATTTCTTCTGAAGCTGGCGCCAACGACGGATTTGGATTTCCCTTTCTCATGCTTGCAACTTACCTTATCCGATACGCCAATGTACCTGGAGCAGGAGAAAACCATAAACTTCATACGAGATCCGGGGAAATTGGCCGTCTTGGTGGAGGAGTTGGAAAAGCCCTTCAAATGTGGGTGGTGGAAACCTGGCTATACATCGTGCTCATGAGCGTTGCATATGGTGCCATTTTCGGCTTTGCAAGCTGCAAAATTCTTAAATTTTGCCTTAAAAGGTATGCCGTAACAATTGTTTTGCACCCGTGACACATATTAACTGTATCTGTGACCAGACGGTGGATTGATAACGAAAGCTACCTACTCTGGCCGTCCGCAATGGGTGTAAGTAGCCCAGGATTTGCTTGTGTGTCCGCAGGAAATTAACTAACTGGGGTTTGCAGTTTTTCATCGTCGGCACATGTGGTGCCCTCGGGACAGATGACCTTCTTGCTTGCTTCGTTGCCGGGAACGCGCTCAACTGGGATGGAGGTTACCTGAAAGAATCCGAGGCACGACATGACGAAGTCAACTCGTGCATTGACGTATTGCTCAATTTCGGAGGATTCATGTATATTGGGTCCATTATTCCGTGGAGCGAATTTCACCAGCCAGATGTCACAGGAATCACCTATCCCCGCCTCTTTGCTTTGGGTTTCCTCGTCATGGCCTTCCGTCGCCTTCCTGCTATTCTTCTGGCCTATAAATTCATCCCGAAGGTCTGCAAGAACTGGAAGGAGGCGTTGTTCATGGGCTATTACGGACCAATAGGTGAACCATCACCTTTTAACTCTTCTGCCAAGGATACTTACACCTTCTACAGGCATTGGCGCTGTGTTCTACCTCGAGCATACCCGTCACTTGTTTCCAAAGTTAGGTAAAGGCGACGCAGAAGAGACGAACTTGATCAGGGCTCTTGGGCCCAGTAAGTCCTCCATCCTTACTTTTCGTGCCCTGTGCCAGCTATTTTATCCTATTTCTCTGACATTTTCTAGCGGTCTACTGGCTCGTCCTCTTCTCTATTGTCTTCCACGGTCTTTCAATTCCTGCTCACAATCTCATTAATAAGGCCCTCGGTGTAATACCGATTGTAGATCCTTCTGGCCCTGCTGAGATACGGCCGTTGTCTTTGCACATGCAACTACCCAAGAACAGCGCCGTCAACAACAAACGCCAATCTATTATGGCATACAATCGCTTCTCGCGTGCTAACTACCCAGAGGATGTGGGTTGGGAGATACCCATGACCCGGCCGGCTGACTACGAATCGACCTATTCTCAGCCGCGCAGGGCACCCGTTATACGCTATGACGATAGTGTCAAAATATAGCATGATCATTCGAGCACACTGCATGGTAATGTTAAGGCAAGTGTAGATGTCTCCCAATTTCAATACCTAGATGTCCAACTCTGCAAGCCAGCTGTGAGTTCGAAAATTCAAACAGTTACTCTAGATTTAGAGGTATCATAGATTTTTTTAGGGCGTCTAGCTAGCTAGTTGTAGACGGACTCTTGAAAATCTTCAAGCGCTCTGCTCAGTCCTAATGCATTTGTATGGTTACTAAGGCGTTTTAAAACGAGTTTTGCATTTGGGTTAGATGTTCCTATATATATATATATATTTATATTATGAAGCCTTTGGATATCTATTTCAGCTTAACTCTCTATGGCCCGTGCCTTCATTCCCAGAAGACGATGTTCCTTCTTATCTAAGCCCATGACCCAGTATTCCATCCGGGTATCACTGTGTTGAACCCTATATACCTTCAGCTCTGGTTCCGACGTACCTTTGGCTTCCGAGCCTGTAACCGCAGTTCGGATGGCGTCGTAGACAGCTTCATATTGCTTACGCGGGTCAAAAGAGGTCTCAGGGAGGGTTGAAATTTCCACACTAGGTTTGTTTTTCCCGAGTAAAATCAAAGACTGGAAGTCATCTGGAAAAAGTGTCGGTTAGTACCATATACGCAATATAACCATCCCATACTTTGAATGGAATTTTCAATGTACCTGTTGTTGGCCATTTCCCTTCCATGGCTTTATCCCACTGCAATGTCACTGGCTCAAATTCCTCATCTGCATCAGATACATAGTACATCTCCACATTTTTTAGCACTTGAGGAACCTGCTGGTTTTCCCCAACAGATTGAGTGGTATGAAATGACTGGGTAGTTGACGTTGACTTGACGGTGGCGGACGGGTCGGCGTTAGCGCTCTCAAGGAATGAAGAATAGGCATCATCAGACGACATGGTAGGCAGATCTTTCAAGGAACTGTGACAGGATTTGGAGAATTGTCGGGTGGTGTGGTGTGCACTGTTGTTCCTGTTTGCGGGGCGGTGGACCGTGTGAGACGATGCGTACTGGCGCAACTGAGGAGGCGATACAACGGTTAGGTATGGAATGGCAGATACAGAACGTTGCTCCTTTTGGAGGGCTGGATGTACCGGAATCGTATGCGATGCAAGAGGCTGAAATAAGGGTCGGGGTTGAAAGACGTAAAAATGTGGGAGGAAACTGGGAGTCGGTGATACGGCTCGCCGGGAATAGATGACGCAATGGCTGCTCTCAATGAAGGCCACGCGGGGTGATGGGAAACGAGGTGGGCGTGGACGCACCATTTTTCTTTGGAGAGTTAGAAATGATTGACAGTAGAAAAAATTTACGATTGGGATAATGTTCTTAGGATTTTTTTAAGCTGGTACAGGTACGTATTTATGTATGCACACACATACGTACATACATGCAGCTGTGAGCCGTGGCGAATGAAGCCTCCACCGCAAGTATATCTCAAGACAGTGAGCTGATGGCATAACTACGGTGATATCTACGAAATTATTAGATGTCATGAATGTGTGCGTCAATCATCATACATTTTATTAGAAGAACCCGTAGAATTGAATTTTCCTGTCATCGACGTAGATACAACCGCTGATGAAAAGATAAACATGCTCCACATCAACCCCAACCAGAACAAACAACAGAAAGATTTCATGGGGCCACGGCCAAATCTTTCTTGAGAGTACCCATGAATGCCCGCTTTTCGGCAGGAGTCTGGTAAGCACCGTGGCCGAATTTGGAAGACGTATCGATCCATTTCAATTCCACCTTTTCTAAGGCCTTGCGGCTGACTTGTGGGTAGAGGGTTTTTCTGAGAGTGAGGACTCGCTTCTTCACGCCGGGGCAAGATCCCTTAAGGATGACGAAGTCATTTTTAACCTCACCATATCTGACGAAACCGCCCATTCTAAGATTCTGTTAGCATATAATGAAACAATTCAGGAGAGAGGATTGAAGAACATACGGAGTAATCTGCTTCTTGCTGACATCGAAGTCAGTAGAGGCATTACCCTCATCTGCACCCTTTCCAATGCGGTAGATCTTGTGGTTGACGGAGGTACGATGATGATAACCGTCTTGACCAGCACGGGCAACAGTCCACTGGACGTGGGATGGATGCCAAGCACCAATACAGGCCACCTTTCGCAGACCCTTGTGGGTCTTACGAGGAAGTTTCTTGGTTCCCCATCTGCTCGTAACACCCTGGAAACCGTGACCCTTCGTAACAGCAATGACATCGATCATCTCATCTTGCTCGAAAATGGTGTCAATTTCAATTGGCTTCTCGAATAAGCCGTGGGCGAAGTCAACCTTCTCAGGAATAGAGCCACCGTTGACCTGGATTTCCATAAGGTGAGCCTTCTTTTGCTTGAGAGGGGTTTTGCGGATCTGGGTGTGTGCAAGGAGGCGGACAACGGTGCAGTATTTCTTAATGCGCTCGAGTTCGCGAGTGACGGAAGCGCCCTTGTTGTCCGAGTAGTTCTTGGCATACTTTGTGAAGGCCTTCTTCTTGCTCTTGTACCAGTTCTTGTAGAACCGTCTCTTGATTTCGTCGCTCAAGTGCTCGGCCCAGACAGTGGTTAGCGATCGGAGACCGCGGGGGGTTTCGATATATCCAACAACACCAACAGCAATCATCTGCAATACCGATGTTAGTCAAATAAAAGCACCCACCAAGGGCCGTTTTTGGGGGTGGTTGTCGTACGGGAGGAGTTTCAATGACTGTGACAGCTTCAACGACCTCCTTCTTGTGCATCTTGGCACCAGGACGCTCAAGATCGCGGACAGTTGTCGTCATACCGGCCTTATAGCCCATGGCGGCAGTGAGGTGAACAGGCTTCTTGGGGTCATCCTTGGGGAAACTGGTTTGGAAAAAAGCTCAGTATGGAATCCCACATGCTATTTAGTCGTTGATTATTCCAACTAACCTCTTAACCTTTCCTCGGTGTCTAGCACTGCGCTTCCGTGGCAAGAAGGCAAGAGAGCCTGATTTCTCATTGTCAGCCAAATTGTTATTGAACGAGAGATGCCACGCATTGTCTAAAATCGGAATTCACGAACCGTGCCGAGGGGCTTCGAATTTCCGGTGACTCCTAAATGCCACAAGGTGATTAGCAACCATACGTTTCGCGATTCAATTGCGATTGCCATATGGAACAATACTCACATCTTGAACCTGTTTTGCGTTAGTAGACGGGTATGGTGAGAGTCCTGTCAGTTGGAAGAAAATTGAGGGCAAATCGATATTTTGTGTGGTTCGGCCGCTTGTGTGCGCTTAGCTAAGCGAGGTCTGGAAGGAAGCAAACAGGCCAAACAGAATTAGGTGTTTGGTTTGTTTGTCTCGCGAGACGCTCACACGTGATTTTGCCGCAAACAGAAGCATCACCGGCGGAAGGGAGTCATGCTAGTACGAGACAAACATCGTTGCGATTCATACTCCAACTGCGTGGGAACAACACGGCTGTTTCACGTCACGAAGCGAGGACGTTTTGCGTTTGGAATGGAAGGATGGCCCGCGAGTAGTTGTAATTGTCTCGCCGGAACATTTTTATGACTTCAGCCAGGAGTCTCCTTCAGGCGCCGCGTTTCCGAGGATGTCATCTGTTATTATTATCATTTCGCGATCTCTGCTCTGCAGCTATGAAGTAAACCAACTGTGGTGTGGATGGTCGCATTCACATGGCAATCCAGCCGGCTACTCTGTGGTACATAGGACAGGGATGCTTGTCTTGTCTGCTCCGTCCTCAGTTTTTCAAACCTGATTTTCTGGGGGATTGGGAAGAATACGAAAGCTTCTGAGGAGGGGTCATGATTATCGTGGATGCAAACGGCGGTCTTGCATGTCTCTGTCCACAGGCACCTAGCACCAGATCTCTTGCCAAGGGACTCTAGGCGCTGATTGTCGCACGTGTGAAAGAGTGCTGTGCTGGTGACTCCAGAGCTTATGCAACACCAGCGGGAGAGCCATGGCCGTGTCGGGCCTTTACCCCTCGTTTCGCGACAGAGATGCACACGGCCTTTGGAAAGCTTTCCTGCCTGATTGATGCTGCACTCTATATGTATAGGTCGTCATCGGTGGTGGTTGACATGAGCGTTTTAGGTTTGGTTCCACTGCGATCGATGCCTCGGGTTGATGATGGAGGGTGCATTCGGCGTTGATCGAGGCGGGAAAGATCCCCGGCCCCACCGAAACGGCAGGATACAGGCGATAGGTGCATATAATAGTTAGACTACACGGAGGCCACGCCGGCCAAGGAGTGAGAATACTGGGGTGGTTGCTGCGTCCGTCTTCCTATTATTATTATTATGATTATTATTATTATTGCGACTCCCGTAGGATGAAAGAGCGGGTCTGTCGTTCCTCGCTCGCTGTTGGCATTCAGCGCCTGGCATGGGTTTATACTTTTCTTTCGCAAGGAGAACACGAAAAAGCGCGCAACAACGAGGAACATTTTTATTATTTTATTTGGAGGGATAACCGAAAAATACGATCATGGATTTGGGAAAGAGTGGGCCTTTGGCGCCGTGAGATTCTGGAAATTTGTTATGCGGTTTCAGGGATAAGATGTCATTTTAACCTGGCAGGCCAGATGCAAGCGATGGAGTAGCACCAAGAGGACCCACAGATGCTCGATGCTCTGGGCGATGATTGGGTTTGAAGCACAGACTGGAGTGCCATGGGCCCTGGGCCCAGCGAACAGAAGGTTGGGCGGCACCCCTGCGGAGAAAAAAGGTGGTTGGTGGCGTGTTTCAAAGGCTTTTTGGGGCTGACCTAACGGCATCAAGTTAACTATATTGCATTCACCCGCAGCTTAATGCTGGGACGGGAGCTTAAAGGCATGCAGCTCTCTTTTTTTCGCTCAAGCCTCCATTTATTGATTTTTTATTTTTATTTTTAATTTTTTTTTTTCAATCATTTTCGTTTCTCACCTGAGTGTCTTCGCAAATCACCGGGCGCTGCTCGAGATGATCTTTTGAAGCCGTGAATGGGGCACAAGATACCGCGAACTACACTGCGACAGGGAATACGGAAGATCGTAATCAAAGACGCACAACCATGAGCAGGCTGTAATCTCTGTACTCGTGGCCGGAGGCTATTTAATCTGGCCCCATCCCGGGAAAGCTCTCCCGTAGACTCCGTGCCAACCGCCGCCATGGGATCTACCCGCACATTCGTACGCTGAAGATTGAAAAAAAAAAGTTAAACTAGACAACCTTCATCAGAACGAATGTCGTACGTACGCACGGAGAGTACTCCGTAGTCTGTCTCCTGTGACATAAAGGCTGCCTGGCCAATTCATTAACTATCTAACGGCGATTTTTTATTACCATTGCGGTCATCTATCACTCCACTGCTACCTTTGCCCGATCGCTGTCAGGATTGAACATCCTCAATTATTCTTGGATTGCATTCTACATTAGTTTGTGGCATATAAAAGACCGACCTTCTCAAGGTTGCTCGCCTGAAATATTTTGAGTGGTAAGTGTATGGAGCAACGGGGATGATAGCCCTTATTACTGAGTAGCTATATAACCACACTTGTTTTATGTTATAAAAGCATGTAACTATATCAGCAGTTGAAGAGTTGTATGAAAACTGCCAACCGCATGGCTAGTTATGCGATCTGTAAATGTCCGGGGTTGGTCTGTTTAAACATTCGGATTTGTTAAATCAAGACCACAGACTGCGGGTAACCAGAGACCTACATTGGCGTAAGACATCTGAACGTGGAAACATTCTTAGGATGGACCGAGGGGCTGTGTTACAGTAAGCGTATGTTCGGAGTGCACTTGGGCCCATTTGCGTCTAGAAGCAATGAGACCACTGATGGGAACCATCGGGGTACTCCTGGATCTTGTAAATGAGTTGACGGAGGGGAGATCAGTTCTGGATATTTGTTATCCAAGGACGAGATAGCTCGCGCGATGGCCCTTGGGAATCGATCCAGACAGAGCGTCGCCAGATAGTCCTAATCCTGGCGAGGATGTGCACACATGGCACTGGAAGGCCTTCCGCAGTGGTTAGACCCACCATAGCTCAGCGCAGAGACTCGATTTGAGGAGAAAAGATGATCGTAGCTCCACCGCGGAGTGGGTCTGTTAGGCGGGTCGGCAGGAGTGCTATGGAATAAGAGGCGTCGCCGTGGCGTGCGCGAGCCCCCCAGGTATAAGCGCCAGGCGGCCAGCGCTGGTCGGCCGGGCCCCTGGCGGGCTGCGCAGGCTGCGCGGGCATAGTTCGGCAGGCCTGGGCGGCGTTGATGGGCGGGTGCTTAGTCACAGCTCGCGGGCCATGCAGCGCCGCCACCAACCTTGCCGCCCTCCACAGTCGCGCCAAGCACGTCGGGTGTGACAGGTGGCGCTGACATAAGCGGGCATGCAAGACACCAGCGGAACAAACGATTGGCCGGCCGGCCAGGGGGGCGGGGGCGCAGAAGCTTGAAGGGGCAAAGTCCCGTTAGCAGCACCATCACGCGCCAAGTGGGGCGCACCCTTCCGCCGCTGCCCAACCTAGCCTAGCGTAGCCCTAATCCATCCCAAGGTAACCCCAAACTCGTTGCACTTGTTCTTTCCCTTTCTCGGCTTTTGTGCTGATTCTTCCTCCCAGACCCTTCCCACTAGCGCCAATTCCGCCCTCATACGCCTCTCCCACCCTTTCTCTTCTTCCTCTTCCTTTCTCTTCTCTTCGTCGCCCGCTCTGACGCCCTCCTTGCGGCCTGCATCTGGATTCCTGCCTCCCCGCATTGCCTTTGTTCGTTTCCCTTCACCCCCTTTGCGCTCCCTCCTTCTCATTCTACCCTTTGTCGCTACGTCACGGTGCCCCTTGCCGTGGCCTGAGCCCGTTGACCCGAACGTCGGCCACCAAACAACCTCCCTCTTCAAAGTTGGCGCTGCGATTCGTTCGCCATCATTAGCACTCTTGTCTGCCATTACCTGTCCTCGTCCCGTCCTTCTCTTGGCTGCGACCGCTCGAGTCGCCGGCTGTTTGCCCGGTTTGCGACATTGTTGGCCCTGTTACCTGTCCTGCGACGTCAGGGTAACCTTCATAATTTCAGGAGCACACGCACACTTTTATGCTAGAGAGTGTGTGTGGCAGAACATTATTTTGTCATAATTAACTGTTTCATTGGTGCTTGTTTTTCATTTTATTTTTTCTTTCTTACGTGAATCGTTATTTTCGCCGAGGGTTTAGGTTTGTCGTCGCCTAAGTTTTACTCCCATACCCTGCCGCTACTTGGACAGTATGTCCGGTCACCCTCAACGTTCACCTACGGGTGTGGTTCACCCTCATCAACCTTCGCTGCCGCAACACCCACAGGTTAATGGTCATATGCCAATTCAAGGCCAGGCCCAAAGTGGACCGCCCTTGACAACATGGCAAAAGATCCTGCAAGTTAATGAAGCGATATGGCTCCAGCTCGGTACGTCAATGCGCATTATTTGTTAATTGGCTTCATCTAAACTGGTTCCTTTTTAGGCAATCTATGCGAAATGATGGGCAATATGGATGGCGCCGTTGACGCCTATCAACATGCGCTTCGACATAATCAATATTCCGTGCCTGCCATGAGCGCTATATCGTGTATCTATCGAACGAAAGAGGAATTTCCAAAAGCCATCGAATTTTTACAAAATATTTTAAAATTAGACCCTCAAAGTGGAGAATCTTGGAGCAGTTTAGGTAAGTCTTCGACTCGGGATGTGAATTGACAAATTTTCCCTAATACCTTTGTGCAACAGGTCATTGTTATCTTATGATCGATAATCTTCAAGATGCTTACAGCGCATATCAAAATGCCTTGTATCATCTTCGTGACCCGAAGGTATGTCCGTACTCTTTAGGTAATATTATGGGATTTATGAAATTAACGTGGATGTACTGCCATACAGGAACCGAAACTTTGGTACGGTATTGGAATTCTCTATGATCGCTATGGCTCTTTAGATCATGCAGAGGAAGCTTTCTCCCAGGTCATGCGAATGCAGCCAGATTTTGAGAAAGCAAATGAAATTTATTTCCGCCTTGGTATAATATATAAACAGCAACAAAAGTTTAGTCACAGTCTGGACGTAAGTTGTACCTCCGTCTCAGGAATTGCGCATTATATGAACCATGAATGTTTGTCTAGTGCTTTCGATATATCGTCAAAGATCCTCCAAGGCCTTTGACTGAAGAAGATATCTGGTTCCAGATTGGCCATGTACATGAACAACAAAAGGATGTAAGTCTGGAGGGACCTGTATTCCATCGCCCTTTGCTAACGCTCTGTAGTTTGAATCCGCCAAAGCAACTTATATGAAAGTCCTGGAACGCGACCCACAGCATGCCAAAGTTCTGCAACAGCTCGGGTGGCTGCATCACCAACAGAGTAGTACATATTCTTGCCAGGAACAAGCCATTGAGTACCTGGAAAAGTCTGTTTCAGCTGGTAAGGCCCACCGAGATTCTTTATCATAAGTGGTCACTGGTTTTGATTCGCTCTCTTAGATACGAGTGATGCGCAGAGTTGGTATTTGCTCGGTCGTTGTTATATGTCGCAGGCCAAATACCCCAAGGCATACGAAGCATATCAGCAAGCTGTATATCGAGACGGCCGTAACCCGACATTCTGGTGCTCCATTGGCGTGCTTTACTATCAGATCAATCAATATCGTGATGCTCTTGATGCATATTCTCGAGCTATTCGCCTAAACCCCTATATTTCCGAGGTTTGGTACGATCTTGGAACACTGGTGAGTTTTGTTTTCTTTCGTTGTCCTGCTTTTCTGTTATTGGGACTTACGCTTGTATAGTACGAATCATGCAACAATCAAATTGCGGACGCCCTTGATGCATATGGACGTGCGGCAGAGCTTGATCCTAATAATACACATATCAAGGCGAGACTGCAGCTACTTCAAAGTGGACAGGCAACGAATCAAGGAAATGCCCCTGTCCCACAGGACGTTCACCCCCAGGCATATCAGGCACCTAATGTCGGGGTACCACCTGGGCCTCGCTGGGGTGCTCAAGCGCCGTCTGGGGCCCCTCCAGCTCAACCCTCATTGGCATCGGGTCGTGTCAATGAATGGGCCCGAGGAGTCAGTGAAGTTCAAGCGCAGCAAGGTCCGTCTGGGCAGTATGATCAGCGTGAAACATTGCGAGGCATCCAGCCACAACAGCCAAGCCCTAGAATTGAACAGGGCCGCCCACCTTTCTCTGATCAGCAGTCCCGGAACAATGCCGGTCGCAAGGGACTTTCGCCGTCGCCAAAGTTCAATTTCTCCGCGCCAAGTACTTATCCAGGGCCCCAAACGCTCCCGCAGCTTGGTCCACCACCTCAAACGAATGATCGGGGCAATGGAAATGCCTTTGGTGGCTCGGTAAGACCTCCTATACTAGCGCAAAATGGACATACTGGCGGTGCGGGTCCGAACAACACGGTGACGGGAGCTCAGATGCCGCCGTATGGCCGGCCTTTCACGCCTCCCACGGAAATTCGTCCCATCAGGGATGACAGACCAACATCACCGAGGTCCATCTATCCCCATCCACAATATCATCAGGGCCCTGCCCCTAGCCAAAATGGCGGAGGCATTGCTGGTGGTGCTCCTCCTCCAGCCTCTGCCATCGCGGCAGCTGAGGCAGCGCAACGAGAGCGGGATGAACGCCCTCCATCATCAATGAAGCGGGGACGCGAGTGGGAGCCTGAACCGGGGCCGGTTAAGAAAGTTGCTAATGAGGAAAATCGGTCTCGCTTGGAGGAACAACCAGGTCGAATCTCATCTCCACACGAGCCTCGTCGGCGTAGCTCTTCGGAGGTTCGTCGTGAAGAGCAGCGACGAGCTCACGACAACTACCATCCGTCCGATGCTGCTCACCACCCCCCTAGCTTGCCTCCTATTCAACACATGCAGGCTCAAGCACCAAAAATTGCAGCTGGGCCGGAGGGGCCAGCGAACGTACAGAATGCGCCAATTTCCAGTCTGCCTCCAAGCGCGATGAATACTGGTAACGGGGTGAATGAAGAGCGTGAGCGTAAGGAGGCCGCGCACCTGCAGCTCGAACCGCCTGCGCGCAAAATGGACGTTGACGAAGATTACGACGATGACGGGGAAGACGATAAGAAGGCGGTGCCAATGCAAAAGGGTGGCAGCCCTGGCGGCGCTGCCGCTAATGGGATGGTGAATGGGGGCAGCCAAGCAGGCCAAGGCAAGGTCGACGCTGCTGGATAGAGGATGAATACGGAGAAGTTTATATGATTTGGTGGTGTCTGTTTCTCTGTTCTGGGGATGCTAGCAGAGATGATGGGTATTCAGCGGTATGTTTTTTTGGTTGGCGAGACAAAATTGACGTGTGTGGTTGGTACTACTCGTTTGGAATACGCACCCATCCGGTTGCGTTCTTTGTATAGTTATGATGATGTACTCCGTAATGTGCTGCGTGCTGGCTCCCGCCCCTCCTTTGTTTTTTTTTCGTTTTTTATTTGTTTTCAGCCCGATCCCTAGCCTTCCTGCCGTATGCAGTGTTTTGCTGGCAGCCGCGGCATGCTGGCGCGCATCCGGTGTGGAGGAGGCCATGAGGCTTGACGCGCACGCTCCTGTCTGTGTGTCAGTAACACGGAGGGCCGTGACCAAAGCAAAGGGAAGTTGGCAACGAAGGATGACGAGCGGCTTAGCGGTGTGCGGAGGGTGCTTTGGGTGAAACGGCAGGCCACGCGATTACGTGCGAGGCAGCATGTGGAGGGCGGCAGTTCCGGGCTAGCCGAGCCTGCGCGCGGGCGTCGCCAGCAGCGCCCAAGGCCGGGCGCATGACTCGCGGGGCGTGGCGGCAGCACGGAAGCGCGTGGCAGCAAGAGCGACGCGGCTTGGCGGTGCGCTTGGTGCCAGTCGTGGCGGTTTGAGGCCGCGGCCCCGGCAGGCGACGCGTGATTGGCCGCGGCGCGCCCAGCGATCTCCGCAGGTTCGCTGGTCATTGGGCTTGGCGGGCCCGATCGGGAGGGGCCCGGGAGCCAATCAGCGCACGCCGTGCGGCCGGGGGCTTGGCACAGGAGCATGCCCGCATCGGGACACGGCTGACTCAGCACACTGCTGCTGCGGCTGCCGCTTTGGGCCATCGCGACGACCTCTCCTCCTCCTGCTCGGCCTCTCTCTCCCTCCTCGTCCTCTTCTTCTTCTTCTTCATCACCACCACCACCACCACCATCACCGCCATCACCACCGCCTCCTCCTCCTCTGCCTCGCGTCGCCGGCGCCCCGGCTGTGCCTCCAACAATGAACGGCGCCGCCAAGGGCTGGGCGTCTCGGCAGCTCTGGCCCTTGGCGCGCTGAGAGGAACTGCCACTTCCGCCCTCCGTTTTCCCTCCGTGCAGCCTCCTCTCGCCCCTGCCCGCCTGCCCTGCCCGCGAAATGCCTCTCGCTGCGGCTGCTGCGAGGTTGGCGTTCTGGGCTGCTCTCTTGGTCCCGCTGGGCATTCCCGCTCGGCTGCGCTGGGCGTTTTCCTTTTCTTCACTGCCGTTTCACTCTTAAAAGCATGTCTTGCTCTCGTTCTCCGTGACCCTTTCCTCTCCTCCCGCTCCCCTCCTCCTCCTCCTCCCCTCCCCTCCGTCGCTCGTCGCTCGCCGTCCGCCCTCGCCCTGTCGCTTCCTCTCAGCCCGCCGCGACTCCCGCCCGCCGCGATGTATATATAATCCCCACAAGGCTTGGTCTGCCCTCTTCGCTCATGTATCTCCCGCTGCTCTGTCGCCCAGCCAGCGCTGCTTCCTGCTCGACTTTCCGACTTGACCCGTGAAATCCACCGCGATCGCTAATGGCCCTTCGGCCCGATACCCAAGCCATGTCTTCCCACGCCATGGCCAAAAATCCTGTCTCCCGCGCCAACCACGTCGCCTATCCGACTCTCGACCTGAAATCCCAGCTAGACTCGTCATCCTTCCCATCAACACCGCCCAAATCATCTCAGCACTCCACCCACGCCGAGCCGCATTCTCCACCACATTCCCTTGCCCACGATGCTCACTCATGCGCGGAGAATCCGCGCCTATCACACCTGGTGTCCGACCGACCTGCGTCGCTGTCGAATTCGTCCATGGCCTCGGCTCCCTTCCCAAAGGTGACACAGGCCCGGGCCTTCCACCCCTCCCAGCCCGCTTTGCCTGCCGCCGCTTTCATCCTCTCATCCAATACACAGCCTGCATCTATGTCAGACAGCGAGCCCTTTACCTGGCAAGAACACAGTGGATGGGCACAGAAAAAACATAATATGACCTTAGGTGCGTTGGCCATTGAACCAGCCCCGCAGCGCCCTAGAACCCACGTATCCGTCTCTGCCACCGATTACGACGACGACGAGGATGACGACGTAGCACATTCTTCCGACCATGAAAATGCTTTTTACATTCTGGTACGTTGTTAATTTTTGTCCTATCGCATAATTAGTTGGCTCCCTTCCAGACCGGGTACGAAGTAAATTCGACTCGCTTTACCGAATGTACAACCCAATGAAGGGCATTCCAACCGAAGCCCGGTTTCACCACTACTCTATACTGACCCTGATTCTTAACTCCGATCTGACGTATAACTATCTAGCTACGCATATCGTTTCTCGTCCCACCATTTGCCTTCTTCGCCGCCCTATACGGTTTCTGTGTCATACTATTCTTCTTGTTCGCTGCTCCCATACGGTTATGTCCACCCACACCCTTGTTTAAAGCGCCAAATACATTTTCGTCGCAAATATGTCACACCCTTCTTCCACTTCTACGCACCCATCAACGTTTGATATCGACACCTTCCCCATCAGAACGACGCCGCGAACGCCACCCCTACCACCACTCCTCCTCAGGATCTCCCTCTCGTTCCCAATCTAGGCACGGTTCCCCTGACCATTGCGATGACTCCCCTTCCTCCCGCCCATCATTCCACACTGGTCATTCTACTCTCTGCCTCGTGTGCGTTCTTCTCCTCTCTCCTCTCCTCATTATCCCTATTCTTTTCGCTGCCTGGATATCGGCGTTCTTTTGGATTTTTGCCATGATCATGGGAAATCCAGATGGTACAGAACGGAGAGATGATGGCAGAGCAGCAGTTCTTGGGGTCAGAAATTGGTGGAAAATCTGGTTAGGCAGTTCCAAGAGAAGGAAAAAAAGGGAAAGGAACGGGAGCGTGACAGTATAGTTCATTTGGGGAAATATGGGATCTATCCCTGGATGCTTGGACTTTTTTTTTTTGGCTGAAAGTGTTGTATTCGGGGTGGCACCCTTTTTTAAAGACATTATGTATCATGCATGGGATGATTCTGAATAGCAAAGCAATGATAAAACATATTTCTTACACACGATAAGGTTCTTCAGGAGCCCAGAGGGTTACGTTCTGATGGGGATAGTTACTAGAAAGCCGGGCAGGCTCCAAGCCTCCCACAAGAAATGTTTTAACGGGAATCGTAAGTCGCCCCATCACACCTTCCGCTCTGCGCCCATTGGCCCTCATCTCTTCCTCCGAAACCCGCTCCCGCTCCGCCCCGCCTTGAAGTTCCGCCTCTTCTCAACTCGTCCCGCCCCGCCGCCGCCACCACCGCTCCTCTTCGGCTCTCCCAGTCCCCGCCGCCCAGAGCTGTGGCCTCCGCGCTTCTTCTCCTTCCCTGCCTCTCCCTCCTCGTCGGATTCCGCCGCCGCCGCGGCGGCGCCGCCTTTCTTGCCCACTCCGCTCTGGCCCACCTTCAAGCGGCCCTTTTGCCCTTTGCGCACTGCATCCGGCCCGCTGACCGCGGCGATGTACGCGTCGACGGCACTTGCATCGGCACCTTCGGCCATCGCGGTGTCACCGTCTGCGTCACGCCCCACGGTGCCTGCGCCGGCGCTGGACAGGATGAGCTTGCCATCCGCATCAACCCGCGCAGATCGTCGATGGGCCGTCGTCTTCTTGGCGTGTAGGAAGCGGACGGTTGGCTTTGTGCTGGAGATGCTGGCGAGTGTATTGGGAGCGAGGAGGTCGAGTGGGTTGGATTCGGGGGAGAGTTCGCGGATGTATTGCGATCCGGTGGAGTCCTTCGAGGCTTTGGATGGTTTGGAGCGAGAGTTTTGCGGTGCGGCTTTTTTAGCCTTGTTGCTGTGCTTGTGCATATTACCCGCAGCGTCGATCTCGATTTCGCTTGCATCGTCGTCGGAGTCTGAGCCCATGTCAGAATCCGACATGTCTGAGCCGTAAACGGCCTTATCGAATTCATTGCTAAAGGCGTTTCGAGTCGTCGATGGCCCGCCTTCCTCCGCCCCGGATTCGTCTTCTGCGGCAGCTTTGCTCTGCTCCTTCTTTCTCTTACTTCGTTCGCGTTGCTTACGGATCGCCACAACGAGTTTCCGGTCAGATTCTGGAGTAAAACTCTCGACAGCCTGGGCGCCGAAGCGTCGCATTAGTCGATCCAGGATACCCTTCACCTTGCTTCGAAGCCGTCCTTTATGCTCTTTGCTCCAGACCATCAAATTTGGTACAAGCGATTCGAGTCGGGGCTTCAGCAGATCGTCCGGGATTGCCACAACCACTACCTTAACAAATCCCAGGACTGCGCGAACGATTTCTCGATTGTTACTGGTTAGAAAAAGGTCTATTGTCTGAACAAGGTCTGATAGTACTGCTCGAGGCAAACCGGAGTGGAACTCGAAGAGGAGCCGGGATAGGGCGATCACCGATGCGGCAACCATGTGCGGTGAGCTACCGGCCAAACCAGCTGAAACCATTGTGAAGAATTCTTCAATAGTTGCCGGCGCATCGGGTGCATCGTCTGCCATATGGGAAATGAGGGAATTGCGAATCACAGTGCCCGAAGGGTTGCGTTCCGCATCTGTCAGGCGACTTGCAAGGTGAATCAAGAGTGAAAATGCCGCTGTTCGCGCTTTCTCATTGCTCTCCTTGCATCCTAGCACAACTTCTGACAAGATAGATGGAATAAAATGGAGATCGGAGGTGGGAAGGTGAGTGACAATTTCTTGAATGGCCATCAGACGATCTCGCCGAGCTGGAGAGGGTGTCTTATCTGTTGTCGAGATGATTAGGCTTTGCAAGTCGGAGCTGCGTTCCTCCAGGGCTAAAGCCCCAGCTTCCGCAGTTGCCAGGCGAGGAATGAGTTTATATGCTTTTTTGATCAACTGAGGGTCGAGAGACTCGGTGTTGAGCACGACAGCAGAGAGTGAAAATAGGGTCGCAAAGCTAGCCCGCGGCAAATAGATAGACATGGTTACGACAAGGTCCATGAGCGTGTGTGATGTAGGAGGCATCTTGTCTCCAGTATTTTTCTTTTTCGCCTGCTCTTGGGCGGTCTCTTCCAGCGATGCTTGGAGCATTGTGGTCACGCGAGTGAATGTTTCCATGAGTTCCTAGTACATTATAGTCAGCAATGAACGGTGATAATAATAGTGACATCTAAAAACGTACTTTTTCTGGTGTGATGCTAAGGTACGCATTAATACACTGAAGAATGTACCCTCTGAATTGAGGTAGTGTCTGGCTGTAAACGTTGAACAACACCGCTAGCAGGTTGCTTGAGAGTGCAGCAAGATGCGCAATATTTTTCTTGGCCATCTTTTTCGTAATGCGGCGTTGTAAGACAAGGTCATCAGCATCCTGCTCCAAAGAGGCAATCTCTTTGTTACCTTCAACCAAGTTTTGTAGAGCTTTGCACACGTCCACACGAAGCTCAGTTTGCTTATATAGCACGTTTGATAAGAGCTCTGCAAATCCTTGATCAAAGGCTTCTATCACATCCAATGGAAGGACACAGAAACCAGGCAACGTCGCCCACGTCTGCTGCACAAGAGTCTCGAAAATTTTCACTTCAACCGTTTTCTCAGCATTGCCGTATTCAAGAACTTTCTGAAACAGAGATTCGCTGAGAGGGACAAATTCAGACCGGAAGTATGAGAGCCGAGTGTTCGAAACATAATCTCGCAGAATCGGGAGAAGCCAAACGCGGCCCGGCTCACCGGCCTTTTGTCGGGTTATGTTTAGCGGTAGAATGCCAAGTATAGTCTCAGGGCCCATGGCTTCAACTGCGGCTCCCAGCACTTTGTCCGCCTCCTTTTTGCCATGAAATGAGTCATTACCACGGATCCCTCCGATTGTCCGTACAATGTCAGTTAGGATAGGGTCCGCCCTCCACTTCAAGGCCTCAAACATGGCTGTCAGCACATTGAACACCTCTGCCCACGCTGTTTGGTACTTCATAGATAGTAGACCCGTCCCAGTTTTAGCAAGTTTCTCAAGCGTTTTCTCATCGTAAATTGATGGTTCCACAATTACACTGGCTGGGATGCAATTGGCAAGAAACGAAACAAGGCACTCCGAGGCAGAGATGCGGATATTGTGTGAGGACGATGAAAGAAAAGATGCTACGAGGTCGAATAGTTCCGGTAACTGTTCAAAGGTATCCTCCGGATGAACTTGAGCAGATACATCGTATCCTCTCGACAGCACTGCAATCCATGGTGGAAGGAGTTGCGAATCGTTGTGCGCTGGTTTCAATTCTCGGATGGCCTCTAGAAGGCGTGGCAGTTTTGACGAGGAAAAATCGTCGGCCATGCCTTCGAAAATCACTTCAAATACCTCAAAGGCCCCCATTGTTAAGAATTCATTGGTTGATCTCGAAACATTCATCAAAAGCTCGCATAGGGGTTCGATCTTCTTGCTGGGCCATCCACCTGATGCTGTTGCGAGCGTCTTAACCAGATGTAGAGCGTGTATCACAGCGGGTTCGTGTTGGTTTTGATGGGAAGAGGCATGTTTCCCTTTTCTCATTTTGCCGGCTGCGGCAACACTTTCTTTCAATGTTAAAAGAGCGGTCTCAGCACACATATCTGCGGCTGGATGGTCTAGCGAAGGGCTTGGCGGAGGATGCTTCAAGACTTGAGCCAGGGCGTCCTGGGCTCGCTTTCGCACTTTTGGCCGGTGATCAACCGCTAGAGCTAGTAGCCCGGCCATGGCCCGTCGTGGGCCTATTTGGGAATGTGGAAGGGCCCATGCCGCTGCATCTTGGGCCACGAGAAGAGATTGCAGACACCCAATTGAGGGTCTGAGCAGCGGTGCTTCGGCGGCGGGTGCCACGAGAACCGGCGCAAGGCTCCCGAGTATTTGCGCAAACTTGGCTCGTAGTAATGGCGCCGGAACAAAGGGAGAGACGATGTCAAGAAGGTACACGACAGAGGTCACGGGCTCTTTCTCAACAAGACCCTGGGTGGAGCTGACAGACTGGCCGAGCAAGGCTAAGAGGGCGGCGAAGTACGCGGTTGCGGTGCAGTCAGTGTGCTGCTCGCGAAGAGTATCTTCCACAGCGGAGAGAACTATAGCCGTCTGGAGGGTTGGTCAGTGTTGGCTCCGGGAACAAGGCAAGAGAGAGCTGGCCGGGTGGGTGGTCTTACAGTGTGCTGGTTCTGCAGCTTCGGGGATTTTATCTTGTCGAGTTTCTCCTGCAGCGATGCCATGATGCAAGCAAAGCCCAGTCCGAGAAGGCCGCCGGGCAATCTAGCAATGCAAATGGCCAGGGAATGGGCTCTTTGTGAGCTTGTGCTGGCAGCGGAAGGAAATTTTTGGGTTTTGCGGTCAGCTTAGTGTTCTTATCGATAACAAGCGACGGTTGTGGGGCGAGAGGCCGCCGTGCCAACGCCAGCGACATCCAGAGGGCATGCCGCTCGACTGCTCGACTGACTATGAGTATTCAATAGCAGGCCTGTTGCTGCGGACAGAGAATTCTCCCGCTTAGCACCGTCGATGATTCCACGAGCGGGCGGTCGAAAGCGAGCTTAGTCAGCATTTCTTTATTGCAGAATATAGTTTACTAACAGCCCAGTCCTGCCAACCAAGACACTGTGGCCGAGTGGTTAAGGCGCGGGCCTGCTATTTGATTAATAACAGACTAGCCCGTATCTTCGGATGCGTGGGTTCGAATCCCATCGGTGTCGCCATCTCTTATCTTTTTGACAACGAAGCAAGCAAACAACCTTCTCTTTGTAATAATTTTTTTATGTTCCCATTACGGAGGATCTAAAATTATATCCGGCTATGGTGATGAGCTAGCTCTACGGAGCACGGAGCATGGAAGGACTCTGTAGTTTCTCTTCCTCTAGTCAACTGATACGCTGAAGACTCAGCTCATCTCCACAATTCCCGCGACGCTCGGCCACCTGCATCCTTCGAATTTCAAAACCACTACTCCGTACTAGTTAACTAACCACCCGCGCCGCGAGAGTGGCTCTTCATAGTCTTAGACTGTATCAGAGCCTACGAAAAACAATAATATTAATGGGTTCACACACACGCGCCCCCTAAAGTGGATGCTGGCCATCCATATGAGACTGCCATCAATCTGATAACAGCTGTAAACTGTACTCCGTACACCACTCTCTTTTTGTGTTAATTAACTCACTGAAGATGGATAGAATTTTACCTAAAGATATGAATTCAAGGATCCAAAAGATTATTTATTAAACATGGCCATGAAAAAGTCAACGTTATCAGATAGGTGGCAGTTTCATATGGATCCCTAAAAGCCAGCGCCCACTTTTTAGGGGGCCGTGGCGCGGATACTCTAGGAGACCGGCAGCTTACAAAATAAAATACTTGCTTTGGTGATAGACCTCATTATACCCCACACAAGAAGCAGTTATGTTGCATATTTCCTGCCATCATTTCCACAAATATGCCCGTGGGATCAGATCACCACAAGCATGCGTCAGCTGAAGCTTCGTTATTCTCAAAAGAACCATTAGCTGAGGCAATAATGCGTCTTGACCGCTGCCTTGGATGTATTTACAGAGTATGTACGTACCTTCAAGTGCTGATCAAATCAATCTCCACTTTGTTAGGAGCATAAAAGCTACCTGTTGGTTCTAAGACTCCTGAGAGCATATCGACGTGAATTTTTGAAGATCGTGGCTAACATCTCTATACAATGGTCTCGACGCTTGCAATTGGGTCTGTCCTTTCGATGCTGGTTGTTTCTCTGGCTGCAGAGCTTCCAAAATCAAAGAGCCTTTTAGCAAGGATTGTCGGCGGAAAGGAGGCGTTGTTAGGCGATTTCCCTGCTATTGTTGCGATTACCAATGCTGGTAACTTAACCGGTGGTGGTATACTACTTAGTGAAAGACTGGTTCTCACTGCAGGGCATTGTGTTGATTCTAGGATACCTCTTAGGAATCTCAGTATACATGTGGGATCTTTGGTATGTTACTACCTTCAAGAAGGTAATAAGCATAATTCTCAGTTTTTGACTACAGAACTGGCGGTACGGCGGAATACATGTCAAGGTTTCATCCAGAAATATCCATCCCGATTACCATAAGCCTGAATTTGACAACGATATTGCCCTTGTACACTTGGCTTCTCCGATACCAAAGACCCCATGGGTAGATTTCGCTCAACTACCAGCTGCTGGATCAGATGTTGCTCCTAATTCAACAATTGTAGCAGCAGGATGGTATGTACTAGATTATAAAAAGGTACACGCCTGTTATACTAAGTAATAAAATAGGGGGTATACAGCTGCGAGAGGGGTGCTAAGTGAAAAGCTTCTACATACTTCATTCCCTCTTGTTAGTTATTCTGTTTGCAGTTCTGCATACAAGCAATGGAATATTACAGTGACAGAAAACATGTTGTGTGGTGGGACCAAACAAAACGCTGTGTGCAATGGAGATAGTGGAGGCCCCTGGTATGATGTCGCAACAAAGAAGCTTGTTGGAGTTACGACATGGGGGTTTGAGTGCTCTTTTCTTGGGCACCCGGGAGTAGCTCTCAAACTTGGTAATTATATCGACTGGATTGAGAAACATAGAAAGCCTCCTGGGAATGATACTAAGGGCCAAGGAGAATTTTAGAGCTATTTTTGAATGCGATAGCTATATATATATAACTACGGAGTGAACTAGGAGATAACTAAATTCAATTGCCTAGTTTCGTCTGTCTATAGATTCGAACGGCCCCAGAGTACGGAGTAATATCAAAGAATATGCATACATGTGCGGTATTCTAAGACTAAATTTACATAACTCCGTTGTATTTGTAATGTATGCTTGTCATCAGAGCTAATTAGCAGGACGTTAATCCAGCGTAGATCTGGATGTCGGATTGTAATAGGATTGATTTATAAGGGCAGTATTTGATTTGGACAAGGCTATTTACGCATGCTCCTAAAGATGAAGAGAAAGGGAGAGAGAGATTCACCACAAGGCAAGTAATGATAATCTACTGGCACTCTCGTGGAACTTCCTTGCTGCCAGTGCGAGTTGCGCCGAACTTCGCGCCGACGCCCAATTCGCGTTTTGCAAAGCCTTTCCAAATCTCACATTTGTTCTTACCACCGGTTAGATGCTTGTCAGCATCGAGAATAGCATCACGAGCCTGGACAAAATTTGGCATGCATGGTTGACTAATATCGGCGTGGTTAGCACATTGAAAGCGCCTCTGGAGGGATGGGGTTTCAACTTACATCGCCATACCATCAAGCACAAGCTTCATAGCGAGGAATTTACCATCGGTAGGGACACCATTGCGGAATTCAGGCATAGGGCCGTCATTTTTGCCATGTTTGTCAATCAAATTCCACAAGACCTCATAGAGCATAGTAGCCCAGACAGTACCAATAGCATGCACTTCCCTCAGATTATTGTTGGAAGTGTAGACAAGAGGATTTACCGAGAGATCAGTCGAATATAGATATTGACGAACGCCCTTGGGGTTATTTGAAACCCATCCACCCTTTGGATATGCTGTTTTGCGGGTATCATTGGGCTTTAGCCTGACAGCAGTGGCATAGAAATCTCCCCAGCCCTCACCCATGCCTCCGGATTCCATACCGTTCAAACAATTGGCATTATCAGGGCCCCCAGTCAAGCGGTTTGAAACTAGTGGTGGCCTGGTTAGCAGTAAAACTAAAAAGAGAAATAACTGAGCACTTACGACCATGGGTAAACTCATGAATCACTGTTCCTGCCTCAAAACAAACATCACGCGGGGGGTTGGCTCTAGTCCAGATATACATTCGCATTCTCCCAGGTCTGCCATCAGGAGGGGTTGCAAAATTTGCATTGTTTGTTCCAGAGCCATCCTGGGCATTCAAAATCACGGCATCACCTCCTTTTCCACCTTTGTTATTGTTGTTTGTCTGGAAATTTCCTGCCTTTTCATTAAAACCAAGTTTGTAAAGAAGATCATGGAACGTATTAGCACTGTAGAATAGTTGAGTGAGTGATGCATCAATGTATGTTTTGGGAGGGTTCATTGATGGTGAATATGGATATTCAAATTTAAGTGCAGGGCTGTTTGGTCGATAGTTGTTGAGATATTCATTTCCTCCACTAAAATTCTCTTGTGCTATTCCATTGTTGCCACGGGTGGTTGTGTAGTTTGTAGCCCCATCACCAATCCAGGTAAATGGAGATGTCTTAATATCCCACGGGTCTGTTAGAGTTTGAAGATTACCTTCAGTAGGATCAGCAAGACCCCATGGGCTACAGTTTGCTGTTAGCTTTTTCATAACCACTCACGCATGGAATTGCCATCGGCAGGTCAAGGTACATACTAGACTTTGTATGTGGCATGGGCAACATAATCAACGACATTGTGCACTTTGTTGCTATCTTTGGCATCAACATAGGACAAAAGCCAATTATCACCAATGTCTGTTTCTACTCGCCATGTCAAAGCTAAGGTTCCATCGGCTTTCACGATATAAACAAGCTTTGATGTAGGGTCAGAAAGGGCACCAGAAGTTCCCTGGAATGTGAACTCTTGGTCGTTGATAGCCTTGGAGGTTGCACCGTCCGCCTTGACTGGAAGTTTGAGAGCATTGATAGCTCCGCGCAAAGCCTGCATGGGGCTGGTGTAATCCTGAGTCAAGTTTGGTTTGGAGTTGGGAATTTTGCCGGTATAGAAAGAGTTGCCAAAGGAGAAGACCTTTCCATCTCTGCCAATCTATGAGGCATTGTAAGCCATAGCATGTAAGAAGTGGAACATTGGGGTATCTGGTATCTTACGTTAACATTAAAATCGGCATTATCAAGGTCAATCCCGTTTATAGTCTGTCGGAATCGAACGTGGCCCATGCCCGTATCACTAATGTAGTGATCACCCACGAGGCGGAAGGTTACCCGTTGCACGGTTTGCTTCACCAGCCGAGTCGCGACATCAACGTAGTTGCCGACAAGAGGCGCAATAGATTCGTTCACCTGCACTTCGCCCGAGTTCATGTAGTTGGATTTCTCCACCATACGGAAGGAGTCCAGATCAACGCCTCGGCGAACAACGCCAGCCGTTTGTTGAGTCAAGGCAATGGCATGGAACGGCAGGCTAAGGAGCCCAGCTGCGAGTAGAAGGCCGTGCATAGTGAACGAATATTCACGGGAATACCTATTAAAGCCCGTCTTGCTTGTTGGAGGGGATCAAGTCCGAACCATCGTCTGGAGTCGAGAGCTAGGACATGCCTTTATATCAGAGTTGCTCTTTCACGGGTCAGACGCGCATCTCGGTTCAGGATGGATAAACCAATGCCTTCATTCATGTTGGGTAATAGTAGGTAAAGGGCGGTTTGCTGCGCAAACTTCCCCGTCGTCTAGTGAGTGTCAGAGCAACAGGGGGATAGAGAATCCAGAAGATTCTCAGGGATGAGGGTCACATCTCGGGCGGTGAAGCTTGTTATATCTGAGTAAGCCAGAGAAAACCGTGTTGGCAGTGCGAAGATCACGTCTGTAGATACGACTCTGCAATGACAAAATGCGGCGTCTTTCAGGGCTAGTCCCTGGCCAAAAGTTTAGTGAGATGAGGCCAGGAGAATGTGCGGCTGGTCGAACATCAACTGGTAGCCACGATAATAATAACCATAATAACCAAGCGAACTGTATGTATGTAACCTTCCAAATTGGCTGCCCATTGATGCTGGAGCAGAAGGTCAGGGATCTGGTGATCTGCTGGGCCAGAGTCACGCTCTGTGCTGGGATTCCAGGTTATCGGCAGCAACCCGATGACGGTGACCCGACTTGTCCGAGAAAAACGCACGAATGAGGGCTGAGCCTAAAGTCAAAGAAGACGTAAGCCAGGCATCCTCGCAAAGGCCAATATCGAATCTGGCTGGGAGCAACTAGGTGCATGCGCCATCACGGACCGGGAGGGTGGTCGGAAAGGGAGAGAGGGAAGACTGCAGACGGTGACAGTCCGACGAGAGGCTGCTGGGGGGCGACCCGGCCGACTGTGCTGGCTCAGCAGCCAAAGAGCAAGAGCCGGTCATCGGGGCATGATATAATATCCAGCTGTTTATTATCCAGGTATGCGGAGAATGTTTCTGTTCCGCTCAGCTGTTAGGCGCACCTCCGTAACTATGCTTCTGCCGTTTATTCTAGCCAGGGCGGATATTGCCAACCCTATTATCTGCAGTCTTCTTGAAATTGGGTTTCCTTGGGATGAACGCTGGGAAACTCTTAGTTCTTGATGCCGTGTCTTCACTTCGCCATCTTTTACATGATCACAATTGCCCATGATGCTAAAGAACTGCTATGTCTAATACACCATGCTGACCACAAAAGGCATAAACCGGGCTTGACCGAGCGGGTGGGAGACGGCTGAGCTTATGATGGAGCGAAAGAAAATATTTGCAGGTGCAACAAACGAGATGGGCAAGAGGTCTATATCACTTCACGTAGGCGTTCTGACTCCCCTACTGAAGTTACCCTATGAGCGGCATCCTACGAGCCGTACACACACACGGATGTTGTTAGGAAGTAAAAGTGCTCCGCTGCCCCCGGTGCGATGTTCAGCCGCACCCGGAGTACATTATCGAGTGTTCTTGACCTTATTTCGTCACGGTTAGAAAGACATTGTTCCTAGATTCTGATTTGACAGTTCTACCCAAGTCTATCTGGCGAGTATTTTTGTCTAAGTAAATGATACCAAACCTGAAGGCTTCGGTATGCTTCTCGAATCTGGTGTCAGATTACTTCCTGCGAACAATGTCTCCTATCATCCGGCACTGAGGAATGATGCAGATTTCCTGTTCGCTAAGGAACAGGCTCTCCTATTGATGATATATTCAATCTAGTCATAGACCATCGGGAGCTCCCCAGTTCCAAGCATCGTAGGCCATGTACTATCAAAATCTTAATATGAAGCCCGAATAAATGAATAAGCCACGGCAGGTATAAGTGATGATTCGCCTTCGTGATCTGGTGCTGTGGATCTTTGTCTCATTGAAATTGAAACTTATTGACCTGAATGCTAGCGTCTTAGTTCGCCCTATCTTGACTGCATCCTCACAGAATGCTAGTCACTCGCCTAAAAGAATGGCCATGGCTGGGACCTTACAACCTAAGGTACTACTTACCTACATTCACCATAAAACACATACAACCTAGCTAATCAGTACGCCATTGATTAAATGATCTACCGTTAATGAGGTTGGCAGTCTGCATCAAAGGTATTTTTGAGGACGAAAGTAGTACTGTATACCCCCGCTATTTTTCCCTTAAAAAAAAAAAAGCTTCAAGCTGAATGCCAGGGATACTGGCTAGTCAAGTATAGAGTAGTAGCCGGTGAACAACAATAGGTAATGCTGAAGGGCGCGGGGTCAAGGAGCGGCCTTCTTTTTGACGGAGTTGCTAGCACTTGGGCTTTGTCTAAAGGGGGCGTCGGGTATCTGTTTTTGAGGGTGCAGAACATTTGAAAATTCCTGGTGAAAAGAACGCGGTGTTTCTGGAGAGGCATAGCGGTGACGGAGATTGACAAGATTTTAGCGGCTATCGGATTTCGGAAAATTATAATTGCGTAATAGAGTTGCCGTAGCTACGCCAAACCTTAACCGACACTAGTTATCACGTGTTGCGTCGCGTCTAGCGGGATCATTATATCTCCGTGCCGATGAAGTATCCCACCAGCGCTTCATGACACTATGGAATACTCCGTACATCACGGCTTAACACCCGCAATAGGATAGACCTAGAAGGCGAATAAGGGCAAAAGTGCCGCAATTACGTAGGAGCGACCAGTGTTTTCTTCCCAGCAGTGACTTCTTTCGCAGGTGCCCCGCCTAGACTCGTATCCGTTAGGTGGTCGCGTCGAATCGTATGCGGGGAACAAAGATCGAATTTCCTGTTGAGCTCCCTGTTGCCCCTCGCGGCACCACCAAGAAGCAAACAACCATATTCCATCTCCGATTTCTAGGCTGCGACAATGACACCTCCAGCCATTATAGCACCCTCGATCCTATCCGCAGATTTTGCAAATCTCGGTGCGGAATGCTCCAGTCTGATTAAAGCCCAGAGCGACTGGATCCATGTCGACATCATGGATGGTCATTTCGTTCCTAATATTACCTTTGGGGCGCCGGTTGTTTCGAAGATCCGGGCACACGTTGATCGCCCTCCGGTTGCTGGCAAGAAAGGCACGTTTGATTGCCATATGATGATTGCCGAGGTGAGACCTAGATTGCCTACATTTTGGCTTCCTTGGGGGCTACTCCTCCCTTCAACTGCTCGATAACGCTAACTGCGTCTTTGCGCGGGCCCTCCAACGCTGCCCTGGCGTTGTATCTAGGGGCCCTAATGCTGAAATATAGCCACAAAGATGGGTTAAAGATTTCAAAGATGCAGGCTGCGACCTTTACTGCTTTCACTGGGAGGCAGCGACGTCATCCACTGCCGCCAAAACACCGGCTGATAAAGAAACAACACGGAAAACGAGCCCGAAGGAATTGATTCGCTACATCCATGACATGGGAATGCTGGCTGGGATTGCGCTCAAACCGGCCACCTCTGTCGACGTGCTGTGGGAGATATTAGAAAACCCAGTGGAAACTGAACGACCAGATGTGAGTTTTGCATTCCCCCCGGCTCTCCTAGGCTACGGTCTTTCTTGATAACGTGGTTTCTAAACAATTTTCGTACGGCTAATACAGATGGTCTTGATAATGACTGTTGAACCCGGGTTTGGAGGCCAAAAGTTCATGGCTTCGGAGCTTCCCAAAGTCCAAGCTTTAAGAAAGAAATACCCGGAAATGAATATTGAAGTAGATGGTGGGCTCGGCCTAGGAACCATTGACCAAGCTGCCAATGCAGGTGCGAATGTTATTGTGGCCGGTTCTGCAGTCTTTGGCGCAAAAGATCCAGCAGAAGTCATTGCAAAATTACGAGAAGCTGTGGAAAAGAGGAGGGGTTGTTGATCGAAACACATTAGTAAGATCATTTGCAGAAGATCTACCACGATGAAGTAAACAAGAATTGTCAAAATTCCAGGCTATAGATTGTCACGGTTGCATCCATCCTTTGGGGTGACTGAAGAAACAGACTCTCAGTCCCTACACGTATCTGGCGACAAAAAGTCGGATTGCGGAATTCTTTCTTCTATGATCTATTATAGATATTTATATTTACTATTCGAGTTTTAGCATCGAGCATTGCAATTCTAGGACTCCTCACAGCCCATACAGCGGCATGGCTATCATTGGTACTCTGCATCAAGTCCTCAAGCGTAGGGCGCTTATCGTAGGGAGGGGGGATGAAAGAGTTCACGCCCAATTAGTTGGCTGATCTCTTTACAGGCTGGCGCCCTCGTAATCTTCGGGGGGTGAAGTTGGAAATACACCTTGGCCTGTTATAACGAAGCTTCACACTGCGACGCAGAACTAGCTTTCGGGCAGTAGTACTTTGACATACTGAGCCCCAGGCTTGAAGCGTCAAAACAAAACCTCTCCACTATGTTCGGCCTCAAACCCTAGAGATTGGAGCTTTCCACTGTGGCGTTTGTCCTGCTGTTTTCGTTCTGCATCTTCCTTCTTTTTCAATTCCACTACCTCTGAGAATTCTACTTGGCGGTAAGGCTCTGGAATGTTGTCCTCTCGGTCAAGATCCTATATGTTACTTCAGTCAGAGCCAGTTAACCACCCATGGGAACTCAAATATAGACGCACTATCTCTCCAAGGAGCATGACATTCTCCCCGCGAACAAGAAACACTCCCCGACTGACTTCTCCGTATACATTTCCAGCATAGACTCGTTCTACAGTGTCTTGAAGAACAAGATTTGCTAGAAGCGCACAAACAAAAGGTCAGACATTTTGTCAGCGTGGGTGAGCACCAGGTCTGCCAACTTACCAAACTGGTCCCAGGTCCGTAGAACTCCGATCAATTTACGACCATCACGAAGGATCAAGACAAGTTTCTCTGGAATTTCCCCAAAGATGAGAGCCATGTCAGCAAATTATCAACAGCCCGCAAAATACCAATCAGCCAAATGCTTGTCCCAAGGTGTTGATGCATGGTCTTTGCAGGATCGCTTCGGCCATTCGCAACGGTATCGATAACAAGAATAGAGGAAGGTATATCTCACTATCAGTTAGATCAAGAAGCTGTGCGGCGGTTGTAAAAAGCTGTGGAGGTAGTTGTGGGGGGCCTTGAGCAGGTAGTACGGGGCCTGGGTGGTCCATCGTATGTGGGTGAGGGGGAGACGGATGTGGTCGAACGAAGGCGACAGTGTCGGCGAGTAAGGAATTAGGATGAGCACCGATACTGTATTGTGATCATGATGCGAAACACCTTGGGAGATAAGCGTAGGTCAGACCGGGGAGTTTCCCGCTCAATGTGAAAGCTCGCCCGCAATGATTCTTAGGTATCGTGATGGAGTTTATTCGCCTCCCCACGAAGTTCGCGGAGGCATTGTTTATCCGACCCGGACTAAAAGGGGCGCCTAGAAAGGGGTCAATTTCAACAACGGCTTCAAGATGCGAACTACTCCGTACAGAGTACAGAATATTAACATTTCCATACGATACAGGTAGTTATACAACCAGCTGACCAACTTAGTGCTTGTGCGGCTTGTCCTGTTTACTTAAGGAGGCAAGGCAACCCTCACGGAGATCTTCTTTTCGAACCGTGCTGCCTGGCGATGATATACCCCGTACTCCGTATACATTTAGCGCTTCCTGAAAAGACTACCAACCCAAAGAACTGTAGTGGGAATTCTTACTACGTCCAAGTCACGATGCAGCAGTCAAAACTGAAAACGATTGTCTTGCATCCTTTACCCGGGGGTAAGTGGCGATTCTCTTTATATTATATTGAAACCATAGCTAATAATTAGGTACTTAAGGGAATTGGCTATCCAAATTATGGAACATAAAATTTAAGGCAACCCTGCGCCAGCATAGCGTTCTGTCGTGGGCCTCATTATTCATCATCGTCTTTGTGCGGGCCTTCTATACCCCTGGCCCCTATTAGATTATTGTGCCTAGCAGATGGTCGATTCAATTCAGCAGCCAGTACTTTTTGACCTCAAAGCTGCCTTTTCTTCAACCGACGCTCACGCCTGCTGCTAGCATTATAAAAAAAGTCTTCATAAGTTGGAGCAACACTCGCACACTGGGCAGTATCTACTGGGGCTTCATTTTGTATCAGCCTCAAGTCCTCAAGAGATACAATGCCTTTGCAGTATAGATAATGCATGAGCTCGAACCCGGGAGAAGTTCCAACCAAAGTTTGACCTTGCTGGGTATGCTGCGTGACGATGTGGTCTAACAGCCAACTCCATGCCTCCCCCTCCCTAGCACCATGGAATGACTTTTTGCAGAGCTGGCATGTCACGCTTAGTGGGATAGGCTGCGATTTGAAATGCCCAGTGACGTGAGCTTTCCAGTCCGCGACATTATCGCTGATTTTACGGCAACCAAGTAGATGAAAAATGCAATGTGAGATGAAAGCTTTTTTCGCCTCGGGAGCAATGAGATTGTCATTTTCGTCGGGATAGAGGATATTCTGTGCGTTGATATCACTTGCCCGGTCGGTATTTAGGGATGCTGAATATGGCGTTGACACCGAGACACCCGCTAGAGACGGCACTGTTCGCGGAACAGATACATCATACGTGGATGCCCTACTGCTCGCATAATCACCTCTTTGGACTCTCAGGGATGCTTGTCTTCGATGAGTGGTCGTGCGTACATAACGATCATTCCGGTTTGCAGTCGGATTTGCTGGGGTAGGACCGAGTGAGTAGGATGACAGTCTGTCGATGAAATCCCCTGGTCGATTCCTCGCCCAGTTGTTTAAAGAATAAAGCTGATCATGGGGCACTTCAAGAGATAGTCAGCTCTAAGAATTTCCTAGTACCATTGCTGCATAGTGTTCACATACTTTTTGATCTAGGAAAAGAAGTACGCCCGAATACTGACACCCTCACCAGGAACCCTGCTCAGGAATTTTCACACTTGGATCCCACTAGTACTATGAAGAACTAGAGGCTGCATTGCCTTGCATTGAATCATTGCACAATTTTAGGTCCTTTTTATAATGGAACCCGGACGCTGCCCCGAGTTGAGGCTCTTCTGCTGCGCCATATACTTTCTCGAGTCAAGGGATCACATCCCTGAACAACCCTGTTTGCGCCATTGATACGATAATGGCCAAGTCGTAGGGTGACACGTTTCCCCATACTTGCATACAATATCATGCTCAAGGTTCACCGGGGTTCATTCTCCCCGCCGGTTCTGGACACTCGGTAGAGTGGCTAGTGGAAACGCTAGTTCATGGTATTTCTTCTCCATATTGCCTGGAACGACACACCTCATCGTATCGCAGTGCTACACTACTTCATTAACCGACTGGTGGAGTGAAGTTGGTCTAAATGTCGCCTGCAGGCCGTTCGTACGCATCGGATTACAGATCCAACTTTTTGGTCTTTGTATGCACCGTCAATACTGATGTAGCACCTGTTGATAGGCCAATTCCTCTATGCTGTTGTCTATTCGCTGCTATACGATCGCTGCAGAGCCTATTTGTCAAGGCGGATGGGGCTCAGCATCTACGCGCCGCTCGAATCGTGTATCCCACCCACCGCATTTGTCTTATCTGTGCGGAATTATCCTTAGTAAATCAGTGCTATTGACAAAGCAAGCAACAGGGATTCTATGCTTCTACCAACCTAGCATTACGAAGCGGAAAGAATCGCCGTCCCAATTTGAACATTCACTTCTACCTCTCTGCGCTGCATCCTGGGAGGTGGAAGTGTGAAGGAGTGAGCTGTCCATAAAATGGGGCTCCTCAGGCCTGCATGGGCTCCATTTTGTTTGAACATATAACTGGACAAAGCGCCGACGGCGCCGGCTCTCTGCTTGAACAAGAAGGCCAAGTTCTTGATGCGCGCCGAACAGTCGGGTCGCCATCGCGTTATAATCAGACGAGAAACGAAAAGGGAGATGATCGCTCTGCTCCCGGTTAAACTCGGACTTGAAGCGGTTCTCGGTCGGCCGTAACGGCGCAGAATAGCTCAAAACCGCGGTTTACCAATTTTCACGATTGCATGGCGTCCATTTAAACTGCGACTGGGAGCCCCATTTTCCCCGCAGATGCATTTTTCCGTTTCCGCTGGCTTACGACGCTTTTGACCCAAGAGTTAAACAGGGTAAGGCCAATCATCCTGCATATTGTTGGCGTTCATACCCGTATGCACCCCAATGTTGAGATCCATAAAAGGTGCCATGCTGTGACGTTGTCCAACTATTTTATTCAACTCTAGCAAATTGTTGTTCTATCTCTGCGCCTAAAATGCAACTATAACTAATCGTTCAAATCAGTTCCGCCACATTTTGCGTGGCATTGGGACCACAGCAAAAATAAAAGCAAGTAACCAACGTCTATCTGGCAGGGCACATATGCAATCATTCAGACATAGCATCGTACGACGATCTACTCTCACTATCTGCGCGCAAGATTGCCACTGCGGCATCTGCGGCTCTTGTCTCGGCCTCGATGCCACTTACTCCATCATCGATACGTACAATCTCTTTGTCCGCAACCCAAACAGTGCATTCCCATCGTTCACCCTCCTGGTCTCGTACAGACTTAGTTTCGTAACGCACTGGGAGAGTGTTCGCCAAATGGCCCAAGCGTTGTTTTGGATGCATGAAATCAATGTCCTCGGTTAAGACCCGTTCAAGGTAGCTCATGAGGCCAATACGCTGAAGGAAAATTCGACATGCGTCCATGGAGCCTCGAGAATCAATAAATATGGCACCGAGTATGCTCTCTATGATATCAGAAAAGAATTTGGCGGCACTCAGGCGTGAGAGTAGTGACCAGGGATACGTTTGCGAGGAGCAAAGTTGTTGAGTGATGTCAATGCCAAAGTCTTGGTATTGCTTCGTGGCACTCTGTTGGGCCTGAGATATATCCCAAGACACTGCGTGACGCATGAATGTCCAAAGATAAGTTTTCTGCTTTGTCATTTCAATCGTAATTTTTCTACTGGCGCTCCCGAGCACTTCCCCTCTGTCTAGCTCCACATACGTGTTCATGCACAGGAAGGCTAGGAAGTCCGCATTGACCAATGCCGTTCGCATGAGATGCATATCATAGTGAGCAAACTGTCTCGGCGAGTTAAATAATGCCTCCACTATAATATTATCCAAAACAGCATCACCCACAAACTCTAGCCTTTGGTACGATTGCCCCGAAGTTCTGCTACTCGGGTGTGTCACAGCAGCCAAAAGGAGGGTTCTTTTTAGAAATTTATAGCCCAAGAGCCTTTCCAGTTCCGGTAGAATACCCCAGGCATCAAAAGAATCATCTGCTTCATCATTGAGTCGTGTAACACACTCATCAATTGAACACCAATTGATGTCAGAAAGAAATATTTGTAAACAGCGTAATGCTTTTTCATGCCCACCATCGACGCTAGCTGCACCAATCAGAGCCTCGACGACATCCGCCAACACCTTGGTTGACATTTCTCTCGAAGACGCGACAGCGGCATCTGAGGCAGTGAAGTCCGTGTTGTATGATGGTCGCCATTTGGCACCACTGAAAGGCTTTGTAAGAATAAACTTGTCCAATTGCGCTCTTACTGCAGCTTTTGCAAGATAACCATTTGAAACAATCAAACTTTTCGTGTTTGACAAAAGGCCTTCGGGCCAAAAAGGGTTCTGCGCTGCAAGCGAGAGTGAGGTGTATAATTTCAGAAGGCTGTCGCCAAAAAATTCTAGGCGCTGGTAATTGGAAGCTTCTCTTGCCACGGATGAGCTGATTGCCGTTAAAACCAAGGACACGTCATTGAACCTGACGGCACTCAAGAGCGTTTGAGCTAGCTCACCCGCAATTAGGTAGTTCTCAACATTATGGATTATACAGGGAATAAACAACGTGAACTGGCTGTAATGAGCTGGCAGTTTGTCAATAAAACAATCTTTGGCCGCGTGGCAGCATTTTGCAGTGTGGTGCGATTTTGAGGTATCCAAATTTGCTAGTGGGTGCAAAAAGTCTGTTCGTTTCGGCCAGGTTAAACCCTCAATATGAAGTATCTGGTCCCCATTTTTTTCATCTGTATCGACACCATCAACTTTCTCTGGGGCGTATTCTCGCCATATGTACTTTTCGAATACGCAGGGGCGAGATCTAGAATCAAGGCGTCTCACGAGGCCGAGATTTTCAAGATCAGTAGGATTCTGTTCTACAGAACCGCTGAGATTAATGGTTCCCGTCACGGATTCACACCACTCTTTAATCGAGATATCGGTTAATTCTACCGGGGGAACGAATAGCCAAGAAAAATCTAGATTATCGGATATCATCTTTTGAGAATATAGAGACGAAAGTAAAATAGAAGTTGTGGTGGCAGCGTGTTCGATGAGCTCCGCGCTAAATCTCTGGTTGTCATGTTTGACAGAAACGACCATAGTTGTTTCTTCATTCCAGAAAAGTTTGAACGAAAAATCACAGTGCAGTTTTGCTGGAAGGATCAATGTCATCGGTGGAAACTTTTGGGAGTCAGTTTGTATGTCGACAATAAATGTATAGAATAACTGTTTATTTTGCCAAATACGGGCCATTTTAGCCCAGGGGTTGTAGATATCAGACACCATTGCGAAACTTGGCCGCTTTTCGATTTGTTGTTCAAAGTCTTCGTCATCTTTACGACGATGGGCTGGCATTAGATGTTCATTAACTAGTCCAGCTTGGTACAATGCCACGTATGCTTGGAAGGCCGCATCCCTTTTGGCCATTTTCTCGGTTTTCCATACATGGACGCTATGAAAAACTCGCAGCTTCGGGTCAACAAAACTTGGTAGGACAACTTTCGCCGACCTTGTTGTGTTGCTTTCTATGGTAATGAAAAAGTCCGGCTCTGCAGCAGTGAATTCCCAAGAATGGGTGGCGCAGAAATGAAAGAGGTGGCTTATCACATTTTCAAACGTGAGAAGCGCCCTTAAGTAAGTTAGTAGTGTAAAAGAATAACACCAGGGTATGCCCTTACCCTGTTGATTCAATTCTGAAGTTATCAGAGCTTGACTCCTCAACGTCTTCTAAAATGCGGAGTTCTTGAAGCCTTTGTTGATTTTCAAGGTATAGTTGTTTCACTGCGTCTTCCATTGAATGCAAGTCTTTGATGGTTAAGACATCACTGGAACTCACAAAGAGAGCAAACTTAGAGTCTTTCTTTCTTGCTCTTCCTCTTCGCTGAATGTAAGATCGTAAATCGCTGGGAAGATCAAAACAAACAACAACATCACAGACAGGTATATCAATACCCTCTTCAAGAACAGCAGTTGTTACAATAAGATTGATTTTCGCAGTACGGAGGTCGGTAATAGTGGTCTTTTGCTCATTAGACTTATGTAGCTCTGTGATATCAGACTTTCGAGACATATACGCTGAGTTTCCCAGAAACGCCGCCGCTCGAATGTGTTCCAGATGAGGATGCATCTTAATTAAGTGAGCAAGCATAGTGACTGTGGCTCTTTCTTTTGCAAATATTATTCCAATAGAGCTCTCATTGTGCTCCTTTTGCAGAAACGTGATCAGACGGCGACATTTTGTCGAAATTTCCTCCGGTACTGTATTCAAAATGTCCCTTTGGTGATTCATCGGTATCTTGAGGAGAGCTTCGGATATATACAGATCGTCTTTTTTATCCCAATCTGACCGGTTACTTTCAAAGATATCTATATTTTTGTCTTTAAGCTGTTTTATGCATTTTGCAAGGAAGGTGTCCGCAGCCCAAGGGCCAAGCTCCTGAAGAAGAGTGGAAAGGGTGTTGCGACATCGTCGCAGCTGGTTCAGACAGGGTGTTTTGTTATTTGCCATAGCAGTGGAGAGCTTTTGCCTACTCCTAGCATCATCCCTCTGTTGCATAAACTTGACATAAGGGTCATTCCAAATATCAAGGCGATTTATGATCTCGTCAAGATTGTCGGATGTAGATGGATAATTAATAATATCTATTTGGTATTCAATGTTATAAAATTGAGGCAAATGCACGTACTGCATCATCTCATCCCGATGAATCTTTGGGGTCACACAGGTAGCATTCAGATTATCTTCCAGAGTCCTATAATTGAGTTAGGGTCATAGAATCTAAGGGTATGCACGATATAAACGGGGTGAGATAAGGTACTTGAGATAGGAGCGGTCAGCTTTGGTAACGGGGCTTGCAGTGAGGCCCAGCACATGTGGCAAGTCCTCCTTTCCTCCCTTCTGTTGCAAGCCATAATGGTAGAAATCTCGCATAATCTTGTTTGCAGGGGCATTGCGGATACAGCGGTGCGCTACACGTGTAAGCAGATGATACCAGGAAAAAACGGGATTGACGGATATGGACAGTACCTTCGTCAAAAACAAGCAATGCTATACGGTTCAATTGAACGAAGCCATTGGATAATGCATCCAGCAACACCTGAGGTGTTGAGACGAGAATCCGGATATTCAGGAGGATACCATCCCAGATTTTCTTGGTGGACCAGTGGTCGACATTGTCGGCTCCTGTTAGGATCCGGGCCTGGAAGGCTGGTAGCTGCGCGGTGATAACGGAGTATTGTTGTTCAGCGAGCGCAACTGTGGGCGCCAGGAACCAGACAAGCTGCTCTCTGTAAGTATCGTATGTACGTATAGATTGGGCCCCGCCGACAGACAGGGCGCCAAGCGCCTTACCTTCTGAGGGGAACAGGTGGCCAACTCCTTTTCTATGCGAAGAATGGCACTATAAATGCATATTAGATGGTGAACGAAGGTGTTCTGCGGGTGGTTGACACCGACATCTCTGTTTTACCGCTTCCAGTGTCCATCTAATACAAGGTCAATATAAGACAACAATACTAAATAGACAGACTTACGGCCACGATGACGTTACCTCCTAGACTAGCATCCAGCATCTCCAGCTGATAGCTCCGCGGAGCACGCGGACGCGGCTCCTCCGCTGAGATGGCGGCATCGTTAAGCGTTGAGGCCGGAGGCATCTTGGGAGCTTTCTCGACCTTTTGCCGCTTTGAGCTCCGCTCATCTTCCATTCTCTCGGACATCGCAAGGCAAGCTGGGGGGGGTGTAGATGCATCTTCAGCAAGACAGGCATGGTCTTGTCAGAGGCCGTTTTGTGGGCGGGAGGTGCCGCCGCTTGTTTGCTGCGTCGTTGACCTGGCAGCCCCGCGTTTGATTTGACGTCGTTGGGTTGCGAGATGTCACTAACGGCTGAACCCTGGTTCCCCCACTGCATGCAACAATCCTTGGATGGGCATACTTTTATACAAGATGTTTACATCTACAGAGAAGCTGACTTAAGGTTGTACCAGCAGGTAATGACGGTTGTTTGAAAGTTCAAGAGAGGGCGAGGGCAGTAGAATTGACGTGGTCTATTTGACGCTGGTATATTCCCGTGCATCTAGTGCCCGAGGTCTGTCATTACATACAAAAGCTTGCGGATGACGCCGGATGCAGCCTATCATAGGTTGGTTAGGTAGTCCTCAATTTCCTCCTTGGTCAGTTTTCGGAACCTGGGGCCTCTAGCACCTTCTACTCCTTCAAAGCCTAATAAATGGTCTGCGGGTGGCCCAACAATCCCTAAACAACTGTTAGGTGCGCTCATAGGTGGTGGTAGTTGCACACTCACCGATTTCAATAGTGTCGCCATTCATCTCCCCCTCGATAGTCTCTTTCAGGGTAAGCAAGGCGATATGTACGGCATCTTCAAGCTCTAAACCCTCTGTGTAGCGCTTCTCGAGGAACGTCTTGGCCGATGTTGCGCTCTTGCCAATTGCAGTGGCCTTCCAGGGAAAATAGCTCCCGCTGGGATCAACCTGATATAAGCTGGGGCCGCCTTTCAAAATGCCTCCCGTCTTGCCTGACGCTTTTTTCTTCTCCGCCTCTGTTTGGCCTTCTTGGGCTTCTGGCGTTTCTGGCTCAATACCCTCGTCCCAACCAGCAATGAGCAAGCTCACTCCATATGGCCGCACGCCACCTGACTGCGTGGCTTCCTGCACCACTCGCGCAACATCTTGTACAAGTATTCTCGTGGGAGGATATTCGTTGTAAATTCGTTTGTAGCTGGTGTGTGAAGTCTTGCGCGCTTTGTCTACGAGCACCCTGTAGTCTGGGCCCATGCCAGAGTATACCATACCGATATCGGGCGTGATCAGGGAGATCTTCGAGAGTGAGGTGGGATCGATCAGCGGTGATGAGGATTTTTTCTCCGTAGCAAGCACAACTCCGTTGGTGGCTAGACAGAGACAATCAGCGAGAAACGTGCGGGCCGTTGCAGGTTGCTACCTTTGATTCCTAGCGCCGTCACACCTTGGTTGACGGCATTTAAAGCATACTCTGCTCGAAGTTAGCAAAGGCAACGCTTGCTGGGTAGCCATTGGGGGTACTCTACCAATCTGCACAAGCTTCCCACTATATAGATGTCAGATACCAAGCTGCTAGACCGTCAAATGCTATAGGGACCATGCACGTACCTAGGGGAAAAGGTAGTCAGAGAAAACGAGTATCGGTCGGCCATTGTCCCGAGTGCAAAGACGGAGTACAAGAAACAACAGAAGGAAGAAGGATGGTCGTCGGCGTCGTGATGGTTGAACGAGACGGAGCTCCAGCTTTCAGGCAGAGGCGTGTACGTCGCGCGCAGGTAGCAAGATTAGCCGAGCGCGTAATCCTGCCGTTTACAGAAGCTGCCAACAAACGCGGCTTTTTCCCTCCAGAATCTTCCGCGCCGTCGCCCGCCCCTTATAAAGAATGCCTCTGCCGCACAGCTTCACCACGGCTCTGCTGCTCTCACCACGCGATGCTGCTGCTGGTTGAGCCGGAGACATGCTTCTTCTGGCCGTGCTTTTTTGGTCCCGGATGAATTTCTGAATCTCTTGATTTGCTCCCCTGTTGTTTTTCCTCCACGGCTCCCAGTTCTCATGGACCGCCCCAGCGAGCAGCGCAGCACACCGTCGTGGCACTGGCCCGAGGCGGCGTCGTCGTCGTCTACCGTTCCCGGTAGCTATGAGACTCATTTCGACCGGCCGCCCAGCCCTGCTGCTGAAGCCGCTGGCAATCCCAATAATAATCATAATAACAACCCAAAAACCTACCCCTCCAGAACATGCAGGATATGCTTAGAGACCGTTCCTCCCACGTATCATCCCGCGTCGGAGAACATTCCTTCCTTCCTGCAAGCCGGCCCGCGTGTCAGCTACGACTCAGAAGACCCCTCACTCGGGCGCCTGATCCGGCCCTGCAAGTGCAAGGGCTCGTCGCGGTATGTCCATGAGGGATGCCTACGGCAATGGAGGCACGCCGATCCGGGCTACGGGCGGCGCAACTACTGGCAATGCCCGACGTGCGGGTTTCAATACCGGCTGGAGCGCATGGCCTGGGGCCGATGGATTAGCAGCGCGTCGAGCCAGATTCTCGTGACGGTGGTGATATTAATGTTTGTTATGTTTGCGCTGGGATTTGTTGCTGACCCGATCATCAACCTCTACATTGACCCCTATGATACCATTATTACGTCCACGGCCTTTTGGGATAAGGACGCCGATCCCCACATTATTGCGGTGGGAGGCGCTAAAACCTGGACAGAACATTTCGTTAAAGGATTGGCATCCTTGGGAGTTTTGTCTTTCCTGAAGGTTGTGTTCGCCCTATCGCCTTGGCAGTGGTGGAATTTACGCAACTCAGGCCTGCTGGGAGGTGGCCGCGGGGGCCGCCGAGGCGGCGCGACCGGCAGAGATAGGGTTGCGTCCATTAGCTGGCTTGTTATTGTTATTGGCGTGGCCACATTTCTTTGGGTACCCAGTCGTTATCATTCCCTCTATATGGATGGTGTTGAGGCTAATGTTTCTTGGGGATAATATAGGGTGTTTACAAGGGAGTTCGGGCGTGGAGCTGTCGGGTGTTGGAGAGTGCTGGGCAGCGCGTCATGGATGTTTCATTAGACGAGGATGATGATGATGATGATGATGACGACGAAGATGCCGACCGGGACGGTGTCTCTCGTGGTCAAGACGATTCCTCGAAAAAAGACGACTAGCCCAAGTCTACTCCGTACATTCCGCACCATTACCACACTAGAATTGTTCAAGTTCGGTTCGTGGAATCCAACGGTGACTACGGAGTATTAATGTCTTATCCTTCGGCGCACTGCTTTGAGTTGCCATGTCCTGCCAATGATGTGTCAATCAGTCGATGTGCGCAGAGCAGCGGAACCTTTGTTAACCGTCGCCCGGAAGGTTGGCGTCTTGATCGGTTAGCGTTTTGCTTTCTCGGGATGGCAGCCTTCGCCTTTTTCATTTTTTGCGGAAGGTTAGGGCGATGGAGAAGTGTTTGGTCTTAATATCGACAACCATGGTTGGATTCCCGGTCAGTCGACGGGATGCGACTTCGTCGAGATACGATACATACATTCGTGCAGTGACAGCGCGGTGAGATTGGCTAGGTGTATATGAGAAACAATGCTACGGAGTACTCCTACTCTTTTTTTTTTTTTTTTTTTTTTTTGCCTTCCACCTTCTCTATATTCTGGCAGGAAGGAAATAATGATAATAATGCACATGGGGCCCGACCATCAATCAGCCCTAAAGCAGACCCAACGCCTCGTAACTCCTGGCAGGATCGGGGGCCCTGTTCAGCGATACTCGGACCCACAGTCGCCCATATCGCGGAACACGTCATCCCTCCGGCTCTGGGACAAGACCAGCTCGATGTGGCGGCGATCGTCGTGGTCCAGCGACCAGCCGTACGCGGCCAGGTTGTCGCGGATGTGGTGGCTGACGCCCATGCGCGCGCCCACGATGACGGCGCCCACGAACGGGAAGTCGAGCACCCAGCGCACGGCCACGGTGGACACCGACACGCCGTGCTTCGCGGCGATGGCGGCCAGCGCGGTCAGCAGCGTCTGGAACAGCGGCCAGCCGCCCCAGATGGTGATCATGTCGAGATACTGGAGGCGTCTTTCAGCGCGCACACGCGGACCCGGGGGGAGGAGGTGGGACGACGTACCTTGCGCAGACTGGGAGTCATTCCTTCAGCAAAGGCATCGGGGGCGGGTTTTCCCCGCCATTTGTCGGCCAGGAAGCCGCCGCACTGCGCTGAGGGTTAGTGGGTGGTGGTGGTGGTGGTAGGGGTGTGGGGGGTGCAGGGGGGAAGGGGACAAGACGGACCAGCGTGCCGTAGGTCAGCAGCTTGACGTTGTGGGCGCGGCAAACGGGCTCCATGGCGTACCTGGGGCGGGAGTCGATCAGCGAAAACTATTAATATTATGGGTTCGCAGGAGTTAGCCGGGCCGATGAGTACCGCGGGGTAGAGAGAGAGAGACTGTTGACTCTGGGGCCCTAATTACATACCTGGACCTGGTTCGTGGCGACCGCGATCCCCGCGTCGATCACCTCTTGCATGCGCAGCGAGTCGAAATTGCACAGGCCCAGCGCGGCCACGCGGGCGTCGGCCTGCAGCGCACGCAGGGCGGGGATATACTGCGGATCGTCGTACTGCCGTGGAGTCAGCGTACAGATTCAGGCCAGGCCAGGCCAGGCCAGGCCACGACGCGGACGGAGAGGCGGGTGTGAACGTACGTGCTGCCAGTGGTACTGCAGCAGGTCGACGGCGTCGGCGTGGGTGTTGCGCAGGCGCGCGGCCACGGCGTCACGCAGCACGGCGGCGGTCTGCGGGCGGCGGGCGTCGAACACGCAGTACTTGGTGGCGCAGAAGACGGCGGCGGGGTCGGGCTGCGCGGCGCGGAATCGGCCCTGTTGCGAGCGTGCGGCGGCGGCGGCGGGTTGGGCTCCGGTCATCTATATCGCGAGCGAGAGGCAGGGGGGGGGGGGGGGGGGGGCAGGCTCACAAACAGCAGCTCGGCGTCGCCGTAGTGGTCGGCCATGTCTGGAGGCAGCGTCAGTTATATCAATCATATCAGTCAGCCAGGAAAGACGCACCAAAGGCCGTGAAGCCGGCGTCGACGTATCGCGCAAAGTCGGCCAGGATGCGCGAGCGCGGCGCGGAGCCCCAGGCCGGGCTGGAGAGCTGCCACAGGCCCACGAACAGGCGCGGGACGGCGCGGCCGGCGAGGACGAAGGTCTCGTGGGCGGGGGTGTCTGGGGCGGCAGACATGATCTGAGATTGAGATACAGGCGGCGGCGGCGGAGCGAGCGAGCCAGGTAGGATGGGGCTGGCTGGTCTTAAGTAGACGGCCACTCGCAGAACTCATAAGGTACTCCGCACCCGCGCTCGTATTCTGTTTAGGTGGATGGATGGGCCATGGATGGATGGAGGGAGGGCCAGCTTGAGTCGCCGGGCGTTGTGCAGTTGTTCTGTGAGAGCCGGCAGAGGTATATTCTCCCGCTAACAGGGCGAGAGAAGACTTATCCGCCGCTCGGCATCCGTGCCGGGCCCGCAACGGCGGCATCGCGTCGGGCGGCCAAGCGGGCAGCACCGCCGCCCAGATATATCTCTCTTGCTATATATATAGATACGCGGCCGGTGGAAGGCCGGCGAGTCGTCATGGTATTTACATGCATAAGTCAGATAGTCTCGCTCAAGCCGTCGGTCCCCCCGTGCCTCTTCTTCTCCTCCTCCCCTTGGGCCTCGAGCAGGTCGCGCAGCATGTCCTGGCCGCGCTCGAAGGCAAACTCGCAGTGCTGGGCGCGGTGCGCGGCGTGGCTGGCGGCGAGGCAGTGCTGCAGGTCCCGCAGTGCGGCCATGGTCTGGGCGTCGGAGGGGTGGTGCTGCTGCTGCTGCTGCTGCTGGGTGCGCACGGCGGTCAGGGCCTGCACCAGGTCGGCGTCGACGGCGGCCAGCGTGTCGAGCAGCGGGGATTCGTCGTCGTCGTCGTCGTCGTCGTCGTCATTCTTGTGGTCGTGCCGGCGACGCAGCAGCAGCGCAGCGGCGTGGGTGACGATGTCGGCGATGAGCGCCAGGCTGTCGACGGCCAGGCCGCAGCCGAGCAGGGCCAGGATGCGGCGGCGGCGCAGGAGCACGGCGGCCACGGGGTCGTCGGCGTCGGGCAGCGAGAGCAGGTCGCGGTCGCGGTCGCAGTCGCGGCGCAGACGCTGGCGGGCGTGGTCCTGGAAGCGGCGGGCGAGGAGGCCGTCGCGGTCGTCGGCCAGCAGGGCGCGCACGACGGCGCGCAGGGCGTCGGGGCTGAGGTTGGCGATGACGGTGTCGGTCATGAGGTTGACGTGGGCGGCGCGGGCCATGGTGAATGGATATATTATATGTATATATATATTATATGTGATGTCTGTATACATATATATAACTACTACAAGCTTCGGGGCCGGGCGGGCGGGGCCGGCGTTCATTGGAGTAGTAGTAGTAACTACGAGTTAGTTCTAGCAATACTATAGTAACTAGCTAACTACCTAACTACTCGTACCAATACGACCGGCAATACTCACTCCCGCCTAATCGTACGAAGCTGCCACGGTCCCTGCAAGGTCCCCCGGGGCCTGCAGGATCGCCGCCGTGCTCATTCCCGCGGGCGGCTCCGGCTGCCCAAGTCGGTATTGTGTTTTTCCCCGGGCAGGGCCAGCACGCGCGCTGGTCGAGGCGATTTCACTATTATTCCTACGCACGTCGCTTCGGCGGCCCCGGCCAGGCCGGGCCTCGCTGTCGCTCTCGCTGGCTGATATCCTCACAATCTTCCTTCGCTCTCCCACCGCCCCAGACTCTCTCTCTCTGTCTCTCTTTTGCTCTCTCTCTCTCTCTCCCTCTCTCTCCCTCTCTCTGCACGCTCATGGCCCGCTCCTCCTCCTCCTCCTCCCCCCTACACTCGCCCACTGCCCGGCCATGAACATCTCCGGCGGGGGCGGCGGTGCCGTCGCCGCCTGCACGCCCTGCCGCACCGTCAAGATGAAGTGCCTGCGCGACCCCGACGCCACCATCTGCAACCGCTGCAAGCGCAAGTCGCTGACCTGCTTCTACGAGACGCACCGCCGCGGCCGCAAGCCCGGCACCAAGTGAGCACACATACTATATATATATATCTATATTGACCTGACCCAGGCTCCGTCCCAAAGCTGAGCGCCTCAAGGCCTCCGGCAAGGCCCTGCCCGCCTCCCCGCCGCCCGCCGCCACCACCACCACCACCACCAACCCCGTCTCCAAGCGCGAGCCCGCCGACTCGCCCGGCCTGCCCAGCGATGCCTCGCCCGCCCGCCGCCCGCCCCGGCTCGGCTCCGCCCTGTCTGCTCCCCAGAGCCCGCCCGCCGCCCAGCTCCCTCCCACCATGGCCTCCGACAGTCTCGCGCCCTTTGCCCTGCTGCGCAAGTCTGCCACTGCCGGCAACTTCACCATCGCCAACATCCTCAATGTCGACGACCAGAGCCCCCTCGCCGACGACGCCTCCCCGCCCGACCCTGCGCCCCCCGCCGACTCCTCCATCAAAGACCCCAACGACCCCGTCAATCGCAATCTCATCAATATGCCCGTGGCCCAGGGCTTGTTTGACAAGTACGTGCGCCTCCTCCTCCTCCTCCTCCTCCTCCCCGCCAGAGCTATCCCGTTCGGGGCAGGTCTAACCTTGATCTCCGTCCGCCCAGCTTTTTTAAATACATGAACCCCTTCATATGCCAGTTTGACCCCGCCATCCACACCATCCATTACATCCGGACTCGATCTTCCTTCTTGTTTGCTGCTCTGCTTGCCGCCGCCGCCAAAGTCTTCTCGCCGCAGCTGTACTTCAACCTCCACGACCATGTCGAATTTCTGCTGCGCGACATTCTGGGCTCCGGCCAAAAGTCCACCGAGATCGTCCAGGGCATCTGCCTCGTCACCCACTGGAAGGAACCCAGCGACTCGCGAGCGTGGATGCTGGTCGGATACGCTATCCGCGCCTGCATGGAAATGGGCTGGCATAAGCTCAGTCCCACCAATATGGCTCCCCCGGGCCGCCGCGAGGACGAGCTGGAGCTCAGGGAGCGCCGGAACAAAGAGCGCACCTGGCTCATGCTCTTTGTATACGACCGAAGGTGTGCTTTTCCACCCCCATACCATCAAACACCTGCTAACCCAGCTCCCGTCGTCCTTCCAGCGTGAGCTTGCAGCTGGGAAGACCATCCATGATCCATATGGACTTTCTGATTCGCAATGTCGCCACCTGGCATCAGCACGACTATGCCATTCCCGGAATCGATGAAGTCATGGTTGCATTCGTGCAGCTGAGAGTCCTGGGTTTCGATTTGCTGGATCTTTTCTGGCTGCACCCTGTTGCCACTACTCCGCAGGCACTCGATAAAGATGAGTTTATCCTCAAGACCTTCAATACCGAGCTGGATAGCTGGCAAGCAAAATGGTACCGCATACTAGATACAGGTAAGCCACCTGTGTTGGCGCCCCCACGGCCAGACTCTTGGTACCGGGCGACCCCTTGACACCTTGTGTAGCCGACTACTCTGCCAGCCATCAGTTTCTCATCCGTTTCTATGGGCACCACCTACGTCTTCTCATTCACTCGTTTCGCCTCCAGCTCTCCACCCTGAATGGAAATGTATCCAACCAGGCCCTGTGGATCTGCTATTCAAACGCCCTGGAGATGTTCCGCCTGGTTGTGCAGAGACTCGGAGCCACTAACCACCTCTACTACTGCCAGGACTCGGTCCATGTCATGGTCGCCTATGCGGCCGTGGTTACCATCAAGGTATCTTCCTCACAAAGCGCCCCCCATTGCCGCCCGTCGTTGCTTACATCCACCCCCCCCCAGATCCTTCTTTCAATGCCTGGCATGCTTTCAGCCGACTGCGAGACCGCCATCCTTGATGTCATGCAACAGGCAAGCGATTATTTTGGCAACCAGTGCTCTGCGAACAACACCAGCTGCTTCTACCAAAGCCGATTCCTGGCCAACGTCGTGGCACAGTATCGAAAATCCAAAGCCAAACCCAAGCCTGACATCCCGACGAAACAGCATAACGGCCAGCTGCCGGCCGGCGTCAGGTCCCTGGCGCTTGGAAACCCAGGCCCGTTCCAGCCTCCGCGGCGACACCATCATCATCACCCCCACCACCCAGCGTCAGCCCATCCTCCCGCACGAGGCTCGTCATCCTGCACGCCCGACGACGTCTATTCTTCCTCCACCACCTCCCCCGGCCTCCCCATGCCATTCTCCCCATCCAGCGACACCCTCCCCCAGCAACCGCACCCGGCCAGTGCCGACCAGCTCCGGTCCACCCTCGCGTCAGCTACCAGCTATATGCACCCGAGCCTGAATACCAGCTCCCCCAGCCCCTTCGTCGTCGCCGGCCATTCTTCAACGCCCACAGCCAAGTCCGAGCTCCTTCAGCCGCTCGGCCCGATCGGCTCCGTGTTCAGCAGCGGCGACGGCGGCGTCGGCAACCCCTGTGCATTTGCGTCGTTCACAGACAGCGGCGCGTGGGAGAATCTGTTTGCTCATGCGGGATTCAACATTAACAGCGGCGCCTTTATAACTCCCAACCTGGAGGAGCAGCAGTAAACACGTCGCGCAGGTCGAGCGATCTCTGTTCTCCTCTTCAGCGAACTAATATCGTGCCTTTTTGCCCCCCTTTTGATATTCCCGACGGGACCCCCCTCTTCGTGTAACTAGATACCAGACTTTTTAGCGTCTTTCTGCAGATGAGCGCGACTGCGATCTTGTATTATTTACTTATTACTATTGTACATTTACGAACGCCGAGAGCCGCCGCCACTAGGATAACTAGCCCGTAAGAGCAGACAAACCCGCGAGTGCCGCCACCGCGGCGTTGTTCGGGCGGCGGACAATAACTAATGGGGCCTTTTTTTTGGCTGGTTTCTTTGTCTCGCCAACGACAACAACCTTCACACCACGCCGTTTCCGGAATCCATCACGCTGACGCCATGAGTGATTTATCCCCTTTGCGCCCCCCGGGAATCCAGTCGATCTCTACGCTGATTGCGCCCGCACTCGAGGGAGTCTGAGCTGGAGTGGCGTCGCCATGCTGCTCCGTGGCATATATCCCGCTGGATGCCGTCTATGTACGGCGTCCGTCCGTCCATGAGCCGGCATTTCAAATCACTGCCTCTGCCTCTGTCTGGCCGTTCTTCTGAAATCCTGATCTTTAGCCTGCGTGGAGCGCTGTACTGCCCTCCCTTCACCCAGACACGGCTTCTTTTATATTTCATTGTCCAGATGGGCAGGATATACTCTATTGTCTCTCGCTACTGATTCTCCTCCCTCCCCCTTTTTTTACTCGAAATATACCCTACGGCTTCGCGAGCGCGCGCGCTTGTGTGAAGGGGCATGGAGTTCTACCGCTCGTCGGACGAACTGAGCCCGTCGGCGACGAGCGCAAAGAAGGCGTACCGCGCGGCCTCGAACGATGATGATTCGCATGCTCCTCGCCGCCGCCGCTGCGAACCGTCCTTCGCGACGGCGACGCCAGAGCCGCTCAGCGCGGCGGAGCGAGCACGGCGCAACCTGAACGCGAAACTGGCCAGCCCGCTGGCGGGCCTCAGCCACGCGGCGCTGCGCAGCCGGGGCGAGCGGTACGCGCGCAAGCACCAGATGGGCGACGAGGACGACGTTCGCGCGTTCGAGCTGGGCGCCGTGCTGGCGCAGCACCCCGAGCGGTTCGAGAGCGTGGACGGCCTGACGCCCGACGAGCTCGACGTGCTGCGCCTCGAGTTCTCGAACAAGTGGTCGCAGCCCAAGCTGCTGTACCTGGTGATTGTCCTGTGTTCGGTCTCGGCTGCCGTGCAGGGCATGGGCACGTTTACTCTCCCCCCTGAGCTAGTTAACTGTCTGTCTGTGTGGGGTCTTGTCTGACTGACGGGACATAAATGCAGATGAATCCGTCGTGAACGGCGCCCAGATCTTCTACAAGGCCCAGTTCGGCATCAATGACGACGACTACCGTTCAACTTGGCTGTCGGGACTGACCAACTCGGCGCCGTACCTCTGCTGCGCCCTCGTCGGCTGCTGGCTGACCGTCCCGTTCAACCACATGTTCGGCCGTCGCGGCACCATCTTCATCACCTGCTGCTTCTCCGCCATAACATGCTTCTGGCAAGGCTTCGTGGGCTCCTGGTGGCACATGTTCATCGCCCGCTTTGCGCTGGGCTTCGGCATCGGCCCCAAGTCCGCCACCGTGCCCATCTACGCCGCCGAGACCACTCCACCCGCTATCCGTGGCGCCTTGGTGATGCAGTGGCAGATGTGGACGGCGTTTGGGATCATGCTTGGGTATGCGTCGGATCTCATTTTCTTCAAAGTCCCCGACACCCCGCACGTCGTGGGCTTGGGCTGGCGTTTGATGATGGGCTCGGCCATGTTTCCCGCCATTCTGGTGTGCTGTGTGATCTTTCTGTGCCCCGAGTCGCCTCGCTGGTACATCTCCAAGGGTGCGCACTACAAAGCGTATCGGTCCATGTGCCGCCTGAGATTCAATAAAATCCAGGCCGCTCGGGATTTGTTCTACATGCATACCTTGCTAGAAGCGGAGTCTAGGATGAAACTCGGCCAGCCCAAGATTGTGGAATTGGTCACCGTTCCGCGGAATCGCCGCGCAATGCTTGCTTCTGAAATTGTCATGTTTATGCAACAGGTCTGGCTCCACTCTGGGTGAGCAAGTGCCGTCCGTCCAAGTACTGACCATCAATAATAATAATAATAGTTTTGTGGTGTGAACGTCATTGCATACTACTCTTCCGAAGTGTTTCTTGATGCCGGCTTCTCACAAATCTCCGCGCTATCTGCCTCTCTCGGGTTTGGGATGATCAACTGGCTCTTTGCAATACCAGCCATCTATACTATCGACACCTTTGGCCGTCGCAACCTGCTGCTCGTCACAGTTCCCCTGATGGGCGTATTTCTCCTTCTAACCGGGTTCTCCTTCTGGATCCCTGCCGACACTCTGCCCGGCGCCAGAGTCGGCTGCGTTGCACTCGGCATGTACCTCTTCGGAGTCGTATACTCACCGGGACAGGGCCCCGTTCCATTTACGTACTCTGCCGAAGCCTACCCACTCTACGTCCGTGCGTACGGCATGGCCCTTGCCACCGCTACCACCTGGTTCTTCAACTGGCTGTTGGCAATTACGTGGCCCAGTCTCCTCCGTGCATTTTCGCCCCAGGGCGCCTTTGGCTGGTATGCCGCGTGGAACATGGTTGGCTTCGTGCTGATCTTGCTGTTCTTGCCCGAAACAAAGGGAAAGACCCTGGAGGAGTTGGACCAGGTGTTCTCCGTGCCTACGCATTTGCATGCGAAATGGGCTATAAAGCATATCGTGAGCGTTGTTAGAAGACATTTACTGTGCCAGAGACATGTAAAGGTTGAAGAGTTTGGTAAGGAGGATGATGACGAAGAAGAGGCTAGACGAGGCTTGAGTTTGAGCACTATGGATACAAGGTTGGATACTCCGTAATGGATAATTTAACAAGATATAGACTCCTATATTAGGACGATTAATGCCGAGATGTATGATTGATGCATGTATGTGTTTTAATGTTTTCATGTGCGGTGTATATACATGCTCGCGATGTGCTGGTGTGATCGGACACCCTGGACAAAACTTGACCGAAGTAACTAATCAGTTAAAAAAGAGGCGGCTTTGTCTCTATATCTACAAAAAATTGTTGGTGGAATGGAATCTTCATGATTCCATTGCTGCTTCCTTTTCCCATCTTCATACTGCGTGGCGTCGTGTATGCTACCCATCAATATGAGAAACGAGAAGTAGAATGAATGTTGCAATTACTACTAAGAAAATATAGCTATGAATGTATTAAACCCAGAAATAGGGTCTCTAGGAGAGCTATATTATCAAAAAGGGAATCTATTTACTCGCACAGAGGGCGGCGTTCAGAGTGGAAATAATCAAATATTGGTTGGGCCCCTACAACTGTTTTCAAGTCAGCATATATGTCAAGACGGAGATTGAATATGCTGTGTTCAAGATATTTTGCTATTCAGAAGGAAGGCAACATTTTTTATCCACATTTTCTGTTTCGGTACAGGTCTGTGTAAAGGTGTTTCATCATAAAAGCGAGAAGAGGTAAAGGAAGTTTAGGGTACTCACTTTTACCTTGAGATATTATTAAGTCGGGCAGTTTAGTCCTCAGGCTTCGGGAAAAAATGGTCAATACGCTTTTGCTGGGGATCATGTTTGGCGCTTCCAACTCCATTCCTGGTGCGTCTTAAACCATGTAGATGTTGCCTTTCATTGGCTCTATAAACCGTGATCTTCAGGGAAACCAAAGCAGAATCCGAGAGAATAGGTAGCCCGCCAGTAGAAGCGGCGGGTTCTTGAGAAGTAACTCCAGGGAACACATCTTCATGTGCTTTCTCTGAATATTGCGCTACCTCAAGCTCCATATAGCCGGTATTAGACCAGCCTGGATGTCGAGGTTGGGCGAGAGGTGCAGGGCCAAATATGAGGTCATCACCGCTGCACAACGCGGCCAATGTGTCCCACATTGCTAGTAAAGTCAAGCCATGCGACACAACGGCGACCACTTCAGTCTCATGGTTTGCTTGAAGCAGAGGAAACAAGAAACTATCAATGAACTGTTTAACGCGCGCAGTCACTGACGAGGCTGTCTCGGGTTCCTGATGGTGAGGGCTAGGTTCCGAGGGCAGTGATGTAGAATTCGATCTCCAAGACTGGCCCTCCATTGACCCAAAATTCTTCTCGATGAGGATCGGCAATAGCACAGGCTGCAAGTCATCAGATTCTTTACACAGCCCCTCAGCAGTCATGCGAGCACGTTGGAGGGGCGAGGAAAACACCCGCGTAAACCGGACACCTTGAGCACGTAAGTGACAAGACAGTCGTTCAATTTGGATGATGCCATGGTTTGTCAGGGCAGAATCTGTGACACCAGCACTGAGCGAGAGATGTGAGTGAAACGTTGTAGTAGAAAACGGATAGGGAAAAGTAACGAATTCATACTAAACCCGAGCTACGTTGTGCTCACTCTCGGCATGTCGGATGAGGTAGAGGCGCATTCTGAACCCATCGAGTGAGGCCGAAGAAAGGTTTGTTGGGGAAAAAGGTGAAATTGAAAGAGAATTGTGTGTTTTTAAAGCTCTGCGGCTAGCGTCTTGGCATGTCACTGACTAAACATGAAAGGGAAGCAACAGATAATAAAGAGACAATTGAGCGCAAAGGGCCTCGATTACGGTGGTGTTTATCTGTAGCAGAGTGTGGATTTAGATGTAGATTATATGTTTTCAGACCTGCCGTGGAATAATCCTTCTTTTGCCATGCAAATTTCTTGTGGCCGGCCATGCTGTCTATACAACGAAGTAGGGGAGAACGACTAACTAACTAATAGGACAAGCGATCAAGTATTCGATTTGCGTGAGATGAGCTCCTATCTACCCTTTAGTTCCAACCACACCTAGTCGGTCTGCTAAAGGAACACATTACTCTCAAGCCAGAAAGTTCTCGGGCATGCACCTGGTGGGATCTGTGCCCTTCCACAAGTATCTGTGTACAGTATCACTTTGATGACGATACTTACCTCAGAACACTTGTATTGGCCTGTGTTGGTCATGGCGAGTATATAACTGGAGCGTAGTGGGCGATATCTAGGACATTATCCCTCTAAAAAATGAGTTTACTATTTTTCAGGTAGGGCTCACTTTGGTATCTCGTGTATCTTGTTTCGAATTAGTAACTTGGTACTCCCCAAGCAGAAAAACAAAGGCTTGACCATCACGATTTGGGAAGTGACGCCGGTTCTAAAACAGGTGTGGTTAATGGGTTCCATACTTTGTTGTCCGAAACCGAGAGCCTCAATTCACGACACTGACACTCCGCCAAATAGGAAACAATGGCGTATACAAATCAACAGCTACAGAGGGCTTTGTACCTACTCCGCCTGGAAAACGAAGACTATAGTCCTGGCCCAATATTCTTCGAAACTGCCCGATACGGACTCAGACGGCGAGAGACACGACTTATACTAAGCGGAGAAGATGTTGATGATGACGATGAGAGTGGCGATTTCGTAGAGGTTGAGGTTAAGACACCCAAAAGAATCAGAATACCGGAGCCACTTGAAACGCCACCAAAAAGACGGAAGGTCGAGGTATTGGATATGAGCAGAATTTTCAAACAAATTTTGGAAAATAGTTGGAAAGTCCAGTCACGGATGAAAGACGGCTTTTATTGGGTCGCTAAAAGGTAGTTTGAAGGGATATTTTGAGTAGGGAGGTTCTAAGTTCTAACGCAGTGATAGTGTTGTTGGAGAAGCGGCTGAAGATACCAATCGATTCCAAGTTGGAAAACAATCCAATATTTCATTTGAGCCAGACATCGATATAACAAATGCCAGTGGCCCTGGCACCGCACATGATCGACAACCCAACAAAATGTGCCTTTCATCATATACCCCCGGGGCTGGAGTTGACTTGGAAAAGGCCATTAAGCCGGGTCTTCCCAGTAGTCCAACACTACTGCAGCCGAACAATAAAACGCTCGCTTACAGTAGTGTCATTCCAAACGTATTAGGTGTCATTAAGAAAGACAAAAGGAGCACTGCTCAAAGGCAGGTCGTTATATCAACTTCATTTGCACATCCAATAAATTTCACACATTCGCCACCCGCCAATGGATCAGATCCATGCCATTGGTGTTATGATTTCACGTACGGCATCTTGGGTCTTGGTCAGATCCAAATCCAGGTTATGGAACGGCCAGATGGTCGAGGGTACACAGAAATGAGAGACGGGCATTCGATGAATGGCAAGGAGCCCAGTAGAATGTGTAAAAAATGCACCAAAGAGCGGGTGAGAGCGATGCAATGTGCATCACACAACATGCAGCCGATTATAGGCATTGATAAAACGAGCTTCGCCTTTAGTGAGGCGTTTAAAACGCTGCTCCCTGATGCCAAGGAGGGTCGATGTATTAAAAGAAATCTCTGGTGTGCTATATGCATCAGTCCTGCGTTTTACCGGTGCGTTCAGCCTCTGGCGGGCACAGAACTGGAAGCCATTGCAGGCTTAGGAAGCTGTGGGCTAGTTCTATGCGGGAATTGTGTTAGTATGCTCGGCGCAAGCGACGGCAGTGTTTGCAGACTGGTCGAAAGGCTGTGGAAAATGGGCACGAAGAACCTGAGAGCTGATGCTGAGTTTTTTCGAGTACAGGGCGAGCTTTGTCGAAGATTTAGAATAGGCGAGCGCATGACGACGAGGTGAGGGAACCGGCTCGGGCTGTGACTATTAGGTTCTAATAATATGTGTTGCGTTGTTGTTGTTGTCTTCTCTCCTCTCCTCTGCCTGCGTGTAGGCCAGTCCTGCTTAGTCATCGCCGGGACCGCTCGGAACAACCCGGCGGCGCCCAGAACGGAAATGCCCCTCGCGGCCACAAAGACGACGGACTTCGTCTCGTCTCTTGTCGATGTAGCCGGCTTCTCCCTCCATTGCGCCGTGTCCAGCCCTTGTCCACTGCTATTAAAACCCACTCGACAGCCCGGCTTGCAAGTTGCGCATCCTCTCCTCTTGATTTCCATCCTTGGTTGCTTTTATCTGCTCCCGGTAGCATAGCAGCTCGTACGCCGGTAGATGGGGATTGCGTCCCCATCCTGGTCTGTGTTTGTGGCCGCCCGCTGTTAGGGCGTGTGACAACCTGCTGTTTCGGGCAGTTGGTGCGCTGACGCCTGGACGGACGGTATCCGGTCGCCCGCCATGGCGTCTGGAAGGTCGGGACGCCGACAATCTGTCTATAAAATTTTCGGAGCCACGGTGAGTCTGATTTTATGCACTGGCTTTTTTCGTGATCTTCAAATCCTGTTAATTTCCTTGGGAATGATGCAATGTGCTTTTGTTTCTCTTCTGTTTTCCTTGAACCCCCGCCGCCTCTACCCTGCCGTTTTAACCCGAGGAATACTGGCTGTGCGGGCAATTCCGAATGGTACGGTCTGGACCTCAACCAAGCTCACGACACAATAACCCCGGCAATCATAACGCGCTCCAATCGCGCTTTTGACAGTGGCAACTTGTCTCAAAGGCGGTTGTGGACCCGAGGCTCAAGTTTCTTCGGATCTTTTTGAAGGTTCCGACTCTTCCAACGGCAAAAGTCATGCCACGGCTAGCCAGGGCCAAGTCAAGGATTGGCGGCAAACCGTCGGCCTCTGAAGAATATCGCGAGTCTTATGACATGAAAATTGTTTTTACAAAGTCACGGTTGTCGCTGGAACTTTCATTATATTGAAACAAATATATTTGCTGCATTGCCGTATTCGTCACAAATCCTCGATGTCTTGATTTTGCTCAACTTCCTGTTACTAGCGACTACCCATGCCAAAGGTGCTCATTGCAGCTGGGGATCTACATCCATATCAGCATTATTCATACAATTATCGGGTTTCGCATTCCTCAGTGCCCCATCTCTGCAACAAGAAAGATTGTCCCAAGGCCACCCCCGGATGTCCTACATTGTTGTTCAGTGTTTGAACTTGCACAAACAACCAGTCTAGTGACTGTTGAAAATTTGCAAGAAGGGCCTTGTTTCCCTGTGCATCAATGAAAGCGTGTTTGTTCCCTCTGGCAAGACAACTGGACCAAACTTCTCTACAACGACTAAGCACCTGCGCAGCCGCTCTTCTAAAGCAACATTGTTAGTGAATAATACCGTGAAGGGTCACAATCTCTTTCTCTCGGCAACGATGCGATTCAAGCACCCTGTAAATATTCCATCTGCCCCTCATTGTTTTGTTTCTTTTCTTCTTTCTGTTCTTCATGAGATTTGGCCATCACCCTGAACAATTTCCATCAGATACAGCAATTTCTGTCTAACTTTGTCTATCTGCAGTCTGCTTCTACTGCCCCTTTGCACTGTTTATTCGTCTTGCACATTAGTTATCATGGATCCCTGTTCTGAAATTACTTTTCTAAAATCTATCAAATATCACTGCCATGCTGCTGAAGTGCATCCTGCTAAAAAACAGGAAATCCTTCCAACTACTGATGCTAATCAAACCATCCAGGATGATGACAACAAAATTTGTGTTGTGATGGTCGGGCTTCCTGCTAGAGGAAAATCTTTGATTGCTGGCAAAGGTACGTATACCCCCCTCGCTAGCCCTATCGATATGTTCTACTCGATAGAGAGACGCGTTCTCTGTATCTTTTGGCTGATATTTTACCATAGCACTGAGGTATCTCTCATGGATTGGGATCCCTGCGAAGACCTTTAATGTTGGCCAGTATCGGCGTCAGGATACCCCGCAGCCATCAGCATCTTTTTTCGATAATTCGAATCCTAATGGAGAAAGATTGAGGCGAGCAGCTGCTGAAGCGGCCGTTAATGACATGCTTAACTGGTTTAGAACCTCAGATGGCCAAGTTGCAATTCTTGATGCCACAAATTCAACCAAGCAGCGTAGGGAATGGATCTACAACACTTGCCGCCTTGCGGGTATCGCTCCGCTATTTGTCGAGTCGAAATGTGATGACCACGACTTGATCATGAATAATATACGTGAGGTGAAGACAACCTCTCCGGATTATGTTGGACAAGACCCAGAAGACGCCGCGAAGGATTTCATGAAGCGTATTCGTAACTACGAAAAAGTTTACGAAACCATTGGCACAGATGAAGACCATTACGCTTATGTTAAGTTGATCAATGTGAGCTCGCAGGTCATCATCAATCGCATTCAGGACTACCTGTCTAGCCGCCTAGTTTATTATATTCAGAATCTCCACATTCGCCCTCGTTCAATCTGGCTCTCTCGCGTTCGTCGCCCCGTACCCATTCTTCTATTTTTGCCTTTAAATGAGTGCTTGCTAACCTTTTCTTTACTAGCATGGAGAATCAGAATTTAATCTCACTGGAAAAATAGGCGGCGACGCCAATCTCTCTCCTCGGGGCGAGCAGTATGCCCTTGCACTCCCGCAATTACTTCGGGAGTCTGGGATCCCTCCGGGAGCCAAGCTTACGATTTGGACGTCTACTTTAAAGCGAACCAATCAGACGGCACGGCATCTTGTGAAAGAGATGGGGTATCATAAGCTTGAGTGGAAAGCTTTGGATGAGCTTGACTCTGGGGTATGCGACGGCCTTACCTATGAGGAAATTCAGACTCGTTACCCTGAGGACTTCGAAGCTCGTGATGAGGATAAGTACAACTATCGATATCGCGGAGGCGAATCTTACCGTGATGTTGTCATTCGACTTGAACCAATCATCATGGAACTCGAGAGAAGTGAGAATGTTATTATCGTGACACATCAAGCTGTCCTTCGCTGCATTTATGCGTATTTCCTGAATATGTCGCAAGAGCAAAGCCCGTGGATGGAGGTGCCATTACACACGCTTATTAAACTCACGCCTCGTGCTTACGGAACCGAAGAACACCGTATCAAGGCTGATATTCCTGCGGTTTCTACATGGCGCGGAAAGGGCAGTGAAGCCAAACACCAGACCCCCGGAGAGGCAGAAATTCAGGCTTTGTTGTCCTCGAAAATGGACCCCGCCATTGGCAACGCCTTGTCTGTTTCCACTTTGCCGGTCACCGCTCTTTCTGATGAAGCGGTTAAAACCCCTAGCCCCGAGCCGGTTACTTTGCCGGCTGCTCCTATGGAGGAGGCTACGCTTAAGGGTAATGCAAAGACTAGCTAGGTGCTCTTAAGGCTTCCCTTCTCTTCCTTTGTATCTACATATGGGGAAATTTCGGCAACTGGGCGTTCAAACGATGCTTAGGAAAATAGGCGCTAAAGATCGGTTCCTTGTCGGTGGAAAACGAGAAAACGGTGCATCGTGTATTAGGGAAATTAGGAGTTTTGTCTTTAGCCTTAACAGAATACAGTACCTTCCTTAGCTCTCCCTTTGTATTATCATTCTCTATCACTGTACGTGCCGGGGCATTTGGGTCTGTAAATCCTCCTTGGGTAACCCTCGCTATTCCACCGCTGACTAATCATCAACTTTCCCAAATTGGCGAATCAGACGCCCTTTCATCCCATAGATGACATCGAAGTATTAACCAGGAGCCTGTGAGGTCTCTGGAGTGCCCCGACACTTGCGATGCGGACTTACAGACCAAGATACTCTAGGTCCTCATGGAAATGACACTGTGGGAGATAACTCTGGGACGGACTATTCTCTGCCACCACCATGCTCTCCGCGTTTACGGCCGGACCTCTGGTCGAGTTTCGACCACGCGATAAGTCAAAAATCGAGTCCTTGCTGGCGTGTGGAGATAGACTGATTGTGGGTTTAAATACTGGGAGCTTGCGAATATACCGGGTCAATACTGGGGGCGATGAGGAAGCTGAGACAACTCGCCAGGCCCAACCCGCTGAAAACACGGGCGAATCAGCCGATGGGGAAGTGCCTTCTACAGCTATAAAAGTGAAACCGGCGGATTTACTTAGAGAGGAGGATAAATTTGCAAAATACAAGATTGAACAGCTGGCGATTATCAAAGAGGCGAATGTGTTGCTCTCGTTATCTGGTGGATATGTCTTCATGCACGATTGGCAGACCTACCACTTGCAACAGCAATTAATGCAAACAAAGGGTGCATCCTCGTTTGCGGTGACATCTAATATCGTGAAAGATTTGGCTACCGGCGTTCCCTCAATCGTGTCTCGTCTCGCTGTTGCGGTGAAACGGAAAGTGATGATGTGGACATGGCGTGATATGGAACTTGAAGAGGAAACCTCCGAAATCATACTTGTGAGCGGGATTAAAACGCTTACATGGGCGACTGGTACAAGATTGCTGGCAGGCTTAAATACTTGCTACGTTCTTGTGGATATGGAAACCAAGGCTGTTACAGATATTGTTGGGCCCGGTTCCATTGGCGGACCTGGCGGGCAGGATCATGGCCGACTCGGCATGGCAGGTATGAGCTATATAGGAATTGGTGGCACGGCTCCGAAACCATTGGCAACGAGGCTTTCTGAGGGCCAGATGTTGCTTTCAAAAGATGTCAATACCCATTTTATTGATACAGATGGAAACTCCCTTGAAAGACGACAGATCCCTTGGAATGCAGCTCCACATGCTGTCGGGTACTCTTACCCGTATCTCCTTGCGCTTCAAGAGCCTTCAAAAGGAACATTAGAAGTGCGCAATCCCGAGTCGTTATCTTTGCTCCAATCCATCTCGCTTCAATCGGCAGGCATAATACATATACCACAGCCTAATATCAGCCTCGCACATGCTGGAAAAGGGTTTCTTGTTGCCAGTGAGCGTGCTATCTGGAGGATGAATGCTCTAGACTATGACTCTCAGATCAACTCTTTAATCGAACAAGGCCAGCTTAACGAAGCCATCAGTTTACTTGAGATGCTTGAGGATGCTCTGCTCACTGACAAGCCCGGGCGGCTACGGCAAGTCAAGCTGCGGAAAGCGCAACATCTATTTGATAGCCGAAAGTACCGCGCATCGCTGGATTTGTTTACAGAGGTATCAGCACCTCCTGAGCTTGTGATTCGTTTGTATCCGAAGTTAATTGCCGGGGATCTCTCAACAGTAGTGGAAGAAAATTCGCGACTAGAGGATGAGGAGGGTACAAGTGAAGTACCCCAGGTAGCCAATGGGCTTAAATTGAATGGAACGGATGTTATCACGGAGGACGCAAGCAAGGCAAAAACTGTTGGGGATACGCCATCAGTAAGGTCGATATTGAGACGTGGAACAGAAGACGGCTCCAGTGAAACGAACAGCATTCGCAAAACAACTTTGGATAAAGATAGCAGTTCTACAGACAAATCTCTCCGTAAGCCTATCCACACGCGAAGACATTTTCCTTACTAACTTCTTTCTAGATGGAAAGGACCTCAAGGCTGCAGTTTATGAACTGCAAGGATTTCTCGCGGATATACGTCGAAAACTTCAAAGATTTATTAACCCTGATGGGAGCGTTGAAGTGTTAGATCTACGTGCCAGTAGTGAATCCGAAGAAATCACCAAATCTGTTATTAAAACCCTAGAAGTATCCATAGACGATAAAGATACGGATATTATTAGCAGGGTTCAAAGGGTTGCTACTCTCGTCGATACCACACTTTTCCGTGCACATATGTACGCGACGCCCTCTCTAGCAGGATCCCTCTTCCGCATTGCGAATTTTTGCGACCCAAACGTAGTTATGGAAAAACTGGAAGAGACGTGTCGCTATAGCGAACTTATCGATTTTCTCTTTGGTAAGAAGCTCCATCGTCCTGCCCTTGAACGGCTCCGGAAATTTGGTCAGGCAGAGGAAGAGAACAGTGCACCACAACTTCTTGGCCCAAATCGTACTATTACCTACCTACAAAATCTACCTCCCGAAATGATAGACTTGATTCTCGAATTTGCAGAATGGCCGATTCGCGCTGATCCGGAATTGGGAATGGAGATTTTCATGACCGATACAGAGAATGCAGAGACATTACCAAGGAAAGAGGTGTTGGATTTTTTGCAAGGAATCGATCCGGATCTTGCCATCAAATATTTGGAGTATATCATTGATGAACTAAATGACATGACGCCTGATCTACATCAGCGACTGTTGCTGCTATATCTAGAAAGCTTGAAAATTATGGAAAGCAAAGAAAGATGGGATGAGTGTATGCAAAAATTCCTGGCCATGCTGAAGCTAAGCGAGCAGTACTCTCCCGCAAAAATGCTGGATAAACTGCCCAGGGATGGTATGTACACCCGCATTCATAATATGTCTTGAGCTAATTCGTTCTTTTGTATAGATCCAAATTTCTATGAGGCAAGGGCTCTGGTATTCAGTAAAATGGGCCAGCACAAACAAGCACTAGAAATATATGTTTTTAGGTTAAACAATCCCCAGAAAGCAGAGGAGTGAGTACCCTTGGAGTTCGCGCAAAGCTTGTCGTTATAGAGAGCGCTGACTATTCCTCTAGATACTGCAATCAAGTATATCTAGCAGATGATCCCCACCTCAACAGGGCCGACGGAACCCATAAAGTTTCACCAACGGACCGTGACGAAGCCCATCCATCCATATATCATACCCTCCTCTCACTCTATTTGTCCCCGCCCCATGGGTCCGGGCCGCAGTTTGGCCCAGCAATTGAAATCCTTGCAAAGCATGGTTCCCGACTACCTGCCAATTCCACATTAGACCTCATTCCGGAAAGTTTTCCTGTTCACGAATTAGAATTTTATTTTCGTGGGAGGATACGGGCGGAAAATTCCATTGTGAACGAAGGAAGGATAGTTGCAGCTTTGAGGAAAGTGCAAAGCATTGATACTGAGGCTGATTTATTACTCGGCGATGGCGTTTTGGGTGGGAATAAAGGGAGGAATCGGTTTGTGACGGTAACCGAAGATAGAATGTGCGGAGTTTGCCATAAACGACTTGGCGGTAGTGTTATCAGCGTTTTTCCTGAGTAAGTTATGCCCCTCAAATAAATGGTCCATATTTCTAACAATGATAGTAATACGGTGGTACATCTTGGTTGTGCAAATAGAAGGGCATCTGGCGTTTGAAGAGCGGGTGCTTTTTGGGGTATTTCCGGATTGTGGTATGATGGTTGGGTTCAAATATCTGAGCTGCTCGCTTTTTCGTTGGCTGTATTCAAATTCCGACTATGGATATCTGGCGTTCAATAGATACCCAGTTGTTTGATCACAGCCAATTCACCATGCCTTGGTCCGAGGGGCATCATCATGCAATCCAGACGGCTCTATTCAAGCGACACTAGTCTAATGAAGGCTATATATAGCCTGAAAAGCACGGTTCAATCTTCCTCATCTTCATCATCAACCACCTCTTCCCCATAATTTTCTTCGTCTTTGCTTTCGTCTTTTCCCCCCACCTTCAGCTGCTGGGCTTTATCCTCCTCCATTCGCGCCGTAAGGTACAAGTTTATTTCGGCCTGTATAGAGACGACGGAATTCCTAAGCTCGGATAGATATGTGGTCTTATTGGTAGTATTGTCTGCGGTGTGTGAGGAGAGTGATGTTGTAAGTCTGTGTTGGGTGGTATGTTGGAGTGGGGTTTCGGGGTGGGATAGCGATGCAGGAGCCCGGTAGACGGCGCTAATAGCAGATGGTTTGTTCGCTGGTGTGTTCAGTGGAGGAGCCATAGTTAATGATAATGACATGCAGTTATGAATGGATTGCTCTACCGTCAGCAATTGGATTCACAGTAACAAGTGCCCCGGAAGAATGAAACACCGACAAGGGGCAGCGGGCGGTGACAGCCGGCACTTCGCGTTAACTGACATCACCTCTTCACTCACGCTCAGTCTTCTCTACAGCTCTTTTCTCACTTCACAATGACAGCATAGCTGCAGCTTGCTGCTCCATGTTATTACTTTGATTCTCTTTCCATTCTACCCTGTGAATTCAGCCTGATTTTCTCCAATAGCCCTACATGAGGAGCAATCGTCTGGGCAAACGCGGAGAAATGGGCTCTGGAGGGCCAGCTTCTCCGGAACACACCAGGCCGGTAGACCAACCTCAGCGCCCTGATTCTTCTGACAGCACTGCCTCTGAATCTTCACTGCTTCCTCCTCTTACTATCCCAAAACGTCCTCTGTACAATGTCAGCCCGCTCCCTAGCCCCGGGGGTCCTCGAACTCCTTCGGCCAGTGTCGCCAGCCCGAATGGAAGCAACGCATCCCTCCCCGGCTTTTTGCGCCCGTCTTCCTCTTTAATGCCTCAGAATGAGCCATCACAGAGAAGGCCCTCCCCATTGACCCTGAACGATTCGCAGAGACACCGTCGTCAGCACTCCCAGGGCTTTTTTGAGCCTAGCCTGCCCACTGCGTCTATGTCCGAGCTCACACCCACGAATACATCGCCAATGTCTGCATCAAGGATTGCCGCTCAAGCCGCTATGCAACATCAGTCTACCTCGCAACAACCCCGTAGCCGGTCTTCAACGATCCCTCCCCACCAAGATGTTAGCCAAACTGCTCAAAAAACATCGCCTGGAGCACCGGCGCCAATACAATACCAGAGTGGAGGTCGTGCTTTTGCAGCTACAACTGCAGCAAATCTTGTTTTCCCTAGAACTCAGGCCATTCTACCAGCCACACCTCCAAACCACGAGACCGCACCTACGAAACCGAAGGCAGAGAAGTCGAAAATGAAATCGTTTCTGAAGCCAAAACATATTGGAATCTCGCGGGATAAGGACAAAGATAAGGATAAAGACAAAGAAAAGGATCACGACCGTCGTGAAAAGCCCACTCCCTCGCCGAGCAAGCTAGTTCCAAGTGGCCTCTCACGTATTGTCAATGTCTCCACTGCTAGCCTGAATGAATCTGTTCTGTCAGGCGGCTCGTCCATGTACACTTTCACAAACTCCTCTGTAGCAACTGTTGTTCCTCCTGACAAGCAAGCGACTAACGAGAAAGAAAAAGAGAAAGACAAAGAGAAGGAAAAGCATCGACACCATTTTCTGTCGCGTCCAAAGTTGAAGCTGAAAGACAAAGACGACCACTTCCATCTCCCTCTCTCATCTGCAAGCAGTAACTCGAGACCTCTTGACCCAAACGCCCCGCAATCCTTATATTCCTTTACCCCATCCTCTCCTTCTTCAACCACTTTCAGCAAATCTGTTAGCGGCCTTGACCTCCGCCACGGCGGTCGAGCCTTGCGTGAAAAGAGAAAAATGGAAGAGAAGTCATCGGCTTCCCATGATGCTACAGTCGCTGATCAGCCTGATTTTTCCGGTAGCCTAGGCACTGGGGTCGCAGCTTGGTCAACATTTATTGGAACCGGTGTTCCTGGAGCGTCGATGCAAAGCAAAGAGGCAGCAATGCGAGAAGCACTCGGAAGTTTTGGTATCGCAAATCTAGCCTTCGAAGACGCGTGGGATTTTTTAAAAGCAAAACTTCTTGTCCTTTTCGAAGGCGAAGAGGTTCGAATCGCAATCGAAGATCTTAACAAGCTTGTGTCCGTTCACATACTCCGAGCATTTCAGCGTCGGGTTCCCAATGTACTTGTAGAGGACCTAAGAGATCTGCTTCAGACCGGCTTCGCTTCTCTTAACCATACCTTAAGCTCGGTCCCAGACGAGAATTTCATGACCCATCTTGTGCAAGTATGGACGTATACCTATGGAACTATTGTTCCTTTTATTCAGGCTGTTTTTTTTCCGTTGGACCTTGAATTCAAAGGCCGTGGTAAAATTATGGAACCTCAAGAAGCCAGAGAATTCTGGGGCACCCTTCCTGACGGCGGCGGTCCTGCTGGTGAGAAATTGAATGTGAACGATATTATTTTACTATCATTCCGTGATAATATCATTCTTAGCCGCTTTGAGACCTTGAAAGCTATGTTCTCCCGGTTTATCATTGATCGAGTCAACACCAATATTGGTGCCTTGGGCACATCCTCAAATAGTGGCGCGAGTCGACCAGGAACGGCCTCAGCCCTTGATGTTGGGAGTTACAACTCTCAGTCTTCCATGATCTTTAATGCTGCTGGTAGCCATCCTTCCGAGTCTCACTTGACCATGTCCCGTGCTCGTGCTGAATCGAACACCTCATCAAACCCTGACCACCCGGTTTTTCAATCTTCTATCGTATCAAAGCCAACAGACGGATCCAATGTCTTTGCAGAAACTGTGGCTCGAGTCCAGCAATGTATTTGTGTTATTGCGGGTGTTTACACTGGAGACAGCGCCCAGGCGCAAATCGACGAGCTTCGCCAATCCCTTAACCTTAATTGGCTGGGCAGGGGCCGTACTGGCCGTGATCGCCGTGGATTTGTGGGAACGCGAGTTCGGCCACCCATGCCAAGTGCGCAAGCAGGTGAGACCCCAACCCGGGGAGAGTTTATGGTGGGCCGTGAGAGGGCTGTGAGGCGCCCAAGCAAGGACTCCACCAGCCTCGTCGAAGAGGAAGAAGGCCCAAAGAACAAAAATGAGGGCCCTCCACCCCTCACTCTCCCAGCTTGACCCTAGGGCCCCTTGAGAAGCGTTTTCTTACGATGCGATGACCTGTCTTGCCTTTGCTATATGTTATGTACGATTATGCTTGGTTTTTCCCCTTTGCTTCCTTTTTCCCTACCCTTTTGTGTTTACATTTTCTTCTAATGCATGCCATGTAGAGCAGGGAGTACGGGATCATTTCACGGAGGCATAGTTGGGAGCCTTATTGCACTTTTTTCTTCCCGCACCACTTTTTCTATATAGAGTATGTCATCAAACGCTATTTCCCGAAATAAATTTCTATTATGCGACACAATTCTTCTTTCCTGGCCGATAAAGTCTGAATTAAAAAGACATGAAAACGCGAGCGTTCAAAAAAAAATAGCAGAATAATGGGATGGCCCGCCCAAAAGCAAAAAGGAAAAAGAGCGCAGCCACCGTGTCTCCAGAATATGTAACTAAAGGCGGAAGACGGTTCAAACGGCTAACTATCTCAATGTTGCTTGGGGCCGGAGGTCCCACGTAAAACCTTCCCAGCCATGTCTATGCCTCCTCCTTCCTCCTCCCCTCCTCCACCCATGAACGAATCCATCATCTGAGTCGAACGGATCGTGGCGATGCCACATTTGACCCAAATCAAAAGAACCGAAGTCCTCTTCCGTGTCCGGCGATTGTTCAATAACGAATTGCATGATTCGACTTGATGGCTGTCTTGACAAAGCAAGATCAATTTGTCCGTCAGAAAGAATAAGTTCTGACAGTTTCCTCGAAGGTAACGAGCTCCAGAGGACGCTCATTCCTTCGTTGAATCTTCTTTTTTCCAACAATTTCACGAAATTCAGCGATACCGCAAGGGGCGCATTTCTGGCTATTCTGGGAAGAACGTCAAGGATGTAGTCTGATAGGTCATCACGGAGCTCTCGAGGCATATTAAGACAGTCTCTGCCCAGTATATTTTGGTAGCATGCGAAGTACTTGAGACTACGTCCCCATGTTTCCTCGACTATCTCCCCCATCAGTCGTGTCATGATATGCGAGGTCACGAAGGGACTCCAGTACAGTTCGCTTAGGCTCTTGAGAAGTCGATCCAAACAGCAACAATAGAGTCTCCACGGAATGACACTGGGTAAATCCGTCTGGCGAATAATTGTTGTCAAGTCAATTGTCGGTGAGCGGCGAGAAGAGATGCGCGGGTCGATCAGATGAAGAATGCTGGGAAGATATCGGACGACCACCTCGTAAGGGAGTTTTGCGCTGAGAGGCACCCCAAAAACAACAAATTTGACGAAATTGTGAGTTTCCCCCAGAGTAAAAGCCATGATTGCAAGAAAATGAAACCAAAATTTGCGTTGTGGTCCCCTGCTTAGGTTTCCTTCATCTGCGTACTCTCCCCGATATATATTTACTCGACCGAGATCAGAAAATGCATAACAACAGTGGCAGCAAGAGAGAGATAGGGCCCCTCGGAGACTCAAATGAATTTATATAGTGCGAGCCATGCATCATTGAAAGCAAACATTCCTCTCTCGGTCATCTGAGGAGAGCTGAGCAAAATTGACACTGTTACTCAATAGGGTATCTTTCTGAGACAACCCCGGAGCAAACAGTATGTTATACCCGGCACCTCACCGTTTAGGAGTAACTCGAATAGCGAAAAAGCGGAGTGATCTAGTTTTGATAGACGTTGCCTCCCCCCAAAATTTTATCGATAAAGACGGCATGATTTTGGCCCAGGAGCAATTACGCTGGCCCCTACAAATAGAAAAACAGGAAGTTTCCTTGAGAATTGCCTGATTAATCTACAACTTCGCCGAACCCGTGATATACTAAGCTTCAGTCTGAGAACGTGTGGATAAGTTTCATTCGGGTCAGATGTGAGTGGTGGAATTAGCGGTACGTGAACCAAAGTCCATTATCCCCAAGTAGGATCCGCATGATTATCCAGGGATTCCAGGCAGAGCAAACATCTCTCAGCTGATGTATGTGTGCAGTGTTACCCGGCTTGTGTGTTTAACAGCCTGACATGCATCTTGTTTGTTAGTTATGTGAGACTCTAAGTGTCAGCCAGTGAATGGACATACCGGTCATAAGTGTCTTTGGCCCAATTTCCTGATGGTGATTATCATTTTGGCAGAGTGGCTAGTACTCGCAGACCTGAGGGCTATAATTTAGGGGCTTATTGATTATAGCAACTCCTCGAGCTCCATGAATGTTCTAGTATTATCCGTATTTAGTCAACTATGAGTAGATCAGGACAACTTTACAATACTCACTTGTTGTAGAGGGGCGCATCTGTTTGAGTCGGCGGAGAACTTACCCTTATTAGCACTGTATAGAAAGCAATGTAAGGGCTGTCAGGAGCTTATCATTTTAACTTAAAAATAATAATGTTCATGCAAGATACAAACATATAACATATATATTGTGGGTATAGCCAGAGAAATTGAACATTTGAATGTAAACACTCATCCATTAGGTCTCGATCGAGTCTAATGTCAACTTAGGCGAGACTTCTGTGTTTCTCGCCCAATATTCAAAGAAGTTCCATTAACAAACGTACTAGGAAATATAATGCTATGGATACTGTGGTATAAGAGCAATTCGTGCGGTTCCATAACTCAGCTATGACCTTTTGTTGGCATTGAAGCTGTAAGATTGGAGCTTTTTATGCAGGCTATGAAACAGGAAGACTGCCGGTATACTTAGGCCTAAGCTGTAGTTGCTTGGTTTAGTATGTCACCCAACAGGTAATGAGCTATGTAAAGGAAAGGGAGTCAAGATAGGGATAAGAAAAAGAATATCTGGGAATCGAAGAACATGTCCTCGCTGTGGAGGAAGAATTACTCAGGCTCAACCCTGTTGCTGACCTTGCCTCCTCAACCATTCTTGTCAGCCAAAAATAGGATGTCACTTATTCATTGAATTCTTTTTCAAGCCCATCGCAACTCAAACTAGAGGCAGCAGCCGAGCGTGCCGAGTCTTGAAACTTCGCTGCGAGGTTCAAAGCTGGCATATCTAAGATACATTTGACCGCGAATCACGAACCACGCTATAGGGGCGCTGCATAGTATGACGGATGAGATTATAAGAAATAACTAAGAAGGGCTTGAATAAATGTTTTCCTGAGAGAAAGGACATCTCGAATCTCAAATGAATGTGGAAAATCTATCGGCCCGAAAGCTATGTTAACTAACTGAACATGATCATCGAAGAAAGGAAACTCGACGAGCCCAATACCATGGTCTTTTGGATTGCTACTACAGAGGACTTGCTATGCTATGTCGTTGAAACTACCTCTTAGCCAAATGACCACAACTCATATGTCCATCCTGGTCCCTCCAATTAACCAGCTAGCCAACCAGAGAACCAATTCCCTCAAAATCACTATGCGACCAAGCTGAAGAAGACCAATCTGTCCAGGACATCCTAAACGCTTAGCCCATTGTTGGCATTGCTTTTTTTTCCATCTCCTTGAACTTCTTTTGAAGAGTGAGCGGCGGGAACTTCTCACCGCTAGCTTGCTCCATGCTGTCGGCGATACGATGCCACTTTTCCGCCTCGAATTTTTCCTCTGCCTCGCGTTTAAACTTGAGCATGAGAGCTTCCTAAACAAGGCTTCATGTTAGCTAAAGATATCCTCTGCTGGTAGTTTATGAAACACGTACGTGATCCTTGGAAAGAACCGCCAAGTTTGCCTTGATGCGCATGTATCGAGTCGAGAGCGTGGTGCCCTTGGTTTCCTCTCCTGTCAATTCATTCCAAGCGTGAGCAATCTCAGTCCATGGCTTGCTTTGCTCATCCCTAAGACGGAGAAGCATTTTGTCCTCCATGCTCGCGGCGTCGAGGGAGGTCGGAATCGGCCGCGGGGTCCTCTTAGCGGGAGACTGCTTCGGCTTTTTGGACGGAGTGACATCCTCTTCGGACTTGATGTTTTCTTCACCACCTGCAGCCTCCTTACTTGCTGCAGGCTTGCGGCCACGCTTGCGCGGGGTAGTCGGCGCTTTGTCTTCGTTGCCCGGCTTCTTGTATTGTTAGCTCAGAGTTGTGCTCAGTACAATGAGTTGAATGGTGACAAAATAAAGCACTTACTTTCTTGCCCTTGGCACCAGTTTTGTTAGTCACTTCAGTGATGGCTTCTGGCTTGACAGAAACACTGGTTTTAGCATCACCACCAGCATTCTCCTTGGCAGTGTCAACTGCAGACTTGTTGATTGGAGTAAAATCTGTCATTTTGTTTGATACAAAAACAACAGTGGATTTTTGAAACAATTTGGAAAATATATTGTTAGAAATGGGCTATGTGAATACACACAGTGCTGAACAGAAGAGGAGGGAAGTAAGATTGAAAGACCTGCTGACGAGCTTGGAACAGGAGTAGAGAGCTGAAATTGCACAGAATTCTGAGAAAGAAAAACTGTTTGTTTAGGAACACGCTCACTATATTGCACGGGCGGACTCGGCAAGAATGCCACGGAATCAAAACAACCCAAGTGATGCCAGTGATTAGTCGTGACTATGCCCGTATGTACATACATACATACTAATAACCTCACAGTGGATGTTGGCTGTTTCCTTCTGGTAATTGGAGAGGTATGCCTTTTGATATTCTGCAAGTTAAAAGTCTAGGGGTCTTTACATGAAATATGCCCTATACCGGCAAATGATATCTCGTTTTCACGTTTACAGGCACATGTATGCAGGTACGGGTAATATTACTACTCGATGTTATGCTTCGAGACAGACTCCCAGTGAAAAAGACTACGAAGTGAATGTGGTTTCTTTAGCCACCCTATCAACTCTCAGCATAAGAAGATCCAGTTGAAGATAAAAGTAGCATAGAAGAATTAAAGAAGAAAAAATCGTTCGCCGTACAATTCCCACCCAGGTTCCCCGTTTCTCCGTTCCATTTCCGATTCTGATCCCAGACAATACAAAGAGCATGGCAAGGAAGAAATCAAGCAAGTAAGGTCAGTAAGTCAGACATGTGTTACGAAATAGAACATCATAGAACGAGAACTGTTTTGCAAAGCAAAGGAGTTAAGAACAGGGCGTATCATTAAGTGAGGAGAGAGCAAATTGGTCATAAAACAATGCAGACAAAATCAAATATTTGGTTGGTGTAGCAAAGAGTAGAAAATGTCCCAAGACTTTCGGTCAATATTTGGACGGTTGAGAGGAGATGTGAGAGGTTAAACCCGTATTATGGTGAGAGAACTTATGGCCCTGAACATCGCACCTCGAGGGAAGGAGACTTAGGTATAACTTCGCATCGCGTCCATATAGCCAGTTCCGCCCTTCAGGTCTTGTTCAAAGGTCTCGGCAACATCGAGAACACGATTGATATGTTCCATCGAAAGGGGAGTATTTTCGTTAATGGCAAGAGCTTGGGCTGTGCGCACGGAGTTTTTAATCTGAAAGTCAATAACCATTAGTTACTGGGTCATTTTCTATGCTTCATTAACCAACGTATAGGGCCGAGATATCTTACCTGTCGACCATTCAAATTATGCCTTGCAAGAACATCATAATCCTTCTCCGTAAATCCTGTAACTTCAAGTCCCTCCTTGTTGCGCACCCTATCAAGGAACATCTTCCAGACAGTACGCTTAGCTTTAGTCGTCAAGTCACCATAGCGTAGGGCAACATGGATACGAGACTGGAAAGCATCGTCAAAAGTCTCTACACGGTTGGTGGTAAGGAAGAGAATTCCCTGGAAATACTCCAGCAATCGAAGGAAGATGCTGACCAGGGCATTTCGGTGAATGTCTTGGATTGTCCGCTTCTCCAAAAATACATCTGCTTCGTCAAGGAGTAGGACAGCACCCCATGAGTGTGCAATATCGAGGATTTTGTTAAGTTCACCCTCGAGTGTGCGAGAGTCAGTTCCAAGTTCCCCAGCACTTACCATGTACAGAGGACGCTTCAGCAGCTCAGCAATACCTTCTGCAGTAAGAGTTTTACCAGTTCCAGGAGGACCATGCAGAACAGCAACAAGACCCTTCCCTTTACCTTGAATTACATCATCGATATTTTCTGCAGCATGGAAGGTGTGGGACTCAACCAAGGCCTTGACAATGGACTTTTGATTGCCGGGAAGAACAAGAGATTCGAAGGCACCGGTGTTCCATTCGATATCCTTGATACCAGAAACAGTGAATTCCAGCCAGAGCTTTTCGCTGAAGGCGAACCCTAAAACCACTGGGCTGGCAATTAGAAGTTCCTCCTCCGTGAAGTCGACGTCATCATTGCTGCTTGCACCGTCTTTAAGTTTGTCAATATCCTCCTTCACAATCTCGTTCCCATTCTCATCGACATCAACTTCGACAATGTGAGGTTTTCCTGCCTTGTCGTGTACGAGCTTTAGCTTTGTTTTTGGGGTATCATACCGATTGGGACGTTCGGATTCAGACGAGGACCCACCACAGCAGCAACCTTCGTCATCGCTGTCGTCGTTAGAGCCGTCAAGATTATCCGCATCCTTCGGTTTAACGGTGCTTATGGGATAGTTTGGATTGATTCGGCGGTGCAAGGCAGGGTCAACCATCACACGACCATTAATATTAACTTTGATGATCGAGCGTCGCTTTTTGAAAAAGGCCATGCCTTGATGGAAACGATAGTTCATGCCTTGGAGAGAGACGAATTTCTTGCCACGTTCCACGAGCTTAAGCTTCAATGCCTCTGCATCACGGTGGTACCGGATGGGGTAGCAAGCAAGGCTGGTGATCTTGCGAGGACCCTTGAAAGCGTCGACTTCACTTGTCATGTTGCCCATTCCAAACGATTTGCCATCGTATTCCAGGTAACGTCCTTCGATAGAGTACCACTGGCCCTTCATGAACGAGCTTTCTTTAGTCGCATATTCGAGTTTGAAAGCACGAGGTTCATCAACAGCCCCATAAGTAGGAGTATAAACAATTGTATTAGGCTTGAACAATGCCCAGAGTAGGTCAAAAGTAATGGTGTTGTTTTCTAGCAATGGATATAGGGTCTTTTTGATATCTGCATAGTCTTTGTCGAGGTATTTTACCAGCATTTTAAGATGTGTTGCTTTTATTTCTACCAGCTTCCTAGCCTTTTTCTTTTCGGTGGCTTTCGCAGCAGCTTTTAGCTCCTTGACATATGCACGGCACTCCTCCAGATAAAGGAAGAGCATATTAGGATCCACGGCTGGGGTATCTGAGACAAGGCTGACGCTCTTGACGCCGTCCATAATGTGAGTGAGGGCTTCTTTGAGGGCCTTGCTTTTGATATCAACCAGGGTCTCGATGTACTTGTTGTCCCAGTCAAATCGACGGCGAACAGTAAAAATATACTGATCCCATTCGTTTGCATCGGGGTCCTTGACAGTTTCCGTCAATTTGTAATTGTGTAGGGTATTGTCCCATACTGGAAATGCCAGTTAAGTTCCTATCGATATATATATATATAGGGAAGATGAAGGTAATAGGACTCACGTTGGTCAATGCGCTTGTATGCTACCTTTGAAGCTCTTTTCTGCTTTTTAGCTTTGGCAGCCGCCTTTTGGAGGGCACGCTGCTGCTGCTGCAACAGAGCTGCCTGCTGTGCTGTCTGTTCTGCAAGAAGGGTTTTGTCGATATAGCCAGACTGCTTGAGCTTCGCCCGGCGCATGCTAGATCGAAGCTGGAGGGCTGCCTTGGCACGATTGGCCCGGGTTTGTGTCTCGCCATCATCGGCTTCGCCGTCATCTTCCGTCTCTGCTTCTTGCAGTTTCTTAGCCTTTCGAGCCTTCTTCTTTGCCCTTAGCCTAGCCTTTTTAGCCTTCTCATCGTCAGAAGAAGCATCGTTGTCGTCGCTGTCGGAGTCAGTTTCCGTTGTGGACGACTCTTCCTTCTTGGCCTTCTTCTTTTGCTTGAGCTTTCTAGCCCGCTCCTTGGCCCTCTTCTTTTTCTTCTTCTTTTTGGATTTCTTATGGGCATCGTAGTCCGAAGAGTCTTCTGAATCGGAATCCGAGCTATCTGACGATGAGGAAGAGCTCGAAGGTGAGGATGAGGAATCGGCGCCACTATCACTGTCTGAAGAGGAAGATTCAGCGGCCTTCTTTTTCTTTTTCTTGCTTGATTTGTCTGCTTTCTGGCCGTGCACTACATTATGCTTCTTGCACAGAGCTTTCTTGGGGGCATTTTCTGTGCCTGACAGTGTGCATGGAGTGGGCTCTGTTTTGGGGGTCAGTGTTTCAGCACCAGCTTCTTGCTTCTTCTCCAGACCATCGGCATTGCCGGTCGATGATGCTGTAGTTTCATCTGGCATGGTGGATGGATGTAGATGCTCGGCGGTATCACTGTTGGGGTGATGGGATGGGGGTGGGGATGCAGTGAACGGCGTTAGAAGAGGGCCAGCTGTGGAATCACGGCTGTCACTGGCTGGTTCAGAGGAAGAGGAAGAGGAGGAGGAGGAGGAGGCGGCAGTGGACAGGGCGGGAGGCAGAGGAGCAGCCGCAGCATCAATGGCAGGGTCTGGCATCTGGTAGCAGTCAGTTAGACAGCTGTTCCGGAACAAACAAGGTGACGCGAGCAGCTTGATCAGACCGAACCATGCGGCAAACAAGCGATGCTAGAGCTTCACGGAGCTGCAGAGAGAAAGGGATGACACACCGCAGCAGGATGGAGAGTGGCAGCGATGCAGACAGTGGGTGAAAAAGTGGGAAAAAAGAGAGAGAGAGAGAGAGAGAGAGAGAGAGAAGAGAAGAGAAGAGAGAGCCAGGTGAGTCACGGGGGGTTTATGTAGGGACGCGAGGAAAAGTGAAGCTGAGGCGGCAGAGGTCCAGAAGCCAATAGCTGTTGCCTGCCGTGCAGCGGCTGCAGGGTTGGCCGCCGGCAGCTAGTTAGTTAACGAGTCGCCGCAAGCTTCGTAACCCCCAACGAACCAGTCAACTGGAAGGCTATGATAGCTAACTAGCTACCTCCAGGCCTGGCGGATCGCCGCCGGGCGCTAAACGAGCCGGCAGCCAGTCTGATTTCGGGCGGACGGGCTGTAACTCCTCCGGCGCACCAGGCGTGACCGCCTGGCAAAGTCGCTGGTACCTAGCGCTCAGCCCGGCCAGCCAATCCCAGCCCCGGCTGCAGGCGCGCTGGCAGGCCCCACGGCCAAAAGTGGGTCGGGGCTGGGTACCCGGTACTTGGCGGCCAGGTAGCGCGTGGTCCCAGCGCCGCCCGCCAGTCACCGCCAGACTCGCCGGCCTGCAGCGCCGCTTGCGAGGCATCGCAGAGGACAGAGTAGGTAACGGAGTACTCTTTACTAGTTACTACGAAGTACGGCCGAGCGATCCTTTTCCATGCCGTTCCTCAAGTCGCGCCAAATCAGAGTGCGACAGCTGCGTGTCTTGCTTGCCGCTGGCTGCGCTGGGAGCCCTTGTTGATAACGCTGTGCACCCCCCTCCCTCCCTTTGCTGCGAGAGAGACCCGGCGGTGCTGTGCGACGCCGCCCGACTCCCATGGCGACACCAACTTCGTTGTCCGCGTCTGATTCGAGCTGCAAGCCGCCGCTGCACCTTGCCTGCCCCCCCCCCCCCCCCCCCCCCCCCCCCCCCCCCCCCCCAAAGCTGCCGGCCGGCCTGAAGCTTGCGACGCCGGACCACCCGTCCTACCTGCTGCCCTCCACACGGGCGTTTATGCGAGCTACGGTGCCATGTCGTGCAGCGTCCCAATGCCGAGCTGCACCAGATGGTCACAATGGTCACAATAAGAGGCCACAAGAAAGAAACACCAGGTTGCTTTTATTAAACTGCATGCCGAATTCAAAGCAGGGAGAGCTGCACAGCCGGCTGCCCCAACAAAAAGCGCCCAGGCAGTCGACACTGCAGCATGCAGATGCAGATGCAGATGCATTTTATATAAAAGGGACCAAGAGCGAAACATATATCCCCCTCCTAATATACACGCTGAAGTCACATGTCCAGAAATGAAAACAGGGCTCCTGACGGAGCATGGAGAATCTCGGTAAAATGCCTGAAGTGTAGACCGAAGCCTACCGTAGAAATCCGAAAGGGGGAAAAAGAAGAGAAACGAAAGGGAAAAAAAGAGGTAGGAGAAGAAAAGAAAACGTACACTGAACTGGCTAGCTTTTTATCGATTTGCCTCTGCCGCGCCGGTAGTGCCCGTTTCCAACTGGGCCCACGGAGACCGACCCCCGCGGGCTGGGTGCGTCGGCTGGTGTGACGGGCCTCATGCCCAGCCGGCATTCACCCACCCGTCGTAGCAGGACTTGCAGTGCTAACCGAATCTCTGTGTTGACGTCGCGGGAAAGGAGCTCGACACAGAGCGGATAGAACGTCTCGATGTGTTTATCGAACGTGTCCCGTGCAAAGCCCGTGTAGCCCTCGACCACGTCCACCACAACCGGGCGCCACGCCGAAATGTTGCGCTGCTGCGTCTCCTCGTCTAGGGTGTTGTACCCTTGGATGATGTCCGCACAAAGTCTGCCGCAGACAGTTAGCGTACGCTACTTCTCCCTCATAACGCGTTAGCTGTTTGTAGAACTTACGGTATAAGCGCTTCCTCCGTCTCCTTGCGGCTGCTTTTCCTCTCATCGCCTTCATCATGGTACATCCGGAACAGAATGCTCACGTATGTTGCCGCGCTTCCGCTTTCTTGCTTTAAAAGATTCGGAGGCTGTTTCATGAATCCTTGTTTCCAGAGTGCAACCCGGAGTTCCTTGGCTTCGTTGAACTTCTTTGCAAACTGGTAGCTTTTCTTTAACAGCAGCATTAGCCGCAGCAACTCGTGGCTTGGGATTTGGTCATATACGGCCTCAAGCGAGAACAGCTCGTTGACCGTCTCAATCATCAGAAGCTGAAGTACGCAGTTCGTTATGATGCGGTTGAAAAACCGCCGACGGCTGGCGCTGATAGCTGGAGGAGCTTGTAGCGGGTTAGAGTGCGAGTCATTGTCCTCCAGCTGAGCGGAGTCTTGATGATCTTTAGCCTTTTCATCATCAGCTGCCGATTCGGGTTTCTGTTCCCCATTGAGAGTCGATTCATCTTCGCCGGTAATGTGCTGATTGATCGATGCAGAGTCGTCTGTTGTGTGATCCTCTGTACTCTTCATAGGTCCTGGCATGGCAGCTGTAAAGAGCTCATAAGCAGTCGTCTTTTCAAAAAGCTCCTCAAACGCTCCCACAATTTTGTCCCAATGGCCCACCTGGAATTTCTGAACGTTTTGGATTATCAACTGTTGTAGACAATTACTACCAATCCGCGCAATAGTGTCATTTTCCTGGCATATGCACAAAGTTAAAAGTCCGAGGAAACGGTCCAGCATGTACTCCAAAGAGTCAAAGTAGTGAGTAAACAAGCCGATCATCTGTCTTAAGGCCTGAATCATGGTTGTCGAGAGCCAGACAGAGAGTTCTTCGTGATTTGGAACTTTCGACATCTCTGACTTGGAGTGTAATACAACGAAAATAGGGTATAACAGTTGCCGCCAAAGCACATCCCAAAAATCGGCTGGGAAGTCACCGCCATAGTTAGTGAGGATCTCGAAGAGATATATAAGTGCCCTATAAACTATTAGTTTCAAGTTTCCATTGCAAACTACTTTCATTGCGTACTTAGACCGAACTTCGAGGTCATCCCCAGTCATTAGAACATCTTGGAATGCAATCAGAATGGGATACCAAAATTGCTCCTCTGCTGTCTGTCTACTCTTTTTTGGTGTCATCGGAGCACCATCGCCCGAGGCGCTTGATGTTGAAGATCGACGTCGGGAAAGAGGGCACTCTGAGGTTCTGAGCATTTTAGGAACCGTTGACTTCAGAGTCTCGATCGCCTGTAAGGATTTTTTCTGGAATTTCAGATTCTTCGAGAACTGAGTTAGGCAAACCATCATGTCAGGGAAAGCGCCCTGTGTGATGACAACTCCGAAGCGAGTATTATATATCTGAGTTACATGCTCAAATGACATATTTACAATGCCCTCTATAGGAGGTGATTAGATTTTGCCTGGTAGGGAGCTTAGACGACTTACCATAGGGTTCCCTTGCAGCCACGGAAAAAACACCAAACATCGTTTTCCAGCCAGATCGAATGTTGTCGCCTCTAGCTTGTATCATCTGGATTAGACATCGCAACACCATGTCTTTAACAGTAACAACGGTGCTATTTGCCATGACATGCTCAAAGGGTTTCAAGAAATCCTTCTGAAATTTGAACCCTGGTAGCTCCTCAATCTCTAAAAATCGCATTGAGAGTTGTCTCAGAGAATCCAGGGCGAAGAAAACGACCGCAGTGTTCGTATGGCAGCCGACTTGGTTGAAATGCTCTCCAAGGACCTCCCAAATCCTACTCCACTCAATCCTAACACGGGTCATGTTGTAATAACTTATTTCCACAAGCTTCTGCAAGCTGTAGGTACGTGGGGACTCGCTTTGGCCAGAGGACTGTATTTCTTGCCAGCTTACATTGCTCAGGGCCCAGACGAAATCCACAATGGCGTCCTGCGACAAATTGGCCGTATTTGTGAAAATTCGGTCTACTCCTCGAACCATCTCCGCAGATCGACTCTCCATCGCAACCTCCGATCCGAACCGCGACAGTCCGTTGATAGACCGAGGTCGCGACTTTCGTGGAACTTGCAGCGATTTGCGTGAGCGGGGGTCAGATGGCGGCACCGCGCGAGAAACGGACATGTCCGGGAGGGCACCTTCATCGACACCATCAGTGAGCAATTGTAAACGGTCTAACTGGCTAATGCATGTAAGGACTTCTCTCCAGGAACTCTTCAAATTGTTTCCTTCGCTAACAGCAACATCAAGAAGTATTTTTAATGCTTCTAGATTTTTCGCCATCATTTCTCGAAGATTTCCAAGGTTGGTAAATTTAGCAAGGCCCGTTACAAACGCAACCCTTGGAGTTTCTAAATCGAATGCGCATGATATCCGAATTGCAAGCCTTATCCCCTCCATACACTGCCGAACGGTATCCAAGTTGTGAGTCTCTTGGACTTGCGCTGACAAACCGGATAGGAATGACATCCAAGTTACATTAAACATGGAGCCGACATGTCGCACAGACGTAGCCGGGATGAATCTAGAGAGAGCTTCCCTGATAGCAGACTTCTTCTGAGCACGGATTAAACTTCGATAGAGCTGCTCTGTTTTGTTGGCGATCTCTTCTGATGCTTGGGCATATCGTTCGCCCTGTATATCTCTCCCAACTGTGGCTAAAACTTGTCCTGCCCTCGAGGCAAGTCCAGGGGCCGGGGCTTGTTGGCCTAAATTCGCAGCATGGGCTCTCTCACTGAACAAAACAATCTCATTATTCGCAATTTCGTCGTATATCCCCCCGAGGTACTCATGCGATACATCCTGGAGATCTCTATTATTCCGAATAAAATCATCCTTGGACATCTTCCGCTTCAGTTTTGAACTGTGCAAATCAGTGTTCAGCATGATAACGGAGTAGGCCAGAACATAGGGATCATCGGCTGTGGCAAAAGCTTTTGGGTTTCCGGTAAGATACCGCTCAGCAAATTTGAGCATAAAACGATCGATCTTTTGAGACTCTCCCGGCAATCTGAAGCTCTGCAGAAACTCGCGAAGAGCATCCACAAAGCCGCGATTGCCAAAGTCCATCAAATCGACAAAAGCATGCATAATGGCAATGTTTTCAGCATCCCCCTCACCAAGAAATTCGCCAAGCGCGGCTTTATCAAGCCGATCATTTCGAAGCAGAAAATTTGCAATATCTGCAGGAGAATCCGAGCGAGTAAACCCTTCAGAAAGGAGCAATTTCATTCCTCTCTTAGGTTTAAAGTTAAATTGTCGGATTGCATTTGTCAATGCGATTTTTCGCTGTTTGACCTTCTCGATTTCTTTAGGATCGTCTTCAACGACAGGTGTTGATTGACCAGTGAGGATTTCTCCGCTATCTAACCGGGGAGAAGACATAGTTAACGTCGGGGCAGTAGTGTCAAGGGATTCTCGAGACATTTCGAGAGAAGCCCGGGAGAATGTTTCGCGAAGCACAGGCTTTGAAACATCTTTATCCTGAGAGGACCAGGTATCAAGAGACCGAAGAATTTCCACGAGACAATCTAGAGCTTTTTGCTTAATTGCGTATTCAGGAGGTATGCTTTGCGTGTTCACTGGTGCTAAGTTGTCGATCCTTGCCGTCGAAAGTGATGGGGGTAATGTCCCCGGCTGGTGCCAATCGTGAGCAGAAGTTGGAGTCTTTGCATGATGTTCCTGATACTGTTGCTGTTGTTGAGCGGTGACGGCCACAGGGACGCTGGACATGCGAGACAACTGCTCTATTATTCTAGAAGATTGTCAGGGCTTTTGAACTAAAGAAAGAAGATGAACTTCCGTACCCCTGAAACATATTTTCTAAAGCGGTACGATCGCAATCATAATTCAGATATAATTCGACCAACGCACGAGGATCGGAGGATAACCTCCCAAGAATATCCATAAAATATTGCTTCTGAAATATCGGCGAATTGCGTTTTTCAAGAATAGCGAGATAAATTTCTTTAAAGAACACCTCTAGTTCTTTCTATTTTATGTTAGATAAGAAAGTGGGTAAGAAAGACAGCAAAACTTTCGCTTACCTTCAGCATGACCCGCATATGTTTTAACATAAGCCAAAATATCTCGCAGCAAACTTCGAACACGCGGGGTACGGCACTGGCTCCGTTCCTACTCAGACTCAGACAAAGATGGGGCCGTATAGCTGGTAGGAGGGTCATAACTTCATTGGTTGTCGAACTGCTTTTGATTGTGGCGAGAGGGGAAATGAATATGGCGACATGGTTGTTAAGAAGGTGTTGCATCAAATGCAAGGAAAGCAATTTAGATCTCATATTTTGAGATTTAAGATCTTGCTGCTGGTCGTGAGATAGAATTTTGTGACTCAGTTTGCATAAAGCCCGGAAAACAAGGAACGCATCTTTCACGTAAATCTCGTCTTCTTCGTCTAATGTGGGATCCAGATCGTCTCCAGGGGTCGCGCGGGAAGTTTTCCGGGCTACCTTTGCCCGAGTCACCATCGTCGGTGCGTTGTCATTAACCATAGCCTCGTCTTTATTTGTCTCAAAACTTTGGAGTGTCATCTTTTCTCTTGGCTCCTTTGCAACAGGGTGGTCCGAGACAGGAGATATCCCGTCTTCAGCGGATTCATCTTGATCATTTGGAGTGCCGTTATCGGGCTGAAATGATGCATCCGAAGCAGCACGTTTGCGATGGATCTCTGCTTCCCGAAGCCTGGATTCCTTGAGGTCTAGACGGATGCGAACTCGGTCGAAAACAGTACCGACCATTTGGGTCAGAGACCCTTGCGCAATATGCTGATTTTCGCTTGACTTTGAGTAAATAAATATATTGTATATTTGCCTCACTGCCTTGAGTAGACCAGCTCCGTGGACAACGATTTTATCATTGAGCACTGCAGCAAGCAGAGACTTGACAATCTGCTGCTGTATCTCTGGAGGAGTGGCTTCATTTTCAAAACAGTCGCATATTGTCTCAATAGCCCGTTCTATCAAAGGTGGCCGATCTGTGGACTCGGACGTAGATTCTTCTGGGGAGGAAGGGAACGCGAAATAGGAGTATGTAATCAGTTTTCCAATGCAATCCAGTGCGGTAATTTGTAAAGGGATGCTGAGCGTCTTGCTAGCAAGCTCCAGGGGTTTGAATATAATTTCGGGGTCGATGGGATGTTGGTCCGACTGCTTGATGTTCGCGAGGGCAGACTTCACAGATTCCTCTAGCTCTTTGCTTCGTCGCGCTTCCTTCGATGCTGCAATTGTATCCAGAGCGGAAGTCACAAAGACCATGGAACTAATCGGCGCAGATCGAGGTGTTCCTTGTGTAGCGACTGTGGATAGGGTGTCGGACCGGGGTCTCCCATTCATTGGTATATCTGGCATGTGATTGGGATGCGGCGATTGGAGTGTTTCTATAGACGGATTGGAGTTGACGATAACCGGGATAGCCTCCCTCTCGGTCCCGAGTTCCTCTTTTTTGTCCGCGGCATCTTCGGATTCCTTTGCAGTCTCTGGGGTAGCAGACTCTGGAGATTCTGTGGTGTCGGGAGTCTCGTCTGGAGGACGCGTATCTGAGGGAGGTTCTGTAGATGTATCGACATTCTCGGTCGCATCCTTCACTGGCGCTGTGTCTACCACTGCATCCTTGCTATGCGCGGTAGACGTGGCGGGCTCCGCGGCGCGGGACATGTCGGCGTGTGTTTCGGTCACGGTATGCTCATCGTGCTGAGCCATTGGCGATGGAGCCGCAACTTCGGAGTAGACGCCACCAGGAAAGCAGCGTGCATTGAAGAATAGACGGGATCGTCAAGACAGCGCAGGAGATGGCGCCGGCAGATGAGCGTTGGACGTCACGTCGAGCCTGCGCCTGAACAGCCGCTTTGCTGCTCCACGAGTCTCCAAAGAGGTGGTACGGCGACGCGCACGACTCGGCAGCGCAGCAAGGCTGCTAGCCCGAATGTGGACTAGCATTCTTGGCGTGACTAAGCTTTGCTCGTTGGGTGGGAGCCCGCGCTGGCGATTTAGCTCAACAAAACGCTCAGTTGAGCAGAGCAAAACTTCGAGATCCCAGGGCGCCGCTCCAGAGCCTTCAATCCCAGCCCGTTGCAATTCCTGTGCCCTCCCCCAGCAGACTACTCATCTTGGTCTCTGGCCTCCGCTTCCTTCACAATGGCTTCTGCTGCCGCCATATCGCGATCCTCAGGGCGCCTGCTTCTCTCAAGGTCGGCCTCTGCTTTACGGGAATCGCGAAATCTATGCAGGCTACGAGATGCCTCGCGGTGAGCCACTGTCACATCCTGCTTATATCAGAACTCGTTGCTTATGTTGTATTTCCATTAGGTCACAAGCACCTATCTTTGCCTCTCTCGCCCGATACTATGCCTCCAAATGTATGTTGTACATGTAGAGCATGATGAGATGAACTTGCCTAGGCAGCTAATGCATCTAATATTTTAAGCATATCCTCCTCATACCGTTATCAGCATGCCGGCGCTCTCACCCACAATGACGGCAGGTAACATCGGAGCGTGGCAGAAGAAGGCCGGGGACACGCTGGCGCCGGGTGACGTTTTGGTGGAGATTGAAACAGACAAAGCGCAAATGGATTTTGAGTTTCAAGAGGAGGGCGTTCTTGCAAAAATTCTTAAGGATGCAGGTGAAAAGGACGTTGCCGTTGGGAATGTGAGTATTTCTGGAAGAGAGAACTCGCCCTGCCTCTGCTTTCTGACGGTTTTCCTAGCCCATTGCTGTGATGGTTGAAGAGGGTACAGATGTCAGCCAATTTGAATCATTCTCCCTCGAAGATGCGGGTGGTGATAAGAAACCTTCGGAGGGTGCGCAGAAAGCCCCGGAGTCATCAAAGGCGCCTGAGCCTGAGACCGAAGCCCAATCTTCTGCGCAAGACGAAGCTGCCCCCGCGGCGCAAGAGCCAGATGTGACTGGCGAACGTTTGCAGCCTGCCATTGATAGGGAGCCCTTCATCAGCCCTGCCGCCAAGGCTCTTGCTCTCGAGCGCGGAGTCTCGATTAAGGGTCTTAAGGGCACAGGCCCCGGAGGGCGAATTACACAGGCGGATATCGAAAAGCAGCAGCCTGCAGCCACGGCCGGCGCTGCTGCTGGCCCTACGTATGAAGATGTTCCCGCCTCTTCGATGCGAAAGGTCATTGCCAATCGCCTCACGCAATCCATGAGAGAGAACCCTCATTACTTTGTCTCCTCGACCTTGTCGGTCACCAAACTTCTCAAGCTTCGACAGGCCATGAACTCCGCCGCCAACGGCAAATACAAACTCTCCGTCAACGATTTCCTAATCAAGGCATGCGCCATCGCCCTGCAGCGAGTCCCCACTGTCAACTCGGCCTGGATTGAGCAGAACGGCCAGGTCGTGATCCGTCAGTACAACACTGTTGATATCAGCGTCGCCGTTGCCACTCCAGTTGGGCTCATCACCCCCATCGTCAAGGGTGTACAGGGCATTGGCTTGGAGAGCATTTCACGCCAAGTGAAAGACCTTGGCAAGCGCGCGCGCGACAACAAATTGAAGCCCGAAGAATTCAACGGAGGCACGTTTACCATCAGCAACATGGGCATGAATCCCGCCATTGAGCGATTCACGGCCGTGATTAATCCTCCCCAGGCCGCTATTCTCGCCGTCGGTACCACGCGAAAGGTCGCCGTGCCTTTGGAGACCGAAGACGGGACTGAAGTGCAATGGGATGACCAGATCGTTGTGACAGGAAGCTTTGATCACAAGGTCGTCGACGGTGCAGTGGGAGCCGAGTTCATGCAGGAGCTGAAGCAAGTGGTTGAGAACCCCCTCGAACTAATGCTATGAACAGCTGTTGCAGTTTCTCTTCCTACTTGTATTTCATCTAGACTTGGCTAGCGATATTGGGCCTGCTGCTACAGACCTTTTCTTTTCCCTCCGATTTCTGCAGCACAGATTCTGTGGCTCAAAATGTATTACTCTATGCATGACTATCCCTTTTTTTTCTCCTATGTGTTACCTATATACAAATGCCAATTAGCCCCGTACACTGTCGGTGTTGCGTTCGTCGGCGAACACCGCCTCGGATCAACTTTATTCCGGTTGGTCTCATGAGCGGCCTTCAAGTCATTATGTAATGCCCGCGATGTGCGTCTTGGCGCAGGGCCTGGAGGTGGCGATGACGTCGATGGGGCGGTAGCTTTCCCTGGCAAGCGACTGCTATATAAGACACATCACGCCCGCGGCTGGTTTCAGAGTCGCTTTGGTCGATTTCCGCTCCGTCTCTCTCTCCCTTCTATTGCTGACTTCAGGGCTCGCCAGTCGTTCTCTCAGGTATGCATGTGTTCGCTCCAGTATCGCTGCGCGGCGATGACCTCATTTGCTCATCGGAATCAGGCCACAGTCTTAGCATCAGGAACCCTTGGCACATTTCGTGGCCAGTTTTGCCCTTTTTCGCACCATTGACGAGTAATTCATGCCCATCATGTCGTATGCGGAAGCAGCTGCGAAAGGCGCAAGCCAGAGCCCCAAAGAAGTAAGAAGCACTCCTCCTGGTCAAGATTCCCTATAGCTAACTTCCCAACGCACAGGCGTGAGTGACTCTCTGCGAGGCTGTCGCAAGTGAACCATCCATCCTGACCATTCCTGACAGTGCTGCCCCCCAACCGCCCCAGGTTGAATTGACCGACACCGAGACGACCACCTCCTCCCTTGTGGACGTGGATTCCCCGCACGTCAACACCGTCCCATCGGGCTACGAATCGCAGTCCGTCAAGACTAACACCCAAGCCGAACGGCTGAAGCGTGAAGAAGGCGAGAAGCGGCGCGCCCACGAGGCCAAAGAAAAAGCGAAAGCCGCCGCGCTGCGCGGCAAGGACAAGGCCAAAGGCACATGTTCGAAACTGAGCCAGAACAAATCCAACCCCGTCCTGGTAACCAATGCGATTCTGTTGACGGTTGCAAGCGCTGCATTGGGGTATGGTGCGTACCAGAAGTATCTCAAGGGCATCTTGACGTGGGAAACCGTGGCGTGGTGGTCTGGCGGCATCGGTGCAGTCGGGCTGATGGATTACTACGTCAGCAAGTGAGTAACCCGTCATCCATTCCACACCCATTTTTCGCTTGGCTCAGACCTGACGAATTGTCCGTGGTGTAGATGGTTCTTCCAAAACAAATACCCGCCAAAATAAATGAAACTCTTTTAGATGAGGAGACAATGCTATGCGAAGTCTTGTCGAGCTACTTTTGGACGCCATCTCTCGCCCCTCGTTATCATCCTGCCTTTTAGTTGTCATTAAGCCGAAACATGAGAGCCTATCTACCTTGTTGTATGTACATACTGTATGTATACTGTTTTGGTAATGAAAATGGAAATTTTACTTATGTTAGAATTGCCACACCTGTTCTTATTTGGAGAATGAATGCACTGTACTGCATTTTCAGTGTTTTGCGGACTATTTTTTACTACCCGCCAATTTTTCTTTTAAACATCCCGCAAAAGCTTTCGAATAAAACTGCATCGAACCCTTTGATCCACCTGATAGTGATACCTACGTTCTCAATGCCAGTTTGCCTGACGTATACCGCGAGCCCCAGGGCGGCCTTGGTTTCGTCAACAGAAACGCTCTCGCTGCCCTGTTCCTGAGACGCCAGGTTGTGCATCTTCCTCCGTGCCTGTCTCGACCATACATTCTCCATCGCGAAGCCAAGGCCTTTGCAAGCATGCTGGTCCCAGCGCCACGATATCCGAAGGGATCCCATTTCATCATTAATCTTGCGGATGAGGAGCGAGATTGGCTCGAACTCCGGCTGCAGGATAAACTCAGCAGGAAACGGGAGCAAGTGCTTGGGGATGCTAGGGATGTTTCTTGCCACTTCCATTGTCGGCCTCAAGTCCTTCCAGGACCACGCGATGGCCCACCTCTTGGTCTTCGATCCCTGAACAAATTGGGTCACGGCCCAGTTCTTATTACCAGCCGCCACGAGCTGTTCAACCAGCGTCGTGACACTGCTCAGCTTACCCAGCATCGAAGTATACCATTGAACCTTGTCGTAGAGTTTGAGGCTTTCTTCAATCATTCTTGATACGAAAGCCGTCTCTCCGCCCGCCGTTACCATTTCGATATCCGCTCCGGTACACGCCTTATTCACCAGGGTATTTTAGCGATTGGTGAGATGACCCGTTCTCTGTTTTAACATACCGAATTTGGAGGCCGTTGCTTTGCTTTTGCTGAAGCCAGGAGCTCCTCGCGTGATTCATAGAACGGGGGGTTGCACATAGTAAAGTCCAGCCTAGACACTGAGTACAGGGGTGATATTGGTTGACAGTCGAAGTACGGACTTACATTTTGGAAGGAGGGATGGCATCCAATTGAATTAAAGGGTCCTCAGGTCGGGTCCTGGTTAGACGTATGCGGGCCTGAAGGCCGTTACGGTCGATATTCCGACGTGCATGGTGGATATTGCTCTCGTCAATGTCTGATTGGAGTATAAGTTGCCGATTGGATTCAACCAAGCAGAGAAAAGCAGGGGGGGGTGGGGGGGTACCGGTAGCTAGGAATGTCCAGGCCGGGCGTTGTGCACAGCCCAGCAGCGGGTAGATGCAGCTGGCGCCAGTGCCTCTGGTGATGGGGCCAGATTAGCACCGCCTCGGGAATGAAGACAGCCGAGAGAGCCACGCATACATATCCAAACCAGCAACTGCCCGTTCGGGATCATAGGAGTCCGTGTAGCGGTTCGCTGTCGAATCGACTAAGTCTTGGAGCCAGAGAATATAGTTGAAGCTAGGGGGGTAAGTCTAATCAGCCCTAGTCCCAACGGTTTACCGTCCAGGATGACATGGCCACACACCGATTTGGGACCTGCATCGAAGGGATTGGAGGGTGAGGGGGCGTTATCAGCTACACCATCCGGTTGCGGACATCGAGGCTAGAAGGACAGGTACGGACCGGGGGGCACAGGCGATCGGCAGGGAGCTCGACGTGCAGGGCAAAATCCCGCTTCAGCAGCGTTTTCGTGAGCTGCCTGAGGGTGGCCGGTCAGCCGGGCTATTTGACGGGTCAGGGAGGGGGGGGGGGCCCTGGCGGGCCCACGGGTCAAGGCTGAAGGGGGCGGCTCTCGTATTGGCGAGCTGGGTAACGAAGGAAGGGCTTCGACATACCGTACGACATCCGGGTTATTGAAATCCAATTGGCCGTTGGGCTTCAGACTAGAGGGCAAGAATTGAGATCAGCCAGGCTGGACGGGAGCGCGGTGGGCGCGCGCGTCGCGTGGTTGGCAGGCCACGGCGGGGGCGGGACGACTTACCATCTGGCAAAATCGGCGTCCTCGAGGGCAAGGGCGCGGAAGTCGAGGTCGTGTCGGTAGAGGTTGCGGGCTGAGTTCATGCTGGCTGGTCGCATTGGAGAGCTGGGGGTTGATGCGCGTGGTGGAGGGCATGTCGTTATGTACTCGTAGCTCGTTAGTTCATGAACTACTCCGTAGTTAGCGGGCTGGCTCCTAAGGACCAACGCCCACAACACGTCACCCGTCGTCTTGCCAGTTCCGCCCGCGGTCCGTCGCGATGCGATTGGAAGGCGGCGAGCGGCGCGAGTTCGTACCCAGCACGATGTATCCCGTATCAGCAGCACGGGCGTTGGATGAGTGTCTACGTACGCAGGTCTCTGAGTCCACCAGGGAACAAGCATGCCGCCAGTGGGGTAGTTAAGCAGTTATGGTACAGGCAGATTAGTTAGTTAGACTAGGTACAGAGACAGAGCAGAAAGCGCGGCAGCGATCGAGCTCCCGGTCGACTAGATACTCCGTACACCACAGAAGAGCAACAGACAACAAGGATCAGAAGAGGCCCGAGCAGCATGGCAATCTAAGAAAAGAGGAGCAGCGGCAAAGACAAAGGAGAGAAGCGGGAGAAGAATGGCGAGGTCGCAATTTTAGTCAATTAGTTATGTATTCCTGACGGGGTACAGGCGGTGCAGGCGGTGCAGGGCCGGGGGGGTTCCCGGGGCCGTGGGCGGGCGCGGCGGCTGCAGGGATGCGGCGCGGGCGGGCTGGGCGGCAGTCAGCGGCGAACGAGCAGCGATGGGAGAGGGAGCAAAGTCACTCACAGCGAACGAACGAGCAGCGCGCGGCGGCAGTTACTTGATATAGCAGGGGTTGCACTTCATGAAGCCGCAGACCTTGCAGCGCCAGATGGCGACGTGCGGGCCGCTGTTGCACTGCGAGCAGCGCCACTGCAGGATGTTGCCGTTGGGGATCTGGGTCTGCACAATCCCCCACTGGTGCGGGCACGACGGGTTGGCCATGGCAGCGGCGGGGAGGGAGGCCGTGGGCGAGGGAGGCGAGGAGGTACGGAGTAGTTCACGAACGGAGGGATGGATGTTAGTTGTGTAGCTCGCTTGACCACACGCCAGCGCGGGCAGGCCCGGGGCTTTAATAGCAGGCGGCGGGCGTGGGAGCTCAGTCGGGGCTCGCACGGCGCACGGAGCGTCAGCAGAGGAACTAACTAACTAACTAACTCATAAGCTCCCTCTGCACGCCCGCCCGCCGGTCTGGAAGGCGGCCTGGGCGTCCCGGGGGCGGTCGTGGCGCGCTGCCGCCGTTGGCAACACGATCATATGTACATAGATAAGTGACATCGATCGGCCCTGCAGCACGCCCGTACCAGGCTTGCCTCTTCGTCACACAGCCTGTCTAACTACGTGAGCGAGTTAACCGGAGCGATCGACACAGCAATCCTGCCGGCCTTTGTTGCGCAACATCGCCTGCAACGGAGTCGTTACCAACGAGTTCTGTTAGTTAGTAGTAACTCCGTAGCTTTATGCTTTCCTGCTGCCCGTTTTCCCAACAACACGGTACCTCAGCCCAGCCGCCCAGCGCCTCAGGACAGCCAGGAACCGCACCCACCGCGGGTCGGCGAGTCGACAACCTGCCTAGCTGGCTGCACATACATAGGACCCTTCCTACACTCTCCCACCGGCGCTGCCGATCTGGGTGTCGTCCGTCTGTCTGCTTGTCGGTGAGACGGCGCCTGGACGCCACCGATTGTTGTTGGGACCGCCGTGCTAACCAACTAGCCCGCAACAGGCAAAAGGCAGCCCATCGCCGCAACAGCCTCAGCAAGCTCCCTCCCAAAACGTCGCCTTGATCGCGCGTCCTGGCGCGGCATCTGGACCGAATCCACCGCCGCGCCAACCCGGCTCCCGCCCACACACGTCGTCCCAGGCCTGCAGTCTCTCGAGGTCCGCCCACTACTCCCTATAATTAGGACTGGCCGGCGGCTGCGTCGGGTTGAGACCTTTCCCTGCTTGGCCCTGCTAAGCACCCGCGCCGCCCACCCACCGGCCAAGACGGTTGACAATCCTCTTGCTCCCACTATATTATTATTATTATTATTCTTATTGCTGTTCATCCTCAACCCATCCAGCCAGAGCTGCTCCACCCCAAGCACCCAAAAAACAAAAATAGATCCGGTGCGGTGGATCGCACGCCTCACCTCTCTCTCTCTCACTTTCCGATACTTTGGATTTCCCGGCCCGCTGAGGACACGTCTCATCACATTATTATTGGAATTCGACCTTATGTGTGACCGTTCAAATAAACCCCATTGGCAATACTCGACATGGTTATCTGTCTATCTGCACTTCGATACATCCAGTAGGTATGTCTGAGCGATTAAAAAAGAGGACACACATTTCTTCCACATCGCCCAGGCCCGTCCCAAATCACAAAACATGAACCGGAGCCAGGCCAGGAAACAAAAAAAGAAAGAAGGAAATGCGACAGAGAAGCGCTGTTCAAGAGAAACAGCGCTCTCTCCTTCCTTGGGCCTCATTTTGATCTTCCAACGCTCCGTTAAGGACGAATCTGTGATGAACAGCCACCAAGAAAACTCAATGCATGTTCGAAGAGTGTCCCTGCGGAACCAAGTGTCCCGCAACGCTGGTTTGGTCATGTTTCTGGGAGATCGTTTCTGTATTGCTTCTTTTATTCATGATTATTGCTATCGGGGGCGGAAGTTGGACGCCTCCCTTCGGCGACAAAAAAGAAAAACACAAAAAAGAAAAGAAAGACAAAGAGACAAAGGGAGGGCAGAGAAGCACATTATTGATCGTTGGTTGTCATCCCAACGCTGCTGGCATCAGCGCACACCAATCGCGAACTCGTGGACAAACAGGACGCGCCAGAGCAGCCGATGCAGCTTCCAGTGCGCGGATGCGAGAGCGGGACAACAGATAACTAACCATGCATCATGCAGGCGGAATCCAGAGAAGGGCGATTCGCCAGATCGAAATGTCGGCCATCGGAGGCCTGCGACTGCCGGCGTTGCGGATGAAGTTGGCCCGCTTGTTTGTGCTTGCTTGTCGACATTTCAATTTTTGCCTGCAGAATTTTCGCGCCGAGCTGTGCTGACTCTGCCACCCCGTGACCCGCTTGGTAAGCGCTGACTCGTCGGAAAGCTCTTCCGCAGCATCTCGAATCGCTCCGCCTGCTGCGCCAGCAAACCGCCATTGCCGTCCAGCACTGGCTCTCCATTGGCAATGGCTGCTATCGCGCCACGGACCACATCGATCCCCAGTCCGATGATCGCCGTGCACTGCTCTCTCCGAAGCGGCTCGTGCTCCTGGCGGTCCTCGATGTCCTTGAAGTACGCCAGGTCGTTGCAGATGCTCACCACGCGTTTGGGAAACTTCGGCACAATCTCCATCGCTTCCTCGTACGACATTTGATACGCCTGGCAAAAGTCCGCCTGGTAGTCTTCCACGTACGGGCACTTGTTCTGGATGCCATACTGGATTGCCCGGGCCTCCGACGCCACGTTCCCGTGCCATTCGATCCCGCACTCGTTCACGTTCATGCCTTTTCGTCGCCGCCGTCGTTGTTCGCATATCGCCAAGTAGAACCGGTTCGATTCTTGCTTGATCTGCTCCACCAGCCCTGCGCACATCGTCTGGCCTACTTTGACCTGCTCCAGAACCTCGCGCGCTCTCTCCTCGTCTGTTGCAGTGTCGTACTGCTCCATCTTCCCGGCTTGCATACTAGTCTTGGCTTTCTCGGCTAGATCTTACCTCTGCCGCCCCAGTCAGTTATTATTGGTATGGAGCAATTGAGGAAAAAAAGGTGGGTGTGTGATTGACAAGAGTTATGATTCCATGCATGCCATTCCCAGCCCCTTCAAATAGTCACTTGCTCCCAGGTTTGCTTCCTGTCTGCACAATGAATTGAGACATCCATTTTCACATTGCTCTACACAATTAAACTATGCGAACAAGCTCGCATGCCCCATCAAAGCCGGAAAAGGAAACTCACATTTTCAAATCAAACACACTATGATAACAGCCCAATCAATGTGGCTGCATTTGCCTATATCGTAACTGCCAACATGAGATCTTGATTTGTTTAATCTCTTTCAACAATACTATATATTATATTCACTGCTACTCTCTCTTATTTTAGCTTTTCTGTTTTTGGCCCTGAACATGACGAACCGAGATACGCCCTTCCTCCAAACTCTCCTGTCACTGATGACAGCCGCCATTCCACCATACATCAACTGTGTGTGTGTTTACCCGGCCATGTGGTCCAGCGAAATCTCCGTGAGACGGTAGTTCTGGCGGACATCACGACGGGAGAGCCTAATGTTCTGCATATTGTTCTGAATAAGCAGGCGGGAGGGTGCTTCTTCATGGCGGATGTGGATCACTTCGCCTCCTTCGCCAGACATCCTGAACGTCCATTTTTGTTCTTTCTGGTTCTCAACGCCCTTAATGTCTAAGTTGAGTTGCTCTCGGCCATTGGCATCCACGTATCGGAACGACGCATATGTGTCGGAGAAGTAGTGGTGCGCAACGCCGGCGGCCAGACTCACGCTCATCTTCCTGGTCACAATATCCATTTCGACTGTCAGGAAACGATGATCGCTGATGCCGTTAAACCCAAAGGTAAATGAATTTCCCAATCCCTCGCCAGGCGAATCCCTGTTGGCCGGGAGGCAATCCGCATACTTCTTCCTGAGGTCTTCACGCTGAGGGCTGGGGAATAGATCGATGGCAAGACAGATATCCACTTTCGCCATGCTCTCTGCCTGCATCATAGCGTAGTAACCACGGAGCGTGGTTGCTGCGGTATCGATCCGCGCCAATAATCCCAAAAACGGGTCATTTTTCAATGACTTGTTCTTCAAGCCGCTCGCGGTTATGTCGAAGTTATTGGACGTTGCCTTTGAATCGATGACACCATCAAAAGATGGCGAAAGACGCACGCGGCTTGGTTCTTTGTGGAATATATGTAGCTGGTAGCCGGGCTCAAACTTCAACTCTCTCTGGCTTATGGTCGCATGTGTTCCTGGAATAGTAACCTTATAAAGCTCCTTGCCGCCTGTATCTTTAATCACCACTTCAGCATAAGTCTGGTCAGGGAAATAAGCGTGTGGGCTCGTTGTAGTGACTTCCACCTTTATGACCCTGTCAGCTTGGTCAATTATCACACTACAGAATTCACTGTCTCCTAGGCCGAGCAAGTTTATTTCTTGTGAGACTATCGATGAAGTTGTCTTGCGAGCATATTTTATGGGTATGGTGTTTGACCCGGGCTTAACAATCATATATTCGAACTTCCTTTCGTACTTGATGTCTCGGCCCGTGGGAAGATGCACTTTGTATACGCCGATGGGGGCGCCACCAGGAATGTTCATTTTCGGGGTAAGAAGGGTCATTTTATGGTTGCGAGCGCCCTCTAAGAAACAGATATCCCCACCGTAAATCTGGCTGAAGTGGTCGATTTCGAACTCAAACGTAACGTCTCCTCTTTGGCCCGTCATCAGCATTTGCTCAACTGTCACCAGGCATATAGGGCTATCCAATTTCAGCTGCTGTTGGGATTTCGCTAAAGTCTCACCCTCCAGAAAACGGTTGAGGGGATACACAGCTTTGGCAGGCCCGTATAGGTTCCGCTGAGCCTGTGTCGGGCTGATATAGCCACCGACGAGCCGCACAAATGCTGTCACATCAATCTGGCGGCCCGAGCTGGCAAAGCTGTCCGATAGCATATCCAACAAGCCAAGCTTACGTCCGACGAAGCCATCTGTATTGCTCATCAAACGATATTGCTGGTTGAAATGGGTGAATGTGTTGTGGCCAGCTTGTTCTATCATCAAAATAAGGAAATATAGTTTTTCACGAAGGCCCCAGGAGTTTACCGCTTTGCCCTGATCAATATATTCATTGATAGTTTTTTCCACGCGGGCTTGGTGGCCGTAGTCGTAGAGCCAGCCTTCTTTAAACTTACGATCGCCTAACATGACGTTCTGATAACAGGCGCCATAAATGTTGTTCCACACCTCTCCCACGGAGAAGTGCTTGTCCTCCATAAAATGTCCTTCATAGCCATGGGCAATTTCATGCAAACAGCCCCAGCTGGTAGCTTCTGGCCTAAGCCAAAAGCTGCTGACAGAGGAAGTCGATTCGGCGGACCAGTTATCACCGTAGTACGCAGCTCCTGCACCGTGCTTGTCGGCCTTGAGAAAATAACGATTGCGCGAATTGAGATCCGTGGGGCGCTGTGGGTTGAACGAGACGCCGGCCATTTCATTATAAAAGGTGAACAATGATCGATAGAAGGTAGCCAAACCTTCGATGCTTTTCGAGCCTGGCATCTTCTTCAGATCGGCCTTGTTCCGGGCAGGGACCAGTATGTTCACATAATAGGTTTGGATCAGCGCAAATTCAGCATTCTGGCTGTCCCAGACGGCGAAAAAGCTTTCTTCATCATTGTCTCCTTCGTGGTAGACCGGTAGGATCTTCGACCCCTTTGGGAACTCGTACTCGATCACAGGCCTTACGCTGCCATATGGCGTGTTGATAAAAGGAACAGACACCGCTGTCGCCTTGACATCGGTCCAGCTACTCCCCACGACGGCAGATACTTCTGTATTTTTATCGTCGTTGAGTAGACGCAAGGAGATTGTGTCTGTAAAAGCAGCGTTGGTTTGGCGTATTCTGAGGATCTTATCCGACGCTAGGATGATCCCCAAGTGCTGGCGATCGTGATTGATTCCTTTGCTCAATCCCGCCTTGTCTAACCAGACTGGCCGCGGCAGGGTGGTGATCCGCTGGCTCTGGATGAAGGTCGACATGTTGGGCCCCAGCCTGAATAGCTAAACGCCGGACTGGACGTATATAGATCAATAGGCAGCGTATGCTTGAGGGTTTGTATGTCTCTAGTTTGAGGAATAGGCTAAAGGCAGATGAAAAGCTGGGAACGACACCTCCTAAGTCAGGCATTGCTGCGTCTTTATATCTTCCACGGCTCTTCCCCTCACCACACGCATGGAGCGAGGACAGATGTTCGATGTTGCCTGCAAGCCGTTGTGGTGGGCTCCCTTGCGTTCCGCCAGTGCTTAGGCAGGTTTAGAACCGGTCGACGATAGACTGTATGGTGAGCAGGCGGGACGAACGCAATGACTAGCATCCAGACGAATGTGTGTTGCCTCGCCCTGGACTGGTGCTCACCGGAACGAGCTGGAAATACAGTCCTCGCGAGTCGAGGGGCGACAACGTAGCTAGAGAGCACAGCAGTCCTTGTTTGGCGTGGATCGTGCTGAGTAGTATGTCGAACAAGAACAACTAGCTGTTGTCAACATTGCTTTCTGGGCTGGAAAGGGAGGCGCTGCCGGCCGCTGGCTACGCGTCGGTTTGTTTGCGAGCTGGGCAGGGCTGGGGGCCGGCCTGGATGTAGACAACGGTCAGGGTTCCGGATGCTGAAGATGGCTCTAGTGCCGATGATCTGGTCATTTGGGGCTGCTGGGATGGTCCAGGGACCAAGGAGCATGCCCAAGGATCAGGCAGAGTGGTGCACTGGATATACGTGTCAAAGCATGAGAGTCACGGCGGAGAGACGAGGAACTGAGCTGGTACCACCCTGCACCAACACGATGCTGATTATTTTTCTAAACATTTGAGGTATATGGCAACGATAAGAAAAAAGCATCAAGACGGCCCACGGCATTGGCCCTGTACATATGTTTGTATATGATGGATAAGAAAGAGAGACCCCCGAACATATAGACCCAGCTAGAAAAGACCCTAGTCCCGTATTTCGAAGAGCGCAGTAATGCTAGGCAGTGTCACTAGTTAGATCTCATCCCCGCATAACTAAGACTGAAGCAGGAAAATCCTACCTTTCTCCATAGTGATGGCGTCGAATACTCTCTGATAAGAGGGCTGCCACATCCAATACCACTAGTTTCCTCATATTCCGGGCCCTCTGGGGGTCGATCGGGAAAGTATTCGTGATCACGATATAGTCAATGCAATCACATTCCTCAAGTTGCTCTAGCGAATTGTCTCCGAACAAGCCATGGGTAGCGATGCAGTAAACCTTTTTGGCGCCGCCCTTTTTGACCACAGTTTCCGCAGCTGCGATCCATGAACCTGCGCGATCGATCATATCGTCAACAATGAAAACCGTCTTATCCCGCACATCGCCAACCAGAGTGATTGTCCGTTCGTGGTTGGAATGTTGCGCCTTCTCATCCTCTTCGTCAGACGATGCTTCGGCGTCAAACGAACCGCCAAGGGCGTGCTCAGGCTGAAACGAAGATATTGTCGAAATAACCGATTCTGCCATAGGGTCGAGTGGAGCCCCATCGTACGCATCTATACGCTCCAGGGAAGCATTCAGGCCGGATACCGAGGCCGAAGTAGAAGACAGATGTGGTGAGGGATAGTCATCATCAACCAAATGGCCTTGCACCAGTCGTCCAGTAATAACTTCCCGAGCACGTTCGTCGGTGTATTCGTTGGCGGGATCGTCCAGCTGCCCATCACCCCCCTGCAAAAGCCGGTTCTCCGATTCACTCTCGCTGCGATCCGGTTCAGCGCACTGGTCCTGGGGCGTCTTGGCTTCCTCTACCAATGGCGTTAGGGGATTCGTGCGGCCTTCGGAGAAAGCGTCAACCAGGGAGGTCGGTTGCTGGCCTACATCGCGAGAGCGGGCACGGCTGGGTAAACTGGCACGATGGGGGGCATTCCGCGGAGGGAACTCAGCGTTTCGGACATTGGCAAGCGTGTGTTCAACCGAGTCGAAAAAGATAGCGCTATCCGTCATGGAATGATGGTTGTACTTCTGTCGCCGCCTGTCAGTCGTCACGATACCAAAATTCAGTTTCAGGGCATCTGCCAGCGAGGTGACCCGCTTGCTGCCACCGGCATTTTTGGTGACAACCACAGCTTCGTGCCAGCGCGGGACGTTTATCCGAATCCACCGTGCAATCAAGGGCTCGGCAAAGAGGTTGTCGACGGGCTTTCCGAAGAAGCCTTGCATTTGCGACGCCTGGAAGAACCGTCGTCAGCATCTAGCTAGTACCGATAACCTGCAGCTATTACCCGTACATGCAGATCCACGGTGATCACATGGTCGACGCCGGCGATGGAGAGCAGATTGGCGAGCATGCGAGCGGTGATGGCTCCCCGGTGGCTCTTCTTCTTCGATTGGCGGGAGTAGGGGAAGTATCTTTAGGGTGTCAGTCCGACCTTATCGAGTATGCACGACATCGACAGAACCTACGGGAGTACGGCTGCAGGAGATCGAGTTAGCACGGCCGGGGTGTCTGGCAGCAGGGACAGGGCGGCTTACCGGTAATGGACTTTGCAGAGCCGCCTTTGCAGGCGGAGATCATGATCAACAGCTCCATGACACTGTCGTTGATCTTGCTGCTGCCGCTCTGCACAATGAAAACATCCTGGTTGCGCACCGAGACGCCGATGTTGACGCAGGTCTCGCCGTTGCTGAACTTGCGCAGCTCGCACTTTGCGGGGAGGGTGCCGAGCCGCTCACAGATGGCCTCTGTGAGGGCGGGGTGGGAGTTGCCGGAGAATATCTGCACGCCACGCATGGTGGGCAGGTCGTCGTTCTCGTCGAGTGTCCAGCTGTTCGGTTGTCTCTCGATGCTGTCTCTGGTCGTCGTCGTCTCTACGGTCTCGCTGGATTTTTCGCCGCAAACAAACTCGACCAATCGCGGCGACCATGTGACGCGCTGCGAAAATCCGCCGTTGAAGACTCTCAATAAAACCCGCCGCGGCCTGCGATGCCACAGACTCTACGAGCTTCGCGCTGCTCCAGATGCCGCCGTCCTTTGCTCCCGTCCAGCCCGGCGGCTCGCTGATGGTCGCCTGGCAGGTCCGCGACAAGCATGTCTTGGTTGTCGGTGGCGGCGAGGTGCGCTCCCGCTCGCATGCCCTTCCTCCAGCTGTAGACTAACTGGCTAACATTCGTGTGCTTTCAGGTGGCCGCGGGCCGAGTGCTGCACGCTCTTAATGCCGATGCCCACGTCACCGTCGTCTGCCCGTCCGCCTGCCTCAACGCTGAGGTCAATTTCCGTATCTCCCGGGGCCAGGTCTCGTATGTCGACCGCAAATTCGAGCCCTCAGATCTTGAAGGTGATATATCCATGGTCTTTGTTGCCATTGACGACCCGGACGCCTCGACGCAGATCTGGAAATTGTGCAAGGAGCGTCGCATCCCTGCCAACATCGCCGACGTGCCCCCTGAATGTGATTTCTACTTCGGCAGCGTCCACCGCGACGGGCCGCTGCAGGTCATGGTAAGCACCAATGGGAATGGGCCAAAGCTCGCCAGCATAGTTCGGAAGGAAATTGCTGCCATGTTGCCGGGAAATACGGGTGCTGCTATTCAGAACGTGGGCGTGCTGAGGAGGAAGCTGCGAGAACGTGCTCCAGCTGCGAAGGAGGGGCCAAAAAGGATGAAATGGTGAGTAGCACATCGCAGAGCTGAGCTGGTTGCTGCGTTCTTACAAGCTGACATTGCAAAAGGATTTCTCGAGTGTGTGAGGTATGGAGCCTGGAAGAACTCGTTGAGATGGATGAGGAAGATATGGATGAGATGCTTGGTTTTTATGCAAAGGACATGGTTCCTACCCTCGAGCAAATTCGCTTAAAGGAGGAGAGCATTGCGCCCTTCGACGGTAGCATGGGCTGGAGTTGTTAGGTCTTGTGGGTGGGATAGATTGTTTGCTATTTTGGCGTCGAGTCTTCTGCGAATACTGTGGAGTATACATGGAACGAATCAATGTGACAAGAGTGAATTTGCGTAATGAAAGGATTCAACGCTTTCTGTCTTTCCTTCCGTCCTTTCTAGAAGGTTGCTAAAAGTACACAAAGTGGAAGAAGTCGCTGGACGCCGTCTAGCTCGCCGCAAACGTCAAACTCAAAAACCCCATAGGAAAAGAAAATGGCAGCGTCATATCCGTAGTGAAACTTGAAATACACGAGCGAAAAGGGATAAAAAGGGGATTATGAGTAAGGGGTGTGGCGATGGTGGCTATAGAGGTATTTCAAGGATTGGCCTTGACGAACTCGATACCTAGGCAAGACGAACAGAGTCAGTTGCTAAAAATCCTTGAATACTGGGATAGGAAGCTTACCCTTGGTGATATTCTTCTTGAGATCCACCAAGCAGGCATCAAGGAGCTTCTGCTCGTACTCAGAGACCTTTCCAACTGGGAGAATCTCCTCAACGCCATTGGCTCCGAGTCTGACGCGGGAAGCGAAGAAATCGATGCCCTGAGATTTGTATAGAGGGCTTTCGACGAAAGTTGGCTCAATGACCTTCTCACCCTCAGAAGCGCGGAGCAAACTCTCGGCAAAGCGAGCGCCAGCCATGGCCATGGAAAGGGTGGCAGATCCCGCACCGGCCTTAGCTTTGACGACCTCATCACCGCCAAATTGGATGCGGTTGACGAGAGCATCGAGAGCCTCGCCAGAGATGTCGGGGTGGTTGGACTGGGAGACCAAGGGAACAATAGTCACCCCAGAGTGTCCACCAATGACTGGGACTTCCTCATTGACGGGGTCGGTCTTTTTGATCTCAGAGATGAAGCGGGAAGCACGGACAACATCAAGAGTGGTGACACCGAAAAGGCGCTTGGGGTTGTAGACGTTCTTGGATTTGAAGACCTCGGCAACGATCGGAACAGTGGAGTTGACCTTGAGAAGCGTTGTCAGACTCTATGGCTCTAGGACCACTTGTGATTGAGATAGACTTACCGGGTTGGAGATAACGAGGATTTTAGCATTGGGAGCAGCGTCGGCAGTCGCCTTGGCCAGATCACGAACAATGGAGGCATTGGTATTGAAGAGGTCTAAGATCGATTAACTTAATAGTTCTCACGTAGGCGGCTTTAAAAGACCATACCATCACGGGTCATGCCAGGCTTGCGGGGAACGCCAGCTGGAATAAGGACGATTTCGGCGTCAGTCAAAGCCTCCTTGAGGCCAGTGGCAGTGGGCTCGTGGCCAGTAACGACGCTGTTGGTGTTGATATGACTCAAGTCGGCAGCAACACCTATGGATCGAAGGCAAATTAGCGGCGTGAAACTCCGTGAGAACGGAGAGCAATACCAGGGCCACCACGGATATCGTAGAGAGCGAGATGGCTAACATGGGGGTTGAGCTTCATCAGAAGAGAGAGGGGCTGGCCAATGCCACCGGCAGCACCGAGAACGGCAACCTTGGAGTTCTACTCGGTTCCACAATCAGCAATGCACCGGCTGGAGCTGTTCTGGGGCTGCGATTGAGCTTTACCTGTTGGGCGGTGGCCGAAAAGGCACGGCGCTGGGCCATGCTGATAGCTCTGCGTGCAGCAAACATGATGGCTGGAGCGGGTCACAAAGAAAGAAGAAACAAGTGGATTGTGAAAAGCAGAGGAGCAATTGGCACTGCTGGTCTCAGTGAGCGTGAAGAGTGAGGAAGAGAGAAGGAGAAGGTGAGGTTGCTGGTGAATGTTAGGTTTTCCAGTCACGGGAACGCCGGCCCGGACAGCCTATGAAGCACAGGGTCGCAGATGTGTTTCAACAGGCATGCCAGGGCCCTCTGTTTATTAAATAACTACAGAGTACGGAGTACCTAGTTAACTAACAACTGTCTAGATCTGCCCAGGAGCCAGCATTGACAGGTCTCCAGAGCTACATGCAGGTCCGCTCACGGACAACAGCCTTGGGTGATGGCTTAAGCACCTCCGAATCAACCCGAAGTCTTTGAAGTGTTTCTTGCGCCGACAATTTCTGGACCACCACACCGTTCTCCTGAAGGCCCAAACCTGCCAATGATGACGGCTGAAGTGGCGGCGGTGATGGGCCCCACGCTGGCTGGGCATCCTCCCCATGTCCCTGCTGCTGCTGCTGCTGCTTCTTCGCTCGCCTCTGTGCTTTGAACCAGCCTACGTACTGATTGATAAGGGACGCGATTAGGACCAGAGCAGCAGACACCACCGGAGACCACTGGCCAACGGAGCTGTAATCTTCTTCTACTGGCAGATTCGGTTTCATCAAATTGAGTTCGTTGAAGACGATATTCGCTATAAAGAGGGGCGGTGTGAGGATGTCGAAAAGTAGGTCTAGGAAAAGCAGTGGGACGACGATTAGCGCGACCAATAGCCTTTTCAAGCCCCCTTTGAACATGGCCCGGCGCATATATTGGAATAGTAGGATATATCCACCGTACCACGTTCGGCAGGCGGTGTTGTATGTGTTCTGGGAGAGGCGCATGTGAAGCGTGCTATTGATATACGCCATGACCATCATAGTGCATACGTACGACGGCGTGTGCGGGCTCAGATTGTATGATACGGACTTATGTGCTGCAACTAAGACAGGCCCAATCAGGATGGCGCCGAGGTTCGCATAGGTCCCGAGAAGCCGTTCGGTGGGGATAACCCTGATCTCGCCGGGCTGGCGCATGGCTGTTTTCGCGGTGAAACATGTGTATGTGCAGTTGAACTGGTTGGAGGCGAGCTCGGCCGCCGTCGTTAAAAGCTCTCCAGCGGCCGACCGACACGCAGGCAGCGCATCCGAATGGATATCTAGCAGCAGTGCTCGACCCACAATGCATGACATTCCAACCAGAACGCCCCATATAACGATAACGATTCGTGCTTCCGACTGTCGGAGAGCAGACGACCAGTGCACTAGACCTGCGAAGGCGAGACAACCCGTTGTAAGCACCGCCCACGCGGCCAGAATGTCAAGGTCAAACACAGGTGTCCGCGACTTGAGCATAGCCAGCATGTGGATTGCTGTAGAACCAGCGTAAGATAACGCAGATGCGAGGGCTCCCATCACCAACCATCGCTGATACCGGCCCAGGATTCCAAGGACGAGGGACGAGTAGTATAAAAAACGCGGGAGTAGCCCATATTGACCGCTGATGGCGTAGACGCAGATCACGGTGTCATTGTGGCCCAGGGGAATATTTGACGGTTCAACGAGATCGCGAGGGACCAAAGTTGAGGGTGTGCTGGTTGGGGTGGGAGTCGCTCCAGTGGTGAGTGCAATGATTGCAATACAGAGAACAAAGGCGGCAGCACGGCTCATCCTTAAAGGCTGAGATCTTGCCTGAAGCTCATCTCACCATGGCAGCGGGCGAGAAAATAGCGGTTTGGCACATTATATATCCCGGCATAGATACTCCGTACCGTGATAGAAACACTGATGTTCCCGCGCCTCGTATTTATGCTTCCAAAGTTGTTTTCAGCCTTACTCTATACAAGAAGGTCCATCACCCTCAAAGCCATTGGATTGGCTTTTACACAAGGTCAAGGATACCGGCAAGCTTCCAACCTGCACTGCCACGCGCGGAACATGCTGGTTTTGCAGCCATGTTGAGATGAAACAGTTTGTAAGTCCTCACACAGATGCACAGAGCTGAAAGCCAAGTCGTGATCTTCAGTAAATCCATGATTTAATTATTTCAGGCAGCTCTACGGTTATCTCCGTAGCCGGTTGCAATTTCTATTGCGTAGGGCGATTCCAGAATAACAAGTGATTGATAGCGAGAACAGAAGCTCGAATCAACACTTTTTATCCCATTCTCACTTATGTGCTGCGCCTGAACTCTGATCAAATGCCAAACGCCAGGCCAAAATCGTGCCACCGTACAAAAGCGTATTCAGCGCAGAAAATGAAGCACAATCCAGCAAAATCCAAAGAAGATTAGAACCCCTGCCCAAAATATCCATTTATCCTGCTTAGCCCTCCTCTCCACCTTTCGAATTGTCTCTCCGCTGATACCCAGTGTATTGGCTACGCTATATAGCCTCTTCTGTGTCCCTTTAAGGATTTCTCGCTGCTGCCCTAAATCTCCCAGCACAGCTCGGCCGCGGTCTAAAAATTCATCCAACTGTGCATTTGTGCTTGACATAAATGACTGCTCCCGTAGCGCATGTTGTTCTCGGTTAAACTCTGAAGGACCTGCGCCAAAGCTTAGGCCTCCGCTAGCCGAGCCCCGTGCAAAGGGTGATTGTGATGCGGGAAGTGAGGACTGGGAATAAGGGTTTTCTGGTGTAGCCGCATGGTGTGGTCGGCGTCCTAGGAGCTCGCTTCGGTTGGTAGTAGTTTGCTATCGTGTAAAATAACGGTTAGAGCCAGTGGTCCTGCAATTTCATGGTCTCGGAGCATACTGCGTCTTCGCGCTCTCTCTTCAAGTTATCGAACTGCGACCTGTACTCGCCCAGTTCTGCCCTGAAAGTTTTTAACCGCTCAAATGCCTTCTGCTGCTTTTCAGGTATAAGTTCTTTTTTCGAAAGTGAGGAATAATCATCAATGGTCCGGGAGAGTGATGCAAGAGAGGCAGATATCTGGCCTAGAAATGTAGTGTGTTAGCCCGAAGGCTATGCAAGTTTGAAATCATGGAAAGTCACCTTGCAGAGCTGCGGGGGATGAGGTAGGGGATTCAGCAAATGTGTCTAAATCACGACGCACGGCAGCCGACTGTTTCAGCACGGCGTTAAAGAGGGAGTTCTGAAAAGATGTTGTTAGTTTGGCAGCAACATCATACATGCGACTACACACCATTATGAAGTTGAGATGCCAGGTAGACTCAGGAATACCGCGAGGAGTAGGTCCGTACCATGCAGCACGGGGATCTTGTTGTCTAGATGGATCCGCCCCTCGATGCCATGGCGAGTGCAAGCTGTCCGGAACTAGCCTTCATCTAAACGTACTGCCACGCCGAGCCGTGTTCTGTGGACGTAACAATAATATTCCGCTCCGAAATACTATTCCGGATTATTATTAGTCCGAATATGCTGCCACCCAAAATAGTTCAGGTTTCGTCGCTACACTGCGACACCTGCTGTTTGTAAATGTCCCGATACATTTATTGCTATCGCTACAAATTGTAGAGGGTGGGCATGGGTACATATGTCATTTTAGCGGGAGTCGCATGCCCGTATTGGGATGGACCCCCTCAAACAATGCCATCGCTTTCTGCGGGTCTAGTTTTTGTGAAGAGCGTTGCTGCGGAAATTCAGCAAACCCCCATTTGATTGACCATGCACACTTTGTTTCATTCCAGGCCATTGTTGGCGTAAGTGTGCACACCGTTTTCCATAGGTTCGCCATGAGCTTCCTGGTGATGTAGTGAGGCCGGCCTTTTTGGTAAGGGGCGAATGTAGAGCCTTTTGGCGGGCCAAACACAATGAACTCGGGGGAAAGCAGGGATTTTGGCTCCAAATCTTTCGGTGCTCTCCTCCTTTTGGGAAGCGTCCAAGGTTCTCTGCCTGAGGCAAGGCCTTGGAGTGTTTTCCATTCCTGGTCCGGTAGCACTGGGAAGACGCTGTTAATCAAGAGTTGGTACCACTTTCTTCGAATGTTCGCACGGCGTTTTACTGGAGTGGACCGGCCCCAGGCGTTTTCCTTGGGTATTGGCGGCTCAAACGCCTTGATATTTCGTTTGAATTTTAACTCGACGATTTGTCGATGCCTACACTGGTCTTTCACTAAGGCCAGGAGGGCACTTGGAGCTTCCCAGTCATCATCGAATGTCTGCTTTTGGGTCGAGGGGGGGATTAAGGGGCTCATCAGTTCTCTTCTTCGTTTCCCCAACCGGCCATATGAAAGAAGGAGCACTCGTTCTAGAGGTCTTAGATAGCCCTCATTGGCGCGGTGCAGGAGAGACAGCAGCTTTCGAAATCGCCGGTGGCGGTGAAACTCCTCAATTGGCTTCAGTCTGTGCCCGCGACCAGCGGAAGCGCTCTCTCGAAAGCCGGACCGAATGTAGCGGCGCATATATTCTGTAGCAATCGGGTCGGGTAGGTAGGTGCATTCGCGCAGTAGTGATCTGTAGAGGTGCTGCCATGGTGTTGACCGGGTGGCCAGCACTGCCTGGGTGGCCATGAGACGCCTGCCGTGTGGCCTCGCCGTGACTCTTCGCGCTCTCCCGCTTGATCAAATGAATCTTCTGGGAGAAGATCCCGCTTAGTCAGCCGACGCGAGGACGCGAAATCCGACTTTCTCGCCTGCCGGGCTGATGCCGGGCCGTGGACACCCTGCGCAAGACCAGCGACACAAGGACGAAGCACGCATTCGACTGCCAACACAGCAGGACTGCTGCATCGCACGCGCTGCCTCGAATTCGCGGAGTCTCGTCTCTCAGGGGTACTTCCCAGCTTGCTCGGCGTTGCGTGGTTCGTGAGTGCTCCAGTGGCTAGGTAACGTGACCACGCGGTTCTCCTCAATCGGGCCGGCGTCGCGACAGAACCAGAGCGAGTCTTATCAGCCACCGCAACGACTCGCATCGTCATGGTGAAGACGCATGTCGCTTTATCACAGCCACACATTCAACAGACTTAGTTGCGGCAACTCCCATTCTCTTTCATCCCCTGCGTCCTCGTGTCTCCAGGCGCCTATGGTGCGCCCTCGGCCAATTACAAGCCTCAATTCCTTTGTCTCGTCGTGACCTTGTCTACTAGGCAGGTCTCTTGCCATACTTCTCCATGTCTGTCTCACAGAGCAGCGTCGCCCATCCTAATGGATCCGCCCTGTCGCAGCCCCAAAGAGCCTCTTTTACTACCTCCCAGCCCGCGCGGTCTGCTCCTGCTAGCTCACCTCCACCTTCGTCCTCGCAACAGTCAATCTCCGCAAGTTTCCCTAAGGCCGGTCCCGGTATCAGGTTGAGGGAAGATCATAGTTTTGGAGTGTTTGGCGACAAAGCTGACTGCGAAGACAACAGCAACAGTCACCAAATTTATACAGTGAGCCTCCTCGCCCACTGCTGTATCACTGGCCGTTATCCTTATAGCATTTATCCTGACAGTTTGATTTTTAGGCTGTCTATTCCAACGTATCAGTGTACGAAATGGAAGTCAATGGCGTTGCCGTAATGCGACGCCGGTCGGACTCTTGGCTTAATGCTACACAAATCCTCAAAGTAGCAGGTGTTGTCAAGGCAAAACGCACAAAGACTCTGGAAAAAGAAGTGATTTCTGGGGAACATGAAAAGGTTCAAGGGGGGTATGGAAAGTATCAAGGTACCTGGGTCAGTTATGAGAGAGGTGTGGAGCTGTGCCGACGATACCGGGTGGAACACCTTTTGCGCCCCTTACTTGAATATGACATGGGCCAGGATGGCATAAGTCAAGCTGGACATGGGGCCATTCACACCCCGACAAAGGAGCAAGCTATGGCCGCTCAAAGAAAGCGACTTTTTTACACAGATAGCCAAAATTCTTCGGCATCACAAGGCACGTTTTTTCAAAGTATCTCCCGCACTGCAGCCAGTGCTGTAAGTGCTATCAACAAGGCACGGTTTGATTCTCCCATGAGTCGGCCGTCGGACAGCCGACAATCTAGCACAATGAGAAAATTATCACAGATGAGTAGCCAGGAAGCTCACGTTCCTTCCAACAATCAGCAGAGCATGTTCAGTGTGGCGTCGGATAGTGGCTTTGCAAGCAACCTCCCCGCCAGCCAAAGAAGTATGATGGAGCATGGAGAAGAGTCCCAGGAGCCCCCGCGGAAGCGTATGCGGTCGTCTTCCACTGTTCAACCCCATTCTTTCAATGCGCCCATGAACGATCCCACCCCAACCGAGCCGAATGAATCATTTTATCAGCCAATCGAAGCACAAGTAGATGGTGCCAGCGACTACGCGCACGGTCTAAGGCCTTTACTGCCACCCACTACACCTGAAAGATACCAAAAAATGAAACTTATAATGACGTTGTTCCTGGACAAACGCACCAGGGATTTCTCAACCCATCCTGCTTTCCTCACGCTAACGAGCGAAGATCTAGAAATCCCACTTGACGAGTATCTTAATAGTGCTTTACACTGGGCTGCCATGCTGGCTCGTTTACCGTTGGTACACGCTCTGGTTACGAAAGGAGTCAGTATATATCGACTTAATGCTGCTGGGGAAACGGCGCTACAAAAGGCAGTTGGTACCAGGAATAATCTTGATTATCGAACTTTTTCAAAATTACTGCAAGTCCTTGCTTCCACCATTGAGATAATGGATCACCATGGAAGAACAGTTCTGCATCATATCGCGATGATGGCGGCGACTGGAGGTGATGGCCATGTCGCTGCAAAACATTACCTAGAATGCCTACTTGAATTTATTGTGCGGCATGGGGGCCCTTCGAATAGCCAACAAACGCAAATCAATGGTAAAAACGCGCTTGCAGATCCTGAGAGGCTTGAGATCATTGGACTGGGGAGGTTCATGTCAGATATGGTAAATATCCAAGATGACCAAGGGGATACGGCACTTAATCTTGCAGGAAGAGCACGTACCATTCTTGTGCCCCAACTACTAGAAGTCGGTGCCAGCCCGCACATACCTAATCATACTGGGCTTAGGCCAGCCGACTATGGGGTTGGCGTTGACATGGTTAACAATGGTGAATCAGGCCAGCAAAATGGGGATTCCAGCGAGTCGTTTAGCAACCATCTAACAAGGACCAGAAAAGAAATTCTCAGCTGTAAGTATTCACAGGCATCTCTAATTGACCACCCTAACTAATTTTCACCAGTCACAATTTCACAGGTAACATCTGCTATAGAACAGTCATTCAATATGGTGGACCGAGATCTTTCCGACGACTTAGATAAGAAGCAAGAAGAATTTGATGGTTGGCACGCTAAGATTCGCGAAAGCGCAAGACTTCGCCAGATTGAGCAAGTCGAACTAGACGAAATCAAGAAAAGAGCCGGTGAACGTGTTGAACTTCAGCGGCAAACACGGAACCTGGAACAATCAGCAGAAGAACTCGATGGTGTAATACGAACAATGCAGGGTACGGGATTAGGAGAAAGCACAGTTAGCGATATCCATGAAAGGCGGGCTTTATTCGACGCAGATAGATTCCACGCATTGTTCCCTGACATACTTGATGCTTCAACCGGCTTCTCAGATGAGCAGACAGCTTATCTTTTGGGGCAACCTTCTGCCAAGAAGTTAGAGTCGCTTCTAAAAGCCTATGAGGGGCAAAATAAGAAAATCACTGAAGAAATCGAGATTCTCAAGTCGAAGAACGTTGTACTGGGCGAACAATACCGCCGCATGGTAATGGCATGTACCGGATGGACCGGTCAGCAAGTCGATGCGGCTGCTGAGGGCTTGACAGAGTGCGTGAAAGACTTGAATCAAGATCCAATGCCAGAGGAAGTGGCACTCGAGATTCTGATGCAGGACCGTGGCCAGGATTGGTGAGGGATCGAATACGGTCTCCCACACTCGTATCATATGCATCACCTACCTAAAGACACGTACTTCATACTACCATATTTTTGATTTGACACGGCTTCCGTGTGAATACTAATGTTCCTGCAAGTGCGGCTTCTATCCACCCTTCTATCTGTGCCCAAAACATGGTTGTTTTCATGATGGCAATGAACATAGTTTTATTTCTTGTTTTATGGCCTTTGAGATGTCAGGTCTCAGTTTTGCTTGGCTTCCATGCACCCACAATGACTGCTTGCATTCTGCGGTGTCGTTTGTCTCAATCACTATGTATGTATCTATATACATAGTTCTTCTCAGTCTCAAAGGTTACTTACATATTCATTTAATCGTTCCATCGCGCTGGGCATGTTTTTGAAACCCGCTGGAGGGGTTTGGATGTAGTTGTTTAACCTATTGGCAAGGAAAAGGTTACTGATTGAAGACTCTGAGTACTCCGTATTTGCCTTTGGAAATGAAGGACCCATCGTAAGCTCGAGTAGTAAGTCAACGACGATTGGCTAACTTGCCGCACTGACTTCCGATATCTCTTGGCGATCCAGGCGGCCGCCAAGTGTGATTATATAAGGCGGGGATGGAGGCTGAAACGCGGGAAAACAGTTACCCCGCGCGTGTCTAATGAGGCATCTTCTTGGTCAACAAGTTCACGTTTGCTTCACCAGAAATTAGGAGCTTCAAGATCTACGCCCAGGAAGTCTTCCCTATTTGTATCAACATCAAAAGGCTTCTATATCTCATACGTCACCCTCCCGTTTCCTCCACTTGAAACAAAATGTCTGGATACTACGGCGGCCCACCGCAAGAAGGCTTCTATGGCGGACAAGCTCAACAGGGCCAATACTATAACTCTCAGTCCCAGGGCTACTCTCAGGATCAACACGGCGGCCAACAGCCTGCCTACGGACAGTACGGACAGCAGCAAAACCATCAACAAGGATATCATGGCCAGCAGGCTCAGCAACAGGTAAGTGTTTCTAAAAACAATAAAAACATTATTCAGCATACTGCTCCTAACGGGAAATCTGCAGTATGGCGGACCACCACTCTCCCAGCAGGGTTATGACAACCGCGGTCAAAATTATGGCGCATATTCCCAACCCCCTCCCCAGCAAGGAGGTGGAGGGGAGAACAGCTCTTACTACGGTGCACAGGGCGGGCAACAGCAGCAATCATACCCCGGTGGCCCGCCAGGACCAGCGGGTGGCCCTGGAGGGCCAGAGGGAGAAAAGGGACTAGGCGCAACCTTAATTGGCGGCGCGGCAGGCGGGTTTGCGGGGCACAAACTTGGCGGAGGCGCTCTGGGAACAGTGGGTGGGATGGTGCTGGGCGCAGTAGGAGCTAATGCCGTTGAAGCGGGAATGAAGTAAGTATCCTGGTGCTTGTTTCGTCTCAAAATAAGTTGAAATGGCATGGTTACTGACGTATGGCCAGGCACGGGAAGAAGGACAAGAAAGACAAGAAAGATAAGAAGAATAAAAAAGACAAGAAGGACAAGAAGGATAAGAAGGACAAGAAGCATAAGAAACATAAGAATCGGGGTGGCTCTGGCAGTTCAAGCTCGAGCAGCGATAGTGACTAGGCGGGTGGCGCAGACAGGCAAGGCTGGAGCTGTGGTGTTTTGTTTTGTTGGGTTGCAGGGCCTCCGTTATCGTTGACTCCGTACATAGCAGTTAGCTATCTCTTAGCTGTACTCCCTACTGCGTGCTTACATGCAACCGAGCAGCCACCGAGCAAAGCCCAGATGAAACGGGCTTCGCGCCCGGCGCCTCGAGTGCAGGCGGTGTGACGGCCGGAAGCAGCTAGCTCCGAAACGAGATCACGGGCTCGCGGCCGCAGCGTCGGGCGTCACCGATCGAAAACCGCGGCGGCGGTCTGGGCGGGCATGCTGCTTGGCGCACCCCGATTGGCCAGCGCGTGTTCGGGGCGGGACTTGGCAGGCGCGGGCCGGCGCGGAAGGCGGAAGGGATCGACGCGGTGGCGGCGCGGATTAAGCTTGTTCCGACGGCGCTGGAAGCCCGCCTTCCGGGCATGGAGTGGGATCCGTGGGCGGCGAGCCAATGCGTGCGCGTGCGCCGGGGCGTGGCGACGGCCTGTGGTGTTGAGACAGTGAGCCGCCCACGTCATTTGTACGACGGCGCAATCGAGGCCGGGCCCGATGCCGCCGGCTGATCGTCGAGATATCGAGGGCTGCGCCCGGCGTGGGCGAATGAGCCGCCAGCGGAGCGGTAGGCCCTTCTCGCCCAGACCTTGGCGGGCGGAGCGGGCGCGAGAAGGCTTCGCCCGCGGGCGTCGACTATTCGCTGGGCACAGTGCGGATCGCGGGATATGCAGTCAATCAGTGAGCGCGAGTAGCCCACGTAACCGCGGGCGCTGAACATTGGGACATCGACCAAACGTCTGCTGGGCTGGTCTTGACGGCGCCGATGATGGGTTGGGATATAAGATTTGGGATGCTCATTCCCCGCCGGCAGGAGCCGGCACTTGTCCATTCTCTAATTCTCATATCAATGCTGAAGAGATGATAGAAAACGGAAACATCACATTTGAGCAGCCGGCTTCCTCGTCGGCCACAGAGAAGCTGTCCGGCGACGTGGAACGCGGGCTCAACAATGCCGTACGGCTGGCCGAGTTGCCCGCGATCTCGGCCTACTCATCCTTCACAGCGGTTGACAAGGCCTCGGCTGTGGAGGACTTCTCGGTCCGGGGCAGGTGTGTGCAGTACTTCGAGGAGGAGGTCGACACTAAACACACGGAAGTGGTCCTGCTGGTGTGCTCGTTCATCTCGGGAGTGGTCGACAGCGCGGCATTCAATGCGTGGGGGAGTTTTGCCAGCATGCAAACAGGTAGGTGTGTCCCTCCTTGACCATGATCAATATCTGACGGATCCAGGTAACATGGTATTTCTTGCCCTCGGAGCGTTCGGACAACCCCCTGAGCCGCAGCTCCGGTGGGCGAAATCATTGATTGCGATCGCGACGTTCATGGTATCAGTGCTGTCCTTTACGTATATGTCGCGCTGGCTGGGGCCGCTGCGACGGTCAACACTGCTGGGATCATTTGGGCTGCAGACGGCGGCAGTGCTGGCGAGCAGCGTGCTGGTGCAGACCGGTGTGGTAGACTCGAGCCTAGCGGCGTCACAGCACGGGATCGACTGGCTATCGATGGTGCCCATCACGCTACTGGCGCTGCAGGCGGCGGGTCAGATCGTGACGTCGCGCATGGTGCAGGTGGAGGAGATCCCAACGGTGGTGCTCACAACGGTACTCGCGGACTTGTTGATTGATCCACGGCTGGCAGCGCCGGGCAATGCGGTGCGTAACCGGCGGGTGGGCACGGTGCTGGCTTTCTTCGGGGGAGCAATGGTGTCGGGCGGGCTGACGAAGGCGACGGGCCTATCGAGCTCGCTGTGGATGGCGACGGGGCTGAAAGCGTTGCTGACGGTGTGCTGGGGGGTTTGGCCGCACAAAACAGGGCGTAAGGGCTGCGGTTGGTGATATCGTTGGTATAGGGGGCGATAGATACATATATAGTGCACTGCTTGGCGCAGGCGGGCTGGGACTACGGCATGGAAGGGCAGGGTCTGGGATACACGGCGGACATCAAGACATAGTTTCAGATATATACAAAGACTAGAAATCGACATGACGAGCATAGCGTTACAGCTTTGCATTGCCCACAAATAGATGGCGGATGCCACCGTCGACCAGCAGCTCAGCACCGGTGGTGAAGGTGGCTTCAAAAGCCAGGAAGAGGACAGCTTTGGCGACCTCGTCAGGGTTACCGCCACGGCCAACCGCGGTTGAGGCCTCGACGGCATGAATGAATGGGTCGGAGATATGCTTAGGGGTGTCAGGAAAACCCAGGGTTGGGGTGTGGATGAGACCGGGGCTGACACAGTTGACACGGATGTCGCGGTCGCGCAGCTCGAGGGCCATGGCCTGGGCGAAGGCGTAGGTGGCGGCCTTGGAGGCGGAGTAGGGGGCGAGCAGCGGGAAGGCCTGGTTGACGGAGACGGAAGTGGTGAAGACGATAGCGGAGCCGCGGGCGAGCAGCGGGACGAGTCGCTGGGCGAGGAAGACAGGGCCGCGGGTGTTGGTGTCGAAGTGACGGGCATAGACTTCGGGGGTCATGGATGTGAAGGGTACGAGGTCGCCGAAGCCGACATTAAGGAATAGCAGGTCGAGGGCGATGTCGTCGGTGTCGCGCGAGCCGAAGAAACGGCGGGCGGCGGCCTCGAGGGCGGCGTGGGCGGGCGGGCTCGTGACGTCGGACTGGATCACGAGGGCCGCCGGGCCCAGCGCGCGCTGGGCAGCCGTCACGTTGTCGGCGCGGCTGCCCGTGACCAGCACACGCGCCCCCCGCGCCTGCAGCAGCCGCGCCGTGGCCAGGCCAATGCCGTGCGTGCCGCCCACCACCACAGCGTGCTTGCCGGCCAGGGTCATGGTCGTGAGAGTAGGAGAAAGGCTAGCAGGGCAGTACAGAGTAGTGTAGGGGCAGAGTAGCAGTTGGTGGAGAGGGGCGTGGTGCTGCACTGCGCGTTTCCCGACCGTTCTTATACCCAGAGAGTCCCCGCTCCCCGGCGAGCTGAGCCCATACGAGCCCACCACGTCGTATAGATGTGATGCAGGGCGGGACGCACAGGGGGGCAGGCCCGTTCGCCGTGCACCGCAGTTAGGAGGCTTGCATGCCGCCATGCGCTGTCAGCCAGTGAATGCCATCGGCCGTGCTGCCACCCTGGCTCCCCGTAGGTCGCGACTGGGGGCTCGGTTGGGTATCTCGACGGTCCAGAACAACTGTCACTCGTGTCGAGCTAGAGTCAAGCTAGGTGAAGCGATGTATCGGTGCATGCTGCTAGCCTTTACTTTGAACAGATCCTAGCCCCGGGCGAGCCACCCATCTGGTTGCGAAGCTGGTATTGTAGCGGCGATGCACCTTGCCATTCACGGAGGCGAGTTGAGCTGCGCTTCATATGCCGTCGCGAGCGTGGTGCTGGGCTGTTTGTGGCCATGTCTTGACTGATCTGGCCTCAACAGAAGGAATTGGAACGAACAGACGTTGACGGAGGCCGGCTTCCCTCACAGGTACTCCGTCCGTACCTATGGAGGTACCCAGTCAACTGTCGTCGCGGCTTATCACGGGGCAAGCCCGTGCCCTAACGGACATGGCGGTGATTGGCCTGCTCCCAGACGCCAAGCTTATTGCTTATATAACTAGCTCACCAGAGAGCTATCTGCTGACTCATCCGTCTTCACCCCTTTGTGACCGCAAAACCACCGCGCAGGCACCGAACTAGATGCCTCAGGAGCCCGTTGAGCGATGCTGGCGATGGGCTGGCGGTCATGCATGCTGGCCAGTGGAAACAGCTGACGCCAGCTCCATCGCCGAGAAGGTCTACTATTGGCTAACTGCCCGGGCGCATGCAGGCTGTGAGCTAGTTAGCGAACACTTGAGCGAACTAAACTGCGGCACATACCGCCAGGCAGACATCAGACCTGCCACTTTCTTTCACCTCCAACACTGCCTGCCCAGCCTGCGAGTGTAGCTAGTAGTCCCTTCTTCTTCTTTACACGATTTCCCGCATTCTCGCTCATCCATCCTCTGATTCCTGATGGCTGTACGCATCCTACCGTCACCCCCTGTGCGTGACACCATCCGCCAGGTCAGCGAGTCGTCCTGGCTGGTGGGTGATTTGCTGCTCCAGCGCTTCCCCGGCCTCTCCATCTCCGCGACCTGGAACGATCCAGCTGCCAACGCTCACTATACTCTGACCGACGCGCCCTCCCCGCCACCCGCCTCAACGGTCGTGCCCGCCGACAGCCCGGTCATTACCAAGATCTACGATGCTGGCGATGCTACAGCCGTGTTCGCCATTGACCACTGCGTCGTGCTTAAGATTAAATGCTACACTCCCAATTTCACCTCTGAAGTCACTACCCTCGACTTTGTCCGTCGCCAGAAACGCCGCTTTGACGTGCCCAACGTCATCCACTATGTCGACCAGTGGAATAACGACCGGATGATCGTCTTCTACCAGCGCCTGCCGGGCCGCACTCTGAATGATGCCTGGCATACTCTTGACGACCATTGGCGCTCTCACTATAAGATGGAGATTTCCCGCGTTTGCCAGGAGCTGGCCAAGCTGACGGGCGACAAGATGGCTGGTGTCGATGGTAGGGAAATTCCTGAATACTTCCTCGCAAACAAAGGGGATGTCACGCCCACCCCCGACCGTTTTGCCCCCGACTGTCTATTTAAATCCTGCCAGGACGCAGGTATCGACTGTTCCAGTCTAGTTTTCTACCATGCCGACCTAGGACCCGTTAACATCATCGTCGAAGCCGAGCCGAACCTAGGTAATGTTGGCATCATCGACTGGGAAATCGCAGGCTTCTTTCCCCGTGGCTGGGTTCGTACTAAGTTCCATCTAAGCTCTGGTATGGATTTCGATAACGATGCAGTCGAGGACCGACATTGCTGGAGGAGAGACGTGGGCTCTTTGCTGGGTGACCTTGGTTTCGAGAGCTACGCTGAGGAGTGGCAAAGCTGGAGGGCTAATTCTCGACAGTGTTGAAATATTGAGTGTAGTATAATATTGAACACACACACGTACACACCTACGGCATAGATAAGTTTAGACATGGTATGATGTGTACAGAGCAATTTTTTCATAGAGTAATTTGATCTCATATTGCTGGCTATCTACTTGTTCAAACGAGTGACTGCAAGTGTCGACAACTTGGAGAAAGAAATTTCGAGAAAAAGGAATAAATAAAATAAGAACGTGTAGATCCTTCCCACTATCCCATCCTGACTATCGTATCTCATCGCAACTCCTATTTCTGGCCCCCTTTCCCTTTTGATGATTCGACTGGTACATGCAACGGGAGCGGGCGGCCACACTTTTGTCCACCCTTCAAGGTTCCCGCGCACCTCAGTAGCCCGGTGACATTGTTGTAGCCACAGAATGAGCAGCGCATGATGAAGTCTGGTTGGAGATGGACTTAGAAACCAGGGAATATCAACTGAGGACAAATACGACATAAGGAAATGAACCACTTACTTGCTTGCACGGGAAGTTTTCGAGCTATGTCTTAGGGGAGTGTTAGGCTTGTAGCTTTGTCTTGCTGTTCTTGATCTTGGATTCTTCTGATCTGAGTGTCATTTGAGAGGGAATTGAGGGGCCTTTTATAAGTTTGCGGGCGCTCACTCCAGCCAGCTCCGATGAAAGAACAATGACAAATTCACTGGAGACAAGAGTGGCACTCCAGGCAACCATGAGGTAATATGGCCCAATCAAGCTGACTGGGTGATGCACTGGTGTGCTAGGATGAAAAATGACGGGTTCGCGGAAAGGCCGCTCAAGGAGCCGGGCGTTTGCTGCAGCTCAAAGGGTCTGTTCTCTTGGGAGCGTGACGTGTTTGTGACTCAATAGCAGTGCTACCTGCATGGGACGTACTATACGATTGGAGGAGGATGCGAACTCCGCCGCCTTCCGGCTAGGCTGTTTCGACCTCACAGAGATTGGCAAGGATATCTCTCTGTCAGTGGCTCCAGAGCAAGGTAGTTTGCAGCAGGGTATGGCGGGCTCCCACAGCTATTGGAGCATGAGGTGTCACCAGACGCCGGTCTTCCTAGAGCCACGTCGAAGTTTGGGGCCAAACAAAGAAACGGCAGCGGCATGCGGTGTTCCGGGCTAGGAGAGAGGAGGGTAGCAACGGCATGGTTGGCAGAATGGACAGGGGGCCAAGCATGCAAGCATGCAAGTGGGCAAGTGGGCAAATAGGAGCTGCGAGGCTGAAAATAGAGGCCGACAAGCGCCGTGCCTAGTTATGGGGTGAACCTGGGGGGTGTTGCCAGTATCCCCATGGCACTTGCTATCGACCTTGCTGCAGGCGGAGTTATGCTCTTCGCCATGCCAGTGTACAGGATGAATAGAGGCAACGGCAGCGCAGTTGCGAGTGATATTCCATATTCCCCGGGGGATCCGGCTGAGGGCTTGTTGAAAGCGAGCTCAGGGATCAGAGGGACTGTTTGGGTAGAATACGATGCGGCGCAGCACGGGTAGTTTGCTGGCCAGCCTATAGACATGCAGCAGGCGAGCCCAGCGAGAGAGCTTCAAAACGCGTGATGTGCGGTTACGCGCCCGTCGTTCTCCGCCGGTCATTGGCTGGGAGGCCGTTGGAGGAGGTTGCGGGCCTCAGGCGCCCAGGCAGCAGCGCCGGAGCAACGTCGGGCCGAGCGGCGTGCAAACAGCGCAAACAGAGCGGAGGTTGGCCGGGGCCAGCAGCTGGGGAACGCCGGGCGGCGGCGGCGGCGGAAGCCAGGATGGGGCCGGTGGTGGGCGGGATGACGGGCACAAGACCCGGATCCGCTGGGAGGGCGAGTCGTGGGCGGCGCTCCACCCTGTTTTGACTGTTTTCGCGGTTTTTGTTGGCATATCGGTTGCGTAGCGCACTTCATTGGCCGGCGCGGCTGAAACCTTCACGTGCCAGCCCTACTCGCTGGCTGCCCCGTCACGTATGGTACGAAATACGCTCGCCACCGCCGCCCGCGCGCGCCCCGCCCGGCTAGAGCGTGGTACGGTACGGTTCGGCCGGCGCTGGGCCAATCATGCCCCGCCGATTAGCCCCCTGGTGGCGGACCCACCCCGGTTTCGATTTTTTTTTTTTTTTTTTTTTTTTTTTCCCTTTCCGCCCGCTTATAAAACCGCCCGCCTCGCCCTTTTTCTCGCTTCTCTCTTCCATCTCCGCCTCTTCTCACTCTCCTCTCCTCTTCTTCCCATCTCTATCTCCACTCTTCCCTTTTTTTTCTCTCTATTCTTTTCTTAAACTGCTGGAAAAAACGGATTCCACCTCTGCTGCTCGCCCCGCTGCTGCTACGCGCGTGGCTCCCACAAAAACCGCCTCCTTTTCCAAAATTCCCCAAAAAAGTTCTTCGTCTTTTTCCTGCGACACCATGCCTACCATCGATTCCACAGAAGCCTCTCAGGCAGTCTCCGTTCTGGAGGAGCTACTTAAGTCGCTCTCCGTCTCGAAAAACGAGGCCGAGACCCGGGATGCTGCCCACAACATCGCCACCCTCCTGAATGGCCCAACCGACGAGCAGGTTCTCCCAGTCAAGTGCGTGTAAATCCCTGTTGAAATTCACCCTAAAACTTCAAACTTGGAACTAACCTATGTTTAGAGCCGTTGAGTCTCTCAAAAAGCAGCTGGCAAACAAAAAGGATGCCTCGTCGCGGGAAAAGGCCCTCGATGCCATCACCGCCATCGCTAACCACTCCACTGTCTCGCCCGCCGTCGAGCCCTACCTCCTCTCCCTGCTTGGCCCCACGCTTGTTGCCGTCAGCGACAAGATGGTCTCCGTCAAGAACCTGGCCCAGGAAGCCGCCGTCGCCATCGTCAAGTCCATCAACGCCAACGCCGTCAAGGCCGCTCTCCCCGCCATCGTCAGCTCGCTTCAGAACGCCCAGAAGTGGCCCGAGAAGATCACCGCTCTTCAGTGCATCGAAGCCCTCGTCGAGTCCGCCCCAGTCCAGCTCGCCTATCGCGTGCCAGACTTGATTCCGGTCGTCTCTGAGTCCATGTGGGACACCAAGCCCGAAGTCAAAAAAGCCGCTTACACCACCATGGAGAAGGTCTGCGGCCTCATTGTTAACAAGGATATTGAGCGCTTCATCCCTGAGTTGATCAAGTGTATCGCCAAGCCGGAGAACGTCCCCGAGACCGTTCACTTGTTGGGTGCCACCACTTTCGTCACTGATGTTCACGAACCCACACTCGCAATCATGGTTCCTCTGCTTGACCGTGGTTTGGCTGAGCGTGAAACTGCCATCAAGCGTAAATCTGCCGTCATCGTCGACAACATGTGTAAGCTCGTCGAGGATCCTCAGATCGTCGCCGCTTTCTTGCCAAAACTTATGCCTGCTCTCAACAAGAACTTCGACACTCTCGCCGACCCCGAAGCTCGTGGCAAGACCAAGCAGGCTCTCGAAACTTTGGTCCGCGTTGGTGATGTCAAAGATGGCAAGATCCCCGAAGTTTCGACTGCTGGCGATATCGCTACTGTCTCCGCTATCTTGAAGCAAATTCTCGAGCCCAAGCACAAGGACTCCATCTCGAAATTCCAAGCTACCATTGACTACATCTCTGCCATCGCCGGTCAGCTCATCGACGAGAAGGTGATTGACGTTGCAGACTGGACTGAAAACACTCTCTCCTATCTCTGCGCCATTGTTGGTGAAAATGAGGCCAAGCCTGTTGCTGAGACTCTCCGCAAGCGGGCCTCTCCCGGCGCCGCTGAGGAAGCTGAGGTTGAAGAGGATGAAGAGGAGGGTGAAGACCTTTGCAACTGCACCTTCAACTTGGCCTACGGTGCTAAGATTCTCCTCAATCAAACTCACCTCCGCCTTAAGCGTGGCCAACGCTATGGTCTTTTGGGCCCCAACGGTTCCGGTAAATCCACTCTCATGCGCGCCATTAACAACGAGCAGGTTGAGGGCTTCCCCAAGAAGGATGAGGTCAAGACTGTCTTCGTTGAGCACGACCTTGATGCCGCCGACACTGAGCAGACTGTCATTGGCTGGACTCAGAAGAAACTCAATGATGTCGGAATCACTACTCCTGCTGACGAGATCGAGGCCAAGTTGCTCGAATTCGGTTTCCTTCAGGAACAATTCAAGAACCCAATCACCTCTCTCTCTGGTGGTTGGAAGATGAAGCTCGCCCTTGCTCGTGCCGTTTTTGAGGAGCCCGATATTCTCTTGCTCGACGAACCCACTAACCATCTTGATGTTAAGAACGTTGCCTGGCTTGAGCAGTACCTCATCAACTCGCCTTGCACTTCCATCATTGTCTCTCACGACAGCGGTTTCTTGAACAATGTCATCCAGCATGTCATCCACTATGAGCGCTTCAAGCTTCGCCGTTATCGTGGTAACCTTACCGAGTTCGTCAAGAAGCTCCCATCTGCTCGCTCTTACTTCGATCTCGATGCCTCTGAGATGGAGTTCAAGTTTCCCGAGCCCGGTTTCCTCGAGGGTGTCAAGACCAAGGCCAAGGCCATCGTCCGTGTCACCAACATGTCTTTCCAGTATCCCGGTACCTCCAAGCCTCAGCTTACCGATATCACCTTCCAGTGCTCCCTCGGTTCGCGTATTGCTGTCATCGGTCCTAACGGTGCCGGTAAATCCACCTTGGTCAACATCTTGACTGGTGAACTTATCCCCACCGCTGGTGATATCTACCAGCACGAGAACATCCGTATTGCCTACATCAAACAGCACGCTTTCGCCCACATTGATAACCACTTGGACAAAACTCCTTCCGAGTACATCCAATGGCGTTTCCAGACTGGTGAGGATCGTGAAACTATGGACCGTGCCAACAAGATCGTCACAGAGGAAGACGAGAAGGCCATGGACAAGATCTATAAGATTGATGGTACCTCGCGCCGTGTCATTGGCATCCACTCTCGTCGCAAGTTCAAGAACTCTTATGAATACGAATGTTCTTTCACCCTCGGTGAGAACATTGGCATGAAGAACGAGAAATGGACTCCTATGATGACTGCTGACAATGCCTGGATTCCCCGTAACGAGATTCTCGCCACCCACTCGAAGATGGTCGCCGAAGTTGATCAGAAGGAAGCCCTTGCCAGCGGTCAGTTCCGCCCTCTTGTCCGCAAGGAAATCGAAGCCCACTGCGCCAACTTTGGTCTCGACGACGAACTGGTTTCTCACTCCCGCATGCGTGGTCTCTCTGGAGGTCAGCGTGTCAAGGTTGTGCTCGCCGCCTGCTCGTGGCAGCGACCCCATTTGATCGTCCTTGACGAGCCTACCAACTATCTCGACCGTGACTCCCTTGGTGCCCTCTCCAAGGCTCTCAAGAGCTTCGAGGGTGGTGTCATTATCATTACTCACTCCAAGGAGTTCACTGAGAACTTGACCAGCGAAGTCTGGGCTTGTATGGACGGAAAGATGACTCCCTCCGGCCACAACTGGGTACAGGGTCAGGGATCCGGTCCCCGTCTCACTGAGAAGGATGACGATGAGGATAAATTTGATGCTATGGGTAACAAGATTGTTGGCGGTCAGAAGAAGAAGAAGCTCACTTCCTCTGAGCTCCGTAAGAAGAAGAAGGACAGGATGGCTCGGTAAGTGTCTTGGCTCTATCTTACTTTACTCCCCTCCCATTCACATTGTGCTAACTTTGTAATGTATAGTCGCAAGCGTGGTGAAGAAGTCTTCTCCGACGAGGACGATTAAATCATTCGCTCGAAAAATGCTTACTATTTCTTCTTTGACGGCCGTTTTCCAGCCCATTTTGACCTTCCTTTAACGACAAGCATTAATATTTTTTTTTCCTTTTGGCCTCAAAATTCCGGTGGCAGACCTAGCCATAGACTATTATCGGATAGAACTTGTCAGACAGGGAAATAAACCCGGCTCATTGTTTTTAGTTTTGATTTTTGATTTCTTCTGGAGGTTTTGGGGTGTCTCTGGAAGGGTATTAATGACCTCAATTGCTGTGTGTTTTGGCGTCAAGGACGGATCATTTCAGTGGTTTAATGTTGTGATGTTTTTTTGCATGATTCCTTTCAAATAACTACTTTTTTCCTAATTCTTTGATAGAGTGGAAATAGACTTACTTTTCTTGATCATCGTTTCCGTACCCCGTACTCCGTAGTCATAATCGTCTGCTCATTGAATTCCGCCTGGCCCTACTCCCCAAGTGGCCTGCAAAGAAGACACCCGTAGAATACTCTATGAACTACTCCGGCTATTTCCCCCGCCTGTTCGACGAGAATCTTACTAAGCGACGTCAATAATTTTCGTTCGCACTTGAACGAGAATGTCGAATATCAATATCAACGTTGGACCCCGCCGGTCGTCCGGTATGTACGTCTCAGGGTAGAAGTGCGTTCTCGACTTGCTTCAAAATGTCGTCTGCCCCAGACCAAATTGCCCTGCCACCATCCCTTGATACCCTCTACACTTCCTACCCCGCAGGTGCCTATGACAGTCTCCGTCTCACTGAAGACCAATGCCTGGGTCTACTAAGATCGCCCCTGGCGGCCAAAGTACTTGGACATCTGGACGAGCCGCAGTCTCTTACTGAAGCCGTTCACGCCGGCAATTTCTCCTATATGAAATATGTCCAGCGCAATGTTGAAGCCGTGCTGGATAGCGCCGACGACCGTGCTGTGACCCGCTCCAGACTGGTGCATGTGGGATACGCTGCGCTGCTGGCGTTCGTGCAAGCCAATGTCACAGGCCCCCCGTTGCGCTTTCACGTTAGCGATGTGGTGATTCCAGCAGCCTTTAGGGGCATCGGTACGCCGAGCGACACATGTACTCTCCAGAGTCTGCAAGACGGCATGATTCGTGCACTCAGCGTCGATGGCGAGGCAGCGTACAGTCTTACGCCCAACGTGGAGCTATTTTCCGCAGCCAAGGCAATTTTGACCAGTTCCTCGCTATTCGAGGGTGAGAATCTGCCCTTCATGCCCATCACGGCAAGATTACGAGTGACATTTCTGCACCAGAAGATGCTTTCTGAGAATACAGATAGCTTGCAGGCTGCTATTTATGATGACCTTGCGACACTAGCAGAGGGTGTCTTGGGTGAAGGCTCGTCTGCCACAGCAGAGGTACGCGCACGGTTTTTGCTGGAGCGGGCAGCTGTGCATACGCACCATGGCGCGGATGCACTGGCCAGAGCAGACTTGGAGAGTGCAGCTAAGGAAAATGGGTTCCAGTTTGCGCTGACAGGACGGCTAGGAAAGAGGACAAAGTTCCAGCAGCATGACATTAGCCAGTTGGTAGTTTTGGCAAAAAGCAAGGCACGACAAGCTGATGATGACGGCGTTGTTGCAGAAGGTGCTGCGCCAAAGAAATTAGACTTAAATGATGATACCCTGCTGGAGGCCATCTCGTTCACAAAGGAAGATACCAAGGCTGAGAAAATGCCTACGGTGCAAGATGAAGCTGCACTGCCAACAGAGTTGGCCAAGCTTGACCCGGCAGAGCAGCCGCAGTTGAACCCGCTAGACTCCATTGTTCTCCTTGCCCTCGCTTCGGCAATTACGAACACAAATCCAGAAGATGGGCTAACAAGAGAGGAGACCCTGCCTTATGCTACTCGTGTCCTGGATGGAGGTAGCTCCAACTGGCAAGTCTACTCACAAGCGCTGCTCGTCCGAAGCAGGATTGAAGGATATCGATCTAGAACCGTGGAACGCGGTGTTTTGCAATTACAGGCGCTGGTAGACCAAGTCATCGCCGATACAACTAGCGAGGCTCCAGTGGCAGAGGGCTCAGGCGAACAGCAACCTTCCACTTTCTTGCCGCGACCTGAGAGCTCAGAGTCAGCGCCTGCAGATGAAAGGCTGCAGTACATCTGGTTACTTAGTTTCGTTACAAGGTGGGACCTGGAAGCAGAGCTCGCGGCTCGATGGGTTAACCTGGGCGGGCTGAGGACGGCATTGGATATCTACGAGCGACTACAGATGTGGGCAGAAGCTGCATTGTGCTACGCTGCAACCGATAGAGAGGATAAAGCCGGGCTGATTGTTCGACGGCAGCTCTTTGAACCATCAGGACGTGAGACCAAGAAAGATGAAGAGGAGAAATTTGATGGGCCGGAGAAGTCGATACTGCCAGTCGATGCGCCGAGACTGTTTTGTATCTTGGGCGACGTCGAGAAAGATCAGACCATGTTCGAACGCGCTTGGAGTGTTTCTAGCCAGAGATATGCTCGTGCACAGCGGGCATTGGCGCGATGTTACCTAGGACTCAAACCACCTAACTATGAGAAGGCAGAGGAAGCGTACCGGTTGAGTCTCAATATCAATCGGTTGAACCATGGGGCCTGGTTCGCGATCGGCTGTATTCAGCTGGAGCTGGAAAAGTGGCAGGATGCGGTGACATCGTTCACGCGAACAGTGCAGATCGAGGAATCAGATGCGGAGGCGTGGAGCAACCTGGCTGCTGCGTTGATGAATATTCCGCCCCCAAAACCCTCGAAGCCGTCAGACGCAGCCCCCGATGAGGAGGCCGATGAGCAGGCTGAGGTTTCTGTGGACGAGTATAAGCCCAAGCGCGATGCTCTTGCGGCTCTGCATCGTGCTGCACGATTCAAACACACGGACTATCGGATCTGGGCAAATATCCTGGCAGTAGGTGCATCAATCCCACCGCCGCAGACTCCGTTCCGAGACGTCATGCAAGCCCAAAAACGCATCATCGAGCTTCGCGGTTCTAAAGACGGCGAGAAATGTATCGACGTTCCGTTCATCACTGTGCTCATCAACGCCCTCTCTGCAGGCTACAACTTTGATGACCCCAACTCCCCATTCTCAGGCTCCAAAACACACCCCCGCCCTGGGACACTCCTGGCGCTCATCTACTCGCTTGTTGACGACTACATCACTCCTCTAATCACACACTCGGCCGCACTCTGGCTCGTTGTGGCAAAATTGGAAAGATGGCGGGACCGTCCTTCACGGGCGCTCTCAGCCCATGAAAAAGCCTGGCGGGCGACAGTAGCCGGGTGCACCAGTGCGGCGTTCCAGATGGGCGACGAGAAGAAGTGGATGGAGATCGTGGGGGCGACGGAGAGGCTGGTGCGAGACGGCTACGCAAGCCTAGGAGGGATGGACCGGGAAGAAGGAAAGGGGGAGATGGTGGCTCGCGATTGGCGGTTCAAAGCCCGGAGCGCAGTGCGAAGCATGCTGTCGAAGGGGGCCGAGGTCTGGGACGGGTCGACAGGGTGGGCGAGATTGAAAATGCTGGCAGAGGAGGTGAGTGGAGGGTCGTGACACAGCTGTTGGATGCATTCTGTACATTATCCCAGGACGGTGGTTGATAGAACAGCACAACAAAAGTATGAATGTACCTCGGGGGCCCCTATTCTACTGGCTATTGGCCACATGCTGGGAACAATCACGACTTGAACATCACAGGCTCTAAGTCTGTGTCCATGCCTTTGGGCACGGGGAAGTCGATGTTCTCGCCCTGGCCTTCGATCCACGGCCGACAGGCCTCCCATAGGCTTCTAAACTCGCCGTTCTTCTCGATATCCATCAGCCTCTCGAAATCGGCGCGGTCCATGCGATAATACCAGCCAAACCACGCGGCGAGTAGCAGGTCGGCATAGCCGGGCTGGTCGCCTTCGAAGAAGGGGCCGCTCTTCTTGTCTACGCCATCCACGCCGCGCAACATTTCGGCCAGCAGGCCGAATTCCTTCCCCAAGTCGGCCCAGACCCGGTCCAGCTCGGGCCCCTGTGCGGCCAGGGCGGCCAAGGACGGGGTGCTGAAGCGAATGCTGCGCACTCGATCGAAGTACTCAGCACACTCCGGTTCGAGGCAGTTGAGCACCTTGGGGATGTGCAAGGAGACGCCGCCGTAGAGGGCGTTGATGATGATGTTCTGCACGGCCACGGCGAGCGGGTAGCTGGCTGGGGTGGGGAAGATGGAGGGATAGCCGGGGGCGGGGAACGCGCGCTCGAGATGGAGGGCAATGGGCCAGCTGTCGTTCAGGGCATGGGTGGTGGGCGCGGCGGGGATGGACGGGGCGTGGAGGATGGCGGGCAGGGTGTAGGGCATGGGCCCGTTGGTGAGCGGCGGCAGACGCAGGGCGCGCAGGACGGGCGCGACGGCGGGGAAGGGCAGGTAGGTCTGCGTGTAGGGGATGCGCTTGAAGTTGAGCACCAGGCGGGTACGCAGGGTGTTGGGCGACCAGGACTTGTTCGGGCCTACTCGAGGGTATGTATTAGCATCGATTGCGAAGAGAGAGCGGTGGGGGTTACCGGGCGTGGCGCTGGTGAGGTCGAAGAAGTGGACTTTGTCGAGCCCGGGGGCGGCCATGGTGCAGAGCAGAGGCCGAGGGCGAGGAGAGACGGAGACGCGAGGGGAAAGAGAGTGAGAGGAGAAGAGAGGAGAGAACGAGAATGAGAATGAGAATGAGAATGAGAGAAGAGAAGAGAAGAGAAGAGAAGAAGCGAAGACGCGAAGAGAAGGAGAATGAGAATGACGGGCGGGCAGCCGCGGCTAAGCGGCGGTGCCTGGGGCGGCGCCCGGGAACGGGGAGTGAGCCCCGGAGTCTAGGCGTCGGCGCCCCTGGGACCCCCCGGAAGCCCCCGGAAGCGGTCGCGAGCGTGGCGGGCGGGCGCCGGCGGCTTCGCGCATTCACGGCGATGTGAAGAAGAATGAACGAGTGAATGGATCAGCATCACTGCTTGCGGCCATAAAGCACGGCCTCGTCTGCGCAGTCCTCCAGCCGGCGTTGCTCGCCAACACGCACACGATGGACCGCCCTCCGCCTGCCCCCCGCCCGGCATCGTCGCTGTACTCGCGCCCGCCGCTGCAGCGCGTGTCGTCGATCACCTCGTTCGGCGGGCTCGCGCAGCGCTTCGACCGCGATCCCCCCGGCGCCGCAGCCCCCGCAGCCCCCGCAAGCCCAACGCCTACGGCGCCGCCGCAGCCCAAGCCAGCCCCCGCCCCCCCGGCACGCTCGCCCAAGCCGGATCCGCGCGGCGAGTGTCTCTGCGACCGCTGCGAGCGGCGCTGGCGCTGGTTCACGCGCGTCTTCGTCGCCGCCAGCCTCGTCGTCGTCGCTGTGCTGGTGCTCGTCGTCTGCCTCGCCCAGGGCCTGTTCGCCCCCCCGGACGCCGCCAGCAGCCGCATCTCGACCTCCTCGACCTCCTCGAAGTCCCTGACATCCCCGGCATCCCCGACGAACTCGACCGCATCGACAGAATCAACGGCCTCAACGTCCTCCTCAGAGCCCACCGCCCTGCCGCCACCGCCCACCACGACCTCCTCCTCCTCCACCACCGCCGTGTCGACTCTCACCCTCGTCCTCTCGCCCAACACACGCACCTCCACGAAAAGACCCGTCACGGCGCTCTTCCCGCCCCACGAGTACTGACCGCCGATCCGGCGGAGCGACGTTGCGGGGACAAGGCCGCTTGACAAAGGATGTGGAATGCCATGCATGCTTTACGTGGACCGGACGGACAGATTGTATGACTAGCGTTCGCAGCCGGCGAGTCTCTGGTAACTAGCAAATAGAAGTATTATTTCCAGGCCCCTATGTAACTGTACATGCACGCGCCGTGATCTTTAAACGCGAGAGAAAATGGCTCTGTAATCTAACGCCAGCCCATGAACAGCCAAAGGAAAAGGGTAGTTGGTGATACATAACAATGACATCGACCGCAGGGCGAGGTAAATAAAGGCCCGAACCGCCCATTCCGCCTCAGTCGCGCGCCGTCCTCGCCGGCAGCTCCACCGGCTGCACAGCCCCGGGGACGCTGCGACGACCATCAAGCTCGCGCGGAGCCTGCGAGATCGACGGTCGCGGCGCGTACCCGCGGGCGTTCTCCTCCAGTTCAACCCGAGGCGTGTCAGCCTTGGTCCGGGCTTGATTTCTCCGTTGCATGAAGCAAAAGAAGATCAGCCAGCCGAGGCAAGACACCGCGACCGTCACCCCAATGGTAATGCCAACAATCACGCCGCTCGAGATTTTGCGGCGGGATCCTGAGCCGGCGCCCGTCTTCGCCGTCGAATCAGGCGCGCTGGGCTCGCGGCAGAAATCGCTGTTGACATGGTTGCTGCTGTCGATGGCCACTAGGTCTTGTCGCGCTGTGGGGCTCGCTGACCAGAGTGTGAACTGCCCAGCATCTTGGTTGACCATCACGTATGCGCTGGACAGGAATTGCCGCCCGATTCGGGGCAGCGTTCCTTTTTTCCCATTCTCTATCAGCGGATCGAGTAGCACTTCCATACGCGAAGCATTCGCCATCAGGGCACCGGTCATGTTGTCAATCGTCAGGTCTGGAACGACGAGCTGATCGCTGGGGATGCGGATGGCGACTTCAGAATTCAATGTGATCGTGATATCGCCCGTGTATCTGCCAAGGGCTTCTCAGTAAATGCCAGAACGCAAGGGATGGGAACAGGCACGTACATTTGGGATTCGGGGTTATCATAGATCATACCGTAGTAGTAAATCCCGTGCGATCGCCCGAGGTATGGTGCGCGCGTCAGGTTTTGGAATCTCCTGAACGTTGGCTCATATGGCATTGTCATTAACACCGGCGCATCCGGAACTATGCAGGCAGAAAATGGGAGAGATTCAGTCCCATCGAACATGCTAACTGCCGAGCCATTCGCAAAATTTAAAGTCATGGCGGATACGGTCACCAACATCGAAGTTGGGCACTCTGCATTCGAGTTGTCAAGGTTGTACGTGTAATTCTGCCCAGACACTTTTGCTCGGTCATAACCTCCCAACACAACACCCCCGTCAAGTTGACTGCCTTTCGTCGCCCCTGTTCTGCCCCAAAACATCCCCCATGACCGCGAGGCGATTCTACCGGCCGACTTGAGGCTTCTTAACATTGTTGAATTGGCGCCTAACCCCATAGCAGCTTGGTGATGGTACCCTTGGTTTCCCCAGCCACTCAGCGCAACACCGACGGGAAATTTTTCAAGAGCCACTGTCTTCCCCAGCGTAACATTCTCAGAGACCCAGCTCAGTTCTGGGTATGGAGGTGCATCATTCGGCGTCAACCCCGGGCTTACCCGCCCAGCCGTTTGGGATGCAAACTGGTCATACCGCCCGCCGCGGTACGTTTCACAGGCCACGCTCGAATATCCGTTACAAAAGCCATTTGTTCCGTAAACAAATGTATGGTTCAGGGACCTGCAAGAGGGTCGCATTAGCCACAGCATCACAAAATAAAGCGGGGACACTTGAAATCCCACGAACCATTGGGGAAGAAAGGCAAGAGATTGCTGTGGACTCCCGATGGAAATATCTAAGCCTCGAATTACCTTCTGGTTAGAAATCGTCACATTCCCCAGGCTGATGGCGATTGGTCGAGGCGCGCAGTCTGCCGACACGACCGCACAGAGCGCCATGCCTGTGAAGATAGATCGCTGGAGGGCAGGGCCTCGCCGTCGACTCCCGGACGAAGACATGGCAGGCCGCTAGGAGGAGACCAACCCTATCGTACCATTATGGTGCAAGAGCGAAACACGACTCCCGCACTGGGAAAACTGCCATCTAGTTGGGCTTGAGCGGCTAAGCGCCCATCCAGGGGGTATATTTCCACCATGAGGTTGGGAGATACATCCACGCGCGGAGTGCTGGTCTGGAGCTCCATGGCAGGCGACATCAAAATCCCAGTTATGCTAGGGTATTTGCCAGCGCTCATTGGCGCGGAAGGACTCCGTATACAGCCAGCAGCTCACGGCTGAGTGGCCGAAGTTTAACGACCATAATTAAATAGCCCTGGGTCGTCGTCGTGTTTGAAGCAAATCAAACGGCGCGTAAAGCGTTGGCTGCGGCTCGGGACGGAAGAACGCGGGCCGGCTTACCTCATCAACTGCGCACGGGCATCGCTGATATAATCAGTCGTAACACGGAGTACTGATAGTCCGATCCGATCACGCGCCCTTGGCAGAGAGAGTTTGTATCGGCAGTGTCGGGAATCCGTGACTGTCCTGTGCTGCGAAGGATGCGACCGACACTCCGATTGCCAGCCGATCAGTGGGTGCGCTGTGGCGTCGCTGGAACACCACGGATGGCGCAGGATTTCGGAACGAGATTTGTTTGATACCTTGGTAAATGCGGTGTCGCGCGGGCGGCCGCCATTGGCCGGGGGCCTCTTGTTTCGGGCTAGCTCGGTCACATGCCCCACGTGTACTCCGTCACTCAACTATCTATATGGTGTTTTAATGTTTATGGCGATCAACCAGTCTTTGCACCTCATGCTGAAGCGCCACCGCCAGATGGCCAATGTGCTGCCTAATGCTACTGGCTACTGGATAGGAATGCCATGCCTACCGGCTCCCTTTTTCATATAACTACATGCCAAACAAAATCAAGGTTGCCGAAAATTGGTCCGAGGCGCTCTTTTAAACCTATTCCATCGGGAGTGCGATTCCTGTTATACTAGAAGGAGTATGGCGGTATAAAGAGACTGTCACCTTCCGAGCTGAACCGAGTAACAGTTGTGATCAGGACTCAGCACTGTTTATCTGGCAGCACTTTGAGCTTCTCCAAATATGAAATTCCCCACTGTTTCCTACCTAGTGTTGCTTGCAACTAGTGTCATTGCTCATGAAATTGGAGAGCATGATGACCACAGTAACCTTCAGTTCCACGACATCTTGGAACGAAGCACTGTCCCAACAGCACCTCACCGTCGAAATACCATCGAATTCCCTCCACCGCAATACCCAGAAGTTGGTCTCTGCAAACAAACGGCTGCGGATGGTGCAAAGCTAGCAGTCCAGTTCCACCCTGGCAAAATCAGAGAAATCGGCTGTTATCGAAATTGTACATGCCCTGGCACCAGTGACCATTGCTGCGGCCTGGCGGTAGACCTGATGTGTACCACAGGCCTTAACGTAAGTATAGGCCTGTTTTTAAAATAGTCTGCAAAGCCTCGGCCTCACATTTAGTCCAGGTTAGGGATAGAGATGACTATGGTCGCGCTATCGGGGAATGGGCTGTAAAATATAGATTCGCCCTAAATTTGAAATATGTCATCTGGGGCCGGAAGATCTGGAACCCTACCCTTGACCCACCAAGTGGATGGGAAGGCTGGCGCCTAATGGAAGATCGGGGGTCAGACACGCAAAACCACTGGTGAGATTGCATTTGGAATCAGCAATTGAAAAGAAAGGCATCCTAATATTCTCGTTCGTAGGGACCATGTCCATATCAGTTTTAATGAAGCTCGCCCTGTATTCTGAAAGGTTGGCCGCACTTGGACATTTTCGTGGATGCACGAGTTTTGATAAATCTTCAAACCGCCTCATATTACAGTACAATATGACTGCTGCTAGGATAAGAGATTTAAAGGACATAATTGTTTTAGCATTTCTTTAAAGCTGCTTTCGTACACAATATCCAAAGCATTATGTTTCAGGTGCTTGTCGGCGAACGCCGGCGGCTCATATACCCCATTAAAGTTATGTGAACGGCAAAAATAGTGTCTCTAGTTTGGTTAATGCTATTAAATGTATTTACATAAGAAATGGTGCTTTGAAAAGGGCAAGACAGCAATAAACAAAATTTCACATGCTCACACAAAGGATAACATTGAAAAGCAAGGGTTTTGGGGGAAGTGAACGAAATCAAAGAAAAACCAAGGCATCCCAAACACCAGTATTTCTAAACATCAAAGACATCTCTGTTTTATCTTTTATATTCAATCCTTGTTTTTTTGCAATAGAGCACAAAGCGTGCTGATGTGGCATCCAGCTGCGATACCGTAGCTAACCCTTAGAAGCCTTGGAGGAAGCACCAAAACAAGACAGAGAAACAGAGAAACTATGGAAGGCAGACACAGTCATTGGGAGCTTTAATGTCTAATAAGAATGCATATGTTCAATGTGTCCTTAGCTTGACTCGTCAACATGCAGCTCTACCACTGGTAAAACATCATCGTCTGCTTCTTCGTCCATGCCAAATATACTAACCGGTCCATGGGCATTGAAGCCCATAGCGGAAAGTCCCTGTTCTGGCCCCATAGAGCTGCCTAGAGGCTGGGTCTGGGTATCGGAATCGCTGTCTCCGCCGCCAACTGCCTTCATGCTCAAATTGTCGTCATCCTCGTCATCGTTGCCATAAACAGAGTCGTGTGGCACTCGGTCAAAAGACCATTCTTGTTGTTTAAAAAGCGAAGTTTGCTGGGGGCCATATCCATAAGCATACGAGTCGATATCCATACCTTCAGGGCCAGCCCCGTGTGGTAGAATAGTTGTTCCGTTGCCTATTGTATCTGAGTATCGTGGTAACCCATCATCATCATCGTCGTCATCATTATCGTCATAATCGTTATTCCGGTGGAGAAATTCGCCCTGCAAACCACCATCTCCCGCTCGGTGAATTGCTGCGGCTTCGGCCAAAGCGCTCAACGACCCATTGCGGGAGGAGTCGTCGAGGCGCTTGCCTTCCCCCGGATTTCCGTCAGAGTCTTCTGGAGAGTCAGAGTCTGCTCGGTGCTTTTGGTTGACCGAATCTGTAACACCAGCTAGATACGATCCGCCTAAAGGGTGATCCGAACGGCGACGATAAAAGAGGAGGTACCCGGCGTTTGTAACAACACTTTGAGCATTCGGTTTCTTCAATACGCGGGAATCTATACGGATCAGCCTCTAGACCCTCTTAGAAACAAAATAGGGGTATTTACCATTGAATTCATACCAATTTCCATCAACAAAGCTTTTGGCATAAGCAGTATAGTGGCCACCACCGAGCCCACCGTAATGGTTATCAACAGCAATGAGATCGTACATCATGCTTTTGCCATCATCAGGGGCCTGGGCTCTTCCAGTCATATCCAACTCAAGAGGATAATCAACATAAACATCAAGCTTGTCTCTAAAATTACGATTTGCGCTGAATCTTTTCAGATGCATGACTAAGATATCTGGTACAGTCCATAGCTCGAACCTCTTACTTGCACGTCGATGCTCCTTGCATCTAGGACAGTACCAAGCGTCATTCTCTGAGAGAATTTCCTCTCTGCCGAATTCGTCTAGACACTCATTTAATGTAACACCTGAACGTTTTTTACTCTGGCGTAGCTGACGTTTCCTCGATAATTCGGGATCCGGAAGGCCTCGGACATCTTCCCAGGTAGGGGTACCGCGGAGAGATTGCTTGTCCCTAATATCTCCACCAAAAAGAGAATCGTGGGCGGACTCGTTCCAGTCAAGTACGATAGCTTCGCCAGGGCGAATATACGGGAGGCTAGCTGGGAATCCACGTTTGGGTACGGCAGCCTTGCGCTTGTGTCCCTTTTCCTTCCTTCGAATAGGATGGGTAACGGGAGAGAGGTCTGAATCGGTATCAGACGCGCTATCACGTTTCGTTTCTTCGGAGCTCGAGTAGTTAGACAAACTCTCCTTGAGCTTGGTTCGATTGGTCTGCATGGAGAAAATTGGGCGAGTAAGCTCATCTTCGCTACTAACAGGGCTAGTATTTGAGCGAGCTACGGGAATGGTTTTCAACTTTGGTCCCGTGCGTTTCGCTGCCTTTTTTGACCGAACTCTCTTTCTCATCGAGGGCAAATCTTTGGACTCATCTGTAAATGAGCCAATACCCGCCGGATCATGAGTTTTTAAGAATTTAATTTCAAACAAGTTTTGAAGTGCGGGGGGAATGAAACTTCCGGGCCGAAGAGCTTTAGGGAGACACGCTCCGTCGTCTGCCGCATCCCACATGGACACATCGACTAGGCCGTCATCGCCCTCCACGAAGTCCATTTTTATTTTTGAGTCGTTCGAGTTGGCGTCATCATCATTCATAACAACAGTATCAGAGTCATCAGCAGAGTTTGAGCGCATTGTCATGCCATCGTCTTCCGCAAGGATATCTTGCGTTGTGAGAGTGCTAACTTGAGCCAAAATCTTACGCTGGATAGCATCATAATCCATTGCTTCTTCGCGAGTGATTACCACAAACCTTGGGTTACCAAAGAGCGACCATTGAGTAGTATATTTAGAGGATTTGAGGACACGGTTAATTATGGGAACAAGGATGCGATCTGCTTTCTCGGAATCAAACGAGGCCACTTCAGCATCCTCGTCGTCACGCAAGTTCGCATAGAGCATGCTAAACCCTTGTTTTTCAGGTCTGTTGGCATCGTAGCTTGTTGGCACTTGTTCCAGTTCGTACATCGCAATTTCGTCTGACTCTCCAATTTTCGTGTCACAAATGGATGAAGTATTCGGGAACAGTCGATGAATTCTGTTTAAATAAACCTCAGCCATTATCAGCCGTCGAGCGTCAGTATGGGCCTTTTTCGCCACTAGTTCCTTCAACGACTTTATGCTAGCGTTTTTATCAATGTCCACATCAACCAAGTAGGGCCTTTCGTGAACTGGATAAAAATGTATTTTCTTGCTCCATACAGTTTCAATGGGTATCTGAAGAGTGAGATTGCTGAAAGGATCGAATATGATGCTTACTTTGCCACAGACCGGGCAAACAACCGTGGATTTATACATCCCAGCAAATAGGTCAGTGATTACCGAGTCGTTTCGGGCTTTATAAATTTCCCAATTCCGATCGGCAAACCTCGCTAAAGCAGCTTTGTCGTGAACCATGTCGTCTGTTGAATCTGGCTTCTCGATATACGGCTTTTTATGTATCCTATTGAGGTCTTCCTGCAACCCATCAAGGAGAAACAGGACAAACTCCTGTGAGTCTTGTTGGCCGTATCCGGAAAACGACGGCCCGTATCGTCCAACAGTCAGTTTAAAATTCCGAGGCGACACGGACTCGCTCCCGTTTTCATCAAACATTTGATGGAGAAGACTGGCATATGCTTTGGCTACGTCGCCATTATGGGATAGTGGGTTGCTAGGGTTGAGATCCTTTTTGTATTCATTGGCCAGAAAGTACTGGGTGAGCTCCTCGACGCTTCGAACACACTGCAGGGCGGAGTTCATATAGCATGTGTTTCCAAGGTTGCTCAAGCCAGTAACACCGCGAGTTTTGCCATCCTTCCGTTTTCTTCCCCGAGTAACTGTAGTAGGGGCTGGGGAGCTACGACCGTTTGAGGTGGCCGCATTAGCCTTAGGTTTGGATTGTGCGGCTCCTTTCCCGGTAGTTGTCAAAGCTGTCAGTCGGCTGGGGCCATACTTTGCGGTATCAGAAACCCACTCCCCACCACCAGCACCGCCGATTTGCTCCTCAAGAACGATGACATTGTCGCTACTAAGACCGACTAGATGCAATGTGCTTTTGCCATTATACTTCTCATTGCCTGTCTGATCTGGCATGTCAACAAGCTCGCGCTGAGAGCCATCGCTTAATGCCACGAACTTATTGATGTCAAGAACCAGATTACTTCCGGCATTGGCAATAAGGGTAGAGCCCGGTGCGGGAGATGCACTTCGAGATAGAGCTGGAGTGGCATTTCCAGAATTTACCAACCCTTCAAGAATTCTCCAAACGCGGACTTTCGTAGTGGGCTCGATCGAAGCAATTTTCTTAATACTCCTGAGCCACTGTTGGAAAGGAGTGTGACTGCTAGCGAGAACCTTGACGGGAGGCTCAGTCTTACCGGAGGGGGGTTTCGCCGCCGTCGGGCACGACAGTTTCAAAATTGTAAATATGGGGGGATTCAATTCAAACTGAATGTTCTCGGTATCGCCAGGGCTCGTGTTATGGGCGTATCGAGCAATAATGGGAGTATCTTTGGCGAGACCATACCACTTTACAATTAACTCCCAGGCCTCTTGCGGTAGGATCTCAAAATCATCTCCAATCTGTAGGCCAGTGCGAAGGGGTACAAAGGTCTCGCCAGCTTCATCCTTGAATTGGTTGCTAGCGTCGGCGGTGAGTACGAGGTCTGAATTATCGACAGGGCCGATGGCACCACTAGTTGCAGCCTTATCGGTCTTTTCCCGCTTTGGGCCGCTGGTACTCCTCGCGAGAGCCCTTCGGAGCCAGGTACAGGAGACCACATATCCCCGTTGTCCCTCCTTTGCTGGCTGCATGGTCATCTGCATGACGGTCGCCACCTGCTCGTCGATGGACGGGGAATCCGGGGAGGAGACACTCGAGTGGCTGGAGGGCGGCGGCCGCGAGCTATCGTAGCTGGACACGGTGTCGGTCGAGGCTGTGGATGACGTGGGAAGCATGCCCGTGCCCTGGCCTTCGGAATGGCTAGTGTCGTCCACGTCGAGAGAGGAGGCGGAGCGGACCAGGCGATCATTCTTCTTTTTGGGCTTTGCGCTATCCAGCAAGTCTGGGGCGGCAGCGGCAGAGTCGCCGCCCGAGTCGTTTGACCGGGGCTCATCAGCGCCCATCTCAGCAGCAGGCCGCTTGACAGCCGGCGAGGCAGCGCGGCAGCTCGAGTCGAGGGTCTCGTGCGGCTGGTCGGGGGGTTCGGGCGAGGCCATGGCGGCGGCGGAGGAGCAGAGGAGGTGGCAGGCAGAGGAGTCCGGCGAGAGGCAGCAGGATGGAGAGCCGGTGAGGCGTTTTAGCGCGCGCGAGGGTCTCGCAGAGGCGGGCGGGCGCGGGAAGTGGAAGCCGGTGCGGGCTCCAGCTCTGCGTAGCTCAGCGGCAACCTTGCGTCGCTTGGAAGAAGACGTGGTGAAGGAGAGCCGGCTACGCCAGCTCCAGCAGTAGCAGCAGCACAGCGACGGCAAGCAGATGAAGCGTGGTGAAGAGAGCGTGGGGGGGTGCTGGTGCTGCAGATTTTTCGTGGTGGGAGAGAATGAAGACGAGAAGACGAGGTGAGAGGTTGAGTTTTGACGGTTTGGCTGGGCTCGAACTAGTTACCTAGTTAGTTAAGTTAGTTAACTACCTACCTATGTAACTACATCCCGATAAGGCATACAGCACTACACATACAGTATACTCCGTACAGCATAAGCATACATCAGTATTAACCTCCACTGCTCTGTCTTCTCACCGCACCACGACCTTGTCCACCTCGTCCTTCGCCTCCGTCCACGTCTCCAGGTTCTTGCGCGCCCAGTCGAGGTGGCACCGTGCGTACGCCACCTGCCCGCCCCTACCCGTTAGCCGCCGTCCTGCCCACCGCGAGCGATAGGGAGATACTGACCATGTAGCGCCGTAGATCGTCCTCCTTTTCCTTCTGGAACCGCTTGAGGTCCTGCAGCACGCCCGCGCTTGCGTCCTGCACGTCCTGCTCCGATACCTCCAGCGCCTGCTCCAGCTGCTCGCCACCCGCCACCCGTCAGCTGCCTGCCTCTCGCGCTACCCATAGTCGAGGAGCTCACTTACCTGTGTTAGGCTTTCCCTAGTCTTGCTGATCTGGTCCCGTCGCGTCCGCTCCGGGTCGACGTCCACAAACCCGTGCACCGCGTGGCTTATCCTCCCAAACAGCTTGTTCGCCATGAAGCTGCCGCTCGAGCTGTGCTTGTGTCCCGGCGACGTCGCCGTCGACGGATCCGCTGGTCGCTGGGGAAGGCCCTGCGCCGCAGACGGCCGCGGTTCGCCGTGCGTTGGGGGGAAGTCCGAGTCGATCGACGCCGTGTCCTCCGGGCTGCCCTCACGAGCCGCCTCAGTACTGCTGGGGGCGGCTGCGTCCGAGAGCGAGCGCTTTGGTTTGGTCGCAGGGGGCCCAGTTTTGTTCAGGTATTGCTCGATTCGTTTGGCCTCTAGCTCACTCCGCTCCAACGACTCCAGTAGGACCTTCTTCTTGGCTAGCTCGTCTCTAGTCATCTCTTCCTGTATTCTTTTGAGCACCCGGTAGCGAAGCACGGACCGTACCACCCCAGCAAACTGCGCGCTTTCCCGCATAGGCTCGGCAAAGGTCGCGTTCAGCGAGTTTGAAAGCTCCTCTGTTTCAATGTAGGAGTTATCGGCCGCCTGGCCCACGCGTTCAATGGCCGCAGCTACTGTCGGGGACGTCTCTGACAGCGAAAATCCATTATACCGCGCGCCTAATTCCATCAAGTCTGTAGCGAGCGAGGACAGGTGGGTCAACATTCGCCGGTTCACCTTCTCAATGTTTCCCTGCAGTAGCAGCTCGAGCTCCCTTGTGGATGCTTCGAAATTCATAAAATACGGGTCTAGCTCAGACTCGTTCATGTTCCGCGATGATGGGGGGAAACGATTTAAAAAGCCGGGAACGGTTCCCGGTGCGCTCGAGTCTGGAGCTGCACCTTGGCCCGCCGTCTTCAATTTGGCCGATGAGGCAGGTACTGGGAGCCAGTTGTGTGCAGGTTTGGGATTGGCTGGGTCTAGTGGGGGTGCTTTCAGGTTATTCTTTGGGACCGAGGCAGCAGGATGGGATTGAAGGACTTCACTCTATCTCAGCCAGGTTAGTTCGTTTTTGTAGAGTAACACGCTAGGGTCCACGAACCCAGCTTGCATTTGGGTCAAGAAAGCGCCACCAGACTCCATCTTCCCGAATCTCGTCCATTTTCCGGCACCTGTTTAGAAACACGCCGAGCATGCGCTTTCGTAGCTCAATGATAGAGGCATCCTCTTTGGCTTTGGTCGGTTTTGCGGCATAGTCGGCCATGCTATGCTTCTCGGGGATGGGGGGAACAATGAGAGTCGGATGAAGGTTCACGAGAGTTGCGCGAAGGGAATTGAATTCGGAGTATCGGCGTCGTACCTCGAGGTCCTAGCCAATGCAGAGAGGTCAGATCAAGGCAGCCACGGCACGACGGAATATCATATCCACCTACACCTGTGCGGATGGTATATACGATGAAGCCACCGCCACCCTCGTGGTTCTTGCCGGCGTGCGTGATGAGAATGGGGATCTCCGGGTTCTGGGCGAGAATCTGCTGCACACGGCTCTCGTAGGCGTCCTGTTGGCGTAAATGGGATCGAGTGCCGGCGTAGCCGGCAGCAGCTGGCTGTGCAGATTCGGGCTCCTTGTCGTCGTCATCGTCTTCGTGGTCACTGGGGGTGCCCGGCCTGTCGAGGATGGGCGAGGCGGGCTCCTGGTATGCTGCTGCTGTAGCAGCCGGGGTCAGCTCTGGCAGCGGGGGCAGGCGGGCGACAGACAGCGGCTTACCGGCGGGCAATGCAGCGGGATGGCTCCCAGGAGGCGGATGACGGTCGAACGCACCGTACGGGTTGTTGTCCTCGTCGTTCCACATCGCAGCGATGGGTTGGCTCGTGGTTTGCGGTCGATGCGAGCTTGCCGGCGATGAGATCATCTCGCGACTAACTACCTCCTAGTTAACTCACTGCCTAGTTGGATAAATATGTAACTAACGTTAGTTAATTGGCACCTGCCGCCCGCTCCATAGAATCCCGAATCTTCTCATTACTATCGGAATACTGATTTTCCGAGCCGTTATGCAACAACAGCAAACCCATCTCAGTTGTTTCAACGTTTAGCTAAAATAGGTGTTTTGACTACTACATAGATAGAAGGAGCTTACTCTGTTGAATTTACTATATAGTAATATCAACATTTGTAAATCTAATATGGAAATGACCAGCAGGTGAAAATCTTTCATTCATCTTTTTCAACCTTTTCTACAGTAGGAGACCACACGCCTGCCTGTTGGACATCTCGTGCCGTATGCTCCGCACACTCAGCGCTCTATTTTGCTAGCCATTGTATGTATATACCTACATACTTATTGGCTTCTTCCGTGGTCTGCAGGACCTGATATATCTCCAACAGTGGCAATAACACTCCTCGAGTACTTTGAAGAGCCTCCATCAGCCTCTACTCGTTGTCTTCCTTTCCGAACTTTTGGGGTTGTCCTCCCGCCGCTGATCATATGCCTTGGCTTGCCTCTGGGGCCCTGTTTGCTAGAGCGCTGGCGCGTTTCATTTCCGTGGGTCTTCAGGCTCTTACTAGCTCTACATTTCCCTTCCTGGCCTCGGGAACGCGCCCGTTTTTTAGATTTTGCCTTGGTGCGTGGCTCTTCAGCATCGGGAGCAAAGCTACTATCGGCTTTTAGCGGCTCTGGACCTTCTTCTAGTCGGTGTTTCTTGAGACTCTGGCTTTTGTGCCGTTGAAGCGCCTTTGTCTTTTCCGCAGAGTCCCGAACACTCTCCTTTGCTCTTTTGTATGAAAAGAACCACACCCCTAATGCGAACAGGAAAAGAAAAAGGAGTATTGACGCAGCTAGAACTCCCCCTTGATGCTCAGGCGGCCAGGAGTTCCAGTCTACTGTTGTCCGAGGGTTGATAAGAAGGCTGTATCCAGCGAGCTGGGACATTGGGGCCATCTTAAGACCGAGTACTGGCACCTTAGATAGTCGCACTATGCGGGGTTAAAGTATATACCTGGGAATCTATGAATATTGCCATTAGCTCGTCTTTATATTTTCGTATAGGGTTCTTAATATGATGGACAAACTTGTTTGAGTAGAGGGTATAATACCAATGTAGTGACTACTCTGTATTTCATCTGACTAGTCCTAAGATATGGAGTCACATAAGAAATAAAATCACAACAGAAAAAAGATAAAGGAAAAGGAAAAGGAAGAACAAGGTCAAGTTAGCTTGAACATTTATCCTGTTATGGATTGTGCAACAACTTTCATAATCACCGCACATGATGCTCAAGGCTACAAACACAAATAAGGCCCTGATGTCCGTTTTCCACTAATGAATTGTTTTAGTGCCTCCAGGTTCCAGCGCAAAGCTAGCTTATTGGCCATTGCTGCCATCTGGCCCAACCTGAGATGGTTGCTAGTGTTCAATATTCTTAGCATTCTTCACTTCTCCTAAAGCAATCAAGACACTCACTTGCGCAGCTGTAGCTTCCTCCAATTTGCGTATTTCCTGCTCATGCCTCCTTAATTGAAAGCTATGGGCTAGAGCTTGTGAGACATGTGAACTCCCTTTCCATACCGCAAATAAAATGAGGGGGACAATGAGGAGAACTATCAGCACGGTGTAGTTTGGGTTCATTGCAACTGTATAAGTATTCAAATATTAGTTAATCAATTATATTTTGTAGCATGAGATGGCAGTTAGTTGAGCATACTTTAAATCTGCTGTATGACTCAATAGAGTGGGTGTTCTTAAATTGGCAGGAATTCTCCTCTTATCAGTAAAAGTATATCTGTACATGCGCTCCAGGCTGGAAAATCAGATATGAGAGATTGATGTAAGTATCACAGGAAAGAGGCAGCACTACTGTAAGAGCAAAAATCCTTATTGAGAGGTGCATACAAGCCACCTACAAGCTGCTATGGCATTAGAAGTGCTGAGGCCTACAGGTCAAACACGCTCCAATAAGCAACAAAACTAGCAAGCAGGTTGCTGGGGCCACCGCACCACTGGTTTCGGGATTTGTGAGGGGCCCGCCCCTCAGGGAGGTGCCGCAGAGGCGCTACCAGCACAAGCCATTGGGTTAATTGTCCATGGATTGTTGGATTCCAGCGCAAATTTTGCTCCTGCAACCCAAGGCTCATATCCTCCAGCACCTTTGCCAATATCGTGTATTTTCTGAAGATTTTTACGAAGTGCTTCTGTATTGATATCAGCACATCCAAAAGCCTTGGTTAGAAGGAGAACCTTTGCGGCATAAAACAGCCGCATGCTGATCACAATGGCATCGGGGTTGCAAATCCAGCTCAATATTCCGATCTCGTTATTTTCCTGAAGGATCTTGCAAAAAGAGTCTAAGTTAGTAGATATCCATGAGCAGAACTGTTGCATATGCTCTGTCGCTTGACTCTTGTAGTCCAGTCGCGCAAGAACAGCGGACCAAATTTCTATCTCGCGATGTTCATCCATATATAAGTTTTGTTTTTCCTTCACAAATAGGACAGTATTTCTTTCCCGAAACTCAGCAAAATGTTCGGAGATAGGTCGGAATGTCACAGTGCTAGGGCGAGTCCCCATGAAACGAATAATTGCGGCCCTAAAAACATCCGGAGATGTTGAAAAGTGTTTGGGGAGTAGATTTGCGACGGTGGTAGCTGTCAAGAGCGGCAAGGTGGGCGTCAAGAATTCGGCTTCGAAAACCAGTGGCGCGATATGGGCTGCAGCGATTCTCAACTCTTCCTCATCATCATTCAACATGTCGTAAAGTATAAAATAAATGTCGACGAGAAGAGGGGAGTGGGATATAGTGACACCAATTCGCCGAAGCCCTAGTACGAAGCATTTTAGGGAGGCTATAGCGGCGAGTCTCGTGGTGAACTCCTGTAGCACATAAGAAACTGGGTGTTTATAGACAAGCATGAATAAACTCACTGTCTCTTCGGTCATTGCAAAAAAAAGTCCTTGCATATATCTTCGAAATTTTGGTCGCATCGTGCTGGTCTTTTCCATAGGTCCCACAGATTCCAGCTGAAGAGGGAACAGACAGCCCTCCAGGTAAAGATAGGCATTCGCTCTTTCACGATCCCAAAGAATACTATCCTCATCTATAATATTGAAGTCTTTTAACCTAGCCCAATCCCTCAAATATTCAAAATCAGACGAATCGTGGTCTGCTTGCTCATAAATGTGTCCCAAAGTCTCGGCCAAGCTGATCATTGCAACTGTTTTCAACTCTGACAATAGTGTCGTCTCAATCAAGCGAGTAAATAGATAGCTTGCTCCGAATTGAGTGTCACGATAAGACCCGAAAGTTTGATAAAACCGCTGTACTAGCCAGCACGCACCATTCACGTCAAAAACGGATACATGCTCTGCCAAGAGCAAGACCTCCTCTGATGTTCCGTTTCTCAGGAACTTTAGGACAATGATAATAAAACTAAGGTTTCTAATCAACAGGGCAGACGACCTGGAGACTGAAGAGCCGGATATAGATTTTAGAAGGCTATGAAGAAGTTGCTCGAATGCGTAAGTTTCGGCCAATCCTTCATAGCGATGGAGAATGGTGTCTTTTCTAAATTAGTAATTGTAGCCATAGATGATTCGGCTTGAGTCGCCCTACCTTCTTGTCGGCATTTGATTGAAGCCACTAACGTCTCAACTAGTATTTCAAAAAGACAAGATTTTGTATAGGGTGCTAGGTGTACGGAGTAGTAATTTGTGAAATTTTTTTCCACAACTGACATTAAAATACTTACGTTATCTAAGGTAACGTTAATTCAGAAGTAATTGGAAGGGTGTAGATAATGCCATACGTACCACGCCAGTATCCCGATGGTAAATCCCACAACTTTTGTAACAAGTACTTCAAACATAGCATTAATCCATGTACTTGGTTTTGGGAGTACGGTATTTTATTAGCTAGGGATAGCTTCTGTGCAGCTTCCAAAAGAGCTGGTCGTTTTACCAATGAAACATATGTCCTTGCTGCATGATCTCTTATCGCCCAAACTGAGTTTGACAGTTGACAAAATGCCAATTCCATCAAGGTCTCATCATTTTTAGAGGAACGAGAGGGTGTTTTGTTTCCAATTAGTTCCAGTGCGGGAAAAATGCGTTCAGTAAGTATTGAAAGATCCCATTTGCCTGATGAAATTTGTTCATGATTCGGTGCGACTACTAGAGACCTGGTATCCAGCAGGCCTGATAACAATGGCACCAGCCCTTGATACTTTTCGAAAGGAACACTATGAGTGGAGTCATACCCAGGGATTGAAAAAGTACAACGACGTGATTCCGGGGTGGGCTGGCTCATTCGGTTAATCAGCGCCCGGAAAAGCATTAGGCCGCAATTGCGAATTGCCCAACTATGGATATTAGAATTATAGTGATAAGTGGTGGGCATCTTATATACTTACATATTTGACCCTAAACAGTCAGCTGATATACGCAGGGCAGGCATTATATACGGCTCTGTCCTAGGAGCAAGGCAGGTGTTCGAAAATATATCCTTTAGACAGTTTAAGGCATGAACTTGCGGCAACTCTACTATCGGTCCCTCCGCAGCGGTGGCAAGTCTTATACGCGCAATATCCTGAAGTTCGTTCATTATTTCTCGAAATAAGGCACCGTTTGGCTGGGAAGAGGCAATTCCGGTTACAATAGCGGGAATTCCAGCAGATCTTCTAGTTAACTTAGAGCCTTGTTCGTGAATGATTCGTACAGCATCCTAACAAATTTAGCTAGGTCATTCCACAGGTAAAAAGAGCAATAATGCATACCTGATACCATATGGTAGGTAGGGCGTTTACTGAATCAACATTAGACTCGACACAGCGTTGGCAGCAGGACATAAATGTATGAGAGACGGTAGAAAAAGCACCCCGATGCCTCAGTTCGGCTAATTGATCGAAGCTCAAGGACCCTACCCTCGAAAGAATATCATATCCGATGCCCCCGGAGGCACTTGGAGCGAAGGTAGGATTTGACAGAATAGCATTCAGCAAAAGGCTGGTACCTGGTTAGTGATACTCTGTAGGATAGTGTGGGGACTTCACCTTGATTCACGCAGTGCCCGCCATGAAAAAGATAAAATATCCTTAGGGCCGACCAGGTCTTCCTGTAGACTTTCGTGCTCCCGTTCTGGTGAATCAGCACAGAGGACATCATGAACTCCAAACCATATACTCCAGCAAACTGAAAGCATTCGTTCCAAGAAAGATAACCAAGATGGGTTTGGATCGTCGCTCGAGGACACCACCTCATGAAAATCGGGTGTTGTAGAAATATATCTTGTGGTAATTAGCAATAAATTATTGAAGGAATATACAGAAGTATATGTTTCAGATGTACCTTAGTGCAGATACGTATCCTTGAAGGGGTGTATTGTGCAGAGCAGTATAAAATGCCGCTGGGGAGCATGAAATACTTTGCTCCAAATTCTCCAGTAAGCCGTCGACAATATCATGAGGGGTTAAGGCCTCGTTTGATCGCAACAAAGCTTTTTCGTCAGAGAAGGTCGCAGAAAGGCTAAAGCGAAGGTGGTACAGGCGAGCAACAGTGTCCGAGTGATCAGCCCTGCTTGTCATTCCCGCCATATCTTCTGCTCTTGGGATAGCTGTACATATCTGGCTGTATAGACCTGGGCCGAGAATGTCTGATCTAGGCATTAAAAGCCGCTTAGGGCATAAACGCAGAAGAGTTAAGGAGGTTTCTCGAACGTCATCAAAAGGGTCAGACAGAAGATCCGCAATGACCCTTAGTAAACTCGGGGCGTACACATCCATGTTGAAACGCCATTTCTGCTCTCCTTGGCCAAGCCTAGAAAGGTGTTCAGAGTTAACTCCCGCATCAATTCCGGACTGTATCAGCAAAAGTAAAATTTTCAATGCAAGAATATGTCTCTGGTATGATGCAGTAGGGCGAAGTTCACTTTCAAGAAATCCAAAGTACCAATGGAGAAAGCCCTTAGTATCTATAGTTGCGTCAGATATTGCCTCTTCTACCCTTGAATTGGTTGCTGGAAGCGAATTGGAGCTGCCTCGAAGCCTGATAACAAATTTTCGAAAGAGTCCTAAAAGCCGACTGCGGATGTGGGAATCGGTTTCTGCCTGGATGTAGGGGAGGGAATCCATTAGAACGCGAAGTGCAGCTGGTGCGAATGGTTTTGCAGTAGCCAGGTCTGTGATTAGTAGAGACAATGCAGGAATCCGAATATTTTGCTCTGCGTGAAGCAAGAATTGTCGGTAATATACGGGTTCAAGAATGATGGAAAATTCGGCGACTGATGGGCTCAGACTCCCAGGTGCTTGGATTGTTCAGAACTGCCCACAGACTGGGATGAAAAATCACTCACCTGACTGATCATGAACAAGCCCTAGCCCCTTACCTAACTCGAGAATGGAAAACAGGAGGGCATACTCCTCATTAGAAGCCGTAGTGTATACGTTCGAGTGAAGACCTTTAATTGGCAATGTTGCTACAAAGAGATTAAAATCTTTTGGTTGCATTTTGAATAACGGTAGAAGGATGTGGTTGGCTACTGGATCTAAGCAATCTAGATTCAGTAGAGAGATGTGCCTTAACGGTGTTACCCAGAAAGGACGCCCGTTTTCGTAATACGTGAAGTCACTGAGAGGAGACACTTCTTTGAGTTTGTAGCACAATTGAGAAAATAGCATTCCGGCCGGTAACGAAACATCTCGGTTTTGCATATTGAGCAAGAGAGTAATGCAGAGCAGGCGGGAGGTGTTTAAAAGAATTTCTCGCGGCGGTAGCTCCTTTCTCTCGTTTTCATCCGCAAGGCGGCTGAAGGGAAGAGTGACACTAGCACAATGCTCTACAAAAAGCGGCATCCACTGAGAACAGTGAGTCCATAGCCATTCCTGCACGAGTAAGACGAAATCGAGCACATCAATAACCCTTTTGCGAACAAGTAGTTCTAAAGTCACTAGGCTGACTTTGAGTCGGGATCTGGGCTCAAACTTAAAAAGAATTGGAATAAAAGATCTCCCTATGTTGCTGGATAGCGACTTAGAAGTGTTTACATCCATGTGTTTTATTAACAAGACGAGGAGTGTGGCGAGAACTTGTTTCATGGGCTTCGGCCTTCCGTATTGATAACGGTCTAGATATATTTCAAAGACCGACATCCATGTTTCTTCAGACAATACGTATTTGTGTAGTTGACTATTGTCCGACTTGACGGCTGACTCCAAGAACCCGCTTATAGCATTGCAGATGGCAGTGTTATGAGGGCCTGGAAGATTAGCAGCTGAAAATGTATGAAGAAGACATTTCCAAACCCAAAATATTTTTCTGGGAACTATCATTAATCATTTAGAATTATATATTGGCGCATGGCAAATGGCTCACTGGATATCCTGGGATTCAAGTATGAATGTTCGCAATGGGCCCCTTGTGATTTCTTTGAGAACATCCTCGGGCACAATAAACATGTTTTCTGTTAGGAAAAAAAGGTCCATATTCACGGACCCTGCTTCAGAAGTACTCATTTTGAGAAGGAGAAAAAACCAACCCCACCCCAAAAAAAGCCTGAAAGATAGGAACAGTATGGAGTATGAGGCAGCCAGCGTCAAAATTGCCGAGCTATTTCCAGATTGGTCTAGCGCCCATTGTCAATGAATGGAAGTTAACTTAACTAGTTAACCTACGGAGGTAGTTAATTAGTTAACTAACTAACTAACTAACTATAGATGGCTAATCAGAATGCCCGGAGCACACAAACAAAGCAAACCAGTGCGTGATTCGACTTTTTTTCGCAAGTCGTTTCGATACTGCCGGCAAGACAACCAGTTATCCAGCGGACTATTTACAGCCGCGCGAACCACGAAGCATCTGCTTGTGAGCGCCCTTCACTCCCTCCGATTCATCATGTCGATCTGGGACACGCTTTCAGGCCGGAAACCCACCACGCCTCCTGGCCCTTCGCCCTTTGATGCCGCCTCTCACGATGTGTCTTCGTTTCTCTCAAGCGCTGCCATTCCCGATCCCTCAGAATTGCATCCCCTTGCCGGACTAAAACAAGAAACTCTGGACTACCTTACTCTTGAAGATTCTGCCTTAAACGAATTGCCTGGCTCTCAATCCGCCCTCCCGTCCCGAGGCTGGTCCGACGACTTGAGTTATGGCACTGGAACTACCTACCTCACAGCCTTAAGCATCGGCGGTTTGTGGGGCCTTACGGAGGGCCTCAAGAAAACACCACCTACTGCTCCCCCGAAATTGCGATTAAATGCGGTTCTTAACTCCGTGACGAGGCGTGGTCCGTTTCTGGGCAATTCAGCGGGCGTTATGGCGATGGTCTACAATGGTATCAACTCAACGCTGGGTTATGCTCGTGGTAAGCATGACGCGGTAAATAGCATCGTTGCTGGTGCTCTCAGTGGAATGTTGTTTAAGAGCACCAGAGGCCTGAGGCCCATGGTGATATCTGGGGGAATTGTTGCTAGTATTGCGGCTGCTTGGACGGTATGGCTACCTATTTTGGTTATATTGACAATTTGTTTCTGACTTTCTTGGATACGTAGGTGACTCGGCGAGCCTTCTTTTCATAGACGCCATAAAAGTCTCAGACTTCCTCCTATGCTCTCCTATTGTTCCTGAGAGCCGGAACATGAATTGATTGTGTTCCAAATTCCGAAAAACGGGAAAATCGCCAGGGTGAAATAGCCCAGCTACCTTGTTCACTTCCTACCTCCGTCATACCCAAGGATGCATTCTGCTCTGGCGCATATTCGTGAGGTATTCTTCCTTGATTAGCATTTCGCAGAAGTTGAGCTCGTCGGGTATGAAATGGCAGCCAATTTCTTTTTAATGTGTACATATAGAGGGCTTTTGGCTGGTCGATGTTTTGTACCTTTTATTTATTTGTCTTATTAGCATTATATTATTGTCATGAAGCATCCTGTGCTCGATAGCTCCTCCTTAATTTAATCCATCGGCAATCCTTGGCTGAAGGATCTTAGTCACCAGTGGCGAAAGCAGCGTCACTTCCCGCCCAGACGGGTGCGGACGGCAACAATGCGACTCCAACGTTATTTGTTGCATCTTAACTACATGGCATCGCTTCGCATTCTCCCGATCAGATTTTCGTTCTCCGGCCATGAATTTGGCGTGCATTAGGATGACTTGAGTGCTGTGCTCTTGTTGCATCATCATTATCGCCATGACTAGGATCCCCCGCCTATAGGCTTCGCTTTCTTGAAACCTATTCTTAGATTGCGAGGGAAAATATTCCGTCCAACCTGACTACTTGTCCTTCCGCCGCATCTTTCGCTACGTCTCGAGAGACTCGCCCGCCCCTTTCTCGATGGTAGAACGCAACTCATATCAGACGGATCCCGAATCACTCTTGTTGTTAAGTGGCTTAGATACACCACCTCCATCGTCGTCAGCGACGACGATCTCGACAGACAATCCCGCCTTGCACGATGCACCGCCTCGTCTCGTCCACGATTCGGTTCTGTCGCAGCCACAATGTTCTCGACAAGATGCCGCGGCCAACTATCCGACAGAGAAGGTCTCTACCAACCCCAAATGGAATGCTACAGCTATTATAACTACTTCCCCTCAGCTGTCTGATCCAACGCAATGGACTCCCACCCTTAGCATTCGTACCGATTTCGGAAGCGAGCAAGTGATGACTCCCAGCGGCCACACGGACCATGATGTCTCTCTACGGCCCAGCCTCTCATCAACGAGCTTGCCTCGTAGAACGTCAAGTATACGCGCGGCTCTCACCGCTGCACAGTCCAGCGCGGGATCGGTCTCTCCCGGCTCGGTATTCTCATCACCGCAACTTGCCGCATTGACAGACATCACCCCTTTACCATCTCCAACCCATGGCAATTCTCCATGGCGGTCCAGCAGCTCCAACTCTCTTCCAAGGTCGCCATCGATGACATCGCATCGCGGCTCGACTTTCAGTTTAAAGTCCCTAGATCCAAACAGACCGCCGGGGTCGTCTTCTAGCCAGCGTCGTGGATTTGATCTGACTCGAGCACCAAGCCAGGAACACATACATGCTCCAAAACGGGATAATTTGCATATACAGGTTCCACGAAACGGCCATTCTCGAAACCGGAGTCTTAGTGAATATGTTCCTCCTGTTTTATTGGCCCCTGGTATCATAAGGCCCTCGTTTGGCAGCCCTAGCTGCGTTTCACCCCCTGCACCACATACTGTGCAGAGTAAACTCCATCGCGAGGAGTATCTAGCCGTCCAACGGGGCATAGCATTACCCCATGCGCATCCCCCTACGCCTCCAAGCACACGTAGAGGTGAGGATAGCATTGGTGGCGATCTTTCTGTGACTGTACCTGGGAGGAAGCTATCTTCTACCGAAGTATATCATGTCACTTCGATAAGAACGCTCCAGCCCCGAACTTACCGAATGATTCGTCAGCTTGGACAAGGAACGTTCAGTCAAGTATCTCTTGCTGTCCGAGATGAATCTCCAAACGAGACTGGCATTTCATCGCTGGCACAACCGCGTCTTTGCGCCGTTAAGGTAGTTCAGTATGGTCCCGCTGGTGGGGCTGACGAAGAACGAGTCGAAGTCTCGTTAAAACGGGAAGTTGACATTCTAAAATCTATCAACCATCCATCCATTGTCCAATTAAAGGCATTTGGAAGTGACGAGAAACGGGCGCTTCTCGTCTTGGATTATTGCCCTGGTGGCGATTTATTCGAATTTGCCAGTGGAGGGCAATACTCTTTATCACCTCCGGTGATCAGGCGCATATTTGCAGAACTGGTAGCTGCTGTTCTATATCTACACAGGAACTTGATTGTGCATCGAGATATTAAGCTGGAGAGTAAGTGGCTGGGTTATCCTGATGACCACGCGTGAAGCACTAATGTTTTTCAAGATGTTCTTGTGAATATTCCTGGCTCTGTAATGCAAACCATCACTGATTGGCGAACCTACCCTCGCGCACTAGTCACATTAACAGACCTTGGACTGTCTAGGAGAATCCCACAGCCACCAGAAAACCCACTTCTTCATACACGCTGCGGGTCGGAAGACTATGCCGCACCGGAGATCCTCATGGGCCAGCCGTATGACGGTCGCTCTACCGACGGCTGGGCTCTTGGTGTTCTACTATTTGCGATGATTGAGAACAGACTTCCGTTTGATCCTCTGCCAGGGACCCGAGGAGACACCGCAAAACTGCGGGCGCGCACGCCTCACCGCATCGCCCGCTGTGAGTGGAGCTGGTATCGGTATGGCAACGAGGATGGAGAGTGGGACCCTAACAAGGGTGCAGCGTTCAATGGTGCGCAGCTCTGTGTTCAAGGCTTGTTGAGGAGGAGTAGTCGGCGAATAGGGCTTGATGAGGTTGAGAAGATGGAGTGGGTGAAGGAGGCGATCGACGTGCCAGACGGTCTGAAGAGAGGCGATATCGAGGTGCCATGACCCCCTCTGTCCTTCCTTCTTTCGTTTTTCCTTTTTTTATTCAAACTTCTACTTTTACCCCCCCCCCTTTTCATTTTGTATTTATGACATTGTATTGTGACATCCGATGTTTGCTGGGCCTTATCCTGATGTTTGTTTGTCCTTTCGGGTTCCGGGGTTAGTTGCTTACTCCATACTTTAGCAATGTTTACGTGGCGGGTGACGACGTTTGTGGTTAATGCCAGCCCTTGTGGCTATAACTTACTCCGTACGTTCTAGGAACTGTAAAGGGAAATCTCTGTTTGATCCTCACACACCATGTGCCTGATATTGACATTGGGAATCACCCAGACTGCTGTAACCGCACTCTAACCTGAGTTCTGCAGCTCTATGTGCCTTTCAATGAAATATTCACGACATAGACAATTGACAAGAAGATAGGGTGCTAGATAAGTACGGAGTACTGAATACTGCATGATCCATCCAACCGAAGAGTGATGCAGTGAACAAAAAAGACAGCCAAAACGAAACCTGGTCACTTTGGGCTAGGCGCTGTTGGAGTGTCGCCTTGATGTGGTGTAAATAACTTGAAAAGGTTGTTGGCGTTGCAAAAGGTAAGCTTTTTGGCAGGGTTCGAATCCCCCACTCTCGCCGGAGCAGCTGGCCTGCGGGTCTAGTTGGCGAATTAGAAATAATGATTTCGCAGAGCCCGAGCTGGAAAGCCTCGGATACTCCCGTGAAGGCAGTGTGCAGGCAGAAGGTCGCAGAAGGGGAGTGTTGTAAAAGAGCGTTGATACCCTCTTCTTAATAATTAACTAGGTCGAGAAGAGCGTCTGAAGGCTAGTGCGAGTATCCGTCCCAATCGGCAAATTATCACTGTTGGGCAGTCGATGGTGACAGCACTAAAGATTGGCGGTGATCGTGCACTTGTGGATTCAACAACAATGACTAATGTTCCGTAATGTGGCGACGATCCGGCTAAGCAGAAGGTGCTTAACTTAGTAGTTGCATAGAATGGGGGTTGCGTGGCAGGTCACCAGGGTGCCAAGCATGCGACACGGCAGAGTCGATGACTGCAGGCATCCCTTGAGCAGCGCATCGCCCGGGCGCGGGGGGAGTTGCATGCCATCGTGAGGGTTCTTCAGTGGGCGTCAGACTCGGCGCAGCGGGGAGCACGCGGAGTCCTCCGTACGTACGGAGTACCTACTATTACTTGTTCTCCGCGCGGGGCCAGGCGCCAGCGGCTGATCGCTTAACTAACTAACTAACGAAATCAGGCGCCAGCCGAGACCTGGTTGGCGGCGACACGCACTAGTCCCGGCCGGGCGCCCCGGCACCACCGCCGCTGACTCAGCCGAACGTCCTCTCGTCCTGGTCGGCTGTTTGCCAGCAGTATTAGTGCTGGTATTAATAATTATTCCCGACCCGTCGCTGGCAGGCCGCCCGGCTTCTTGCCCCCCTCTTGGGCTGGGAAGGCCCTGTGGCCGCAAACTCTCCTTTCATCCCAGTATTCCTCGGTCTTTTCACCGCTTGACCAAGACGAAACCAAACACCGGTTCCCCCTTGGACGCTCGGCACTCAGCGCTGCGCCATCCTGGCTCCCTCCCCTCTCTCTGTCTTCCGGTGCCTGAACAACCGCATTATTGACAAACCATCCCACTAATCATACTGCCAAGAACAGGGTTGTTGTTCTCTATCGTACATGTTTCGCCCGCTCTGCTTCTAACCGGATAAGCTCCGCCCTAGACAACGCAGGTCTAATAAATAATCAACCTTGAGTGCTCGCGAGAGACTTAGCGTTGCAACCTCATCATTGATTATTATTATTATTATATTGTTCAATCTTTGGGTTCACATGGCGGACGGCCTTTGTCTCCTTCTCTTCGATCGCAACCTCAGGCCTGCTGCCAACCAAACCGTGGCGGGTTACTGCTGCTCCAGACAACCCAGACTCTGCCCAATCAACGCTTAATTTGACTTGGCTTCCTCCACTTTGCCCTTCTGTGTGGAACCCGCCCCTCTGCACCCAAAACCATTTATTTATTCTGTTTCCCTGCCATGCACACCCCGCGATCCCCAGATTATTACAGATACGCCAGGGTGGGTAAGCGGTCGATCTCCATCTCCATGGCCAATGTAACTTCGCTGGCGCGTTGCGAGACTTGTGCTTCATTCTCAGCCACTCGTTGACCAGAAGAGTATGGTTTTTTCCAGTCCCGACTGATACTTCCTGAATCTTGGCCGAGTCTGCAAAGTATAACTACCCAAGGTGGTTGAGAGCCCGTCACTGTTTTGGTAGTTGATACTAAAGGAACCATAATAATGATTCCCATATTAGTCTGGCTTGTATCTTTTGATGCCGAGGGGCGGATGATCCAACTTCCCAATAATTTCCTGCGGAACCCACACTTGCCTGCCAATGCGCCCTGTTAGCACCTTGCCTGTCCCATGGATCCTCTCGTGATGTAATTTCACTTCGATACGGGCCGTTGTCCCCTAGTCTGTCTTGTTCACCTTCATCTGATGATACCGATTCAAATGTCACTATGTCGCATGGCACCGGAGGGGGGAGGTATAAGAAGTCGCCAGCTTCCCCCGATTAGGTCTAAAATGAGATTTGCTGGTCCAATCCTTTCTTCATTGCCACCCTTTGCTTAACCAAGCGGTTGTATACATTTAGCCATGAAGACCTTTTCCTCCCTCCTCTTGCTGGCCTCCGCCGGCCTAGCTAATGCTGCCGGCCCCGAACTCATGAGCGAATTGATGTCGTTGAAACTTCGAGACCATGAATCCATGGTGAAAAAGGGGTACTTCCGGCCTGAAAGATATCGCACAACTGACGGCGTGACAAAATGTGTCAATGGTAAGGCTGGCGAATATAGTTGCAAGAATGTCGACATGTATGGGTTCATTCCCCACGGCAACCTTGGCAGCAAAACTCGAGTTGGAAATGATGTCTGGGGTATGTACATTTTTTGCATATCTTCGGTTATAGTATTAAGCGTATTATTCAGGCTGGACGTCTCCGGACGGACGAGAGTTTGGAGCCGTTGGACAATCCGACGGCACCGCTTTTGTGGAAGTTAAGAAGGATGGTAGCTTGGTGTATCTGGGTAGACTTGCAACTCAAACCACCAATATTACGTGGCGTGACATGAAGATTATCGACGGCTACTGCTACATCGGCGCCGAATCTCCTGGGCATGGCCTTCAAGTTTTTGATATGAGAAAGGTAATCAATGCTTTATTCATTCTGCCTTTATGACTCTAGGATGCTGACAATTATCGTCTAGTTGCTCAATATTACAACACCGCGAGAGTTCAGCAAGGAGACGGATATGACAGCGTGGTTCAGTGGATTTGGAAGCTCTCATAATGTCGTATCAAATGAGGACACGAAGATGATCTACGTTGTGGGAACTGCAAGAAATTTGACCTGCAAGGGAGGTCTCTGGATGCTTGATGTGAGAGATCCTTCCAGACCTAAGTCTCTTGGCTGCGCCCACCAAGATGGATATGTACATGATGGTAAGCTTCAATTATCGCGGATTATTTTTCAGGTTAGTTCTAACCCAAACTCAAGCCCAGTGCGTAATTTACAAGGGCCCTGATTTCAAATATCTCGGCCATGAGATTTGCTTCAATTACAACGAAGATACTCTCACTATCATGGACGTCACAAACAAAGAAAAGCCAGTTATCATTTCAAAGACCCCTTATATGGGCGCTTCATACACTCACCAGGGTTGGTTGACCGACGAAGACAATATGGAATACCTCCTTTTAGACGATGAGCTTGATGAGATGCGAAAGAATGGCACTGCCGCAAACGGACACACTACCACATATATTTTCGATATCAAAAACCTGGCAAAACCCAAGAACACCGGAGCTTACCAGTCACCTGCCAAAGCTATTGACCACAATCAATATGTTGTAGACGGTCTTACGTACCAGTCTAACTATGGTAGCGGCCTGCGAATTGTGGATATTAGTTCCGTAAAAAAGGATCCAACAGGAAAGTGGTTCAAGGAAACAGGGTACTTCGACTGCCATCCAGAAGATGATGCTCAGGGTGGCGCCGTTGCCTTCACTGGTACCTGGAGTAACTACCCATACTTCTCTAGTGGATACATCCTTCTCAATAGCATTGAAAGGGGTATCTACTCTCTGAAGTACACAGGGCCTAAACGGCATCATCACTGATGGCCCACCAGGCTGCTATGAAATGACGAACGCATATATATTCCAAAAATTCGATATTCTTCGATATTGTACATATTTTTCCATATCTACGAGCGTTTCAAAATTGTTCTCTTGTTCATCTTCCTCAAGCCTCACAACAGGAAATTGGACTGCTTTTTATTGTAAAGTTGGTCATACAATCAAGACCAGAAGCCAGATGACGCACCTCCAAGCTGTTCATGCTTATTGTCTGTAACTAAATACGTATCCGCACATACTGCATCTGCATGCGTGTAAATGCAGGTGTCTCCGAGTTTGGAGATGTTTTCCGTAGGATGCTTAAGCAAAAGCGGGCGGCCAATGAGCGATCCAGCATAGAGAGCGACCAAAAAAAAAAAAAAAACGCGCTTATTCTGCTCCGGCGACAAATGCGGTGCGTGTGATTGGCCCGAGTACCGCGGCCGCAGCGACATCGGATCGCGTCAAATCCCTTTGTGACTCGATAAAGCTACGGCTGAGCTGCTGCTAGTTGTGCAGGCTTAACACTGTTAGCTGTGCTCCAACCCCCCCCGAGCTTACTTTGGCGATTTCTGGTTCTTTTCGGACTCAATTGCTCAATTGGCCTGTTGGGAATTATTTTATCAAGCTACGCGGCACCCCTGCCCGAGCGTAACCCTGGTCACAATGCTCCGATTCCAGCCTCGAGGGCAATTGCCCACGAGCAAATGGTTTAATTCCATATCTTTGTAAGTCAGAGAGTGTTTGGCACTAGGCCATTTCTATTTATGCTAAAACTAAGTGTTTGCGGCCATAGCTTTTCTTCAGCATCTGCGCCCCGACAAAACCCCCCTTCAAACAACCGTACAGGGGCAAAAACGCCATTAAATACCGTATCAAGTCATATCACACAACCAATATCACAAGGAGCTTCCCAGGCCATGTTATATGCCACTGGGCTTTCCACGGAAGATCTTTCCAAAGCCCAAGTTGGTATTTCCAGCGTCTGGTACAATGGAAATCCCTGCAATATGCACCTTCTAGATCTAAGCAATATCGTACGGGAAGGTGTTCGAAAGGCAGGGCTGATTGGCTATCAATTCAATACCATCGGTGTTAGCGACGGCATAAGTATGGGAACGAAGGGTATGAGGTTTAGTTTGCAAAGCCGTGATTTGATTGCAGATTCTATAGAGACAGTTATGGGTGGCCAGTGGTATGATGCCAACATCAGTCTCCCCGGATGTGACAAAAATATGCCGGGTGTCATAATGGCCATGGGCCGGGTGAACCGCCCTAGTTTAATGGTTTATGGCGGCACAATCCGTCCTGGTTGTGCGTCAACGCAAAACAATGCAGATATCGACATTGTCTCCGCATTTCAAGCATATGGCCAATTCCTGACTGGCGAGATCACAGAAGAACAGCGTTTCGACATCATACGTCATGCTTGCCCTGGCGGTGGTGCATGTGGTGGGATGTACACTGCAAACACCATGGCTTCGGCTATTGAAGTCATGGGAATGACTTTACCGGGATCATCCTCTAACCCTGCCGAATCCAAGGCGAAAAAGGTTGAATGTATGGCAGCAGGTGAAGCTATTAAAAGGCTTCTGGTCGAGGACATTCGACCTTCAGATATCCTAACCAGGACGGCGTTTGAGAACGCCATGATCTTGGTCAACATCACTGGCGGCTCAACGAACGCCGTCCTTCATCTTATTGCTATTGCAGACTCTGTGGGTATTAGGCTTACAATTGACGATTTCCAGGCCGTTAGTGATCGCACCCCATTCCTCGCAGACCTCAAACCGTCTGGAAAATACGTTATGGCCGATTTACATACTATTGGTGGTACTCCATCATTGATTAAATTCCTTTTGAAGGAAGGGATTCTAGACGGCTCAGGAATGACTGTAACTGGCAAAACTTTAGCAAAAAATGTAGAGAATGTGCCAGATTTCCCATCCGACCAGAAAATCATTCGCCCACTGAATAATCCTATAAAAAAGACCGGCCATCTTCAAATTCTTCGAGGTAGCCTTGCTCCGGAAGGAAGCGTTGGAAAGATCACCGGTAAAGAAGGAACTAGCTTCACAGGTCAGGCACGGGTATATGACGATGAAGACGACTTCATTGCTTCTCTGGAGAAAAACGAAATCAAAAAAGATGAGAAAACGGTTGTCGTTATTCGATACACTGGACCCAAGGGTGGGCCAGGAATGCCAGGTACGCTTCCTTTTTTCGCAACAGAGTAGATTTCGCTGTTTAATCATTTTCCGATGCAGAAATGCTTAAGCCTTCCTCCGCCTTAATGGGAGCCGGGCTTGGTTCTTCTGTCGCCTTGATTACGGATGGTCGCTTTAGCGGCGGTTCTCACGGCTTTTTAATAGGACACATTGTTCCCGAGGCTGCAGTGGGAGGCCCAATAGCGCTTGTCGAGGATGGTGATATCATTACAATTGACGCGGAGCGGAGAATCCTAAACCTTGAAGTAGCCGACGACGTTCTTGCACAAAGAAGGCAGAGATGGCAAGAAAAACAGGACGCCGGCCTTGGCCGTGCAACAGGGTTGTCTATGCGGGGAACTCTAGGTAAATATGCGAGGTAAGTGGTGAAATCCGTCGACATGCCATCTACCAACTCGACTAACTTCAAACGAAGAGCTGTAACTGATGCTAGTCATGGTTGTATCACGGATGCTATATGATTAGGAGCTTATAAAGTCAACACATCTATCCCCTCATTGACTTCAGTCTATTCATTTTTTTCAGAGAAAATACACCCATGTATGTATGTATGTATGTATGTATGTATGTATGTATGTACGTATAGACTCCCAGCAGAGCATCGGGTCCATAGTGAGTGAGCCAATAGTTAATTTACTAAAAAAAGGGGGCCATGGGATGTATAGACGTACGCGGCAACACCAGGGGAAAGAGTTAGGATTAGGGTGGATGGTTAATAATCAAATAACGTCCGGCGAAGAGATCAATCATAGGAACGTTGATAGGTGGCACCACTCCGGATCCGAGAATCGGACCAGTATACTCCGTACTTGCCTAAGGATACTAGGCTCTAGATCCATGCTCCAATTTCACTTGCGCTGCCTCCGCAGCAAGAATTTCGACACGTTTTTGGTACAGCGTCATTGAATGCATTTTCACGTCACCAAAAACAACGCTCGCCAATTCCTCATTTGTTGTCAGGTGAGCCTGTGCAGTTTCTTTCCCGCTCTTACTTGTACTTCCACGTAGCAGAACCAGCCTTCCTGGCAGTGAAAGTGTTGGTGCTGGCTTGCACCAGGAGCCAGACGTTGATTTGTTAATATTAGATTTCTCCTGGTCCCTGGAGCTGAAGATTTTAAGTTTACGCAAGACGAAGTTGTTCGTACGTATTGCAGGAATGGGTGCTCTGTAAAGGCTGATTAAAGAGTGGATATAAGATCTCTCAGCTAGGGTGACAGGGTCCCCTTCATTCGCAATACTGAAAAACAGGCAATTCTCAAAGCTCCTCGCAGTTGGCTTGTGTAGCGGCTGACTGGAGACCGGTGGTGCACCAAAGCTGATGCAGTGTATTCGATCGAAAACCTGTCGAATAGCTGTAAGCTCGGATTTGATGGTCCGAGAAAGCATATGTAGGTACAGGAGACTAGCTATTGCGCCTCCAGTGGAGTGGCCTGTAATGATTAGGGAAGCTGCCGAAAGAGAAGGGTTTTCTTTAAGAATTTGTTGTAAGCGGAGAGCAACGGGCTTGACCATATGCCGAGCCATGCCTAGAAAGCCTGGGTGACAAAGGGTCTCAGGATCATCAAGAAATCCCATCGGTGATTCCAATTCCAGAGTCATCTCACTAGCCCACTGTTTAAAAACAGTATAATTCGTTCCTCTGATTGAGAGAACGATTAGGTCCATATGCTCGAGGACAACGGATTTGATAACCATGGCATTGGTCCCGCCGCGGACCTCGGCTTCGACAAAAGTTTCTTTTTCTGCTTCCGATGGCATGTTGTAGGCGCGCTGGGAAAATTGCGCGGCCAGGTAAAGCATTGGCCATATGGAAAACGTACTAAAGTGAAGACAAATTAAAAATTGATTACATGGTAGGGAATAGTTGGGTTGCCTACACGCGTAAAGGCAAAATATCGGACGGTAGTCGAGAGTTCTCGTAGTTATACACAGTTGAGGAGAAATTGATTTGGTGTGTTTTTGTAGGTAAGCCAGCGTGTTTTGATAGTTTATCCTTTGAGAAAAAATACTGTTTAGAGGGGGACGGCCTTTTTTGCGTATGGATATTCATCACTATATCAATCAGGTAAGCAATTAACAGTACGGATATTGGTTTGGTCTAAAAGAATAGTCAAGTCACACCTAAGTCATTTTCCCTGCCACTAAATGACTGTCGGTCTATAGCGTTGATTAGCCCTTCAAAACGGTCGAGTATTTGACATGAGGGGTTTAAAGATGAGTCTGGAATGGAGCTTGTAAAGTCATTGTTACTAATGACAGCTGCCGATAGATTTGGCGATAGTGGTAGACTAGATCTCGATAATCTGCTCGGTCGGATCGCGGGACGCTGCGGCGGTGGAGGTGCGAACGCTGTTGGAAGTGAAGAGCGTTTCAGAGATATCGCCGTCGAGGCCGGCGATACCCAGGAGGTAGATGGGTGGCGGGTATGAGTGGATTGAATCGACACGGTAGATGACGCTGGCACGTAGGGTGTGGTGATAGTCGTCGACGGAGAAAGCCATTCCTCGAGCGAGATGCGCGGGGCGTGGAGAGCGCATGGTTTCCGAAGATCATGGGCTGCCCGCTGTATACGAAGTGGAACTTCTTGGGAGAGATGCGAAAGAGATGTCCTTGTGTCGCATTCCTTTGGAGACTGCGACGACGACGACAGGCGGGTAGGTGGAGGGACGGCGCAGCGTGACGAGGCAATCAGCGAAGTACTCGGGGATGGTTCTTTCACACACGTAGAGATGTTGAGACCAGAATGGTCTCGATTCAAGGCGTCGTGTGCATACATGATAAATGGTGATGGCACAAGGACAGGGCCAGGAGGATGCGTTGCAGTCGAAGCATACGTGCGATCAACATACGATCGATCGTCCCGATCACCCGAGAACGGAATGGTAGCTGGGACAGGACGCCTTTCGGGACAAATTGGGGAGGCTGATCGGACCCCAGATGTTCCACAGTTCGTGAGTTACCAGTAACTAGTGGGAGTCGTGCGAGGGTGAGATCTGCTGGTATCCCGTAGAGGGCCGGCCGCCATAGAATATGAGTGCATGCACATAGGCACACCCAATGTGGACATCCATGGCCAAAGATGATATCGGTCACGACCAGAGCGTTGGCCAGCAGCATACGGAGTCCCATCGAGGACCTAGCCGGAGGGTATTCTACCATGGAGCGTTGGGCGAAGGCTGGAGCCACGATGACAAGTCGAGTTCGAGCAAAGTGCGGCACGACGTGGCGGCCGGGTGACTCGACAGACGAGTGATGTCGTCGGTTGTCGAAAGCTCACAGCACAGGGAGCGTGATTGGGCAATCAAGCACATCTCGAGCCAGTGATCACCAGCTTGGCGTGTTTTTGCTTTCTAGAATGATAGAGCAAGAATGGGCTTCTGTGAAGGCGGGTGTACTTGTGTATGGAGTACTTCACATCGTCCAGCACTGCGTGCACAGCTTGCGGTGACTGTCAGGTTGAACCCTGGTTCTCTGTTATATGGTTAGTTAGTTGGTTAACTATGCTAGGGGAACAGCGCCGTGTAATCCGTAACTACTCCGTACAAAAGTAACCCTTGACAGAACGGAGTGCCAAAACCCAGGATCGAGGGTGACAAAGCTAGTCTGATGGTAATCTAGTCCGACACTCAGGCGGTTCTCAGAAGACATCGTACTCTGTGCTCAACTGCTGAGATTGAGGTCGGGCCGTTGATATGGTTGACTGTTCAGACTACTGGTTAGTTGGCGGAATTTCAATCGGAATACCGATTTTCCGAACTGTTATCGATTTTATCGCTGGCTTACTATAGAATGAGTCTACTATACTCCGTACATTACATCTACTGCATAGTAATATATGGTAATATCAAAAAAAGAAGCGTACGGCGTATATTGGATCATATGTCCCCATAACTATATTGATATTATTACATGAACACACAGAAAAGTAATGAGGATATCTAGGACTTGATCAAAACACAATATGTTATTTACAATTCGACCAAGGATCCAAATTCTACTTCTTGAAACATACTGCCTCTCATTTGCACAAGTGCTGTAAGCTCAAGGACGAAATCATATAATATCACAATATTTGTCAAGACATGTCCCAAGGTCACATCTTGCAGATCTACCCCAGCTTCAACCGAGTCAGGGTCAAAAGCTAGCGTACTAGGGCTAGTGACTTCCGAGGACCGACAAAGCTCTGTGGAGAACAGACCAGCAAGCCGTTCATGGAGATTGGTTAAGCTGCCCGGAACGGCGGCCCGCGAACACGGCAACGCCGGAGCGAGATGAGCGGAAGAAGCACGGGTGGAAGAGCCGGAATCTTGTGAGAGGGAGCGCGACTTGGCCCCGCTGGATGGGTAGTTATCATCCCACCCTCGTATCCGAACCGAATTGCGGCCTCTGGAAGTCTTTTCGCGACGATCGCCAACAGCCCGAGCAGTCTGGCTGGATTCTGCTTCACGTGTCTCCGGCTCCGAAAGGGACAACAGGGCTCTACGGCCTGCGACCAAGTTGTCAAAATCCGATATTGATTTGCGCCAACTTTGTATGCGGCGCACGAGTGAATTTAGGACGGATGTCAGAGTAGGGGTATCGCCGCCGGACCAGGACGGTTGTTGATATGCAAGGGATCCATCACAAGATTGTTGACTCGGGGACAGCGCAGTTTTAGTCGGTTGCTTGCACCCGTTGTTGGGTAGATGGTATTTCTTGGGCGGAACAAGGAGCCAGCCGTCTAAGGAAATTAGGTTCGAGGTGGCCAACGCTGCAACTGCGCTGGTCAGGGCAAGATTCGTAGTAACGCCGTTGACAAAGAAACGTCGCAGAAGGTCTAGAAGGCCCTTGAATATACTGCCATCGTTGTGCAATAGTGAGCTAGGGCGTGGAATCGCCTGATTCAACGGTATCATCGTAGATCGCGAAGCTAGCGCAGCTAACGCACTGGCGACGTAGGTGGAGTACGATTGGTCTAATATGGGGCGGCCGTCAATCGCGGCTGCAAGACCGAGGAGACCTTGTAACTCTGCATTAAGGGCACCATGTGACCTCTGGAGGGACTCTGCTTCTGATTTCTCTCTTGTTTTGAGAAGAAATTTGGTAAAGTGCTGGTGGCGCTCCATGATAACCGTCATGAGTCGCAATGTGGCCACAAGAGTTTGAATATTATTAGACTTGATACCCATAGAAACCAGATCGACCAAGTTAAATAAGGTGGGAGATGGTATCGCTGCGGCTTCTGCAAACACAGCTAAGATATCTAATGACTTGCGGCGACTAACCGACATTTTCGGTTTCTCGACCTGCTTGATGGCTTGAGAGTCATGTTGCGAAGGAGATGCTAGTAAGAAATGGAGGATACGATGTATTAACTCGGGCTGATCAATTGACTCCAAGATCCGAGATAAATAGGTTGTGACAGCAGGTGTTGATCCTCCATCGACGTCGGATGACTCAAGTAAAGACGGGTATCTGTGAGGTGATTGTCAGCTGATGTCAAGGAAGAGATAGCGGATATCAAATTCGTACAGCAATTGTTCGAGAAACAAGACCTGAAAATGATCTAGAAGGGTATCATTCAGCTCAGTGGACCGGCAGTGGTCAACGGCGTCTTGCCAGAACAATAAATATGAGAGGAATGAATCCATGTTGTGGCCAAGATCATGACAAAAGAAGACTTTTGGGTGAGTATCGTCAGACAGAGAAATGATCGGAGGGATCTCAATGTCATGAATGGAAGGTAATACCCTGTGCGAAACTATTATCAGTCTGACCAGTTCCACATTGAGTGCAAAACCTTAGGTCACAATACCTGCTGAGTTGGCTGTACAAACCTCCTAGGCCGGTAGCCATCAGCGTAGCCAAGTCACTTTCAATCAACCACCGCTCCAGATTCTTAGCCTTGGATGCTGTTTCGATGATGTAGAGCAGGCCGGTCCGGGCAAAATCACCCTGTCTTCCAGAACAATGCACGTATTCTAGTAGCAGATAAAAAAGAGGGAAGTCATCCTTTCGTGTCGCTCCCGCAAACAGCTGTCCGGCTTCTCTCGCATCTGCCTCTGTTACAGGCTCCTTGGGGAAAAACCACGCCGGTAAGATGGCGGGCTGTAGGCGGATATTGTTTGCAACGCCGAACATCAACTCAACCAATTTGCTTTCGCATTCTTCTCCAGTGCAGCTTGCCCTGCGTACTAGATCTACTAAGGCTCTCGAAAAGGCGGTGCTGTCCACGACGCCCTCGACCTCGGCGTCTATGAGCACAGTAAAGAACACGGTGGTTGCGGCGACGATGTGAGGATCGTATGTCGACAATGCCAGCTTGGCAATGGTTAAATAGACCTGTGGCGTGGCAGCGAAGCTGAGGCATGGATGTGGCGCCGGGCCTCTGGACTCGTCGGCTAGGACTGCATTGAGGCGGTCGAGACAGTTGCGAATACGTGGGATAGACGGGGACTCGGGGGTTAAAGAGGGGGAATTGCGCCATATTTGCTAGCGGGGATAGTTAGTGATAAGCCGGCAACGAACCAGGAGGATCGATGGCTATACGTAGAGGGTGTTGTAGACGTGCTTGAATGCCGTGTGCCGTTCAGCAACGGCGTTGCCACGCGGGTGTCTGGAGGAGGGCGAGGGAGCGGCTCCGATCAGACGAGACCACTGTGAGGCGCATATTAGCAAGATGTCGGCAGCATATCCACAAGCAGGGCTAGGGTACAAAGTCCATTCTTTATATTCCATGCGCGTACCATCGGTGAGGCGAGTGCAGCCCGGCATGGAGAGCATGATGGTGATGGGGGAAGTTAACTAGGCATGACGTGAAACGATCACGCTTGAGGCGCAACCCAGCCGCGATTCTCTTCATCGCGACAAAAACTAGTTTACAGGGCCCGGTCTAATGCTATAGGACACTTTATGGCTGCGCCGGGGAGCTTGAGCTGTGCGATCTCTAAATGCACAGTGCACGCAAGCACCGAAGTTGTGAAGGTCGTAGAGTACAAAAAAAAGCTAAAACACACAATATGTAAAATGTAAAACCACCAACGCCGGATCTCCTGGCAGGGCTTTTCATAAAACGACGCATCAGAAACAGACAATCATTCGTCAGAATCGTCTTTTTTGCGTCGGCCCCCTCCTTTCTTCTTCCGGCCCTCGTCGGGGTCGCTCCCGTCGTCGTCTTTTTTGGAGGCGGGCTGGTCGGGAACTTTGGAAATAATGTCCGCGAGGAAATCGAGGACCTCATCCTGGGCTATAGCCTCCTTCAGATGGGTTGCGGTAACTCGTTTGGAGGAGCGATCCTTGGCCTGCTGGGCGGCTTTTGTCACGAGAGTGATCATGAAGAGCTCCAGGGCCTTGGCTGGAGACGGGAAGCTGGTCAGCAAGGGTGCCGACGGGCTGGAGCGTGCTAGACTTACCAACAGCGATGGGTGTGACTTGGGCCACCTTGCCCACGTCCTCATCTGCCTGCATGATGCGCTTGATCCTCGCGACAGGAAACTTGGTTTTGATTTCAATGCCCAACGACGGGCCGGCACCGGGCTCCTGGTCCATTTTCTGGGTCGTGGGCAAGCCCACGCGCGGCGGAATCCGGCCTGGCGGCGGCTGGGCGAGTCGAGAGGCCGGAAGAGAGGGCTGCCGCTGCTGCGGGGCGGAGAGGTCTGACTGCGGGTCGTATTGGGCAGGCGGAGGTGGTGTCTGTTGGGGCTGTTGCTGGTGCTGGAGGAGGGATCGCGAGCGGGTCTGGGGTGGCATGTCAGCGAAGCTGGCGGGGGGAAAGGGCGGCTGGGGAGGGTAGGCGGCGGCGGAGGGCCGCGGGACGTGCGGGTTGAAGAAAGGCGAGGCGTCGTAGGAGGCCTGGGGGGTCAGCTGCGGCGGATAGGCGGCATAGGGAGGCGCGTGCGGGTGGTGCTGGGGAGTGTATGGCTCGGGGGGCAGGTCGGCGGCGAAGGTCGAGAAGTCGGGGGACCGCGGTCTGTACGGGCTGTCCTGATCGGGCATTGCTGGCGGCAAGGAGTCACAGGTCAGCAGCAAACAAGTAGGTGGGTGGATGGGCTCACATCGATGGGTGGGGGTCGCGGACGGACGCGTTACGAAGCGGAAGACGGCGAGAGAGCGCGAGAGCAATTCGCGAGGTTGACAGAAGATCGAGCGGGAGCGGCAGAACGACGAGGCGGCCGATAAGCCCGGGCCGGCACGTGGAGATAACCAGTTAACTAACACGGCGGCCATCGCGCGCCCAGCCCAAAACTACCGAATCCGGTAAGGAGCGAGACGCCCTCACTCCTCGACTCCCTCGACACGACATGCTCGAGACGGACGCCCGCGACAACCCGCCCTCTAGTTAGTTAGCCAATGGCTGCGGAGTAGCCACCCGCTCTCGTAAGTTGAGCTCTTCCCTTGTTCCACCGCTGCTCCCGGCCGCCCCCCCTCGCTGTGATGATAGAGCTACGCCGGATTCGCTGTCGCGGGTGGCCGCACGCTGCTGGGCCGAGACCGCCACGGTATCACCTCCAGCGGCCGCCGCTGAGCGCCAGTGCTTCGTGACGACCGTTTTAACTTGATCTAATCTGAGCGAGATGCTGCCCGCTGTCTTTCTCTCGCACGCGTCGTCGCCGTTCTCCTGTCCGGTCCGGAATAACATTCTCCCAGCCCAGACTCTTCACCATCCTCGTCTTGCCTTCGCTGCCGTCAATGCCAGCCGCGCACCGCTATCCGACTTGCCCTGCCCGCCTGAGCTGCAGCATGTCCTTGCCGCTCCCGCTGCTGTCTCGCTGTTGACTTCCCCGTCGCCGCCATGGCTGCCCTCGAGCTCTCGTCCCCCCTCATGGACATCGCCAGGTATGCATCCCGCCGGGCCCTCATTCTTTCAAACATTGATCGATTGGCGCCCAGTTCGCTGTCCCAAGACGACATCCCTTTTAAGCTGCGATGCGCCATCTGCAACAGGCTCGCGATCAACGCCTTTCGCCTACCCTGCTGCGACCAAGCCATCTGCCAGCCCTGTAGGTCCAGCCTGGTCCGGTAAACGCCACGATGACGGCTAACCCGTATGATTTCCTTTCTCCAGGTCAGAGCTCCCTGCCAGAGAGCTGTCCCGTGTGTGCCCATGTGCCACTCGCCGCCGATTTGTGTAAACCTAATAAGGCTTTACGAACAACGCTGAAAGCCTTTCTCCGGACCGAGGAGAAGAAGCGGGAAAAAGATCGTCCAGCTGCCGCCTCAGCTACTGAGACCGCTGCTTCGCCTACTTCTGTCCTTGATGGCCCGTATCAAAGTGGAACCGGTGAACCTGTGCCTCAAGACCCACAAGGACCGACCGGTGCTCCCGCAAACGTAGCTCCCAACCTCGAAACAACACCGCCATTTCCCGATACCAATCGCTCGTCTAATGCAGATGCTATTGCTGCCGATACCGATACTCTCCCGGGCACAGTGAGTCACCCTTTTCTTCCCACCTTACGAACTGATCAAGTAACATTTCATCACAGAATCAGTGTCTAGACATGCCTGTCGAGCTAGCTGACGCTTCCCTGGATAATAAACCAACATCATTTCAAGTATCTGCTATAGCTACTGTAAATCAGTGCTCTAACCCCGAAAACGACGAGAATACCGCCCGGGAACCACTGCAAACCAGCCAAACGGAAGACAATGGCATTGGAATGGGGATGAGCGATCCTCAGGGATACCAGTCGATGGGATGGCAAGGTGCGCCCATGAATTTTAATCAAATGGTGCCATCATTCATACCCAATGCTATGCACGCTGGGAGTATGGTTCCATTTCCAAACGCGATGAGTGAGTCGTTTGTTCCGCAGTACTCAAAACCCGCCCCACCCCCGTTGTTTGCCCAGAAATAACCTACTAACCAGTTATCCTTGCGCTTAGGTGCTGCTGGCATGCCTGGAATGGGAATCGATCCGGTGGCTGCTTCTCAGGGAATGTTTGCGGACTACGGAATGAATATGAATGGCATGGGAGATATGAGCATGGGAATGATGTTCAATACAAGTCAGGCAATGTATGGAACCTGGGATATTCAAAACAATTTGTGGAATGGAGGCCCAGATAAATTCAATGCAAATGCATTCGCTCACGACTTTGGCCCTTCTTCTGGTTATGTTGGGTATAATATGTCACAACTACAGGGAGGCCATCCCCACATGAATCAGCAACAGAAATACCCTAGCAATGATTTTAATGGATCATATGGCCCGTATAGCCGGGGTGTCGGTCGTGGACGACCCTTTGTTGCCGGTGGGCGAGGTCGCGGTACCTACCCATCCAGTATGCCTGATTCCTATCATTTTTCTAACCCAGCATTTCAAAATAACTTCGGAGGCCATCCGCAGGACAGTAAGGGTGTTACTGCACCATCGGACACAGTGGGACCAGCAGATAATTCTCAGAGCAAATTTGAGGATGAGCTCTGCCCTGGCGGCCAAGATGATACTCCCGATCTTGCACCGTCAACGTCTGAAACTGCCGACCCCTCCCCAGAGACGGCAGCTCCTAATGTGAAGACAGGCTCGGACAATGCTAACCCTCTTTCTTCTGGAATATCTGCTATTACGCAAATAGTCACAGAAAAGGCTTCTCCAGATGCACCAGAAACTAAAGCCAACCATCCCCCGAATAACAGTATTCCCGTTATAAGTGAGAGCGTCCACTTGAACTACAGCCAGAATTCTTCCACTCACGGTGTACCGAGTTTTCCAGCAATGCAGGCTCCAGGAAACGAAAAACAGGCCTTTCAAGGAGAGTCCCGAGGACTAGGAGTTGCGGGCGCCCCGGCTGCACCACGAGCAATGAGAGAGGGGCTGCCAAATACTAGTATGCGTAATGCTAGAGGATTTTCGATTTTAGGACGTGCTAGTAACGTAGTTTCAGCACTAGGAAGCGTAGATAAACAGAGGTTTGTGGCTTCTCGCCATTACTATAGGAATCCTGTCTGACTATTTTATAGCATCGCGACGTCCAAGGGCGGCAACGAAGAGACATCGAGCCGACGGCAGAGGTCCCGTTCGAGATCAGCATCGCCATCCCGAGGCCGGCGTTCTCACAGACACCGAAGCCGATCGCGTCCGCGTAGCCATTCACGGTCTCGATCTGCGGACAAAGCCGACGGCAGAAGCTATCGGCGTCGACAGAGCAAGAGGCGTTATACAGACACGAACCGGGAACGAGACGTAAGTGATTATTCGAGGTCTCCTTCGGTCTACAATTCACATCGAACATCCCGTCGCAGCCGCCGTGAGAAAGATCGACGAGCAGAGGATAAAGGGGCGAGCTCACGTCGACATCGAAGCCCTGGACGAAGAGAAGCTGTCGAGGAGTCCAGTTTGAAAGCTTCCTCTAAAATCGCGCAAGCTATGGATGACAGCGAGAGCCGTCGGTCGGCGCGGACGAAAGACATAGACGATAGGCACCGTCGACGTGAACGGGACCGGGAGCGGGATCGCGAAAAGCATCGAGACCGAGAAAAAGAGAGGGATCGGGAGAAGGAAAGGGACAAGGATAGGGGCCGCGACAGGGATCGTGGACAAAAACGTCGACGAGAGAGATCGGAGTCGCATTCGGACAGTGAATACTCGCGCCGGCACGCGCGGCGAACTCGGCACGACGCTAATGCTGAACAGCAGTTGGTGGGTAGCGAGAGCAAAAAAGCGGCGGATAGGTCCCGTTCCAATGGCACGTCCACGGTCCCTGCTTCCGAGCAGAAAGACCCCCATACGCTAGAGCGCGAAGCTAGGAACCGCGAACGACTGCTTAAGGAGCAACAACGGCGAGACGCGATGAATGCGGACCGCGACAGCAGAGGCACGCGCCGCCGGGACAACAAACTTGACAGGCCTATGGCTGGGTCAAGGCGCTTAAGTTACAAGTACGAGGATGAAGCAAGTGACCAGGTGAGGGCCGCGCAGGTGGAAGAGGAGCGAGAAGCTGCGCGATGGGAATAGCCGGTCGAGTGGCTGCAGTATCGCACCATGTACTTTTAAGGCTGTTTTTACATGTCTCTGGCCCGACATTCTAGTATGATAGAAATGCGGGTGAAGAGCGAGGGCGACATGACAGTGTACACACATCCATGCACCCGTAATCCAGTGCGAGTACTAGTGGTTATACGGGGGTAAATTAGTGTGTGTTATAACCTGCGTTACTATGTAAGTTATGCCAAGGTGCCGTCTAACTTTAGTGGGGCAAGTTATCATACTAGGCCCAAGATAGACTAGCTGTGAATGTTACACCATCATATGACTTGTCATGCATGATGATGACTTCATCAAGCAGTCCCCTTGTCATTTTGCATTGTACAGAACAGTATATAATCTTCATGCTCTAGAAATATGACATCTACACACTGAGAAGATTCAGCAGCTCTACAAAAGAAGCTATAAGTAACTCTAAATGTTAAGCTGTTTCAGAATATTAAGAAGACACTGAATAAGATCTGTATAAATTAATCAAAGATCACACAGAAAGCATACAGTGCAAAGCAGCAGAAATAAAAAGTGAGTGAATCTTTACTTACTACTATGCAGCTCTGTTAAACTGTGAAATTGCTTACTAATGATCTGACTCTCATACAGCATGCAGAAATGATGTACTGAGAAGAGATATGAAAATGAAAAGATGATTATAGAAGTAAAGACAATATTATTTCTGTAAGAAAAAATCATTAACTGAGAGATTCAGCTCTGTTGTTATAAGAGAGAGTATATAAATAGAGATGACAATGAAATCATACAGATTCTGAAAAAGAGTTCTGTTAAGATCTACTGTGCAGCTCTTATAAATCTCTAATAATATTAAATAAGTGCTGAATTCAACAATCATTCTACTTCTCATGAAATCATATTATCTTCAATTGTTCATATCCATTTCACTAGAGAGCACAGACAAAAGTAAGAGCAGTATATAAATTATGAAGTCAATACTTTACAGAATAAATATATCACTGAGATCTTCATATTAATGATTTAATACTGCTAAACAGCTAGAAGTCTAAAAATAGACTAAATAAAGTGCTATCTTTATATGACAGCTGATCTTCTAATAAGTCACAGTCTTTTTTTGTAAAGAGAGAGCTGCTGTATGACACAGATAACTAATCTGTTTATAATTTCTCTGAGAAATGAGAGATCAACATCTTGCAATTTCTTGATTCTTATTATGAATAATGAAAAAATTAATTCTTTTAAACAACTGAAGTACTGTGCAGTTATACAGCACAAAGAGTCTCTACTTTACATCATAAGTGTATTGACATTCTACTTTTTCATATGATGAAATATATTGAAAGAGCTCATTTTAAACTTTTAGTATTGAGAGTTTTGATATGACAATTACATTCTGAAGAGTATAAATCTCACTGCTTCTCTCTCATATAATTTTCACTGTCACTAAATTATCAAGATCTTCAAGACAATAAATCTTCTTTTTTTAAAAAAAACACATGCTGAATAATCTTAAGAAGCAAAGTATGCTGAGCTTACTGATGTCAGTGAGACATAAATTCATTAAGCTGATCAGTGAAATAGTGATGCACTTATTAATTACTATCTCAGTCACATTTTCTGAAAGTTCATATAAGTAATGACAGACTTTCATTCAGAGAAGCAGAAAAGCTACTATTTGTTTCATATAAAGATTAAATCTTCATTAGAACTGAAGAAGACACTCTGATCATGAATGAATGAGTGAATGACTTAATTTAATTTCTTTAAGAAGACATTGCAGTCTACTTTCTCATCATCTTCTGTATAATATAATGAAAAAGAGAGAGATCAGAATGATCTGACTGCACAGAGATGTTTAAAACTACTGAATACACTGTGTACAGTTATTCTACAGAACTCTGTGATTCTACAGCATAAATTTTCTGCACATATGATCTGAAGTGATCTCATTTTTATCAGATCAGACTATACTGAGTTCTCACAGTAAGTGCAAGCATCTCTGTTCAATGTTAAGAATTCAGAGAAGATTTAAATTCATCATATAATGTCAGTCATTGTCTTTCATCTTCAAATAATTGAGCAGTCAATATCTTATGCTGTGACAGTGACATAAAGACAAAGTGTCACAATTTTATAATGAATAGATAATAATCTGATGAATCTGCTTAATGATACAATAATCTTCACTGTACAGATAAATAAAAAAATGTTCAACACTGCTTCAGAGCTGTATGAAGACTTCTCTTTCTTCATAGTATCAGATGAAATTGACTGAGATGCTTTCACTACTATCACTGCTGTATAGAGTGAAATGAATGTTGAGAAGACTCAGAATTCAGCAGTCTTCTTTTTCACTTCTGTGAAATACAAACTCTCATGAAATATAGAAACAGTGTCAGATTTATGATGTGAATGAATAATAGACTTGAGAGAAGAATCATTCATACAAAGCTTAAAGAAGAAGAGCTCAAGCTGATGTAAATATAATGCAATGATGTTCAGTTAGAGAAAAACAATCATTAATAAAATTGTATGCTGTCAGAAGCAGAGCTGTAGTATAGTAGCAGCTGTGAAGCAGATAGAGCTCATCTGAATAAGATAGAAACTTACTCTTCATGATCTTACTATCTTTCTTAAAAAGACACATCACTTATAAAGAGAGCTTTGAATGTTTGATGTTCAATTATATATATATATTATAATGGCTAGCTAATAAACTGCTTCATACACTTTTCAGAAGACAAAGTAATTAAATAATCTGTACAGACTTTTAAAAGTAGATTATGTAGATGTTATATATATCTGTCTCTTTCTAATTGAATTAGATTCAATGTGAGCATTTGTAAGACTCTGTGCTGCAGCCTTCTTACATTCATCTCATCATCTAAAAGAGATTTGTAAAACCTTCTTGATGCTTAGATGATCATGCTCCATGGCATCTGGAGTTTGTAAATTCCATGACTGATCACATGATCACACTAGCAAAGCTGAACACACAAAATCTGTCACAGACACTTCTTTATGAAGATCAGTGGCAACATATCTAAAGACTCTAGATACTGTTGTAGTAATAGAAGTTATCTCTCTCTCTTTCATGCTTAGATCTCTTCATAATCACTTCTCACTCAATCTAATCTCATTTACAAAGGCTGTAAGTCATTGCCACATTATCTGCAACCTCCCAATCCTCACAGTTTGCCACTTAAATAAGCAGATGACCCAACAATGATTTTCATAAGACAGAACAACTGAGACCAAACTGAATCCTCAACTCTTTTCTCAGTATCAGAGTTAGCTGAGACATCAAGTGTGACAATAAATCTGGATGAAAGCATAATTCAGACTGAGAAATCATCTTCAGAGAACACAGAATCTCTTAAGAACTTAAGAGAGTGAATACATCTCATGAAAATAATTTAAGAACTACAGCAGAGTTTACAAATTCTGAATAGAAAGCATGAATGAACAGAATCACTTGATGTTCTGATCTCTAATTTAAATTCTTCAAAGAAGAGTTCAGTCATCAAGTCTTCACAATATAAGATCAACTATCAGATCAAGAACTATGCAGTCTACTGACAGTTTATCTTTCAAATAGAATCCATCTGAGATGCTAGTGATCTGAATGACAATGAAATTCTGAAGTATGCAGTCACAGAGTTGAACTATAATGAGAAAGATCTTTGAGAATCATACTCAGCTCAGAACTCTATTCTGAACATCTGAACTGAACTTAAACAATTTCTACTTTTATGACTAGATGATTCTGAAAACTGAACTCAATTGGTCTGAAGAAATCTTTTCCACCTTTGTAAAAGAGATGATGAATCAGACTTTGACTGATTGCAATGATTCCAACAACATTTGCAACAAGTGAATGAAGAGACACAGAGTGTGAATAAGTTCATCAAACATCTTTTTCTATGGCAATATGACAAATCTATGCACAACAAGCTGGATGAACAGAAGAACCTTTCAGAGAAACTAAATGAGATTCAGACAGTTGTGATGCAATTACAATCTAGTGTCAAGAGCTTCACTCTCAACCCAAAGTCACAATCCATCTCAGAGACAAATATCAACCATGGTGGAACACCATTCTATTCAAATTGAGTCTGTGGATCATGAGGTCAGAATTATAGAAACAAGATCTGAATCTCATTATGACAGAGAGAAAACCAACATCAGAGAACCTCCAATTCTCAGTTTACAAACTCAAAGTGAGATGAAAAGTTAGATAAAAATGCTTGCTACAATTGTAGTGAGACTAATCACTATGTGGATAAGTGCATTAAGTTAAAGAAGAAATAGGAATTTGGAGAGCAGTCTGTAGATAGAATGAATATTAAGCAATTGAAGTTGTCTGAGCTATAAGCTGTTTTCTCAATCACATTGTCTGTCAGAGTTTGTAACTCTGAGGTAGAAAAAGAAGTTAAATGAACTGCTGTGACAGACTCACTATGTTTCTTTCTGATCATAAGTCTGAAGCTTGCAGTAAGACTGAGTCTGAAGATTTGTAAGATGAATGTTGAGATGGAGACTGCAGAAAAGAATTATTCAAAGTTAGTATCTGAAGAAATTATGAACATTTTCTTTAAGACACAAGATACTATGGATAATTGACAGATGTTTAATGAGCAAGCATTGATTGCTGATATATCTGAGAACATGATGTTAGATCTCTTCTAACTACACTGTCATAATTCTGTTGTTTCATTTGAAAATCTGTCACTTAAGTTTCATAAGCAGAGTGGATTAGACTCTATGACAAAAATCAAGTCAGTTTCTCTAAATGAACTTGTTGATGGTGGTAAATCCTTCTATGTAATGAGAGTTCATAAAAGTGAACAAGTCACCATCATGAATGTGAATCTGCAGATATCAGACAGTTATAAAGATTTGATTGATGCATTCAGTGATGCAAAAGATGCTTTCTTGCCCCCTCACTGAGAGAATGATCTAGACATTGAGTTGTTGCCAGGGGCAGTGCCAAAGTTTGG